CCAACCCCAACCCCAACCCCAACCCCATTATTTTTAATTTATTCTTTAACTTTTAAATAATAAAAATAAAATTAATTTTTTTAGAAATGTGATTTTTTGAGTGATTTCTTACTTAATAAAAAAAACTCAATTTTTTAATTTTAATCAAATTAGGATTTAAAAAATGATTTAATTTATGTATTTAATGCTGATGTAAAAAAAAACATGAATTTTAAATAAATTATGATAAATAATAAATAAATTATCGTTTTTAAATGGAAATTGATTAAATTAATTTATTATTTTTAAACAAATTTTATTTCAGATATATATAAATATATAGCAAAAGCAAACAAATTATCATAACAGATTAATTTTAGCGAAATATTTCTTTCATTACAAAATTATTATTAGAAATGTTTCTTAAAGGTATTTTAAAACCAAATTTTAATAATAAAGGATAAAATTTTACAAAAAGCTTTTTGCATCTAAATTAATATAATTTTAGCAGATCTTTGAATTTAAATCTCCTTTCTGATGTTGTTTCAAGCTCTGAATTTATTGGAAAATTTAAAGGAGAAGATAAGCTGAAAGATATCAAAGAACTAACTTATATAGATAGAGATATTAGTCTTAATGGAAAAAAAATAATGGCAACAATAAAAAACCCTGTTTTTTATGATTTTACAGCAAAAAATATTTATTCACCAGACACTAAAGTTTCATATTTATTCCAAAGCGACTTTTTTGTAGCATCATAGGATGATGGCAAAATTATAGCTATTTTAAAAAATGATCCTTTAGATAAATCAAAAGAATACTCCTATGATCAGTATTTGCTAAACGAAGTATGTAAAGGATTCAACTTAAACCCTTAGGAGTAGCACATCTTATCAGATTATGTAACACGTTTTTCTGAATAACTAACATAATCTGTTTATAAATAAGTTGATAGAGATTTTATATCTTTAGTTAATTAAAAGGTGTTAACTGAGCTTTCTTTGAATTAAAAATACAAAGAGGAAATCTATAACATAATTTATAATACTTTAAACAAAAAGCTTTAGAGATAATTATAAAAATAAAAGGAGTTGTTTGAAGTTATTGACAAAAAATCTAACAAATATATGAAAAGAATATTCTATATATCTGCTAGTAAAATTTTAGCTCTCTAATATTGCACATATGTTCTCCTATCTTGGGATATTATGGAACCTATTACTTGTCTTTTTGGAATATTCGATATTGGTTTAGCTTACTTTTTTTGGTTAGTTACCCATAAGGACTTCGATTATTTGAATTTAAGAGAAAGATACATTTAAAAAAAATAAAACTCTATTGAGAACTACCTCTAACAAGAATACATTGATGATTTACAAAGTCTCGTTAATTATGTCAACTAATTGAAGACAATGGATTCTCCTAATTTATAAGAAATTTTAAACCAACTTTGATTAAAATCAATCAAATTAATTTCTATTTTTATTCAAATTGAAAAATATTAATAAAACAAATAATTTATTATTTTTATTATCATTTATATCATTTACTTTGCATCATATAAAATATCTTTTTTTTATTATTAGCATTAATAATTTTTAATAAATTAGTTTTTTCAATTTATTATTTAAATAAATTTTAATTAATTTATTATTTTATCATTTTAAATTAGTAAAATTAAACATTAAAATTTTCATAATTAAATTTAATAATTTTAAAAAATATTTTTTGATATATTTTAATTGTTATCTATTACAGAAACACAATTAGTAGAAAACATTTATTTAATCTAAAACAATATCTTAAAAATTTAAATTTGTTAAAACTGATGTAATTTGAAAAAAATAAATTATTTCCCTCCTAAAAATGTTTAAATAAATTGATGTAAAAATTAATTTAAAAAAATATTTGAATTTAATTTTATTTAAATTTGAGATTTATTAAGGAAATGAAATGCTATTAAAATATTTAATTATTTTAATTAGCTATAAAAAATAAAACATGAAAAGATTTCAAAATAGTTCACGCGAAAATTCAAATTCAATTTAAAATTACAGTTTAACCAAATAATAATAATATTTGCTAATAGAGGGAATTAATTGATTTTTTATAATGAATTTTATGTTTATTTTCTAAAAGAAAAAAGACTCATTATATAATTTAACTAACTAAATATTTATAATTTAAAATAATAATTGTATTTACATTTATCATAATTAAGCAATTAAATTATATAAATAATTTCTAAGTATTAATAATCTATAACAAAAAATGATCATCTAAAATTTAATTTATTGTTTATCAAAAAAAAGAGTATTTTAAATGCAATAAATATTTTTAAGATGTTAATTCCCTAAAAGTGGAGTGTTTATTTGTTTGTTTGTTTATTTAATTATTTGCTTGTTTGATTGATCTTTGTTTCTTTTATTTAATGTTTATTTATTTACTTCAAATATTTGATTAATTATTAATTAATTTTGATATTGAAATATAAGTGATAAGGGTAGTTTGCTTGTTATTTATTAATAATTTATTATCAAGAGGAAAATAAAAGAAGTTGATTAATATTAAAAAAAGAAATTTAACTTTGCTCTTTTTTTAATAAGAATAAAAAGACCAATAGTAAAGTCAATTTAAGAGTCACAGCGTATCTTACTTAGATTAATTAGTAACTTTCATTCAAAATACTAATATTACTTTATTTTATTCTAAATAAATTCTACTATAATTAAATTATTAACGTTAGAAATACCATTTTTTTTAATTTACTTTTCTAAACATAATATTTCCTTTGATTCAGTGACCTCTATCGTTTTTTTTATCCAACATAAAAGCATTTATTTCATTCAAAATTTAAAATTCAAAATAATTATTTTTTTCACTGATCACATCAAATTATTGATCATTAATTTTTCAAAGAATAGATCAGCTTCACTAACTCTAAAGAGGTCTCAACGTTAGAAAATTACAACATTGCCATGAAGAAAAAATAAACAAGATAACAACCTTAATTTTAAAAGTAGTAATCACTTGGTTCAACAGAAATTGTACAAGGATCTATTTCTACATCTTCTACATCTTAATAACAATAATAAGCACTACAAAACTAACTCTCAAATACTTGCTCTAATTAAAAAGTTCTGTCTTGCAATCCTAATTCTTCACCTTTACCTCTAGCAAATGGAGTTGGATAAGTTGCTGTAGGCAGCTAAAATTAATATTCATCTGCTTCTTTAGCTGGAAATATCAATTGCAACTAACTAAGAGCTGGAGATTGGGTTTGCTTGTTATGCAACAATCTCAATTTCTCATTTAGAAATGAATGTATAAGTTTAAAAAAATAAATACTTTCAATCAATTTTATTTTTGACAATAGATATATTTATTTTATCATTTATTATTTTTTATAATCATTTAGGTAACAGATGCATGATTTAAACTAAGAAGCAAAACCTTCTCTAAAACCTGATGCTTGTCTAGGAAGGACAACAATTTTTTATTTCAGGTATGAGTAAATAAAATCTTTAAAATGGAAAATTTTCAAATAAAATCAATTATTTTTTAATATTTAAAATTTAGATAATGATTAAAATAACGTGATAGCAGAAAATGGCATATCTGAAAACAATAATTTAAGTCCCTAATAAGACAAAAAAGAAGAAGAAAATTTATTAGAGTACGCAAAATACCAAAATAGAGCAGGTGCTGGATTTGAAAATATGCTTTTGCTTCTTACACCAAATAGAAGTAGTATTCATTCAGACGATTGTTATGACCATAAAATGAATACTACTGCTACAGGACCTTAAAGCCATAACAGTAATAGTAAAAGTGATCCTGACCAAAGCAGTAAAAATAATAAAAAAAACAAAGTCAAAAATATGATGATAAATGACAATAGCTCAAACTATCACAATAGTAATAAAGCCAATCAAAAAATGTAATTTGAGGAAGATATTTTTTCTGATAGCAGCAATAAACATGAATAAATGAAACCTTTAGGAGCTATGCTTGATTTTTCTTCTCCAGAAGTTGCAAAGTATGCTTACTAAAAATAGGATCAAATAGATGAAATAAGCTTTTAAAACTCTGTAGGTACTTTCGCGCCATATTGCGATTAAAAATTAGCTTAATAAAATAGCAAGCAGTTAAACAAAGATATTTAACCGCCACTTTAAGAAGAAAAAAGAGAGTTTTAGCTGTTTGGATCAAACAAACCATCTATTGATTATCCTAATTTTATTTTATCACCTAGCAGTATGAGAGATGGAGATGAGTCTTTAAATGAAAGTGATAGTGGAAATTTTTAATAGGAAATTCAATAGTAGATAAATAATATTATAATGGAAGAAGAGGATGATTACAGTAATAAAAGATAAAATTAGGAAGAACAAAGTCAATAAAATATAAATAAGTAAAATAATTAAATGGAAGTAATGTCTTATTATAACTCTGAGGCTTAGAACAGTAGTGCTGTTTAGAGCTTAAATTTGATTAATCCTACATAAAAAAATGAAGATTAGCATATCTATTCTTTTGGAGCAGGTTTTTAGCAAAATCAAAGAAATGGAAATAATTTATTTAGCCGTTAGTCTTAATAAGTAGATATGAACAGCACAGACAAATTAATTAACTTGCAATCTAATTAAAATAATCAATAACAATAATCCAGAGGATTGTTTTTCTAATATAATAATAACAATAACAATAATATCAATAACAACACAGGCTTTTTCAATTATTTTTCTAATTCAAATGCTTAATAAGTTTATGGAGAGTAGCCAACCAATAATTTAAAAGCTAACAATTCAAATAATAGCAATAACAATGGAATTAATTTTTCTAATTACAGTAGCTTTCTTAATAGTAATTAGTTTACAAAGTCTAGCAATCAATTAAAGATCAAGGAATAATCAGATAACAATAACAATGATGCAAATTCCTAAAAATCAAACAGCAACAGTATCAGATCACTATTCATGAACTAATAAAATACATCTTTATGGAAGGAGGAAAGCCAATTTAGTTTATTCTCTAATTAAAATACTAGTGCAGTTGTTAAAAGCACTTTATTCAATGTAGATGAAAATTCTAACACTCTTCCTTCCTAAAATGTATTTAACAAAATAGCTAAATTTGATAATTTTTATAAGAAAGAAGACTTAATCAACCAAAATACAGTGAATTTTGAATAGGCTTCTTCTTTTATTAATAAAGGAAAATAAAAAAATACTGGCAAAGGTACAGTGCTCTATTCGGTTAATGACGATTATGCAGATATGTCTGATTCAGATGATGATGAGGGAGATTCAAATAGCGAAAGTAGAATCATGAGATCTACTAAAAAATCAAATAATATTCGTAAAAAGCGTAAGTAAGGAAACAATGTAGAATCAAAAAAGAAAAGCAAGATTTAACACCACTAAAGCAACGCTATTAACACTGATAACAATTTAAGCAATAATTTTAATAGTCCTAACGTTGCTTATAATTATTCTTAGAATTTCTTATACAAAGATGAGAATTCTATTAAAGAAGCTTGTAGCCTTTCCCTTCAATAAGAAAATTAATCTATAAGTTAAAATAATAACTTTAATTCGATGCAAACTCCTTTAAGCAATCCTCACAACAACAGCTTATAAGGCTAATAATCAAGTAATAATAATTCTTAAGGTTAGTAAGTAAATGCAAAAAAATAAGATTGGATTTGTCCTCGTTGCACAAATTTAAACTATTCTTTCAGAAAGCTTTGCAACAAATGCCAATTTGCAAAAAACAACTTTGCCATCTTGATTCCCCCTAATTTTCAATAAATTTAGCAATAATTAACAATATTTTGATTTTAGTATTAGCAAAAATTATTATAAAATTAAACATCAGCTTTCATACTTTGCAATAATCTCTTAATTGAATGCACATTAGATTGATCCTATCGCCATTTTACCTAAAATACCCTCGTATTTAAGAATACAGTTTTATTAAATATATTTAATCAAATATTTTAATTAGTTAACATTCATGTTTTCGTAGAGTTTAGAGTTAAGAGTTTTAAACAATTATGTTTTATTCTATCTTTCATTTTTTAATTTTCCTTTTTATTTTCTTTTTTCTTTGTTTGAAAGTTTTTTTATTTTTCAACAAACCTAAATTATTAAATTTATTTTTAAAATAATTTATAATTGTTCAAAAATATTAGGCAAAAAATTATTTTCATCCCTTATTTGAGGCACAATTTTTAAAAAATACATAATTGAAGGGTAATCCATAAAATTATTTTAGAAAATTCACTCACGAATTAAAACTAAAAAATCTTTTTTTTCTTGAGATAATTAAAAAATAAAAAATTTCCCCCATAACTTTGTACAATTTATATTGTTAATCAATAATAAAACTAAAATATCATTATTGGAATATTTAGATATTATGCTTACGATCAACAATACGCTTCTAGAATGGTTGTTTATAAATCATAAAAAATAAAATATAAAATATAAATATATATGCTAATTCGCTTATTTCCTCACAAATAAACAATTATTCGCTTTACCAAAATGTATTTTATTTATATCAATTAGCATTTGATAAGATATATATTTTAATAATTTCACTACTTTCAAAGCTAGAGTATTGATACAAAATATTAAAAATTAAGAAAAATAAATGACTAAAAGATAAAAAGTATTATAATGTTTTAATCTCATTTATATTGTTAGTTAGAATAGTTATTATTTGTTTTGTCACTGCCTATATGAATAGCTCGTTTAATATAATCATGCTCTATATGTATAGAAACTGACGGCTCTTAAAATTTTAAAAATAGGCTAACAGTCACAAGTGCACTCATATTCGAATTTCTTATTATATGGTATTAAGATTATTATGACTTTTAAAATTTGTTTTATCTAAGTTTATTGATATAATGTAAAGTATTATTATTAACATTTTTTATTATTATTTTGATCTAACTATGACTGTAGACTCAGTCAAAATAGAAAACCAAATTTATAGAGAAAACATTAAACTTAGAAGAGAACAAAAATTAATGGCTAAGAAGTTTATTTCAATTTTCACTATCATTTGTATTTTATTTTTAATCTTTATCCTTTTGAGTAACTTGAGTGATTATATTCTATTGTTGCCAGTATGATTTTGAGTTAAAGGTATTTAGTGTTATTTTTAGTTAAATGGAAGATATATTTTAAAACTCAAATTCTATTGGACAAAATTTTCCAATAGCATTAACTTGTTAATTTATTAATAAAAGTTCTTTATGAATGTTTAAATATAATTTCATAAAAACAAATTTTTAGCCTAAAAAAAGATAAATGTGAAATAATTCAAGGTGAATAAATTATATTAATTTACAAAAAATACATATTTATATATATTATTGATAAAAGAATTAACACACTTAAAATTTTCAGAAATAATCTTCATCATCTTCATCAAAACCTAGAAAGTTGTAACTTTATTTATTTTCATTTTCGAAGCATTAATAAAACCTATCACAAATACAATCACATTTTACTAGTCTTTTAAATTTTTTTTTTTTTAAATTAGCTATTTTTTTGAATTACTATAAATATTATTTCACATATTACTACTACTAGCTTACAGTTATGTAATATGTACCACAATAATATTTAGGCTAATCTTTTATTTTGATTTGAAGGCTTTTTTTTTTCTTATGGATGTTAAAATCAAACAATAAATAATTGAGGTATTAATTTTTTTATAAATTCTTAAAAAATTTAACTTAGTCTATTTTCTTTATAACATTAATACCAAAGTTAAAAATTAAAATTTAAAGCTATTAACAACTACCAATCTCAAATGTAAGTGCATTTAAAATTTCACTATTAACTACAGTTTTTACGAAATCTAACTTCAAATACTTTAATTGTTTACAGCATTTAAAAAGCTATGATATCTCTTAGATATCATCAACTTAACTTATACAATCATATTTTACTTTTATATTGAGATTTTATAAAAACTAAGCTCTTTAAATTGAAAGACATAAACTGTTAAGGTTTTTATTCTTATCTATTTTTAATTTTAAATTTGTTAGGTTAATATTATTGTTAAGGATTTAACAAAAATGTTCAAAATTTATTTCGTTGCAGTTCGTCAGATCCCAAGAAATCTATTGCAAATGTTTAAATCCAAAAAATATTTGATTACTAAAATTTGAAAATGAAATATTATTTGCTTTTCCCTATTCATTTTTTATATTGACTGTAAGTTTTTTGATACTGCTTTAAGGTATTAAATTTTCTTCTAATAATATTTACTTTTTTGCAATAGTATTTACTTATTGTATAAGAATATTTATAGAAAAAACTTCTAAAAGATTCAAAGAAACCATTAATTCTTAAATTATTTTTTAAATCTACTCTAAATTTACTTCTGAAATTAGCATCTAAATTTTCAATTCTTTTAAATAAATTAAATTGGAAATTTGTTCTTTTATGTATTAAAAAATCTATATTTCAACATCTTTGATTAAAATTTTTAAGTCAAGTTTTTCAATATGATAACAATCTCTAAAGCCTTGAAAAATCCCTTATGCGTATTGTTAATTCAAATGAAAATTCTGCAATGAAAAATTGAGTTTCTTTATTTAAGAAAGATATCCAAGCTCTTAACTAAAAAGCATTAAATTATAATTGATTTCTTTTTCATATTATTCGTTTAAAAAGTTGAAGCATACTGTTAATTAATTTAACTCTAAATTATTCTGAGCTTCTTTCAAAAATGGAATTAAGTTCTCAATTGTAATAGTTTATGCTTATTTATTTATGATTATATGCTCAATTTAACATATTTTAAATATCAGTTGAGCAAGAACTTGAATATATTAATTCTATTGTTTAAAACTTTTGTAAAATCTCAAAGATAATTTGAGGTTTTTGATTATTTTATAAGGATATACTTAATCAAAAATACTCTAAATATCTGCTAACGACAAATCGCAAATTAAAATATGTAGACTATCTATTTTAGTTCTTTCCCCTAAATATTCTTCATTGACATAATTTGCTACAAATGTCTAATATATCTTTTCAAAATTAAGATCTTCAGTATCTTAAGATTAGTATATTTTATTCATTTATAGATAGTTTTCTTTGTCAAATTATTTAATTAGAATTTCCTAATTTAATTAATTTCAATACTAATAAATCCCACTAAAGCTAAATCACTTTATGGTTTCTGATGTTAAAAATTTTAATTTCTAATTTTGTTTTTACTCTAAAATAACAAAAAATTAAACTAATTAATTTTCTAAAATTATCTATTGATTAAATATCCAATCATTAACTTCAAATCATAAAAGTGCTTTGCCATTGAATCACAGCATTGAATAATATAAATATTACAATATTTCAGTATGAAATAATATAAAAATATTCTTCTATTTCAATTTATTATAAAAAATTATTTTAATTATTTTTTATTTAACTGTGTGTAAATTTTTAAAAATCATCTAAATAAAAATAGGTTGATAATTAAATTTGTATTTTTAAATATTTCTTTAAAAATTTAAGAAAAAAATAAGTTTTTATTTCATTCAATAATTAATTATTAAAAACTTAAATTAATTTAATATTTTTTTATTTCAATAGATAAAGTGAAAGTTAAGAAGAGAAATATATAGTTATAAATAATAAATTTTTATACTAGATAATTGTTGATTAAAAAAAAATGAAAATATTTTCTAAATCTCCAAAAATTAAATTAGAAATAAATATAATTTCATAAAAACAAATTTTTAGCCTAGAAATACATAAATGAGATATAATTCAAGGTATATGAATAAATTATATTAATTTATAAAAATACGTTTAGAAATTATTGATAAAATAATTTATAAACTTAAATTATTTTCAGAAATCATCTATATAATAAGAATCTTCATCAGAATCTAGAAATATGTAATTTTATTCATTATCATATCCACATTCGAACCATTCAATAAGCCTATCTAAAATGCAATCACATTTTACTAGTCTTTTAAATTTTTTTATATTCATATTAACTTCTTCTTCGAATGACTCAAATTATTATAATTATTATTTATTTTTCTCCATTTACCTAAAAGGATTATATGTATTACAATTATAAAAAGAAAAATCTTCTTATATTTTGATTTTAAGGATTTTCTCTCTCTTATAGGTGCTAAAATCAAGCTATAAATAATTGAGGTATTAATTTTTTTATAAATTTTTAAAAAATTTAACTTAGTCTATATTCTTTATAACATTAAAATCAAATTTAAAAATTAAAATTTAAAGCTATTAACAGCTACCAATTTCAAATGCAAGTGCATTTAAAATTTCACTATTAACTTCAACATTTAACAAATCTAACTTCAAGTACTTTAATTGTTTAATGCATTTAAAAAGCTATGATATCTCTTAGATACCATCCACTTAACTTATAGCATATTTTAATTTTATATTGAGATTTTCTAAAAGCTAAGCTCTTTAAATTGAAAGACATAAACTGTTAAGGTTTTTATTATTACCTATTTTTAATTTTAAATTTTTTAGGTTAATATTATTGTTAAGGATTTAACAAAAATGTTCAAAATTTATTTCGCTGCAGTTAGTTAAATCCCAAGAAATCTATTCCAAATGTTTTAATCCAAAAAATATTTGATTACTAAAATTTGAAAATGAAATATTATTTGCTATACTCTCATCATTTTTTATATTGACTGTTAGCTTTTTGATACTATTTTAAGGTATTAAATTTTCTTCTAATACTGTTTACTTATATGCAATATTATTTCTTTATTTGAAAAGAATATTTATAGAAAAAACTTCTAAAAGCTTCAAAGAAATCATTAATTCTTAAATTATTTTTTAAATCTACTCTAAATTTGTTTCTGAAATTTGTATCTAAAAATTCAATTCTTTTAAATTAATTAAATACGAAATTTATTCCTTTATGTATTAAAAAATCTATATTTAAACATCATTGATTAAAATTTTTAAATCAAGTTTCTCAATATGATGATAATCTCTAAAGCCTTGAAAAATCCCTTATGCGTATTGTTAATTCAACTGAAAATTCTGCAATGAAAAATTGAGTTTCTTTATTTAAGAAAGATATCCAAGCTCTTAACTAAAAAGCATTAAATTATAATTGATTTCTTTTTCATATTTTTCTTTTAAAAAGTTGAAGCATATTGTTAATTAATTTAATTCTAAATTATTCTGAGCTTCTTTCAAAAATGGAATTATGTTTTGAATTGTAATAGCTGTTTTATATTTATTTATGATTATATGCTCTATTTAACAAATATTAAATAGCAGTTGAGCAAGAACTTGAATGTATTAATTCTATTTGTAAATATGATAGTTAGTTCTGAAAGATAATTTGAGGTTTTTGATTATTTTATAAGGATATATTTTATGAAAAATACTCTAAATATATGTTAACGACAAATCATAAATTTAAATATGTAGATTATCTATTTAAGTTCTTTCTAATTATTCTATATTCGCTTAATTTTCTACACATGTCTAATATATATTTTCAAAGTTAATATCTTCAGTTTCTTAAGATTAGTATATTTTATTCATTTATAGATAGTCTCCTTTGTCAAATTATTTAATTAGAATTTCCTATTTTAATTAATTTCAATACTAATAAATCACTTTAACTCTAAATCACTTTATAGTTTCTGATGTTAAAAATTTTAATTAATAAATTTTTTTGCATTCTAAAATAATAAAAAATTAAACTAATTCATTTTCTAAAATTATTAATTGATTAAATCTCGAATGATTAGTTTCAAATCATAAAATTGCTTTACCATTCGATCACAACATTGAATAATATCAATATTACAATATTACACTATGCAATAGTATAAAAATATTCTTCAATTTCAATTTATTATAAGAAATATTTTAATTATTTTTTATTTAATTGTATTTAAATTTTTAAAAATTATCTAAATAAATAATATGCTGATTATTAAATTTATATTTTTAAATGTTTCTTTAAAAATTTAAGGAAAAAATAAGTTTTTATTTCATTCAATAATTAATTATTAAAAAACTTAAATTAATTTAATATTTTTTAATTTCAATATAGGTGGAAATATGCAGATAAAGTGAAAGTGAAAGTTAAGTAGAGAAATATAAAGTTATTTATAATTTTGAAATATTTTTTTAATAATAGAGTTAAATTACATTTAATTATTTAAAATTTTTTTAATTTACAAAAACTTTAATTTGATTAATCAAAAAAAAATTATTTATTTAGTTTGTTAGTTTTTTAAAATTTAAGTTAATTAATTACATAAATCATTTTAACTAACTAATAAAAGAAAAGGTTTTAAGAACTTTTAAATAAAAATTATATTAATTGGTTTTTAATTAAATTACTTTCTTGTAATAATGTCTAAATAACAATATTGTTTTATATATATATATATTATAGACCATTAAAAAAGTATTATGGTTATTGCATGCAGCAGCTAAAGATTGAAAAAAAAGCTTGGTTGATTTTTTATTAAATATAAAATTACATTAATATAAAACCTTTAATTTTTTTAAATAATTTAAGGTTATTAGGATTATTTTCTGTAATTTTAGTTTTATTTATGCGAAAGGTTATTAAAACATGTAAAGTTAAACTAAGTTTTTTGATTAAGAAAAAGTTAATCTAAATTGTTATGTTTGGTATTAAACCTAATTGTTTTAAAAAGAGTTAAAAAGTGATTTATTAATTAATTATTGACAATTATAAATGAAACTAAGAATTATTAAAAAATTTGATATGTTTGGAAAATAAATTCTACTCCGTTTGAATGGAGTAGATAAGCATAAAACCACTTGTGGAGGAATTGCTACAATTTTGATATTTATTACCATGTTTATTTAGATAATAAATATATTTCAGACTTTAGTATTAAGGCTAAATCCAGAAATTGTTTATAATTAGGAATATGTAGATGGCGTGGAGCTATTTAGTCTTGATTCAGATGTCTTTGAGTTTGCAATTGGTATGGAAGATGCAAAATTTTAACATTTTATAGATGAAGGAGTTTATTATTTATAAGCTCAATAAATTATTTCAATCAGAAACAACTAAACAAACCAAGTAGAGTATCACTATTAAAATGTAACCTTAGACAGATGTACAAAAGATAATTTTTAAAACCCTTAAACATAAGATTATTTTTATAGATAGCCTTATACAAATCTATACTGTATTTCAAGAAATCAAACTGGTCTTTAAATTGGAGGGGATTTTGACCTTTACTATTTTGCTTATATTTAAATTAATATATATAGATGCTCTGGAAACAAGTGCAAGAATATTAGTGATCCTGATACCTACTAGTAGTATTTTAAATAACCCTAATTTGCTATGTATTTTACAGATGCTTTAGTTGATCCTACCAGCTATCAGCCTATTAAACCTATAGGAAGAGACTTATTTTTTACTAGTAGTTAAACTTTACAATAGTAAATTACTGTCTTTATGATAAAAAACGAAGTGAGGAGTCAAGAAGGAATCATTTTATCAAATGAGATAGTACATAATGGAATGAGCTTTTCTTAATACTAATAACAGGTATCAAATATTAAATTTTTGTTTCAGGCAGTTAACAAATGAAACTTATCATGCAAGTTTTGAAAAAATGAAATATATTTTTGTTAAATTTAGACATTTTAGAAATGTATTTTTTTAGAATTTAGAGTATTTGCCCAGCTCTTTGTTAAAGACTACATTCAGCTAAGTATTGTAGTTATAGAAAATATTCTTATTTTAATTTAATTGTAATATAATATATGGTCAAAAAATTTCTTTTCTCAAAATTATAAATTTCTTTTTTGTTAAATTGACTAATTGACGCAATACTTAAATACTTTAAATAAAATTAGAGCGTTATAACAGATAGAGATGATAACTTAATGTATTAAATTTCTTTGAGGTTAGAAAAAAAGAAATAAAACAAGTGGCAAAGAAAATACTTAACTTTAAGTTAAGGTATTAGCTAAATTGGAGGAATTTACCAGGCTTTAGTTGCTTTAGGATGTTTATTACTATTTCCAATAAGCTAATTTGAATTAAACAGGAAGTTAATGAATCAAATATTTTCTTTTGAAAATTCTTGTTAAGAGAAAAACAATAAGAACGCAAAACCAATAAGTTAAAAAATAGAATCAGTTATTGTTAACAAAGGGGAAATAGATATTTCAAAAAATATAGCTAAGGAAGCGCGGTCGTAAGTATTCAATAATTAAGCTTTTAAAGATTTAAATGGAACTATTTAATTATTTTCACAAAATTCCATTAAAAACTAAAATGGGAATAAGCATCATAAATCATATGGAAATCTTGATTTAATGAACTTAAAATCTCCAAAGAAAAAAACGATTTTAATTTAAGAATTTCTAAATTAAGCTTAAAAAGAAATCGATGAAGGAGTTAAATTAAAAGATTAAAAGCTAAATGTTTTGAGAATAGACACAGATTAAAACAATAAATAACTAAATCTTTTAGAAAAAGAATATAATCTTAACTCATAATACTAACAGCAATAACTAACTCAACAGTAATAATAAGTTAATACAAGTACAAACAATATATAGTCTCCCTGCAGTAAACTTATCAAATTGAAATCAATCAATAACCTTTAAATAGAAAAACCATCTTTTTAACAAAGGTCTAAAAGCCCGAAATAAATTCTGCATCGTTCAAAGTAGAAAAAGAGCTAAACCTATTTTTTAAATAACTAACCTCCCACATCATCTTTATTTGCTATTTAAAAATCAAATCTTCATTTCAATTAAGTAGTTTCTCCTAATAAAACAAAGTAACAAATAGCTTCCATAATGATTGATTAAACTAATAGATCAAATTCCAAATCAAATGCAAATAATACATAAAATCGAGTCCAGAGTCCTCTAAGTAAAAAAGAAATAAAATAACAAAAGAAGCAAGAAAAATAGCTTAAAACAATATTAAAAGATATAAATAAATAATTCTAAAATTTTTTTAAAGTCACTGCAAATAGAATAAAAATAAAATTTACTGAGTATCTCAGATACTTCATTTGTACCCCAAAAACACTCTAAATTAAAAAAAAGCAAATGGATTATGGAGCAAAGAAGCTGTATCATCACTTAGATATTGTTTATATATTAAAGAAGTTGACAGAAATAGATAAGTTAAAGATGCTGCTTTTAGACGAATAATAGATAAATTTGTTTGAATACTTACCTCGTCCTAAAATTTACATTGAGAAAAACTAAATTTAAGAAAATTAAGAGAATCTTTAAAAATTTAATTTCCTTTACGAGGATAATAGAACTGAAATAGAAAGAGCAAAAGATGCATACGAATCTTTTTTGGAATTAACAAAGCAAAACTATGATTAAACATAATAAGATAAAAAATTGTTAAATATGATTGATCCTCACTTACTTGAGCTATTTTAACAGCAAATTATAGAAGAAAGTGAAAAAATCATTAATTAACCAGATTAGAAAGAAGATTCTGTTTAGAAGTTTTCATAAAAAATAAGTTAAAACTCTCCTAATAATGAGCATAATGATTTCTAAGCTAATTCTATAAAACCAATGATAGATAAATTAATAGTGAGCCAAAACTATTAATTTGATACACATTCTACTGTTTAAGCTGCCTAAAATAATTTTAAAGATGAAACTGTGGAAGAAAGTTCATGCAATTAATCATCTAATGCGAATGATAGTTTAAAAGAAAATCTATAATAAATAGAATTAAAAATGTAATAATTTAAACAAAAAAAATTTACAATGAGAAATTCTTATATTGACATTTGATATTTTAATAATTATAACAAAATTATTATAAATTTATTGTTTTAGATTAATATAATATCATTTCTATCTTTATATTTTCAACTTAAAAATAATTTAAATAATACTAAAATAAAATAATTAATTCAATTTTATCTTTTTTGAATCAAATGTTCATCACTCAAATTCTTTCATGCTCATAATACTCATACAGAAATACAGACAGGATTATATATAATTAATTACTATACTTAATAAATATTTTTATCTCAATTTAGTTGATATTAAAAATAAAAATATTTTTATCAAATAAATAAATTACTTTTATTTTTTACTTATTTAAGTTGAAATTTTTCTTGAAAAAAGATTGCAAAAATATTCGTTAAAGTTTTTTTGCAGCTTATTTTTTTAAATTTTAACTTTTTTCTTTTTTAGAAAAAAAATATGAAGATGAGCATTAAAATAAATCATTTAATTTAATAGTAACTTATGATTACTCATAAATTTATTACAAGTAGAAAAATTTTTTTTATATTATTAGAGAAATTTTAATGATATCTATATTTTTACTATCTTTTCTAAAAAATATTCTTGAATCTAAACAATTATTTATTTTTAAAAGAAAAATTCTATTAATTACAAAACAAAATTTAAAAATTATAAATGTATTTGGTCGTTTTTCTTGACTTAATTAGTTAGACAAATACTTTTACATAATTAGTTGATTTATAATATTATATTACAATTTGATTATATAATTTTCAGCAATAATTCAAACATTTTATATTTCTATTTTTATAATTTTATTTTAAATATTTTATATTTTTTAATAAAAAATCTAATTATAGAGATTAATTTAAAAGCTACCTTTTTCTGTTTAAAATACATATATATATATATATATATATATATTCATCAAAAAAAATTAATTCACATTAATCTAAAAAAATAATCTTAAAACAATATAAAAAACTACATATGAATACAGAAGATCATCATGCAAAAAAAGGAATACTCTCTAAGAAGAGGACCTTAGAGTAATTAAATTAAAAAGTAGGTGAATATAAAATTATTGAATACGTTATAATAATAGAAAAAAGGATTTAACATGGGATGAGAAAACTATTGAGTAAAAGATACATTACTTACTTTTAAAAAAATTGTAGAAATAAAAAAATCTAATAAAAATTAGGGAACATGATAAGGAAAGAGGAAAAACAATGAAGATAACTGAGCCAAAAACACCTTATAATAATGATTTTGTATTTAAAAGTTATTTAGCTTTTAAAATATATGTTTATATTATTTTTTTAATAATTGATAAGAATGAAAATGAGCATCATGATAGCGAAATAGATGGGTTATAACAAGCTGAAATTAATAAATAACATCAATAAGTATAGAGAATATTACAATAAATACCATTAATTCAAATAAACTGATAAATTACTTTAAAATTAAAAGGAAAAAGGAAAACTAGATTTATCCAAACTAAACGAAATGCTTAAAGAAGATTTAGACAGGGAGTAATTAATTCCTATAAAATATAGAAAAGGAAATAGTATTAAATAATTTATTTTTTTTAAATTTAGGAGAAAAGAAATGGCAGTAGATTCTGATGAAGAAGATGAAATAAAGAAGAAAAAGAGTAAATAAAATATATTTTTTAATAATACAGACCATTAAATATGAATAATGATTATTATAGAAGAAGAATTCTAGAAAAAAAGAAAGGCACATTATAATGAAGGAGTCTTCATAAAAAAAGCAATGTACTTACTAATTAATATACATAAATAAATCAAATTTTTGTTTATAAATATATTTATATTGGGAATAATAGAATAAAGGACGAGGAAGAAGATGTTTGATAATAAAGTTGAAAGATTAAATAAAAATGTTTAAAAAAAAATAAAAAATTGTAAAAGAATAAAAAATAAAGATTATAAATTAATTTAAATTATGTTTGTTTAAATTAAATTTCGTTTTATCTATTATATATAATTATATTAAGAAATATCTGCTATTCATTTTATATCTATTTTTATATAACATACCAATTTAATTGATATATAAATTTACTTATAAAATAAATAAAAAATAGAATCAATTTATTTATTTTTATAATTATGCTTGTTTGTTTGTTTAAAGTTTATTTCATTTTGTATGTTTATTATAGACATAACCAAATATTATTTATTAATCTGTCAGTAAACAAATGAATGACTCCAATTTACATTTTAAGCTAATTTTTTTATTATACCTTCTCATAAGCATTCTAATAAAAATGATATGCTTTAATGAAGTTGGCAATTATGTTCTTTAAAATTAAATTTTTGCGGTAAAATTGAAAAAAAATCAAATTATAATTGCTTTTAAGCTAGATTAAGATATAGTTGTTATTTTTGAATATTTATCAAAAATCTTTATTAGAAAATAATATTTTTGGGTTCATTTAATTTATTTATTTATTAATTTATTTTATGAGACACACTGAATTTTTCAGAGGACCTAATGATACTAGTGATTCAGGATCTAGCAAGGCATCATAGAGTTAAAAAAATTCATCAAATAATAATACTCATTTATTTTTTAAAGAAGGAAACTATAATGCAAACTATAATAGTGATAAACTTAATTAATCTATGAATTTCTCTTCTATAAGAATGACTAACTTGAATCAACCAATAAGAAATACAGTGATTTAAAATACTTACAAAAAGGATGGAAATTATAAAAATAACTTAAATGAAAAAAATATATTTATTTTACAAGATTTATTGTCTTTTATAAACTTAAATATTTATTAAGATTCTCCAATCAGCGAACAATAGCTTAAAAATCCTACTTAAAAAATATTTTTTGAGATATTTTGGGGGTTTATTCGAATTATTGATCCTTCAATAAATTCTAAAGTTATAAGTGTTGATGAGATACCCTAATTAATGAAGTTTTGGAATTGCCCTTTTCAGCTAAATAAAAATATTCTTACTACTATTGGAGCTCCTCATACTCTCAAACAAACATAAAATCTTCTCTTTTGGTTATATTAATTGTCAAAAGAAGTAAAATCTATGTCTGAAAGCTTGCTTGATAATTAAAAGTCAATTTTATAAAACTCTTAAAGCTAATCGTAAAGAGTAATTTTTCTTTAAAAATGACATAAAATATTAAAAATAATACTTAAATTTATTAGAATGATATGGAAATACTTAATCAATACATTGCTCAATCTTTTAGGAGAAAAGATAATGATCTTTTGAAAGGAGCTAACTTCTCCAAGCACAATAGTTCTAAAAAGAATCCTTAGCAAAATCAAAGTATGCTGATATCATAGATTGGAATGAGTGAAGATGAAAAGGAGGCTAAGGATATTGCAGATTTGCTTAAGTAAAAAAATATTTATCTTTAGTAAGTAATAAAAGAATTAGAGCTAAAAATAGAGACTTTACAATTATCAAATAAAAACCTATGCTTAAAATAGCCAGATTTATCAGAAGTAGGAAATAAGATTGAACAGCAGCAAGATGTTATAAATATGGAATAAGAGCTAATTTATCAATTATCTTCAGAAATAGAAAGTAATTAAAAAGATATTGATAATTATCATAATATTTTTAATGAAAAAATGATAGCAATCCATGGTAAAAATAACTTTTTAATGATTTATTTAAAATAATTTTAATAAATGAAATAAAAATAGAACTGGAATAAGAAAAATCAAACATTTAAAAGTAAATAACTGACTAAGAATATAGCATTGTTGAAGCTGAAAAAAAGTTAAAAGAAATTGAAAGATTAAAAAAATAAAAAGCTTAAATTGATTTACAAATCAGTCAAACTAGTGATTAAAGAACTGTGAGTTATACTTAAAATGAAGGTTAGATAAATGAGATACATCAGCTCATAAACGATTATAATAGAATCCTTAATACCTCTAATGAATTGTTCATTTAGTGTTAAGGAATAGAAGCTTTTGTAAATGAAGAAAAAATAAGAGCAGATAATTTAGATATTTTAACTAAAGGTTTGTAAATTAAAAGCGAAGATTTAAAGTAAGGATTGGATTCTTTCACAAATTCTAAGAATAATAGTAAAATAATAATAAAATCTATGATAAACATTGACCTCAAAAAGGTATCTGAGCAGTTAAAGGCTAAATTGTAAGATTATTAGGTTTCAGTGGTGAAATAGGAGGAGTCTATTAAACAAATAAATAGATAAATTGAAGAGAAAAAAACAAATATTAATGATCTTGATATCAAAATAAATTAACTTAATATTAAATCTTAGCAAAAGTAAGACGAGTTAAAGTAATTAATTTAGCTAATTTAAGATAGATAAGTGAACTTTAAACACAAATCAGAAGAATAACTTTAAGCGAATTCAAATATAAAACAATAAATAAACTAGTCAAAATAAAAATAATTTAGTTTAGAAAATGATCTAACAAACTTCATGAACTAAATTGAAGTTCGCAAAAAGCTCCTTTAAAAAGAAAAAGAAGAATCTATTTAGATATTAGAAAATTAGGCTATTAAAATCAACCAAGCAAAATAATAAATAATTTTAAAGTTTCAGTAACTTCACTCTTATTACTAAGCATTAAACAAAAAGTCCTTCTTAATTAATAAATCTTGAAAGACAAAAAGAAATTAATTTCTTTATAAAAAATAAAATAATTTAAATTATAAACAACTCAATAAATAGTATTAAAAACACTTTAAATTATTGAATAAAACATTTATTTTGTATATATTAGTTAAAAATAATAAATAAACCATAACGCTTTATTATTTATTTTATTAAAAAAATAATAATTTAAGATTTTATGATAATTCATCTTTAATTTATGTAATATTGTTAAAAATTTATAGTGATAATAAATTTCATCTTAGATTTCTAAGATAAATTAGTATTTGTAAATACACTTTTAACATTTTTGAAGAAAGATATTTGCAAAAATTTAATTAGAGTTTAATAGGCAAAGTATAAAAGGTATAAATAAGATGAATCAAATTTTAAGATTTAGCCAACTTGCATATAGAAAATAAGTAAACAATAGGATAAACTTGATTTGCAATATCAACAAATTTTTTTCAGTCAGTTAGCAGTCTCCATAATTAATAAATGTTACTAAAATGCAGCTTTAATAATTTGGAATTAATAAATAAACAAAATAATTTAATTCTACAAGAGAATATAATGACTTAGAGAAATATATGATAGTAAAAAGAAAAAGCATTTTAACTATGGGAAGGATCTCAGAGTTGAAAGGCATTGAAGTTTAAAGAATTTTATCATAGTCAAGCTAAAATTTTATGAAAGATTTAGAAAAATATAATCCAATAGACATAATTAACCTATTATTGCTAGATCATTCTGCTTTTAAGCATAACCAAAAGGAATTAGTTAACTACATCACTTTAAAGCTCTAAAATAATAGTCTTAATAGCAAAGAGTATATTTATCTAGTTAGGAGCTCTATGTTTTGCTTAAACAATAAAAGTTGTGAATAGCAATTAACAATGCACATTAATAATATTTTATAAAAATCTAGTGAATTTATGAAATTATCTCCTTACACTGCATGCTAATTACTTATAATCTACTATTAATAAATTAAAAAATAATACAAGCTATTTGACAAAGAAAACAATTTTTTAATTAAATCATAATAGCAATAAGTTAAAATAGAATAACAATTTAGATAATAATACATGATGGAAAATTAAATAGGTTCAGATAAGCTTTTATATGAGGTTATAATAGAAAATACTTTAGCAATGAACTATTCAAATGAATAGTTACTAGATTTAATTTCAGAATTAGTGTATATAGGAAAATTTTAAAGATAAGATTTGTTGCTAAAGATTTTCAATGCCCTTGATTTAAATTAAATCAATTTGTAATAACTAATTCAGCTTTTTATTAATACAACTTCTAAAAACGTTAATGTTGATGATAAAATTTATAATGTATTCTTACAAAAGGTAAAAAACAATATTTAAATTAATGAAAACCAACAAAAAAGTTAATTATAAGAAAATCAATAGAAAAAAGCAAACTATTCTTACATATAGTCAAATCAAGATGTATTAAAGTTTATTTAAGGAGATGAACAAAATAAAAGTCCCACTTTGCTATTTCAAGATGAAATAGAAGAAACAAACCCTCCACTTAATCCTTAAGCTAAAGTTGATGTCTTATGGATTTTAATCAGAAATTACAGCAATAAAAATGAGGAACTGTATGAATCTTTATTTAAAAGCATAAATTAAGATATCCAGTAATTATAAATAAGACATTTGCTATCTCTTTTGTAATGCTTTATCGGATATCAAATGAATAAAAATATAGAATATGTCTATAATGAAAATAGTAATTTTAAATTCAATCCAAGCTAAAATTTAATAGACTTACCTTTAGTTGTGAAAATGCTTATTTCAAGAATGCAGATGACTAAGCAACCCCTCTCTGAAAAGCAAAATTGCTCATTATATTTAAACTTAATTTACCTGATAAATACAAAATAAATAAGCTAAAACTATTTCAAACCCTCCTTCTTAGCTGATTTATACTCTTTTTATAAAAAATATGCAATAGCAAACGATAACCCTTCTAAAACAGAAGATAAATTTATGGCTGTTTTTTAAAAGCTTCAAAAAGAAAACCTCATACAAGATTAAATCTAAAGAGGAGTCTTAATAGATGACATCTATATTGTTGACTTTTTGATTGGTGAGAAAACTATCATTGAAGTAAACGGAGATATTCATCACAATTAATAGACTAAATCACAAATTAGATAAAACTTTCTATAAAAATTATTCTATTTAAAAATCTAAAACTACTAAGTTATAATAATAGACTCAAATGAATATTTACCAATTATTAATGACTCATAAAAGTTTGAAGATTTAGTCACTAAGATTTTGAAAAATAAATAAATAATTTCTAAAGTTTGAAACTTTTACCATCTTCAATTTACTACAAAAAAATAAACAATTAACACTCTTTTCAAATTCAAAAGAATTATAAAAATTTGTTATTTTTATTTAATTTTTTAAATAAGTAAGAATTTAAAAAGAACTTATTGTAAATCTAACCTACTTCTTTTAATATGTAAACTAATTTTAAAAAATGTATTTAAATTAAAATAACTCTTTTTTAAAAAGCTTTATTTGAAGATTATTTAATAAAATCTTATTTTTACCAAAATTTAAAACAAAAATGCAAAAAAAATATTTTAAAATATGAGTAAAATTTGTTTGTATTAAATTGAAATTTACAAAATAGAATACAAAACTATAACATTTATTACTAAATAGCATATTATTAAGGTTGATTTCAAGTAATTTAATGATCATTCATCTTTTTTAAATTGAGGTTGAATTACTTTTGTATTATTTTTTAGCTTTAATAATTTTTACTAAATTTAATATTCAAAATTGTTATTATTTTATTGTTTATAAAATTTAAATTTTTTATTTTATTTTACTAAATTGGTATTTTTTAAAAAGAGTAATATTCAGTAAATAAATACAAAATATCATCTAAATAAAAGAAAGCATAATTGTTGAAGAAAAATTTATTTTTAAATTAGTTTAATTAAATTTTTTAAATTAATTGAGCAATTTTTAACATTAACTATTTTTATTTATTTTTTTCATTTCAATATTTTTATAATTAAATCATTTTTTAAATATAATTTCAATAATACTTCTTATCTGTAAAAAAATCAATCATTTTAATATTAGATATCTGCATTGGGCAGAATTTTATAAGTTTTGACAAAAGAAGATCTATTTTGGTCGAATTATCTATACTATCAATATATTTTAAAAAATTTATTGGGTGTAACTCGCTGTTAGTTTCAAAATATTCTTCTAATAACATTTTTTCTTAAACAGGGCTATCAAAAATATACTAAATATTAATAACTAAAAGCAAGTATATACAATAACGTCTAAACCTATTTTTTTCAGTATCTGTGTTCTATTCTGATAATTAAAATGAAATGCTAAATAATAACTCTAAGATTATACAAAAAGGTTAAATTAAATCTTTTAAGCTTGCGAATTGCTTGCTTTCGTCAGATATCATATCTCTTAGAGCCTGCTATTTTATATCATTTTCTAAATCTATTCCATTACGATAGACTAAAAGTTTATTTTCCCAACTTTTCAAATCATTAAGTAACATAGATTATATTTTTTTAGAGTTTTCTTATTTTTAGAAATCTAGACTAATTTTATCAAAATATTGTATAGCACTATTTATAATAAAAACTATCAGTTTACTTAGTATAAAATTTAACAAACACTGAGTGCTGTATCCAAGTCTAAATTCAGCCAATTTATTTAAAATTTCACCTAGCAGTGAATATTTATAAACTGTCACTTTCAATTGATTAACTTCGAATGAAAAATCTTTCTAAATTTAAAAAAAATAAATTATTTTAATTAGTTTATTAGTTTTTAATTTTATTTTGTAAAAATTGCTATGACTTACTTGAAAATCAAAAGAGAATAAATGCAAAATAGATGATTTAATCTAACTGCATAGCTAAATTATATCTTAGTTGCTTGGATCAAGTTCATTTTTTGTAACAGAAAGTGTTATAGGAGAGGTCACAGGCTAAATGACTTCAAAATCAGATAAAATATTTGGGGTTAAAACATCTTCGTAAGAAAATCTTTTAGGATTTAGATGCTCTAAAAATGAAATACTTTATCTTGATTAACTAAAATTATTAGGTTAGATATAAATTTTATTTGGATCTAGGTTTTTAGAAACCTGTTTTACTAGATCTTCCTATTTCTTTTTATCAAAATGAGTTAAATTATTAATAGGATAAATACTCTAAATGTTAGGGGAATCATCTTCAGGTATATCTTCATAAATAGAAGAATAGGATATCTAAATTTAGAAATTTGGATTTAATTATGAGCTTCTTGTTTCAAGTTTATTATTTGAACCATTGTTACTAATAGGCTTCTAATCGGTGATTTATTTTTAGCCAACTTAATTTGATTAATCTTAGAACAATTTTCTTTAATCAGAATGGGCATGATCAATATCATCTTATAGGCTGACATTTATTCCTTTATCTACTATGTTGTTATCCAAATTACTATAAAAAATAAAAGAAACTTTTTAATCTTCTTCTTTCATTTGCTTTTCAATCAATGAGAGATTGAATAATTCTTTAAACTAGATTCTTTTATTAATATCAAAAACTAAAACTTTTTAAAAAAAATCATCTAGCTCCAAATCAATCATGTTTAAATATGCATCATTCCCTTTAAAATATCTACGTATATTAAAATAAGGGTCTGTGTGTTCTTTAATTATCTTAAGAAGATTTTATTTGCTATAGAAAGGAAGTCTACGAAAAATCATATAAAAAAGCACAATACCCAAGCTCCATAAATCGCTTTTATAAGTTACCTATCTTCTTTCAAGTACTTCAGGGGCCATATAAAAGCTTGTCCCACAGTAGCTTTTATTTTAAAAAAATTGTATTGTATAATTTATCAAAATATTAAATATCTTTTAGTGCAATAAAATTAAAATTCTTTATTGATAGTTTGTTTAAAAAATACTGAATTAATTTACGATTAAAATTAATTAGTCTATATCAATCTTGATAAAGTATTTTTTTTTGAAGGGCTAGAAAAATAATAATACAGTTATTTCATATTCTCTTTGAATTAGTTTATTAAAATACCTATTTTTCTCAATTGTTTTTGGCATTTTAAAATTATTCTATGATTGATTTAATTGATATTTCAAAAAAAAAATTGACATTTTTTAAGATTAATTAAAATAAAAATTTAATCCAAAATCAAAAATCTTTTTTATTTACTCAATCAATCTTCTATAAAATTTAATGTTTACTTGTAATTTGAATTAAGAATTTTTTATTTTACTCACTTCATCATAGTTTTATTAAAAGCAAAGTAAATTATGAATAACTTTAAATTTTTACTATTTAAAATGCATTTAGAATTGTTAGATAAAATATTCTATTAATTCCCTTTAATCAAGAATAAGTTTTTTTTTCTAGATTTTAAATAAATTCATGGCATTACACGAAATCATCTTATTCAAATTAAGCTAATCCAAAATCAGCAATTTTTAGAACTCCGTCATGAAGAAACATATTTTCAGGCTTAAGATCCCTATGCAATATGCCCTTTTCGTGAATATGCTTTACTCCTGCTAAAATTTATATAAATAAATCAACACACTCTTCTACTTTTGGCTTTTTTTTAGAAATATAGCTTAGTAATGTTCCCTGATTGCAGTATTCTAATACTAAAAATATGACACTTGTTGTTTAAAAGGTCTCATATATTTTTACTATATTTTTATGGTTCATTTTTTTCATCAAGTTTATTTCATTTGAAACAAACCTCTCTATGTTTCTTTGCTTGATCATGTGAAGATCAAGGAGCTTTAAAGCATATATTTTTCCATTTTTCTTAGCTTTAAATACCTATCCAAATGATCCTTTCCCTAATATTTCAAATATCTCATACCCATTGATTATTGTGGATGAGCTATTTTAATTTCTTTTTTTTTATTCATCCGAATTTTCTTGATTCATTTTATATGCACAATAACTAACTTTATTTCTACTTAGTGGTTTTTAAAAAAAAATTGATATTTATTGCTTAATTTTTTAATTAAAATCAAAAAAAAATATTTGCTTATAAATTATTAACACATTCTATCGATTCAAGAAAAAATTAATAAATAATTTTGAATTAAATCATGATTTCTGTAAAACAAATTTTATGTAAATTTATTTATGAGATATTTTTTTATAAAAATAAGAGAAAATCATAGAAAAAATATAATCTTTTTGAGTCAATCAATCATATTTTTTGCATCATTAATTATCAGTAGATTTATTGTATCAATTGTGTTATTATTATTTTTTTACTACTTTCTAGAAAAATGCTACATAATAATCATTTGTGTAAATCGAAATAATTTCTTAGGAGAATGAAAAAAAATTATATTTGGATTAAAAAAATTTAATTTTAAAAGATATTTTCACCATTTTACTTAAGAATTTTGTTTTTAGTAAATTAGATTTTATATTATTCAACCAATAGCACTTAATTTACTTCTTTTAAAATAAACTTTTTAGACAAAATTTGTTTAATTTTTTAGTTAAGATATTAATATTTTTTAATATTTATTTAATTAATTAGAATTTAGGTAGTAAAAAATGGAAATCTCTCGTGAAAAATTAAATGAAAAGCTAGCTTCTTTTGATAAATTAGTAGAAGTAGAAATAAATTTGATTACTTCTGGTGAGAAGGTTACAAAACCTACATAATAAACACCAGAATATTTAAGTTTAAGGTAAGAATTAGAAAAAGTAGTTGAAGATATATCTAAAACAGGTGAACCCTCCCCTTATGATTGGAAGTGTCTTAGAAGTTTTATTATTGTAATGGCCAGAGATGTTTTGAATTAAATGTATAGCGCTTTCCCAGATATGAAATCAAACTAAGGCGAATCATTTGAAGAAGAATTAGATGTTATCTTGCAATTTATTTCTGGTTTTGAATCAAAGTAATATATAAATATACTGTTAAAATGTAAGAATGAAATTTTATTTTTTAAAAAATTTCTAATAGACCACCTTTCACACTACAAAGAATATGTGAACTACTTATAAATCCTAAGAAGAATTACAAAAGCTCTAAAAAAATATTATTTGCTTTAGAAAAAGTAAATATTTTTTTAAGTTATTTTATTTTAGTTTTACCACTGATATTTACTAATATATATTTTATCTTATATACAATTAGTTAGTAAATGTTACTGCTAATTGAAATCAGGTTTTAAGATGGCAAAAAAAAGGCTTCTTTAAGTATTAAATATTTTAATTTAAGGTGCTCTTAGTTGAAATTAATAGAAAAAAAATGTATTTATAAATATTTTAAAACAAATATCATTTAAATGTCAATTGAGTAGAATTAGTTTGCATATTAATATTAAGAAATATAATTTATAAAGTCAATAAAATAAAATTTATTTCACTAATTTAAATTTTTAAAATCTTTTCATATCTGGGTAATACTTTACAAAATTGGATCATCCTCACTCACTGATTGATAATTTATAATATTTATAATTTAGAAATCTCATATTAGCTTCTCAAATATATCAAAATACATTTTTTTTTAATTTTGTATAATAATCAGATGTTAAAAAAGGAATATTTTAATATCATTATTTTAGTTTTTAAGAAAATTAGTAATAAAATAATTAAATTTAAAATAAATAATAATTAAATAAAGCATACTTTTTAAGTTAGAAGATTTTAAAAAGAAATTTATTTATTTTCAATGATTGACTTTAGCACATTAATGAATTTTTTAATATTTTTTACAAGAATATCTTTTAATTAAAATTTTTCCAATTTATCATTTTAAATTAATTAAAATTTTTAAAAATATTTTGTAAAGTTTATCACTGAAAAAAAAGCAATAAAAATAAGTGCAATTTAAACTTTATCTGTTATTTATTATATTTATAAAAATATTCAAAATCAATCATATATAGTGAATCTCAACGATATAAAATTGAGGATATAAAACAATGTAGATTTGATAAACTTTTTATAGATTTAATTATTTTTTTATATAAAAACATAGGTAATAAAAAGATTAAACTAAGTATTAAACAATTAGCAAATCCTTATTTTTTATGATTAATCAAAATTTTTGCTAAAGCAGGAATAATAATAAACAAATTCATTTTTTAATATTTCTAAAAATTTTTGAAAATATTTTTGGAGTGATATAATATTGCAATAGTATTAAGTATTCATTCATAAAAATGATATGATACATTTTCTCATATAAATTACATTTTGGGAGCAAAAATATCTTAATGATAAATTAATGGTATTTTTTCTTTAAAATTTTTTAGAATGTAATTTCATGAAATACTAGCAGCCATTCAATTTGCAACTTTGAATTTAAGTAATCAAAATAAAATTAATTAAATTAATACTTTCATCAAACAATTAATAAATAATAATTGCGCTAAATATTTTCATTATACAATTATACAAATAATATATTTAGGAACATTTAATACTGTAAATTATAATAGATATAGCTTATAAACCTTTACTGATGCTTTAGACTTTATCAAATTGCTACGAAATATGTTACAATCCATTAAATAACTCAAAATCAAAATAGCTTTATTCAATTCCAAGAGGATAGCGTTTTCATGACACCAAGATTAAGTAATTAATTTTAGATTTTGAAGTAAATTTAAAAAATTTATTCTTTTTTCATAGCTGTGATAAGTACTATAATCTACCAGAAATAAAAAATAATAGAGCAACAAGTTTTGGATATGGTACAAAAACTGATTTTAGTAAACTTGCTCCTATTACTCCTGGATCAGTTTACAAAATTAATACTATGTTTGATACTAAGCATGGATATTCTTTTAAATTAAATAGAGAGGTAAACATTAAAAAAATAAAAGCTTAGACTTGATAAATCAAATTTGAATTTTAAATAGCAAGTAAAATGCGGTGCTATACCGATTGGAAATAAAAATCCTTCTCCTTAGCATTATCGTGCCGAAAAGAGCTATTTAAGTAATATTTCTTACACAATGAGGGCATTAACTCCAAAATCAGGTTAAAATATTTTAAACTTCAAAAAGCAATTAAAAAATTTTTTAATTTTAGATGAAAAGAATACAAATAGATTCTCACCTGGACCTGGTAAGTATAACGATTAGCTAGCATTAAGTCCCTAAGGTAGATACTTTAATGCAAAATATAGGTAAATTTATTTTAAATTTGATTCTTAAAAATATCTAAATGTAAAACATCCATATAAATTTATATTAAAATCAAATAAATATATTATTAGAGATACGAAATATGGAGGACTTATTAATCCTGAACAGAAACTAAGTTAAACAAGATTAACACCTGGTAATTTATACATTACTTTAAATACTTACTTTATTAAAATTATAATATTCTACAAATAAAGGCCCAGGCTAGTATTAAGATAAGGATACCCTCTCTCCTGATGGACTATACAGAAATTCTAAATACTTAAGCTAATCTAGAACCAAATTTGCAACCACACCCCGTAAACCAATTAGAAATATTTCTTATGGACCTGGCCCTGGTGGGTATAAACTGCCAAGTGATTTTGGGTAGTACGGTTCTAGCAGAGCATATAGCGGTGCAAATCTATCTTTTGAAAAGTCTAGAAGGGGTTCTATTAAACACAATTCTTCTTTTTTAGGGGATGACTTTATGAAAAGAAGCAGGTCTAATTTGAAAAAATCATTGACTCAAAATTTCTATACTTCATCTCTAGAAAACAGCTTTATTAAGTAAGAGTAAATATAAATTTCAGATAAAAAGTAAGGAAATAGAAAAAATTACCACACTATAAAAAAAGTAGTCATTTGAATTATTATCATAAATTTTTGGTATGTATCATTCATTTTTTGTAAATAAGCTACTAATAAATAATATAAATCAAATAAATAAATAATACTGAAGAAATATATGAATTTTATATTTTTTACTGAGTTTTCATATAAAATATTAAATTCTTAAATAACTTTTTTGTAAAACACACTCTCTGCAAAAAATAGAATTTATTGTGAATCAATTTTTATTTTGTATTATTAATTAAATTTATATTTTAAAAAGATTTTTCATGATTTTTTTATTAACTTTCTATATTTTGCTTAGATTATCATTAATTAATAACTTCTAATCAGTTATCAAGCAAGGTATGTATATGGTACCTTTATAATAAATTATTACAAAGATATCATTTAGTTTAATAATATTTAAATTTAATGGAAAATATTATCATTCAAAAAAAAATTGATTAAATTAAAGAAGAACATAGAAAAATGGCTCTTAATCTAATAGTTTCTTTTAAAACGTTTAAATTATACAAATTATTATATTTTTGGAGGGTATGAAATAGTTTGAGAAGGAATATATTATCATTTAGAACAAGGAAAAAAGAAAATAGCATAATTTTTCGTTAAATTATATTCTGTTTTCATTAAAATAATTAAGAATTAATATCGTATAAATTAATTATAAATTAAAATAAAGACATTAAATTTAATGAAATATTTATTTTCAAATTAAAAAAAAAAATTAAAACTCATTGATATTAAATATATTTGAAGCTAGTAAATTGAATGAGCTTAAATTTTTTACAATATTTATAAATACCTTTCAAAAATAAATCTCTTAATTTTTATTTTTGATGAACAAAACCAAGCTATTATATTGATTTATATAATTTTATTTTAAAAGAAATATTCCAAAATATTTTTAATCAATTTTTTTTTTTAATTTATTATTTTTTATTCATAAAATGACTAGGTTAGTAAAAAATTTGCAGGGTTTAAGTATTTATTATAAATATTTTTAATTTTAATTTAACTTTTTGAGGATGTGTAATAACTTAAATTTATTCTTTCTAATTTAAAATAAATAAATATTTTAAATTAATAAAATAGTTTATCAAAACAAGTCTAGATTTACACTTGAATAAAGCAGAAATAAATTTAGAATATTTTATTAGAAATTATTGGTTAATATATCTATCTGTCTTTTAAAAATAGGTAAAGATAAAATCTAATTTCGAAATAACTTAGAAAATATATTGAAGCTAAATTCAAATTAATTAAGCTCACATAAAAATAATAGATATGATTAAAAATTTATAAAAATTATATTTTGCAACAATTAATAGCTCGAAATTTAATAAAATGGAAGCAAAACATAGATTTTTTGATATAGCAGCAAATTTAGCAGATCACACTTTTAAAGGTCACTATTATGAGAAGAAGGTTCACGATGAAGATGTTGACGAAGTAATACAACGTGCAGCCTCTATTGGTTGTGATCGTCTTTTGATTGTAGGAGGATATATCGAAGATTCTATTGAGAGCTATAAAATTTGTTAAAAATCTAATAAATTTTACTGCACAGTTGGAGTTCACCCCTGCAGAGCAAACGAAGTAGAAGCTAATGGAAGAACATAAGAAGACTACTTTAAAGAACTAGATGAATTAATTTCTAAGCATAAAGATAAATGTGTAGCTGTAGGAGAATGTGGCTTAGATTATGATAGGTAATTTTAAATGACAAATTTAATAAAATATAAAAAGTTTTTATTAAAATGAATAAAAAGAATAAAATTTATTTTAATTATATTAGTTAGTGCATTTATTTATTGATTTTTTTTTTAATATAATTTTAGATTTGATTACGCAAGCAAAGAAACATAATTAAAGCATTTCGAACCTCATTTTAATTTAGCTGAAAAATATAATTTACCTATGTATTTACATAATCGTAATACAGGAAATGATTTCTTTGATATTGTTAGAAGAAATAGAAAAAGATTCCCTACAGGAGTAGTTCACTCTTTTACAGGAACTGAAGAGGAATTAAAATAAATTTTAGAATTAGATTTATATGTTGGCATAAATGGTTGTTCCCTTCGTGACGAAGCAAGTTTAGAAATTGTTAAAAAAATACCACTTGATAAGATCTAAATTGAAACAGATGCTCCTTATTGTGAAATTAGAAACACTCACCCTGGAAGAAAGTTTGTAAAAACAGTTTTTGAATAAAAGAAAAAGGAAAAATTTGTAAAGGGATTTATGGTTAAAGGTAGAAATGAACCATGCTAAATTATTTAAGTTTTAGAAGTTCTTGCAGGTGTATTAGGTAAAGATGAAAAAGAATTATCTGAAATTTGCTATAAAAATACACTTAAAATGTTTAATTTAAAAGATGAGTGAATAAAATAATAACCTTAAATAAATAAATTATTTTGCTTATTTGTAAAATTTTTATATTTTATCTAAAAGGTAATTCTATTTTTTTTTTTTTAAAGTTTATATTTTAAGTTATAAAATTTAAAGTTTAAAAAACTAAGTTAATTAATAATAAAAAGTTTATTAATTTATATTTTCAATATTTTAAATTAATAATATTGGTAACTAAATCCTTTTGTTTCAAATAAAATAATTAAAAATTAATATACCTAAACCTATTTTATTGAAAACGACTTATTTTGGCCAATTTAAAAATTTAGAAAAATATGGATTTTTTGGTTATTCTAAAATATAAATTCAGCAAAGAAACAATTTTTTATTGATATTATAGTTTATAATTTATTTGAAATTAAAAAAAATGAAAATAAAAATTGTAAAGAGCAAGGAATGGAGTAAAGTTTTAGTAAAAAATAAAAGTAATACAAATAAATTAGACCTTAAATTAATAACATAATAGCATTATATAAATATTTGATTATAAATATTAAAGCTAATTTATTTAATTTATACAACGCTTTTTTTTTGCTTTTAAATACCTAAATATTTTTTCTCACAAGTTGTCTTTTTTTTCTTATTCTTATTTCTTTTTTCTTTCTTCAAGGTAATCCTTTGATACAGAAGAATTAATGTTGAGCTTAATGCTAGAGTGATTAAGATATTTTTGAGCTAACTTATCAGCGACTTCTTAAGTAATAGCAGTGTGTAGGAATGAGAATTCAACTTCAGGTACTTTTTTACCAACATTATCGAGTTCAACAAAGATACTATTGACGTCTTCATCGTTAACTTCACTTTGGCCTACATCAAGGTCTAATCTCTTCAAGTTAGGAAGCTTTTAGACACCCTTTAAGATTTGATTAATACCATATTCAAGTAGATTATTGAAGTTAAAGTTAAGTTCAAGTTCTTCAACACCCTTTAAGGCATCAAACATTTCATTAACCTTGATAGCATTAGGATCTCCCAAAGAGTTTTCATAGAAATTCAAACGTACTCTCTTAAGTTTGGTCAAACGAGAGTAAACAAGCTTGAGATCTTGAATACCAAGAGGACCGATTTTGTTAACACCGCAGTGAATGTATAACTCTTCTAAGTTGACAAGAGCTTAAAGACCTTCAGTGATATGCTTGAAACCTGTGTATCCAAAGTTCTTAGTAGCAACATTAATATGTAAAGTTTTTAAGTTAACTAAATTCTTAAGAGCTTCACCAACATATTGACCACCTTCATTCTAAATGTAGTTGAATTCTAAGTTGAGCTTCAATGATTCTAAGGATGTTAACTTGGTTAAAGCCTTAGAAAGGGATTGAGCACCAGTATCAGTGATATTGTTGAAGAATAAATCTAAGTTTAAGTTCTTTAATTGACCTTATGTTTCTAATCCCTTAGATAAGTAATGAGCACCTTCAGCACCTATATTATTTAATAGAAAGAGGATTAATATTTTTGTTTTCTGTTGTGTTTTTTTTTTTATGTAAAGTTAAGATATTTTATTATAATTAAAATAAGGTCATTCACAGATTTTTTAAATTTAAAGACAACAAATGATTTCTGATATTTTCAACAGAAAAAGATTAATGTTTTCTGATTAAACACGTTGCTTTATTATTACTTTTTTTAATTAAGCAATCAAAGATTTATTGATTATTTTCTATGGGTGTTTTAAAATAAATGAAAAAGTGAATAATTTGCTTTAAAACTAAGTATTTAAGTAAAAAATAATATGAAGTCTGATAGAGAGAAACTCCTATATTTTTAATTTATTACCTATTTTATTGGCATATAAAGAGAGGTAGAGAGAAGTAGTTTTTTCGAGACTAGGTAAGAAACTTTCAAAAATTTTTCCAACATCAGCAGTGAATTCATTAGAAATCAAAATGAGATTGAGAGTGGTAAGCTTTTTCTTTAATTCAGTGAAGCCTTCAACCAAAGCCTTAGCACCTTCATCCTTGATCTTGTTGTGAATAAGAGAGACGGTCAAGGCAGTAAGAGATTTTGATTCTCCTAAGAATGACATACATTAAGTTAAAGTTTCATTGCTAAGTTTCATGGCATCCAAACCAAGATGAAGAGTATGTAGTTTAGGGAGAGCAGCTAAGACAGTACATACATTTAAAGCACCCTTATCACCAATTTCATTGTGAGAGAGAGAAATCTTAATATTTTGAACTGAGTCAAGATAGATAAGACCTTGAGATAAGAATCCCATTTATTCGGCATTGAATTGATTGAGACTCAATTAGAGTTCAAGATGAGTAATTTAGTTACGGTAGGTCTTTAATTCACTTGCAAAGTCTTGACTGGCCTTGTTGTGATTCTTAATGGTACTTTGATAGTCAAATAAGAATTTACCGTTTCCCAAATTCGAAATAGGATGGTGAATTTAAATGTAGTTTTAATAGATGATAACGGCATTAACTAAAACACCAATACCAATTAAACCCCAAATTAAATAGTTCTTATTGGTTTCAGCCTACTTTTTGTTCTTTAAGGCTACGCTAGGTTTAACAGTGCCTGTTGATGTGGTTCCTTCCTTTGTCATTCTTTTTAAAATTGATTAGAAAATTTTTAATATTTTTATTAACTAAAATTTATAAAAATTAATTGATAATTGTTGGTTTTAAATAAAATTTTTTATCTATCAAACAAACAAACAAAGAAGCTTGTATCTTATTTGCTCTGTTTTCAGATTATATCTTTTTAATAGAAAACAGGAAAGATTCGTTTATAAAGATTATCCAAAAAATAAAGAAATTCTTTTGCTACACAAAAAAAATTATAAATTAACACATTAAATATTTCTATAAGAGTTCTATGCACGTTCTAATAAAAGAACTTGATTAATAGAATCTATTAATTGAAATACATTCATATAAAAGAAATAAAGATATTTCTTTTATTGAATGGTATTTAAAATATGTATTTATTAATAGTAACTCATCTTGAATGATGAAGATAAAAACACAAAGCATGTTTAACTTATTTATAGGAAATTAAAATGTTTAGCATTTTAGATAATTTGAAGAAAAAATTTAGAAACATTCATTATAAAAAGTGTAATTAGAGTAAATTTAATATTGCTCGATTTTTTTCAACTCCTTAACTAAAAAATAAGTCCCAATGCAAAGGAAATATATAATCAAAATTTAATTGAGTTTATCTTATAACTATCTTTCTATTTACCTCTAATAAATTAATTTTTACTTTCTTCACATCACACGCGTTCCTTTTTAATTATATTTGTATTTTGATTTATATATTTATTTACATATCCACATTATTTATAAATAGATAGACAATTACTATCCATTGAATAATATTCTTTACAATTAGGTAGGGATATTTTTACTAAATCTATTATTTATCTAGAAATAGGAAATAAAGGTAGTTTTAACCATTAGCAATAAATTCCTTATAATAAATAATTGCTTAATAAAAATCCTATCAAAAATTTCATATAATTAAATTAAATAGAAATAATTAAAAAGTAAAGAATATATTGAATTTTCTATTTTTGATTTTCAAACTGTATTAAAAAAAAAATTTGAAATATTTTACAGCTTTTTTTATAATTTTTTGGACTTCCATATAAATTACTTTTTTTTATGTTATTTTGATTAATCCTAAAAACTTGAAACATATTTTTACTTTAAATTCCTCGTTTTTATAAAGATATTACAATTAATTTACTAGAAAAATTGCATAATTTATCAATTAATTAAGCTAATTAGAATTTTTAAAATGTTGTAAATATAAAAGTAAAAATTAACAAGTGTTGGATTTTAATTAAATATAATTAAATTTGCTTAATGGATTAAATATAATTCTATCTATAAAGAATGATAAAAGCTTTTATTATAAAAAAATAGAAATGGTCAAACTATTGAATTTAAAATTTGTTATATTTATATTTGTTATTTTTTTGAAACAAAGCTTTTTATTTATAAAATGTTGATCATAATTTATATAAAAGAAATTTTTTTTTACTTGTGTTTTAATTAAATATAACTTTTCCCTAAAATGTATGCAAAATATCTTAAAAATGAAAATTCATTTTTAACTGTTTTTTATTTTTCTAAAACTAAATTAAAATCTATCATAAAGAAATAAAAATACAAAAAAATGTTAAATAAGGATTTGACTAAAAATGAATTTTTGGAAGTTTAAAATATTTATTTTGAAATATTCATGTTTTTAAAAAAGTTTTATTTATCATTCATCTTTAGAATTTCAAAAATAAATACTTCTAATTTTCATTCAATACTTTTATTAGTTAAAACAGCTCGTTTATCTTTATCAATATCAAGCTTAATATGTAGAATCAAAAAATAAAGTTAAGAAGCTTTATTTGCATTTTTACAGTAGATTAGAACTTTTAATTTTTAGAAAATTATTTTTATTTTGAAAATCTATTTTTTTAATAAATCAATGAAATCTATTCACAATGTTAAAAATATTTTTACTTCTACTTTTATTAAAACAATTATTTAAACAAAAGATGAAAATATCTAAAAAAAATATGAAAATAGATTGCTTAAAATTAATTAGAAAGCAGCATAATCTTCATTTTTAATCATTTATTTTTGAATAAATACACTTTTAATATTTGTTTTATAAAGATGATAAGGTGAATTCCTAAATAAATAGTGAAAATATTTTAATAATAAAACTTAGTTAATAGAATTATATTAAAAAAAATAATCGGATATTAATGATAAATAATTACTAATATTTACATTAAAATGAATTGATGTTTAAATAATTAATAAGTTGATATTTTATACATAAAATAATTATTTTATATTTAAAAATTAATAATATACAAATTTAAAAATAATATATCACATTTGAAATTATTGTGTTCTGTTTTAATATGCATTAAAATTTGAATCATTTTAGCTCGAGAAGTAATCAAATTCATTGTCAATTGGCCTTTTAACAAAGTAAGCTTTAATAGTCTTGTTTTTGTTTTTGTCTTTGTCTTTGTCTTTGTCTTTGCCTTCGTCTTCGTCTTCGTCTTCATCTTCGTCTTTGTCTTTGTCTTTGTCTTTGTTTTTGTCTTTGTCTTTATCTTTGTCTTTGTCGCTTGAAAGTTAAATTATTTGTGGATTTTCAAATTCATAAACTCCAGTAGAAGCTTCATGAACTAAGTTATAGGTAGCTTCGCTTACCATAACTCTACCACTTTCCCCATTACTTTCCATTTTATTAGCTATAACGACATCAGGACCATATATATCATATCTGACAACACCTGTTCCTACAACTCCACCTATTATACTGCCCTGTAAATCATTTAATATAAATTAATTATTAATTTAATAATAAAATATTTATACAGTATGTATGCCTATTCTCATATCAAGTTCATCAAAGTTAACAATTGATCTCACTTGTTTGATTATTTCTATCATTTCAAACCCCATTCCAATAACTATTTTCATATTAAAAAATATTAAATACAATAATTTTTAATAATGTAATCTAACCATTCATAGCTTCTTTAACAGTGTTTCTATCATTAAGATTAACTAAGCCCATAACAACATAACAGTCTCCGATAGTATATAGCTTGTAAACATTATTTTCTTAGCATTTTTAATCAAATTTTGTAAATAGCTCCCTCAACATGAAGAAGACTTGCTCTGGTTACACACTTGCAGAGTATTTTGTAAACCCTGCTATGTCTGCGTAGAGTATAGTAACCTAATCGAATTTATCAATTAAATTAATTTACTTCGATTAATTTTCCAAGAATTAGTCACGTATATGCTTAGGTAGAAGATATTCAAGTAATTTATTCTAGTCATTCATCTTTTAATCTAAGCTCTTTGTGTGTAAATAGCTTGAAAAATCAAGCTCTAATTGCATAAATGATCTGTAGAGAATATTCAATATTATCGCAGAAGTTAAATAGCAGTATTCCCATTCAAAAATATTATTCACATATGTAAACATGTAATAGTTTAAAATTAAACACAAAGAAATGAATGTCTTCTCTTGAATTCTATTAAATAAATTATTTTAGTAAAAAAAATAAATAGATGAATATCGAATAGTAAAAATGGAGAATAATGAATCGAATCAAAAATATGTTACGTGAAGAATTTAAAGGAAAGAAAGACATAAAAAATGATAATAACTGCAGCGGTTTGAAGATTAATTAGCTATCTATTTGGAAAATATTTTATGTTAAGGTATCCTTCAAAAACTATAGATGTTATTACAGTTGAGTAAATTATGAATATGATAAACTTTAAGTATTTAAGACCTATGCGAGTTATATAGTTTATACCAAAAATAGTGCTAAGTAAGAGCAGAGCACTTGCCATATGCATAAAAAATGTAATATATACACCTTCGTTACTTAAGTAGTCTCTCATCAAATTAGCAATAAGCATTTTAAAAATTTCAAACCCACACAAAAAGGCATTTTTACTTTTTACCATTTGGTAAGATTTTTAAAGCTCAGTGTCATAAAATAATTAAAGATCTAAATTGTATTTTCCTAAAATAATGTCTTGAATATTTACTTTAGAATTTATTTTATGTTGCTGATTTGTTAAGCTAATCGCTTCATTTTTTAATTCTTAGAAATGACTTCTAACTTTTTCAATATCAAGTTCTTAATCTTTAAGAATAGGAGCATGCTCTAGCTAGGGCACTATTTGTATTTCTTCTACTAAATCCTTTATTATCTTTATGTAGGCCAATTATTTCTAAATTTAATAAAAAAAAATTATTTGCAATTAAAAAAATATTACAATAAAGATCAATTTAAATAAATAAATACTTAATTGGCTTCAAATATAGATTATGCATTAGAAGAAACAGAATTAGATCTTATTTCTTAGATATCCTACAAGTCTTTTGGATTATTACTATAAAGATATTTATTATGATATACTTATTCTTCAATATAAATATTTTCTTTGCTTTTAGATGTATTATTGAATGTACTTATAACATTAGAAGAGTTGATTTCAGTTTCTTCTTTTATTTCCCCTTATCTACTATAGTCTAAAGCAGCTATAGAAGTGCCATGATTAGCTTCAGGACTAAATATACTATAATTCTTTTTATTAGGTGATGCCATGTTATAGTAAGGAGAAGAATAAGAGTCACTACTGGAATTTTCGTTATTGATCATCTAAACAGAATTTCTCTATTGCAAAAGCTTTTCACTAAACTTTCTCAATAAATGAATTTCTTTCTTTTTATATTTTTTAAATTTAACTTAATATGTTTTGATATTTCCTTTTCCTTTAGCATTAACTGTTCTTTCAAAAAGAACGATTTAAAAGCCATTTTATTGATGGAATCTTTTTTCATTTAATATTTACAGCTAATTTATTAATTAATTAATTAATTATATAAAATGTTAAAATTTTAGATAAAATTAAAAACTTACTTCAAATTAACAGCTTTCCTTAGCTTGTTCAGAGAGAGTTATAAAATTAGCTTCACCAGTGCTACATACTCTAGAAGCCATATTAACAGTATCCCCAATTAAACTAAATTAGGGTTTATGACCTCCAATAACACCTGCTAGCACTGGACCATAGTGAATTCCAATTTTTATTCCAATCTATTTTTATTATTTACTATAAGTAATTTTTCTAGATGCTTCAAACATTTGATTGGCCATTAGAATACATCTAATTACAGGATGAAAAATATTAAACTTTTTCTAGGATTCATCATATTTTATTCCTTTGATTCCTGTAAAATTTAATATAAAAACAAACTCTCCAAAAAAAGCATATTAAAAAGGGAAATAATTTACCTGCTGCTGCCATATATGTCTTACCAACTGTTTCTATTTTTTATATACCATTTATTGAGCAGGCATTATCATAAAACCTAAACAATTTATCTAATAATTTAATTATATTCGATTGTTCTTCTTAAATGATTAAATCGAAATCACAAATATCACAAAACAAAATAGCTACATCTCCTTAGTCTTCTTAAAACTCTCTTCCTTTTTCATCTATGCTATCAAGAATAAACTTAGGTAGTAATATTGAAAGAACATTGTTTATTTTTTTAGTTTCAATTGATATCTTATTAAAATTTAAAATATAATTAGATTATTTTTAATTTTAAATTATTGTATATTCTTAATATTCTACTCCCCATAATAAATTAATCCAATTTTAAAAATAATTTTAGCATATTAAAATTTTCAAATTAATAAAATTGTAAAAATTAAAAATAATAAAAAGTGAAAAAATACCTTATTTATTCTTTAGAAGTTTTTCCTTTCAATGAAATCATATTCATATTTTTTATAAAAGCATAGAATTTAGAAAGCTAATATGCAAATGAATGTAGTAAATATCAGATATATTTTAAGATAGTTATCATCTGAATTAGATACTTGATAATCATCATAAATAATTAAAAACTTTAAGCAGAAAGAAATGGAAACAGCAAATTAGAGGGAAAAAAAGACTGGAGGCGTTATTTTGACACTATATTGTAAAATTTAACAGTAAAACATTGTTTATAGATTATCGAAAGGATGCCCACTATCGAAAACTATATACGTTAACCTTGTGAGTATTCTAATTATTAAAAGTATTTAGTTTACTTTAAAGAAAAATCTTGTGTAATAAGGGGTAAACATAAATCCCCATGTTAGAAGAAATAGCCCAAAAGAAACTGAATACAGATTAAACCCAAATTAATCTTAATAAAGGTAATTCATGATTTAAGATAAAGCAAGTTCGCATATAAGAGATAAGATAATTGTACTTATTCTGAAAAATCTAAACCATTGCTAAATAATACTTTATGCAAATTTAAGTTCTATTTCTTTTGATGGGAAATGTAAGAATACTTTATCTATTTTTGATGAAATTACACTAACATTTTCTGTATTTAAGTCTTGCAAAATTTAATCTATTTCATTGTCTTTAAATACCATTTTAAAAATTTAGTCAAAAGTGTAGCCTTTAAACTTCATTTTTCTTCTAGCTTCTACTTTATTTTTGTTAATATTTTCTTAGTTTTGTTATTACTGAGGTTTACCTAATTTACGATCAGTACTTGGATTGCTTGGTATATTTTATTCATTTTAAATATTTACAGATTAATTACCTTGATTGCTATTAGTTTCAATTTTACTATTGTGAAGTTCTTTTAAATTTACGTTTTTAGTTATGCTTATTTATCTATTTCTTAGTACTGTTTTATTTTGTAAATTATCATATTCAATGTCATCTAAGCCCAATTTATCAATATATTTATTTGCATTTTATTTTATGACTTTGTTTTTCAGATTGTTTGCATTTAAATTTGAAGTTTATTCTGAGATAAAATAGTTTGCTTTATGAAAAATCTAGTTATCTACTGTTCGCTCGTTAGTATTTTTTTTTGATTAATTATCTTATTCAGTTTATTATTCTTCAGTGAGTTTATTAGATTTATTATCGTTAAAAGCACCAATTGTTAGTTAATTTAATTGGAATGCATTTAAATTACTATAATTGCTATTTTGCTCTCTGTTGATCTGTTAATTATTGCTATAGGAATTATTGTTTTCGTTCTATAATACTTAGGACTCAGATAAGTACTGCTATTGCTATTTACTAAATATATTTACAGGTAAAGTTTACAATAATTTCTAATACTAATTTTCTATTTATTTAAATATCTTTTTAAAAATTTTAGTATCTCTCATCATTCCTACCTCAATAAGTGGGATAAAAGTTCTAAAAAAAAAGTTGGTTACTATAAAATTTAAAACTATAGCTGCTATTAGTAATATAGTTAAATGACTAAAGTAGAATGAAACATCTTGCGCCTCATAATAAACTCCCATGTATATGCAAAGTAATATAAATGGAAATGCTAGATTTGCAATAAATGTTTTGCGAGACTGGCTGAGTATAATCATCACTTTTATATGCACTAAAAAATAAAAAATCATCACAGTAATTAATATGAGCTACTCTTTTTCAATTTAACGTCCATTCAATTCCATTGGAGTACTTTTCATTTAGTACATTAAAATAAATAGAATAAAAGCATCTATAAATGATTAAGGTATTAAATGGAGCAAGAATTTCTTAAAAACGTCCTAAAAGTAAAATTTATTATGAAAGTATTGCTAAATAACTGTAAAGCTATCATATTTATTCTCATAAAGCATTTAGTATTTTCTTATAAAATATAATACAGATTAAAAGAATAAGCTAATAAAGTGAATTAAAATTAAGTCTAAAAAGCTAAGAACTATATCTCCATATGAACAACTCATGAAATTCCAAAAGAAAACGACAAAAAAGATAAAAAATGATCTATAAAAAGTGAAGAATAAAGTCTCTTCAAATAATTCTGCCTCGTGCCTACTCTAAGAAAATATTAATTTACTAATTGCTCCTAACTGAGAAACAGTAATTTATGCTAAGCCGTGCTCAAATTATACAGATTTTAAATTTTAATTTTAATACTGTATAGAAAAATCAGCTCTTTACATCATTTATAAATCATTTAACCCATCTCCAATTGCAAGTGTAAATGTTGAATCTAATTTAATTAATTTAAATTTGAAATTTGTAAAAACTTCCAATAAATAGCTAAATACCTCTTTTAACATTTTTAACCAGTGAGACTAATTCTGCTTTTTAGCTAGGCTTTAAAGAATACCCAATCAAGCTCTCACAAAAGAAACATATGAAAGAAAAATGATCTTTTAAGTACTAATTATTTAATATTTTTTCCAAGCACTATCCATTTACAATAACACAAACTTAAACAGCATTTGGATTTTTTTGATTATTCATCCCTTTCGATTATGAAATATTTGAAACTTTTAAACTTTAACTCTAAAAGCTCAACATTCTGTTATAAACTCTTTATAATGTAGCTAAATTATAACAAATATTGATGAGTTTTTATTTTTTTTAGCATTTCATAAAAATATTTAATTATTAAAAATTATTTTAAATATTTTATAAAAAAATTATCACAAATAAATACTGAACTGATTTGCAATAAATAATAAACTTTTAAAAATCATATTTATTATAAAAAGTGTTCATTTGATTTTTTAGGTATCAGTTAAAATTTAAAAATTTATTTAAAGGCGTGGTTTGTTATGAGTAATTGTTAATTAAGTAATCTCAAAACATTTTATTAAATAATAAAAATTTTTTTAAAAAAAAAATAAAATTACTATTTTGGTATTTTCTGCTTATCGAGGTTGCTTTTTGATCAGTTCTATCAGAGTCTAAAAGCTCTCTTATTGTTTTTAAATTTGATTTCATTAAATTAATTGTTTCTTCTTCTGTTTCAGATTAAAAGTGAAAAATGTCATTTTTAGAAAATTTTTGAAGCATGCCTGTTTCATATGAAGTAGCTAAGGCTCTTTAATAGTCATCACCTGTCAAGAGCCAAGTATTTATATTTGCTTACCTTAAATTCTCAATCAGGCTTTTAGCATTCGGGTTTAAATTTTCTTTAAGAGAAACAAGAGTTAACATATCCATATTTGATAGTTATTCTCTGTACAAAGCTTCAATTTATTTTTCTTTTTCTAAAAAGTTCAAACCTTTTTCTATGCTTATATACTTTTCTATTATTTAAGCTGCTTACAATTCAGTTAGCTATTTTTTACAGAAAAGGACACCTACTTATCCATTCTCAATCATATATTTCAAATGCTTTTCCATTCTTTCTTTTAAGTTTCTTATAGATTTTAAATAGAATGGCACATTAACTAACTCCTCTCTAATTAAAAAAAAAAACAAATAAGTAAAATTAATAAATTTAGCTACTACCTTGTGTATAGAAAATAATTTTTAAATATTCTAACTAAAATAGCTAATCTTGTTCCTCTCTAATTGTAAACAGGTGGAACGACTACTTCATAAATATGAATTTCTTTATTGAGCTTGAAAATATACTCTAAATGATTGGCACCTTTAGCTATGCACTTTAGCCTGCAATCAAACCTTTTAGAAAATTCAACAAATAGCTCATCATATATTGATTAATGATCAGTAATTAATTATGAAATTTCATCATGTAAAACTGATTTAGATACATGGCAAATAGTTAAAGCAATTATTGCTTCTCTTTAAGGTACGAATTTAACTATCTCAGATCTTAATTCTTCATAAAGTCTTTGCTCATCTTTTTGAGGTATTACACTATCAACAGCATATCTCTTGTTAATTTTCCTTAAAGGGGAAATTGAATCATTAGAAGTTTATATTCCTGCTAATTTACTGCTTGTAAAAAAATCACTTTTATCAGTATTGCAAGAAGATTGAAGAATTTCGTTTGTTACTTTTCTGAATCGGTTTAATAATACTATTTAATATATTAAAATATCATATATAAAAATATATGAATTAACTAAGTGTTATTTACATGAATTATTTGAAGTTTGAGGAGATTGATTATTATTATTGTTATATTTTACTTAACTGCTAGCATAGCTTGTTTCTGAAATAGTATCAATGTTATTATAATTTTATGTATTGACTCTAAAAGAGTTAATAATATCTTTATTTAAATCTGGTACTCTTTTTTTTTATCAATTAAATAAAAATATAAGTAATTAAATAAGGAGTTATTTAGTAAATAGGTAAATAAATCATATTAATCCTCATTTTTTAATTCCCAAAAATTGTTTCATATGCTTGTTTGGATACTTGCTCTCCAATTTTTTTTTTTATGTTTTGATTAATGAGGACTAACAACAAGTATGTGAGCAATTATATAAATAAACGTGCAAATAGATAAATAGAAAAATAGGGAACTAAATAAATAATTTTTACGGAGATTGCCTGCTATGTGGTGAGGAGATGTGTTAAAAAGAATTATTTTAGTTAGAAACTTTATCTTAATCAAATAAGTTAATTTAAATTTCAGGATGCTTTAAGTTTTTAAAGCTTTCTGGATTATTTTCTACTGTGTTTAATTCTGAATTAGCCTTGTAGGTATCTATTGATAAAGGAAGATTTTATGCAAAAGATATTTTCCTAACTTTCTTCTGATTTTATTTTACTTCAGTTTAAGAATTTGCTTGAATATTAGCTTAGCTTTTTATTTGATTTGAAGATTTTATTGATTGTTATGAACTCTTTTTGATAGAAATGAGATTAGGAACATTTAATTCGTTTTGGCACTCTTCTTCATTGAAAGCAAAACTAATCTATTCTCTTGCTATTAAATTTTTAGTATCTAACTAAAATGATTGTCTAGATCTCCTTGGGGATTTTTAAAATAAGTTTTTTGGGCTCTACATTTATTGCTCACAATATTTAATGTTTTCTAAATCTATTTTTTTCTTTTTTTCTTTTTATGAACGTAGCTTCTACCTAAGGAAAACACCTTCTTCTCCAACAATATCATTTTGATTATCAGTATACATAGTTGTATAAATGTTTGGATTAGTATTTAAAATGGAGCCTCTATGCGAAATCTAGTTATTTATAAATATACTTGGTTGTACCTCTACTTTTTAAGATGGTTATATTTTGAATCCCAAAAGGTTTCCTATTTATCTATCTAATTTTTTTAAATAAAAATAAATTATTAATTTGTTAAAAATATTTTTTCATATTTAATAAATAAATAGTTTTAAATTTAATTGAAAAAGTTATTGATTTATTATGAAAAATAAATAAGTTAGCATACCATTCTCATTTGAAATTTTGTTATCATCAATCTAAATATTTTTACCACTGTGAATGTGTGCTCCATTTACTGATTTAAATAATGGATCTACATAGTTTTCACTTATAAAGTAAGAGCATTCCTCAAGATAAAGTTTATGAACCATAAAGGATCTTCCTTAAGTTAAAGTGCCTGTTTTATCCAAAAAACAATGAGTAGTGAGTGTAAGATCTGCTAGAGGTTTTGATGAGTTAACTGAATATATGTATGGCTTTTAGGAGATGTCCTTTGATTTATTTTTATTAAGTTCTTAGCTTTGCTTAAGATCTTTTAATGAAGGTATCTTCTCAATCGGAGGAATGTTATTAGTAGGAGAAATAGGTTTATCATAACTAGATTCAGCATTCTCTTTAATAATGAAGTCAACTTTTTATTGAATTTCGCTTTATGCAGATTATTTATTTGTTAAAGATTCTTCATCTTCTTCTTTTATTTCTTAAACTTATTAATCAAGTTCTTACTTTTCTTCATTTTCTTCTTTTTATGCTAAATTTATTTAATTTGAAAAATAGTTTTAAATTTTTATTTATTTAATTTAAAAGACATACATTTATTTTTCTCGTAATATCTATTTTACAAGACAGCGAAAATGAGCGTTTTTAAATCATTAACAAAGTAATAAAATTAAGGAAGAAATAATATGTAATCATACATATAGCTCACACCAATTCTTCCTGTAGATTTATTTCTAAATTCTTTTCCTTCACTGTTAAGTTGAGGTAAGTCAGGAAAGCAAGAGTTAGTAAAATAATTAATAACACTAACAAAAGCTGCAAATAAATAAAAAAAGATAGATATTGCAAAAAGCTTTCCACTTTTTTTTGAAAAGAAACTTGGTTTCTTTAATCTTTTTTGGCTATCCTTTTTGTAGTAATAGCAATCATGACCACAGTAAATCACAATACCTAAAGCCCATTCAGCATATTCAAGGACAGAGCCTCTGTACCCTATGTTTTAGCTTGTTATAATAATACCTTGTGGATCCTTAGATAATTTCATAAAGCCTTCAAATTTTGTTTTATCTCTGACATCAGCTGACACATATTCTATAATTCCGTTTAATATTTTTTTGTAATCAAAATGATGTCCCTTTATCTTCGAAGACTTGGATACTTTATTTAAAAAATAAAACATATAAAAAAAATAAAACATTTTAAAAAACATACTATAAGTGATTGATGGAGGTATAGCTTTTTTCTGAGTAGTTAATCCTTCGTTAAAGGAAGAATTTAAGCAGCAGCTACTATCACTCATTTCTAGTAGAATAACGTCAGCTGCTAAAATTTCATTCTTTCTAATAAATAATATATCACCTATCTTGAATAGAAAAAAACGAATATTAAGAATTAATCCTATCAAAATGTAAATAGAAATAAATTATTTAATTTTTTAATTAATTACTTCTACATCTTTAGCTTTCACTGTTTTATAAATTGAAATATGAGAATTTTGTTTAGCATCTTGCTCAAAGCTAGTTTAATCATCAAATCTTTTTAAAATCTAAACTTCTTGATTGTTTAGGTATTCAGAAAATCTCCATCTCCTTTAGTCAAAGTAGAGTTCCATAGCTAATTAACCAAAGAAGCTTAATAGTATGCTCACTAAAATGAAATAATTGTATTCATCGCTAGTTTATATTGATATAGATTGAGAAATAATATAATTTTATGAATTGCTAGCAAATCAAGCTAAATTTGTATGCCAAAGAAATATTTATTTTACTATTGAAAAGAGACATAAGAAGATTCTATTGAATAATATGGAGAAACTATAAACACTATATAAAAGAAAAACATCAACAAATTTCCAAATCGCTCAAAGTAGCTTCGTGTTATTGCTATTATGAAGTTCTTATACTATTTTTTATTAAAAATGTAAAATTTGTTTGTTGTTGAACCTATTAATTCGCATTTATTCTAGCCAATTAATTTATTTATTTGTAATAATTAAATGTTCTACATTAATAAAATTAAATGATAACTTATTTTTCAGTTAAACTCCTTTCTGAAAACCATTCACTGAAACTGTTTCACCATTCAAAAGTTCAATCTAATTAATTTAAAATTATAAAAAGCCATTATTTTATTTACTCAAACTGCTTTCCAATGCATTTCTTTCCTTTCTTTGAAAGCTGCAAAGTAGAATAATAGTAATAAGAATTATAAAAGCGGCTGATATATAAATATATTTATTACTTCTCTTTGATATTTTTCATTGTTTGCTTTCGTTTGAAATAATTTCTTTATTAAATACTTTTGGTCTGCCGCTTTCGAATTTGTGCTAGTACTTATAATTACTGAGCTAGGTTTTCTTTATAGTGTATGTCCATTCATTATTACCTTAAGCAACTTTAATATATTAACTTATAAAAATTCGAAAAATTTTAATTAATAAATTTTTTTTGTTTTTATTTTGCTGGTTTTGCTGATGTTATTTATCTTCTTTCTTATGATTGATTATTAAAAGCAATTAAATTTACTTAGTTTTTATTATAGAAACCAAGTAAAATGAGCTATTTGCTGTTAATCCATCAACTACATATATACTAAATAATCAAGAAAATAACTAAGATTTTAATTTTACTTAATTATCATTTAATTTTTTATTATGGTCATCTACATTATTAAATGTTCATTATCTTTATTTATTTATTAAAAATATTTATATTATTTATTTAACGAGAGTAAATTTAATTATTCAAAATTGCTTGCCTTTTCTTTTATTATATTTGATAACATGTTTCTTTCTAAATATTACTTTTTTATTTAAAGTTACTAAAAATTGTTCACTGAATAAAATAGCTTATTTGAAATTTTATTATACTTATAAGCATTCATTTTTACCATAAATAAATCTATATTTTACTCAAATTATAGAATTATTTAAATTATTAAAAATTTATTAACTTTAAGCTTAATATTATTATTTAAACGAGATCTAATACTTTTTCTATTTATTGCTATTCTCAGATAATTATTTCTCTAGTAGCAATAATTTCTTACTGAAGAAATAATTATCTGATTATAGCAATATTACCTTTATTAAAATTTATATTTTTATTAAAAAAAATAAACTCTTTCAAAAATTTATAATTTAATAATCGGATGGATGTTTTGAAAGTTGCAAAAATAAAGTAGCAAAATTTGTTAAATTTGATTATAGTTGTTCTTGGTTTTGAAATTCTAAGAGTTTAAGTGATTTTTTTTCATTTTTAAATCAAAATTTATCAGATAGATTTATCTTTATTTTAAAATCAAGCAAAAGTACTTTAATTTAGTGAAAAAAACTTTTTGTTTTAAATTCATAAAATTGTATTAAAATTTTCAAATTGACAAATTAGAAATAAAAACAAGTTCATTTTTCATTCAAATTTATTTGAATGATAAAATCTTATTTTTTAGTTTAGAATATTTTTTTTCGAAAGAGTTCAAAAAAATTTACTTTCTGTAAAATTTTAAAAAAATATTTTTATGAGATGTAAAATTTGTTGATTTATCTAACCCCTAAAAATAGTTTAATTTAAAATAAGATTATTTATTTTTAAAATGAAAAAATAAACATTTAAAATTGGGAAATACATTGAATTTTTTCAAAAAATTACTCTTTTAAAGTTAGATACTTTTAAATTCTATTTAATTTTAATTTGATTAATTTGTTCTTATTTATTTACTAATTTTTTTTTTCGTTTTATTTTTCTAAAATGAAACTCTTATATATAGAAAATTTAGATATTTTAATCATTCAGTTTAAAAGATTAAAAAAATTTTAATTTGAAGTAAGTTAATTGATATCCGATAATCATTTCACTCATAAAATATTATTTTAATTGAACTATTTCTGTTTATCTCTTTTATTCTAAATACCAGATTAAAATTATTTTAAATATAAATGACTAAAGTTTTTAAAGAGCTTAAGAGCTTTAAAGAAAATTTTCAGTACACTGGTTAATAAAATTTACAAACACTATCTATAATTATAAATTAAGAATTTGGAATTCGATAAATGTGCGTTGTGAATAAAAAAATGAATTAAAAAAAGTGAGAAGTTATAATTAGAAAAAAAGTGTTGTTAATAAAATTTTGAACAGACAGACAGACACATAATGTCTATTTTTATTTTCGAATTTCCTCAAAATAAATGAAAAATTAGTAAGCCAAAATTTTCTATTCCTCATAAATAATCTATGGTCGTTAATAAAGAAAATTTTAACCACAAATTGATAATTAAATTGAAGTTACTTTTTTAAAATGAAAATATTACTACATTAATATAATCAATCAATTTAAAATGTATGTGATATTTATCTTCTGTTAATCATAAATATTCAAAATATTAAATTAAAGAAAACAAAAAAATTAAACAAAATTGAGAAAAATAAATGAGTATTTTTAAAAAGTTAGATTTATTTGGAGTTCCATTTTTTTTTGAAATGGGAACAGGAAACGATAGGATGAAAACAACATTTGGCGGTATTCTGACACTGCTCGTAATTGCAATATCTGTCCTATATTTTACTTATCTTAATTATATGTTTATATCAGGGAATATCTAGCCTAAAATAACATCTTAAGAAAAAAAAATTTCAAGCAACTTCAATCTACCAATTACATCTGATTTATTATGGTTTGATATCAAAAATAGTGATACTGATGAAAATTTAATGGTCATATAAAAGAATTTGACTTAATAATTAATATCATATAAGGTTGTCTTGTAGTAAAGTGATTCAAAAGGAAAAAGGATCAATGATATTACTATCCCTGTTAATTTCTGCAGTGGTTTAACTGATTCTCCTTTAGTTAATAAAAATTCTCAATGTCTTGATTTGTCTGGTTTAACAAATTAATTAGCATAATTTTAGGTTTTTGTTGCTTAAGGTTTTAATACGAGAATATACATAGAGTTAGATATTGTTTGCAGTGGAGATATTTAAACATGCCTTTAATCAGAAATGTTTATGGATTATGTTTTTAGCGATGAGGTTTCTTTTGTAATTTCTTTCAAAGAATAATAATTTAACTCAGATAGTAATTAGTTAGATACAAAAGTAGTCGATGTTAGTTGGGATTTAGACTCTACTTTACAAACAACTTCATATATTGGCCTTAAAATATCTTAAACTACAATTCAAAGTGGGTTTTTACTACAGCAATAAAAAAAATACTCTCATTTATCAGATGCAATTAATAATGATTCATACAAAACTCTAGGAAGTGGTAGTAATTAAAAGGCTCTTGCCAGATTTTTTGTTACTCTTAGCGAAACTCAATATATACAGATAATATAATTCTCTCAATATCCTGAAATTTTGGCATAGTTTGCAAGCATTTTTAACGTTCTTTTACTTCTAGGGTTTATTGGAACTGTAATTGCAAAAACAGATATTTACTAATTTTTTATAGATTTTAAGCTTAAATAATACTATAAATTAACAGCGTTGAAAATATTAAAAAAGCAATAAGATAATATTAATCAAAGCGTCAGCTTTTCTAAAGATAGCAAGGAAAATACTAAACGCGATGTAAAGCTTACAAAAGATCAGATAGTTAGAGCCTTAAAAGAGATAGATAAAAAAGATTTAAATTAAGAATTAACAAAGTAGTTTAAAGTTTCATATTTCGAGAGGGCATTTAGAGCTTTTGTTGGAGAGGAGAAATAAGATTATATGAATAAGAAAAGAAGTGATAAAGATATATATGAGGCTCTTTTTTTCTAAGCCTCATAATCTTAAGATGTTTTCTAATTGTAAGAAGAACTGATGAGAATAAAAAAAACATTAGCTCTCATCCTAACCCCATAATAGTATGCTGCTATTAAATGCTGTGGGTCTTGTGTGAGTGATTAGATTCCATTTTTACTTTAGAAAAATAAAAATACTGATAAATCTAGTAAGATCTCAGTAGAACCTGATAAAAGTTAATTAAACGAGTTTAAAGGTATTGGATCATAAGTGGTATTAGAGGAAGATAGAACATTTACTCATATAGAGTTAATAGATAAGATAGATTATGATGATTAGTACTTCCAAAGATAGCTAGAACGTTTTCTAAAAGAATCTGAAGCAGGATTTTCCAACTATGATGAATCTGCAAAAAGAATGAACTCACGTTTATTAGATTGCTTAAATCAAACATACGGAAGTATTAATATTTGAAGAAAATCTCATTGAAAAAATAATAAATTATTAAAATTAAATTAACTGATTGCCCTTATTTTTTACTTTTTATTGATTGATTTTTTTGCTTCTCAACTTTATGCCTTTTAATTATTCTATAAATTATTGAAGTTTACTTAGAATATATTTAATTTAAATCATAAAAAATACTTTTTTAAATTAATAATTTTCATGAAAACATGAAAAATAAAGTAGAAATAATCATAATTAAGTATTATTTATTGACTTTGATTTAATATATATTTAATTGATAAGATGGTATGATAGATTAATTTCGAAAATGTTTTTTTTTTTTAAATATTATTTATAATCATGATTATTAGCATAATAAAGCATCATAAATGTGATAAAGTTATTTTTTACAAATATTTTAAATTTGAGAAATTATTTCTATTGTTTTAATTATGATAAGTACATTTACTTCTTTTGGTTATCAAATCTTTAAAATAATCAACTATAATTAAAAAGTATTAAAAAAAACTATTAAATTAAATTTTCAAAATCAGATGTAAATTCTAAAAAAACTAGATTTATTTGGTTCTCCATTCTATTTTGAAATGGGAACTGGAAATGATAAAATGAAGACTAGCTTTGGTGGATTACTAACTTTAGTAATTGCATGTATATCTCTATCATATTTTGGTTATCTCAATTATATGTATTCGTCAGGTAATATACAACCAAAAATATTTGCTCAACAAAAAAAACTCACAAAAAACTTTAGTCTACCTATTTAATCTCTATAAATTTCATTTGATGTAAGGAATTTAGATACAGATGAAGCTTTAATGAAGAAGTAGCAATAATTAGGTTAACAATTAATTACATACAAAGCCTACCTCTAGTAAAGTGATTCATAAGGAAATAGGATTGATGATATATAAATTCCTACTGACTTCTGTTAGAACTTAACTAATAATGATTAAATGGATCCTACAGCTTAATGTCTGGATTTTTCAATTTTGAAAAAAGATTAAGCTATATTATAAGTATTCGCTACTTATGGATTTGATACAAAGATATATATAGAGATAGATGCTGTTTGTAATGAAGATATTTAAACTTGCTTGTATTCTGATATTTTTGATTAGTATATTTTTGGCGACGAATCTTCTTTTGTAATGTCAGTTAGAGAAGAAGAATTTAACTCCGAATAAAATTAGTTAGATAGCAAAATTGTAGATCTTTCCTGGGATTTAGATCCTTCTTTAATAACAACATCTAAAATTATTCTTTAATCATCATAAACAACTATAACAAGTGGATTTATTTTATAATAATAAACCAAATATATTCATTTATCAGATGCAAGTAGTACCGACTCTTACAAAGCAAGAGATAGTACTTCCAATTCTACCAAAAAAACGATAGCTAGATATTTTATTTCTCTTGGCTCCACCTAATATATATAAACTGTGCAATATGCTTAATATCCTGAAATTTTGGCATAATTTGCTAGTATTCTAAACGTGCTTCTTTTATTTGGAGTTTTAGGTGCAATTATCGCTAAAACTGATATTTATTAATACTTCATAGACTTTAAATTGAAAGAGTATTACAAATTAACAGCTTTCAAAATTCTAAAGCAGTAAAATGAGGGTTTAGATCAAGGTGAAATTGAATCGAAAGAAAATAGTATGCATGATCTGAGGTTGACAAAAGATAAAATTGTTAAATCTTTAAAAGAACTCAATGAAAAAGATTTAAATTAAGAATTAATAAAAAAGTTCAAAGTTTCATTTTTAGAGAGAGCTTTTAGATCATTTGTAGGTGTAGAGAAAGAAGATTATATGAAGAAAAAAAGAAGTAATAGAGATTTATACGAAGCTCTATTTTTCTAAGCTTCTCAATCTCAAGATGTTTTTGAATTATAAGCAGAGCTTATGAGAATAAGAAAAACGTTAGCACTTATCTTAACACCTTAATAGTATGCAGCAATAAAGTGCTGTGGAACTTGTTTGAGCGATTAAATTCCTTTTTTAATTGAAAAAAATAATATTAATCAAAATTAGAACAAGATTTTACCTACAACTGATAAAAATGCTTCAAATTAATTAGGTGAAATAGGGTCTGATATATAATTTATTAATGAAAAAAATTATTCTCATATAGAGTTAATAGATAAAATAGATTATGATGAGTAATATTTTGAAGCATAATTAGATAATTTTTTATAAGAATCTGAAAAAGGATTTATTAATTATGATGAGTCTGCAAAAAGAATGAATATGCGATTATTAGATTGTTTAAATAGAACATATGGAAAATAAGAAAAATTATAATTTTAATGATATATTTCTTTTTGTTTATTTTTTTACTAGTGAAATTGTGTATATATTTTTACATATTTCACAATTTATCATTACGAATCATTACGAATAATGAAATGAAATTATAACAAAATAATATTTCCAAATTATTATTAAATTTTCCTCAAGAAGGAGGGGTAAATAAATATACAAGTGGTATTTATTTGATGATGAAAAGAAATTTGATAATTTATATTAACACAAATAAATATGTTCAAATTTTATTAAAACCCTATTTAATAATATTTTCAATATATAATTATTGCAGTTAATAAATAAATAATGAATTTAAAATAAACCTGATTTAAACTCTTTTTAGTATTTTGAGTATTATTAAAATAATAAAGAGTAAAAATCAATATATGTATGTATTCATTTAAATTCTAAGTTATTTATGCATTCATAAATTAATTAAATTAAAATCAAACAGCAAATTAAAAATAAAACAGACAACTTAAAAATGAGAATTTTAAAAAAAGTAGACTTGTTTGGCTCACCATTCGCTTTTGAAATGGGAACTGGAAACGATAAAATGAAAACTAGTTTTGGTGGTTTACTAACATTAATAATTATTTCAGTTTCTTTACTATATTTTGGATATCTCAATTATATGTTTTTCGAAGGAAATTTTTAACCAAAAATATCTGCTCAACAAAAAAGACTCACAAAAAATTTTAGTTTACCTATTTTACCAGACTTACTATGGTTTGATATAAGAAATCTAGATACAGACGAAACTTTAATGCAGAAATAAAAATTATTAGGATAGTAATTTATTTCCTACAAAGCCTACCTTTAGTAGAGTGATTCAAAAGGAAACAGAGTTAACGATATCTAAATTCCAGTAGATTTCTGTTAGAACTTAATAACAAATAATGATTAGGTTGATCCTAATTCTTAATGCTTAGATTTTTCAAGTTTGAGTAAGGATTAGGCTAAATTTTAAGTATTCGCTGCTTATGGATTCGATACAAAGATATATATAGAGGTAGATGCAGTATGTAGCGGAGATCTGAATACATGTTTGAATTCTGATCTTTTTGATTAATATGTATTTGGAGATAGCGCATCTTTTATTATGACAGTTAAAGAAGAATAATTTGATTCAGATTAAAAGAAACTAGACATTAAATTAGTGGATCTTTCATGGGATTTAGATCCTAGTTTAATATAAACATCTAAGGTTATTCTTTAATCAACATAAACAACTGTTTAAAGTGGTTTTATCTTATAATAGTAAACTAAATATTTACACTTCTCAGATGTGAACAATAATAATAACTCATATAAAACTAGAGATTCAACTTCTACTATAAAAAAATCTATAATTGCTAGATTTTTTATATCTTTAAGCTCAACATAATACATACAAAATATATAATATGCTTAATACCCTGAAATTTTGGCATAATTTGCTAGTATTCTAAATGTGCTTCTTTTGTTTGGAGTTTTAGGTGCAATTATCGCTAAAACTGATATTTATTAATATTTTATAGACTTTAAACTGAAAGAATATTACAAATTAACAGCTTTCAAAATTTTAAGACAGCAAAATGAAGGAATAGATAAAGGTGATATTACATCTAAAGAAAATAATATCCAAGATTTTAAATTAACCAAAGATAACATTGTTAAATCTCTCAAAGAGCTGGATGAAAAAGATTTCAATAAGGAATTAACAAAAAAATTTAAAGTTTCATTTTTAGAGAGAGCTTTTAGATCATTTATAGGTGTAGAGAAAGAAGATTATATGAAGAAAAAAAGAAGTAATAGAGATTTATATGAAGCACTGTTTTTCTAAGCTTCTCAGTCTTAGGATGTATTTGAATTATAAGCGGAAATAATGAGAATAAAAAAAACCTTAGCTCTCATCTTGACTCCTCAACAATATGCAGCAATAAAGTGTTGTGGAACTAGCTTGAATGACTAGATTCCTTTCTTGCTTCAAAAAAGTGACAATGATGATAACAATTCTAATAAGGTGGTGCCTTAAACTGATAAAAACTCTTTAATCGAATTAGGTGAAATCGGGTCATAAGTTTAGCTTGTTAATGAAAAAAATTTTACTCACATAGAACTGATAGATAAAATAGACTATGATGAATAGTATTTTTAGAGGCAATTAGATAGCTTTTTATAAGAATCTGAAAAAGGATTTATAAATTATGATGAATCATCAAAAAGAATGAATACACGTTTATTAGATTGTTTATATAAAACATATGGGTATTATAATAAGTCTTCATAAAGTATTGATTTATAGTGTTGATTTTTTTTAGTTTTTTTATAATGTATTATACTGACAAATAGAAAAATTTATTAATCTTCAATGAATTAACAATGAATTTAGTTTACAATTTTATTAAAAATAAAATAAAAATTTAAAATGATTTTATTTATTTATTAATTAATTTTAATCAACACATTATATCCTCTAGCATTTAAACCCATATGGAAACTCCAATCACCAAGCTAGATTCATCAATAGTAAAGAAAGGAGAATGATGAGGTCTAAGTGCAATAGTCCCATCATTAATTAATGAATTTTAAGGAGCACTTCCTATACAAAAGTAGCAACTAGGTTTTTATAAGCTGAAAAATGAAAAATCTTCACCAGCTAATCCAAAATCCTTTTTTTTAAGGTTTGATTCTCCAACGACCTTTTTTATACTCTCAATTGCAAGCTCGTAACATTTTTAATCATTTATTGTTGCAGGATATAGCTTTTTAAATACCAAATTGATTTTGCAATCATAAGAAATAGCAAATCCATTGCATAATTAATTCAATCTTTCTTCAAATAAACTCTGTGTTTTCTAATTAAATGATCTAACAGTTCCTATTATTAATTTTATATATTTTTATTTTAAAAACTAAATCGTAATTAATTTGTTAATAGTTTTATTTAATGTTATCACCTTCAATTCTACATTTTGATGCTATTACATTAGCTTGAGTTCCTGATTCTATTTTTCCTATTGATATAGTTCCCGTTTCATATGGTGAAAGATTTCTGCTTGTAATTGTTTACATAGCTGTTACTAATTGACATCCAATTACTACTGCATCCTTAGCATCTTGAGGTGTACTAGCATGGCCTCCTAATCCTTCAATATCAATAAAAATTCTATCAGAATTAGCTGTAATTGGACCAGGAACACATCTTACGTAACCAGGATATTCATAGTTAACTAAATGTGCTCCAAAACACATATCCACATTTGGATTTTCTAAAACATGTTCTTCTATCATCTTTTTAGCTCCTGCAAGTCCTTCTTCAGCAGGTTAAAAGCACAGTTTAACAATACCTTTTTATGATTAGTATTAGTTATAATTTAATTAATTATAAATATATATTAAATACTTTTTTACTAAATTTATAGTGAAATAAATTATGTGTATTAAAATGTTTTTTATTACATTCTAAAAAATATCTATTTAAATAATTATCTTTCTTCTAAAAAAATAAAATATATTACCTTTAATTTTACTCTTCCAAGTAGAAATAATCTTAGCAAATCCAAGTAGCATTGCAACATGACCATCATGACCACAAGCATGATGAATACCTGGTTTCTTACTTGCGTGAGGATCTCCGCTATTTTCGTCAACCTTTAAAGCATCCATATCTGCACGAAAAAGAACACAAGGACCAGGTTAATCTCCTCTCAATATACCGACTACTCCTGTAATTCCAACATTTTTGATAATTTCATATCCTAATTATTCTAATTTTTCAGCTATAAATTTTGATGTTTCAAATTCCTCAAATCCTAGCTCAGGATTCTCATGAATATGTCTTCTAATTTAAATAACTTCTTGTTCTATTTCTAATGCTTCTTTTCTTAATTTTATAGAGTCCATTTTTAGTTAATTCTTTCCTTTCTTTTTCTTTTTGAAATGAAATGTTTTTTTAATTTATATGAAATATTACAAAGTAAAAAGATTATTAATTTTTTATTTTTTTAATAAAGATATGAAAACATATTAAATAATTTTATTTAATGGTTAAGCATTTTAATAATCTATAGAATATTTTAAAGAAATTTGTTTGATGAACATTTTAAGTCATTTATAAATCTAAATATTCTCCTTTTCAATTTTATTTGATTACTTTATCATATGAAAAATTCAATGTATGCAAATTAATATAAAACTAAAAGGTAAGCTCTATAAGCTCTATTTAAAATTTAAATGCCACATATCAAATTAGATAGTAACTTTTATTATAAATTAGAATTAAGGTGACTAAATTTATAGATTGAAAATTGTTACAAATGTCTTGAAAAAATTTAATAACATAACTTATCTTTGAATTTATTTCATGTTAAAATAATTTTTTTTTATTTTATTTATTTAAGTGGAACATTCATTATTTTATTACAAAAAATATAAATTGAAAATAATATTAACTGAATATAAATAGCTTCAAAAAAACTTTATCTACATCATTAATTTTTAAAATATTATTATCAAAATTTATTTAATTCTTTGATTTGGGGCATAAAAACTCTTGAGGTCCATTAATACCTTATTAGGTGATAGTTTTTTTAACTTATTCAGTATTTTATAAATATTTTTTAAAGCATCATTAATTAGATAATTGACATTCTTTAAAAAAGTGATATTCAGTCTGACCCTAATTATATTCCTTTATTTACTATGCTAGAATTAATAAGAATGGCCAGCCAAATTCTAAAGCCGAATGTTCATAATTTAAACCCTAAGCTTTTAGTAAAATAAAAATAGTTATATATTTAAATTAATAATAAAAATGTCACTTTTTATTACCTAAATTATATACAATAATTGAATTTTTATTTTATCATCCCTATTTTTCTCATTCAAGCACATTAGAAATATTCTTAAAATATTTTTAAAATTATTTGCCAAATATTTTTAAATTTCTTTTGATGCAAAGCTAAGTTTTTGATATTTGTTGGTAATTCATAGTTATCATCAAAAAGCTATTTATAAATTGGTGTTTCGCTTTTGTTTTTTTAATTTAGAGTGAGTAATCATAAATATAAGCAAATTATCTAAGCATTTTATTACCCTTTATATAATATCTTAGAAGAATAAAATTAAAATATTAACTTATTTTTGATTTTATGTTAAAACAGAAACCTAAAATAGAATTAATTAAATAATAAAAAAAATTTATATAACACTTTTAATATATTATAATAAAATTTCAAATATATATTACAATTTTTTGTAAATAAATCAATAAATCTAAATCATAAATGATATATTATTTAAAACAGTTATGCTAATTTCTACATTTAATTTCTATTCATTTGCCAACTAGTATAAAAATAATTTATAATAAATAATTAAGTTAATGAATGAATTCTGGCTATAATTTGTTTTCTTTAAAGTTAAAAAGTTAGAATGAATATGCGAGTTTAAATTTTATTAAAATCATGGTAAGATTATCTTTCTGATTTTGTTTTAAAATCAATTAAATTAGTGGCTGAAATAACAAAAAAATTAAATTAACAAAAAAGATTAAGTATTAAGTAGAATTAATTTTTAGAGCAAGAAAAAAGATGTCATTTTTTAAAAAACTAGACATATTCGGTACACCATTTGTATTTGAAATGGGAACTGGAAATGAAAAAATGAAAACAACTTTAGGAGGCCTTCTCTCTTTTGCTGTAATAATAATAGCTATGGTTTACTTTGGTTATCTTAACTATATGTATGGAAGTGGAAATTTATAGCCAAAGATATCATCTTAGTAAAAAAGAATTACTAAAGATTTAATTTTTCCTATAGCAAAAAATTTAATATGGTTTGACATATAAAATAGCGATGATGAATCATATTTAATTTACTAGCAATAGCAGCAAAATTTTTAGCTTATTTCCTATACTGTAAGTCTTTAATAAACTGATAGTAATGGATAATTAATATAACCTAATATACATATCCCTACTAATTTCTGCTCTACATTGACTGATGATCCTGAAGTAGATGGAGAGGCTCAGTGTTTAGATTTCTCAGGTCTTCCTTCAGAAGAAGTAGAGTTTAAGGTCTACGCAGGAAAGGGATATGACACAAAAATATTCATTGAGCTAAATGCTATTTGTACTGGAGATGTCATAACATGCTTGAGTTCTAGTGATTTTTAGCAATATGTTTTTGGTGATACTCAAACTTTTTAATTGAATATTAAAGGGAAATAATTCAACTCAGATAATGATAATTTAGAGACAAAAGTGGAAACTCTATCATGGGATTTAGATCAAACTCTATTAACTACATCTAGAATAACTCTACAAACATCTTAAACTTCTATACAGAGTGGCTTTATTGTACAGCAACCCTAAAAGTATCTTCATCTATCAGATGCAAATAGTAATGATTCGTATAAAACAAGAGCTAACAGCTCCAATTAAAATTTAATTGCAAAATTTGTAATTTCTGTTGATTCAATTTAATATGTACAATCAGTGTAGAATGTGTAATATCCTGAGATTTTAGCACAATTTGGAAGTATTCTTAATGTATTACTACTCTTAAGTATATTAGGAGCAATCATTGCAAAAGCAGATATATAACAGTACTTTATTGATTTGAAGCTAAAAGAGTATTACAAATTAACTGCATTAAAAATTTTAAAGCAGTAATCAGAAAATGAAAATTAAAAAGGAAGTTAGTTAAAAGAAACATCTGCTAGTCAATCTAAACTCACTAAAGATGATATTTTACGATCAATAAAAGAGCTGGAAGAAAATGATTTTAATAAAGAGCTGAAGAAAAAGTTTAATGTTTCTTTTTTTGAGAGAGTGGTTCGATCATTGTTGGGAGAATAAAAAGAAGATTACATGAAGAAAAAAAGAGGCAACAAAGATTTATATGAAGCCTTATTTTTCTAAGCTTCTTAATCCCAAGATGTGTTTGAATTATAGACAGAATTGCTGAGAATTAAAAAGATTTTAGCAATTGCCTTAACTCCTTAGTAATACGCAGCTATTAAATGCTGTGGATCTTCATTGAGTGATCAAATTCCATTTTTACTTGAAAGAAGCAATTAGAATGATATAAAAAAAACTCAAATTAAACCTGAAAAAGAACAGCTTGAAAATTTAGAAATAGAGTCTTAGACTGAACTACTAATGTAAAAACAATATACACATATTGAATTAATTGATAAAATAGACTATGATGATTAATATTTCTAGTTGTAGTTAGAAAAATTCTTATAAGATGCTGAAAAGGGGTTTTATAACTAAGATGAGCATGAAAAGAAAATGAACTAACGTTTAATTGATTGCTTAAAAAAAACATATGGCTTTAATAATTGATTAATTTTTATTTTTTGTTAAATCATTTTATAAAGTAAAATTAAGTTTTTTATTTATTTTACTATGAATTTTAGAGAATTTTAACATATTATTATTTCTTTTAAAAAAATAAATATCTTAGAATCATACATAATCCCACATAAATTGAATGTGAATTTATTTCAAAAAATTATTTTATTCTTTTTTAGGAAACTAATTTTATACATTTTTTTAAAATAAAAATAACTTGCTTGTTGTTTAAAAAGCATTGCTATCTTTTATACTTAGGCTTTAGTAGTTAAAGTACTAATAAATTCATTTTTTTTAATTTTGTTACTTCTTCTTATTTTGTAATAATTTTATTCTATCTAAAAGCTAAATATTAAAAATATCTTTCTTTCATCAAATCAGATGGAATTTTCAAAGTTATGTGTAGTAAGTTATATTTTTTAATTTTTAAAAGCATTTATAATTTATAACTTTTTACTGTTTTACTTTCAAGTTTTTGAAATTGTAGATATAATAAATACGTTTTTAGTATTTTAAAGCTAGGTTAGTTTTATTTAATAAAAATAATTTTAAAAATTCCTAAAATTTATAAAACAAACAAAGCTAATTAAAATCTTTTTTACTAGTAAATTTTACTTAGGTTGAGAAATTTAAAACTAAATGTTAATAAATTCTTTATGATTATTTTATTATATTAAGATATTTTCTATGAATATTTTGAAATATAGCTTTAAAAATTTAATAAATAACACAAAGATAAAAAGAAGAATTTGTACTTATTAAATTATTTGAAAAAAATACACAATATTATCAATAATTTCACATCATATCAGTGATATATTTATTATTTTTATTATTAAAAGATAAAAAACTCTAACTAGTATTAATATTTTTGCTTATTTGGAATAAAAGCTATTCTATTTTACTAATAAATGAAATTTTTTAGATTGTTAAGCCAAATAGAGAGGGTTTTAGAATTTTAATATTAATCAGTTTTAGATTTTTAACTAATTTTTTAGATAAATATTATAGTTTCTTATTAAATGAAAATAGAAAATTTGATATAAAAAATAAAATTCTTTAAAATTTAGATAAAGTTATCTTTATCTATTTTATTTTTATTAGATTTATTATATATTTTATAAAAATATTACTTCAAAATAATTTAGTATATAATTTGAAAAAGGAAATAATTTAATAACAATTCTAAAAATTTTTAATTTATAAAAATGTTTACTATGAAATTTATAAAAAAATGTAATTTTGTACAATAAAAAATGTCAAGTAATAATTGTTATTTATCAAATATTAAAAAGGAATAGTAAAAATATTAGCGTGAGAGTAAAAATTTTTAATAATTTTTGATTGATTATTTTTTATTTTTCAAAAGCTATTTATTACACACAGTTCGATTTATTTATTTATTGTCAATTTTTTAATTTTCAGATGTGTAATTTATATTGCTAATAACTATTTTCCTTGTAAAATTCCAAATAGGCTATATTTTTCTTCTTCAATTTTTATTCATTTATCAAAATATTATATAATTTCTATCAATTTATTTATCTATTTATAAATCTATCCTAATATCAACAATATTTCAAACCGCTTTTCATTGCTAAAAATAATTAGATACACCCAATAGTTAGTTTTGAGAAAAGATTAAATTTCATGAGACTTAGTAACTTGTAGAGTCAACTAATAAGGTTACTTATTAAGTACTCATTCAAATACTTCTGTATCTATAAAATATTTTCATTCAATATTGGTATTATTATATTTAACTTATCTTTCGAACCTATTAAAGATCTTTTTATCCTATTTATTAAATTTGTTAATATACATATTGATGTATATTAGTTATTAAAAAATACATCATAAATTATTATGTAATAGTTAATTTTTATTATAAAAATAGTGATCATCAAGCTCTGAGTGTTTATAAAAATATTTTCATAGTTGTTTAGATTTGTATGGAATGTGCAAAGATGCGTAGTGGTTTTGGTTTTGAGGTATAAATTATTAGAAAAGAAAAAAATTAATATTTATTTAAATAAATTTCTAATGTAAACGCATAATTTCATAGATAAAATAACGCTTTCTTATTAAAAAGTAAAATTGTATTCACATTTTTAAAAATGTAATTGAATAGAAATATATAAAATATGTCATCTAGCATTAAAAAAAAGTTACAATTTCTTTATTCTAATAATAATTTTTATTAATATTAGAATCATAAAAATATTGTCTTTACAGTACTAAGTTAGTAATATTTTAATTTCATCAAAGAATAAAATAAAGCCCACAAATTCAAAAAGAATTACAGAATAAATTTTTCCTCTTTTAAAGGAGGATTATTAAGATTAATAATTAGGTGAAAATTGAAACAGGTAAAAATCAAAAAGAAAGACAGACTTCAGTTTATTGATTAAAAAAAAATAGACATACAACGCATATTAATTATAATCTTTTATTCTGAAGAGATTTCTACAAATTAAAAATAAATTTTTTCTTCTACAGCTTACTATAATTAATAAAAAAAAGCGTAATATAAATTTCTAAAAAAGTAGCAATGAGTTGTTTAAAAAGAGTAGATATTTTTGGATCACCATTTCAATTTGAAATGGGAGTAGGAAACAATAAAAGATAAACGAAGTTTGGGGGGTGCATCTCACTTATTGTTATCCTCGCAGCTTTAACTTATTTTGTTTACCTAAATTACAAATTTGGAGCTGGAGAAATTTAACCAAAAATTACATCATAACTTAAGAAAATAACATCTAATTTCTTCTTACCTATTTAGCCAAATTATATATATTTTGACATTTACAACGACGAGACTTCACAGAATTTATAGCAGTGGTAGAAAGCTGAAGGTTAGGAACTGATAACTTTTCATGCTTACATTTTGTAAAGCGATGATAAAGGAAATACTATACCATAAATTAAAATACCTGTAGATTATTGTTCAAATTTAACTAATGATGAAGAAATAGACCTAACATCTTAATGCTTAGATTTTTCCTCTTTAGACAAAAATATTGCTTAATTTAAAACTTTTTCAAAAAATGGATAAGATACTAGAATTTATATTTCTGTAAATGCAGTATGTAGCTCATCATAGGTAAGTGATTGCCTCTATTCATAGATATTTGAAGATAAAGTCTTTAGTTAGGCAAACTCGTTTTCTTTATCTATAAATACAAAGTAATTTAACACAGATACTCAAAGCCTTGTACCAAAATAGCAGAATATTTTCTTCAATTTAGATCCTAGTTTGTTAACAAATTCTTAAGTTAGTATTTAAATTTCTAAAACTAGTATACAATAAGGTTTCCTCATATCTAAAACAACCGATTATACCCATTTATCAGATGCTTCAAGCTAAGAATCATTTAGGTCAAGAGGAGCTACATCTAGTACTTAAAATACTCCCCTAATAGCAGAATTTTACATCAATATGAGTTCTAATTAGCTAATTTAAACTATCCAATATGCACAATACCCAGAAATATTAGCTTAGTTTGTAAGTATCTTAAATGTTCTTTTGCTTTTGGGAATAATTGGCGGTATAGTCTCCAAAACAGATATTCAATAATATTTTATTGACTTAAAACTAAAAGAATATTACAAATAAACTGCATACAAATTTCTAAAGCAAAATTCATAGAATGAAGAAATTTTATTGCATAGCAAACTGAACAAAGAAGATATTATTAAAGCAAATAAATACATAGAAGAAAAGGACTTGAACGAAGAATTATCAAAAAAATTCAAAGTTTCAATATTTCATAGGATTTTTAGGACAATAATAGGTGAAGAAAAAGAAGATTATAATAACAAAAAAAGAAGTGATAAAGATTTATATGAAGCCTTATTTTTCTAAGCTTCTTAATCTTAAGATGTCTTCGAAATTTAATCAGAGCTCTTGAGAATAAGAAAAATTCTAGCAATGTTAATTACCCCATAGTAATATGCAGCTATTAAATGCTGTGGAGCATCAGTAAGTGATTAAATACCCTTCTTACTTGGAAAAAATTAAAATAGTAAAAACAAAATTGCAAATGCTACAGAAAAATCTTCAAAAAATGACGTTCCCGATATTGAATCATAATCTTCATAGCTATTTAATTTATAGTTTAATTAGATAGAACTCATGGATAAAATAGATTATGACGAAGAATACTTTTAATCCTAGTTAGAAAAATTCATAAAAGATTCAGAGAGAGGTTTTGACAACTATGATGAATAAGACAGGAAAGTAAATCAGCGCTTGCTTGATTGCTTAAATAAAACATACAACTGATAAAATTTGTTTTAAATATTATAAATACTGTAATTGTTAAAGTTGCAAGCAAATTTTTTTTATTTTTGTTACTCTTCGAAATATTATTTTAAATTAAAAATTTTCTAAATGTATTATCAATTATTATAATTGATTTTTATTAAAATTCTTAAATATAAATAATTATTTATAATATTTGTTAGATGAAAGATATTAATTAACTAATATTATTTGAAATTTTATTAAAATGAACTCATAAAATTTATGTTTTTAAATAATGAAGAAATTATTTTTTTATTGTTTTTACTTACTGAAAAGTTAATATCAATCAATGAAAATGAATTTCTAAATTAATGATAATAAAATATTTTAATGAAACATATCATTGATTAATAAATTAAAAAAACATAATATTATAGTAAAATAGTAGTAGATCATGCAAGAATTTACTATTTTTATAATAAATAAAAAAAAAATATAGTTAACTTATTTTATTATCAAGTAAGTGTATTTAAAAAGATTTCATAACAAAGCTTTTTAAATAGTTTAAATTTAGAGAAAGAAACATTTTATCGATATATTATTTTCTCATTTCGAAACTTTTAATGTACACACCAAGCTCTTCTGCCTTAAAATTAAAACCGTATACATAAATTTCAACTGTTCAAAGCAATGATTATTTAAAGACATGTAAAATACTTCTCAAATTCTTATTGAATTATTGGTTGATTTGATGTTCTAAAACTATTGAGAATTTTATATTAAACAATAAAAAGAAAATGAAAGATCTAAACATAATCTGTATTTTAACATACAAGAAAATAAATAAGATGACTATACTGATGAATCACAATTTTAGTCTAACGTAGAGGTATTATTTAAATATCATAAAAACAAAGAAAACTTGGCAAGACTTCGCTTACAAACGTCTAATGATGTAAGAATGAAAAAAGCTAATAAATCTAGAGAAAAGATAAATAATAACAAGGATGAACAAGCTGAACTAGAAGAAACAAAATATTTAAAATATAGCAAAAAGGTAAATACAAATAAATTCAGTTGATGTTTTTTGTAGAAATAAAAGAGACTATTAATAACAACAAAAATAGTTTTTAGTATCTATTTCTTTTCTACTGATGTTAAAAACAATAACTACCTAATTTAATTATAGCAATATCAATTTTTTATTAAAGTAAAAAAAGAGTAGTATTTAAGTTGATTTGATTTCCAATCAAAACTGATTCTTTCTTTAAATATTTTCATTTAAAAATTAAGGAATTTAGGATTAAATCAAGAAATAATTAGATTAAGCCGTTATTAATTAAAGATTAATAAAACAAAATGAACTCTCTGCTTTTATTAAGATAACCTTCTACAAAAGCATAGTTTACAGTAAAATAATAAAAAACTTTTTATTTTTATATACACTGTACTACAAATATTAAATTAATTTACTGGAAATAAATAAATAAGTACGTAGTAGAACCTGGGAATAATTCTGAGCTCATAAAAAAAATATTAATGAAACGTTCCTGGATAACAGAAATGAAGTAGAATTCTACTAGTTGGAATTTTAAATGGAAACCTACAAGCAGTGGTCTGCATTACGATGAATTAACGAAAATAGGAACTAAGAAGCAAAGTACTAATCATATATAATTTCATTCTGAAATTTCCTCAAAAGCTAAATTATTTACAAATTTAACTTACTATGCAAAGGTATGCAATCAACTAATATACTTAATTAAGATATAAATTAAAATCCCAAAAAAATAAATTCTATTTTTTTCCTTTTGATGTAATCAATCCCGAGAATGTCTTTGAGTTTTTTTTAGGCTTATTTATATTTAATTAATTTAAAAATGAATAATCTATTTTTTCAAGAAAATTTTATTTCATTTGCATTCATATTTAGATTATTTTATAAATATTTGTAGACAGTTGATGAATAAGCATAATTTATAATTCCTTCTTCCTTTTTGCTAAACTTAGACTCAGAAAGTCTTACAGATGAATTAGATGAATTTTTTGATCTTTTTTTGACTGTATAAAACTCTACAGCATTAGAAAATATATGGCTCCTTAAACCTACTGATACAAATAGAGGAAGAGGTATAAAACTATTTAATAAGCTAGAATAATTCATGACTTATATGCAAGGCTATGGAAAAAATGGCTTAATTAGAGAAAAATTAATAAAATTGGGAGTAATAAACGAAAATGACATCATTCAAAATTATAAATAAAGCCAAGTATATGAACAATACAATACTAAAAACTTGTAAAATAAAAGTAAAAAAATTGCTGGAGGGAAATAGTTAATAATTTAAAAATATCTAGAAAATCCTTTATTAATTACTAATAGAAAATTTGATATGCGTATATGGGTTTTAATTGATTAAGATCTATAATATTATGTATTTAAGTAAAATTAGTTTAGCTTACTTTTTTATAAGTTTTAATTTACATTAAAAATTAGAGAAGGCTACATAAGATTATCATCAGAGATTTACAATCTAGACTCACAAAACTTAAACAATATATTTATACACTTGACCAATAATGCAGTTTAAAAAACATCTTAAAATTATGGAAAATATGAAAATGGCAATATAATTTCCTATAAATAAATGAAAGTAATTTTTTATTATTATTTGAAATCCGTTTATTTGTTAAGTTATGTATTAACTTATTTAGGATATTCTCAGTGAATAAAAACCAAACATAAGCTTTGATTAAATTCTCAACTAAATTAAATAGTGTATTATGTACTCCATGACAGCAGCTGAAAAAAAGCTAACAAAAAGAGTAAATAATAACACGTTTGAAATATTTGGCTATGACTTTATGGTTGATTAGTAAGGTGAAGTATCTTTGATAGAAATTAATTCAAATCCATGTCTTGAAGAATCTAATTAACTATTATCCACTTTAATACCCAGAATGCTGAGTAAATTAACAAACTATCATTAATCAAATTAAAATTTTTATTCATTTACTTAAATAATTAAGATGATGCATTTAGACTTACAATAGATAAGATATTTAGTGCTAGTACTTCATATAGTGAATCTATTTCCAATAAAAGTAAATCCTTATTTTACATTAGTAGTATTGACTATCCTGTTGAAGGCTATAATAGCTATGAAAATTTATGGTAATATTAATTATTTAAGATATTAAAGATTTATAAATATTTATTAAATAAGGGAGCTCATCGGATAATTAATATGATTTATTTTTAATTAATTAATAAACTAATTTTATTGACTATTTATTTTCTCATTAAATATATTTTATACATACTTTTCAAGCACTCTTTTACTTGTTAATCATCTAATAAACTTTTAGTAAGTTAAACTTAAAAAAAGAATTCTAACATATAAATTATTTGTAATATGTAAAATTTGCTTTAAGTTAATATATATTGTATATAATCAGTAATTAACATATGATTAAAATTAAAACATAATCTCAAAAATTGTAAATTTACAAGATCAAAAATTTAAAAAATAAAATATTTTTGAACAGAAAGTTTAAATAAGATATTACAATAACTAAGAATTTAATTATGATAAAATATTTGAAATATAATTTAAAATAATTTATTTATTGTATATTTTTAATCTTTTAAGAAATCTAATATAAAGTGTCTCTTTTCATTGCTAAAATAAAAATTATTTGTCTTAGGATACAATCAATAGAAATTTAATATCTAAACAAATTTTTTATATACTTAAAGAATTACTAAAGTTTTTAATATTTACTGGAAGTTAAAGCTAAAAATTAATTTGAAATGAATAATATTACACATATGACAGATTTTACTAGCGATGCTATTTTAGTTGATGATACTTTCATAGCATCAAATATAATAAAAGAACCTAAATATGTTAGAACTTGGAGAGTAATTTTGAATAATGAAACATTATCAATCGAGATAGATATCAATTTTGATCTCTTCCCTATGGAACAAGACAAAAAATATTAGGTTATTCTCACTCAATCATTTTTACCAGAGTATAAAAAGAGCTTTTCTTATGCCATGTATGGAAAGATATTTAAAATTGATTTAGAATAAGATTAATATTAAAGCATATATATTTCTTATGGAGGTCTTGTTATGAAAATGAGAGGTAAATTAAATGATATGAGCTAAAGCATAAAAAATGAAACTCGTTGCTATATTTTACTAAGATAAATTTGAATAAAAAACTTTCTTAATTGATTTGGAAGTGCTTTTAAAATTATATATAAACTTTTTTTATGTGTACTATGTAAATATTCTATCACAACTGATTAAAAAATTATAAATTAAATTGATTTTAGTCTTTATCTAAAATTATCATTTTGCTTTTATTTTATAATAAGCTTAAAGCTCTTAAAAATTGATAATTAATTATTTTTATTACTTATTTATTGTTCTAATTATATATTGATGTTAAATATTAAAAATTTGTTTTCTAAATACTATATATTAGCTTTTAATGCTTCTAGAATAAACTCTTTTTTTATTAAAAATCTACACATAAAAATCAAAAAAAAATATCGTGTTTTCTTTATTTTGCAGTTATTATTATTATTTTACTATCGTTCCCGCTCAGATTTTTTAGCTAGCTTGCTAATTTTAAGTTTTTAAATTTGAAATTACAAATAATCAAATAATTTTTAATAAAAAAACATAAACCAAAAAACAAAAAATTCACACTTATCTTGAAAAGACTCAAGCTTGTTCGTAAATGTCATTCCTTCAAGTAGACGAAAACCAGTAATTTCTTAAGATAATTATCCTTTAATAAAAAAAAAAGCATTTATATTTTAATATTCTATTTACTAAACTATTTAAGAATTCCGAGCTTTATGAATGAAAGCAAAAAACGTCAGTCTTGTCCTGCTCAAATTTCTGAACTGTCTCATAGATCCTTTGGAAAATCCTCATAAATTTTAGGGGACACTACAAATATGAGAAGAAGTTTTGTAGAAAGTACTTCAAAAAGTTCATTTTTAAGTGAGAAGAAACTTTCAGCAAGTTCACACTTATCTGAGCGTGAATAAGCCAAATCAGAAATCAGATTTTCCAACAAAAATGATAAACTAGAAGAATCTTAACTTAAAAAGAGTAGTTTGAGCAAATAAGATTATTCTATCATCGAAGAAGATTCTTTGTCTTAGAGAAGTGGTATTCTAAGTAAAGAAAGCTCAGTTAGCAAAAGATTAAGTACAAGTAGCATTAAGGAAGAACTAAATGCAAGTAGTTAAAAAAGCGAATAAGCATCTAATGAATAGATAAGTAAAACAAGCTTTTTACCTCAAAACAAACAATCAAGCAGTCCTCTCAAGAAAATAATACTTTTTGTCTTTATTTGTTTTGTTTGCTTTTTAGCAGTAGCTTCTGCAAAAATTTTTATTTTCAAAGTTTAAGGATAGACAAACTCACTTAATAATAGTGAAGAGATCTTCGTTAAGAATAAATATTTTGGTGAATTGACAAGTGAAAAATAACCAACTGAGCTACAGAATTAAATGTAAATTTAACAAAATGGTAAAGATGAAATATAAGAAGTAGTTGGAGAGGAAGCTTAAGAGCAAACATAGATAGATTTAGAATTAAAATAATAAAACGTATATAATACTAAATACTCAGACCAAAATATTTCATAATTGAGTATGTCAAAGTAAGAAATGCTCATACAAGAGGAATCATAGCTATTCTTTAATAACTTGGTCAAGGTAGTACAAACTGAACGCAGAATTCCTTACTAATAATTTGAAGAATACTTATTAGATAGATGCACTCCTGCTATTTTTGACAAAGTAAAAGAAAGAGTAAATAAAAATAATAAATAATTTTTTTTTACAATTTATTAAATTATTTTTTTATAAAAGATCCAAATTCTTGTTGATGAAAGTGTTAGCATAAAAGAAGAGCTAGACATCTCAAATGGCTCACGCTTCTATGTTAGTCTTGAAAAGAATTGAAATAAATGGCAATCTAAGTTTGATCATCTGATATATAAATACTTCACTAATTAATTAATATACATACACATACACTATAGCTTAAAGCTACTTATCTACTTTACTTACAATATTGTTTTATATTTGTTTATAAAATATTCTATATAGCTTTTTTAGAGAGTTTTTCATTAAAGTAAAATTTTTTTTGAGTCTAAAAACTAATTTTTTTTAATCAGTTTTTTATGATTAAATATATATGATATTATATGTAAACAAATATAAAATCAAAAAAATAGTAAACTTTTTTTTTCTTTATCTTTAGTTGTGTTAATTTAAATGCATTTTTGGCATAGATCGTAATCACATTATTTACACCTAAAAGAATACGATTCTGTATTAGAAAAAACTTTTAAACAGTTATTGCATTAAAGCTAATCATAGTCGCTAGGATTGACTGGATTTAATCCATGTCCATTTTTGCATTTAGTTTTTTAAATTATGCTTTCGCAAGAGGCACATATATCAAAGTTACATACTTCGCATCTTTAAGTATGATTTCCACGATCCAAAGCCCTTTTTAGGCATATATCACAAGTGACTGATACTAATCTCTGTCCCGTAAGTTACTATAGTAAATGCCCTGTAGGACATTTGGTAATTTATTTTTTATTTTAATTTAGTAATTCCTCATGGCTATTCATGCTATGGAAAAGCTCAGAAAATTTTTTCTCAGTTGCTCTTATAAAGTTTAAGAAAGAATCTTAAGAAACATATCCTTTTAATATCTCAGCTACTTATTCTTTAGTCACCATATTATTTATTTATTCTTGTTGCTAAACTATTCTTTCTCTCAAAGCTCTAATACAATTATGATCGCTTTTGTTATCAATTATTTCATAATACTCATCACATTCTAAGCATTTTTTAAATCTCTTTGATTTCTTTTAATTAATAACATCTGGGTTATCTGTTTAATCTTGAATATTTTTCTGTAAATCCTCTTTTTCATTTACAATATCCTATTTATTTTTATTGTCCATTTTAAATTTTTTGCTGTTTGTCTTATTAATTTGCTCAATCAATTAGAAAGTTAATTTATCAATTAAATTATTCAACTTTGTGAGTTAGATTGGATTTGATTATTTTTTTTTGTCACCTACAACAAATTTTAAGAACAGTATTGGTAAAATCTAATAAAAAATATTTAATTATATATTATTAATAATATAATAAAGTCATAGCTTTATAATTAAACAAATATTTCTCTATAATAAATAAACAATTGTTTATTCACAAAAACACTATTATCACCTTTTGTAAGTTTAATATTTAAAAATATTTTAATTTTTTTAATTACCAAAAATATTCATTAAATATATTTGAATTATAATTGTTAGTACCAACAGGTAAAATATATTTGCTTTAATAATTAAACAATAAAAATATCATCATAATTAAGTAAATAAAGGTTTTTTTATTTCAAATTTCTTATAATTTAAGATTTAAAATTTTTTATCAAATAAAATAAAATAAATAGGTTTTATTGTACTTTTTTAGAATGAATGTTGATAAATTTAAAAGTCAAAACCTTATTTTAAATTAATCTAATTTGCTTTTTTAATTTTGATAATTACAAAAAAATATTATTTGGTTAAGAATAGTGTTTCGTTTGCAATAAATTATTTGATAAGTGATTATTTTTACTTAAGATTTTTTTTAAAAACTACTCTTAAATTAATCAACTTACTAATTTTTAATTGATAAATTAAAAAAAATAACTTTAACAATTTTTACTTAAGATCATGAATAACCAGTTTGATAAAAATAAATACAAATTCTATTAATATTTTATGTAGTATAAATATAATTAAATTTATTTATTTATTCAAGATTTTCTTTATGAAAATTCTTATCAAGTAATCTCAATATAATTTAAAATTTTGAGATGTAATTTAGGAATAAAATGTAATATATTTCATATCTATTAATGCTTGTAATGAGGCTTTCTAATAAAATCTTCGGAATTTAATTTCTCTGAATGTCCTAAATTGATAATTTTATATAAAATTTATAAACAATTTTGTTAAGTTACAAACTCATTCTATTAAAATACTTTTTTATGTAAAATTCTAAAAATATTACCTGGGAAATTATAAACTGGACATAGTGGATTGATATGTCTTTTGGTACTAAATTTGTATTTATTTTATTCAGTAGAAGTTCCTTCAATATCGCTAATATTTAATGGGTTTTTTAACTATCTTCTTTACTGTTTTTAATTAAATTATGATAACTTAGCTTAAGATGTAATTTAAAAATAATTTTACATCCATAAAATATCTTTTTTCATTTCCTGAATTAACCCAAGCTAATTCAATATCCCTATTAAAATTGCTTTGCCTTTACTTAAAACATATTTTAGGCTTTTTTGTAATTGATTCAGTCCCCTCTATGTATCCATAGTTTTTTCTAAATTATTATTTTAGGTCAAATTATAAATATTTTATATTATTCAAATTTTACTCATATGGGATATCATATCTTGGTTCTAAAGGATTTGTAGATCTATTTCTCTTGTGTATACCATCTTTGTTGATATCTTATACATCGTATTAATAGTTAGGTTTTGAAAGTATTCTTCTTTGTCTTGTTTTGCTTCCTTCAATTTCTGTGTATGGATCTTTATTCCTTTAATAATTCCAGTTTCTAGGCTTAGCAGAAGTGCCCTCTATATCTTTGACATTCAAGCTATCTCTAATGAATGTTGTATTTATAGATTGTTAAGATTAATTTAGATTATTAAGTGAGGGTAATTTATATTCGGGCATCAAAGGGTTTGTCTTTCTCTAACAAGAGCTTGCAAACCTATTTTTGCAAGGAGAAGCTCCGACTATATCATCTGTCCTCATAAAATAATAGCCTCTTTATGTTTTTGGGTCTACATCTATACATTTATAATTTTAGTGATAAATTATAACTAGAAAATGTTTAAGTGATATTTTACTTGGCTTTTTAAGCTAAACACTATATGTCTACTCAATACCTATAATATTTCAATTTTTACTGAATTCTACAACTTCAAAAATTCAATTACCTTATGAGCTTTACAAGAAAGAATTGTTAGTTTCTTAACCTAAAATTACACTCATTAATATTTATTTATTTATAAGTTTTTTAATGGGTTTTATAATTATTTAATATTAAATACCTTCAATAGATTAATTTATTGTTGAATAAAAACCATTCAATTTGTAATTTATTACTAATATTAAATTTATTAAAATAATTTGATCTTTCTTTATCCAATAAATATTATTTTCAATTAAAATAAATGTTAATCTTTAACAATTACATTTATATTTTATTATTATAAAATAAATATTTTTTATAAAGTATAAATTAAATAATTTTAAACGGTCTAAATAATTGAAAGATATAATATTTTATCTCTTTAAATAAAAATAATTAAAAGAGACAAAATGATAGATAATATATTTTTTTTGCTTTCTACCTCAATTATATTTGTTTATACATAATTTTTATAGATTTTGATAAAGAATCAATAAGTCTAGACACATATTAAAAAAGATTTGATTTAAATTATCACCTTAGTTTGTATTCTTAATAACTTGAAGTATTGATTTTAATATTAATTAATTGTATATTATAGGATTTATTTATTTATTATTTTGAAAGATGAACAATAACGAAAGACCTCTTTATATGACTGATTAGCAGCATGTATCTATTAAAAATAACTTATACCATGCTATTAAAAGAAATGATTTAGAAAAAGTTAGGAAAATGATAAGGTTATTTTAGATTGAACCAGGAGAGGAGATATCTACATTCGGCAATTAATGGACTCCTATTCATTATGCTATTTTCTTTAAATCATCTAAAATATTAGAGTTTTTGATTTAGTTAACTTATTTAAAAAATAAAAATAACATAGAAAAATATATTTAAATAATGAATATGCCAACAAAATCTGGACATAGTCCTCTTATGGTTGGAGCAGTTTATGATACTGTTGATTGCCTGAAAATTTTATTTCAATATGGTGGTTTATAACTGTTTAAAAAGGATTGCTCAGCTATGGATTGCATAAAACTAGCAATAAAGTATGATTCTAAAGATGCAAATGACTTTATACAAGATAAAATTGCTTAAAATAATTTTTAAGAATTTTTAGAGGTAAATCTAGATGCTTTCAAGTAGGTTCCTGATCTAAAAACACTTTTGCATTAACGTTACGAAGTTTAAATGCCTGAAGAATTAGTTCTATAAAATAGAGATATTTTACTTTATGGTGAACCAATTAGTTGCATTATATGTCTTTAAAATACTGGGTTTCTTAAATATTCAAATTGCTGTGGATAACCCCTTCATCAGCATTGTCATGCAGAAAAAATAATACAGTGTCCTCTTTGTAAATCAAATAATTTCTACTTAATATCAGAAGTTTTACATCCAAACAGAGCTTTCACATTCAACCCAAACTCAGATTACATCAAAGTTTAGTAAGACAACACCTAAAATAAGCAAGAAAATAATTTGTAATAAACTTAATTAAATAGTCAATAGAATGGATTAATATAGCATTTAACTAATCCATAGTAAGATGAAAATAGTGAAAATTAATAATTATAGTTAAAAGAGAATATTAATTGTAAATTAAATACTGTTAATAAAGATGAATCATCCAATAATATTAATAAAGATGAATCATCAAATAGTATTAATAAAGATGAATCATCCAATAATCTTGATAAAGATGAATCAGGTTAAGCATGTAATATTATTAACAAAGAAAATCAAATCAACAATAAAAATTAATGAAAATTGAATAATAAGATTTGTAAATAATATATTTATTAAATAATATATAAACAAATATTATAAAATTAATAAATTAATAAATGTTTTATTTTAATTTTACTTATTAACTTTCTCCAGCTATCATTATAACTTTTAAAGTGTATTCATTTTTATGGTATGCTATTTATTTGATGTAAATCAATAAGTACTAAAAAAAGACCAAATAAGATAAAATACAGAATTTCTTAAAGATATATTTTCTACTTAAAAAGAAATGATGTTATTTAATCATATCATAATAAATCAATATAAAATATTTTATTTATAAATTATTTTGAATATGGTATAAATTTGATGTAGTATAGGAAAGAGGGTAGTATTTTCAATAGTTACTAAGGATATTTTTATTTATCCTTTTCTCATTTATTTAAAATTGTATAATTTAAAAAATAATTGTGAAAACCTGTAAGTTCTGGTTAATTATCACCAAATTTTGTTACAACCCTAAATTTCAAAAATGATTTCAAATTTTCATTTTTTATAAAAGGGATAGTATTCAAGAGGGGTTATTATCCAAAGGAATAGAATAATTATTTTAAAAGTAAACTATTTTAATTATAAAGATATTTTATTATTAAATTTAATAATTAATTGACTTCTAAAATTTTGAATATTTTTTAAGCTAAAATATAAATATGATAAAAAGAATTAAATTTGAATAAGAAAAAGTAAACAAAAACTAAGAAGATGAAAACAACTAACTACCATTGAAATTTTTAATAAGAATTAAATTAATTATCAAATTATTTCTAACAAGTAAATTATAGTTGTTAAAAAATAAAATTTCTTAATAATTCTAATCATTAAATCATTAGATATAAAATAAGAAATTAATAAACTATCAAAGATATATTTGTAGTATATATTTCTAATGAGTTTTAAAAATTATTACAAAGAGATTATCATCAACTTCTAGACAGAAAGAAATGATGATTAAACAAATTTAGAGAGTCATCCCTAAGATAATTAGTAATAATAATAGAAAATCAATATTTAGAGCCAAAATATATAGATATCAAACAATAGTCTACCTACCAAAAGCTCTCCCCTTTCTCGATAAAAAATTGATGATTAATAGAATTCGCCTTTTTCATTTAGCTAAAAGCAGCATAATAAGACTTATAGTTTAGCTAAAAATATGTCATAATCATCTCTGAGCTCACAAAAAAATTAATCAGTTAATTTTACTGAAGTAGTTGATGGATTAGGCAAATAAAATATTGGGTCTTAAAGTCAGAAAAACCTAAATATTTTATAAAATAATAGTAACGATTTTGTGCAAAATAATAAAAGTATTTAGAAAAATGATAAAGCATAATAAGGATAATAAAATATATATCAATTTTAGTTTTAGTAAAAGCTAGAGAGGGTAAGGGAAGACTTTGACTTGAATAATTAGGAATATAAAAAGGAATTAGTTGAAGTAAATAAAAAAAAGCCTTCTCCAATAAAACTAAGTCCTACTTCAAAACCTCATATAAATGCATAATAATACAAATAAGTCAGCGATTTTAACTAAAATACTTAAAATGGAAACAATAAGCATCAAAAAAATAATAGCTACTTCCAATAATTCGAAACATTTTCTGCAAAAAATGAATCCTAAGAATTGAGTAACAAAAGCTCAAATTTATTAGAGAATTCTTAAGATAATGTTAGAGAATAAAGGCTTATTAACTTACAAAAAAAATATATTGAAAATTATGATAATGAGAATAATTAGATTAACAGTGATAAGTTTACAGTTGATTCCAGTATATCAAGCAATCTCAGGTTAAGTGATTAAAATATTTAAGGAAAATACACATTCCAAAAAAATGTTTAAAATTAATTAGAGAGTCCTCAAAAATTCTAAGATTCAAGCATAGATACTGCTCGTAATACAATAAAAACAAAAAGCATAACAAATAACTTATAATTTAAAGATCCAATTAATAATGTTCATGAAAAGTCTACATGCAGGAATAATTATAAAAATAATAAAGAAGATTTTATTTAGTTTAACACTGATTTTAGTCATCACTTAGATTAAAATAGGAAAACATCTTCTGTGAATAAAAAATAAATTGAATAAAATTCAGATCAGTAAAGCAATTAAGGATAAATATGTTCAGATGACCAATCTTACATTAAAATTCAATATGATAATTAAAATTTCTAAGATAAATATGCAGAAAAAGAAAATAAAAATTAACTTTTCAAGTCTAAGTCTCTTTCAAAAAAAGAAAATTAAATTGAAGAGTAATTAGATCAAAAAAATAGGCAATAAGAAGCTCTCAAAGCTTTTGAAAGTTAAAGATAAAGCGATCTATAAATATTTATAAATGAAAATCTACTATTACAATAAGAACTTAATTTTTCCAGGTAAAATCTAAAGGAAACTATTGAACATTATGAGAGACAAACAGACTATTATAAAGATGAAATTGAAAGACTAAAACAGCACTTAAAAATTCAAGAGCTAAACTAACAAGATTTAAACATTTAAAACGAATTAAGAAATCAAGAATTGCTTCTTCATTAACAGCTAGAGGTTGAGGCTCATAAACAAGGAAAAAATGAATAGTTGTTGTAAATAATTAAAAAAATATAGTAAATTGATGTACGTACAGAATCAGTAAATTATTTTACATAACATTATTATAATTGTATTTGTTATAATTTTTAATTAAATATAGATATTTTCCCATAAGCTTGAGCAAGAGAGAAGAGAAAAAGAAGAGATTATTGAGAAAAATATGATACTTTAACAGTAAATTTAAGATCTTCAAAATAGCTTAGATTATTGCAGAGATTACTTTAGAACATCTTAAGATGCATAAATGAAAGAAAAACTCGAGTTAAATTAGTCAATTAGAATTGAATTGGAAGCTAAAAATTAATAAATTATTGAAGAAAGGAGATAACATAAGCAGCAGCTAAATTTAATTAATGAAGAAATCAAAAGATAAACAGAAGAACATTAAAAATACATAGAATAAACTGAATAGTAAATAGCTAACATAGAAAATTTTTACAAAAAATAACTTGATGATTTCAAAAGAACATATGAAATATCTATATAGAAAACAAAGTGTATTACAGATGAGTTTGATAGACTAGTGCAGGAATCTAATAAGTAAATTTTAATTTTTAATTTTAATCTTATTTTATTTTTTTTATATTTATTTTAGAAACAAAGAATTACTTTAGAATTGCTAGAGGTAACTAAAGAGCTGTGAGATTAGAAATTCCTAACTTGCTGAAAAAAATATTTAGTTTAACAATAAAATAGTAGAAATTAATAATATTCTAATGGAAAAAGAACAGGAAAAAGATGCAATGCTTAAAGAAATTAATCAACAAGCATTCAGTTTAGATGAGAAAGAAAAATTAATTGACAAACTTTAATAGGAGGAAGAAGATTATAAAAAACTTTAATTTTCATTTAAAGTAGAAGCAAAAAGACTTCAAGAACAATAAGAGTAATTAGATAATCTTATATCTACTTGCTCAAATCAGCTTGAAGAAATTGAATAATTAAAAATAAATTTGGATTAGAAATCATAAGAAAATAAAGTTATCAAAGAAGAATTTGAAGCTTTTTTAGAAAAAAATTCTAAAGTGAATGATTTGAGTATTGAACATTAAAAGTAAAAGTAGAATTTAGAGCAGTAAATTATTTAACTGAGACTAACAAACGAAGGACTTTCTGCAAAGAACTAACTTTTAGAGCAATAAACTTAAAAGTTAACTTTAACCTCACAAAATCTATAATTGTAATTAGAATAAAAAGAGGAACTATTAAATAAATTAACTAGGAAAGAAGAAAAAAATAATAGAAAGTATTAAGAAAATATTATGGTATTAAAATCAGACATTGAATAATTATAAATATCAGATAAATAAAAATCAGAAGAAAATGCTAAATTGAAGCTCAAAGTAAAAAAAATTGAAAACGAAAGTTTTCTTTAGCTAGAAGAGTTTAAAAATCAGCTTGAATCTTATTACAACAATTTAATTATAGTAAGATTATTTTATTCTATTATTTTTTATTTCACTTAATTAAATTTACTAGTACTTGTGTCTTAATTATCCTACTCTAAAATGGCCTTTTCTTATTATTATTTGCTTTTTTTAAATTAAAAATTTCATTAACTAAGGGGTTGCTACCTAGTACTCTATTCATTTTCATTCAAAATAACATATGAATAATAAATCAGTATTAAGTACTGATTCCGTCCAAATGGAAAATACTAGGTAGCTACTCCCAATCTCCCCCATAAAAGAGTAAAGAGATACAAAAAAATTTGCTTTTTACTATGATCTAAAAAAATAAGTATTTGTATTTGTAGATAAACACTTGAGTAACTAAATATATTTTTTATTTCATCAAAAAAGTAGTAGGTTGCTTTTATGCTATTTCTTATTTTTTTTCTTCATTTTTTCTATAAATTTTATTTTTTTGTAGTCAAATTAAAAAATATGTTTTATACTAAAATGTATATTTATAGGCACAAATAATTCAATATAAAATAATTGTTTTTTTAATTAATATTATTTCATTTTTATTATTTATAGAAATATTAAGGAGATAATAATAGTGAAACATAAAAGGAATAATTATAAAATGAAATTCTTTCTCTTAAGAAAAAAATATGCAACCTAGAAAGTGATTATTCGTTATCAATCTTAGAAAATTAAAGACTCTAAAGAGATCTGTAAGAAAAAAATGACGAAATAGAAATCCTATTTAATCGTCTGAAGGAAATAGAAATACTAAAGTCTCAATTAAGTTTACAGTTACAAGAAGTAGAAATGTAGCGCAAAAATGACATCGTAAGCTTTTCATCTTATTTTGAATATTTAAACAAATTACTTTTATAATAAAGGAATCCTCTCAGAAAATTTATGAATGATTAGAAAAATTGCATTTAAATTATTAATTAATTTTTTCAAGTTAAAATTTGATAATATATCTATAAGGAACATACTACAACATATACAATAATTAAAAAATTTAAAATGAGGAACTATTAAAAATAATGAATAAATAATTATTTTATTTTAATATTACCTTATCATACACATATATATAATCTGTATCACATAAAAATTTATAAATAATATCTAAAAAATATTTATTATCAAATAATATTTATTCTGGAAAACATTTAGATTTAAGATATAAGTAAGATTCTAGTAATATTACTTTACTTTCTTTATGAAATAGAACATTTAATGAAGTATAAAAAAATAAAAAATAAAATTAAAAGCATACTAAATAAAGTAAAAAAAAGAGTTTATAGAAATAATTTACTTAATTTTAAAACTTTAAAGATATTCAAATGAATGATAAACCTTTGATGTTATAATTAGATAAAAGTAATAGATTTAAATTATAACAACAAATTATGATACTTTGTTTCTTTGTTTACTTTTATTTAAAAAATGTGTGAAAATTGATATCCAGTTTACAGACTTCTTTTTTCAAGTATAAAAATAAGGATTTGGATATTATAGTGTAATATTTAATAAAAAACAAATTAAACAAACAAAATGAGAAGGTTGAGTGATTTTTAATGGCGTTTCAAATTAATTAATTAATTAATTAAATGCTTTTTTAAGGTCTATATAAATTAATTAAATTATGAAAAAATCTTATGTATCCATCATATCATCTTTTATTAAAACTTAGCAATTGTTATTTAAAAATGAAATGATTACTTAGATTATAACAAAAAAACTAGAAAATATAAGTAATAGTTAATTTATCCACTAAATTATGTAATAATTATTCAAGCAAAAAAAGTTTACCTGAATTATTTATGAATACCCCAAATTAATTATTTCCTTCTTCAATGTTAAAAAGCGGAATTAGGGAAGGAGAACATGTCAGATAGCTAAAAACAGTAGATCAAGTAAGGAGAAAAAGTTTTTAAGATGATGATATCTTGAGTTTGACTTCTACAAACAATAAAAAAAATAATAAATAGCCGTAAAATAAGACATTTTATACATTAATTTTATAAATTTAATATATTCATGTAAAAAATATCTTAAAAAGTGGCTGCCTTTGAGCAATCATACAATTATTAAAATAAAAAATATAATTTAACAAATTAACTTTAATTTATGCTCAAATATTATTTTATATGTAAGATCTTAAACTATAGAGGATTTGAGTTAAGTTGAAATAAGTAGGAGTATGGATTTTACTAAAGCCATGGATCAGTTTTCATTTTAATAGCCTATTGATCCTAAAATTAAATCAAGAGGTATGAATTCCCTTTTAGAATATAATGGAAATCTCTAATACAGAAGTAGTATAATGAATAAAAGTCCTAATTTTTTAATTTAAGAGTCTGCTGATTAGCATGAAAATATCGCTGCAAATTATTAAAATAGTTATATACTTATAAACTAAAGCTAGAATCTATTGTGCTTAAATGAACAAAAAGACTAAGCTATCTTAAATAATGATGAAAAACTTTAAGATTAAGCTAATTCAAAAAAAAGATCACCACCAAATGCTAAGATTAATTTGTAAAGTATAGATGAAATGTCAAAGTTGAATTCTCCTTAGATATCAGGTGGAAAGGACAGTCTATTAATTGATTCTTAAAAATTAGGAGGGAAAGAAGAAGTATTAAAGTAGAAATATTCTTCTTTTAAATTTTCATTTTTTCTTAGAAGTGCTAAAATTTCGAAGTTCATATAATTGATGAAGCAAAAAACAAATAAATACTTGCTTTCTAATTTGTAAAACACTCAGTTCAAAATAATAAATGACAAAGCATCTTTTTTTATATACTACGTATAAAAGAAATTAATAAAAGAAAATGTATCTAACTAAATTCCAAAGCTTGCTCTTAAAATTTATAAATATTTTTTCCATATCAAAAGGGAGATGGCAAAGAAGTTAAATCTGGTATTTTCAGGAAATTAAAAAATTGTAAATTTTTATCTAAATTAAATATTTAATTTCAAGAATCTTTTATTAAATGGATTAGATTTTTTAAAGATTTATCTCTCAGATTAAAATGTCATAGACCCAGTAATTAATTATCTATCAATATATTTATTGATTTTTATTACTTCTTGTTTACAAATCTAAAATATGAATCATACTTGTTAATTATCAAATAGGATCATTGGTTTAAGATCATATGGGATTTAGTTGTTATTATCTAAATAATTATTTTAACTATCATAATACCTCTAAAAACAGCTTTTAGCATTAGCTATGAATCATACTTCTCTTAAAATAACTTTGTCAATGACTTAATCACAATTTATTTACCGTTTATAACTTTTTTTTTTGAAATTGCTATTAATTTCAATACTGTAATTAACTTTATCATTTTTAGATTATCTATTAATCAATCTTATAAATAGGCTATTTATAAATCTGGACAAATCATAAAAGAGAGAAAATATATCATTAAAAAATATTTCAAAAATAAATTGATGTAATTAATATAAATTAAGGAATGGAGATAATTAATTAATTTAATTTAAAAAAAAGATATGAAATCTTAATATATTTTATCTACTTTATCAGTATTAAGGAGGATTCGCTTTATTATCTTCAGTTGGTTATTCTTTTGAGGGCAAAAAAAATTTTTGAGTTACTTAAACAATTTTTTAATAGATTTGACTAAGAGTAGAATTACTATATATACACTAAAATAATTCGTATTGTTGCTACTTTATTGGTCACGTGCCATATCGTATCTTGTATTTTTATATCAGTTGGATTGACTATTAAGTAAAACGAAGATACTAATTGGATTGACAAGCATTTTAGAAATATTGGAACTCCCATAACTAATACAAGTATATATGTGACAGCTTTATATTGGAGTGTTATAACCATGATCACAATAGGATATGGTGATGTTGTGCCTATAAATACTAGTATTAAATTTTTTTAAACACTGACTGCATTTATACATAAATAATCTTTGGTAAAAATATAGATGAAAAAGTTTTTGTTATTTTTGTAGCTTTCATTGCTTGTGGTACCTATGCTTATACTTTTAATTATATTGGTAATTTGAGTTGTTTTAGATTTATTATTTTTCATATTATTTACTTAAAATAATTTTTTTAGGTGAACTCGTAAAAGAAATTTAAAGAGAACAAAAATAGAGTAAGAATAAACTATAGAAATTAAATCGCCATATGAATGATAGAGGAGTTCCAAAATATGTAATGCAATAGGTCAAGAAATACTATGAATATATTAATAAAGAAAATCAAAAAAATTCTAGTGACGGGTATGAAATGATTAGTAATTTACCCCAATCACTAAAAGATGAAGTAATGTAAGAACTTTATGTGAAAGTTATTTTGCAAAATAAATTATTTAAGTTGAATTTTAGTTAGAATTTTATTAAAGAGTTGGCTTTATTTGTGAAAGAAATTAAAATTGGACCTGAAATATTCTTATATCACTAAAATGAATAATTGGATAAATTGTATTTTGTGCTTAAAGGAAATATTTCATTAATGTGGAAAGTCAAAAAAGATGAATTTATTAATCTCTAACACATTAAAGTAGAATTTTCTTTCTGAATAATTATTTAATGAATGATTTGTAACTAATTTACTATTATTAAAGAAAGGAGATACTCTAGGCCAAATAGAGCTTTTTACAGAATAAAAAACATAGTATTTCGCCAAAACACATGACGTAGTTACATTAGCTTACATCACATTAGGAGATTTTAAATATGTTATTTCCAAATTTCCAGACGAATTTGTAAATTTACTTTTACATTTGAGATTTTTAATTAAAGATAATGAAAATATTTCTTCTTTATTGCATAGGAAAAATATCATAAAATTAAGGACAAAGCTAACTTTTATTAAGAGTATTAAGGTTTAGACATGAAATGTCTCAGCTGCAATCAGTATTCTCATTAAATCGCAGATTGTCCTTAGCTCAAATATTAACCGAATATTGATAAAATTACTTATTAATACAATCATTCTCAAGCTTAATAGGAGAGATCTAATCATGAAAGAAGAAAGCGAACAAAAATAAACCCTATTTTTATTTCTTAAGAAATTCAGAACTCTGCCTATATTTTTTAGAAAAATAATTAAAAATTAAATTATTAAGTAAATAGAATAGTGTAAGAAGGAATATCTCCTTTTCATAATAATACTAGCACACCGTTTGGAACTGACGGGGAAGAAGAAGAAATATATAATTAAGGAAATTTTGGAAATGTGCCAGATGATAAAAAAAGAAAGAGCTTTTTTACAAATAAAAATTATATTAGAACTCAAACTCATACAGAAATTAATTAATCAATAAATTAATCAGGTGGTTAGACAGAGTACCTTGGAGATGAAGGTGGAACTCCGATCAATTAACCATCTAAAATATCAGGCATAACGAAGGCTAAATCAAAAAAGAGCTTATATATTTAAAAATAAATAATTTTACAGCTCTAAAAAGAATATGAATAACAAATATTAAATGAAAAAAAAGAAGAAGCTATTAAACTTCAAAAACAGAGATTCCCTCAACTCGCTATTCAAACAAATAAAGACTTTGATTAAATTGAAGTATAACACTTTATTTAGAGTAATAATAGTGTACTTTCTCCTAGCTTAATGAATAATAATGGAGGAGCCTTAGAAATACCCAATTTAGGATATTTCAGAGAAACAAGTATCTAAATTAATAATAACAGTGATACAAACTCTATATACTTGAATAGAAGGATTTCAGCAAATTCACCTGCTGCTAATTAAAATCAATTTGAAGATTATTTTGAAACTGAGCAGCACATTTAATCAACAAATAATTTCAATTGGCTCCACAAGTAGTAGACTATTCAACTATAGCCTTACACAATTAATTAAACCTCTAATTATATCTAAAGTATTCCTGCAATAAGGGGAAGATAAAGCTCTATATAAAATATATAAATTGATGGTAAAAATCCTTTATCTCCTCGAAATCAAAGTAATGTTGAATAAGGTTCTATTAATAACCTCATTAACAGCATTACAATATCTAATAACTTGCAATAAAATAACACAAATAATAATCCTATTAGTAACCCTAACAATTAAGTTAACTCAAGCACGTTTCTAACAAATAACAGTAACATGAATTCTAATTAAAACCATAGGAGCTAAAATTAGCTATCTCTAGGAAGAGTTGATACTATGCTAGGCACACAATATTAAAAGATTCTATAACCTACATAATAGCCAACATTTAACGAAATAGGTTATTAATCACATCATGAAGAGGAAACAAATACAAAATCAGGTATTGTATCTCAAACAAAAAAGAAAAAGACAAATCCAAACATTTATTCTCATTTATAGCACAATTTGCTGAATTCTCCTAATACTCTGCAAAATAGGAATGACTTTTATGTAATTTTATCATTTGATAAAATGAAACAATACACTTACTATTTCCCTCATAATAACTTGACTCATATTCTAAAAACCTTTAGAAAAAAATAAGCAAAATTAGTAAAATAAAAAAAAATAAAACCTAAAACGTAGAATACCAAACATAAGACATCAATCTTTATGAGTAAAGATTTTAAGTGATATTAAATAATTTTTGTATTGCTCTATTTTAAGTGTTTATTTCTTTTAAATGTTTTCAAATATTTCCTTAAATTGTATTTTGTCGTTTTATTATATTAGTATTTTTCTTCATCGAATATAATACTATTATAAAATTTTTTTACATAATTACATAGAGCTTGAGCTTTTTGAATAAAAATTCCAAAATATAATATTTTAAAATCTATTTTTTAGTTTTAATTTAAAAATTTTATATTTCTGATTCTTTTAATTCTTCTAAATTTTATCAAATTATATTAAAAATTTTATTTTGACTTTTATTTGGTTTTTTTAATATTTATTTCAATTATCACAACATTTTTAAAATTTATTTGATAAATTTTACAAAATTTCAACAAAAAAATGCTTGTTAATAAGATGATTAACTTCAAAATTAACCTGAAATGATTAAAATATCATAAATTAATGAATTGAGAAATTGATTGTGAATTGGAGCAATATTTGGATTAGAATACAAATATTAAGTTAACAAAGAAAATACAATAACAGTGAGATATTATTATTACTAATAATATCTATTATTAAAATTGTCAAATTGATCAGAGATCTTCGTTCTTTTCAACCCAAGGGAAGCTATAAATTAAAAAAAAATATATTTAGATATGATTTCTTTACAATCAATAACTTTTGAATAAAATTTTGTATAAAATGTTATTTACGTGGTCTTTTCCTTGAGGTACTTGAGGATACCTTCTTCAGTTCTGTCACCTTCGAAATCAAGAGGAGTAGATTTCTTACCGTTTTGATAGAACTTAATGGTGGGGAAACCTCTAATATTGACTCCGGGAACTTCGTTAGCGGTGGAATCGATCTTAGCGATGACGATGTTGTGGTTGTGGGAGAGCTTCTTGGCAACGGCATCATAGATGGGAGCAAGTTGCTTGCAGTGACCGCACCAGGGAGCGTAGAATTCAACTAAGACATCCTTGTTGCTGTTAATGACGAGGTCATCGAAACTCTTGCCGACGAGGACCTTGACGGGTTCGTCGTTGGTGGCAGGGATATCTTCAGACTTCAAGTAAGTTGAGAGCTTACCAGCAAGGTAGTCACTAACGAATTAGTTAATGGTGGCATGGGTGATTTCAGAAGCAGTGAACTTGTACTTAAGAACTTCGTGGCTGGAGTGAACGAGCATTAAAGCGGGGACTTAAGCAGTGTTAACACCGATGTAGTCAGCGAGTTTTTAGTAGTGACCGAAGGTGTCATCAGGCTTGGAGATAGAGAAGACGATCTTACCTCTGTTTTCTTCAGCAGAAGCAGCGAAAGCCTTTTCAGCAGCAAGGGAAGCTTCGTTGCTGTTGGAGAAAAGGAACAAAGTGGGGTTACCTTGTTAGAAGACCTTTTGGATGGCTCTGTCGTTGAAGGGCATAACGATGGGGAAAGAGTTGGTGTCAACGAAAGTCTTTAAGTTAGCAACGTTGAAGGTACCAGTGAAGTCGTTTCTCTTTTCATCGAAGTGCTTGTAGAGGACGAGGTTGTGAGCAGCAGCGTTTTAAGCAGTTCTCAAGTCAGCGTTGAAAACGTGAGCGAAGGCGAGGTCATCATAAGACATAGCCAAAGACTTGAAGGCTTCGTAGTTGGCATCCTTTTCACTTTCACCTAATGATTAAAAACAAATTAATTAATGACTGAATATTAATGGCTTATCATTCTTTCTAGGTTAAGTATTATAAAATTTTTTGATGGCTTATTGGTTATTTATGTGGAAGTATGTTCTATTAATAATGAATGAATAAATGAATGAATGACTATCAATTTAGCTAGTGTTAGTATTTTTTATTTGAAAAATATATTTTTTAAATTTTTTAAAATTTAATTTTTTTTTTTTGACGTCAACAAGAACTTTAAAAGCTTTGATGAAACATCTTAAAAAAGGCTTATTTTTATATGAGTTGCTCTTGATTGTATTTAATCTGTATATAATTTCATTTGTTTGTTAGTGCTTTGCATCTAATTATTTTTTTTTTCTTAAATAACAGAATAGGAATTTTATGGAGCTAACTTTTATATTATTTGTAAGGCTTCCATTCATGATATTCTTTCATGTAACTTCTCTGCTATCCTATATGGCTTTCATAATCCTTTAAAGTTTGTTACTACATTAAAATTATTTGCAGTCTATTTAATGTATTAATTTTCTTGGGAGTTAGTTAACTTATCTTAATGGAATGCTGATTTCCATTAGACAAAAATTTGATATGATAGCCATTCGTTTGTTTATAAATACTCTTTATTGTTTGCATCTAAACGATAAAAATAAAATATGCTTACCGAAATAAACGATGGCGACTTGGTTCTTTTGAGTGAAGGCGGTTAATTCTTCAGCAGTGTTAAGAGCTTCAGAAACGGAACCGGTTCTCTTCTTGATCCAGTTAAGGATGTCCTTTTCAGTTCTACCACCATTGAAGTCAACAGGGTTTTCAGTGGAACCGTTGATGAAGAACTTCAAGGTAGGGAAACCTTGGATGGAGAATCTAGTACCGAGGTCCTTTTATTCAGTGGCATCAACCTTAGCGAGAACAGCTTAGGAGTTTTCACTGGCTAAAGCTTAAGCAGCCTTAGCATATTCGGGGGCGAGCTTCTTGCAGTGACCACACCAAGGGGCGTAGAATTCAACCAAAACAAAAGGCTTGGAGGCAATGAATTCGTTGAAGTTGGAGTCAGTTAAGACATAGACACCTTCTTCGACAGCAGGGGCAGTGGAAGCCAAAGCACCGACAGCCAAAATAGTTAACAAAAGCAAAGTCTTGTTCATTTTTTTTGGTTTTTTCTTAATGATATTTTTTCAATTTTTATTTATTATTTTAAAAGATATTTTCTGACTTAGATACGTGCTTTTATATCAAAAAAATCCCTATCCCCTTTCTTAACTCTTAAGTGTATTGGCTTTCAATAATTAGTTCGTTTTCCCCACCCAGATTTGATTTTGCTTGAAATTTTAATAATTTTTCTCCATGATTCCATAAGATTTCCATCAAACATCTAAAATTTGAAAAACAAACATTTATTTCCATTATTTTTTATTGTTTTTAAAAGGTGTTTATCATGCTTGATATTACAAAATTTCTTATCACCATTTGAACTAATCATCAGATCTTTCAATTTTAGAAAATCCTATATTAATATTTGCTTTCTCTTTTAAGGTTCAGCTAAGTTGTATTTATTCTCCTTTCAGAAAATTCCCCAAATTATATCATTTGTAAAAAATATCTTTGTTTTTATTATAAATAATCAGTTAATATTTTGCAGGAGTTAATGGAAAAGATAATACAAACAAAAAGTCATTTTTATAGAATAATATGTCAAAGAGATTTGAAATAAGAGTACTGATTTATTTTTTATTGTTAAAAAAATAACATATGATCATTTAGTTTAAAGCCTCTATTCATTAGTTAATGAATTTCCTACACGTAGAGAAAATTGGTAACAGCATTTGTCAAAATCCAAAAAAAGATACTTTAATTAAAACCAAAAATTTGATTATTTTAAAATAAACACAAAACAATAATAAACAACAAATTTCAGAAATCTAAATCATCTGTTAATTTATTTTGAGATTAAAAATTTATAAATAAAGTAAAATATCTTTTTTTCATTTGCTGTTTCGTTTATACATTTTTGATAAATAGAGAATCTCCACAAAATAAAGATATAATAATTTTTCAATATAAAAACTTTTACAGAAACACATTTCTACTTTTAATTATAGCGATTTTTACGTCAGAAAACAAATATCATTAGATTAAAGAAAAAATAAATATTTATAGGTTGATTTTTTGTAAGGCAAGAGTTAAGAGTCATTCTAAAAAAATCTTTTAAAATGTAAAAGCTTTGAATTAGAAAGAACAAAGAAAAAACAAAAACAATTTAGAAGTAATACCTTAGTAACAAACAAAAAGAAAATTGTTTTTGTGCATGAATTTCAAAATTTATTGAACCTTTTGCAAAGTAATATAAAAAATAAGTAAAATAATTGCACTAAAAATTTCTTTGCTTGAAAAAAATATTACTTTTCAAAGATTTTTATTATTTAATCAAATTTTATATTGAATGTCTTAAGCATAATAGCAAGACTAATCTCCTCTATAAAAAAAATCTGAAAATTGTTAAAAATTCGACACGTGCTAAAAGTTGATTATAGGATTTTTAGTCTCTTCTTTCTTTATTTTAGTTATAATACTTATTGTTAGGTGCTATCTCAGAAAATATAAAAAATAAAAGCAAGTTATTGTACAAATACGACCCATTAATGTGTCTAACTTGCTGCGTTTTCAACTTTCTTAATCACTTGCACTAAAAAGTCTATAGGATTAATCTGAAATTAAAGAAGATGCAAATAAAAACTTGAGTAGATGCTTAGATTAAAATGATAATTAAAATGAGCTAAATGAAATTTAACGACATTCACACAACGTAAAGTTGTAATCACTTAAAGATTAACCATATTAGAAATCTGCTCCAGTAATAGACAGCTCTCGAATTTTGTCTAACCAATTTTAGAATTAAAGATAAGTTATCAAATAATCTTACAAAAAGCACCCTCAATAGGAACAAACTTCCTAATAAATATAAATATAGTCTGAAGATGAGCTTAATTCAAGTTTAAGGTTTGAAGGAGATAAAAATGAAGCTGTCGATGATTATAATATAACTTAAAATAAGCAAAAAAAATATAATACAATCCAAGTAAACTCTGAAGATTCAAGCAACTAATTTTAGTTTATTAGCAAAAGTGAATTAATTTTAAATAACCAAAAGATAATACCTTAATATGCTATAAATAATAACAAAAAAAAATCAAAAAAACTACCTAAAAATTTTAGTACCTTGCCAGTTTAGTCAATTCCTGAAATAACATAATAACCAGAAACAGCTGATTGAATACTATTTAATGTTATTTAAATAAACGTTAACATACAAATAAATAAATAATAAAATTAAATTAAAATAAAATAATTTATTCACAATTAAATCAAAATAAATTAAAATAATTTTTAAAATAACAAATATTAATCTATAAATAATAATTAATTTATATTTCTTTTTTTCAAATTTAAAATTATTTATTTCAATAAATAAAAATATCTTAATTTATTTTTAAATTATTGTAAATATTTTTATAAAAAATGAAACAATTTATTTATATTTTCAAGATTGATTGATACATTAAAAAATATTTTTACAACAATTAATATTTATTTTTTTTTTTTTTTGAACAGTAAATCTTTCAAGTTCTTCATTAATTATAATAATAATAATAATGTATGTACATATAATAATTGATTGTTAATAACTGTATCAATATCAAAAATTAATATTATTTAAATATATAGCATTTATTGTTGTTTAATAAAAAAGAAACATTTTTAATCAACTTATAAAGCTAAAAAATTAGATTAAACAACATATTATATTATACTGTTTTTAAAAACTAACATTGAAATATGAAATTATTTTTCTAGAAAACAGTAAACTTAGCTAAAGATACTAAGGAAGATCCGTTAGTTGCAAGGAAGCGACAAATTGAAGAGTAAGCGAAGCAGATGAAAATTAATTTTAGATAGGAATTTCAAAAAATGGAGAACAATAAATTTTTAGAAATAGAATAAGGGGATCAAGAGAAATTCGAAGTAAATTTCTTCAAATTATTTAAGAAATTAAAAATAATAAATTTTTAAAAATTTAGTTTATTGAGCAGATAGATTAGATTTGCCATTAAAATTAACTTAAAGTTTAGCAGCTAGTAGAATTAAAGCGCGTTTATCAGTAAATGGTAGAAGATAATAAAGAAAAATTAAGAAAAAACTTTAAATAAAATTGGAATGGATAAAATACATTTACTTTAACAGCTCTATAAAGCTAGTCTGTTTAAAGGCCTCAAACTTCTTACCAGTGCAAAAATACATTCTTTTCTAGGAATAATAGTATTCCAGATTATTTTTCTATTCACTTAAATAAAGATTATGATGCAGTAAATTAAAGACTAGAAGAAGTAAAGACTAAATACGAATGTATTTCTGAAGAAATATTTAAGGAGGAGCAAAAATAGTTGGAAATTTTAAAGATGTAAGAAGAGCTTGTTGATAAGGATGTAATAGTTAAATTATTAAATATAGTGTTTTACTTTTCTTTCTCATTTATAGAAAAGGCTTAGGGAAAAGCTTTTTATGACTAAACGAATGATAAAGCTTGCTCAATCAAGGTACTCAAATGTAGAAAGAATAGAATTTCGTGCAGGAGAGAACAAAGTAAAAATTTTGATTGATATTTTAAAAAATAAATAAATAAACTATTTTCATTCTAAATACAATTTAAATGTTATATTTTATTTAAATATAGAAATAATTAAAGAGGAATGTTTTAGAAGCTAACAACAATTTACTTTAAACACAGTAAATTGGAGATGCTTTTTTAGAAAAGAAGAAACAAATTCAAAAGGAACTTAAAAGAGAGATTGTATTGGAAGAAGATTTGTTTTAACATAACTTCATTAAATTAGAAGTAATCAATTTTAGATTTCAAACTTTTCAAATAAAAATAAAAACCTCAATTTTAGGAAAAAAAAATTCAAAATGAAGAAGTGAAAAAGTAATTAGAGCAAGTCATTATTGAAGAGAAAGAAAAAATAGATAGAGAAAACGAATTTTATATAGTAGGATAGCATATATGGGTTCTAGAGATTATACTGAAGTAATTAACTTAATTATTCAAGTTTTTTTTAGTGGTTTTTTTTTTTTAATTCTTAAAGTAAACTGGAGTAAGAAAAGCTTGGGAAAGATTTATAGCTTAATGATTAGGTTGTAAGATAAAGAAATAATAAAAGAGATTATGGAACTAGAAATTCTATGATGACAGGTACTCCTCTTAATAAGTTTAAACATAACAATGAATCTCCCTAAACCAAAAGCAGGTCGAATTCTCTGATTAATGTTTTTAGTACTCATAAAAATCAAGTTAAATTGCAAAATTAAGATGATTAATTTTAATCTTAATAACATAATTCAAGAATAAACTAATCCCCTCCTAAGCTAAGTCGCAAAGAAATACTCAATCAGATAGAAAAATTTTTTGATAAAGTAAATTTTTAAGTAATTTTCATCACCGTATTAATTGATATATTTGTTTTGTTCTTTAAGTATAATATAGAGAGAATTACAGAGGCTATAATTAAAGATTATAACAGTAAAGATCTTGAGAATTAAATGAATGAAATAATGTATAAAACAGAAACTTAACATAAAATTAGTCTTACACATGAACTATTTGAGCTTGAAAGCTAATTAAATGAGTTAAAAAATAATAATGAATTTTTAAATGAAAACTAAAATAATGATGATAAGGAGGATAAAAATAATAACCATACTATTATTAATAATTTTTTAGAGCAAGACATAGCAATGGACGCTGGGAGGCTTATTTTACCTAATTAAAGCCTTTAGGAAATACCAAATAAAAATGGATAATAATAAAATCAATTTTACTAAACTGTTAATTAAACAATTTTCTCAACTGAGGAATCATAAAAACTAGAAAAACATGAGTAGAAGGTTAAGAGGATATAGTCATTTCTTGTTCACCTATTTTTAAGTGCAAAAGAATACTTAACGAGACTAATATGCATCACTTAAACTTTATAAGATAAGTGTAGTGACAAGTTTTCATCTAGAATAAACTCTGTTTTAAAAGAAATTAGTTTATTAATATTAGGGAAGCTTCCAAATCAAATTATGCCTAAAACAGAAAAAGCACATATTGATCCAAGCGTTTTACTTGATACATACTCTTAAAAATCTTCATTATTAAAATCTCAGCCATCTATAAATTTAGATGAAATTGCAGAAGCTAATTTCAGGATGAAAAATAGTTTAAACTCCCTTTCTTATATAGAAGATTTAGAATTAGTTGATGTTATTTCTGATATTTAAGATGAAAAGCTCAGAAAACTCAGCACTGAATTTTTGGAAAACATAAAAAAATCTAGTCTTCTTAAATACTTTGTTTAAAGTAATGTAGTTTCTAGTCAACTAAAAAGACTTGCGTAGCTTTATTTTTAAAATCCTGAATAAGCTATATAAAAATTTTATCAATTTGAAGATTTAAAATATGCTGCTTAGCTCTAAATAAGAATAAGATTTAGACAAATGCTTGATGGATTCACAAAATTGTATTAATAAATTTAGAACTGTAAAGAGGAAGGTACTTTCTTAAAATTAAGAAATAAACATTTTTTAATCTTTATTTTATTAATATTAGGATAATTACATTACAAAGTGATTTAGTAAATAATAAATAAAGATAGTGATTAGGATTAAGAAAGAAGTATAAATGAATAAAAAGTGCAAAAAGTAGTTAGATTCAATTAAGAATAATAAAAAAATAATACAGAAGATGAATAAAAGCTACAAATAAAAGAAACTAGTAAAAAAATAATCGATAAAATTTAGTCCTACTAAAATTCAAATGAAGAGGATTATTTGTAGAAGTTTGAAAAAATGGATTTGTTGAATGAATAAAGAAGAATTAATTAAGAAATGATTCAAACAGAGCAAGAATAAAAAAGCCAAACTATAATTAAGATTATTTCTTAGATTTCAGAAAAAAAAACTCATAAATAAAGCAGCTCATAAAATTAAAATATTTCAGAAAAGCAAACAAGCAATAAGAAGAACGAGATATAAAATGATTCTGTATAAATTTAATTTAGAGTACAAAATTTAATTTTTTTTTATCTAAAATATAGGATTACATAGATGAATAGAGACAGAATATAAAATAAAAAGATATTGATTTAAGAAATGATGCAAATAAAAAAGGAGTCAAAAAGAAAGGCTTCTATAGCAAAGAGCTAGGCTTTGCATCTAAACCTATCGAAGTATTTGAAAGGATTTCTAAAACTTACAATCAATACTAAATAGAAGAAATTAAAAATGTGAAATAAGTTGCAACAGAATCAAGCTTACTTTTTAAGATTGATCAACGTAAGTTATTTTAACTGAATAATTTAATAAAATATTTTTAAATTTAAGTTGATAGCTAATATGATGGTTAGTATGACAAGAAAATTAGTGGAAATCTTTAAAAATAGAAATAAGAAAGAATTCTCTTTTTTAAAAAGGAATTTTAGCATAATTTATCCTAAGGATACTTAAAACTTAACAATATGTACCATAGTAAATAATTTAAATTACTTTTTTTATAGATTTTAAATATTGTTTATTTTTCTTATAGTGAGGAGAGAAATGAGTTAAGATAAAATAAAAAACCTAAAAAATATTTAGCTTGAGAAAAGTATTAGTTTATATTAAAGTAAATTTGATTCTATGAGACCTTCTACAACAAATTCAAATTTTAAGACTGGCGGTAGCTAAATATCATCTATTTACAGTAAAAAGTCAAATGAAATGTCAAGATAAGAATCATTTAACAGGAAAAAAATTAACACTGTATAACTAGCTTAATAAATAAATGATAAGCTAATAAAATAAGGATATTTAAAGAACAACAACAATTCGACAAAAAACATCCTAAATTTTGATATTATGTCTTAGGGATAAACTGGAGAGACTAAATCAATAGACAGTTTTTCAAGATCTGATATTCAACAAAAAGCATTTAATAACCATTAATAAAATGAAAATAATGACTACTTTATTGGTAAATTCAAAGATTATGATACAATAAATGAAGATAACAAGTTTATAAAATGATAAATTGAATGTTAAGATACTTACTTACTTACATTTTTGATTAATCTAACAAAAAATAAATTAATAAAAAATTATTATACATAAAATAACTAACCTACTTGGCTAGCCATTTATTATTTATTAATATTTATTTCTAGATTAAGATACTTGATAATGTAAATATTTTTTTTATTATTATTAATTATTTGAATATTCTTTATTAATTTATTTATTATTATTTTAAGTAGAATCCTTTTAATAATTTAAGTAATGTAGAAATTAAATAATAAGTCTATATATTTATTTCATTTAAGCAAAATTACTTAAAAGTCTATTTTAGTAAATCTTATTTTAAGTATTTTTTACTTTCACTTGAATTTTAATACACACGATACTCCATAATGATCTGATAGTTATGTGAATTTTTGGCCTTATACAAAAAATTTTTCTACTTTAGAACGAGAAAAGTCCACAACAAAATTTTTCTTTTAATTTAAAAATATAAAATAAATTAATTTTAATAATAATATCTTAATTAATTAATGATTCAATAAAGACAATTATTACATCTGATAGTTTTTTAGATTAATTTTGCATCAGTTTGTTATTACTAAGTTAGTAAGAATACCCACCTTTAAAAGTTTGATTTAAATTACTATCAAATTTACTTCTTTATTAGTTATTTGAAAAGCTTAATTTATTTTGGAAATCTGCTAATAATCCGTTAGGTATTATGTGCATAATATAGTCTAAAGATTATAAACTTTTCAAATCGCATTAATGAGTTAATGCCGTTTCTAAAGGTTAGATTTCACCATTTTAATCTTGATAAACATCTGCAAATGTAATTGGAGGATTACCACTATTAGAAGTCTAAAAATTTTATTTTAAGTATTTTAAAAATAATTTTTTACTTTAATTAAATTAAAAATTTAATCAAATACTCTTCCAACATCATAAACTATGTCTTTCCCTTTACAAGATAATATATCAATTAGCCCTTTATACTCATCAAAATGCTATTACGTATCATTTATGCCAAGTATTTCCTTAAAATATTAATTTAATTTTATTTAAAGCTTTATTTTAATTTTAAGAAAGTAAATTTATAAAATGAATTATTTCTACCTTTAAATCCTACTGCTTATTTAAGAATCTAATAGGATGTATAGGGTGATTAGAATCAACATTAAAATCTCCAGCAAATATGCAAATATCTCCTCTATCAAATCCATATTACTTCAAGCAATCTTCAAGTATTTTTCTCATCTCCACAAACTAATCTAACCGAGCTATAACTGTTTATTTCTTATCAAATATAATAAAATTAGAATGACCTAAAAAATTGAAATTATTTATTAAACTATCTAAAAAAATAGCAATTCATAGAAAATTATCTAGGTTTTTTTTAAAAATATTACAATTTCTTTTTCATTTGTATTGTAGCTTGCTTGTGTGTGAGTATTTAAAACATGTATATGCCTTTCATTTACTCTAATTTTTGCATACAACACTCCTTTTTAGCAAAGTCCGTCAGCTAATATACCATATCTAAAAGGTCTAAAGCATGACTCAACAATAGGATATTTACTTAAAATAGTAAGCCCTGCGTCAACAAAATAACTTTTAAAAAAGCTAGGCTAAGGTGAACTTACATGATATAAAAATCCCTTTTTAATAGCAGAATAGACCATTTTATGTCTGCGATTAGAAAACAATCTAAAGAGCTCCTGAAAGCAAATTATATCAAATTTTTGAATTTCATTTTTAATAATAAGCTTGCATCTTTCATTTTTATAATCATCTTCATTATTTTTAACAAAAGGTGGTCTCATAAAGAGGTTATAAGTTAATATTTTTACTTCTTCTACTTCTTTATCTTCTAAAATATTATCCTAAACTAATCTAATAAAATCTGAACTATGAAAGCTACTACTTGGACTCTCTTATTTACTCGAGTTATTAAGCTTTTATCCATACATATTCATGCTATATATGGAAAATTATCTAAAAGACTTTTATTTGATTATTAACGTTACAAATTTGTTTCAATTATATTTTAGAGACAAACAAAATTCTATCAATTATTTATTGTTGTCTGACTGCTTTATTTATGAGTTTATTTTGATTTTTATGAGTGTTTGATATTAAATTGATAATAAATTAAACTCAACAAAGCAAACAAATCGTTTTTGTATAAAAAATTAATAAAAATTTTTAATATTTGATATTCCATTTAAAACTATTAATAAGGTGGAGTAATCTAAGTAAATCATTAAAATATTGTTTCATTTATATAATTAATTTAATTTTACATTTCGTTTGCTTTTATTGTTTAATAATAATATTATTTATTATTACTGCTCAGTTAAAATCCCTTTAAACACTAGTAAATTTCATATTAAAAATAGTCAGTCTTAAAAAAAATTTCAAAATTAATTCATCAAATATTTACAATAAATGAACACGCATAAATTTTAATTTTGAAAATACTTCTTTTATAAAAAATTATAAATCTATATTAATTCACTTTAAATAATTTTTTAACTTTTATTAATTATAATTATCTTCAAACAAAACATAATTATTAAATTTACTTCAACTTTCAATTAATTATTTTACCATTTAATTCAATTATAAATTATAGGGTTAAGAATTGAAAACATTTATTTTATTAATAAAAATATTTATATAGATTTATTTTAAAATGTAGTGATTGATTATTTTGTATGAGGAGATAAGGTAAATAGATTTTATAAAGAAATTTTACTTTAGAAACCAATAAATTAGTTATTTCCGCTTTGTGCTTTTAATTCAATTAAAATTTAACTTAAACTTTTTTTTATTTATATATTCTATTTTTGAGTTTTCTAAAGTCTTAAAATTTCTTAGTTTCAGATAATTTAAAATATCTAATTATTTTTTAATTATCAATTAAAAAATTATTATTTTATAAATAAGAAATATTTGTTGAGATTTATTCAATTAATGGATATAATTAAATTATAAATTGTTCATTTTTATAATTTTGAATTTTGAGGAGGCAAATAAATATTCTATAATTTTTATTAAAAAAAATTTGAAATTTTAGGATATTTTCTAGATTAAATTATTAATTATTATTTTTTAACAATAATAAAAAGACTTTAGCGTAAAATAAAAAATTTACTTTCTTTAACTTTTAGCTCAAAAAAAAAAAAAATGACAAATAGTGCAGAAGAATTAGAATGTCATGAAGATTAATAAATAGCTTACTATTTTATTTGTAAGAATATACCTAAAGAAAGTTTTTCATTGAGCATAAGCAATAGCGATTTATCCAAGAGTTTAATGTGGCTTTGTGCAAAAGCTAAGGATTTTTATTAAAATTAACAAAGCATATATAAGATTGATTCTAATATAGAAAATGTATTTGATAATTTAGGATTCTTTAACTACAAGACTGAGTTAAATGAATTAGAAATAAGTAAAACATTCTACTTCACAGCAATACCACGCCATGAAGGACTGGATATTTAATACTAGTTTTCGAAGGATTAAAAAATGCACACATCTAATTTAGTAGTGGGAAAATAGTAAAGATTAAGTGATTTGAGAATGATGATTGCAAAAAGTTTATAGCTTAATGAATAAAAAATATAGCTGTAATATTAAGGAAGGTAATTATATTATTTCCTCTTTTAAAACTATTAAAAAATAATTATTTTTATAATAAAATTTTTAAGATTACTTTAAGATGAGTCTGCTTTGTTAACAGATCTAGGAATGAAATGTGAAGGTAATAAAAATATAGTTAGAGTATTACAACTAATATAGATTTACTTATACCCTGGACATACATACAATTGTTATTAAAAAAATTTCTCAGAAAGAAAAACTTTTTATCTCAATCCATTTTAGAATCTTAAGTAGCAAATTACAGAAAAATTAAATACGCCTATAAACTAATTTATATTGCTAAATTAGAATAACTAAATAGTAGAATAAATGGAATAAATTAAAGATTAAGATATTTTAGTTATAAGAGATATTACTTCTGGATAATATGAGGTTTAGTTAGTTTTAATTGAAGAAGATGAAATAAATGAGCCTCTACTAACTCAAGATGCTTAAGATTATGAAATGGTAACTTCAATTAAAGTCTATGAAAATGATTCTATTGATTTAATTCGAAGAATAGCTTAAATTATATTAGATAATCCTTATATTTCTTGCTTTGCTTACATGGATCTGTAACAGATTGATTTTTTATTTAAGTTTAAGCTTATAATTTTTAAATTATATTAATAGGACTTAAATAAAAAGTAAAATGCTGTTTAAAGATCTAATATTTACTGAAGATACTAAGAAGTTATATGCTGTTTGTTAATATTAAGGGGAAATAGTTATTGTTACAAGACTTAAATAAAGTATTCCACTCAAAATAGATTTTAAAGAGACAGTTTTTGGATTAAAAACAATCTTAGAAAACAAAATTGGAATTGATTGTCTTGACCAACTTATGTATTTTAATGGATCGTAATTTAAATCTTTTCAATAAATTATTGATTTTAGAAAGTTTTAAATATTTTTCTTTAAATGTTAAAAGGCTACTTGAAGACTCGAAAAATCTTACAGATTACAAGATATGTGTTGGAAGTCGCATATCTGTTGAAGAAAATATTTTTAAAGAAAGTCTAAGATAGAAACATATTGCTGAAAATTCTAACCTGGATACATAAAAGTCGAATAGCATAAATATGCTTTACAGGATTAATTAAAAAATAGACAGTAAAAATATGATGTAAAGTGATGAAGAAGAAAATAATGTGTATTGTGAAGGAATAAATCTTGTTTGTTCTTGCGTTAACTAGTATTGTAAATAAAAATACACAGATAGTGAAATAGTTTATAAAAAAGGACTAGGAAATCATTTAATAAAATTTGCTAATGACCAAACTTTGAAAACATTAAAGTAAATATTTAAATTTTTAAATGAAATTAATTTTATTTTATAATAATTAGCTGTAAAAGATGTTTAGGCCCTGTTAAACTCTAATCAATAATTTTGAAAGGATGCTCAATTATTTTTTTAGAGTAAACAAAAGAAAATTAAATAGTCTATCATTTTAAATGGTAATTTTTTAGTCCCCTCAATATAGAACCTTTTAAATAATACTAGCAAGATTGTCATGCTTTATATTTCTTTGTAAACGAGTATAATCACACTAGCTTAGAAAAAGATTAGTTTCTTCTAAACTGCCTAGTATGTAGAAATAATTAAATTTCAATAGAAGATACTGATCAATTTATTCACGAGTAGTGTAAATCTGAGTTTCCCTTAAACTGCAAAGAAGTTTTTTCCTAATTTTGATATAAAATTTAATTTTTCTAAAATAAAAAGAAAATAAATAATAAAAATAATTTGATCCTAAACAAATAAATAAAAAAGTTAAATTTTAAATATTGACTGAACATAAAACAGAAAATAATTATTTTAATGATTTGTTTAGTAAATAAAATGAAGATAAAATTAATAATAAAAAAACGAGGTTTATTTTGTAATAAATATTATGATTAAATGAGAGATTGATTACTATAAATAAACATATATTGTATACATATATTATAAAGTGATTAAATTAATTAATATATTTATATATAAATTGTTTAAGCAACTGATTAATTGTTGGGTTGGTTGGATTTATGGGATTTACATAATTTGATTAGCATTTATTAATATATTGATTGAATATATTATTATAATATTGAATCATATTAATATAAATAGTTTTTTATTGTTTTTTTATTATCATGCGATTACTAAATTGCTGTTATTTTTAGGATTGGAATTTCTCTTTATTGTTTCACTTAATATACTGTCAGATGCTCTAACTGTGCTCAATCTTTATGGAGAAAAAACTTAATCTCTTGAATTAATGATCTTAATAGCATAATTATAGCTTTAGTTATCAAATATCTAAGTTGATTTATCAGAATTACTACTCTCAAATTATTAGTATTTGCTTTTTACAATTTGCATTTACTCTGGTGTTAAGGAGGATATATTGCAGATGGAGCTATCGCTGTAGGTAAGAGAAGTCTATTCTCTTATAGTAGAAGTGTAAAGCTTTTATTCCTTAGCTCTTGAAGTATCTTCTTCATCATCTTCTAAAGTTAATTCTGTTATCTTTGCAAAGTGATTCAATGTAAATTTTTACTTGTTCTCAAGCTCTTTGAAAGCAATTTCAAGTTCAGAATTTTAAGTAAACTCTATTTCAAAAACATTTGTTGTAAAGCTTGATTTGTTATCATTCTAATCAGCTTGTTGTTATTTGAAATCAATCACCTCTGACATATCGCATTATACTCCATCGAATGTTTTTTAAATTGGAGCTGCTTTGTTTGAGAAGAATTTACTTCTTGGAGATATTACAGGGCTAAGACTCCACTCAGCTTTTTCTAAATTAGGTGGAGCAAGATGATTATGATTAACATCTAAAAGAATTTTATCTTAGGTTTGAATATTAGGAGTATAATTCTCATGTATAGTTTAATTTCTAGAAGAGCATGGAGTTTGAATAGCAGTAGATTAAGGATTACTGAATATTTTGCTTGATCTTTTTCTATTAGAGTTAATAGGACTGCAATTGCTATTTATACTTTTAGTGTGTTCATTTTATCTGCGAGGGGGAGAAGATTAAAATATGCTAAAAGTAATAGGGTTTTATTGTCCAGATTAAACTGTTACGGCTTCAGTAGCTAATGAAAAATTTTCATGATTATGAACATTAGCACTTCTTTTAGTTGATTCACTTCTTAGTTGAGCGATAGAACTACTACTCTTGATGGGTTCCAAAGTAAAGCGACGACTAGATAAGTGATCATCAAATATTTTTCTATTGGGATATGCTTGTATTCTAACACTTCCATTGGAATCTTATGTTTAACAGACATTTTCATCAAATGTTTTTCCAATGCAATTGCAATTATTTCCCATATTTTTAAAAAAGTGTATTTATTTGTCTCTTTTTTTATTCTTTTTGACAAGTATCTCTCTTAAAAGTAGAATTCAAACAATATTATTTTTTTAGTTTTTTTAAATATTAACAAGGGTTAGAGCCTTAAATCTGCATTTAATATCATAGAAGCCATCAAAAATTAGTTTTTAATAAAAAATAAAAATCATTAAAAATTTCGCACACTTTGCATTTTGATAGCTAAATATTGTTTATTATTTTTTGAAATCCAATTACCATTTTTTGAATTTTGAAGCCATCTTATATTGAGAAAATAATTATCTTTATCTACTCTAAACACATCAAATTCGACTCAATATAGTTGTTATAGAAAGCTAATTGCATTACATTTACAATTAGAATTTATTTCTTTGATAAGGAATAAAAATTTATTTTTAATTGTTGTTATTTTGTTAAAGGCTTGCATCGCTTAAAAATGTCACTCAATATCTACAAATAAATAATCAAATAATAGATAAAATTTTACAAATTGATCACTTAATCTAAAAATAAATTAATAAATCCATTAGCCAAAAATTATCATTTATTAATTTATTTATTATTTTCTATCTTTAATTAATCTTTCATTTATTATCAGTTCTTAAGTAATTTGTCTACTTTAAAAAATCGTAAATACAAATAATTAAATAGACCGAAATTAAAATAACAAGGTACTAAAAGAGAGAGAGATAATTTATTTAACAAAATGACCTAATTTAATTTTAATTAACTTATATTTTAAGATGATCATATATATCTAACTAATTAATACCTTTACTCTTACATAAGATAAAAAAATAATTAAATCAATTATAGATTTATTTTATTAAATTTTATAATTATCTATCTATTTTTTATTTTCTATCAATTAATCATATCTCTCTATTATTTAAATTATTTTTCCTCTACAAAATTTAAAAATATGAATATTTTTATAGAAATAATAATTTTAAAAATCATTTTCAGTAATTTTACAAATTTTGTTAATTTTAAATTTTATTTCTTAATTTTGATATTATTTTAATACATTATTTATTTTTTTAAATAATTTTGAAAGTCTATTTTTTAGATTAAAATTAACAGTATTAATCAATTTTTTATACATATCTGTGTTATATATTTTAAATTTGCTAAGAATATTAAACTATACTATTTAATGAATTTGAAGATATCAATTATATACTAAATAATGTACACTTTCATTCTTTATTAATTTAACAAATAAAAATGTAACAAATTAATAAAAATAATTAAATATTTATATTCGAATAAAAATTAAATTAAAAGTAGATTTTATAAATAAATTATCACTAATTAACTGATATTTTATTAATAGTTGGAAATTTTATTGCTTTGCTTTATAAATATAAATATTGAATATTTATCATTTTTACTTATGAGTTGAGAAGATTTATCGTTTTATATTTACAAATATTATAAATATTCATTTAAATTTAATTAGATTACAAAGCCAAATGATGTCTAAAAGATCAGAGAGGTATCCTATTCTAATACATTTTTGATAATTTTAAGATATTATACAAGATATTTTTTTAGAAAAATATAAATAAATAATTAATTAATTAAAAACAAATCAAAAAAACAAATTTTAACTCCAATTAAAATCAATGTCATATAACGAGTATTCAAACGAAAAGCCTAGATTTTTAAGTTAAGCTTAAGCAGAGAGAAGAAGACAACAATTTGTTGAACATTCAATTAACTACAAGCTTTAATTAAGATTAGATAAGGGTGAAAAATATCAAGGTGTTGTTGAAGTAGAATTCAATTTAACTAATGCAGGTAGAGATCTCTTTATTGATTATTAAGGTTCATCTATCGAAAAGGTAGTTATCAACAAAGCTGAACTTGGAAAAGCAGGTGATTCCTATTTGAATTAAATTTGGAATGGTCTTTTTGTTAAGCTTCCTACTCAATATTTGAATAATGGCAGAAACGTTGTAACAATCGTATTCTCAAATGAATATTGCAATGATGGTTGTGGTTTACACAGTTTTACTGATACTGATGGTAAATAGTATATCTATTCTCAATGCGAGCCTTACTGGTGTAATCGTATATTCCCTTCATTTGATCAACCAGATTTGAAGGCAACCCTTGAAGCCACCATAGTTGCTCCTAAAGATTGGGTTATTCTTTCAAATGAATTAAAGTCTCATGAAGCTCATTTCTCTCAATAGGACTACAAGACCCATAACCCTACTATGCCTTACTCATGCAGTATCCTTGGAAATATTCCTGAAAATAATGATTATCATTACGCAGTATTTAACAAGACACAACTTTATCCTACATATCTTTTTGGCTTTGTTGCTGGTCCCTATGGAGAAATTAAGTGCCAAGAAACCTATAACGTATTTAGATACATTCTTTTTTAATAAATTTAGAAAAGATACTGATTTTAAAAACTTATTTAATACTTACTTTTTAAATTAATAGAACATTCCTATGAGTTTGTATTGCAGACAATCTTTGATGGTTCACTTATAGAAGATGTCAGATTGGTTATTTGCTTCTACAATTGAATCTATGAAGCTCTACGAAGACTTATTTGGCTATCCTTATCCTTACCACAAATACGATTCAGTCTTTTGTCCTGAATATAACATGGGTGCTATGGGTAAATATTTATTTAAAATTTGTTATTTTTATAATAAATGCATTTTACTGAAATTTACTTAAAATTTAATTAAAAAAAATAGAAAACACAGGTTTAGTTACATTCAATGATTTGTATATTTTCAGAGAAGAAAAAACTGCTTCATCTTATACAAGTTTCCTCAACACAGTTACTCATGAACTCTCTCACCATTGGTTCGGTAACCTCGTTACTATGAAGTGGTGGAACGACTTGTGGTTAAACGAATCTTTTGCTGATTTTATTAGTCACTACATCATCTCTAAGATGACTGTAAGCCACAAGCCCTTGATAAACATTTGGATTGAATTTAACTTAAGAAAGTCATGGGGGTAAGATAATTTAAACATATGATAAAATTTTTAATAATTAATATAAATAATTTTACAATAAAAACAGTTACCGCACTGATTAATTGAATACAACACATCCTATTGCTTGTGTTGTTGAAAATACTGAAGCTGCTGATTCCATTTTCGATGGTATCTCATACTCTAAAGGTAGTGCTACTCTTCGTTAATTAATGTCATTAATGGGAGAAAAACCCTTCAGCGATGCATTAAAGAAATATTTCAAGAAGTTCGAATTTAGAAATGCTGTTCTTGATGATTTGATTGAATTCTTTGATCAAGAATTCAAATAATTAAATCTTGGATTCTCTCTACATGAATGGTAGAAATCTTGGATTTAAACTGCAGGTTTGAACGAATGTTAACCTGTATTCAATCCTGAAGATAGAAGTGCTAATGCTTCCCTCAAGATTGTCTAAACTCCTGCACTTCCTCAACACCCTACTCTTAGAAGACATAAATTATAAGTTGCCTTCTTTGACGAAAATGCTAATATTACTACTTACCCTGTCTTACTCAATGAAGCTCATGAAACTGTTCTAAATTACGATGCAAGCAAAACCTAATTCAAGGCTGTCTTGCTTAATTATGGTGATTGGGGATTTATTAAGGTCCTCCTTGATGACATCTCAATTGAATTCTTTAAATTAAATTTACATAAAATTACAGATATTGTTACAAGAACCCTTATTTGGAGAGCTTTCTTTGACATGGTCAGAGATGGAAAACTCTCTTCTGAAGAATATATTGATATCTTCATAAATGCTATTCCTAATGAAACTTCTGATGATATTATTACCTCTTAACTCTAATACTTATAAGGTGCTTACTCTAGCTTCACCCCTGAATAATACAAGTTAGTTTTAGGTGAGCGTGTTTTCAATTTCTTACTCAAGTATCTTTTGAGTATTCCTGCTGAAAATAAAAATAGAATTATTGCAGTAAGAGACAAACTTGATGGTTTTGCTAGATCTGATGCTCATATTGCTAAGTTACTTGCTTGGTATAACGGTACTGATGAAGATCTTAAAAACATTGAAGTTGGTTTATCAGTTTAATGGAGAATTGTTTCCCTCGTACATAAGAGTAGAAAATATACCAGAGAAGAAAAGACTTAGCTTTTCAAGAAATAGGCTGAAAGAGATCCTAGTGATACATCCAAGAATTACGAATAAAAATGTAACTATTTTAAAATTAAAATGTTTTTTAAATTAAAATTTAAAATAATTAAGGTAAGGCTTTAGATGTTAATGCTGAAGAAAGAGAAAAATTATGGAATTTCTACTTCTCCGCTGAAAATACTCTCTCTGTAAGAAACCTAGAATATTCTTGGAGTGGTTTCAATAGTTCTTTCAACCACGAAGAACTTGAACCATATTTTGAAAAATTCTTTGAAAAGATCTTACATGTTTATGATACCAAACCCAAAGAATTTGCAAATGATTTCTATTAATATTTACTTCCCAACACTGAAGACTATGCAAAACTAATTTCAAGACTTGAAAGCCTTTTAAGTAACCTTAATGAAAAGTATGTTTTCTTACAGCGTTACATTAAGGAAAGCATAGATGATTGCTAACGTAAATAGAGAACTCATAATTGCTTTAGAACCAGAGCTCCCTTAGCAAAAACTAATTGATGATTAAATAAAATTATTTGAAATATCTAAGTTATTTTTTTATTTATCAACAAAAATCTGTATCCAAGATTTTTAAATACTTTAATTGAAAATTTTTATTTACTTTTAAAAAATATTATAATAAAGAAAAAAGATGTAAATTTATTGCATCTTATTAGCTATTTTATTTTGTAAAAAGAATAAAATTTGTAGAAACTAAAATTTTAAAATAATTAATAAATAAAATAAATCAAAAGTAAAAAAAATAGAGTTCATATTTTTATAAAAATAATTAAATTTTTGTATTTGTTGATAATTAGTTTAAATACGTTAGAAGCTAGAAATTCACCTACAGTTTTTCTTTGTAAAATATAATTCAATAATGTTTAAGATTTTTTTATAATTTTAACAAAAACAATTTTATTTTTGAATAAATATCCTCAAATTCTTCTCCTTTTTAAAATATTTTTTGATTTTTTAAAAATAAATATTTGGTTTGATTTCTGATTAATTTCAGACAATAACAACATTTTCAAAATTGTTACCTTTAAATTACTTAAAAAACTTGTTTTTCTGATAAACTGGCTGCCTCAATTGTGCTGTTTTTATGTATTACAATATTTATTTATTTTTTTTAAATATAAGATTTTGATAAAACTGAAAATCAGATAATAAATTTAGAAGTTTATTTTAATCAAAAGATTATTTAAAATAAATAAATTATTACTTTCTGTTTTATTTAATTCAAATGTTATTGTATTTACTATTAAATTAACTCAAAAATAGAAATTTTTTAGTTGAAGCAATAATAATATAAAAATTTTCAGAATATATAAATAGTCAAACAAACAAACAAACAAAAAAATTTATTTGATATAATTTAAATAATTTATTAATTTTAAATTATTATAATTATTTAAAGTTGGCTTAATTTTTATTAATTAAAATTTTGTTACTTTATTTGAATTTTTTTAAATAATTATTATTTAATAATGAATAAATGAAATTTTCTAAGATTTATTTAGGGAGTATATAATGTCTATAACTAATTATAATAGTAATATATATATATTTTTTTATAAGTGTGATAGTTAATTTTAATTCAATTGCCTCAATCAATAATACTTTTTATTTATTTAATTATCAATTATTTTTCTATTCTAAAAGTTATTATTATTCCAAAATCCTTTCATTAAAATGCTCTATAGGCTTTAATGTTTCACCTGAGAGCAGTTGCTTTGCAAATAAGACGCAATCGTAGCCACATTTTTTTGTTGCTGGTAAAGTCATTGGTAGGTCTAAATTTAAGTAACCATGAGTTAATTCTCTATATAGAAGCAATTTCACGTTGTGATTAAGCTTTATCAGTTTTTAAAGGAATCTAATACAATCGTCTTTTAGTAAATCTTTGTCACCACAAGCCATTCTTATTGGAGGTAACTGTTATAAAACTTCATCTGAGAATAAAATAGGACTAAGTAATGGGTCAGAGTTAGGATCTATGTTCGGATTAGTTCTATCCATATAGCTATCTAAGCTAACTTTCAAAAAATTGAATGGGATAATTATTTCTTTAAATATATTTATAAATGAAGGCGTAAAAAAATCCATTCTTAAATTGAGTGCAGGATAACTTAGAATTAATCCATCAGGACGGCGGATACCTCTTTAGAGGGCTAAAAGGCAGATTCCAAGAGCCATATTTCCTCCAGCAGAGTCACCAGCAATTATTATTTTGCGTATTTTAACATTTTCAAAGTATTCTTCAAGTCCATTTAGCAGAAATTAATATACTTACCAACAATCATCAAGAGGCTTTGGGTATTTGTTTTCTGGTGCATTAGAATATTCAACAGAGAAAATAGGAATGTCACCTAGATCTTTGGCCCATTTACGAGTGTACATCTCATGACTCAGAGTATTTAGTCCTACCCACCCACCTCCATGTATATGGTAAACAATATCTTAAATTAGTTTAGGGCCATTCTTTTTAGGTTAATATTCCTCATTTGATTTTCCCACTATTTCACGAGCAATTAAAGGGATATTAGAAAGTATTGTAACTTTGATTGATTGCTTGTTACTTTTATCAAAAAGGTTATACTTTTTCCATTCAGTTTAAACATTTTAATTTCTTTCCTGTAAATTACTAGCATTAATGTTTTCCATTGCCTAAATTTGTACAGAGTCAACAGCTCTTTTGAAATGTACAGGTTATGGAATTTTATGCTAATCTGCCTTTAGATCAAACATAGTCTTTGATGTGTTTTTCTCTATTATTTCTTTTAAAGTTATAGGCTCATAAACAGGTGGAACATATATTTTCAAACGTTAAGTGACTTTAGGTAAACTAGTTTTGAGAAATAATCTCATTGGGTATAGGCGTTCAAAAACATTCCAAATAGCAATTACTAATTCATTTGAAGGATTTACTTGAAAGACTTTTGTTTCTTCCAAACTCTTTTTCGGTTAAAGATAGTAGAAAACAATCCAAAAAGTTTCTAACAAAGCCTTTAATTTAGAAGAATCCTTAGAAACTGTTCTTACTAATGCACAGTTTGATAAATTACTTAGATGGCCAAATTTCTCAAGTGCTTCTTTAACATATTCTGCTTTTTCTAAGATATTTATGTACTCCAAGCGCTATTTAACAAACTTATATTCTGGATGGTCTTTGTCATCAAAATGCATCATTATATCGTTTTAACTGGCACTTAGTATAGAATGGTAAATGTTATGGTCAAACATAAGTCTGTAATGGCTCATTTCTACATAAATCATAGGGATCCTTTTCTTGAATTCGCTTTCACTATCAATCAATCTTACGTTTGCCAGGGTTTGTATTAAATCTTCATTAAAATGTTTGCAACCCTTGATAAGATAATATAGATTTAGTTCTTCTCTTTTTAAATTCTTAATTTCTTAGTGGATGAAGACCGTTTCATCATCGTACTTACCTTAAATCTAGTGATTAATTTAATTAATTAATTTAAGATTATCAGTAGTGATTTAAATGAACCATTCTAAAATTTCTTTCATCGTCCAGACTTCTTTGTTGAGGGTGACTGAGCCATTATATTTTTCACTCTGAAGAAGACGTTTGAATTCAAAATCAAGATTAATAAAAATATTCTTAAATCTTGTAAATAAGTCTAAATTTAAATCACTCATCTATAAAATTTAGTTATTGCTATAATAATATGATTTTATTAAGTAATGAAACTTTTTTAGCGAAGTAAAAAATTTTGTTTTTAAGCTTTTTAATTTTTACTTTTCTAAAATTTTTAATTATTAAATTATTAACAAATTAAAAAATCTGAGACCTCCAAATTTATTTGATTGGAAATAGATGAATAAAAACAATTAATAATATTATCTTGCTTAACTGTTAAACATAACCCAAAAAATTTTCTTTTATACTCTATATTACACTAAAATCAATAGAATCAAATCACTATCTCGTTAATTAAAACACAGAAAAAAAAATAAGAAGTAATAATTGTTTCAGTATTTGTAAGCTGAAATGACATATTTTCACAATTAATTTACTTGTGCTTCAGCTATTACACTATTATTTCAATTTGCAAAAATATAAAAAATGATAATTTATTGGAAATTAAACAATTATTTATTTTCGCATGTATTATTTACTTCTTAATAGCTATCTTTTATTCTCTCAAACAAAATTTTATTTTCGCTTTTATCAAAAATCATTAAATCAATTAACATTTTTTAGTGACCTACAATAATCTTATTTTTTATCAAAATACTTTATTTTTATACTTTTATCAAAAAAATCTGATTTCAAATTTATTTTGAGAAGAAAATTTTTTAGAAATTTTTTGATCTAAAATATCAATAATTGGTTATTAAATAAATCACATCAAACTTTATTTGTATAATAAACTAAGAACTAATCTCTAGATAATTTTTATAAAATAGATAGAGTATGAATTTATTTAATCCTTTAGCTCAAGTATTTCAATCTCAAAAGAGTTGAAAGCTATTTTAATAATTAAAATTGTATCTTTTTATAAAATTTAGGTATTACTAAAATAAGCTAATTAAATTCTCTATTTTTAGGTTAAATCTTGAAATTAAATAAAATTTAATCAAATTAATTTTATTTAAAACAAAAAAATAACCATTTCATAATTTTTTTATAATCATAGTTGTTAAAACATCATTTTTTTATTTTTGGAAAATTCTTTATAATCTAAGTTTTAAGCTCTAATAATTTTTTTTTTAATAATTTATCATTCTTATTTTATTATATTAAGTAATTTGATCAATTTGGTATATTTATTTATAAAAATATTAATTTTCTAAATATTTCTAGATATTTTATTGAACTTGCTAAGCAAAATAAAATTAATATTTAAAATAAATCAAATATAAATTTGAGATAAAAAAATAAAAGTTAATTAGAATTAAATACAATATAAGTTAAGTTATTTTGATTGATTTAGTTAAATTACTTTAATAGATATTATGTTGTTTACCGCTTAATTAATTTTATTAGAGTTTACTAATTTACTTTTAGTGAAAATTTAATTAACTTTATTAAGATTTAATTTAATTTAATTAAAAATTCAAATTTTATTTTTTCTGCCTATATTTTTCGACTTAAAAGCTCCTTTACTTGTATAAGCTCCTGCTGGTATTGATTAATTTTTAGGATCATCTAAGTCGTACAAAATGTTATTATCCTCCTCTTCTTCTTCGTTTTAGTCAAGATATATATCTACTTGTTCATCCATTTAATAAGCTCTTAAAAAGTCATCGTAGTCAATTTCAAGAGGATTTCTTCTATCTTTATTTTTATTAGCAATTACATCATTAAACTTTTTAACCTTTTCTAATAGCTCAGAGGCCTTCTCTATTTATTCCTTTTCTGATAAGACTTACTTTTTATTCTCTAGATAATTAAAACATAATTTAAATTTAAATAAATATTTTTAAATTTATAGTTACTGTTTAAGTTTAACAATGCAGGGTCAAATTCTAGTTTTAGCTCATTCTTAAGCTTTTTATTTTATTCCATTTTCTCTTAAGCAGTCAGAACTTTCTTCTTTTCAGGCAAAGGTTTTTCTGGTGCTTTTTCTCCCTTTTCTCCTTTTTCAGTTTTTTTAGGTTTTTTCTAATTTTTTTAATCAAAATTCTTATCACTCATCATGCTCTCATCTTGCTTTTGTGAATTTTTTTCTTCATCATCACTTTAATCATCTTTATTGAGTTTTTTTTTAAGCTTCTCCATATAATATTAAGCATCAACTTTTCTCTTCTCTTCATCAACCCTTAGTTGCCAATTGTTATTCATGATATCATGTCCCAAAATAAGGGATCCCATCTTTTTGTAATCGTTAAAAGACCAAAGATGACAACAACAATCAAATGAGCTAGTTGCAAACATATTATACTCCTTCAATACTTCAATCCATGTTATGCCATCATTATGAGCACCCTTAAGTTAATGGACAAAAGCTATATCTTTATCTTAGAAGTATTTTTCAAGATTATCCATTTGAGATAAACTCTTATTTTAATAATTAGATTAATATAAAAATCAATTTAAGATAAATTACTATTTGCTTTTCATTAATTTATTTAAGCTCATCAAGTTCAGTAGGGAAGAATCCATTGCTAGCTCTATTAGGAGTTTGCTTTAAAGGAGTTTAAGCTTACTTTGTTTTTTGTTATTAAATATTATCATCCTTAATTTCATCAAGCTTTTTTAAGAATATAGTCAAATCCCAAATTGTCACATTACCCAATTCATCTGAAAGCAAAAGCATATTGTTATCTGAATTAAATGCAAGATGAGTAACTGGAAATTTATCTACTTTATTATTAACCACAGATGTAGTTTCGTATTTTTTAGTAAGAAGATATCTAGTTCTTGCTTTACCATTATTTACACAATAAAAATGAACATATCCTTTTTTTATACAACAGAATCAAAAATAAATAAATAATTTTCAATGATATTCATAATAAATATACCTTCAGAGTCAGATGTAACCAAAGCATTATATGGATCCAAGAATATAACCTTCTTTTTTTCAAAAGGATATTGAGTACTTGGTAGAGTCTCTTATCTGTAGGAATTAAGATTAGTTATAACTATATTACCATCATCTGAAGCAGAGGCAAATAACTCAGAATCTTGTTTAAGGGAAAGCGAATTAACACTACTTTTATGCTACTTCATTTTATATCTACAACTTCTGGAAGGGTCACTACTATCTTCATCATGAATAAATACAGTCTCTTCTCTACTACAACTAACTACTCTATTATGAAATAAAAAATAAATAAAGATCCATGTCTTGTTAAGTAGGTAGTATTCATTACAAAATAATATCTTAAAATTATTAATTAACTCTTTTAGTTTTATTTTTTTAATAATCCTAAAATAATTTTTGATTTAAATTTTGAAATTTTTTTGATGTTGATTTGAAAAAAATACTCATCATTTACAATTATTTGAATAAAAAATAAATACCTTCTGGAGTCACCTGTTCCATCTTCATCATCGTCATCACCTCCTATCTCTATAGTAGCAGGTTTCTTAGAAGTCCAATGAGTAAGATCAGTGATCATTCTGTTGTTGTGCTTTTCGAATTTTTTCATTTTTGCACCATTTTTGATATTTACTGTAAATATGTTGCCGTCTGCATCACCAACAAATAGTTTTCTTTTACGTGTATCAAGTACACAAACAGTAAGTTCAGCAGTAGATAATTCTCTATAAACACTTTGCAATTTACCTGTACGAATGTCCCATACCTTGATACAATCAGGATGAAGTGTAATTAAACAAAGGAGTACGCTATTGTATAAAACTCTTAAGCACATCTTTTCATCTGTTAGCATTTAATCTTTTGGCTCATCGTATTCATAATAGTAAAGTCTTCTAGCTCCAAAAATAATTCTTTTTTTCTAATTTGATGTCACCACAAATGAATTCAATTCATCAGTTGGTACATTTATTGTTTACATGCATAAGAAATTTCTTACATCCCAAACTTTTACCATTCCATTAATATCAGCTGTTATAACTTATGGTGTACCAGGTAAGCATTTGACTCCAATCAAAGGATGATTGTGCCCTCTCAAAAGAAAGATCTTTTCTTTTACATAAGTATTCCACACAAATGCCTCATGATCAAGCTGAAATAAATTTTAATAATTAATTTAAATTTTAAATTGTTAAATTTACTCCAGCACTAAGTAAACATTAATTCATTGGAGAAAAATCAGACCAATCTAAACTATAAACACCTTTTTCGTGTCCTCTTAATTCTTTTTTGGGAAGATGAGTAGCTGCATCCCACAAGCATATATTTGCATCTAAACCTGCAGTTACTAAAGTAGTTTAAATGTTAATTGGAAGAATATCTCCAATAGGAGAAGCATGACCATATTGTTAAGAATCTCTTTTGAAGAAAGGATTCCATCCACCAATCGTACCTTTTTCCTTCAAGGTCTTTGTATCATAAATGTGAATGATACTATCTGACCCTCCTGTATATAAATAAGTAGGTTGGCTTTAAGTTGACCATTTAGCATATCTCATACAAAGCTAAATTTCTGGTACCTTTAAAATATTAAAAATAATTTTTAAATAATTACTACCATCTATTTTATAGATTTATAATGTAACTCTTAAATATTTATAATCAACTAAAACTTTTTAAGTTAGTGAATTTTTTAACTGAAACAATTTGTTTAGGAATAAAGAAGGAAGAATCCCAAAAGTTGATAGTTAAATCATTAGAAGAAGTAGCAATTAAATTTTAATCAGGAATATATTCTGCATCTAATACTGCGCATTTATGAGCATTTACTTCGTAATATAATTCTGCAGTATTTGCATTATAAACTTTAAAGCGAGTGGAGTCTTTTTCTAATACAACCAAGTACTTTAGCTTATCGAAATAAACAATTTTCTCTATTGGGGTTTCATGCTTTTAATTATCTTTGATATGCTCACTAGGAAAATAATTTTTTATAACGTTTTTAAAACTTCTATCATTTCTAAGCAGCCCTAAACTAATAATATGATCTGAAAATTCTTCCCATTCCATAGTTCCTAATTTTAAAGATTAATAAAGAATTTTAAATCAAGTTAAATCATTGAATAATTTCAGCATTTTTCTTAAATTTATGCATTATTTTTTATTTTATAATAAAACATTTTTGATTTTTTGCAACAATCTTTTCATATGCACATAGTAATTTATATTTATGTTTATTAAATTTAATCACTAAATAACTTCAAAAAAAGTATCCATGAATTTTAATAGCTATTTACCATCACCATTTACATCAATTTCTTTGAATAAATCTATAAGTGCTAAAGTTATTTGATCTTCTTTTTACACATCAGATTTATCAAAATCTAAATGTGTTAACATAACTCTTACAAATTCATCAATTTTCAATCCCTTTCCGCTTTAATCAAATTGCTTTTCAATTATGTACATTTTCTTTTAAGGGAGCATTTCCATAATATCAATTTCTCCATTTTGCTTAGAATTGGAATATTCCTATGAATTTTATTTTTCTAAATGACTTGAATCTTTAACATCTGAACTCATTTTACTATTCTTGTATAAACAAACTCTACTTTTTACTTAATCAAATTCCAAACAAATAAGTTTCTAAATATCTAACTAATTTAATTAAAATGTGTTTCTTGGGATTAATACAAAATGTATGGATTCGTTTAAGCTTATTTATTTAGAAATTTAGTTAATCTCCCAACAAAATCAGTTATTTTCATTAAAAGCACGGCAACATTATAAAGATATTTAAAAAAAGATAAAATATATAAAATTAAAAATAAATAAAATAAATTTATATAATTTTTTATTTGAACGATTTTATTGCAATTACATTGTAATTTTCAATACATTTTTTTAATTTTTTATAAAATATTAATTATTAAAATTTGAATAAATAAAATTGTGATTGATCACATTATCCTTGAAAATCCTTCCATGTTTATTTGTTACTCTTCTAAATCTTCTTACTTTTAAAAATTAAATAATAAATAAAAATATTAGATTTAAAATATTTAAGTAAATATAGCCAATTAATTACATTTGAGAGCTTGTGATAATTCTTCTTTGAAGAATATTGTGTTCCTTTTATTTTTTGAATATTTCTTTAATTATATTTTAATTCTTATTCATACTGTTTAATTTTTAAATTAATTTTTTATATTTTCTAATCCATCATATTTAGGATATTTTTAGTTAGAGGATCGTTTTGAATTTATCCCGAATTCAGATTTTACTGCTGCATAAATAAAAATTACTTTCTGTCCCTTAAAAGTTAATCTCTCTTTTAAATTAATTCATAGTATTCTTTATCATTTTAAATAGTTTTATATTAGTTTGCATAATTGATATTTTAATTCTCAATTTAATGATAATTTCTCTTTTCCATTCTTTTTCTAATTGCTTCTTATTAATCTATTTCATTCATGATAAAAAAATGTTAATTTATATAATTAAAATTAATTTTACTAGAAATGTTATCAATAGCATTATTTTCTTTGTTAGAATAGTAATTTTAGTCAGATCTGTAGGGATTGTCCTCTTTTTGAATCAAGCTTTTTAATTATTCTACTTCTTTTTGAAGTCTATCTATTTCAGTGTTATTTTATAAATCCTCATTATTAATTATACTCGACTCATCGATTTTATAACCAAAGCTATTTTACTCATCTGCAAATAAATTTAAGTTGTTTTATTAGCTAAAATAATTATTTGACCTAAACTACTCTAAAGTTTATCTCAATTTCACTTCTGCCTTTTTTTCATCTTCTAAATTCTTTTATTATAAATTCATTTAGAAAGCTAATTGCTAATTGATATTTTCTTAATTCAAAATTTATAGATTGATTTCATTTAAAACAGATTCCTATTCTTACTTTTACTTTTATATATCCTCAAAAGTCTTATTTTACTTAATTATTTCTTCTTACAATTTATTTTTCCTATCATTTAACTCATCAATAGAGTTTTAAAAGCTATTAATAATCTAATGAAGTTAGATATCAAGGTTTTAAATATCTGTCAAAACAGGTTCTTCTTTTTAAATTTGTTCAATAAGTTACTATTTTTGTTACTCTAAGTTCTTTTTTAAGAAAATTGATAAAATTAGTAAAATTAAAATCATAATTTGAATTTTAAACGAAGAAATTATTACTAAAATTTGATTTTCTAGTTATTTTACTTGAACATTGCTAAACTCTTCAAACTTTTCCTTTTATTTGTTTTCTAATTGTCTAACTTCTATAAAAAAATTTTATTAATTACAAATAATTATGGAGTTAAATTTACCTTTTTCAAACAAATTTTCTTAAGAGGCTAAAAGCTTCTAGATTTCTAGTCTTTTTTCTTCTAAAATAATCTCGTACTCATTTTTTTTCTTCATTTTATTTTTCTCAAAATTAATTATTTCTTCTTTCCTGATTCTATCAAATACAAGATGCCTTTTATTTTCTTGCTCTCTTAAAAGATCAATCTAAAACTCTTTGTATTTTTTTTCAAATTCAATCTTAGTTGTTTATCTATATGCTTCTTCTTCTATAGGTGACATTTCTTATATTTAGAATTATTGTTCCCATATTAGTTAAAAGCTTTCTAAGTCTTTTTCGAAGTTTTTTTATTCCTTTTCTATTGCTTTTTTTATTTGGTCTTCAACCTTTTAATTTACCTCTATTTTCTACTTTTCAAAATCCTCAGACAATTATTTCAATATCTCCTAGTGATCTTTCTCAATATTTTATATCCCCTTTTCTTAATCCTCCTATTTAAGTTAAGCATACAAATTAAAAAAATATAATAATATAGAATTAAAAAAATTATTTCAACAATAAATTATATAAATAATACTTTTATCTATTTTAAGTCTTTGATTTCAGATTCAAGCTGTTCTAATTTAGAGACACATAGTTACTCTATTTCTTCTTCAAATATTTTTGTGTTTTCTTCATAGTTTTTTCTAACATGTAAGAGATTATTTTAAAGCTATTATTGTTAGTTTAAAATCTCTGTGTGTTTGAATTACTCAAGCTCCTAAATAATCTTATTTTTTTGAGTTTATTTTTAATAATCTTATTTAATCTTATTATCAGCTATTCTATCACTATAAACTTTAATAATTTCTTGTTTTTATGATTCAAAATTTCTTTCAAGATCTTTTTAAAACTAAGCAAAATCATTTTCTAATTATTGTTAAATTTCATTTATTTTTAACTTGTTTTCTTAGTCAATCTACAACTATTTTTACTATATATATGAATCCTCCTATGCAAGATCTTAATTTTAAAATAAAATGCTTTTAGATTCATTCACATCTTCTAATTGCTTTTTCACACTATTAAAATATTTTTATCCATTTTAGTTATTTATCTTTTATTTAATACTCTAGTTGTTACTAAATATCTAGCTAGGATCTTCAATAGTCGAAGCATAAAGAGATGAAGTCAAATTAGCTGGTGATTTTGTTAAGTGAAGTTTGCTTTCATTTAGAATATTATTTTGGTTTTTTTGATTTTTTTTATCACTCTAAAAAAATTGTTCATTTCTGCTATTCAAATTATTTTCTTTTTAACTTTTATTGTCAATAAGTTAGCTGTTATTTTAACCCTATTCATTTTATTTTTTCATCTATTCTTTATTGACCTTTTCCCCTTCGTTTGAGCTTCTTTGAGTACCATTTATTCCTCTAGAGCTCTTTCTGTAATCTTTCTTCCTTTCGCATGTTTCTAATTCATCTTCAAAATCATCCTCTAAGATAAATATGAACATAGTATTATTTAGGTACATTTACAATTTTTAATTAAAGATAATAAATCATTAACTATCATTTACCTGTAATTGGTTCAGCTGCAATATCTTTTAATTAAAAGGTAGTCTAAGCCCTTTTTTGATATAATTTATTTTTCTCTTCTAAATATAATTTTCTAAATTATTCATCGCAAGGATGATCCCATCTACTTTCACCAGTATCAAAATTGAAATAGTAAATTTCCTCATCTTAAGTTTGGCAGGGTTTCCAACCTTAAGGTAAAGGAGCTTTTAATCCATTTCGCGCGATCCAAAGTAATTCTTTTTCATTTTCAAGATCCATTCCTAGGTAGGAGGCATATTCAAATATTTCTTTTTGAATGTATTTTATAATTAGGTTAAAGTAATTTCTTCAAAAAATTACCTTCTTCAGTAGGTTCATAGTTTTCTATCTCCTCCTCAAGTACAATAGATTCATATTTGTTTTCAGATTAAATTTAATTCATTTATAATAAATAAATATGTCAAATATTAATATTTTTCTTTTGGCTAACTTAGTTGTAAGTAATTAATATCTCTCTATCTATCTATCTATCAATCAATAAATTCGAATTATTAGATTAATTGTTTGTAATTTTCAAAATTGAATATTTTGTAAATTTTCATAACAGAAAAATTCTTAAAAGAGATTATTAGTAAAATACAAAATTAAATGATAAAAAATGATATTAATGCTAAAAAACTTTTATTGATTTAATTAATGATTTGGTTTGAATTTTCTGAGAATAGATATCCTTAAAATATGGGTAAGTTTCTATTTTAATTACTATTTCAATAAGTAGATTTAAATATCTAGAATACTGAATTAATATTTTTTAAAAAAATCCTATCAACTACATTATGCTGAATATTCTAAATATTTTTAATAAATAGTTGATTACTGATAACAAAAATTAATAATCTGATTAATATTCTTATGCTTTTAAACTTTCTTTTAGCACACTAAGGTTTTTATAGTTTATTTTAATTAAAAATTTTGTCTAAGATATCTGTCAAAAGCATTAAAAGAAAAATATTTCAAGTAATATAACAATAGGAAAGAATATAAAGAAATTAATGTAAAATTAAAGCTATAATAATTTTACTACTTCAAATTAAGCCTATGGATAGTAGTTTATATAATAAAGTAATCATTCATAAATAATTTATTAGAATTAGTTATTACTTATTTGTTAAACTTTCTATGAAAATTAAATTAATATTTATTCATTTTAATAGGAGATTACAGTAAAAGCGAGATAATCAACCAAGGATCTTAAGGATCTTAGAATACAATGAGTAAATGCTCTTTATCTCATAAAAAAAACAAATTATCTTATTATATTTTATAGATAAAGCTGGTTCAACTTTTAAAAGACTAAGCTAGTCTAATATCTTCAGTCCTAAAAATTAATAAATATTTAAGAGCATGGTATAAGTATCCGAAAGCCCTATGAACTATTCTAAATTCAAAAATAGCAGTTTCACTTTAGGCAATGGACTAGCAAACATTGGCCAAACATGCTACATGTAAATAAATAAATAAAAATAATTAAATCAATAAATAAGACTGCTTTTTTATAAATAGGAACTCGGTTTTATAATGTCTATTTCACTTATCAGGAGGTAAACTAATGAAGTAAATAGAAGAAAACCTTTAAAATGAAGAAATCTTCAATCCACTTCATGAGTTGATTTTTTTACTTTCTCTAACAAAAAATATCTGTGAGAATTAAATAGCTAACTATGAATAAATGTGCTAAGTTAAGGATATTGTGGATACATATGCCACTAATTTTAGAGGAACTGCTTAATAATGCGCTCATGAATTTTTTTGCAAAATAAGAGAGCTCATACATGACTGTCTAAATAAACATCATTTAACTAAATCAAAAATATAAAAAATAAGTAATTAAACTAGCAACCCCAATTCTTCTCCTCTTCAAAAAGCAATCGATAAATGGAATCAAGTTAATTCAATAGAATCATCTTTAATATCTGATTATTTCAGAGGTAAAACTATTTAAATAGATTTCTTTTAAACAATAAATAAAAAAATAGGCTAATATCTTAAAATCATGACTTGCAAAAATTATTTGTGTAAAAACTAATCTGTCTTATGCGATGTTTTTGATGACATTTAATTGCATATTCCAACTTTAGAAAGAAGAAACTCTTATTTCAACATTTTCCCAACAAGCCAAGATGATAAATTAGAAAATTATCTAAGATTTGAATTTAAAGACGAATTGCTATAAGAAGTTGTTTGTGATAAATGCAAATGTAAAGGAATGGAAATAAAAAGTAGCTTAATAAGAATACCTAAAATTCTTGTCTTACAAATAGTAAGATTTGATGCTTAAAATAATAAAAAGTAAAATAAAATATAGATACCATCAAAATTAAATATTTCAGAATTTATTTATAAATCTGAAGTGCCAAGTAAACAAAAATTTATTTTAAGTTAATTGATATTTTACAATTTTTTTAATAAAATAGGATTTAAAAGTACTGAATATAAATTAACTGGTTTAATTGATCATCATGGAGAAACCCTATTTAAGGGTCACTACACTGCGTAATTAATTAATTACCTTTTAGTAAAAATTCTAATAAAAATATACAATATAAATAGGAATATATACAATCAATAAGATAGAAGCTGGTATTTATTTAACGATGATTAAGTATCTAAATAAGATGCTAATTTTAGTACCAAATTAGAAATTATAGGTTCAGAATCTGCATATATTCTATTTTATGAGCTCAACTAATGATTTTAATTAAATTAAAAAATGAAATAATAATTAATTTATTTATTTATTGCTTTTCTTATGTACATTCTTATCCTCTTAAAATAAATATTTTTATATTTTTCGTATTTTATAATAAATTAAAAAATAATAATAATACAACATTTTTGAAATTAAACCCTTATAAATCTTTATATTTCGATATCATTCCATTTATTATTATAATTTTTATTGCATATTTTATAGTTCATTTCATTTAAAATTTTTAAATTAATAATTATAAATATAAATATATTTACATTTTACCAAAAAAATTATAGATAAATTTCTTCTTTCTTTTGAAATATATCAATAAAAAAAATAGTTTATTTTTTAGTTAAGTAATTTTTATATAATAATTAAACCAATCTTTTTTTTAATTACTTTGTATTTCTAAAATATGTTCATAATAAAAATTTTTTTACAAAATTTAATATTTTGATTTTCTATTTTTGAATAAAAATAAAAAATCGCAACCAATAATAATAATTAACAATAAATGACTTTTGGAAAATAAAATAGCTTAAGTTAATTAGAAAATTCTCTAAAAGTGTATTATAACATGAAATTTGAAGGTATTTTGATTATTTTACAATTTAAATTCAAATTTTTTGATTAAAAAAGTATTAATTTGCTTAAGGAAAATTTGAATTTCATCACTTTAAAAGCAATTTATCAATTCAAACTAAACTCTTTTAAAATTATTGGTTTTTAAAAAATTCTTATAAAAATTAATTCAAGCAAATTCCTCTTTGCTATAGAAAATTTCATTTTTTTAACGCCAAATAAACTTATGATTAAATGACAATTGAGAAAAATACTTTATTCTAATAAAAAAATTATTTTTTTTGTTGTTGTCAAAATAAATTATTTTATATAGATTTTTATAGATTTATTTAATATGATAAAAGCTTTGAATTCTCAGATTTGTTGAATCAAAATTAGTAAATAAGATAATTGATTCTTTGATAAGAAGCAATACTCCAGTAATATCTATCTAGAAAGAATGTAAAATTGAAATGAATAATTTTTAGTTGCTATTTTACTAATTAAAGAATAATACTGATAAATTTCTTAGAATCTATTCAAAAATTAAATAAATATCAATTTCTCTTTCAAAATAGCATAAGAGGATTAAATATAAAATAAATCACTTAAGTATTAAAGAGATTATTATGAGCAAGCAGCTTTAATCTGCCACTTAAATTGTGTCAAATAATTTAAGTAGAAGACAATCAGACAACATTTCTAAAAAAGGATCAAAAGACAGGAACATTTAATAGTAAAAAGTGACCAAACACCTAAATCATAATTCTTATAATACAATTAATTGTTAGGGCAATTTAAATAATTTAAGCCATTAAAATACATTAAATTTGGGATAAAAGCATGATGAAATAAATATTAATAATTGCATAAATGATTTTTTTGTTGATCAAAGCTTTAGTCAAAATCGTAAAACTCGCTCAAATAGCTGTGCTGGAGCTGTAAAATCAAATCAGAGATAAAAATAACTCTAAAATTAAGATTATTAATCAAAATATGATATTTCTACTAAAGATAAAGAATATGCTGCAATAGAACTGTATAACTATGTCAAATCCAATATTGAAAAAGTATATTTATCCGTATAAATTTATTATTAATACAAAATTTTTGTAATAGAGCATACTTAATGAATTTGACACATTCTAAGATATATTTTTAGATTCTCAATATTGCCAATTCAACGAAAAAGATTTACTCTAAAACATCAAGCAGCTTATAGAAATCCATTTTATCTAATCTAAGGCTTCAGAGAAAGAATTAAAGGAAAAGCATGAATAAGAATGTGATAGCTATGATAAGAATCTTCAAAGACTTGAAGCACAAATTCGTGAGCATATCAGAGTAATTTAATTTAAATGAATTTCTAAAAAAACATTATTTTTAATTTAAATTCAAGATTTAGTAAGAACTTAAATTATATTTGGAGTCATCTCAAATAAAATGCTAAGAACAGGAAGAATAAATAAAAAATTTAGAGAAAGTTCATGCCCAACAAACTGATGTAGTTTATTATTTATAATAAAAATTTTATTAGATTCTAATTATTACTCAAGTAATAAATAAACATTCAGTGATAAAGTTTATTTTTATAGTTCTTAGAAAAGGTTTGTGAATAAATGCAATAATAATTAGAGATAAAAGATTCAACAATTAAAGAAATGACGATTTAGATAAGCTAATTAAAGCAAGAAATCAGTGTCTTAAAAGAAAACCAAACCTAAAAATCTGCATAAAATATTCCTAAAAGTAAAATCTAAAACGATTATCACTATTACTCTAAATAGCTGATTAACAATTTAAGCAATTAACGATCTCAAACAGAAAGCTCTAGCCAAAGAAAAATTAAATTGAATACTCCTACAAACATTCAGCTAGATTCAAATAATTTAGTTTATACCGACTAATCTTTACTGGAAGACAAGGAGAATAATCAGTATACAAATTTTGTTTATTTAATTCAAAAAAAATAAAAATTTTTAAATATGCTTAGAACTTAGGCTAATCAAATGCATCTTTCTCTATATAAAAGCATTAAGACATCAAACAAGGAAGAAATATCTCCAGAAAAGAAAATTTAGACAATTATTTAGCAATAAAAATAGCAGGATTCTTAGCAAAAATAATAAATTAGGAATCAAGAATAAGCCCTATTATTTAATGAAAAGAAAAGCTAAATTAAGCAGATCTAAGAAAAAGCACCACTGTTAAAAGCAGAGAGTGTAAATGATTAAAAAATTAAAAAGAAGGACACTATGAATGGAGAAGCCACCATATAAAATAATGGCCAATTTTAACCATAGTAGTAAATAATATATTAGTAGCCTAACTTTGAAAAATAAAATACTTCAAATTTATAAGCTTAATCTTCCATTTCCAATAATAATAGTAGCAGCATTTAAATCAAATCAAATCGAAATATTCCTTCTAATCTTGAATCTAAGTACTCAACAACCATTGAATCTAAATACTCAACAGCAGCAGATACAAAATAAAATTCGAATTAGAATGATTTGCCTAAAAACTTTTAAGAAAAAATGATTTAAGCTAGTAAAAAAATCAAAGAATATATCTAGTTGTAGTCTGCAAGAGAAAAAAATAACCCGAATAATAGGCAATAGCTCTTAAATAGACTAAAGCATTTTTCAATGAAAAATAGTAGAGCACCTAGTATATCTAATTAAAATAAACTAATTTAGTATTTCTATGAAAAATTTGAAGATAAGTTAGAAAAAAACCCATCAGAGAGATCAAACATAAAATAAAAAATGAAAACTCTATAGTAAATAAGTGATAGGAGATACTCAACTATTAATCACAAGTAAGTATTCTTAACATTTAGCAAATATATTTATTTGATTTATAATATTTAGAACTGAAGAAAGTGAAATTGATAAGAAAATAATAGAATAAAAGAAAAGCTAGAGACACAATAGATCAAATAGCTTTAATATTGGTAGTTAGTAGCATAGTTCAAGTAACTATACAGAATCTAAACAAATTGAATCTAAATTTGCAAAAAAGCAAAAAAATTTTATTCCAATAAACTCTACTTAATCTAGCCACAACAATATGAGCAATAGTGGTTTAGTAACCAATAATTATAATCTAAATTAAATTGGACATCTAAACACTAATAGTAGCAATATCTCAAATTTCGTTGTAAATAATTCATTTTGCAATTGGAATAAAAGAAGAGAAAGTGTTTTCAATTAAAGTGGGACTAACAACAACATATCATTTTAGCTTGAAGGTGCTTAAAAAATTATAACAAATAATAATTATATAGATGAAAGTAGTGATTCTTTTGAAAATTTCATAAAGGATAATTTTATTTTAACAAACAACTCTACAGAAAATTTAAAAACCTTGGAGCTTTGATACAAAATCTTTTATTTCACTTTGCTACAAAAAAAAAAAATGAAATTTATAAATTTAAAAAACCTAAAAAGTTTAACAAACATGACATTGATAAATATTTTCAGTAAACAGTAAGATTATTAATAAATTCTTCCATCCACCAATCAATAAAATCATTTATTACAATGATTGAGTGCATATATAAATTAAAATAGATACATTAATATTAAAAAAATACTATTTATTTCAATATATTAAAAAATAAATTAAAATAATTAATTATAAATTTATGGTATTGTTTATTATTCTCTTTTTCAAAAACCAAGTTATTATATCTTTTCAATTGTAGATCAATTAAACAAAGTATCTAATTAAATTTATTTTAAATTCATAATTCATTTGTTTACTTTATTAATTAATGTTATTTTTTATTCAATATTAACAAAATTTTAATCATTAATTTTCATTTTATTTTTTTAAAATATTAGCCAAATAAGTTAAATTATTTTTCATTGATTTCCTATAAATTTATAGAAATTTGAGTTATGATTATATAATTTTATTTTAATTACTTTAGTATTAAGTTATATAAACTACACTATTTTAAACTAGCACTTTATCTGACTCTTTCTTTAATGAATCAACTAAGAATTTATTGTATTCATGAGAAATATTCTATTAGATGAAAAGAAATTATTTGAAAGTATATTTATAACACCTTTATAAAAAAATAAATTAAAAATTAATTTGATTAAGTAAATCCATATAAAATTTAAACAAAATTTATTTCTTTTTATAAATTTTTAGATTAATTTAGATTTTAATTTTTATGCATAATTAAATTACCAAAAACATACCAATTTTATTTTATATGTATTAATATTTCTAGATTATCATAATTAATAAATAAATTATTTTAAACATTTTTAAGTTGTATAATACATAATGTGAGCTTGAAAAGTTTAAATTTAAATAATAAAAATAACATTTAATTGGTTTTTTAAATGTAGTTTAAATGTCTGTCTATTAATTTAGGAAATAATATAAAAATTTAAATAAAATCGAAATGTGCTTCAAATTTTTAATAAGTTTTGTTAAATATTTTTATTAATTATTTTATATAAGAAAATTTTTATAGTAATGTTTATATTCAGATTGCTCATACTATTTATTTTAAATTTTAGTCATTTATGCTATAAAAAATTAGTTTTTTTGCATTAATTTCGTTATTATTTTGCTGCTATTTATTTTAGAATTTAGCTGCTTTCTACTATTTAGTGCAGCTTTGGGATCTAATATTTTTTGAAGAATTGTAATTTTAAATATTGGTCGAAATTGTATTTTATAATTAAGCTAATTTATCAGTTTTATCCTGTGAATAATTATATTACTATGTATTATCAGGTAAATTTATCATAGAATTATTTTGAACTTAAAAATCATATTTTCTTTATAAATTATTTTAAATTTCAAAAAGACTTGTTTATTATTCTAGAGTTACTTAATTGTTATCTAAAATGCTATTGACAATAGAACTTTAAGCTAAAATATCTTTTTATGAACTTTAATTAGGCTAATTATTTTAAGTGTTGATTATTGTAATAGTTCTTTAATTAAATATTTAATTTTACAAATCTTTTTTCATCATTTACTCAACTGCCTTCTTTTTCTTCTTTAAACTAAATTAAGCTTGATTTTCTGAAATAGATGGCACTCCAAGAGAAAAATGGGTTTTTTAGCTTAAAAGTTTGTTATTATATTCATTTTGATATTATTCTTCAATATTTTGTTAAGTAATTTTATCTCCATTTAAGAATTAACTGTTTTAATTTATCTAGGATGTTATTTGATTGAAGCCATTATAATTACTTTTATTTAATTTTATTTTTATTGGAATATCAGATATTATATTTAGCAAAGAATCTAGTTTGTTATTATTATAATCTTAGCTGCTTGTACATAAAGTTTACTTGTCTACTTTTTAAGCCTATTGATTCTCATAATAAGATTGTTAAGACAAAGTTTGATTAAAAGCATTTTGGTTTCCAACATTTGGATTATTTTTATTTTTAAATTTTACATACTCTTAATAGTGAATATTGTGGTTTTTGCTTAATTAAATTTGGCTTGGTTAATTAGAAGATTTTAATGGATCAAAATAGGTGCTTTTAGATTATTCGTATCTCATTGTACTTATAACGGAATCCTCAACAGACTGATTTTAAAATTAAGTCTACTGATTTTGAAGCTATGATTTATCTTAATGAATATAAACAGCAAAATCTTTTTAAGTTTTCCTTTTTATTTAATTTTAAACAGCTGAGATAATGTTATTCTAAGCATTTTTTCCTTGCTTAGGCGATATTGAATGTTACAAATTATTTGCTCTTTAGTAGGAGTTTTAGTCAGATAAATCTGCATTCAAGTAATCGTTTTAAATTTCTGTGAACTAATGCTTTGTTTCATTACTTTCATATGTGTAAAGTGAAGGAAGCATAGACTAATTAAGAAAATTTCTTTAGTTTTAGAGATTTGAGAAAAGATTTAAATCTTCGTTTTCATCTCTAAATTCAATATTAGATAAGTTATTTTTATAATTATTAGAAGCATTTTAATCCGTTTTATCCATATCAACTAAGTAAGAATTTCCTAAGTAACTTGAATCAAATTAAGCAAACTTATTGTTATTAGATTTTTAATTACATCCAGTTTGATTTTTATGGTACTTCCTTTTATAAGGACTTAAGCGTTAGTGATTGTATTGTTAAATTTACTGATTCATAGTTTGTATTTAATTGTATGGAATTGGGTTTTAATTTATTTGTTAATTTTAATTGAGGTATTAAGGTTTAACTATGCTATTTTTGTCTTAGAATACCTTGTAAAATTCACTTTACTAATTATCTATGAATTATGAATTCATTAATTTTTATTTTTACTAAAAATCTTACTAATTCTATATTAGCTACTATTGAAGTTATTAGTTAGGCTAAAGGTATTTTATCTGTTTAGAAAGTGTATTTGCAATAAATGGCTATTGATCATCTGATTTTTGTTATTTCAAATTCTTAATACGTCTTTTGTCAATCCAATTTTCATTTTCGATAGCCGAAGTTCCGCAGTTCGTCTTTTGTAAAGAAGGAAGTTATCTTGAATTTACCTGCTGATAGTATAATATTTTTTTAGGACTTACACTTGCAAGTTCATCATATCTATTTAATGGACTCTATCTAGTAGTAGGTACTTAAGGAGAGGCACACTAAAAATTGAAAGCCTTATTTTTGACTGCAGCAAGAGTTATTTAAGATTGCTAAATGTTCTTTTTTTAGCTATTCTAATTTGAATTTTCACAACTTAATTCAGATTATTTGTTTATTTTTTGTTAAGCTTAAAGCTTTTCTTCAGAGATGGAAAATTTTTTTTACATCAAACTGCTGTTTCCTCTCCCAAAGTAAGAATTCCATCCTGCTTCTTTCTTTTTAAAGGGTGAACATTCCTCATTCATAATTATTTATGATTAATTATTTAAACCATTAGAAGGAGAAGTGCTTTAAGATTAAGAGTTATTCATAAAACTTCCATTTAAAAAACTTTGCTTTTTATTGCCTTTATTGTTTATATTACGTTTTCTTTAACTTGTCAGCTTTTAGTAAGAATTTAATGTCTTGTCAAATATCTTACTGATTTCTTTATCATCTAAATTATCATCTGAAGGGCAAGAATCAGACTCATCAGATTCATTCATGCCTAATTTCTCTATTTCACTAACACTTTTTGACCAAAGTTCATTTAAATATTGCTTTCTCAAATCTTCCAAATGCATTTAAGTATTATTCATATTTCTATCGTCTAACGAAATACTTCTAATTTGCTTTGTTGGTGTATAGCTGTGTGTTATAGCAGCCTCTTAAACATTGACTGATTTTTGCTAGCTTTTTATGGAATCAAATTTATTGTTATTTCCTCTGTATGCCTATTCTGTTTTGCTAGTTGGAGAATACAGAGATTCCGAAGAAGTCCTATTTGGTATTGAATAAAGAGTTTTATCCTTCACAATTTCAGTTTTTTAATGGTAAGAATCACTTTCGGTTTCAACTTTTATTTGAGGTCTAAAATAAATTAAAAATGCTTGACACATTCTAGCACCCATTTTTTCAAGATCACTTTATTGGAAATGAATATCATCGTAAGAAGGACCACAAAAAGAGGATTCCAGAGTGAAAATATTTGGAATTCTTAACCCTTCCCATAAGGCTACTCTAGCAGTGCCTTCCTTACTTTTTTAAACCATAAAATTGCAGTCACTAAAAGAAAAAGGCTCATAAAGTTTAGACATTAAAAATGGTAACTCTCTGCAGGCAAGAGGTTATTGCTTATCATGGCATCCATAAATAAAAATATTTTTTTTCATAGAGTGTCCATGCAAATCGCAAAATAATGCTAATTTGATATGGTTAGAGAAATTGTATATCATCTATTTAAAATGATATATTTCTGGGTGAAGTGTTTTAAGAGGAGTTTTCCATCTTCTATTTAAGTCACAACCAGAAAGACTGCATCTATAATTTCCGTGCACTACTCCATCAGGATTTAGCATAGGAATTATTTTAAAAACAAATCTTTCTCTTAATGACTGTGCTTCTTCTGTATCACTTAACAAATTATCAATAATTCCCTTCATAACAAAAGAAGATACTGTTTCACCTGGATGAACTCTAGCACTTAAAATAATACCTTTTATTTTTATAATTTATCAATTAAAAAACCATTAGTATATTTCTATTTTGATAATATTTAACTGAATAATTAAAATTAAATTTCAGTGTGTATATTAAATTTTCATATTTTTGATTTAGAGCTAGTTGCTGAAAATAAATCGATTATTTTCTATTAAAAATATCTTCTTTTGATGAATATGAAAATTAATTATTTTTCTTAGTGATGATAAGAATGAATATGTATTGGTTCTAATTACACACTTTAATTAAAATTGTCAATATTTGACTAATTAGTTAATTAAACCTTTCTCGTATAACCTAAATTAAAGTAATAAATTTAATTAATGCTTTTAATTAGCAAATTTTATGTAACTCTAATGTAAAATTACCCTATTTCTTATACTAATCACTTTTTGAAGTTATAGTAAGAAGATCAATTCTATTTCCAGCAAGCGTTCTACATAAAACTCGTCTATTTAGGATATCTGATTTAATACTTTCTTGCTCGTCTAAATATTCTTACAATTCTGAGTAAGTGTAAGGATAATTGTAAGCAAAATACACCTCATCTTCAGTATTTTCAAATAAGTATGTAAAACTGAGGCTATAATAATTTTACTGCTTTTAAAAATTTTTATTTTGAAAAGATTAGCCTTTTGTTTCAGCGAAATATGTTGTCGTAGAAGTTGGCGGTTAGCAGTTTTGTTTCCTTATAAAATTGTTTTTGTAATAGCTGATGTTTTCACCTGAGCGATGCCATCCTTTATTTTGAGAAATAGCTTGGATTTTGGAATAAACTAGTACTTTCATTCCTTAATTAAATAAAGAATCACTCTTACAAAAATTCAATATGTTAAATTTTACACGACTTCCACTGAATGTATTTTTTACTTTAAAAAAGAACCATTGAGTGTGGCCATGAGTGTTAATATCATTTTATAATAGAAGATCATATTCTTCATCACTAATTTTTGCAGCAATAGATAAATTTCCACTTTCAAACCTGCTTTCAAAAATTAAAGTTCTATCTGCTTGATTCTTTTTTTTATAATAAGGCTCCAATTCATGAATTTGAGGATTACTAGCGTTATCCTAATTTTTAGAAGTTTACAGCTAGCTACTTGTATTATCTTAATTGATCAATAGCTTTTTGACTGGATTGGTACCGCTTAATGGAGTTTACACTTTTATATATCTATCATTTACTATACTTTAATTAGTACTATTAGAACTTATATTTAGTTTTGACTAATTTTAAGATTTAATTAGCCTCCTCAAATCACAGTAGACAGTGTTAAATTGCACAACATTAGACAAGTATAGTGCCTCTTTCTTTTATTTATTTTTTGATTTGTTCTTGCTTTTACTTGAAAAATCTTCATCCTCTTCTGTTTTTTATTTTTCGCTCTCCTCTGTATTCACTTTATTAGTAGGAGAGTTATATGCAGGATAATGAATTTCTGTATACTTTTTATAAATGACGTTTAATTTAAGGAAATATCTCTGAATGTTCGTCTCATTTTCTCTCAGCTTATTGCCAGAACTTTGAATTTTAAATGATATCTTTTTTATTGATTCTTTTTGATCATTGCTAAAGCCTCTTTTTTTTAAATTTACTTTAGAATTATCATCTTAATCTGATGCTTATTAATGCAATGAAATATGCTTTACTCTTAAATTATTATTATTTTGCATTTTCTATATGTCATCTTGTTTATTATTGATTTAATCTTATGATGAATTTTAAAATATTAATTAGCTTTATTGTGATGAATTTTTTTATTTGCTTTTTAAACCCGTTTTTTTCAAGCTGCTTTTTCCCTTACTGATGCTGTACTATTGCTTAATGCAATCTTCTGATTTACTCCTATGTAGCTCTTCGCGCTAAGGTGCTGCACCATTAAATGAAGGTAAGTTCATAATTGGAATACATAAAGCTAATTTTGCTTTTTCTACTGGTTCTCTCATTTTTGGAAGCAACTAATTAGCTTCAGGCAGCTTCTCAAATATTTTTTTATTTATTTAAAGTTAACTCTAATTACATGGTTAATCTTGCTATTGACTAACTTGTTCTTGCTTTATCTAAATAGATAAATTAGTATTATATGTTCTTTCTTTCCTATAAGAATGTTCAGCATTAATATCATCAGATTCTGATCGATGAGTACTTGCATTGGCACTAACAAATTATGACTTTATTTATCCTGCCTACATTTTGATTAATTTTACACTGGAAACAATCACTTTATATATATCAAAAGTAAGCAAATTTTTTCTTGATATGGTTATTATTACAAAATAAACTATTAATAAAGAAGAAATACTTCCAAACTAATTATATATTTTTGTTTGGTTAAAATCAACTAACAATAGATATCTGGTTAATAAATATTATCACTTTTACTAAAATATAATATAATAAAATAAATAAATAAATAATTCTTTTCGCCATTAAAAATTATTCATTTACACATATTTATACATAATCTTCATTTTTTAAAATATTATTTATTACTTCAATAAATAAAAATTTATAAAACTAAATCTAAAAACTAATTTCACTGTCCTAACTTAACTTTTCATTACAAAAGTGTGTATGAAATATAATTATTAAAGAATTTCACATTTACCACTCAAAGTATAACAAAAATAAAAAAAGTCAGCAAGAGAACGCACTCTTTTTAAAAGTTGAATTTATTAGATAAATGTATAATTTTATAATTTTTTGAAGCTAATCAAAATCTCACTTTAAAATAAAACAAACAATAAAAATATTTTTAGAGTAAATTATTTTGTTTTATTGAGAGAAAATAAAAATTATTTTTATTTTTATTTAATTATAAAATAAATAATAAAATTTAAATCTAGTTTCTATTTTAAATTTAAAAAGATTATTTTTCAAAAAAAAAATATATATATAAAATGATTTTTATTTTTTATGATTGATGAATACTAAGTAATAAACTTAATTATTTATAAAATTTCATTGTTATTTTTTATCACTTTTTGTTAGAGGTTATTAGTTAACTTTAACACTTTAACTAGCTCTCACATTATAAGCTCCAAGATATAGATAATATAAGAAAAAGACCTTTCTTGTGAATAGAAAAGCGTCTTAACTATTGAGAATCACTTATTAGCCAAATTATGTCTATAATTGATTGAAGTAAATAAATCCAAGATATCCTAATAAACCACCAATTCCCCACTAGAAAAATGATTTAATACCAGAGTAAGCAGTCATAAATTTATCTCTGCGGATAAATTATATCAGGCAGTCTTGTAAATAAGTCATGATTCCCATAAAGTGACTAATGAAAATAAATTCGTATTCAGGTTTGCTGAATAGAACTAACTTTTGTGGGTTTTAAATAGTCTAAGTCCACATAAATTAAATATCGCCAGCTATAAATTCAGTATCAGCGACAATCAAAAAGAATCTGAATAGATATACTTTTTGATACAAATACTTCCAAGTGTTGAGAGGAACTGAAATGAAGACTATTCCAACAATACTCATATAGTTGAAGATAGAGAAAAATATATTTACATCTCTGATAAATGTCTAAAAGTAGAGTAAACTAAAGAAGACAAATTTATTATATCTCTTGAGCATGCAGATCAATATAAAAACCCCTTAATTCATATTTTAATTTTCTACTCTAATTGCATAATTGTAGTAGATGTTAAATGCATATGAAATCTAAAAGATTGCTATTGGAAAATAGAGTTCATAATCAGAAAAGTTTTTTAAAGCGTAAGAGGCTAATCCTGTTACTAAAGCTAAACTAAGTAAAAAATGTTTCATTTTAATATGAAATTTGTATTTATAGTTAAAAATATTAAAATATACAAATCTAAGAAAAGATATCTCACTTAAATTATTGTTCAAATAAAATAAAATTCTGAATATAAATAATTCCAATATTTTTTCTAGAAGGATTCGATGGATCTATTTTAACACAAAAAATAGATAAATATAAAAATTAATAAATAACACATGTTATCTTCAGCTTTAAGATTAGTTAATTTGATAGACAAAGCAAGATAAACTATATTAAATTTTCTATTTTAGTCTAATACAATAATAAATAAATATATTAACAATAGCTATTTTTTGTAGTAATAATCTCAGACTTTAAATATTTTAAGTTTTAAAAGTATTCTACAAAAATTTTTAAACAATTTTACAAAAATATATCATATACAATACGTTCTCCTTAATTAATGGTGATTTGTATTAATAACCAAATTTTTTTTAAAAATTACAATTTAAAGTTTTGAATAACAAAAAAAAAAAATTGAGATCCAATGTTAATGAGAATTTAAAGTACAACTTATAATTATTTTTATATTATATTTATCTTTTAAAAAAAATACAGTAAAATAAATTTTAATTTAATTAATGAATTTATATAATTTCATTAGTTTTTTCACTAAGAGTTTTATAAAGTTAAATTGTTAAATGTATTTAATTCTTAGTAGCTCAACTCATTTAATTTATTTAAGTTAAAATTAGTTTCGTTATTAATTAATCTTATGTTTTTTATTTATGTTCTTAATTTTCTAAAATTTAATTAGAGCCTTTATGAATATTTAGGGAAATATTTTTGAAGCCAATAAAAATGTCTATAATTTGATAATTTTGTTAAACTTTTTGTAAAAAAGGATATGACAGCAAGAATACTCAAAAATATTAACAATGCCACCTAAATAATTTAAGTTGCATATAAAAGCAAGCTATACATATTAAATGAATCAGAATCCTCATTTTAGCTAACTTACTAATTGTAAAGAGATGAGCCAAAGTTACTTATGATGGCGATCACCATAGATGCTATTTCAAATTTATTAAACTTATTAAAAATGTAAGGTTTGCATATTATAAAAATAATTAGATAAAAAACTAGAAGAATCGAAAAAATATTTGACAAAATATTTAATTAGCCAATAAAGCTAACTTTGACTACAACTAAAGATGTTTTGAAAATAAATCTAAAGAGTTCCCATAAGAAAAATTACTATTTGTATTCTCTATAAACAAAACCATATCTAAGCAAAACCTAAATTTTATATAGCTATCTTCTTTTTAAGATTAGATTAATGAAGAAAAAGCAAGGAGAAACTATACATATTATACTTAATATGGCTGCCCCTGTAATTCTGATTTTAGGTAGTTAATTTGATTGTTGACAAGATAGACTTAAATCAATCATTGAATAAGATTAAGTAGAGTCTTAGTTAAAGCAAATTAGTGACTAAACTGAGTATCCTAGAATATAAGAGTAGAAGTTGAAAATGAAAAGATAAATATAAGTCATTATGCTTATATTCTTTAGAAGCTAGAATTTTCTTTTCTTAATAAAAATATAAATAGTTAATATTAAAACCAACAAAACCAGAGCTATAAAAGGAAACAAAATGCTCAAAATAAGTTTGCTATAGCCAATACTGAAGTCTGATGGTAGAATATCAGATAAAAAGCAATCAACAGAAATTAATTAAGTCTGTAAGGGGTTAGCTTAAAAAATTCCTATAAAACTAATTATGCTATTTTAGGAAACTAAATTAGAAACTTCAAAGATAACTAAGTTAAATGAAATCAATTTAATTAAGACAGAAGTCTAGCTTTTCTAATTCAAGCTTGCTCCAAAATAAATAATGTTTAGCTTTGACAAATATTTGGCATAATGGATGTTTTTTAAACTCTTGAAATTACTTTGTATTAGAGCAAGCACTACTATAAATAGTATAAATATTGATACGGCTATCAATATGTTATTTTTTATACGACTTCCACATTTTTTGCATTAAAATATTCCATAAGAACCATAACTTTCACCCCAAAAAGAGCCTCTTAAATCACAATCCATGCACTCTACACCTACAGATCCTTATGCACATAGATGGTCTCCGAAGAGACTTCCTCCTTCACAACTTTAAGAAGAAATCTTGCATTTATAAATTTGGTCCTAGTTTACTGTATAATTAGATCTCCAATAGCCATTTTTTACACTAGAATAATTAGCATAGCATTAATTAAATACTTTCATATTACATTGTTAACACTAATCCTCATTAATAGTCATTATATCTCTTTATTATATATCTTTTATTTAATTGATATTATTAAATTAGGTAATTTCTTAAGAATAGCTTGCAGAACCAAAATTACAATATTTACACATTATATATGAATCTTATATTAGTACCATTTGCATGCCTTATCCACATGCTTCTTTAAATGGCATAAATTAAGCATTTATAATGTAATCATCTACTAGTGTTAATTTAAATTGTGAGATTGGAGCTATATTATTTGGATTTTAGTAGTACACCAAATAAGGCTAATCTAATTTTGGAATAACATATGGCTAGAGTTAGGTAATATTTGTTTAAAAAATAGATAAATAGTTTATTGGAATTCTAAAGCTTCCATATTATGGATAATTAAGATCTAATTTAAGAAAAATTACATAAATTAAACCAGAATACATAATGAAATTGTTTTTTTAAGTGTCAAATTAAATTTATTTCATTTCAAAATCTGTTTTTTATAGATTCTAATTGTATTCGTATATACTATCAATCTGAATACTGCTGAAGCCAAGTAGATAATCATCATTTGAGTATACAGCTTTATTGTTTTGGAATTTAATAATATTTTTTAAAATGCTAATATCTTAATTTTTGCTTAAAACAACACCTCCACCAGAAATTTTACTAAAACAATTTCTAATTACAGTATCTTAAGCATCCCATATCTATCCACCATAAATGCCACCACCTAATTATGAAGTTCCACAGTATTCAATAATTGTTTAACTTAAATATAAGTAAGTAGAAGCATTAGAAAAGTTCAGACAGCCTCCATTTTAGCCTGGTGGTGAATATATGTTAGAAATGGTGGTTTATTTAAAATTAAAGGATGAAATAATAATATTTTAAAAATTAGCAAAGTATATATCTAAATTTTTTAAATTGATATTTGAATTAAACATATTAAAAAAATATTCCTATTCATTTTAACTTCCAGGATTATACATAATTAAGGGTGGACCATTTCTACTAAAAAATGTCTCGTTTTCTTATGAAGGATCTATTGGAATTTACAATTCATATAGATAAAGGTTGTAGACAGAATCGAGTATAAACAAACTTTAATAGATAAATTATAAGCTTTGATAGTCAATTGAGAAATAACGTAGCTCTAAATCATTGAATTAAATTATTTGAATGAATATTAAACTTTTCATAATGTTTCTTAATGCAATATTTTCTAGACTAAGCTATCCACCCTACATAAAAGTCATTAAGAACTAGTTAAAAGGGATTAGTTAAAAATTAGTCTACATAATTCTTACTACTTACACCATTTTGCAGAAAATATATAAATTAACAGTATTAGAAGGGATGCTGCCTTGTTAAATTCCATCATAAGTTATTTCCTGCAAAGCGAAATTTCCATTTGTATAATATAGATTTTAAGTTAATATAGAAATCTTTGTAAACTACTAAACCTAATAATTTAGAGATTATATTAATATTTTGTTAACTGTGAAGCAGCCCATAGGGTAAAATTGGATTATTCTAGCTATTTAAATATTAGGTTAAACATCATTTTATAGATTATCATTTAACAGTATGTTTTAAACACTTCCATTTACAGCATTAATACCCAAAATAAATGTGTGGTCTTAGTTTAAGTTAGAATTTATGTTTAGATAATTAAGTTAGAAAGTAACTGCTTACAAAAAGATTTCTGCGTTAAAAGAGCAAATAATAAAATTATCTTAAGACAAGTTATTAATTTATTAAAATAAAATATCTATTGTATTAGAACCATTTTAATCAATATATACCAAGCTATCTGTCAAAATCATATTTTTTATAATTAGATTATCTATTTAAACAAATTTTGCCAAAATTAAGTGTTTACTTTTCCTTGTATATTGCTCAACAGTAAAATTGATAACAATAACATTTTAACAATCACTAACCAAAATCAAATCTTATTAACTGTAAAATTAACCGTCTATTACTATTTAATAAAACTATAAACTTAAGGTCAAATGTTATATTTAGTTAAATTTTATCAAAGGCTCTTTAGCATAAAACTAGTTTAATACTAAACTTACGTCTATTTAGTCCTAATCTTAAATAGTGATAAAACTTTCTTCACAAGTATAACTAATATTTTACTAATCAAGCTGGTTTTTTATTGGTGAAGTGCAATCTTTGATTGTCATAACGTTACTTTTATATTACTAAAATGGAATATTTAGTTAATTAAGCTATTAATAATATCCTTAACTAAAAACTATTTCAAAAATAGTTTGAAAATGTATGATATAGGCACAAATATACTTTTTTTTCATTTGCCAGTTTTTAATTGTAAAATCAATGTTTATTTTATATTTAGATTAATTTAATCAAGTTAATATTAATTTTAGATTAAAAATAATAAATAGCATAATTCTTTTATAAAGGTTGATTAGGAATGTACATCAAAAAAATAATTCTTTTACATCTATCAGAAATCTAAATTAATTAAATTTTAATATATTTTTTTATTTCATTTTTAACATATTTAATAATAGTCTTATGAATATAATTTATAAATTAATTATGTTACTCAAATTAATTATTTAGTTAATTAATCTTATTATAAAATCTTTAGCAAAGAAACTATTTCAAAAATAGGCTGAAAAAGTATGGTAAGTGCACAGAAATAATTTTTCATAATTTTTACAATCTTAATTGAACATAATTTTAAAAGTAATATTAGATATTTTTTATTTTAATTTAATAAGATTATATTAAGTTTACATTAAAAAGGATAAATAGCATAATTATTTTATATAAGTTAAGCTACATTTAAAAAAATTATCTTCTATATCAGGTAAACTAAAAATCTAAATTAAATAAATTAACTTAAAAAATTGTTTTTCAAACTTCTTTTTTAATATCACATTAAACATTTTTTCTGCCACATATAACAATAAGTTAGTGAAAATAAGCTATAAATTAATAAAACTTCATTTTTTGTATGATATAAAAAAAGTATACAGTATAGATTCTATATATAGCAAGAAATGACTCAAATATATTTAGGATAAATAAGTCTAATCATAACTTTTAAATTGTTTATTATTTCATAATTAGATTTTTAAAAATATTATTATTTTTACTGATTTTTTTGTAAAAATATACATTTTTGCTTTTATTTTTAAATGTTAATGTATTTTTCTTATTTAATATAAAATTTTATCTATTGTAATTTTTAATTACTTTAGTGTTTTTAATTTAAATAAAGATGTATTTAAAGTTTTTGTTTATTTTTAGAAAGAAATAGTTTAATTTTTTATCCATAATTTGATTATGCAAACAAAAATTATCTCATAATTTAGTAATATTTTATAAATTAAAAAATAAATAAATCGAAAACAATTTGACTAAATTAATTATTTATAGTTAGAGTTCTTATTGGTTTGATTGCATTATGATAGATATATTTATTCTAAATCAAAGAATTCTATTATGTTATATTATTTATGAGTTTATAAATCTTAGATTTACAATATTTTTAAAATTTACTTATTACAAATGTATATTTTTTCTATTTTTAATAGGCTCTAATAATTAATTATAAAACAATTTTTTATTATATTTTTTTCAGAGAAAATACTTTTATTTTTTTTAGAGAAAATACTTTTATTTTTTTTAGAGAAAATACTTTTATTTTTTTTCGAGAAAATTTGTTTAATTTTTGCACATTATTTTCTAGTAGATGTTAGTATATTTCTATTTATGTACTTATATTCTCACTATTTAGTCAAATTTAATAAATTATTTACAAAAATAAAAGTTAATATAACAAAAAATGAATAATATATACTAATACTTTCAAAAGGTATAAGATGCCAATATTTACTAAAAAAGCCATGGATTGAGTATTTTAAGTATCATAATTTGTGATAAGCTTGAAGAGATGAATATGCTGTACCAAGAAAATTTAAATTAGCTAATATCTAATAACTTTCTTTAATATGTGATAAATGAAATTAAATAAAAGTGGAATACTTGCATTACAGATGTGAATAACCTTAAGAGATTTCTTTCTTTCTTATATTTCTAGAATAAAAAAGATCCTTTCGAACAAAATCTTCTAGAATTACTTAATAGCTAGATGATATAAAATTTTTTAGAAGGAAAGATAGCTTTTTAGGTTTAAGAAATGTCTATCGATTAAAATTAAAACATCAATGATCTAGAGATTAAAAACTATGATTAAGATAAATAACTTAAAATAAACAACTCATAAGAACATTAATAATATGAAGATAGTGAAATAGATAAAGAGAAATACTTCGAATTATTAGATGAGGAAAAAAAGTAAATACCTAATCCCATCTCAGAAGTTAGCTAAATTTTATTGAAATACTCATACTTGAAAGTAGATGAAGATTGCAAACCTTTTCAATCAAATTTTAATTCTTAAATGCAATATTAATACCAATATAAATGTATTGGAATGGAAATACAACCTTTTATCTCAAAGCCATTAGATACTAAATAACAAGCTAAAACTTAAGCTGCTAGATTATTATATCCTCACATAAAATTTTTCGATAGATATAGAGAACCATATTAAAGATATTCCTATAGTGAAAAAGAAAAATAAGAAGAGTAGATGTGTGAAGATGAATTTTATCAAAAGTAATTAGATGATTTCTTTATATATTAGTAAATTTAAGATGAAGGAATAAATACTGTCAGTGATGTCTAAGAAATCTTATAAAAGCAAGCAAATCCATCAGTTTTATATTATGTCAAAGAAGATTTTTCTAGATAAGATAATGGAAATACACTGTGTACAGCAATTTTTATGGATCCAGTAAAAAAATTAACATCTTAAGGCTTTGGATTAGGCTAAAAAATGGCAAAAGAGATAGCTTACTTTAAGTTACTAAAAGATATTAAAAAGTATTTTTATGAACTAAATGGATCATATTATCATGAATTTAACGAAAGACCAAAAAAATCCTATAAAAGAAGAAATAGAGATGACAGTGATAACAATGATAATAATGATTAGTGAACTTAAGTTTGTTTAAGGTTTTCTCTGTTGTTTATAATTAATTATAAATCTTCAACAGTATGACATAATTAATTAAATTGCTGAATTTTTTTTTAATAATGATAGTAATGATTAGTGAACTTAAGTTTATTTAAGGTTTTTCTAGTATTGTTTATAATTATAAATATTCAACATATAATTTATATAGTTGAATTTTTTTATTAAATTTATGAGCATAAATAATAATTTGATGACAGTGATAACAATAATAGTAATGATTAGTGAACTTAAATTGTTTAAGGCTTTTCTACTATTTATTACTTATAATTATAACTACTCAATAATATGATTTAATTTTTTTTATTAAATTTATTAGCATAATAATTATTTTATTTACAAATTAATCATTCAATAACTTTACATTTTTTTATGTTGCTTTATAATAAAAAGTATTTTTTTAAATATTTTATCGAAAAGTAAAAATGAATTGAATTTATGAAATAAAAAAAAGTTTTTTTTATGGGAATACCACTTAGAACTAAAAAAGAATTTATTAAAAATATTTAAATATTAAATAGAATAATTAATATAATTTAATAATTGCTTGGAGATTTAAACTGAAATAAAATTCTAATTTTTTATAAAAGAACTTTCACTATTTAAATCAAATAACTATTTGAATTTGTTAACAAAAGAATTTACTAAATTAAATGTTTTTTATTTTGTTTGAATAAGAATCAGAAGTTGAATTAAAAACTGTTGATATTTAAAATTAGTTGAAGATAAAATTAAATGAATTTAACTTTTATGATTTGTATTTAGAGTTAGAATTTAAACATTTAAAAACATACTACAACAATATTAGATAATGAATTAGGCATTTCAAAATAATAATACTTATTAAATTATAAAAATAAAAGGAAATAAAATAAAAATATTCAAAAATAAATTGAGTTATTAACAAAATTTATCAAGTGCGTGTATTTGAGTGTTATTTTTATTTGAGTTTTTGCAAGTTTTTTTGCTTTACTTTCTTTCTTTTTTTGTTTATTTCTTTTTAATTAAAATTATTAATGATCAATATATTAATCTGATAATTAAACATTTCATTTTCTTAAAATTAATTAGATAACTTTGAAAACTCACACTATAAAGAAAGAATCAAATAAGAATCTCTTTGTGTAGTTGTTTAAATTTAGTTGAAGAAAGCAGTTACTGTAATGAACAACATTTTAAGGAGTGACTTCAACGAGTACATTTAGAATAGAAATAATGCAAAAATTTAGTTTTTGTAGCACGAAATCAATTAGTATTAAAACTTCAACTCGCAGTTGAAGGATATCTCACAAATTAAAAAGAAATCTCTTGAGATACTTAATTCTAAAAACGCTAAGCAGGATAACAATTAAAATGGTAAACGAATAATACCATTAATAATAGAAATATTTTTTACATACTAATTTTACTTTATTGATATAAATAAATCCATTCATATTTTAAATTTCAAATAAAATTTAGTTCATTTTTTTGATTGGATTTTTAAATCTTAATTATTAACTTTAAAAAAAATAATAGGTTCTACTCCTTAAAAATTACTAGAAGACAGAGAAGAGATTTTAGCATAGCTGTTTAAAGAAAATCAGCAGCTTTTAGCTTCTTTTAAAATAGTTAATTAGGAAAGAAATAATGCTTAAAGCAAAGTAATAATGTTTTTTTTATTATCAGTGAGCTATAGTATTTAAATGCTTTTTTGATATTTTTAATGTTTAAAAATGCAACAATCAATGAGATTTAAAAATTTATATATCTAGCAATGATAAAGACTAATATAGTGGTTCAAAAATCATATATTTTGCCTATAAAAAATTAAAATTTAGATATCACTAAACTATTAAATATTTAAAACTTAATTATAATTCAAAAGGTGTTAATTAGTCAGTAAGTAGCTGAGGAAATGGAAAACTTTTAGCAAGATATTATATAGGAATAAGAAGACTAATTGTTGGAATTAAGGAGAATAGTTTAAGATAAAGAATATACAATTCAAGAATTTGAAAAATAAAAATCGCAAATGGGTCCTGCAGGAGTTATTATCAAATATAGAGATGTAATAAATATTTAATTTTGTTTAAAAATAAAAAGATAAAATCATAAAAAATGCTATTTAGTACTATTTTAGCTAAATCATAAATATGACTCAATTTATTATTTAAAATAACACAGATAGTCACCCCAACTGAGCAATTAAGCAAGTTATAAAATTTGAATGAGAGTTACAATAATGCGGTTTAGATTCTAAAGAAGTAAAACGAATATCTTAGTGAAATAAATAAAAAATATGAAATAGAAAACGAAGTAATTAAAATAAATGTATTTAATTAATAAATTAACTCATAACGTTTTGTCTATCTAAAAACAAATAGTTTGCAAGCTTTGAATTAATAAAGTTAAAAAATGCAATTAGAAACCCATCAAATCTTCATAAAATAAAATGTAAAATTAGAAGAAGAAAAAACTTACTTCATAATGATAATAATTATTTTATTTATAAAGAATCACTAGCATTAAAAGTCAACTAAAGCAGAGAATATGAAAATCTAGTATTTTCAGCAGAACTAAATGATAATCAGAGAGTGTAAAATGAGTAAAAGCTAAGAAGCGTAATATTTAATTGATAATAAATAAAAATATGACAAATTTATTTTATAAAAATAGAAGATTTTTAAAGTACCATAGCAAAACAGTAGCCAATAACCTTAGCAAATTAATGTAATTAAATGTTATAAAATTACTGATGACTAAAAATAACTATTCAAAATTAAAAATATCTTCTTATTTAAAATAGAAAAAGAAAATAGATGAGGAATGGGACAGAGCTAGAAAAAGCTTTGATAAAGAATTAATTAATGAAAGAGTTTTATCAGACTAAATTACTTAGCTTGAAACTTATAATTAATAGCTTCTTCTTACAAATGATTTAATTTTGAATTCCAATTAAATTCATTAAACTTAAATTGAAAAATTACAATAAAATATCAATTTCTACAAAGAATATCATAAAAAAATTGTAAATATGCAAAGTAAAATCAAGTCAAATAAAATAAGCCAATAGCAGCCTATTAATCTCATAACTTCCAGCAATTCTTTTAATGATATTTCTTTCACCAAAATTTTAAAATAGCTTCCATAATCTACAAAATCAAAAGGATAGAACAATAATAAGCATCAACAGGGCGAACATAAAAAGAAGTAGGAAGCATAAACAAATGAAAACAGCAAAATTAGAACAAAAACTAAACTTGATACTATATTGAATAACTCAGTAGATCACATAAATATACCCACACTCAACGATGAGGAAGAAGTAGAGCCATAATGGAATGTACGTGAATGCAAGCAATTCCTAAAAAATCTAGCTGATGAATTCTATAAATCTTTATAGAATAGTAAGAATATGATATTATCTCGTAGAGTTATTACAAAAATAAAATAGAATGGAGGAATCGGTTATTAGATGTAGCAAAAGCGAATCACAAGAATTAGGTCTATCTCTAATATTTTAGAATATAAACGTGATAAGAAAAAAGATGAATTCTATCTGTAAAATAAAAAAGACTTCAGCCAACAATTTAGTAAGCATCCCCAAACACACTATGTTAATACAGAAAACGATGAATGTATTCCTGAATTTAAAGATGTCATTTTAGAGCACATCAAATCAAAAAATAGTCAAAACTAAAACAACTACATAAATCATAGCAACAACAATAGTAGCACAAACAATTAAACAACTTAATAACCTAATGGCGCTAAGAATTTAGATTAATTTGGAGCAAACAGTATTCAGATATAAAATAGCTAAGTAATGAGTAATAACAATCTTTAATATAATCAGGCTTAAATTTTAGAAGCTAGAAATGCAGGTCATTTAGAAAAAAATCAGCCTGGCGATATAAGTACTTATTTAGAAAATGGAGTTGATATAAGTTATGAACTAAGAAACAAATAAGTTGCAGGAATAGAATTAAATGGAGGCACTCATAATATTAACGGAACAAATCATTTCCACAATAATAGCACATAGTTAGGTCAGCACAATGTTTAGGGATTTAATATAAAATAGTTTACTAGCTCAGAGCTTAGATAATCAATAATAAGCAAAAAAGGAACATTTATATCAACCCACTCTCCTTCATATGTTCCAAACACTAATACAAATGGTAAAAAGTAATTATATGCTTTGGGAACAATGAAGTAAAAACAAAACTAGTAGTATAACGATGACCAATAAAGTTTTTTTTCAAATGACGATGGACTTAATAATCAAATCCTTTCATCATAGCTTGATATTAAATTAAATACTCAGACCTAATAAGATGAAAAGTGATCTAAAAATAATAAATACCTTGTTTATTAATTAATCATAATGCCTATTTTTTATTAATATCATTTAAACTAAGCTAATAATTTAGTTTAATTTAAAATAGGTTTATCAAAATAAATTAAATATAAAATTAATTAATTGATTAATATATTATTAATAGATAAGCAAATAAATAAATAAATAGATAGATAGATAGATAGATAAATTATCAGATATTTTAGTTTTTTATTTTCAAATTTGTATCCTTAAGAATTTTATAATTCTATTTTGAAAATGGATAAGAATTTTATTTATTTTTTTATTTATTTTAAAAATAATTATTTTTAATTTTGAAATAATTTACACATTTTTATATCCTTTAATTGATGTTTAAATAAATCTTTCTATTAATAAATAATTAAATTTGATTTTTTTTTAATTTGCAAATTATTTTTTTACAACATATTTTTAATTAATTTTTAGCTTAATTTTATCTCTTTTCCTTTTTTATTTCATATTTAAAAAACAATTTTAGAGAGATAATTATTTTAGCATTAAATAAAATAGAAAAACTAAACAAAAACATTTTAATAATAAATTTAAAATAATTTTAAATAAAAAACTAAATTGTTTTTTGAAAGTTTGTAAATATATTAATAAATAATTCATTATTTCAATAAAGATTAAATTTATGCTTCTATCAATATCAATAATTAATTTACTCTTCAAATTGTATTCAAGACAGACTCAAAATTGTTTTTAAAAGTTAAAAAAATAAAATGGCCTGCTAATTCTATTTTAAACAGAAATTTTCTTAATTTTATTTAATTTGTCTACTTTCTTTTTAAAATTTAAGGTATAAATTAATCCAATTTAAAGTATTTATTATTCGAACAGAATCGCCTGTCTGACTTATAAGATGTATTATATAACAAAGGTATAGTTTTTATATTAAAGAAGGGATTTTTGAAAGCTTGAGAGATAGTATTTATCTTCAAAAGGAATTTTTGAGTTTAAATATGAATATAAAACATATATATTTCTCATTTTACATATATAATATATTAATTTATTGTTACTATATCTGATATAGTAATAAAGTTTTATATTAGGTGTAAATAAATGACACAACTCAGAAGTCGAAAAGATCACCAGCACCTTCGAAGTCATCTTCTTCCTTCTTGGGTTCTTCCTTCTTAGGTTCTTCCTTCTTGGCTTCAGGGGCCTTAGTGGCGGCAGCGGGGGCAGCAGCGGGGGCAGCACCACCGATGTTACCAACCTTGGATAAACCAGCCTTGATGACATCTTCGATGTTCTTACCCTTGATGACGTTCATGAAAGAGGATAACTTGGTGGCATCAACGGTACCGTTAACGGATTCGATGAGGGCCTTGACATCAGCTTCGGCTATTAATTTAAACGAAATAATTTAATATTCGGATTAAAACTATCTTATTTCAAAAATTGAAAATATTTATATGCACTTATTTCTATATTCTATGCTCAAAAAAGAGACTCGCAAAAAGAGTGTTTGAATTTTACCAATAAAATTATTGCACCAAATTTTATTATTATTTTTTTAAATTATTCTTATTAGGATTTTAGAGTAGAAGTGAGAAGCAATAAATTATTTATTAATAATATTTTTTATCTTTTACATTTAGTTGATATTTATTTTATGTTGGCTGGCATTTTAAAAGTGAGCAAGATAGAGAAATTCAAAGATAGATTTTAAGCATAGATTTTTTATTATTCAAATATTTTAAAATACTTGAAATTTCTGAATTCGCTTGTGAATACCTTTTATTACTATCAGTTGCTTATTTAATTATTTTCATATTAAAATAATTTGGATCTCTAGCATTATTTCTTTCTTTATTAATTGAATGACTATTTTTACTTATTTTAGCTTTTGCTTCTTCAATTAGTAATTATTAGATATTATATTTTCAAATACCTAAGAATTTGAAAATTTTAATATTATTATGTATGATTTATTGAATGAATCAAAATGTATGAATAAGTTAGTTATTATTAGAAGAATTATTTAAGTCTTGCTAGTCAGTTCTTTTAAATATACAATAATATACCCTAAGTTATTACAAATATCATCTATCTTTTAACTAAATCTATCTATTTTCACTTTCATTTATATAACTTTAATTGCGTTAAACTAATCACCTGCCAAAAATAATCAAACCAATGTGATAATTAATAAATTATTGACTTCTTTTAAGTGTTTGTTTTGATGATATTTTCAATCCTTCATCAAATTTGGTATTAAAATAAACTAGATTTATTTTATTTTTTACTCTAATTTATTTGGTAAATTTCAACTCTTTTTGAGTCATCTCTTAATTTGAAATTTCTTTTAGATGCAATTCTCCCACAAATAGAATGAATGATTGACAAAAAGCTTTTAGCAAAATGTCTCAAATCACCCATATATGCAGAGCTGCATCAATTTTTTGCCTTATCTTAGATGTGCTTCATTAAATGAAATCAAGTTAAATTGAAATTAATTCTTACAGGGTTGGCTTCCGTTGAGGGCGAGGAGAGCGTAAGCAGCGACGTATTTCATTTTTGATAATTTTGTTATATGTTTTTTTCTTGTATTAAGGATTCTTTTCTGAATTTAATTATCTAAGTTTTAATTAATATCTTTATACTTCCGATTGTTTATCCTCTCTAAATTCCGCAGTACTAAATTTTTAATCCCTTAACTTTAAACCTGTTTGCCTTATTTTTGTTATTTTTTCACATTCTTTTTCTTATTTATCTTTGATAGTTTTACATTTCTTTTCTTTCCCATCTTCTCTTTCTTCCTCTTCCTTCATTTATATATATATATATATCCAAATTGCCAAGCTGCTTGCTAGCAATTTAGACATAGGATCCAATCCATTCATATTTCCAACTTAATATAAATTAAATGGCATTTCTATGTCTCATTTTAATTATTGCATCACAAATAAAAAAATTAATTCAAATAAATGAATGAATGAATGAATGAATGAATGAATGAATGAACGAATGAATGCCATTGTTATGAAAAATATAATTAATTGTCCCTCTCAAGTAATAAAGCCTTAAAATAAAAATGAAAGAAAAAATTATTATGTTAATATTTTATTATAAATAATTCTTATAATAAATTCTTTTTACAAAAATGTTGTAAATTTATATAATGGTGAATACTAATTTATCAGAAAAATAAATCGAATTGTTTTTTATTGATGAACAAATATTAATTATTTAAAAAGAATTATTTATAATAATATATTAGATTTTATTTTTAATTTTATTTATTTTTAAATATTCACAAGAATTATTTATTATAATATTTTAGATTTTAATTTATATATTCTAGTTAAGTATTAATAAGATTTGTTATATCATTAATTATTTAGTCTATAAGCTAGCTATCTAGCTATTACTCAATAGTAAAATTTATATGCCAAGTTAATCTAAACCAAAACAATTTTTATTTTTTTATAAAATATTTCAATTCAAAACTGTTAAATTAATTAACCAACTATTTATATACAAAATTTAATCCAATTTTTTACTTGATTATTTAATTTTGAAGATTTTTTTCATTCAAAAAAATAAAAAATATTTTTATAAGGATATTATTTTATTAAAATTTTCAGAAAAATCATTTTGAAAGTTGACATGAATGAATGAATGAATGGAATTAATTAATTTTTAAAAAGTTAATTATTAAACGCTTAGAGAAACAACAACAAAAAAGATTTGCAAATCAATAAAATAAATATAAATATATTTTTAATTCAACTAGAATCATGCTTTATTTTTTCTAATTCTAAAATTTCGATAATCCTATTATATTTTAATAGTCTCTCTAACTTAAAAGGAGACACTAGATTCAACCAACAATTCTTCAACCCAAACTAAATATTATTTAAAAAAAGAATTTATTTCATTATTTTGGGAAATATTTTTTACAGCCAAATCTACTATAGTGGTGTCAGTGAATTCTTCTAAATTTTCTTAAATGATAACTGCAGTACTATTTTTCTATGGAAAAAAAGTTATTAAAATGAATGAATAAATATATAGAAATATTTTATAAAAAGTACTTTGTTAAGAGACATTTTGGCTATTTCTAAGAAGTTGCTGAGTGTCGGATATTCAAATGGTCTATAGTGAGCACAATGCAGGTCAAATTTTTTAGCATTTGCTGAATTTATTTCATTTTCAGACATTTCTTAATTATTCAAAATTAAATATAAAACTATATATAGTTTAAATAAAATTTATTACATGGATTAGAATCTTTATCAGACTCTATACTAGCTTCTTTAATCCTATTGATTGTTGAGTATAAAAAGCTACTGGCAATCTAGATATTTTTTCCTTAAAACTTAGCCTTAATTTATAAAATTTGCTTTAATAAATGAATTAAACTTTATGAATCTTACCATAAACTTACTCCACCCTTCTAAATCATCGTTCTTTATAGGATCTTAAATATACTTTATTACTATTAATTATTAAAATGCTCAGAAATATTTATTTATTTATATTTTTAAAATTACTTGGCTTATCAGTGCACAACTTTAACAAAAAGTCAGCCTATTTAATAAAATTTTTGTGACTTTAGATCAAAATAAAAAAATAATTTTACTAGTTAAGTAGGATCCATGAGTTGCTTTGGATTTTCTAACTCATATAATTTTTTATCTGGAAGGTAGAGGTTATCTGCCATAAGATTCAAACCAACATAGACATTATCTTTGTATGGAGTTTTATTAATTGCCTCTTCTATCATCTTCATATTGTCATTTATTGAATCTACAGTTACAATAAAAGTTCCATCAGTGTGATACTTCAAGGCAGCTTCTCCCAATTTACCACTAGTTATAGTCTTCTTAATATTACCTGTAATCTGACTAACTATATCAAGTAACTATTTTCCATTTTCGTATTTATCTACAATAAGTAAGAACTTGTAAATCTTACATTTAACTCCAACTAATTTGCTTCCTTATAAAAGATTAACCATAATTTTAGGGTGCTAGAATTCACCTTCAAACCCACTTAATTATCTTATAACTTCATAAGGTTAAATTTTTTCTATTTAAGCAATAACCTAATTTAAACTATAAGAGACTGTTTGAATAGCATTGATACCTTTCTATTAAGAAAATAATTTGTGTGAAATAATATATTAGTCTTAATTTTTACTTTTTCATTAGCTTCATATAGCTATGTTAATTATTCATCTATTTATTTTTAATCTCTGGCACTTTTCTTATTCAAAATTGGGTTTATCTTACTATTTATAAATACAATTAAACATTAAATTGCTTATAGAAGTAGCATGTTTTTTACCTTTTAATAAATTCTAAAGCATTACTAACACCTTTTCCACTATCTACTTCATTTATGTTGTCACTAAATAAATATTTAAAAATTGCATAAAATTTATGTACGTTTATAAATTTTATAGTTTACTATAAAGGTACTACTGTTTCTGAAGCTTAGCCAAACTAAAAAGATGTTTCTATTTTGTATTCTTTTTACTTATACTCTACTGTGTATTATAACTATTTTTATTCACAAACAAAGTTTTCTAAAAAAGCTCTATAAAACATATCAAATTACTTTTATTGAAGGTAAACTATTTATATTTAATGTCTGGTATGGGACAACTGAGAGAATAGTGATATCATTTTTTGCAAGCTATTAACCATTTAATATATATTTTTATATTTATCATAACATTCTTAAAAATGAAAAACCTTTCCAAATTCGTTCATCATAAATGCGTAAGGGTCGGAGTACTTTCCACGAAGAAGCTGATTAACGATCTTTGACAAAGTTTCCTCGATCTTATTTTATGATTTAATATTGCATTAATTTAGAAACAAATTTTTTATTTCATATTCTACTATATTTATATTATTTATTTTTATACATTATTTTATTTCATGTAATCCTTAAGCTCTTAGCTTAGATAAGGAGAAGAAGACATCTTAAATAATTGCTTAAATTTATCACTTTATTTTAATGCTAGCTAATACTATTTATGCTGCTGCTTTTAATTATATTAACTAAATGATTATAAATAAATTAAAAATCCTTTAAAAGATTTTTGATAGTTTTAATTAAAGAAGAACAGTTATGAAATATTGTTAATAAATAAAAAAATAATACAAATGAGGACTTATAAATTTAAATAAATATATTCTATCTTTAAATAAGCTTGAGTAAGTTTAATCACTAAACATTTATTTACACTTCTATTTTTTTAAAATATCTTGTTTGGCTATTAAATTATTTTATATTATAAACTGAATTATTAAATAATAATTCATATATAATTTGTAAAGATATTTCTCCAACTAAAAAAAAAGTGCTTCAATATTATTTTATATAAAATTTAATAAATAGCAAAATCTATAATATTAAAGAAATATTTATTTAGCTATCGTTAAACCTTGTTAATTTGTAAAGTCTTTTGAGAGAAAAAAAAACATTTTAAAATGAACATAAAATATTAATTTTAATATTTTTATTAGAAGTTAAAATGCAAAATGCGATTGAATATCAATATAACTTAACTTTCATATTCAAAAATTTTCAAATTAAAACAAGAAAAATTATTATTTTAATTTTGAAGAGATTTTAGTAAAATTTTTAATAAAAAATTTTATTTTTGAAGTAATAAGTTAGTAAAGAAGTAAATTAAAATAAATTGATGATTTTTATATTTACAAAATAATGTATTTAATCAATATTTTCATTTTTATAAATTTTATTATAATTGTTGAGAAATGATTAATTTCTTTCTTTAAATCAACTCATAAAAATTCTTTCTTTAATTTAGGTAAATAATTTAGAACTTAGTGAAGAGATATTAGTATTTTTGTTTTAAAACTTATTTTTAAGTGATAAACCTACTTTATTGTTTTGTAATGAGTAGTTTTATTTAATTAGATTACTATTTATTCCAACTAAATCATTGAATTATGAGTGCTCTTGCTGCTTTTATAAGTTCTTTTGATGATTTTATTTTTGATTATGCTGATTTTATTGAATCTGCTAAAATAAGTTGAAAGATAATATATCTGGACGAAATTAATTATTTCTGGCAGAAGTTGGACTAGATTTCACATTGTTTTCATTATCACTTGTATTTTCACCTTTTTCTTAATCTTTATTTAGAATTAAGGATCCTTATTTATTTTTAATATGAGGTTGAGTATTATTTTATTATGCAAATTGGCATTTTAGCTAATTGTTAGTTTAAGGAAAATTTTATAATTCAGGGTGTTTAAATTACATTTATTATTCAGCTAATTTCTTTTAGTTTTGAAACATATTTGCTAAAAATGAATGAGAACTGCTAATGTGTTTGCTGTTTGCCTTTTACCTTTGCTGTCTAAATTAAATTTATTTTATTTTATCAATTTTTTAATTAGAAGGTGAATCAATTTCAACTGTTTCACATTTATCTTATTCTTTTAATATCGATTTTAATTCTATTGGAGAGTTCGAATTAGATCTATTGTGAGAAATCATTACTATTGGTTTGGCCATAATCTAATATTAATCAACAACGGTGTTCCTATTTATTTTTACTGGACTACGAGTTTTAGACCTCACTTTATATGGAAGGGTAGTTTATGTTTCACAATCTTACTTTCCTTTAGTTCTACTCTCATTTGAAGTAGGTAATTGAAATGGTTAAGTGTAACTTGCATTTCCTATTGAATTTTTCTAGGGTTGCAAACTGTTTTATTCTTTTTACATCCTAAGAGTAGAAAGAATTTTCCTATTTAGCTTTTAATTTATAAAGCTGTCATAATGATTGTTATTTTGTTTCATTATTAAATCTTATTCATATAAAGAATTCTCCACATAAATATTCTATTAGCTATTTTAGAGAAGTGATTTCATATTTTAAACGGAATAAGAATGTCCTTTCTAACTGTGCTATTATTAGCTTTAATTAATTTAAGAAGCTTCTTATTCATGTTAGCTTAGATTTAAATATTTAGAATCCTAATATTCAAAAGGAGTAACCTGAGTATTAATCCTTTTTCTCCCTTCTAATTTTCCTGACTTTTAAGATATTTATTGCTGAGATTCAATCTTCCTTTGAGATTAAGCGCTCAAGCAAACTCTAGCTGATTTACTTTTAATAAAGTTGTTCATTACCTAGTACTATTTTAAGTTTTGATCTTATCGATTTGGTTAGCTATTATTTCTAATCTGTTGAATAAATTCACGTGCTGCTTTTTAGTGGCTGTTATATATATCCTGGTATAATTAGATCTCATTGGGATCAATTTTATTTTTTTATTAGTAAAAATCTAATATTTTCTAATAAATCTCTGATTGCTTAGACTTATTTTCATTTTTCATTTTAGTAAATTATCTAATAAATTCTTTGTTTTTTTAATTTAAAACTTAGTTCATTTTTTTCTTAAATTCAAATGCTGCTTCTGCCTACATAGCTTACTTCTCTGCATTTGCAGCCTACTCTTCTTATTTATTTTTAAGCAATTAATTATGCTACTAAGATCTTTCTCTTGCACCTATCATATGCTCAGTTTAGCTTATGTAAGATTGTCTTTCTTTTAATTTATCGTTTTACTTTTCTTCTTCTATCATAGCTTGAATATCCTTCTAAAATTCACTGTTGCTGCCATTAATTTAGTTGTTCAAGATTTTTGTCTTTTCTAAAAAAGAATTCTATTTATTCATAATATTTATCAAAGTACTCCTACTTGAGTTAGATCCTCTAATTTTCTTTTCAGAGTGATCAAAAGCTCTATCTGTAAATTAATCTCTAAAATAATTATCATTAGTGTTATTCTTTTTCAAAATTTATAACTTAAGAAGTCTCTGATTAGGTGTAGCAATAATATTATTATCAATATACTTAGCCATACTACTATCAATTTTATTGGTTTTCTAGGTACTATCATTGTTGCATTTTCCTAGCTTTAAAAGATCCTTTTGTTATTTAGAATCACATCTTTAGATTATTCTGGGTGACTCATCCATAAACTACTTTAGCTCTTCGCTCACTATCTTATAATTTATATCTTATTTATATTGTAGAGCTTCTCCTAATTACTTTAAAGTATTTTTGTTTACATTTAAAGGGATGTCGTCATCATCCCATTGTAAATCTGAATATCGATTATTCTTTACCTCATCACCCATCAAATAAAGTGATTGTAATAATTAAAAAATATCTTCTTAATTATATTTTAGTTATAATATTCTCTACCTTTTATATTTATTACTGTTTTCTTTGTTTGCTTATGATTTTTTGGTTTACAGTAGTTTGCAAAATAATAATTATTAATTTTGCAATATCATAAAATAAATATGTTATTTTGTTTTGATATAATATATATATAAGCTAAAATATCATATTCATAAAAATCTGTGGATTTTAAGATATAAATATTTTTATCTAATATTTCTTTTCGTTCTATTATGTTTATCATAATAAACAATTAATTACTCTCAATTTTATCAATTTAGAAAAATTTTTAAAAATAAACTGAATTATAAGGAATATTTATTACATAGTTGAATACTATTACTTTTCTTTATTAATTTTAGATAAAATAAATTATTTTCTAAAAAGGTTTTATAAAAATAATTTTTAAAATTATAGGAAATTAATCAAAAAATAATGAAGAGTTTAAAATAAAAATTTATTAATGAAAAATAAAGATTAATTAAGTATAAAAATATCATAATAAAACCATAAGATAAGAAAATTAAAGCAACTATTAAGTAGGCTAAATAATATGATTGAATAGTATTTTTATTTTAAAACATTAATTAATAAATTTACTAGTATGCTTATTGAGAATAATTAAAAAATTTTTATATCAAACCCTTTTTTATATTTTTGGGAACTTATCAAATGAATAATAAAAATAAATAGCAAAATGAGAGTAATTCATATTTTGTAGATGAGCATATTAATTAATTAATTCAATAAATTAATTTTTATATTTTAATAGGAAATAACATGCATTTATAAATACAAATAATAATAATTATAAATAAATTTATCAGTAAAGATAAAATTAAGCTAATCTTTTTAATTTAAATAACTCTAATTTTATTTTTTTATAGCTTAAAGTATTTTTTTAAACCCTTTTTGAAAAAAAATATTAAAATTATTTTTTAAATAAAAAATTTACCCTAAAGTTATTTCCAGTATTGTAGTTGACTGCAAACCTTTTAATGTTTTAGATATTTTGTATAATTATTCGTCTGGGATTCCATTTGAGCTTATAATGAATTAAATTTAAAATAAATAATGTTATTATTTTATTTATTTTTTTATAATAAAATACCTTATTCTTAATGTTAAATTTACAAGCTATTTACATTTTATCAAACCTTCTAGTAAATAAATTGAACCAACTAAATTAATTTAATTTTGCCTAATTAATTTTAAAGATTAGTTAAAATTTAATTTTAAAATTAAAAAATAGTTTACGTTAATGATAAAGTTAGATTATTTAAACTAGAGCAACAAGAAATGTTATCACCAAGCATTTTAGCTTTTTATTAATCAATTGAGTTTTCGCTTTTTTTAAAATTTAAATCAAGTTTTTGAAATTCTAATTTTTTTGTTTTACTCCAAAAAGATGGTAAGCTCCTAAATTTTACTGAAGCCTTTAAAGTTAAAGCCAAAAAAGTCTTCTGAAAATTTAAATGTTTTCCTATTTATTGATAAATTCAAGATTTTTAGTATTAAATTATAAATAAATATAATTGATACCTAAATCCTAAATATACATTTTTAATTTTAGGGCATTATGCTATTGCATTGCTAACATTAACTGCTCCTTATTCACTCAGCTTGTTATTTCTATTAGTAAATTAAGCTTTAAAATAATAATGTTATAATATTTACATTATATCAATAGCAAAAACTTAAAGATTGGGTAGAGATTTAAGAGTTTATTCTAAACTTTAAGCCTAAAAATCTTCAATTAAATTTTATCTATATTATCAAAATAAATATCAATTATAAAAAAGAGTTTTGTTTTTTTATCAATTATATACCCGAAGAATAGTTTTAATGTTTCTAACTTATTACAGTTTGATATTTATTCTATTATTTGATCAAATTATTACTTATCTATCAAATTTTATCTAAAAATTAAGTTTGATATGCATTTATATTTATATTTTTAATTTACTAAAACTGTAGGTCTAGATAAGTAAGATTCTTGCATTTTGCTAATGCAGAAGAAATGGTACTGGCAGCTTAACCTTCAATCTAAAAATATCTAATGTAAATTATTATCTCAAGCAAATAAATAAATAATCATAAATTAGTTTACCTGAAATCTAGTGTTAGTTTTTACAAACAAGAGAGCTAAATAATCGTATCGCAGAAATATTAGACAGATTCTAAACTCTATTCATAGCTAATTTATATTTAAATTATATTTAATTATTACTAGATTTTAAATAAAAGGCATAATATATATTAGATATTTTAAATATTTTATTAATTATAGAAAAAAATATAATCTTTAAGCTTTTTACTGCTGATAATGAAGTTCTAAATGCTTTTTAGGATCTCCTTTTTTTAACTACAAAACATTTAAATAACATTTTGAGACATATATATATTTAATACTTCTTGAATTTGTTAGTATCCTTTTTTATATTGCTTGTCTACAAAATGCTTTGTTTACACTTATTATGTAGATGTAACTACATTTTCTGTTTATTACTTTTAATTTTTATTTCCCATTTTTATTTACAATCTGTCAATATTTGTATTTGATTTAAGATATATTCAATTTTTTTAAACATAAATTAATATGAAAATACAAAATGTTGGATTTTAATAATTGATTAAAAAGTAAAAAATTTTATAAATCTGTTTAAATCTTATTAATAATAATTCGACTTTGATCAGGACAACAAAAAAAGAAATTGAATAATATATTTATTTGTTAATCAAAAAAAATTGTTAATACATTTTTTTAATTTTTAATTTTTTTATTATTATAATTTTAACATTTGTTAAACATTCAATAATTAAATACAATTAAAAAAAATATTTTTTAAATCTACAAAAACACAAAATAAATTAATTGATCAAATTTTAAAAGTACCATTTATACTTAATAATCTTTTAGCCTTAAAAAGAGACCTTAAATTCTTTCTATTTGCTCTACCCTGAGATACAACTATTTCTAAATAAAATAGATATTGGGTCTATGATAAATGTTTAGCTAATAACAAGAGACTGTTGTGATCAATTGAGTTACCACTTATAATTTATTAAAATGATATTTTTATTTTATTTTTTTAAATAAAAAATGTAATTTTTTTACCCAATATTCAATACTAAAATTTTTAGATTCTTTAAATTTGAAATATTTTCAGAAAAAGTGTCTATAAGTTCTCCATTCAACTAATTATTACTTTTTAATGAATAGAAATATTTTATTTAGGTATGAATAAAAGAAATAAAGAAATACTCTAAGTGCAAGACCAATTTTTTGATAGTTAGAGATTTAGATATTCCTTCTGTTAGTAGGGCTGATCCCTTTCCAAGTATATTGTTTTAGCTAATTTAATGTCATTATATTTTATTTTAAATATTAAAATTTAATTTTAACTTTTTGTTTTTAACAAATACTTAAATTTTTAAAGTAAAGTTCAACTCAATATTTATAAATAAGAAATAAATAAATTTATTTACCTTAAAATCAAAGTTAAATTTTCTAATTTTTAAAACTTTGATAGACTTTATCCTATCTCCTCTGCTTAATCAGTAGTTATCTTATTATCTCTAAATTATTTGAAGACTAATAAATATCATTTTATAGATAAATAAAATATTATTACACACTAAGAAAGCTGAGTTTTTTCAATTGACAGCACTTTGTAATATTGGCAATAAATACATTAGCAACATCATTAAAGTTTTTTATTTAGCTTATTTAATTTTAAAGATTTTTTAAAATCCATATTTATATTTTTATAATTACTTCATTTTTAAGTATAATTCCTAAAGCTATTAGCAGCTTGATATTTCTTCGCTTATTTGAATGATAGCTTTTTAGCTTAAGTTATTTTGACTATGCGAAATTAAGTTAAATATATTTAACAATAAAAGTTAAAAAAATACCTAATCTCTACTTTTAATTCTTAAAGTTTTTATAGATCAGATATTCCTAAAAATCTTGACTAAGCTATTTTAGATAATTATAAAACTGTAATTTAAATTTATATTTAATTAAAACATTACTTTGTGAATTTGAATCACTTGTATCGTTAATATAGTTATAACTTTTTATTTTTAAAATGTTTATTTATGATATATTCTAAATTTGAATTTTATATATTATTACTCTAATGATAATTTTAAGATATTCAGAGATTTAAGTTAAGACACTCCTTAGCTTAAAAATTCAATGGCATCATATTTCAAATTAATTTAACTTTATTTTAATATTTAATATTTTTTAAATACTCGTTATTTTTATAAGTAATTAATTACTTGAATTCTAATTACAGGTATTAGATATTTTTGCAATAACCAATTTCTTTACCAAAAACTTTGAAAAACTTAGATGTTATCTAATTTTTTCTTAAATATTTATAGATTTATAAGAAGCAAAATTAAAACTTACGACATAAGCAGTATAAAACGATTTAAATTCTAACAATTAACAAATCCTAGATCTTTTACTTCATCATCACTAATTTAATTTTCACTTTAAAAAATAATTAGGAGAGTTAAAGAAAAAAGTGATTAGTTACTTTAGTCTTATAGCTATGTCTGTAATTTTGTTAGATTATGCTAATCCTTACAAAACATGGAAAATACCACTTTTTATATTATTTGTCCTTATAAATTTAAATTTATTGAAAAGGTCTTTTTATTGTTGGAAAAAATATTTTACTCTAGAGATAAGTTAAATGTTATCAAATTTTTTAACATAAATATCCTTTCTCCTAATTAGTTTAGAGATCCTGAAATACCATTCTTACTTTAATTAATATTAAATAGTTAAAACTTTTTAATAAAAACCTTACTCTAATTTTAAATTCAGGTGTTCTAGATTTTTGCATTTAGAGATGCCATCAGCTAAATAGTTTAAACCTTCTATTTTTATTGAGTTTGCCCTTTTTAAATATTAATAATTTTATAATTAATTAAATAAACTTTAAAAAAAATTTTTAAATAAATTTGAATATTTGGGTAAAAGTTTTAATCTTTGTAACTATTCACTTACTTATTTTATCATTCACTTTTCAGATTGCTTATCCAATTAAAAAAAAACTTATTTAAATTGATATAATATTTTTATTTCAAATAAATATATTTTTAAATTAATTTATCAACACATTTAAATGTTTTTAAACATAATAATAATTTATTACCTTAATTCTAATATCAAATTCTATAGCATGCTACATTTTGATAGTCCATTTGCTAAATCTTAACAACCCTAAGTATCTAATTAATTAAGACTTTATAAATATTTATTAGAGTAATTTCATTTTTCGAACAAGTAAATTAAATTCTAACATTAAATCCAATTCTAATTTCTTTAAATTAGGGCATTTTGTTATTGCTTATCCTAACTGTGATCCAGCTGTATAATTTAGACGAGTGCATCTATGAAAAACATATTAATTAAAATAAATAAGTAGCTTTAAAATATTATTACCCTAAAAATAAGATTAATTCTTCCAGAAAATTTAGCTATTCTATTTTTGATAGTAGTCCTGACAAACATGCTATCTCTAATTTGTTAGACCTAAATTTATTTATTTATTGCATTTAAATAAAATATTTTATTTAGCTAAATTACTAGAGAAGAATTTTTAAGTTTTTTATCTTTTAACATTCACAAATAGAATTTCCTAATTCTAGAATTCCTTCTTTCTACAAACCAATAGTTCTTTTTTTTAATTTTTTATATTAAATAAATAAATAATATAAGATATTTTTAACCTCAAATCTAAGGAAAGTTATTCTAAATTCTTGCACAATCCAAGTTGTTCACACAATGAAGGAGTTTACCCTTAATATGATCCATATCTAGTAAAAATATTTTTGTAAATTTTATTATAATTTAAATTTTAATTACTATTTATGGTTGATTTAAATTGCAATAGAGTACATTCCCTTCAACTTTTAATTTATAGAAATTATTATTTAATTTAAAATATTTCATAATTGGTCACCTGTTCTTCAGATATTGTTTGTTCCAATTAAAATCTAGTAGTATCTAAAAAAATAAATTAATTTAATTTTACATTTTGTTTGAAAAAAATTACATTCATCAAAATCATATTCCAAAACAATAAATCCTTTAAGCTCTTTAAGTTTATTAATATCAGAAAATATTTGATAATTCTCGCTCTCATTTCTTATAGAACCACTTTCAATCAAAAAGAATTAATCTAAAGGTAAAATAATGTGATCAATTACTTGTTTTCCTTAATATAAATCTTAATTTCTCAAAAAATTAATATCAGAAATATTAGCATTTTTCCATTCAATAACTTTCAAGAGAGAATTAGAGTTTGTATTTTTGTTCTATACTTGAATGAGTAAAAATGGAAAATCCTTCTTATAAAAGTTATATTGATAATATTGTTATTCAAATTTTTTTAATAAATTAAGTAAATCTAATAGATTATAATTTTCATCGGCTTCCTATACAATCTCATCAATGTATTTTTCTTAATTTTATACAGGTTTCTTTTTTTTACTGAATAGCGATCCCATTTGTATTAATTTTTAGTTAATTTTTTAATTAAATAAATTTTAACAAATAACTATTTTGTTTAATAAATAAAAAGAGAGTAAAGGTGTTTGTTCAACGGTATCCGTTTTTTTAATGATTTTAAAAAGCTTTAATTTATTCTATTTATTAATTTATATTTTACTTACCAATTACTAATCAATAAAAAACAAATATTTTAAATAATTTTAATCCTTTAAATATTTTAGAAAAATTTAAATTTTTTCATTACTTTTATTAAAATTCTCATCAAAAAATCAAAAAGAGATTAATTTTTTAATAAAGAAAAACTATTATAAATAGAATAATTTTATTAAATATAATAATAATTGTAAAACGAAATAAGTTCAAATATGTAAAAAATTTTTTAAAATAATAATTCATAATAAACTAATAATTTTTGGAATAAATTTTTTAACTCAAGATTTTGTGAAATTTTTTTTGTGATAAGGTAGAGATATTATTATTAGTTTAATTTAATGATTATTATCAGAATTAAAAAATTATTAATTTCAGAAGTTACTATAAAATCTTTATTATTTATTATTGTTATTTTATTTGATTGAAATTGGAAGAATCTCAATTAAATTATTTTATATTTATTTTTTAAAAAAACATTTCTAATTAAACTTTAAAATATGTTATTGAATATTAAATATTAATTTCATCAATTAATTTATTTTTAAATATAATACTGACTGGAAGGTAGAGGAAAAAGAAGTTCAGTAAAATTTATTTTAAATTAATTAAAAATTCAAAGATTAATTTAATAATTATTGGCCAACAAAGCTATCTAGCTAAGCTATTAACATTATTAATTCATATAATTGCATATATTTGAATTTTTAAAATATTCTGTTATAATTAATTAAACTGATTTGCAGTAAAAATATAAAATTTAATATAATGATGGAGATTGAGAATCAAACAGACTAGGCAATCATATTTCTTGACCACAGTAATGTAAACTCCTTTCGTGAGTTAATAAAGGACTAAAGGAATGTAAGAATGCACATTGATGATTACTCTCAATATAAGGCCCAGTTTATTGCTTCTGTTTTGTAAGAATAAACCCAAATGGAGCAGTATGGCCTTTTAATCGATGCTCATTCCTTGGGCTGCGCTGACACAAAGGCTATTCTAAAGGCAATATCTTGCCTTTCCAGGTTGTCAGAGCTTGATTTACAGCTACTAAATGTCCGAGAAGATTCTGAAATGACAGAAATTTTATAAATATGTTAATCACTTTCACTTACATTAAAAAAACTTCGCTTTCTTTTTTATCATATTGAAATCAATTAGCAGGGTTGTGAAGATCTAAAAATAGCTTTATCTTAATTGCAAAATGTTAGCAAACTTTGTATTGATGTTAGCACTCTCAAAGAATGTATTTTTTTTCTTTTTTTTTGATAACTAAAGACAACCTATTTACCTAAATTATTTTATAAATTTCAAAAGAGTATGATTAGAATTTAGGAATAATTAGGGCAAAAAGCATAGGTGAAGGACTGAGCACATTAAATAGTCTAGAATCTTTAGAGCTGTCTATAGCGGGGACTAACATCGGTTCGAAAGGTGGAGAACTTTTAGAATAGAATTTAGTCAAAATCCTGCTACAGAACTAGAATCTAAAGAAACTTAAGATTAATGTTCACTCTAATTAATTAGGTGATATTCCAATAGCTAAAATAACGAAATCAATAGCGGAAAATGCAAGACGTCTAACCTAACTTTATTTAAATTTTTCAATAAATAATTTGACCAATTAGGGTCTTTTTTAGATGGGTAAGATTTTCACTGTTTATTAGAAACTAAAATTCTTAGAGCTTGATCTAATGAGAAACGATTTTGATGAGCAAGGTTTATCATAATTCTTTGGCGCTTTAACAATAAACTCATTAGAACGTCTCAAAGTTAGCATATCGAGAGTAAAATTCAACTTAGATGTCGTTTAACAGGTAAGAAATCTAATTTCAAACAATCGTAGTCTCAGTATTTTAGATATTTAACTTTCTAATTGTACTATGGACAATCAATCTTAATTATTCTTAGCTAAGATTGTGATAGAAAATTCATTTTAAATTAGAAAATTTATTTTATCAGGAATCCAACTTCAGTTTTGGTACCAATATTTGCGTCCATGTATTGAATAGTGCTTACACTAGATTAATGACCTTGCAAATGTAGGTCTTTTTTTCTCTTTTCTTTGTTCCCCTGAAATGCACTACCACCCCAACTTTATCTTTTGTGATCTATACTTATGACACAAACATAACAAGCAAAATACATTACTTATGAAAAAATATATCCAAAAAATTGTTGTTTAAATTTGAAAAAAAAAGAACAAAAATGCAAACAAATATTCTATACTATTGGTAAGCCAGTAAGCAAATTACTTTATAAATAGAAAATAATGATGAAAATACTTGATAATAGTTAAAACTACTATATTACATACAAAAATAACTGCTATATTAAAATATATAAACTTATAGTTATAATTTCACTTTTTTGATTTAACTTTTTTGATAAATAACATTAAACTTATGAATTTTTCCTTCTATTCTTTTTATATATTACTACTTCTATTAAATTTAATTTTTTTATTTGTGATTAAATTTTAAATATTTTCTTTTTTTTTTCATTTTTTAATTCTTTACAATTTAAATTAATTAACTAATAAAATATTTTTATTGATATGATTTACTAATTATTTAAAAATTATATTATTATCATCATTTATTTAGATACAAATTTCGAAAAATTTCAATATTCTAAATTATGGGTTACATGTTAGGGTTCAAAGATGATAATATAAATTTTAGTTTTTTGTTTATTGTTAGTTATTATTTTTATTTGAATTATTTAGCTTTAATAATAAAATAGTAAAATAATTTAGCTTTAATCATAAACTGGTAAAATAATTTATTTTAATGAATGTTAAAATTGAAATAAGCTGCTGTTAATAATTTAACTGGTTAAATCATACTTGTCTATAAAATAAATACATTAATTAATTTATAAATTTAAATAATATCAATTTGACAGTTTAGATATCTGCAAATATTTCATGCAAGAGCTTTTATTTTAGATTGTATTTCTTGAATTTTTTATTTCATAACTTCTTTCTTTGATTTTACTTCGTTTATTTAATCTTCAACATCTTAATTCTATTTTAATAAAAATTAAATTTTTACAATTGAAAATTAATTTAGTGATTTTATGCAATTACTTTTTTAATGAAAGTCAATAATAGAGCTTCTCCTTTTTATGAATGAGATACAAGCTATTCTTGTTGCTTTTAAAGCTTTTACTATTTCCAGTACATCTAAATTATTGTTTAAAATATTTGTTTTAATTTATTGAATCTTCATATTTTTAAATACCTTTAATAAAGTTTCTTTTAATTAAGTAACTGTGGAGTTAGTTTTTTTAATACTATCTACAAGATCTCCTGTTCTCTTTTGATAGATAGCGATTTTAAGTTTCTTTTCAGTTTCACTTTGGGCTAGCTAGTTTAATTCAGATCTAAGTTAGAGAGCTTGATGTGCTTCAGTTTCAACAGATTTTATTTGATTCATAAATTCCTCTACTTTGCCCTTAAATTAACCATCTTTTGAAGTTTATTTTAAAATTTTAAAATTAGCTAAAAATGAATATTTAATAAACCTTTTTCTTCAAGTCCTGAGAGATAAGTTTTTTCCTTTTCTTCATACTCTGAAATGAGTTATTTTAATTACTCCTTGAGCCTAAATTTTAATAAGATATGAAATCAAAATTTTAACTGTATTTTTTATTTTTTACTAATTGTTTTCCTTTTCTTTTTCCTCCCTTTCCTTATCTTATTCATCTATCTTTGAAGTGATATCTATTTTGTTTTAATTTAATGATTTAAAGATGCAATATTGAAATTATGTAAAAATTTTACCTTTTAAAGAGTTTTCAAAATTTTCAACAAGTTGCAATCTTTGTGTTTCTTCCTATTCAACCATTAATTTGTTTGTTTTTTTAATTTAGTTAACTGCATCACCAATTTCTTTGCAAACATGATTGTATTTCTCTTTCAATTCACTTAATCTCATATTTTCCTAAGAGGCTATATAAAAAATTCAATTAAAAAATGCCAAATTATTTTAAATATTTTATTTTACTTCTCTCTGTATCATCTTTTAAGATGCTGTTATTGAATTTCAATTAATTAATTTATTCTTCATATTTAATAGCTATTTCTGTCTATAATTATATTTAAAATACAATAAATACTAAAGAATAAAACTTAATTTTTTACTAAATTCTCAAAAGCCTAAAATAATTAGGTTCTTTTTTCTGCTGTGTTGGCTTCTTTTATGAATAATGCTAATAAATTTTGGGCATTCTAAAATAGCTTTCCTATTTTTTGAAATAAATATTTTCTTAGTTTATCTTTTTCATAAATCAAAAATAAAACAATTCAATACTAACTTCTTTCATCTCTGCTTCTGTTTCGATAGGTACTGATGAACCAGTTACTTGCTTATTAATGAAAGCCTATATTTGTTAAAGGTGGTCTTAATTAATTTGTTTTGACATTTATCTAAGAAATTGCGAAGTTTTTTTAGTTAGAAATTAACTCTTTTTTAATAAGATATTTGTTTCTCCTTTTTTTAAATACTTTATCTTTAAAAATTCAAAAAATTAATTGACACTAATTTATAAAAGTTAATATTAATAATAAGTGTTAAAATAATTAAATTAAATTAAAGAAATCAAAGTTAATAAATATCATTATTTCAATATAAATAACATATAAAAAATTAGATATTTAAAATATCTTTAAAATATTAGAATATGTTAAAGAAAAATCAAGAAATTCTTTTTTTTAGGTGTTATTTATTAATTAATTAATTTTTTTATTTATCTATTTAATATTTGAATTTTCTATATCCAAGCTAATTAATTAATTTATTTATTTATAGGTGTAGCAAAAATTAGTTATTAGAATTATTTAATCTATTAATTACATTTTAGCTAAATTGATTGTAGCATATTGATCTCAAAAAACAAACAAATCTTTTTCTGTTGATATTATTTATTAAAAATAAATAAATTTAATATAGAGTGACTTTAAAAAGATTTTTTTTAAATGCAAGAAACAAATAATTTGTAGTAGATCTTGAGTTCAAATAACACCAAAAAGCCTAATAATCCTCAGTCTTAACAGTAAATCTAGAGCACCTCTTAGTTTTTCAACAAGAACAGGTAAAACAACAATAAGAATCTTAAAAACAATAACAGCTAGAATCCTTACTATAGAGGCGAGAACAATCCAGCAGGCTAGTCATAAATAGATAAGGAAGTCAACATGATGCCTGAGTCTGGTTATTAAAATTCTAATTAGATTAATACAAATTATAACTAGATAAATTAGAATTAGATGAACCAAAATCCAAACTAGATCAATCAAAATCCTAATTAAATGAACTAAAACCAAAATCAGATGAACTAGAATCAAAATCCGATGAACTAGAATTAAAATTAAATGAATTAGAATCCTAATTAGATGAACTAAATTCCTGGCTAGAATCCAAATTTTAATATAAATGCTCCTCATGGCTAGAATCCTCAAAGAAGAAACTACTCTTATAAATTCTAAAAGGACTATTGTAGACCTTAAATGAATATGCAAAACAACTTTTAAAGCTATCCCAATAACAGAAATTACGAAAATAATATGAATCCTACTAGAGGAGAATTTTTCTAGGGCTATTCAAATCCTCCTTAGCAAAACCATTTCAATTAGTAAAAGTTTTAACCTTAATATTAGGGTTAACATTATTACGATAATCAGTATATGCAGAATAAGTTCTACTAAAATCAAAATTACGAAAATCAAGCTTAAAGCAAAAACTAAGACAACCCTAATAGATCTAATACTGATAAAGAAAGATACTTCGATTAAGATAGAAAGATCAAGTAAATTGTAGAACAAGTGGTTGAGTAAGTTATTGAACAAAAATTTTAGGAAAAGGAGGATATTTTCAGGGAAAAGCTCTAAGAAAAGGATGACATTATTACTGATTTACTAGAAAAACTTAAAATAAGAACAGAAGACAATACTTAGAACACTGTTTCGACTGCTAAATTTGAAAAATAAGTCATTTAATCTGAAATATATCCTGAAATTCATTAAGAAATTTTAGAAAAGAAAAACCAGGATAGACAACGTGCCCGTACTCCTAAACGTAGCTAGTACAATTATGACATGCATTCGGAGAGATCAAGAACTGTAGAGTCCAAATGCTAGGAATCAAAAGATTAAATAACACCTAAGATAGGGAACAAAATGCAGAAATCAGATGCCATGAGCACTTTAAAATCCTAAGATATCACTTTCTGTTGTGAAAATATCCAAAGCTGAGGGAGATCTATATAAAAAACAATCTTAGTAAGGAGCATTTATCACTTAAAATTTTTATTGTTTATAAATTCTGAGTTTATTTTAAGTATTCAAATGAACTTGAATAAAAAATAAAACATGTAGCTTACTTGAATTACTATAATAATAAATATAAAAAGATACTTTAAATTTTACTATTTTGCTGTGTTATGTTAACTAAATTTTTATTATATTTTTGTTTATATACTGACTAAATTTTTTCATTTAACTTGCTTTACTTTTAATTTAATTCCATTAGTTTTTGAATATCTTTTCAGAATGTTTAAATTAATTTTATTTTTCAAATAATACAAAAACATAAAATACTTATGAATTCTACTTGAAATCAATAAGCTAAATCATTTAAAACATCTTTTCTTTTAAGTAAAGTTGAGTATTAATTAGTAACAAAGAGAGATAAATTTATGCTTTTTCTTCTAAGTGCAGATTCTCTTAGTTTTTCTTACATTTAATTTATGAGATCTTAAATTTCGTTCGATAAGAAACTATATAAATATGAATAATTTAAGTGAAAAAATAATGAAAAAGCAAGCTTTACTCGTGAGTAGATATAAAAAGATCTTCTAGTAAATATAAACTATGAATTACTGAGCAAATAGATTCCAACCCACTCTCAGTTATACTAAAGCATCTAATTTATAAATTTATTTTATTTAATATATATCAAAGGATTTTATAAAATGTTACGATGAAAAATCTAATGTAAGTTCTTATAGATTGGTGCATTTTGCAAGATATTTACTCAAAGTAAACAAACCTTAATCGGTAAAAGATTCACAGCTATTTATTTTATTGAAAATTTATTTTAAAAATTTTATTTTTCTCTCTCTTCAAATGTTATTTACTTTCCAAAATATAAAAACAATTTTGATATTTAATCATTTGATTTTAGTGCCTATCCAATATATTACAAAGTTAAATCTGTAATTCGTGTAGATCTTAGTTTTAAAAATGTAAAGTTTTGATTTAATAACATTATAATTTTAATTAATTTACCCTGAAAAATTTATATTCAAGCTTCTAAGATCATTTATATCCATAATTTAACTAATTATAATTTAGGCTGCTTCATCAACAATATCAGAACACCATGAAAAATCTAGAACTAGACTTTGCAACTCAGTTTGTTAACAGATTGCTTTACCTAAAGAAATCATGCTCTACTTTGAGAATGTATTAATGAAACTGTAAGATATATTAATAAATAAATTATAATAGATATTATATTTCAATGAAAGAAATTAGTTTATAAAAAAAATATAGCGCTTAGCAAAAAACTTTAATTTATTGTTTAATAAATACTATTTTTTCTTATTTTTAAGTAATGAATTTTATAAAATAAGCTTTTAGAAGTGTTAACAGAAAGAGTAACACAACTTATTTAATAAAAACAATAATAGTAAAAAATAAAATTACTAATAAAATGAAAGCTCTAAATGAGTAAGCTATTTAGTTTTAGTAAATTCTGTACCAAAATCTTGAATTCCTTTTTCATCAATATATTATGAGCTATTTTGAAAAATTAATTTAAAATTAAAAATACAAAATAGAATTAGTTCTTACGATCTTAATTTAAATACAAATGTTCTTAAACTTTCTAATTTATTTGTCATTTTTCCTAATTTAGAGAGGCAATTATTTGTTATCCCTTCGCACTCCATACCATCAATATTTAAAGATTCTAAAAATCTACAAGAATCTATAGCCTTAGCAAGATTACTGATGCATTATTCTGCTAGATCTGGTTTTCTAATATTAATATTTGAAATTTGTAATAAATAGTTTGCTTTTTTTCATATATTTAACAATAATTTATAAAAAATTAAAATTTTGTAAAATAAATAGTCCAGAGTTTTTGTTCATTTTGTTAATTGAAAAGTAAAAGTTTGTAAATTTTTTAATTACAACGCAAAGTGCAAGTAAAGTTCTCTAAGTTGGGGTGCCATTTTGGTTATGCAGAAAATAAATCTAGGTGGCATTTTCACACCACACCTATTATTAGAATAAAAGAGAATGAACTAAAATTTATGTAAAGTGAATATATTTAGTTTATTAGTAAATCCTACAAAGACATCAAATTATTTAATCTATGTATTTAGCATTAATGCTTACAGCTAATATATATAAATATACAAAAACGCGTACCATATAAATCTTAAAGTAAAGGAATCAAGAGATGGAATTGAAGATATAAACTAAGCAAGCTATTCTATAGATTCACCAGAAAGTGGAAGTCTATTTATTTTTTAGAAAATATTAGCTATATCAATATATATTAATAAAAGAAAAAAGACATATAATTATTATAATATTAATTAGATAAAAATGAAATATACGTGCAAGATTTTAGACTTAATTTCTTTAATGGCAAATTTTATTCTTCAAGTTAAGGATTTAATTTTTTTATAATATCTAAAATTGCAGCTACATCATCTTTTTTTAATTTGGCTATACACTCATCTTCATCTTCTCTTAGCTCTCTTCTTTCAACAACTGCACATGAAGCTTCATCATTTTATCTTATATATGGTTCTAATCTTTATATTAAAATATAGAAATAAAAGCTAAATTCATTTTATTTTGGTGAAAATTTTTATATCTTTTGCTTTGAAACAAATTCAAATTCAATTTATCGTCTTTAGAAATTTTTTCTTTTAATATTTAATCACTATTTTCATAATGATATTATGATTTTTTTTGCTGCTTACATGACGTTGAATTCCTCTTTTAAACTCCTATTTTCTGTATAACTCTTATGAATTTGCTTCAAAAGTTATCCAATTTATCTTTTTCTTTGGGCAGCTCTCTTAGCATCTATAATTTCAATACTCATTTTTGGATAAAATATTTATCACTAACTTTCTTTGATTAATTTAACTCTTTAATATTATAAGCAATTCTGCATAAATTAGAGTTTAACTTTAATAATAAATCTTTTTGCACTATTCCCTAAAACAAAAAAATGCATATTTTTTTCATTATTGGTAATAAAGTAAAATCTTACAATATTTACAAATGAATATAACCTTTAATGTTATTATTAGAATTAACTTAATGCATCATTTATTTAAATAGATGAATAATAAACACTAAAAAAAATATATAAAATAGAAGCATTTTAAAAGTAAACTTCTCAATAAGTTCATTTTTTTAACTGGTATATTTTTTCATGTTAAGTTTCACATTTCACATAAATTAACATGTTTATTGTTGAAATCTATTTTTTAATTTCGCTTAAAAAATTCTTTTGCTTTCCAGAATTTTTCTTTAAACTGTGAAATCCTTTAAAATTAAAATAGAAAAACAATTTTAAAAGAATTATTCGAGAAATTTTCTCGAAACAATGATTTATTCTACATACTTGCTTGATGTGTCTCTCACAAATTTATTTTACAATCTAAGACAAAAAATAATAATTAATTTATTTTCAGCTTATTTTTAAAGTAGTTAGTCTTTACAAAATTTTAAAAATTAATTTTTGAATATTCAAACAAATTCATAAATTCATTCATTCATCTTTAATTTATTTTACAAACCAGTTTGCAAAAGAAGAATATTCTTTAATTATTTTTTGATGAATTTTATTATTTATTACAAAAAAAATTGGTTAAATAAATTATTTAATTAAAAAAATTTATATCTTTAAATTGTCTACTTTTAGATTATTTTATATATATCACAAATTTTGCCTAAAAAATAAAATTTCAAAAGAAATCTACTCAATTTTATTAAGAAATTTTTATAAAGTTTTATTTAAAATTTTAATAAAAATAAATAGCTTTATTATCAAGCTTAATATTTTAGGAACAATTTATAAAGCTGGTAAATAACACTAATAAATTAAAATTTATATTTCTATTTAATTTTGAAAAAGCTTTTCTACAAATAAATAAATTGTGAAGATATTAAATAAGTAAGAGTGCTTATTTTTGAAATAATTAAAAATTATTTTAAACAAATAATTTATATACATATAAGTAGATACATGTGTTTTTTAATTAAATCATTATCCTGCAATAAGGCTTTTTAACAAAGTAGCACCTTTATTATCTTCTCCTTATTTTTATAAGAGGGTCTTGTCCTTTTTAACTGCATCTATAACCTAATTTAAAATTAATTAGTTTGTAAATATTTTTTTGTTAATTTAATAGTAATAAATAATATCTTTACCATCTTTTTATTAATATCATTTTCTATTAAAGCAACAAGGAGATAGGTAGCTCTTGAAGACAAGACAGTAGATAAATGCTTAAGTAACAAATTAGTTAAATTGCTTATTTTTTTAACAATAGCTTCCTTTGTGGATTCATCTTTTACTTCTTTTACAATTAAAATAATATTTTTCATAATTCTATGGGCATCGTGGTGACTTAAAAGACATTCATCATTGAAGTTTTTCTTTTTATCGTTAGAACTCAAGAATTATTCGCCATCCTTTAAAATTTTGTCTACAAAGTTAAAAGCAAACTAATAATGTTTTTCTTATTTGGCTAATATTTTATTGATACAATTTTATAACTACTATATTTAAATTTATGAAATTATTTACAAATGAAAATATGTCTGATGATGCTTGATAAGAATCTGGAAGTATTAAAGTCTTTAAATAATTATTCTTCAGGGATTTTTGGTATACAGTTAACTAAATCGTCGAATACACTTTCAATGACTTCACTTAACTTTTGTTCGAGAGGCTTCTTGCTGTTAATTTATTTTATCCAATTTAACTTAGAATAAAAATATATATTTTAAAATAGTAATAAATACCTTGTGGTAAATTTAATTTCCTTCTCAAGAGATGTCAAAGCATTGTGCTTAGGCTAGAATATTGCTGAGAAAAAGCTAATACCATTCTTAGTAGGAAGAAGCTCATCTAATCTAGGCTTTAATTCAGCCAAAATACTTTTATTTGCTTAAACTGTATCATCCCATGAGAAAAGAAGCTTGATAATAATAACGAATGCTTATGAGTGTTAACTGTTGATAATTTCAAAAATGTGATCCTTTAAATTCTTAGCTAAAAGCTTTTTGTCCTTAGGAGTAGAATAATTTATGACATCTAAAGCTAACTTAATACCTTCTTTATCATCAACAAGATCTAAAATTTTTTCTCTGAGATATTCAATAACCTATTTAATAAAGAATAATTAATAAATATCGTGTTTATCCATTTTCTTAAAAACTAATGCTTTAACTAGGTAAAATAAATACTGCTATTTTAAAATAAGTTAATTAATTACCTTTTCACGTTCAACAGGAATTAAAATAGGAAGAGAAATGTGGAGAATATATTTTGATAAAAGAGGGGCGTGGTTTCCCTTATCGATAATCTTAGCAGCAATATTTTCAATAGCTTCTTCTTGCTTAAGGTTAGCAGCAGTTTCAAGCTTGTTGGAGAATAATTTTTTAAGGGTGTTAAATTGGGCAGGAGTGGCGTTATTTATAACAAATTTATCTAAGACCTTAGCACCTTCAACGTGAGTAACTAAGTAAAAAGCGTTTTTTTTGATAACTTCAAACAATTTGTCTTTGGTAGTTTTGTTTTTCAAATACTTGATCATACGAAGAGCGACAAAATGACCATATTTACTCTTAATGATTTCATCAAGTTCTTTACTATCTAAAAGAATATTAAATATTTTTTCTCTTTGTTCTTCGCTTCCATTCTTGATACAAGCTTAAACTGATCTAGAACCATCACGTTTATGAACGATTTGCTTAAGGACACCAGATAATTTAGAAATATATTCCTCAATATACTTTTCCTTTTCTTCTTAAGGAGTATCTTTGCTTTGTATTTTATTTACTTTGACATTTATTTCACTGATAAGAATACCACTTCCATCGTTTTCTTCATTTTCCCCTTCAGCATATATTTTTTTGGTTTTTTTATCAAATTTCTCTTTTGTTTTGAAAACCTTCTTGTCCTATTTACCTTATTTTTCCTTGTTTTATTGTCTACCTTCTTTACTATATTTATAATTTGATGCCTTTTTCTCAGTCTTTTATCCATTTTCTTATTTATCATTTTGCTTAAAGTTCTTAAAATTCTTCTTCTAACCTTCACCTTTGTTAGCACCATTTTTTTCATTATTGAAAACCTTTTTGCCAGCAGGCTTTTCTATTTCACTGAACTACTTATCGTTCTTTCTCTTGTTTGTAACTTTAGACATTTTAGATTTGTGTTTGCTATTCAAAATTCTATTAGTTTTTTCTACTTAATATATTTAATATTTGTAAAAATTTTGGATATTTGTTTGCTACTTTTAATTAATTTGTGTCTTAATAGATGGTAGATTTACTTTAATATTTATCAATTAAATTATTAAGCTTTATAGTTAGATCCTTCATAAATTTATACTTCCCTTTGGTTATTATTAATAAATCAATAGCTGCTATTAATTCCGTTTAGTAGAATTTTCATTCATATTTAATAAGTATTATTCTATAAAAATAACTCACATTTTTTATTAATATGAAATCATATTTGTTTTTAATAATTATTTTAATAAAATTACATTATAACTATAATATATATAATAAAAATTACTATTCAGTTTATTTTCTTGATAGAATCTACTATTCAAATTAATTAATATTTGATTAATATTTTTTAAAGATGGATACGTAATAATTTATATTATCATTAATCTACTTAATAATATATTTTCTAATAGAATTTTACATTAATAGAATTTTTTAACAATTTTTTACTCAATATTTTTTTAAATTCTAAAAAAATATTTTTATTTTCATTTTTTTTACAAAAAATTTAAGCAAATATTTAAAGAAATATTTGAAATCCATTTTCAAAAATTATTTAGAGTATCTGCATAAATATTTCAATTATCATTATTTTTGAATTTTCTATAAAATAAAATATATAATTTATAATCTGAATACTTTAAATAATTTAATCTTAATTTAAAAATAATAAAAGTTAGATATATAGATAGATAAATAAATAAATTGATAAGCTAATTCTCATACTAATATTGAGTTAAATATTTAACATAAAATTAAATTGAAATTGTCTTTACAAGATTAAGAATATAAAAATATAGAAGAAGATCTATTTACAATTATGTATATAAATTTAATTAAAATTTTACAAACTAATTAATAATCCTACTTACTTATTTATATAATAATTTTATTTTATCTCTATTTATCTAAAGTATTTTAGTGAGTTACATTATTTAAAAAGTATCATGTTGTTTTTTAAATTTTTAAATTAATTGTTAATTTTAAATATTTTTTTAATGAGATTATGTTTATTATATGACACGATTAATTAATAAAACACTTTTTTTAGATAGATTCTCTCAAAAACTTGAATTTAATTAATCTTTTTGAGAAGATTAGTTATTATTTAAATTTGAGTTTTATAGATTTTTTAAAAAGAGTTCTTTTTATAATTACTTCTTTTCTTATGCTTACTTTTGACTAATACCTAAGTCATTTGTTGGTCTTATTCCTCCTCCAAGACCTTGTTTTTTAGCACCTTTTGTGATATTAGGATTTCCAAAAATATTTTTGCTTAATGTTTCATAACTATTATTATTGAAATTTCTTTCGATGTTTTAATTATCATTAAGATCTGACGAAGTTTCATTTTTAATTTAATTAATTGCTTAGCCGCTTTGAACAGATTGAATAATCATGGCAGTTTCTTCAATAATATAATTAAAAATATCATCTGCTATTTCTAGTTAAACATCAGTCTCCTCATCTTCGTAAGTTAACCATTTATCTTCATTTTCAATCACCTATTTATTTATGTATTAAACTTCTTTAAATAAAGACAATATAAAATTATTTACCTCATTTTCTAGCATTTGTGCTAATCTGTCTTCTTTGATTTAGTTAAGATATTCATCTTCTATTTAAACTATCTCACCTGTTGGAGACTCAATTCTTTCAGGAATAAATCCACACAAAAACGATCCCCATTTTAATACTTTAGCTATTGCTAGTCCTAATATCTTTTCAATATTATCAGGAGTAATTATTATTGAAGATAGTTTATTGGAATTTATTTTCCATGGTAGAGGTTTTCCTCTCAACCCAAAAGGTCTCATAGAGTCTAGAGCTTCATTGAAGCAATCAAATATCATTCTCATATGGAATCTTTCTAACTCAAATAATTCTTCAGTCATCAATGATAAATCTCTTTCCCTCTTTGAATTAATTATTTTATTTAATTTACATTACTTAGTGATTATAAAAAATTGGTTTTACATTAAAAATTTCGTTGAAATGAGCAAATAATTCTTCTGAAACTACAGGACGCTGCATATGAATATATTTAACTATGGGATAAATTGGAGCAGCAGATATTTCTCCATTGCTATTATCAATTGTTTCAGTTATTGTAAATGTTTTTAAAAACTCTTAGGGATCCATACCTAAAGGGATATTTACCCTCTCCAAGAATTCATCTGTGAAATTATCTTTTAATGATTTATTTTAAAACAAATAAATAAATAAATATCAAAAATTACCTTTTATAAACTCTGAGAAAGCAACTAAATAATCTTTGATAAAATTCAAAGTAGCACATTCTAAACCAGGAGGATTGTTTTAAGTTGTAAGAATATTTTCAGAGAATTAAAGTTGCTGCTAGCTATTTTAAGTGATATAAAGATCTTCTGGGGCCATTTTATCTTATTTTTCTTTTTCAATTTAATTAGATAAACCTTATTTTATTTCTTGCATATTTTGTTTCTAACCATTTTAAACTAAATCCAACAAGAAATTATTCTGAAGTGGCTTTTTATCACCAATATTTTTATTGGATCCAGAATTTTCTCTTTAGGTAGGGGAGTTAGGTGGAGATGGAATCAAGTTTTTTTGTTTTGTGTTTGTATTATTATTATTATTATTATTTAACTTTTATAGTTATTCTTCTTCTTTGTTTTGAAGTTGGTTTCTCTTATCTTGTATGTTGGAAGACTCAGTTAATGGATTAACAGCCTTAAATATTCCACTCGATGTTTCAAGAGATGATGCTTTTTCGCTTACATCAGGGAAATCATCTAAATTATACACATTTTATCTAGCTTTAATAGGTTCCAAGAAATTAATTTGTATCATGTTTCCCTACAAGTTGGTATCTTTTTCATTTTATTGCTTATCTTTTATATTTTTAATGTCTAAAAATAAATTAAAATTAAAAAATTGTTAAATAAACTTTTTAATAAATTAAAATTACTTTTACCTTTTGCTGCATCATCTACTAAATAATTAATAGTTTAATCTGAAACATAGTTTACTTTATCATCAATACCTTCTTCTTGAAGTAGATCCCCTCTCACAAATCCCAGTTTCTGTTTTGATTAAAATTAAATAAAATATTTATAATTATAATGAAAAATATTTTTATCTACTGGAGAAACTTTGCTTGAAACTGTTTATTTTTTAGAATTTCCATCATCTTCATACTCAATAGTTTAGAAAGGATCTTAGTTCTTCTTTGAACTTTAGCTTAAAGGACTGCCTGGTTAGCTCTCACTCATTCTTGAATCTTAAGAATTTCTCTTGTTAAATTGCTTTATCTTATCATACTTGTTATCTGATTCTATTTTCATGTTTTGTGCTATTTCTCCTTAGTTGTGTATTAGGTATTTAAGAGATTCCTTGTCTTGAGTTCCTTATTTAGAAGCACTTGATACTGTAAAGATAGGGCTAACATCTAAACGATCATTATTTTCTGATTCTTGATCAATATAAATCTCATTATTTTAATGTAAATTTTAATTATTTATCCCGTAGTCATCTTCATCGCTATAACCGTACATGTCAAATGCTCTTCTTTAGCTTATTTGAATGTTCCCTTCATTTTTATTTTTTTCAGCTGTTAAAAATTAATCAATTTCTTCATCACCATCATAAACTGAAGATCCATTTGAAGATATATTTCTGGCTTACTTATCTAAAGTATTTGTTATCTTTTCTTCATTTTAATCTTTTGTTTTATTTTACTCTATCTTAGAGCTATCAGTTTATTTTTATAATTATTATTTTTAGATAGCCTCTTAATTTTTTTGAGCCAACTGTAGCTACTATTCTACATTTAGATATTTTGTATTTGATTTAGTATTACTATTGCAAGTCCCCTCAAACATTTAGTCGCTCTCAGGATATTAATTTATCTCTTCAACATTTATTGAGTTAGGCTAGCTCACTTATCTACTGCGAATTGAAGCATCTTAACTAGTATTATCAGAATTATTTCTATTTCTAATATTAGACTATGAAGTATTACTCAAACTGCTATAATCAACAGGTTTGTAATTATCAACAATCTTAATTTTATTAGGGTCCTCCACTTAATGATTTTTAAAAGAGTATACTCCATCTAACGATCTCCTTTCAGCAAATCCTATTTCTTCAATAGAATGCTCTGATTCTGATCTCATAGACAATAATCTTCTCAATTAATCTTCTTCGCTACTTTGAAGAAGTTTACTAGTGTCAATTCTTTTAGTCTATTATTGATAATAAATAAAAAGCATATTAAAATAAAATAAATTTTGTGTATTACCTATTCTAAGAACTCTAAGTCCCTTTTTGTTTGTTTTATGGTTTGAGCAAACTACTCCCATCCTCTTTCTATTTCTTTTTTAACTACTTTCAGGTTTTCCCTCTCTTTTGATACCCATTTTTCAAGCTCAAACTACTTTCTTTCAAATGACTTTGGAGAAATTCTATTACGTTCATGCATTTTATGAATCAAATCCATCTGTGTTTTATGCTTTTGCTCAATTGCCTCCTCTCTTGTTTTAATCAATTCTTCGACAGATTCTTAAGGCATTGTATATTTCTGTAAAATTTTCGAAGTAAATTCTTTAAATGGTTATTTATCGAAAAATGAAGATCCAACACTTGAAACGCTTTCGTTTCCATTATGACTATTCCTATTACTATTGGAATTTAAAACATGATCACTATTTAAGCGATCGATAATGTTTTATTTAGACTTTGTGATCTTATTTGAAATACCTAAAGAGTTATTTGCAACAATATTTACATATCTCAATTCATTAGATTCAACTGAAGATACAGACAAAGCCCTTACCATAGCTCTTTATTCTTAACTAATAACATCGTTTTCTGAATTCTTCCTTCCTTATTATTGATCGTTAACCTTAGAATCAGTTGACTTTTGATCTTTTTCAATCTTTTAACCTCTTTGCTGAAGGTTGTAGTTTGACTCTATTTCTTCAATATCAAGTTATAAATTCTTTTTGGAAGTTTATCCTTATTAGTTTTGAGTTTTTTTATCATCTACCAAAGACTGATTCTATTTTTAAGCTATTTAAATTTATTGATAATTTTGACTGGATTATCTATTCTGGATAGATTTATCACTGATTACCATTTCTTTGTCGTTTGCTTGAGATATATCTCCGCTTTTTAAACTTAAAGATAAAAATAAAAAAAGAATGAATTTAATAATATTTAATTTACTTGCTGCAATTTAGTTTGTCATTCATGTTATCTATTTCACTTAAAGGAAATCTATCTGTGCTGATAATTGGAGACTTTTAAATTTGCTGGTTTAGCTTTATATTCTCTATTAAAATTTATTTACTCATTTCTGATTACTTTTACAAGTCATTTAGTATTTTCAAAGCATCATTCTTAAATTATTATGATTGATTTTCAGGGAGTTAAACTATTTAATTGATCATCTGACTCCACATTTTAGCTTATTCCTATAATTTTGAAATTTCCATTTATAGGTGTGACTAGTTGTTTGGGGAAAATATATTTTTTCCTAAATCCTGATTATTTTATGAGACAACGCTATCTACACCTTTATAGTTATCTTTTGAGCTAGTATCAAATTCTTTCACAGTAACTAAACTTTTAGATTGGTCATTTATCTCTTTCATGTTCAACTAATTAAAAGATTAATCTCTGTAATTTTAATTGTTTATTCCATCTATAAATTTATTTTTTTATAGTTAATTAGGTTAATTTACTGTTAAAGTGTTATTATTATTATTGTTATTTAATTTTCCAGATTCTATGTTTACATTTTAATTTTAAAGCGATTATTAAACAAAAGGATGCACTGCATTGGATTCACTAATATTATTAATTCCAGAATTAGATTTTTAGTTTTCAGCTGAATTTTGTTGGCTTTTTTCTGTCTTATCATAAAAGTCAAAATCAGGCATAAAATCTGATTATTTAGGCTGTAAAAGGTCGTCATTATAGTTTTTTTGATGATAAAGCTCATTGTTGATTGATTATTCAGGCATAGATAAAGAAGTGAAGAAAGGATGGTTACCCTAACTTTCTCTATTGAATGTATTTTCTTCTTTATTATAGCTGTTTTAGTAATCATTAATTTTAATTGGAAATTCATTTTCAGATATCATGTTATTACTATTATCATTTTATATTTATTATTATTATTATTGCTCACTGTTTTAGTTTTTATTGAATTGCATTTCTCTTTTTTCATATTCTTTTAGCTAATCAGAAGAATAGTAAGGGATATTCTATTACTATTATTATAGCATTAGAGGAATAGGATTCCCCTCCAATAATTCTTCTGGTTCAATTTGATTTTCTTCTAAAAATTTTTCTGCTTATTAATAAAGAAGTTCTTCTTCTTCATCTTACTATCTTTGGTATTCAATTATTGCAGCTATACATTTTCTAGTATAATAACCTCTAAAAACTTTTTGAATTATTGTAGCTGCCGCATCGTATAAAATTAACTACTCAGAGAGGGCTTAGATCTCTGGATTTTCAGGATCACTCTAAAAGATAATCATTTTGAGCTCTTACAACTGATCATAATCTAAATCATATAAATAATCAACATCTATTTCCTCTGCATCATCAGATTAGTTACTGTTTTATTTATTATTTTCTCTAGGTGTTTGCTAAGGTGCTTTTTGATTATTAATTGGTTGAAGGGAAGGATTTGTATTATTGAAATTTTTTTAAAAGACTTATGACTCAAAATTAGATGATGACATTTGATTTTGAGTTTCTACTTCTTTGATAAGTTCTAGTTTAATATCTTCTTGTTGTTCGAATTAAGTGTAATCTTTTTGTGCATTTTGATATTGGCTTCTTTTATTATTATCTTCTCTATTCGAGCTCTGAGGAGTTTTAGAAGTTATAGCTACTTAAATTCCATTTACACTCCTATCTTTTTAAGCATTTTTCTACATTTACTAATTAGCACCTTCTTATCCAAATGGAGCAGCGATTTTATTTCTCAAAGTGGAATCTTAGCTCTCTTCATTATCAGTGTTGTGAGTTCTTTTCTTCATTTATTATACACGATGCTATAAATTTATATTTAAAGGAAGAATAGGCATTTCTTCATTCTATTGAATTTGCAAATCTTTAGATGAGAGCATCCCATTTTCTAGATCTGACAACTACTGATCAGTATCTTATTAGGGTATTTAATTTATTTAAGAAAATCTACAATCATTTTTTGTAGAGATATAGGATTTAGATTGAATAGTTTCTTTTAAATTTAAAGAAACAGGAGCGTTCGGATCTGCTGGAATTATCTAAGATTCATTTCGAGAATGTATTTGAGATATTTATTATTCACTTACGTTCTGCTAAATAGGGCCATTCAATAATTACTGTGTGTTAGCAGGGGCTATTAAATTAATAGTTTACTCGTTATTTTACTTATTTGGTAAATCCTTTTTACTTTCTATGGCTGAAACTAGTTTAATTTTAAAAAATTTATTATAAATATCAAAATGAATATTATTCAATTTTAAGCTTTAATTACTTCCAGATAAGGATTTAGAAGGAGTAGCCTTGCTTTAAGAATGGATGGATGCTTTCGAGTTGTTTTGGATTTAATTAAAAGGGAAATTTACAGAACCATCTTATATTGGTGAAATCATCAAATTTGATTACTAAGAGCTTGGATTTGAGTGAATGATATCATTGTCTTTGAAGTTTGGCTTTTTGAAATTTCCCTACTGAAAATCTTTTAGGTTTTAATTATTTCTCAATGAATCACTCTCGTTTGGATTGCTATTTATTGCATGAGGGTAATTGTTATTTGTCAAGTTACTACTGTCTGTAGGAATAAAGTCTTTCTTATTGTTTTGAAAAATTTACTAAAAACTATTCACGTAATTATTTTATGTATTTGCATTATTTTAAGGGTGAGGTAAATTACTAAAATGTCCTTTATCTTCTTCCTCTGGCTCTTCTTTAATAGGAGAGGCATTGCTTATATGAACTCTTCTTTAACTACTATTTACAGACCCTAAACTATTAGAATTGACATGCTATTACTGAAGGATGGCTTGCTGAATTTTCTTATTGTTTAAAGGTTAATTAAAGTATTTCTATTCATATATTTCCTAGTCATCTTTATCTTCTAAATTAATTTCATGCTAATTATTAGCCTTTGGTTACTATTCGTTCACATTTACATTGTGTTTAATTAAATTCATTCTTGCATTTATCTAATTATACATATTCTTTAATTCATCTTTCTTTTAGTTAATTAGCTCTTAAATATACTTATCTTTGGGAATAATTTGATCTTAACCTTCTATTTTCTGATATAAAGGTTACTTCTTATTGTTATCAAATCCGCTTTACTAAGGTATGTGCTTAAATACAGTAGAATTAGATTTAGTTAAGATTTTAGGCTCCGGAGAAATCGATGTTACTTAACTCTTACGAGGTTTTTTTGAGTTTTTCTCTTTGCTGTTTTCTTTCATTTTAATAAATTATGGGTTAACATTCTAAATATTTCCAAAGTGGGAAGAGTCAAACCCCTAGGCCAATTTTAAGTTTCCGACAGAGCTCGAAGCATGCATACTTATGCTTTTTGGTTTAATAAAATCTATTTATTTACATTTTCCTTTTTTACCACTTGAACCTAATTTATTTGAACCATTGTTAGATTAGCCTTATGTAGTTAGTTAATGAGTTTTATTTATACTTTGTGAAAACTCCATTAATTTATTATCATTGTCTTTTTTATATTGTAAAAAATATTAGTTTTTTATATAAATTAAAAAATAATACTTCCTGATAGATTAAACATTTTTTTGAATTCCATGTTCAACAGATCGAAATTCTCTTCATTTATATCAGTAGAATTTCCTGCATTGTTGTTAGAACTTATTTGATGATTCTATAATATGTTCTAGTTATAGTTGTTTTGGTCATATTTTTTAGCGTACTACTGCTATGTGTTTGAAAAATAGTTGTTTTGCAAAAACATTTCTTCTTCATACTCTTAGACACTTCTATTCGGTATATAATTTTCGTTATAGTTTATTAATTATTTGTGAATTAAATCTTTTTAAAGAAAGTTGTCTTAGTTATTTAGTCCGATATTGTTAAAATTTTGAGTTTTATTAAAAAATCTTTCAAGATTTGGGGTAGATACAGTACGATTTTTCTTTTTCCTTTACTAACTCTTTGAGCGTTAATGATTTTAATTATTTGTATTAGCAAAATGTTTGTTTTCTTATTAAAGTTAAACTTAACAAGAATTATTTTATCTCTAATTTTTTATTTCTTAATCTAAAATATGTAAATTATTTTTTAATCTTTCCTGCCTCTCCTTTTACTGTTCTTGTCTCTTTTTGTTTTCATTTTCTAGCCTTCTTTTCTTCAGAATCATAAATTTTTTAATTTCTTCATGGTTTAATGGAGCTACTAATTTTTCTATTAAAAAAATATATAAGTAATAATTCATTTATTCACTGATTACTTTTATTTTATTCTTCATTAGGATCGTTCTTAGCTATTAATTCTTGCTTGTTTTTTTCATCTGAGTTTATTAAAATAAAATAAATTTAAAGCAAAATTTTTTTAAAGAATTTACATTCCACTTTTTTTTTGATAATCTATTCATCATAATTATTTAAAAAGGATAGCCCTGATTATTATCTCCTCTTTTTCTCTTTTTCTATTAGCTGATTTTAAAAATCCTCTTCGCTGTTATTAAATTATCCTTTTTAAAATGCATAAGTATTGTTAAATTAATTTCTTTCTATTGATTATTAATGCGATTGTTATTGTTGCTATGAAAATAGTTAATTTTATATAATTTGATGCATCTTTATTCTTTATTAATTAGTTCCCCATGCATATTTTTGTTATAATTAAAGAGTTGTCATGTGGATATTTTGCTGGCTTTAAATATTTTCATTTGCCTTTTTTAACTTACAAAATTTAACTAAGTTTTCTTTTCTTATCTACTCATTCTAAATTTTTCTTTTCTCCTCTTCCTATTTGTTTTTTAACCTCTCTTCAATCTCTTCTTATTTCTTCATAAACTATTCAACTTTATTTTATAAATTGTTTATTTATTTTGATGTTTTCGACTCTTTTATCAATTTTAAAATGTATTTATTTATTGTGTTACATTAAATCTTTTGTGCATTCTTTTTAATGAAAGTATCAATCTCTTTCAGGTTTTAAATGCTAGTAGATTAGTGCTTAGGTATATCATTTTATATTGACTAGGTGTGAGACTATTAATAATGACTAACTATTAGCTAAGAAGTTGATTTTGCATGGTTCAATCTTGGTTTACTTTTTGATTTTGATAGACTACTTTTCTTCTTTTTCCTCTATTTGTCTTCAGGGCTCTTTGTTGTGCTTACAGCCTTACCAGATTTTTAAGGGGAATTAAAATTCTTTTCACCTAAAACTTTACCATTTCCTATAATATGTTAAACACCGTTATGTAGTGAGTTTTTACTTACTTTTCCTGGTGATTTTGATTTCGAGTTTGAATTTTATTGATGTTATTGTGGTTCATTTATTTTAGATACAGGTTTTATATGAACAGAATTAGATGATTTTTTCTTTTTTCTAGCAGAAGACGCTTACAACAATTGCTTGTCTGAACAATTTTCATTTTTATTTAATTAGTTTTCTTAATTTTCATTGTTAATTTTGCTAACTGCTTTTATTTCCTATGTTTAAGACAATTTTTTTTGGCTCTTTTCTTCTTATTTTTTTTTACTGGCACTTCTACTACTTTTTTCTCTATAACTCCTGTCTTTTTAAGGAGTGTTGCTTGCAGATCTTGGTTTTCTTGTGGTTTTTTTAATATCTTCATAGATGGTCTTCAATTAGTTTTAATTTAAAGACGAAGTAGGTCTCTTCTTTCTTTTATTAATTTGTAATTAAAATCAATAATAAATTCATTTAAAAATTTTCTTTTGTTTTTAATCATATTATATTTTTTAAAAAACAACTCACTTTTATGAATTTGGTTAATGCTGCATATCCATATTGATGATCTAATTGATAGGTCCTTGATTAAATTGATCTTCTTTATTATGAGAATATTTTTTTTTCATCAAAATAGTTGAGCTGTTAGAACTTAATGACTGCTAGCTGTTGCTGCTTGTTTGAAATATTTAGTTTTGAATTTGTCCTTAATAAATTTGGTTTTAAAATCCTTTTTCTCTTTACTAGATTGGATTAAATTGCATGGTAACTTACTAATTTTAGAAGAACACTATATTTAATAAAATTTAAGTTACATATGCTCTTTTAACGTTAAAAAATATAAAATATTTACTGTTTGGTTAGTGGTTAAGAGATTGCCTAAAACTTACTTGAACTTATTACTAAGAATCTATTTTTCTTCCCTAGATAGCTGCAGGTTTTTGAATAGTTAATTATTAATCTAAAACAAAAGGTTATGAAAATTAAGAAGAAGTAAGCATACTTGCTTATCCTTCATTTTTATAATAACTTTAATTGTTTTGCAAGCGATAAGTTTCATTCTACTGCTAACTACAATCTGATTATCTTTAACTGTTTTTAAGTATTTAATAATTGTATTGCTATTAATCTGGTTGTTCTTATCTGCACTAATTCCCATTAACGTTAAAATTTAATTATTGAGTAGTATCTTAAGCCTTTTTTTACCTCATTTTAAGTAATTATATTATATAATCAAATAGGTTTTTGTATTTTATCTAGACAATGAATAATGCTAAAAGACTAATATTTTTGGGAAGCGTTAGTGTTTTTCAATGCTTGTTTGTGTATTTGAAATTCCGCTAGCTACTTCTTTATTTTTTTGCTTATCACTTTATAAAATATACTAACTAAGTCAATATATCACTTAACAAAAAATAATAAATTTTGTAAATTTAATTAAAATTAATTACAATTGAATAGATTTGTTTTGCTTTTAATTTATTTAACATTATTTGAAAGTTAATAAAGAATATATGAATTATTCTTTAAAATTGCATGATTTAACAATTAAAATTTGTAAATTCTTCTTTTTAATGGATAGATAGATAGATTAAGCTTTAGTATCTATCTATTCAATACAAACCAAATTTTTATATTTATTCACATACATTTTCACAATCCCTTTATGTGTTTATTTATTTTTTTCAATTTTGTATTTAATCGATTAACCATTCAAAAATTAGGCGTTGAATATTTATTTATTTACGAAGTTCAATTTTGAATTAATTTTTCGTTTTGAATTTAATTAACTACATTCTCTATAGTTCAATTATAGCCATAACTACTTAGAGAGTAAATACCTTTAGTAGACTATTTGTTAATTTTTCTTAGTTATATTTAATTTATATTGCTAATTAATAACTTTCTTATCACCCATCCTAAATTTAAAAAATTATTAGATCCAAATAAAATGTTTCTCAATTTTATGTATTTTAATTTATGTAAATTAATTGTGTTAAGAGATAGAAATTTATTTACTTTAAATATTCATTAAAATAATTGCTATTTATGCAAATTAAGAAATAATTTTTGTTTGGAGTTATTTCAAAATAAACTATGTTTAATTATGAAATAAATTAATTTTATAGAACAAATAAAAAAATATTTTATAATTTAATAGTTTATTGATATTTTTAAGGAAGTAAAATAAATTAATCTTTAAAGTAATAAAATGCTAATACAGTTTTAATGGTATTTTTAATTTTATCTTAAAATTAAATGAATGAGTATAACTGTGAAATGCATGCAGATTGAGGTTATTATTGGGAATCAACGATGAGTGATATATGAAACAAAATTTGTTGTGAGGGCAAAAAATTACAATAAAAGGAATATTAATGAATGAATATAGTAAGAATTAGTTATTTAGTGCTAAAGATTATAAGGATTTAATAATAATATTACATGAAATTTGATGTATTTGTTATTGATTTTTATATTCACAGAAATAGCTTTATATATTTCATAATGAAATTTGTGTTAACAAAAATCAGAAAAATAAATAAAACCTGATAGTTATGCAAAATTTAGTTGTTAACAAACTATTTTTTGTTACTATATTTATGATACTTATAAGAATCACAATTATATTGAGAATTAATTAATATTTTTACATTGCGTATGTACTTAATATAGATTAATTAATAAATTATTATTTGGTGGATCAAAAGTAAATGAATTGCATTAAAGAGGATTCAAATCACTTTAATGGCGGAGTTAAAGAGTCCTCTTAATAGTAGGATGGTGAGGAATCGGCATTTTAGTTGAACGAACTATTTGAAGCTAAAAGTATTTGATTTTTTATCAGCTTTAGCAAGTTTATTGCTTATTTATTTACTCATTTCATTAATTAATTAATGAAGTTAATTTCATTTTTCATAAAATGGATTAATTTCATAAGTCGAATTTTTGATTTAGAAAAAGCTTTTTTAATTGATATAATATATTTTAACATCAAATTTTTAAATTTACCTACTTTATTTTAAAAGATTATCAAACAGAAGATGAGATAAAAGCTGGATAAAGCAGCTACAAGTTAAATACAATTAAGAAAACCTTTAACAAATAGATCAAAAGTAAACTACCTTCGTTTTATACTTGTTAAGTTCTTGAAAAATCTTTAATGTTTCACATAAAAATAATTTTAAAAATTAAAAATAAAACACAATTTATAATTCATAATTTTTTATTATTATCTGTTTTCTCAACTAAATATTTTTAAAATATTTCTAACATGAATAAATAAAAATTGAATGATTGATTATCTAATAAAGACATTTTAGTTCTTTAGAATAAAATATTGATGCTTGTTTAAATAAAAAGGTTATATATTAAGTTTAAATGAAGGACAAATGAACACAAAACAACTTAAGGTTTAGCTGCAAATAAATAATTTGAAAGCATAGACTTTAATTTTTTAGGTATTTATTCATAAAATATCTTTAGATATTACTGCAGTTAGTAGCAAAGACTAAATACTTAGACTCAAGATATATCCAGGTGCAAGATTTGAGCTTAATTCTAGTATACTTTAGCAGATTGGAGCCCACTCCTCTGTTTTAGGTGCAAGTTTAGCAGACAAAGGTTAGAATTAAATAAACCGTAAGCATAAATCTGAAGAAAATACATCTTCAGCTATTAATTAAACATAATAATCTCTTGCAGAAGAATAAATTCCTATAAATGGTAATGCTAATGGGACTGTCGCTTTTAAGCAAATTTTATCTTAATAATATTCATAAGATAGTAAATTTCTGCAAAATAACGAAGAGTGTTATCTTTCATAAAATAGTTAAGATAAAAGTCTACTCATACCTTCAATTTTAGCAGGATAATCCGCAAATAATTAAAATCAGTAATAGTAATAGCTTATATAAAAGTAGTAAGGAAATATTAATTTTAGCAATAACCCTACTTAGAACAATATAAGTAGTCAAAATAACTCAGTATATGTCTTTAATGCACCTAGTGACTTTTTATTAAAAGATAAATGGATTAATCTTATTGTTGATTTAAAAAGTTTCTTTAAGGATGTCAATGATGATTTCGTTGTAAAAAACATAGAAATAGGTTCATAATGTAGACTTAAAAGCATTTTCTACTCAAAATAATCTGATTTAAGGGCTTCACTTATTAGTAAGCATGATTTGATAGTAAATAGCGGTACAAACAAGTTCATCCCCTAGGTGATTAATTTCTAGTAAGTGAGTTAAATGATAGATGACTCAAGTCCTAAGCATGGCTAAAGAAAATCTTAGTCCAACAACATTAACTTCTTACTTCCTCAATGCTAAGCAATTTAAGCAAATTCACAAACTGCAGATATCAATTCTAGTAATGTAGAAACAAGTTTGATGATTCATAATTCAATAGCCTTACCTGCAAAGACCCCAAATAAGTCAAATAAATATCAAAATAGATATTCAGTTCATCTTTCTAATTACAAGCACAGCTAAGTTGCTCTATAATAAGCTTAGAATGCTTAAGTTGGATCTTCAAAGAGTTACTCTAAGTAACCTCCACCTCCATTAATTCAATAACAATAATCCCCTTCTTATCATACTCAAGTACCTGGAGTGTCATCAACTTCCGCTTCTAACACTAGCACTAATCCAGGTTCAGCTTAATTATCTAAAATAGTAAAAAGAAGAGAAAGTAAAAATGGTTACTCTGGAAATATTAGTACAAACAATTAAAGTTTTTAACAATAATAACTACCAAACAGCCAATCTATGCAATATAATTAAAACTCCTATTTAAGTAATAACATATCATTCGAGTAACCTCATCAAGGAATAGGTCACTCACATTTAAACTCACAAAATATACTATTTTATTAATCTACCTCTTAATCAACTCATCCTAATTGTGTTCTTAATTCTGATGAAGAGAGTACTAAGTGTTTATATTCAGGACCAAATACACAAAGGACTTCAAGTGTTTATTTTTATAATGCTAAAAGAAGTAGTCGCTCAAATGTAAGTGGTATCTAACAGCAACCTTCTTACCATGCAAATTCTCATCATTAATATCAAAATTCATACTTGAATAATAGTATAGCAGCAGGAAGTGGTAATAATCTAAGTATTAATCCAAACAGCGGGTAGTTAAATAATAACAATAACAGTATTCGATTACCAAAAATAATAAGTTTGCTAAAGCAAAGAAGTAGTAGCATATACAGTGGTGTGACAAACAGATCACATTAAATTGTGGAAGAACTCGATATTGCTTCAGTATAGAATGTAAGTAATATAAATTCAACTAGGAGAGCTAAAGATTAATCTCGCATTTATTAAGCAAATAACCTAAAATCTCCAAATAATAGTGTTAGTAATAACAATATTAATTAAGGGATTTCAAACAATTAAAATAAGTTAACTTTAAATAATAATAAAATAACTTCAGGAATAGAATAGCTTTTAACTTAAAATGTGAGCAACTCACCTTCTAAGAGTAATATAAATACATCAAGAACTCATTAAAAACACTATAAATCAAGCTAGCAAAGATTTGTAACTGTATCAATTAATTAATCTCCTAAAAATAAAAATTAAACATAAAATACTATTCCTAACTTTGATTTACTTCCCAATAATACATCAATACACTACCCGAATTCTAACGATTTATATAACATTGCTGATCAAGGTCTTTAAAAGTAAGTTTTGTTTTTTAAATAGGAATTTATTAAATTCTTTTAAATTATTTGAGCATTTTTACAGAATTATTTAAAATAATATTTTATTATTATAATTATAAGCAATGAGGAAGATTTCAAAATTTAAAAGAGAATAAGATCTGAAGATGATAATGATGACATTAATATGTCAATAAAACCTGAAAACAGCAAATTATCAGTAATGAGTAAGCTCTCAACAGTTCTATTCAAAAATAGTATTATAAATGCATCAAATTAAAATAAAGAAAATGACCCTCGTAGTAGAAACACTCCTGCATTAAAAAAAGAAAAATATGTTAACTTAAATAATAAAAGGAGATCTAGTTTATTTTCAACTGAATAAAATAAACCAGCTTAATTATCATAAAATTGCTAAACAATAAATAGTATAAACACAATAAATGCTAAAGGAAGTATTTAGACTAGCAGACGGTAAAATAGTATAAATTAATAGTAATTATAAAATGCTAATTAATAACAAACGCAATAGCAATGCTTATAATATCTTACTTAATAAAGTTCAATATAAAATGATGAAGATTAGCCTAACATTGATTATTCTCAATATGCATATTACGCGCCAAAGAATAAAAAGACTAAATTTTAATCTTAAAGTCCCTCTTAAATTATGACACACAGAAGCGGAAACATGAGTGTTAAGAAAAGTTATGGGAATTGTTAATCTAATAATAAAAATTGCTAAATGCAAATATTAAATTCTCCATAATAGTAATAGTAATAGTCTCCTCTGAGCAATCAAAAGAGTTATATCAGAAATAGCTATAGCATTATAAACAAACGCTAATCAGCAGCAGCTGTAAATTATAAATAAAATTCTGTTCAAATAAATCAATCAATTAATAACAGTGAAGAATTGTAGTTAAACAATGATACAAATTCTATTAATTAAAATGATAAATCTGAAAGAAAGAAAAAAATTGTTATGTAACAGTAATATTTGTAAAATAAAGATAGTTTTTGCCACGAAATCTAATAAAATTCTAGTCACAGTTAACCATAATAAAAAATTGGAGGGGGAACTTCAAGGGCAAATTATCATCATTCCCCACCTCCTCCACTTCTAAAAAATCACCGAGAGACTAGCTAAGAAAATGTCTCTTCACATATCTAATAAACTAAATCAAAGATTTCTTTGATTCCTTCACATGTCCTCTAGTATTCACTATAAACTTAAATTGCATAAACAAATCCTTCAAATACACTTTAAATTTCTATAAATTAAGGATACCAGCCTTAACAATCATTGTCTTAAGCTAAAACTACAAAAAAGCAATTACACCATTAATAATTCACTGGTCCTACTCCATCAAAATCTAATTCTAGAAATTAATCTCCTCTTGTAAATAAAATAGCAAATAGTGGAAAAACAAGTCATTAATAAATAGGTAATAGTAATAGCATTAATAATGGCGTAAATTTAAAAATAGAAGTAAAAAGTAATAGTCTCGAGAGAAATTCTTTGACTAAAAAACCTTCAACAACAAACAATAATTAACTAGTTTAAAATTTAAATTCACCAAAACTCAAAAGAAATATCTAAAAAAGCACATTTTCTAATGAAAATAAGTAAAATAAATCAGTGAGCAATGAAAAGAAAAACATTTAAAATAATACTTAATCATCTGATAAAAAAAATAAAGCCTAGATGGGTTTAGATTTCTCTAAAATATCTACAACGGTAAACAAAAAATAGGATATTTTACTAAAAAATACAGCAGCAGCAAATGTAATATTTAAAACAGAAGAAGTTTAAGATGATGAAGACTAAAATACTCATGCTTAAAAGAAGCTAGCTTAAAGAAAAATAAGTGAAGGATAAGAAAGCCCTTCAAAAGGCAAAGAAAAAAATTGCTATGCGAAAAAGAATTTGCTCCAGGCTTTTAATTAAGCTGAAGATAATACTGATAGAATAAACATCTAAAACTAACAAATTACACCTTAAAATGAGGAATTTGAAGATGAACAAAAAGTTATTGAATAAAATGAAATATACAAAAAAAATGTGCATAGATTTAGCTCAACTTATAATAATCCTGAGCTTAGTCTTCCTTTGACTTTGTTACAAAAAAATTTATAGTAAACAACAGCAAATTAGAATGGGTCACACCAATCAAGTGAACCTAGTAAGGCTTTGTTTTAAAATGGAATTTTAAAAAGTCAACCAATAGCTTTAACTGCTTCTAATCTATTAAATATAAAAGATTAATAGTAAGAGTAACTTTCTTTGAATTAAGACATTGCAGAAAATCAGAATAAAAAATTAAATAACAACAGTAGCCTTCAAAAGGATAAATAGTATAAAAGAAAGTACTAGCAAAATTAATTCTAAAAGAAGAAATCTAAAAGCAATTCAGATACAGTTATAAAGGCTCAGGAATACGAAGAATTAGCAGAGGAAATCATTGAGTCGTAATAAAGTGAGCACTTATTAACAAATCCAATAAATACTAATTAAGATGATGTAATTGAGGAGAAAATAGAAACTAAAAGTATTTCGATTACAAATTAAAGTAAGTCTATTATTTCAGATATTGATAAAAAAAATGAAATTATGCTCAAAACAAGTGGTTCAGTATATGAATCTTAACATATGACTAGTTCAGAAGAAGAATGTAATGAATCTGGATTAGCAATTTCAATTTAAGTTGATAATATTGACATAAAGGAAGATTTAGATATATAGAAGATTCCTCCATAATATAAAAAACAAAAATCAAGTGCAAAAAAGAAAGAAAATGATACAGTTTCTCCTACTGAAAAAATTAAAAAGAAATAGGAAAGTGGAAATAAGTTCATTTAAGAAATCGAAAAGCAGATACCCTCCAGTAATAGCATTGAAGTTTCCAAAGTTTTAATTGTTTAAGATGATGATGATGATGAAGAGGAATACAACAAATAGCTGATTAGTCAGATAAATAGTCTACCTTATACATCTGATTGGAGAATTTAGAGTTTCTTAATAGAAAATAAAACTGATATTTTAAAAAATAGAATTAACCTGAGTAATTTAATCAACGGAGTGACAGCTTCTTGTAAAACATAACCTGTAGAAACTATATTAAGTAACTAAGTGTTTAATTAAAATTTGCAAAATAAGCCAGAAAGCAACAATAACAACAACGATCAGTAATAAAATTTCCATTCAAACATAGATTAAAATTAAAATAAATTACCTACCAATGAAAAAAGATAAAATAATCATAGTAAAATATTTGGTAATCCATAAATTCTTTAGCTAACTGATGTAATAAAAGCTAGTGAATGAAAATAATTAATTTATTAAAATTATTTATTTTAATTTTTTAATTAAAAATTGATTTCAAAAGTAATAAATAATTTGTATATATTTATAGAATTATTATATAATTAATATTTTTGAATTACTATTTTTAGTATTTTTAATTTATTATTTGCTGAAAAAAAATAAATATACAAAATAAGATAAATTATTTTTATTAAAAAAATAGAAAAAAGTTAGTGAAAAATTATTAACTACTTATAGAATATTAATTTTTAAAATTATCATAAAAACAGAAAAAAATATTTTTGGATTCAATTAAAATGATTTAATTATTCAAAAAAATAACTAATTATTTTTTAAAAAATTTATTTTTCTATCTATTTTTTAATTAAAATAATTTTTATTGATTATAATCAATTTGATTTTTAAGTTAAATATAATCATAGCATATTCTTTTAAAATTATCAAATTTTTTTAAACATATAAAAAGTTATATATAATTGGTAATACTAAAAACTTTATATTAACAAAATAATAATAGAAAAAAATAAATAAAAAATATAATATAATTCGTATTTTCCAAAATTTTTAAAAGTAAATTATTTGTTTTAAATAGATTTGTATGAGACTTTATTTTTATTGAAATCAGATAGGATTTTTATCACAAAAGAATGTTCTAATGTTAGTGTCTGTTGCCTTTATATACACATCTCCCTTTTCAGTGAAAATGAATTCTTTGCCGTATCTTTCTTGGAGTATATCTTTTGTAGTCTCACTTACTACTACGCTTCCTTTTTGTCCATTACTTTCCATTTTATTTGCAATCATAACATCTACTCCATATATATCATATCTTACAATTTATGTACCTACTAAACCACCTACTATTTTACCCTTTTTTAAAAAAATTTGTTTATACTTTAGATTAAAAAAAATAATTTATCTTACAGTATGCACACCAATACGCATATCAATTTGATTTTCAACTAATTCTGTTGTTCTCTTTAGTATTTCTATCATTTGAAAAGCCATCATAATGACATTATAGGCTTCAGTTGGAGGATCTCTATTTTCGTGGTTTGTGTTACCTAAGATAACATAGCAGTCTCCAATTGTGTAGACTTTAAATACTTTGTGATACTAGCATTTTTGATCAAATTCTGTAAAGATGGTCCTCAGCATTTTGACTACAGTTTCTGGCTGATTTTAATCTGAATAACGGGTAAATCCTGCAATATCAGCAAATAAAATAGTTTGCTTGTCAAATTTTTCAGCGATTATATACGAAGCAGTTGGATTCATTAAGAAGCGCTCAAGTATGTGCTTTGGAAGAAGATATTAAATAAGTTTATCAGTTTGTTGATTCTTTTCATTTAAAGATTAAAGTGTGTTAAAATTCTCTTAATCTTTTTTAAACAGTTAGTATTGCAAAAGTATAAAACATATTTGCATGAAAAGTACTTTTATAACTATGCTTTAAAATATTAAATCATCCATAATATTGTGAATTATAAATATGATGAACGAAGTTAAGAAAACTGGCAATTGTTGCATGAAAATAAAGACTCTCAATCTGAAGAACAAATAGTAAACCAAATATATTTCGTAAATGAGTACATTTATAATCTGTTTGCCTTCAGCTTCGTTGTAAAGTACATAATTAGAGTCAGCCTTGGAAGTAGAGTCAGAAGCCATCCATATTTCTACATTAAGAGCTCCAAAAATAATAAAATAAAAAATTATTATGTACATTCTGAATTTATTCATAGATAACTGTTAAGGTTTGAGTATGTACTTAAATAATAAAAAAGCAGTTATTATGAATATGATAAGCCCACATCTAATTGCTATTATCAAATTAAATTTAGAAGGTCCTATAACAAAAAAGAGACTAACTGTGTACAAAAATATTTAGAGAAAAGTTAGCTTAAAAGCTCCATTCATTTACTGAACAGAATCATCGATCTAATTAGTCCAAAATTCGCTAAGCATTTCATCAAACTCAAAATTTTTTTCTGGCAAATTATGCGAAGATTATGCTCCTGTCCAATAACTCATATTTAACCTCATTTTATTGTTATTCTACTTACCTTATGAAATATCATCTTTTTCTTCTTGGTACTGCATTTTGATTTATTTTAAATCATAGTATTATAAATTGAGACCATGGTTAGATACCTTTTGCATATCTATTTTATTTTCGATTCCAAGTTATAATTCAGCTTAATGGATAGGCTCAATTACCTCTTCTTAAAGATTAATTATATTTTAATTAGAAGTTGCTAAGAAAATACTGTTAATCCTTCCTCTTACATTTAAGTTGCTGGAGCTATTATTCTATGATCTATTTGCAATTTGATTATTAGAAGTAGCTTAGTTGTTATCTTTTCCCATAATTAACTTTTATGAATCTTCATTTATATTACTCATAGTTTGAATTTTTATTATCTTTTAACTAGCATGAGTTTAAGGTTTTGCTTTATTTTCTTAATTGTCTTGCTAATGGGCGATTTTCAACGCAGCAAATTTAGAAACCGAATCTATGTAATAAGTCCCTGATCTTCTCCTAGATTTTCTCTTAATTTCTTCTGAATTACGATTCTTAGAGTTTGAAGAAGGTGATTCATCACTCTTCTCTTTGCTTTTTTAACTTGAAGAAGCTTCTTATATAACAGATTAACCATTTAAGTTTTCTTAAGCTTTTTCTTTCACTTACTATTATTGTTACTTTTTAATTATTGGGTGAAGTTTATTAATTATTTCTTATTATAACTATAACGATTGCTATAAACCTTCTAATTTTCAATATGAAAAAAAATTATTACACTTTTAAAAATTAATTATCAGCAAAATAAATAAATCAAAAAATAACTACTCTTCTTATTGTAAGTGTTACTCTTTTGTGTGACTACATATGTTGTAATAATACCTTTTCCCTTTGCTTCTACTTCTCTTTTTTCAAATCTGTATTAAGATAATTAAATAACTTTTTGATAGGAAGAATTAGATATATTTATTGTTTTAGGAAGTCCTGTAGAGCAAACACGACTAGCAGTATTGACAGTGTCACCAATTAGAGAAAATTGAGGTTTGTGGAAACCTATAACACCTGAAATGACTGTGCCATAATTTATACCTATATTTATTTTATCAAAAATACGATTAACAAAAATGATTAGTAAATTATGAATTTTTTGAAAGAATTTTAAATTAATAATAATTTATTAATTAAAAAACAAACTGAAATAAATATTTTACCAATTTTAATTTCAACTTTTCCTGATTTTCCACCATTATTAGTGTTTCCCCAAGTTATATTTTTGGCAATTTCTTACATTTCCATAGCAACTTAAAGGCACCTTTTTACAGGATCAACAAAAGTGTTTACTTAATTTTATCCATCTTAATAATATTCATCCACATCTCTTAAACCTGCTGCTGCCATGTAAGTTTTACCTACAGTTTCTATTTTTAAAACTTAGTTTGCCTGACAAGATTTATCAAATTATCTAAACAGATTATCTAAAACTTTAACAATTTTTTCTTCTTCTTGCATCATAATTTCATCAAAATTAGTAATATCGCAAAATAGGACAGCTACATTTCCTTAATTAGTGCTAATCTTATCATAGTTTTATCCAGAATATAATTTCTCTCTTATAAATCTTGGAAGGAGGATAGAAAGGGTATCTTTCATTTTAGAAGTGGCTTGTGTTAGTGTTTGATTTACCTAAAAGTTTTTTCTCTCAATTTCTTCATACTAAATTAAACAGATTAAGTGTCAATAAAAATATTAAAATTTTAAGAGAATTAATTACGTTTCTTTTTTAAACTAAGAAGCAAACGAAAAACAAAAAAGAGATTTCAATATGACTGAGAAGGATGTGAATGACAGAGAATTGCTTTATATCTGGGTCGTTTTATAATGATACTTAGTTGCTAATAACATTAAATTCTCTTAAGATAACAATTAATAAAATTAAAATTCCGAGACAAAACAGATAATCCAATCTGATCAGAGGAAGCATAATTACAGATAGAAAGATGCAAATTAGAATTCCAGGAACACTATCATATACATCTGCTATATTAATCAAGATCATAAAATATATAATTCTGATTAAAATTATGCCATAGTTTACTTATCTTATATACTTTTGATATTTCTCGCTAAAAACAAATACAAAAATCTGTATAAAGAACAAAAAGAAAGCACCTAAGAAGTAAATAGTATAAAAGCTTGGGTTAAATTCACTAAAAGATGCTCCTGTATATAAGATACTCCTATAAAGTATGAATATTTCAATAAAAATGAATGAAAGTGTAGTTATAGTTCTCGAATAAGCTAAACTTATTTTCTTATATTATGATAGGAATCTAGCTTCTATATTTTGATCTTTAAATTTCAGTGTGTATTTATTCATGCTAGCTTCTCTTAAATTTACTTACTCGGAAAGCATATCTTAAAAATAAATAAATTAATATATTTTAAAATTTTATTTTATTATTTTTACATGAACTTAAAATGATGTCTGGCTCGAAGGCTTAGAAAATTTCTCTGATTAACTTTGCAATGTTAAATTATTTAGGTTTAATGAAGTAAGATTCTCTCATAGAATCTTGAATTACTTAACGAAGTTTTTATAGGGATTTAATAAGAGGAAAAGATTTAATGGAAACATAATTCTATAAAAGAAGATTAAAACTATAAATGAAAAAAGGTATAAAGAAGATGGTCAATATGAACTAAGCGTTTCCCAATAAAATGAAGCTCTCTTTAATTTAAATTCTTATCAAAGGATCAAATGAGAAAGCAAGAAGAGGCACTGCAAGCAATAAGAAGGATACTATCAAGGCATGTTTAATTTTAAATTTATACTCGACTAAGAGCCTTATATAAGGTATTACTGCAAGAGCAAAGTATTATTCAATATAATTAATTAGTTATTATGTTAATGTATATCCTTCACTTGTTGTTATTCTAGATAAGATAAAGTGAACAAAGAAATAAAATGCTGAAGAATCAACTAGAGTTATAAAAACTAATTTAATAATTTTTAAAAGTAGCTTTTAATTAGAAAAGGTTTTAAGAGTTCCATATTATTGAATTAACCCACTCTAATTAAGCTACGATCCTTAGTATTTTTTGTATTTCTTATAGATTATGATAAGGGATTATATAAACACAATGAAGAAACTTAAGAAGAGCATTGTTCCTAAATTGAACATTTAGTAGTCAATATCACACATTTAAAATTAAAACATTATTACAAATATCATCAATATTCCACGATATGTATTAAAGTAAAGAGCATCTTCGAATATCTCTGAAACCATTTTTGAGTGTAAGAGGAGAATTTATAGAAGATTATCAATCTTGTCAAACTAAATACCTGGATAATTTTGAGTTTCATTAAAAGAGGATTTCTTATGAGCACTTATATTTGAATCTGTAAAAGCTTGAAAGTCAGCTAAAGTATCTCCTATAAACATAGTTTTAAAGTTTTGATTCATTTTTACATTAATTACCTTAATCAACTATGCCTTAAGCTCAGGAGTCATGTCATAGCCTACAACACTATGAGCAAAGTAGCATATAAAAGCAAAATGGTTGTAGAGATAACTGCTGTTAATTATTTCTTTGAAACTTTTACCACTTACCAATAAGCTAAAACGGAATTAATTTTCTAACTCCATTCCACTTACTATACTCTTTCTGCTAGCTTACCTAACATGTTTAGTTGTGCTTTATGATTTTGATCTTTGTAGAACTCTCTTACTCGCATTTATTCCACTACTTCCTGGTTACCACTAACTAAATTTTATGTCGTTAAGGCTTTCTCTTTATATATTAGATCCGCTGTTTATGTTTATATTTAAATTCGAGATAATCTCATTCGCTTGCTTTTGAGTGTTGTGAGCCTTTTAAAAACCATCTTTTAGCTATTAAAGCATATTTCTAATTAAAAATGCTAATTTATCATACTCATCTGTGTCAAAAGCTATATGCTTATGCATTTTGTCAAGTATTCCTAAATTATTAAACAGAAATTAATTATTTTAGAGAAAATAAAAATCATTTTTTTACCTGCTGAAAAACAAATAGGAATAACTTTTGATTGTTTTTCACCTGTTGCAATCCAAGATTTAATTTTGGCTTCTTTTAACAATTTAAATAAAGTTTCTAAACCTGGGACTGTTTGTTCTTTAACAGCTACTAAAGTTAAATACTAAACATTTTTAGCAAGTATATGATTGAAGAGATTTGATAAGTTTTATTGAAGTTCCATTTTACTTATAAAATCTTAAACATCTTTCAAGTCCATTTCTTTCTTGCAATACAAAATAGATCTATTTCCTTTATTATTTATTAGTCATTCATTTATTTTGAATAAACATTTTTTCTTTAAATAAATTTACCTTGGAATCTGTAATAATTGCAAACAGGATTGAGATCAGAAATTATATTCTCATTTAAATAGTTAATTTGTGATATATTTGTTACTTCTTCTTTAATGTATAGAGAGTAGACAGCTTCAGATTCTTGAATTAGTATGCAAAATCTGTCTAACTTGCTATAATAGTGGTAGGCTATTACTTTATACTTGAAGTAGTTATTGTCTTTCTTTAAAACATAATTGAACTCTCCATCTATAAAACATGAAAATTCAAAATTATACCTAATTTATTTATGAAAATTCCTAATTATAATTTTTACAAATCATTTAAAAATTTACCCTAAGCTGTTTCCTAATTAAAGTTGCAATTCTTCTATATGATAAAAACTACGGTTTGTTATTTTTTGTGTATCTTCATCAAAAAATGATCTTGTGTAGTGGCAAAGCAGCATAGCCTTTAAAATTTCATGAGTTTCCAAGTAGTTTTCAGATTCTTCATTTGTGTAGATGTTAATAAAGTCTTTATTTTCCAGGATAGAATTAAAATCTACACCACCATTTAGTTGATTAGCTAGAGATCTCAATGTGCTACTACCAGTTCTAAATTTATTTTAGTTATTTGTGCTTTTTCCGCTACCCTAAGTATTAGAATTACTCTCAAGTTCTTCATTCTATAAAAAATTTTATTAATTAATATATATTTACAACAAACCCTAAATTTAGATTAATTACTTTTAAAGTTTTCTTAACACCCTTTGCAACTGTATTTCTTAAATAATCGCTTATTTAATTTTTTTAATTGCTTACTGTTTAATTACTTCCGTCAGTACCTTTAATTTTTAAAAATAATTTCTAAATAATTATAATTTAAAATAACTTTATTTACTTCTCTGCTATTAAGGTATATTTTTAAGATCAAAGTCAGTGCTTCTATTTAATTTAGCTACTTTTTTAGCACGACGAGGACTGCTAACTTCTCCATCAGATTCTGGAAAAGGTGAGTCAATATCACTTATTTTTTTGGGTACAAGCTAAGGTATCTTATGGTTATTTTTCTTATGGTATTCTAAGCTGTTAACAAAATTAGCAATATTGGCATTAGTCATCATTTGGTTTTAGTTAAGCTTATAATTGTTATCTTTTGTACTGTGAATTTCTATTTCGATATCATTTTGAACGCAATCAGTACTTGGAAGTTTATTATCGTTCACTAAATAATTTTTATTACTCTCTTCTCCCAAGTTATTTACGAAAAATTAATCTTCTTTAGATTTGGATTGCGGAGTATCGCCTAAAAGATTTTATATTTCATTGTGAGTATGTAAGTTTTCTGCATCATGCTCAATATTTTTAATAATTGGTATAGGAATTATATTTGACAGAGATGGTTAAATAAAATTTTCTTCTTCTATATTCAGGTCATTTTTTTTTGTTTAGAGGAGTTTACCAGTTACTATACTTGTAGCGGATCTAGGATTATCTCTAATTTTTACATTTTAAACTTAATTTTGATCATTTAAACTCTCTAAAATACCTGACTGCTACTCATTACTTTTATTAAAATTTGAGTTTTCAATCATAAGAGAATAATTTTTTTTCAATCCTTAACTTCTGTTAAAATTTCCACCTAATAGTGGAGCTCTAGAGTTATGGTGAATTTTCTTTGAATGTGTTGAAGGTACATTATTCGTAAGCTCTATTCCACTTAATTTAGAATCAGTCGGTTAATTAAAACCTTTGGAATTTACTTCTAAATTTCGAGATTCCTCAACAACCTTTTCTAAATCTAATCCATTCAAATTTCCACCATATTAACTAATACCATTTAAATTATTTAAATTTATCATAAGAGGGTTTTATGAATGAAAAGAAATCGCCAGACTTTAAAATCCGCTCTTTTGTTGTTTGGTGTTTTCACCATTAAGAGTAAAGCCACTCTGATTTTAATAGCTTTATCCATTTTTATGATTGGGATTTTAATTTTACATTTAAAAGTTAATTAAAGTATCTTTTTTTATATTTCTCCTGTTTATTAAAGTTTTAAGCGTATTATTATCTACATGATAAATACAATTCGAAATTAGTAAACCAGTAATTGAATTTTAGCCTGTTGTGAGAGTGTTAGCAGTGTTGAAAACTAGGTGAGTAGTTAAACACATATCTACAATACTTCTGGTATCATTTAGCTGCTGAAAGCAATCATCAATCTTTACAGTAGTTTGTTTTTCTTCAGTTTATGTTTTTAAAGCAGCTAATGTGTTATTTTCTTCCTTTTAGAGCTCAGTTTCTTTTTTGAGATGAATGTGAGAGTTATCAGAGTTTTAACGGCATAATCCATTTTAATTTTATTAAAAATGAAAATGGTTCATATTTTTAATGCCCTCTAGGCTTTTGCTTTTTTATCTCTATTATTGATCTCTTTTTTCATCTTAGCGATTAATATATATGCAATAGAGCGTAATGAGAGATTCACTTACTGCATGATAATAAATAGGCAAGTGTAAGAGAGCTGTAATAACTAATTTAGTATCTAGCTTTGTAAATCCATCTTTCAGACATTGATTAACTTCAGTAAAAGCCAAATTTAAAAATATCAGAATTATAATAATCATAATCGAAATAGCACTAAAAATAAACTGCTTTCTCATGAAAGTAGAATTGTAATATATTATCTATGGTCTTTTAAATTTCCTATAAATATATGTTTGCATTCCAATTTCTATAACTAAGCCTAAAATCCACTCAGTAAATTAAATTTGGCTTCCTCTCATTATAAATTAATCTGGTGTCAACTCTTAAGCTATTGGATCTTTTTTTAATTTTACTAATCCTTTAAAGCTATCTTAAAAACCTTTAAAGCTAAATTTGCCTGTTAATAATTTTCTATACTCCACATGGTTACCCTTAATTTTAGATGTTTTTGGTACTATTTTTAATTAAAAATAATAAATGTAAATTAATTGTACTATTTTTACTCATAAAAGAATTTAACCACTTTTAAGAGGATTTATTGAACATAATATTCAAATAAAAATTAAAAAAGCATGTTTTTACATGCAAATAAATATAAAAGCTTAATTAAATTAATTAATTAATTACAAAACATCAATTCTGAGGCAGTTTTTATTTTTTCATCTGATTTATCATCTATGTTTTATGTATTGACTGTGCATTAGAAATCAAACATATCTAAAATTAACATATCTGCAGGACATATATCATCTTTTTTCAGTAAAACTATATCTCCTATCTATTTTAATTTAATTTTTGAAGAAATAAGTAAATCAGTTTGTATTTATCATACATAAACATTTAGTTTATAAAAAAAATATGTTTAATATGATTTTATTTTATTTTTCTTTTTAAATTTTATTAATTTAAACAATTATAAAAATTCAAATTCAAAATTACTTTCAGATCTTCCCATTTTATGTGTTAGTAAATTTATACTTTTTGCGAAGTTTTATATTCTATATCTATTAAACTTTAATTTTAGACTGCTTACAGTGATTAAACTTTATTAATTCCTTAACCAACAGGGTTTTCTTCCCTAAACTTCCTAATGATAGTACATTACTGCTAATTAACAATTTTATCTTTCTTGGCTCTTCTAAGTTCAAAGTAATATTCTCTCAAACTTACAACAACATATGTAAAAATAAATGGAAAAAAGACAGAAAAACTAGCTTCTCTATATTAATAAAATAAAATGTTGAAATAGAATACTACTAATTAAATGAATAAGGTAAGAAGTTGTTACATTTGATCTCTAACACTTAGCGTGCTATCACTTATGTATATAGCAAAGACTATAAACATAGCAAAAAAATATAGCCTTGAGAAAGTCTTTATTAGCATAGAATATAAAAAATTGCTTTACTAATTAATATAAAAAAAACATGAATATTTTAACCAATTTCAAATTCTACTCTAGCAACAAATTATCTTGATTTCCTAAATGGATTATGAAATAACAGAAATAATTTAAATGTTGCATTTTTTCTAATTTTAAGATGATTTTTCAAGTATACATTTTGTATTTTAAAATCCTATTTTTTCCTAGTAGGATAAGCATCAAAATAATATAAACTATTTCAACTATAATGTTTTATAAAAAGCTAGTCAATTAATTACACTGTATTATTAAGTCTCAATGGCATTAGTTTAATATTATAAATCTTTATACCCTTATATTGATACTGCCTCTCCATATATGATTTCAATCTAAATTCATAAGAAAAGAGTTAAAAAAAATCCTTTCCATTTAAATAAATAGTTATATTTGAATTGCCAATTATAATTGCTATGAATCTGCAGTTAAAATATTAACTATTTTAAATAAGAACAATGCAAATACCGTTTTCTACTACTATTGATCGCTATGGAGCTAATTAAATAAAATTTCATCTTCGGAATAGTACTTTTCATATAAACATTTAACTAATTGTTTAAACAACGATGGCATTTTTATTTGCTTGGAATTGTTGTATTCCTAAACCCTAATTTTTTAATTTAGTATGAGTGTATATATATACTGTAATTAGTAATTTATTTCCCAAGACTTCTTTTATAGATTTTTGAACTACCCTCCTTTTACTTTTCATCGTCATTTAAACCAATTTAGATTTACTAACAAAATTTAATTAGAAAAACTACTACTTTCACATCTTGCAGTAGTTTACTCAATCTATTTATCTTTCATATCTATATCCATCATAAGAAATAAGCTTATTTCTAACATTAATTTTAACAATATTTACTTATTTAATATTTGCATACATCTCATTAAAAAAATTTATTAACATACAAACATTTATTTATTTATTTCGGGTTATTTAATGTGTTCGAAAAACAATTAATTCTTAATTTGAGTATTACATAACAATTAATTAATTAAATTACATTTTATATTACATGTTTATTTGTTAGTGATAGGCAAATTTATTTTTTCTGAAAAGATTATCATATTTTAATTTTAATTAAATATATTTGGTCAAAATTTCTTTTTAATAGAATACTTATTAAGATAGTAGTTAAAATTATCAATAATAAAAATAATCATTTTTTTGTTTTTAGTTTATTAATTTAGATTAAACATTTAAAGAAAAACCTGCTTAAAACTATTAGATGTTTGCAAATTAATAGCTTTTTTAACAAGAATTACAAATATTAATAACAGAGCTACTTACCAAAACTTATTTACAAATCTAAAATTCAATTTCTTTTTATCAAAAATCTATTGATGATAAATACTTGATCATTTTTAAGAGAATTATTAAACTAAAATAAATCTTAAGAAATTATTTCAAATCAAAAATTATAATTTTTATGAAATTTAAAGAATTAATTTTATACAAAATTTACAAAATAGATTTTTAAATAGAAAAGTAAATTCATCATTTTAATAAATAAATTTACTGAAGAGTAAAAACTAATTCAACGTTATTTACTAATAAATTTATTTTTTTTTAATTTTGCTCTAGTAAAATTTTATTAATGTAAGATGAATTACTGTTAAAAAACCTAAAATAAATAATAATTTAACAAGCAGATAACTTTTAAATGAGTTAATAATTTTATATTGATTATTAAAGTCCACTATACTATCTAACAAATGGATTAATTAGTTTTATAAATAAATTTAATAAACAAAAATTTTTAATTTAATATTCCGTAGATTTTCAAATGGTTTATTTATTAATTGCGAAAGGGATAAAGAGGTAATAAGCAAATAAAACTATTTTTTAATTAAACAGACAGAGTATTTGTAAGCTGTAATAAGAACTATGTAATTATTATGATAATTTAGTTCCATTAAGTTATTGAATATCTTGATTTACATTTTTAAATACTTATAAATAGTATCTAACCAATTTGTTATTAATATTACTCTGTCTATAACAAACGATTACTTTAATTATCTAAATTATAACTAATGTTAACTTTTAATAAAAATTTCACCATTAAGTCTGATAGAAAAATAAAATAGTAGAATATAATTTATATAGAAAAAATTGAATTTCTTTAGGTTATTTATAACTTTTGAACATTTTAAAAAGCTTATGTTTTTAATTTTTGCTAAAATTCAGAGTAATTTATTAAAACTACATACTAAAACTCAAATAAAAGAATTATATACTTTACTTTTTTTCATGATTAGAAGCAAAATAGAGAACTAGTTTTATGGAAGAGGTAAAATTTATAAACTAAAAAATTTATTGGTGTTATTAGTGTCTTAACTTTAGAATGTAGTCATTTTGTGAATAAAAAAAACTTTAGTAATAATCTAAATTAGTTATTTAATTTACACTTAATTTTTAAGATGACCTTTTTGATAAAAAAAATAGTCAACGCTTTGAAAAATAAAAATAATGTAAAATAAAACCAAGTCATTTTTTTTTTCATTTATATAAATATACAAAACAATCATAAATGTATTGATTTCTTTCACAAAAATTTTATCAAATATTGAAAGTAAGTGAAAAAAATCAATAAATATAATTATTAAAAATACATTAATAATTTCAATTAAAAGTAAATTAGGTTTTTTAAAGCATAGAGGACAACTCTATATTAATAACCATCATACATTATAAAGCAATATATTTGTACAAAGTACCTTTACTAACATAAATATAGCCACCAGCAGCACCACTTGCAAAAGGGGATAAATATTCATTAACAAATCTAAATATCGAATAATCAAATAGCTTAACATTTTTCAAGACTAGATAAATATAAGACTAATACATTCCAGACATTATAAAAATGAGTAAATTTTTTAGTGGTCTCTTCAATTCGTTTATAAAGCATCAGACTCCAATCGAAAAAGCTTTTAAGAATACTTGCTTCCTCAAAGAAAATTTTGATGAAATTGATTATGATGATTTATTAAAGGTTCTTTCGTTCTTAAATGGTAAAACTGAAGTAAAACAATAAGAAGCTATCCATTTATTTTTTTAGTATTTTAAGGATAACTAAGATTTGTCATTGTAGCGCAGACTAAAATTCTTAGCACTGATTCATAAAAGCATAAAAAAAATAGGTTTCGATTTTGCAGAAGAGTTTCTTTCAATCAAGCCAAATTGTTTGAGAGAAAAGACTAACCTTTCTCAACTCTCATAGAAGCAAGCTAAATAAAAACAAATGGTATTCCATTATATGGATATTGAGAGTTGGTTAGAGGAGTATTTAATAAAGCATTACTACGATTATTTGATGAGGATGTCCTTAAATTTAGAAACTTACAAAACCTGCATGCAAGGGTGTGAGAAAGACACAAATCCTAATAACCACTCAAGTTAGAATGGTGACATGTAGCAGTATTTTAATTAATAATAGTAATAGTAACAGAATTAGTCTAAAAATGGAAATAACTAGATGAATAATACATTAAAAATAATCATTCTTTTCAAAGTAAACAATCTTGTTAATTTCCTGATAAAGCTTTAAAAGCAATTTTACATAATATTTACTGAATTCAAATTTATTTCAATCGCGAAAGATATTGCCTACATGGTTTTAAAGGATTGCATTATTTATTACAATTATATGCATAAATAAATTATGCAAATGGTTAATAACTACGAGTCCATGCTTGAGCAAGACTAGATGTAGTTCTATGAGCTCTTTATTGAGCTAATAAAGCTTAATTCTGCCCTTCATGACTTTGGAAAACTGAGAAAATTTTTTGATGAGGAGGACTCTATCGAATAACCTCTTACGTTAAATATCACAAAAGAAAGAGCTCGTTAAATTGATAGAAATCACCGCAAAATTGTACTTAGGAACGAAGAAATACAAAGAGATAGAAAATTAAAATTACAAAAAATGTAAAGTGCAGATAATGGTTAAGGCGGGCATTAAAGAACATTCTCAACTTCATCATATGGAAAGCGTCTTGGTGTATTCCCTAAAGGTAGCATGACTTCGCGCTGCATGAGTTGGAAACCTAATGAATAAATTTGTGAAGTAACTAATGATGACGAAGATGATGAAGCATTTAAGTCTAAATTCAAAATTAACCCTAAAAAAGGTTTACACTCTCATCAGCCAAGCTTAATTAACGGAGTTTCAGAGTTAAGGGTACCAAATTTACACCTAGAGCACATGTATGGAAACTAAAGTGAATATATTGATTATTCTAATGGCTACAATACTGATAGAATTATGTATAGAGGACAAAAAGATACTGTCGATGAAGATAAAAGTGAAAGTACTAAAGAAACAAAGAAGGATGATACCTTTAATAACAAAAATGACATGAAAGAATGAGAATTTAAGGATTTGAACACTTTTGATTGATTTATCCATTTAATTATTTGAAATATCATTTTATCAAAATATATTATTAAACTGACAAATAAACAAACCAACAAAAATAAATAAATAAATAAATAACTAAAAACAAATTAATTAACAAAATCACTAACTTATTAACTATCAGCTATTAGTAAATAAATAAATAAAAAAAAATAAGAAATTAAAAAAATATTAATTTGATTAACTTCATAATTTCTCTCTCCCAATTTACAATTTGCAAGAAAGAAGAAAGCAAATAATTGAAGAATTGTTCTCTAACAAAAAGCAGCTTTTTAAAAAATAAAATAATTGAAAACACTCAAACGAAAAGAACCTATCTGCTACTCAAAACATACATGATCATTACATTCTAACTTCAATTATAAAATTAAAGTAAATAAAAAATAGAAATATTCAAAATCGCTAAACCTACTAAAAAAAAGTTAAAAATAAATATTCATCTCAACTAAAATATTTTAAAAATTCCAAAAAATATAGTTAAAGCCCAAGGCATAATAGTTGGCACTTGTTTATTTATTTAACTAACATGCCATGTCATTTCAAGATCAGATTTAATTTATGGTTATTTTTACTTCAAGAAAAAATTTAATAAAAATAAACTTACTGCCACAAATTTATTTTCACCCAAAGAAAAGAAAAATATTACAATTCGTCTCGCTGATTATAGCTTTATTTTAAAAGAGCAATCTTCAAAAGAGAGTAATTTATTATAAAATATTTAAATAATTTATATAAGGTAGTTTTAATAATGCAAAATATTATGTATAAATAATCTTAACTTAATAAAAGAGGATTAATTACTCATTTAATTTTAACTTCTTTTTTGTATAAAATTTATAACATTTTCACTATTTTAACACAACTTTATTTTCATATTAAATCATCATTACTTTTGTTAAAACTTATAAAATTATTACACATTAACGATATCTTTTATAGTGTATTAATTCACCTTATTCAAATTAATTATTAATTTTAAGTAAAATTAATTTATTTCAAATATAACTCAATAATACTTAAAAGACATTTAAATAGCAAACTATAAACTCAATTTTAAGAAGTAAAAAAATTATAGAAAAAATTAATTTTTAATCCAGATATGTTTTTATCTTTGTTTTACAATTAAAAATATTTTTGAAATTATATTTTAAAAAAGACTGTTTACTTGTTAATTCAATTCACGTATTAAAATATCAATCTGACATATAATTTATTCTTATTTAATATGGGTATATATAAATAGAATTTTTAATTAATTAAAATTATGAAAATGAGCAGAAATTATTTAGAAGTTCTCAAAAACATGTGCTAAGTTTTATCTTTCTATAAAAAATGTAAAGGAAATTTATTTTAAGAAATTGTAAAAATAGTTATTATTTAAAAGTAATGTTAACTTTGATGAGTTAAATAAAATATTTATGTGAATTTTAGCTTATTTTTATTTAATCATGATATATAGAAGGTTTAAGACAAAAGTATTAATCTTCATATTAAAATGGATAAAGGGAGGTATAACTAACTAATTAATATTAAATTTTTTGGAAATGTAAAAGTTGAGCAGAAATTATAAAGAAGTGCGCAAAGAATCTATCTAGTTTAATTTTTAAAAATAAATATAAGGACGACTTTAAAAATATTCAGGACATATATGAAATCCTATAGAGATGAATGATGAAGAAAAACGACTTATATATAAATTTTTACACCTTTTTTTTGGAATTTAATACTAAATTAAATTCAATAACATAAATTAAATAATTTTGTGAGATCTTTAGATAAATATTAAGTCATAAATAAAGTGAATTTCGCTCAAAAATATTTTATTTCATAGTAATTATAAAAATTTTCGTATCATATAACTGTAGAAGAGCTACTATTTTCATTATGAGTCATTTCATGTAAAATTTGATGCTTTCATTCTAAATTAAGATTAGTTGCTAATAACTATATTTTATTATTTAAAAATAGCCGAAAGTAGGTAATTAGAAAAATACATATAAAAAGCAATGTTATCATTTTTATCCACAAAATTGATTTCAAAAATGTTTTTAGACAAAGCTATTATTGGTTAGATCCTTTTACACTTTAAAAAGATATTGTTTTTTTAACATTTTCAAATATTTTAAAATATTTGAGGATATTAATCAATTTAATGTAATTATAGTAATATGGAAGAAGTAATGGTAGTTAAGGCTATGACAAATCTTATTACTAGCTTAATGGTAAATAAAATAATTATTAGATATTTTAAAAGTGATTGCCTTTCATGCTTTTTAAATATTTTTATTCCATTTTGAGAAAACTTTGTATTAATATGCATTTTTCAAAATAAAATTAATCAATAGTTACAGAAGATAGTTTATTTTATCAATTTTATAAATAGATTATGGAAGTTAGAGATATTATTATAAAAACAGAGGATATCGTGTTGATGGAGGTAGAGGAAGCTCTCCTTATAAATATAGAAATTATTCAGAAAATGCAGATTTTGATTAAAAAGATGAGTAGTTTACAAACGATCCTAGAGTTTTTTTTGCTTAAAAACCATCTGAAGATATAGAAAAAGATATGAATAGCATGATTTAGTACTACTAGAATAAGTACAGAAAATTATTTGATAGAGAATAATTAAAGAGAGGTATTGAAGAGGACATATATAAAGTGGTAATAATAAATTTAGTTTTAAAAAATAATTTAAACAATAACTTAAATAACCCAGCTAATTAGCTTATACCTTCCATATGACAATCTTTAAAAAAAAGAAATAATATTTGTGTCTACTAAGTGGTATTTTTCAAATTAACCTAGTTAAAATTATGACTATTAGATAATTATTTTAATATTTTATTGAGAAAATTATTTTACAATAAATAATAGAATCCATAGTTGGAGCATTATGATATGAATAGGTTAATTAAGATAAGGTTAGTTTTTGAAGATAAATAAACTGATAAGGTATACACATAAAAGAACGAGGATTTATTTTAATTCGATGAAGCAGACCTAAAGAGATTCTTCCATGTATTTGGAAAGATAGAGAAAATTGTAATTAAAGATAAATGTGTAAGCTACATTTTCTTTTAGGATTTAATATCAGCATTTTGTGCCTAAAGGGCGATGAACAATTTCGTTTTAGAAGATATTAATGGTATTAATTCATACAATTTAACTTTTTCAAGTTAGTTTATTGCTTCTTCTTCCTTAAATAAAATTGATATTAAAATTCAAACATGAACATTTTAAAAAGCTAGGTTAGAAATTCAACTTTGTGTTGAGGATCCTGACGAATAAAATGAAAATAAGTTAATTGGCCATTTCATGCATGAAACAATAAAAGATGAAGTTTACTTGATTCGGATTTCGACTTTAGAAGTTAGTCATTTTTTAATTATTTCTATTACTTATTATAAAAATAGACATTCAAAAAGACAGAAAAATATGCATATTCAAATCATTAAATTAATTTTTATAAATAGGATGATAGATAGATGAAGTAACTAGTAAGCAAATATAAATATACCAGTATGTTTACAATGGAAATAAATGATCCAGAATTTCATTTAAAAGAAAGAATTATGGGAGCTTCGGTAATAATTTTATTTTAGGGTTATTTAGATTTTTAGAAATAATAGTTGATTATAAATCTTTGAATAATTAAATAAATAAATAATTTACTTTTTTTTATTTTTATTTGATAACTAAATATCAAATTAAATTATGCGATAAATAATTTATTTATTTAAACTATTAAAAATCAATTAAAATTTATCAAATTTTAGACAAAATAAATTAATTACTAAAAAAGAGGTAGAAAGAACTAGAATTTGCAATTAATTTTAATCAACTTTCTTACTTAAGCAAATAAAGATTAATTGATTCTTCTATTTATTTATTTTATTTTCTTGTCAAGTTTTAAAAAAATATTTTGTATGACATGCAATTCAGACATATAATTATTATTTTAAACGATTTTCTGTTTAATAAAATAAATTTTTTTAAAAATATAGGCATCTAATTTTTTTAGGTTGTTTTATTTATGTGAGAAGAATTCTGTTGAAATTGGAAACGGTAAATAAAATTCACAAACTGGTGGAAGTGAAGATTTGGTTATTTCATTAAATCAAGCCAAAGAAATAAGAAGTCAACAACAGAATAACAATATTAGTAAAACAAGCAATGGAAACAACAGCAATGTAGGAAGTAGCACGAATTTGAGCACAAATTAGCCAAATACAGCAAATACAAATAAACCTATTATAGCTAATAGTAATAATTCAAATAATAATAGCAACGCGGTTAGTGTAAACAACTAAAATAGTGGAAATAATATTAGTAATAGTAGTGGTAATAACAATAACAATTCATCCTATAGTACTTCTGAAGAAATTACTTTCAGAATGATTGTTAATGATATGAAATAAACATAAAATGAAGTACTTATTCTCTCAAATAATTTAGAAAAATATAACACAGCCATAAGATACATGCACGAGCTTCTGGCTTAGGTAAACGAAGAATACAGGCGCTTTTGCGAGTTCTAAAAGAAAATAAATCCTGGCCCTTTACATATAAAGCGTATTGAAAAATTTAACTTAGATCCTGAATTAACATTTATTTCTACTAAAGATTTGTTGAATAAAAGCTTAGCTGGAAAAGAAAATAATATATAAAAAGGAGATGGATCCGATAAAATCAGCATCGGCTCCACCTCTTTGTAATTTGTAAACAACAGTAATAATATTAATAATAATAATAATAATAATTAGTCTATGTAAATAGAATACTCCTCTTTCAGCAATTAGACTGGAGTAGGAGGTTCATAAGATTTTTAATAAAAGTTATTATCTTGAAAAAAATAATAAATTAATTAATATGTTTAATCAAAAAAATTAATCTTAATTAATAATCAAATTTATATTCACTAACTATTTTGCAAAATGTTATTTATTATTATTTGATTTCATTTTAATCATTCAATAATTTAATTTATTATTTTATATTGTTAGAGCTTACAAATTTTCAATGCTCTTAACTTTTTTTGAGGTGTAAAAGTCGTTGGAAATCAACTTTAATTATGGGGTTTAGTTGTGTTTAAATATTAATTATATTTTATGATCAATACTCAATTCTTTATTTATTTATTAATATCCATATATATGCAATTTTTATTAGAGAAGCTGGACTTATAAAATAATAATTTAGATTATATCTTATTTATTTATTAAATAAATTCTATCTCTCTATCATATGAAAAATTATATGAGAGTTCATTTTAATAGAAAGGAAATTCTTTTTATGTTTTAACTTAGTTAAAATCATTTAAGAGAGCAATCGAATTTTTATCTATTTTAAAATCTTTTGAATAAATTTGAATGCTTTCCAATTTCATTTTAAGATAGAATAGTTTATTTTTTTTAGCATATTGTAATACAGATTTCATTAAAATCTAATGTATTTGCTTCAATATTTTAGAGTTACTATTGTAGTTCTAAAAATAAATGTTTGTTATTTTTAACGTTAAATAAATTTAAATTTAAATTTTATGTGTGGATTATTTTAGTTTTTCATTTATTTGGTTGGGTAAGCAAAATAATCAAAGTATTTTGGGCGAAGTTAAAATGAAATAAAAAATATGAGTAGCTGTTTGAGGAGAGATATAAACGAATATATTTATCAAAAGTATGTAAAAAAATTAAAAATTAAAGGAATGAATAGTGAATTTGATAGGGCGAAATTTTTTTTGTGAATAGTTATGGATAAAATACAAAATAAAGCAGTGAAGTATCCACCAAAGAATAAAATTTAGTAGTTTTTGTATTTACAAAGCAAATAAAATAATAAGGGATTTAGCAGACAATAATTATTTCATCAAAATTTTCTCATGAATAGCCAAATAATTTTTAACTTTATCAGAAGAGAAGTATATTTATAATTAATTCAGAAATAAGAATGTATCACTCCTAATTTATATAAAATTTATTGATTGATTTTGTAATATAAAAGCGGATTGACCAACCAATAAAAAATTCATATTAAAAATAAAATAAAAAAAATTAAAAAACTCGAGAGAGGAATAGCACATATAAAAACAAAGCAAAATAGATTCAGCATAAAACTTATCTTCAAAAGGTACTTCAATTCTTCATATAAAGCAACTACTTTAGCAATTGCCCAGCATATAAAACATATCCTAATCACCATTTTTCTTTATATTAATAGCAATCCAACTAGCAAAATCAAAACAAGTATTAAGATCTGATCAATCAACAATAAACTAATTCAACCAACAGATAAATAAAAGATGTACAATAGCAGAAGTCCTTACACCTCTTCCCCTATCAAGAAAAACCCCTCAGTTGTTAATCCTGTTAACACCAGTTACTCACGTAGCCCAATCAACTACTCCAGAACTCCTGAAACTTCAAAGAAAACTGGCCCCAATTACGAAGGAGGTTTAAACTAAAGCACTGCCTACAAGAATAATATTATCGGTAATGGTGAAGAAATCGATTTATGGAAGAGCAGATGCAATGAACTTGAAAGCAGCTTGTGCTAAGCTAACACTGACTTAGAATTGGCTCACTTCCGTGCTAAAAAGGCTCTTGAGCTTGAACACAAATGCGAAGAATTAGTTCGTATGAATGGTAATCTATCTTAAGAAAATGAAGGATTACAAAAGCAAACTAATTAGCGCAAAGCCGAAAGCGACATTTGGAGACAAAAGTATGAAACTTAAATGAATAATATAATTTCTCTTAAGTCCAACTATGAAATGGAATTAAAGCGTTTATCAACAGAAAATGCTCGTCTCCGCGATGAATTAAAGCAAGGAGAAATTGATAAGGTCAAGGAAAATGAAGATGTTCGTTTCAAATTGACCACAGACTCTCATGATAAGATAGAAAACTTGAAGAAATCTCATCTTGCCAACATTGAACTCTACGAAGAATAACTCCGCAAACTTCGTAATATTGTCGAAGATCGTGAAAAGGAAATTGCTAAGCTCAGCAGCCAAATTTCTCAAGCCCGCTACGATGGTTCTTCTGAAGCCTACCGTCTTAATGAAGATCGTGAAAAGTTGAAGATGAAGATCTCTGAATTAGAAGTTGAAAGTCGCTAAGAACTTGAAAACTTAAGAAGCAAACTCGACTAACAAGCCAGCGAATAGCTTGATTCCCTTAAGAAGTTGCATGATAATGAATTGGAAGTTATGAGTGGTGAAATCCATAAACTTCGTAACCTACTTGATGTTAAGACTAAAGAAATAGAAGCTCTTATTGACTAAAACAGAGGATTAAAGCGCAATTATGAAGAAGAAACCCACAACTTGCGTCATGACTTACAAGCCTTGAAGGACCGTATCGCTGATAACAATGATTTCGCCAACAGTGAAATCTCTGCTCTCCATGATTAACTTCATAATCAACACACTTCTGACATTTAAGGTTTAAAGTTCCACCACGAAAATCAAATCTAAGCCCTTAATGCTGAAAAGGATGAACTTTAAAATATTATTGATGCTAAGGAAGCAGAAATTCAAAACTAAATCCGCGAAAAGCAACTTGTACGTGATAGTCTTAATGATGAAATCAATCGTCTCATGGCTGACGTTGATAATTGGAAAATAAAATATACTTACCTTGACAACTAACGCGCTTAAGAAAATTAAGAAGCAGCTATCAAGTATGACACCCTCAACAACCAATAAAATGAATTCGCTTCTGCTCAACGCAATTAAATTAAGTATCTCCAAGAAGAAATTGAAAATCTTAAATAGTTACTTCTTGCTAAGAATTAAGAAATTGATTCAAACCGTGCTCAACACGCTGAAATCCGTGACGGTCTTGAATAAGATATTTCTAATGCCTTTGCTGAAATTGAAGAATGGAAGAAGAAGTATGCTCATCTCTAACATGAACGTGATATCACAGTTGAAGATTTGAAGCTTAAGCTCTCTGTCTTAGAAACAAAGGCTAACGAACAAAAGAAGAAGTTAGAATCAACCATCAACTACTTAAAGGAAGACATTCAAAGACTTAAAGGTAAAATTTTTAATATTATTTAAATCAATAAAATTGCTTACATTTAAATTAATTTATTTGTTGAAAATAAAAATTTTATTTAAACCTTTTATTTAATTTAAAAGATACCATCGAAATCAAGGAAAAAGAAGTTTAAAATCACTTGAAGCACAGAGAATTACAAGACAGAGAAATCAAAAAACTCAAATAAGACAATGACAGTCAAAATGACCATCTTAGAAGATTAGAAAAGCTCAAGGCTAGTGAATTAGAAGATTAGAGAAAGAAATTAGAAACTTCTAATAATAACGTCATTGAATCTATTAAGATTTCTCATCAAAACTAAGTCAATATTATGAACACTGAAATAAATGATCTCAAGCACCTTGTCAACTTAAAGGATTAAGAAGTTCACGATATGATCAACAAATATGAAAAGTTAGAATCTGCAATTGGTGAATTTAAATACAACGCTGAAAAACTTAAAGAACATCAATCTCAAATATAAGCTTTAGGAAACGAAATTATAAATAATAAGAGTATCTATGATTCTTACTCCAAAGCTAGACACACAAGATATCCCTCTTCTGCTTCTAAGATCTAATAATGAGAAAATTTACTGAAATCCAATTCATCCATGATTGAATGATTAATTTTAAATATCAATCATTCATTCAATCATTCAATCAAATAAATACTAACCAATTTAATTTTTCTGAAATCCATTTTTCGAAAATCTATTAAAAATAAATTACAAATCTTACTTCTTCATCATAAATTATCCTCAATTTTTCTAATGTTTGAAAGCTAGCTTTACAGCTTACTTGATTCTCAAATCCTAATAACAAAGCTTCAAGCATCTTTCTGTAACCACTATCATATTTGCATTCATGTTCAACTAAATACATAATCCAAGAAACAACAGCCATTCACTATTTTGTATAGAATAAGATTTTTTCAAAGATATTAATTGATTGATTGAACATCTAATTGATTAAGTGCCTGAGTGAGTAGTGAATGTATGTATGAATGCAAGATGATATGTTGTTTGGTAAAAATACCTTTTTATATATTTAATAAATTATAAATATAAATAAATATAAATGAAGATTATAAACGATAATAATTTCGTATTCAAAAACTATTATATATTGTAAATAGAATAAATTCTTTTATACATTCATTTATCTTCAAATTTATCATTTATTTTTAATTTCTAATCACAATAAAAAGTAAATGAAGAAATTGTGTAAATTGATAAGTTTTTTTTAATTTTTTCCTATTATTTTCCTTACTTAAATTTAAAAGTAATAATTTTAACAGTCTTTTATAAAAAATAATATAAGCATTATTTATTATCCTAAATTTTAGTTATCTAAAATATTTATTTGAAAGAATTTCTTTTAAAAAATAAAAACATTTCCTATCATAAAAATTGAAAGTAAAATAATAAAAATTAAATAAATCTTATTGATTAAAATATATATAAAATACCCTTAATAGAAATAAAATTTCCGAATAATACATTTTAATTTTTTAAACTTTAAGATGATTATTAATCATTTTTAACTTTTGAGACATGCAACTAAAATAATCAATCATAATATTAATTCTTTATTTTTATTTTATTAGGAAATAGGAGTCTGAGCTTTTCCTTTATAATGGTTTCTCCTGCTTGGAGTAGCATCTTCTGAAACATATTATGAAAAATACTTAGAATTATCTCTCTGTCTAATAGATTCTGCTTTTATTTAAGAAAGTTGAGGATTGTTATTACTTGATTAAGGTCTACTCATAGATAAACTCAATTATGAAAGTTTATGAGCTTGAGAAGAAGATGTGAATTTTTTTTTTGCTTATTATTTTACATCAACCAGCTTATATGTTTTTGTAACATAAGTAAAATCAAAATTTCTATAAGCATGGTATTTTTCTTCTTCTTCTCTAATCTTTTTAATTTAAAAATTAAATTTACTATTGAATAATCTTCAATTTTTTAAAACTAATATTTACCATTTAGTTCATAATATCAACTTATAATTATATCTTATCTTTTTTTAACTTTAAGCCTTACATTTCTTTCTTTTAAATATCTATGTCCTTTTATCTTTGCAAAAGTTTATTTTTTAAACCGCTGATTTTTGATAATATTTTTCTTAGCTATTTCTACTCCATTTCAGCCTGCAAATTCTCCTCTTGAGGTATTTGTTTTTTCTCTTTTTTATGAGTTTAGCTGATTTTCTCCTTGATTTTTTAAGCTAACTATCTAGTTTTGTCATTAACTATCAACATTAAAATTAAATTATATGAAAATTTTTAAAATTTGATGTTGTTATTTTCTAATTTACTTAAATCTACTTCCCACGCATTAGTATCCAATTTTTCAACTCCTTGAACATAGTCTTATTTTAAATTCATTCTGTAACTAACTTCAACATTTGGAAAAAGTATAAATTCTACCAAATCTCTTGGAATAATTCCTTTTAAATAATATGCGTAAGAAAATAAAAATAAAATAATGTAGATTTACTCAGTTCTATATTTTTAAGCTTTCCTCTTATCAAGCTGATAACAAAACCCATGATGCTAACTAATAATTTATTTCTAACTAATTTGAATTAGAGTTAAGTTTAATAAATATTTTTTTCAAAATTATTGTTTTCTCTTTCAGAAATATATTCGCAACACAATATTTTTCATTTCAAAGAATTAATTAATAATATCAATCAAATTTTTAAATTATTAAAAAAAAGATTAAATAAATTAATAATACTTTTTTGTTTTTGCCAACAAATTTTAGTGATTTTAAATACTTTTGTAACAACTAACAATCTAAATGGCTAGTATTTTTAATAAAAAGTCTATTTTAATGATAAAATTAGTATTCTAATATAATTTACATTTTTTAAAATTAAAATCTTATATTTAAATATGATTTGACTTTTTATCGACGAAGATAAATACTTATTTTTAATTTACAATTTTTAAATTTTGTATTATTTAATGAGGCAGTTATAAAAAAATATTAATTTTTTTTTTAAAGTTATTTTAGAGATTTTAATTTATTATTTCTAAAAAGCAGACTATAATATATTAGGTCTTTAATAAATGAAGATCTACAGATTTATAAATAAAATAGTATGAATATAAAATATTGATTTAATTTTATTTATGTATTTATTTATTTACTTACTTACTTATTTAGAGTTAATTTATTATATTAATTTTATTATTTTATCATTTTTGATAATTTTGGATTTAATTTTTGTTAGAAATATTATTAGTTTGATAATTCGATGGAGTTGTTGCTGTTGTTGTAGTAGTAAATTGTTGCAGATTCCCTTAGGATAATTGATTTTAATTTAAATATAAAGAAGACTATGAAGTTTAATGTCTAGCTTACATACTCATTAAATGATTTAAAGATTCTTCATATTTAGGATCTATTTTAAATAATGCTTTCTTTGCTTCTATAGCTATGTTGTATTTCAAGTCCTTATCAAATTAGTCAGGATTATATTTTCCGCTATTTACAGTTATAGACTATAGTAAATTGCTTTAGTTAGTATTTGTTTTTATAGAATTGCTTCCTGCGTTTGGTGCTTAGATATTTAAATGGTTAGTTTATTGATCTCTAAATGAAAGAGCTTAGGAGTTATTTTTAGATGTATTTTGATCAAGTCTACTCATTAGCTTTTTTTATCTCAAAGTTTAATTTTAATTATTAATAATTACTGGTTTTATCTTGTAGTTATTAGGAGAATGGGTAGGTGAAGATGCTAATCTGTTTTTTGATAGATTGCTTGCTTGATTTGTAATATTTTTATAATCATACTGAATGCTTTTACCAGAAGGTCTCTTCAAATATGCGTTTGATAAAGTAGATAAGATACCATTTGTCATTTGGCTATTTTAACTACTAGTAATATTAGCTAATTGATTTGTAGTGGCATTATTTATATTACTATTATTACAATAATTATTCATTCCACCACTGGTATTATTTTAAAGCACGTTATTATTATTAATAATGTTAGTTGTGTAATTTGGTAAATTTTAACTGATTCCATAATTTATTTTAGTTTAACTATTATTTTGGATGTTAGAATTAGAGAGAGGCTATATGCATAAATTTGGTTCTATTTAAAAAGTGTATAAATTAATATGATGGTTGTATTTATTTATATTTGAAATTTACATGATTTATTGTGACCTCTTTTACTTTGGTAAGCATTAGAGGTTGACTAGCTCTAGTTCGTATTAGTATAGTCGATGCTAGAATATTGACTATTAGAGCGAGGAGTGTTTCTTTGAGATACTTTAGGACTTAAGAAATTATCTTTTCTGTTGGTGGCTTGCGAGCTACTTTTTTTATTTTGAATAACTTTACTTGGCAAGTTAGCAATTTATTGTTTGCTTTAGTATTATTGAGTATAGTTTTGAGTCATTTATTTCTCCTAAATATTCGAATTCTGTAAAATATTGTTTGTGTTTTACGAAGTGTAAACATTAGTTGCTTACGATTTATCACAGAAAATCAAGCTTTTTTCCTATAATAATATTGATGAACTCATTTTACTGTTGTTGTAAGATGATTAATTGATCTTTCCTAGTTGAGAGTTTTCTTATAACTTGCCTTTTGAACTCACATTCATTGTGCTATTTTGAGGAGTATTGGAAGTAATTAATGACTTTAATTTATTTGTCGTGGTTCCTGAATTCATCTGTCTTTAGACAAAGTAAGAATTTTTTTTTTAGATTTCTCTTGAATTATTTCTACTGGAATACTAATTCTAACTTGTACCAGATTTTTAACTCATTCCTCCATTAGTCAATTCCCCTTAAATCATTGACTTAGATTTTTCTTTGTGCTTTCTATTCAATAAATTATGTAAAAAAATATAAATATAAATTTTTAGTAATTTTATTAATACTTAAAATTTTAAGATAGGTTGTCATTTTGTTGAGATTATTATGATTCCTATCCTAAGTTATTTCTGTAATTTTGTAATTAATTTGCATTATTGTGTTTGTTTAAGCTAGCAATTTTGTTATATAAATTGTTTTAGCATTGAGATACTTCTTCATAATTCTTTTCAGGTGAATGAGTTATTTCTTATTTAAATTATGTGTATGTAGAAGGAGAGCAGTGCTGTATTTAATTTAAACTTGACTACAAATTTTAACAGTTAAATTCTGTTTCAGATTGCTACTCTTCATTATTAGCTGTCTCTTCTTAAAATGTGAGCTCTAGATTCTCTTTATCTTTAAAAAACTATTCTGAAGTTTATTTTTATTCAAACATTTTGGATTAGGAACGATGATGCAAACTAGACTTAGAAAGTGTTTAGAAACCATTAGTTTATTAGGAATATACATTCTCCTAAATATTGATTAACCCGTCTTAAACTGATTATATGCTGCAATTCTTATTGATAGCATTTTAAGTATTGTAAACTTATCCGTTATTATCTACTGATTAAAACTGCTAAGAGATTTATTAAACAGATTACCAATTTGAGCAATCGTAGAATTCTATTTCATCTTAGTGCTCTTGTTGAGACAAAAATTAATTATTAGTAGAAAATTCTTCATTAGCTGCTATTTTATCTGTCTGACTTATCTTAGCTTGATTGCATAGACTCAAATTATCTCCAAAATTTACTGATTGCATGTGCTATTGACTAATCTAAGAATTTTTTCCATTCAAATTACTTTCTCTATAAATAATTAAATTTATATTTTTAAAAATATAAAAAATAAATATGATTGCTTTACTGTTTGAAAGTATTGCTTATGTTCATCCTGCTATGATCATGTTTCATAACTTTATTACTTGGAGTCACACTTTTAGGAGTTACTGAAGAGTTAAAAGATGAATCACCATTTTTTCTTTAGCTTTCAATGTTTATTTACTCTACTGCTTGAAGTAATTAAATCCTATTCAAGTCTCCTTCTTTTTTTTATGAAAGGGGCTTGCATGCTACCACTTTGTGAGAGCTTGGTGATGTATCATTAGGAATACATGCTATTTTAACATCCTTAGTTGTGTGATTTTTAGAAGGAGTTTATGATGTACTTTACTATCCGCTTTTATTATTGAAAACTTTTTATATCTATTCCAAGCTATTATTTTGACTCTTTAGAACATCTGTATTTAAACTTAATCCGTTTACAGCAGCTCCATTTTATTAAAAACTGAAAATGAGAGGGTTTCCTGTATTATTTTACTGCTATAATTTTTACTTTGCAATTTATTCTGGTGAAATCATCATTTCTGTTTCTTTTTTGTTCATTTTTGAATTGTTAAGCTAGGTATTTTATGCCAATTATGAAGGTGAACTGAATTAAATATTTTAGCTAATCTGTTTAAGAGGTGTAATATTTAATATTCCATTATTATTTGGAGGTTCTTAAGTTTGAGTAAAGCTAGAATAATTCTATTGCAAAGTTTAACTTATTTTTGTATTTAAAGGAGAATTAAAACTTGCTCCTTTTTATTATAAAGATTAATTCTATTTAATACATGAAAAGTTCTCTTTATCACAAGACTAGTAGCTATTTTACTTTATTAATTACTGCTAACCAGGAGATTAAGCGGATTTTGTAGCATATTTATTATTTTATTATTATTACTAAGAATAACCCAGAAGTGATGAGGTCTAGCTTTGATTGAAATAGTAAGTTTTTACTTGCTTATCTTTATCAATCCAATTTTAATTTTTGAGTTATTCTTAATTTTTTTACATTACAGATTGCTAGACATTTTTCACATGATAAGAAATTAAATCTGACTTTTCTGTATTATTTTCTGTTAAAATAAAAATATTTTTATTTGACAAAAATATTAAAATATTTAAGTAGATTTTTTGTTATTTTTAAAAATCTTTTTGTAAAACACTAGTTTCAATATGTATAAATGTTTTTTTTGCATGTAGTAAGTATTCTTGAAAAAATTAACATTCTAAATTTAAATAAAAATCTCTTTGTTCAAATTAAACTGCTTTAATAATTTACCTTCTGCTTATATTTTAAACATATCTGATAGCCTTTAGTCATCAACTTTTTGATTCAGATCCTTAACTTTTAGACCTCCGAAATACTCTATCGGGTCAAATAATTAATTCATCTCTAAGAAGTTTTATTTTATCATAATTTTTTCCATTTTTTATTAATTATTGATTGTCTCATCAAAATTGCTGCACCTTTTAATAAATATATCATTACAGTTAAGGCAAAGTATGAAATTTGCTAAATTCTTTTTAGTATTTTTAATTTTATTATTTTTAATTACTCTGAATTCTATCTAGATTCATGTAAGAATTCTTTAATTTACTCAGCCGTCAATTTTTCTCCTTCTCTTAAGATGCCTAAAATATTATTAATTCAAATAAAAACACTTCAATTTAAATAATTCTATTTTTTAAAATAATTTCCTTACCTTATTAATCTGGCTACTTTTATTTATAAGAAGACTAAGGTTGGCTAACACTTTGTGAAGTCTTTTTCATGATGGTCAATTAATCTTTATTAGCTCTCCTTGTTGTATGGTAAAGACTTATGTTTGAGTGAGTGTCTTCAATAAATTTCTATTTGCTATTTTATTGTATAGTAACTGCTTATATTTTTTAACTTTGTTTTTTTTTTGTAAATTTTTAATACAAATAATCAATTAGAAAAAAAAAACTAAAAAATTTTTCTAATTTGTTAATTAACAAAATCACTAAATTTCAAATAACTATAATTATTATCATGTTCGTAGTCATTTTACATATACATACGTTATAACAGAAACCTTAATTTAAATTTTGGTCAAAAGAATTATTTATTCAATTATTTTTCAAGACTTATATTAATCAATCAATCGATAATCTTAATTAACAATTTAAATTTATTTTATAAAAACATTTATTTCATATCTTAAAAATTAAATAAAAAATATGTATATTAATTTTTAATACTAAATAAAATCAAATTATCACTTAATATTAATCTAATTTAATGACTGATAACATTTATAATATATTCAAATATCAATTAATAATCTAAAAAGTACATTTATTAGATTTATCATTAAATTTACATTTAATAAGAATGAGAAAATTACACTCTCCAATAAATAAATTATTATCATATAATTTTCAAATTTTTAAATTCAATAAACCTTCAAAGTTCTACTTGGACAAAGGCATTTATTATTTTTTGTATTTTCTGATGTTTTTCTCACTTTTTGTTACTCTTCAGTGAGCCATTGCATATGGAATCAATAAACTCTCTAACTCATAAACTATGGACATCACTATTGGACTGATCTTAGCATATATTCAGATATTGAAGTAAAGCGGAAATAAATTAAAATCCTCAATCGAAAACGAGGTAAAGTGAAATTAATTATAACAGATAAAAATTAATTTAGAAAACTTAGCTAAATCAAATGAATTGCATTTAATTTTTACTCAAAAAAAGACTCACTTAGCTTAAAAATTTATATAAGTAACTAAAGCCTTTACTAAACGACGAATTAATTTTATATAAAACTTTTAAATAGAATAAATAAATACGGATAATTTATATAAATAAACAACTTCTATAAGAATTCTTCAAAATTTAACAGATTATCAGATAATTTATTTTTTTATGATTTGGAATAATTATTGTCAATATTATTTGTTAAGTTAAAAAAATATAAAATCATAAGCGATTTCTTTTTGTAAGAATAAAACAAAATTTTTAAAAATTTTCCTTAATAAAAATATTAATTTTCTTTTATATAAATACTATTTTATTTTTCAGGTTTGGTTTTTTAAATTTAAAAAGTATTTTTTTGCTATTTATTTTTGTTTTTCATTTAATTCTTATATTATAAACATTTTGCTTGTTTAATTATAGATGTATTTTCATTTAAAAATAATAATAATTAATTAGATTAAATTGTTTGTTAATATTAAATTTTTATATCAAAGGTGATAAAATGAATTAAATTTATTTTAAGAAAAAAAAAAATGATAGAATATAGATATTCAAAATGAATTACTATTCATTTTTATTATTTTGAATAAATGAAATTTTTTATTTAATTGTAAAAGAACAATGTGCTTCTTTTTATTTTTTAGTTGATTTCAAAATTGGTTGAACGAAATTAAAATTTTTTTATATAAAGACAAGGTCTACTCTACTGATTCTAAATATTCTGAATAGATTCTAATTAAATTATTAATCAACTATTTTTTTTAAGATTAATTATTGATAATAATATTAAATCCAAAGATAGCTATCTTTTTTACATAGTTTGAAAATGAAGAAAAAGAAAAATTAACCAAAGTTCCCTATTGTAATTTGATCATTCAATTATTAAGGCAGTTTATAAACTTAAAATTATCTAAAAATAGGCTAGAATAAAAAAAATAGTTTAGGAAAATTAAGATATTGGGAAAATTTGTAAGACTATTCCATATATTTTATGTAAATCATTTAAATTCTAAAATTAGCAGAAAACATCATCAAAATGGCTTAATAATCAATTTTTAATTTATAGCAAGATCTCTTGAACTTTTTTTAGAGGACATACTTTAATAAACTGTATAGGTTTGCAAAGATTATGATTTAAACAAAGTTCAACCACCTGCTCTGTAAAATATTATAAAAAAATAAACTGCGATAGCTAAATATGTATTTTATTAAATAGCAAAAAAGCGATTGAACTTTCAAAATATAATTTTATTGAGAAATCACTTGAAGGCGTTGAAGATTTAGAAAATAGCAAATTATTGAAGAGAAAAAAAAGTTAATCAAAGGAATAAGAGTAACTCATAAATCTTGTTTTCTCATAATAACAATTTAAAAATAATATGAATAATAAAATTTTGATATTTAATTAATTTGTTAAAAATAAATAAATAAAAAGTCCTCTTGAACCTAAAATAGAGAAAAAACTTAAAAGAGGAAGGTCAAAGAAAGAAGATAATCATGTTGGAAAATAAGATTCAAAAAAGAGTATACCCACAATTAATATAGATGATGACGATGAAGACGACGATGATGATGAATATGTCTAAGAAGAAGATGAAGATGATTGAATTAATATTACTAATTTACAATAAAAAATAAATTGTAAATAAATTAAATTATATATTTAATATTTGAAACTCAAATATATTTTAGCTATCAATTTTTTCCATGTAGAAGCTAATTGATCATTCATTAGATAAGAAGTTAAAAATATATCTATTATACTAAATTACCTTGAAATTAAATAATCAATCATTATCTCCGATGTATAACAAAACTGGCTTACTAATTATAATTAATAGAATATATATTAATTGTCACCTAAATATAAGTTTATAGATGTTTCTATTTGTATCAACTTCATCAAATACTACTTTGTTGAAATATATATAAATACTTAATTTGATTTTTATTAATATTAAAATAAAACAGATTTAAAATTTGAATTATTTATTATTTATTTTTCAGCTAATTAAAAATTTAAATAGAAGCGTCTATTTATAAAATTTGTTATTTTAATAAAAGAAATCTTATATTATTGGTTAAAATACTGTCAATACTACTTATTTATTTATTTATTTCTCGAAAAAATACTTAAATGATAAAAAATAATATTCAATTTTAGCAAGTTAAAAATAAAAAAGTATTAGAATAAAATTTTTACTTCACAAAGAAATAAAGTGATATAGTAAAAATTAGAAGACTAACATAAAAAAGTTAGAAAAAAAATTCTTAAGATCTTAACCACGGAAAATAAAGACCTATTAAATAAGCTTATTATAAAATGAAAAATAAACTTTCATTACAAAAACTCAATTTTATCATAATGTTCCTAATATTAAAATAGTACATTATATTTTATCATATTTTATGATATTTATAGTGATTTTAATGTTATCAATTGAATTTTTAACATTATAAAAATTTATTTATGATATTAATATTGAAGAAAAATTTTTTTAGAGGGTGAATATTCAGAATTTACGAAATAGGAACTAATGAAGTGACAAATTTATTAAATTTATAAATAGAATTAGTTTAATTAACTTTAATTATAATATTTTAGGTTTAAATCAAGTAATCTCTATTTTTATATTTCATAAAATATTGTAAAACTTGATAAACAACTTTTTTTTTGCTCTCTTATTAGAAAATTTAATAAAGTTAGTTTATGATAAATTTTGTCATGAAGAAGAATGAAAAATTTAATTTTTATTCTTAGAGATTAATTTATTGTAATGGAGATTTTTTTTTCTGGAAATGAGGAGAATATGTTTAACTTTTATAAACTTAAAAACCATAAGTTTTATTTCTTATAATATTCATATTTAAGTAAGCAAAATGTAATACTTGATATTTTTATATAAGTTTTATGTGTATATTAAAAAATAATTATTTTGTTTGTTTCATAAAAGTATGAAATAATTATTAAATTTTAGCTTAAAAGCATTTGATATCTTAATTAAACAATAGAATTAAATTATTAATTGTTTTATTTATTTTAAATCCTTACTATTTTATCAAATATAATCATTTTACAATAAAAAAACACTTATTGAAAGCTCAATTATATTATCATTTTTTTTGATTTTTTTCAAGTTCTTCTGCAAGCTTATCTATACGCTTAAATTAGAAAGGCCATTTAAAGTTATAAAGGAACTATCTAAGATCAAATCTGTTATCATCTGTAGAATAGCTTTCTGCATGGAAAGAAGGGGTAATAACAGTTTATTTGTGTCTGTTCAAGGCATAATATTTAAAGAAATGTTTTATTTTCTCTGCAATAGCTTATGGTTTCAAATGCTTCCATGAAGATACAGCTCTTTTGAACATAGAAACTGGACCTAGCTTATCATTCTTTCTCCATTTTCCATACACTCCAAGCTCATCGTATGTCATTCCCATATCTTATTCATCAGTTTGAGCAAACTTATCTCCATTTAGAGGTTTAAGCTCAGCAGTAGGTACTAAATCTAATATTTTCTTTGCTGCTTAGATATTTCTCTTTTCGTAGTTCCATCTTATGAATATTTATTTGTATATTTAATTTAATTTAGTAAAAAATAAAATTACTGAAGAAGTTTTCTAACATCAGTTTTAGAAATAGATCCAATAGGATTGATGTCTGCAGATGAACAATCATACTTTGTAAGGTAACCTCTTAATCCTTCATCAAGGTTAGCACTACCCAAAACTAACAAAAATCCATTTAAACCTTTATTCCAAGGAGCAAGCTAACCCATTAAGAAAGATGTAATCATTCTAGAACGTGACTATTGTTTTAATTTAAGAAAATTACATTTATTTAAAAAACTATTTAATTACCTAAATATTTTATAAGGCGATATCCTCTGCATAGGATTTGTTAAATTCAGGCCTTTTACCAAATGTTTCTTCTGCTATATCTTCAAAAGCCTTAAATACCTTTTCAATATTTACGTTGTAGTGAGTGCTATTAATTTCTTCAGAGAGTAATTAAGCAAGGTCTCTGGTCTCTTAAGAGCTGTTTCTTGTTCCTAAATACCCTGTATATAATACTCTTTTACAAATATCTTTAGGATTAGTAGGCATAAAAGATTCATCTTTAACTATTTAACGCAAAGTCTGGAGAATACTTTCATCATTTTTCATAGTTTCAAAAGCAACACAACACATATTATAAACAATTAGGGCAGTTGAAGCACTGTCAGCACCTCCAGAAAGAGGTAAAAAGAAACCATTAGCTCCAGATCTCCTTAAATAATCCCAGAGATAGCATGATGGACCATAAGATAAATCATGAACTATGTATTGCAAAACTTCTTCATCTGAGAGTTCTTTATATACAGACTCACTAAAAGGTATTTGAGCAATACTTATATCAGCATGAACAACTGGGTACTTTTTTATCAAATAAAAAAATATAAAATTAAAAAAATTTTATTTATTTTATTTTTGTTTTAACAAAGAACTTGAAAAAAATTAAAATTGTGTTTTTTAGTAAATTAATTAGTTATTTATTTAATTCTTTGCTTATATTTTTTAATTATATTAATTAATTAATAATTATTTTATTTTTACCCTTTTTACTTCTAATGCTTGCTCACCAAAAGACTTATTTTCTGCACGAGATGATCTGACTCTATCAAGATCAACTTAGGTTATTACCAAATCAATATCTTAGAGTGCAAACATATCTGTCATAGATAGAATTTTTCCATTTTAAGCGATAATAGAAGCACCATCAAAGTAAATTCTATTACCATCACAACCTCTTAAATTAGAATATAAATAAATTGCTCCAGTTTTGATAGTTGCTTCAAGGATCATATTTAATCTACGCTTTTGTTTATTTGTTTCGTAATGAGAACCGCTCATGTTTAAAAATATTTCTACTCCATTTAGACTTAGAACACTGCTTAATGTGCTTGGCATCCAAAGTTCTTAACATGTTTCAATACCAATACGGGTATCTAATGTTTGGATAATTGCATTTCCAAAAGGAACACTCTTTTGTTTTGTTATTTACTAAATTATCATAGGAAGTTCAAATGTCTCAATCTCTTTATTAATACCCCAAGCTGTGAAAAATCTAGGCTCTCTGTAATTACCTCCTTCTGCAAGATATATTTTAGGTCTGATCAATAATATCTGCTTATTAAGGACTATAACAGCACAATTAAAAAGTATGTTATTGTGCAAAACAGGCATTCCAATAGCACATAAAATACCGTTTGTAATATCTGAATCTAATATTTCTGCTAACACTTCCCATGAATGAGTAATAGTATCTGTTTCTAGAAAATGATCTTCACAGCTATAACCTGTTACTTCTAGTTCTGGACCTAAACGAATAGTACACCCTTGAGCCTTAGCTTGCTTAATTGATTTAATGATATTGTTTTTATTCCATTCAAAATCCATTGCCCATTAGTTTAATGTGCAAGTTGCTACTTTGGCAGTAGTAAACTATGACTCTATAAACAGCTTATCCATAAAATATTTAGTTAATCTTTTTATTTTACAATTATTTATTTTAATTAATATGATCAGGTTAATTGGTATATTTAAATTTCAGAGTATCCTCTTTTCTTTATATTATTAAATTGATCGGAAATAAATAGCCAAATAATCTTTGTATGATAGATAAATATGTAAAATGATATCTTTACCTTTAAAATGTGAATTATGACGTTTAATTTTTCTGTTTTTATTCTCAAGATCCAAAATATTCTAAAATAATAAAATTTGCTTCTAATATTAAAATTATTACTTTTTTTGAAATAAAATAAATAGCCAAAATAAATAAAAAAGAGTTAATTTATTTTAAGTATTTAATATTCATTTTCTAAGAATCAATTTAATAAATCAAATTTTTCTTATCAAAAAATAAAATAAAAAGTCATTCAATCTTGTAAAATCCGAGATAGTATAGTGGTTAGTATTCCTGCCTGTCACGCAGGAGACCCGGGTTCAATTCCCGGTCTCGGAGCTTTTTTTTTTTATACAATAAATAAAAAGAATAAAATTTAAAATATCTTAATTTAATTTAAGAAGAATTTAAAATAATTTATAAATATATATCTGTTTTATTAAATTTTTCTTTATTTATTGAATTCACTTTAAATTATTTTTATTTCATTTTTTCATTTTATTTCTTCTTTTAAACATAAAAAGAAAATAAAGGTAAAAAAATACTGATTAGAAAGATTTTATGAAGTTAGTTAATTTTTTTTTTTTAAATGTTTAATTTGATTATTTGTAAATTTTAATAATTGGCTAATTAAAAATATTTTATTGATTGGATTAAAGAAATAAATTGTTTTTAAATTAAAAAAATAAAAATATTTTGAATTATAGCTTGATTTGATTGATGCCAATAATTTTAGTTATATTTAAAATAAATTTAAATGTATTTATGTATCTACGAATTTAACGTATAATATATAAACTGCTTACACAAAAACAATTTATTTATAATTATTATAATCTTATATTCAATTTTTTCTTCATGTATTTCTTTTTGTTGTATCTTCTTGTCTAAGTATTATTCTGACATAAATTTACTTTTGTTAGTTATTTAATTTAATATTATAGTATTTTATTGGATTTGTTTTTTAACGCATATTAAAGTGGGAATAGTTTTGATTGGCAAAAATTTAAATAGTAAAAATAAATAAAAAATTATTCTTTAATTAAATAAATATTAAGCAAATAAATTAATAAATAAAAATTTCAAAAATAAATTAACTTCTTTGAAAGAAAAAATTTAAATTATACATATTCACTAGCTACTAGATAATTCTTTTTTTTATTCAATTATCTCATCTTAATTTTCCTATGTTCTTTCAATTTCTAACAATTTGCTCCTTTAATTTCTTGAAGTAGATAATGTTAATAAATAACTGTCTGTATCTAAAATTTATGCTGGATATTGTTTGATTAATGGACTTAATGTGATTAATTCTTAATTTTCTAGATTTGTACTATTTTTCTTATTTCTGAGTTAATATTTATAGATTTGCTAGGCATTATTTATTAATTTAGGCTTATCTTATTATTCTGTAGATCTTTCATTTTTACCATCCTTAAATTTTATTCCTATATTAAAAGTTTATTGGAGATTTTAGCTGGCATCTTCGAAAAAGGGATTACTAGTTTTTAGGTAATCTTAATTGTAATTATTTGGAGATTAGGTTGGATTTTTATCTTTTTAAGTTCCTATGACTTAAGATATATACTCTTGTTCATCTGGAATAGATAAATTAGCAATATTATTTGGAAAAGTTATCTTTTATGCTTCTATTTTTAATAGAAACTGCTAAATAACATAATCTTCAGAGTCAAATATTCGAATTAGAATTTCTTAGCTATCACTTATATCTGGTACCCCATGAAAAAAAAGCAATCCTTGTTTTTAGTCAAGACTCAACCAATTAGGTAATTTATTATTTTCATAAGCAGCATATCTCTAGTATTCTAAGTTTAGTAGTTTTATCAAAGGGCGAATGCAAAAATTATAGTTTACCTTTTAATAAGCTAACACTTACTTGATAGAATAAGGAGGTAGGTGAATAGATTCACCTATAGAAGGCTATAGCGGAGAAGGTTTATAAGAACAAAATCCTAGTGCATCTGCAAATATTACATCTCTAATAAGTCTTAAATTTATTCCAAGTTCTTATTCTTTTACAAACTTTTCCAAAGAGCCAAAAGTAAATTGAAGATTTAGATCTATTGAAATAATTCCTATTTTTGCAAGTATTTAAACCAACATGTCTATATTTAAATTTAAATGAGGAAATACGTTATTTTGTTATTCACATTCAGATTTAATATTTATTTCATCTGTATAATTAATATTCACAATGTACTTGTACCAATCATTTTTTGTGTAATATTCTGATAATTTTCCAATATTTTATAAACACTCATATATTAATAGAGACCTTTTATCAAGATTTAGAATTTGCCTAGATAATTGTGAATGAATAGCTTTATGAATTCTTGAGTTAGAATTAATAAGCTCGCTTTAGTAAACCTACTAGGTTAGATTAGGGATTCTAGGAGAAGCGAGGAAATTATATTAAAGAATATCTTAAACTACTTAAGTCATTGTTATGCCTCCACTCTCCTTTAAATATCTCTACTCGATAAAGCTTCGCTTATAATGCTGGCTAGTCTTAACGAGTAATAACTTGGTTTACTCTACAACTTCAATTTATTTTTTATTAAAAATAAAATTTTGATTATTGATTATCCTATCACGGCATTCTTAAGTTTAATTAAAGTTAAGTAGCATTATTTAATTCGATTTATCCTTTTACACAGATATTTCTGATTTTTTTTCATTAGATTTAGAACAGGAAATTATCTTTGAAAATATATTATTGGTAATGATTCTAGAGTGAATATTGATATCTGAAAGAATAACAATCTTTTTTTGATAAAGCTAAGAGTTAAATATAGTTTCTGAACTATATTCCACCTTCCTTCTAAAGCACATGCTTAAAAATAAACCTCTTTTCTAATAAAGACCTAAAACAGCAAAGAGAGGTCCTAGAATTTTCATCAAAATATTAAATAATAACGAAAAAGGAATAGCATATACTTTAATTGTAAAGTAATCTTCTGCTTGAGTGTACCCATCACTTGCTATAATTTTGAATGTAAAAACTTCTCTATAAATACTAGAAGAAGCAAAGCCGTTATAGCTTAATTAAGACCCACTTTATTAAAGCCATAACGATGTAGTTAAATTTTGATAGGAATTCCCATCATTGTATTAAATATAGTATGTGATCTATTTAGAATCTTCTACAATGAATGTATCAGAGGCAAACTCAAAATATATCTAAGTTTCAATTGGTACTTCTGAATCTGGAAACTGTCTATCAAACTACATTTATAAAGTCTTTTCTGGATTTACTTTGAGTTTTTTTTTTAAGGTGATAAACTTGCACTTGTTAATTGGTCTATTTATAATAAGAGGATAATTTACACCATCAACTAAAGTTAAATTAAGTGTTTATTAAGAATTTTAAGCATCATCATCCATAAAGAGAGCTGTGCTATTTGCAAACATGATTTGGTTTTGAAGTACTGCATTCACTGCTGCTAAGCTACCTTCAATCTTAATCTGATCCTATTGTTCTGAAATAGATGTAATTACTCTGTCGTATGTCTTCAAAACAAATCTTCCAGAATTCTTATCAACTTATAAATAACAGTCAATTATATCTGTTGACAAGCTAGAAATATACTATTAAGGATTGGTAAAATTAACCAAAAGAGATGGTTTTACATTAAATATGATAGGGTTTATATAATATGCTCTCATGAGTGTTAGACAAACCTTTTCAGTTATTTGATCAGAAATAACTCCAAAGTTTGATTATTAATTTTAAGACTACATGATAGTGCTTAAATAATCACCAAACTCAAAATTGCAGGGTGAATCGAATGTTGTTGACACAAAATAATTTGAGTCAATTACCTTTTAACTTATTAAAAATTAAAAGATTTAAAGAGCTTAAGCTTCATTTGTTATGCCTAAATCGTTTATGCCTCCATCCTCTGATTAATAAACGAACAAATCTGAAGTGAGTGGGAAAGCTGTTTTGATAAGAACAGTATTTAAGTTAGAAGAATTTTCCTGACTACCTAGAGCTTATTTATCAACATACATGCTGATAATTTTTTTAAAATTATCATAAAAAGCATAAGAAGGTAGGCTAGCAATTTAGCCTTGAGTGTATGAAAATACGTCTACGACTTGCATTCCACTCTAAAAAGGATAAAGAACTGAAAAACTTAATTCTATTGTTTGTCCAACATAAAAAGTATAGTCACTAGATGAGTTACTTCCTAATTGAGGATTTATTTTCACAGTTGTTTTTTATCCTGTTAATTTATCTATCGTTACTTGATTAGCTTATGTATGGATCTTAACCTTACTAGTTAATGGTATAGCTATTATTCTTTATGGGTTTGTAACAAAAATATACTCTCCTGTCTTCGGACCACAAAGATATGTTGCAAACTCTTAGCCATAACTGTAACTGCTTAAAACAAAAGGATTGAGCTTATCTCTCATATCTACGAGTGTCACAAAACCATTATCCATTTAAACAGTTAGTATAAAATTGTCATTTTATAAAAGCATACCAGAATTGCAATAACCCTATATAGGGACTCTTGATATAATTACTATTTTAGGTAAAGCAGACAAATCAATTATAGCAAATCCTCTTACTCCGTCAATCAAGTAAGCATATTGTAAAATATCTGATAATATTATATTTTCACCTCCTAGGGTATTGACTTAGTCCACAAGTTTCAAATTATTCTTATCACTTGCATCCAATAAATAGAGTCCATAGAATCTAACTGTGCCAAATATCCATTTGTTGTCTTTTGTTATTGCAGCTCCTTAGTTTTCGCCTGCTAATGAAGCAGGGTTTTGCCAGTATTGTAATAGTTTTAATTGTAAGGGATTCGATGTATCAAAAAGGAGCATTCCTGTCTCATATGTAACAATAGCAAATTACCTATCTGAGCTAAAAATCATGTACTCAGAGAAACTAAATCCATCCATTGTGTAAGAAGATACTTCTTAGATATTCTATAAAGATATGTTTGGATTAGAAGGATCAGAAATTTTGAAAATAGTGATTAACTTTGAGATATTTAATGAAAGTACGTACATGTATTGACTCTAGGGGTCTATAATTATGGAGTCAGTTCCTACATTATAATAGATAGCAGTAGATACTTTTAGTTTATAAGGGTCTCCATAATATGGAAATATATACATTCCATCATGATCGAAAGCTCCTAACATGTAAGTATTGGTTGAGTCTATTAAACAGCTCCATTTATATTCAATATCAGCCATGGGTTCATTTTTTGTTTGGTGAATATTGAATAAGTTTGGGAAATTATCATTTAAATTTACTTAAGTTCTCTCAAAAAGAAATACACTCAAAGCGTTTGAGAAATATAAATAATTTCCATCAGCAGAAAATTCTATGGAAAGAGAATGAGAATCGACTTAAATTTGTTAAAAAAGTTACACATTTGAAAGATCTCTGATGTCAAAAACATACATTCCCTCAGATCTAACCCCAAGGAAAAGAAGTTAATTGTCTTAAGATAAAGCTAAGGACTGTATTGATTCACTTGCTTTTTAATTAAAATTAAATTTATTAAAACTTAAATCAACGGGATAATTATTGGTCTATGAGCTTAAATTCTGAATATTAGCATAAAATAAACCATTCCATGTATCTACTTAAAAAATAAATGAATTATTGTTTGTAGCAATACTAATCATGCCTTTAAATTATCCTTTTCCTTAAGCTGCTAGAGTAAATTTGATTTACCTTTTCAGTGTCTACTGATCCTATACTAAACTCAATTAAAATATTTAAGTACCAAGTCTCTCACAACTTACGTAGAGCCAGAGCTCATCAATAGATGAAGATATTTAAGGAATAATTGTAGATCCTGTGTTATAGTTACCTATTGTTAATGGATTTTTTATATCACTCACATCGTAAGCAGCTACATTACCATCTGATCCACAAGCTATCAGTACTTGACTTGTCTCCAGCAAAATTATTGACTGAACTTAACTTTTAAATTGCTAAGAACTTATTTCTATCAACTAATAATTACTGTCTCCAATTTTTACTAACTCAAATATTTAAACTTGCTATTGTAAACCAAAAAATATGTACTTACAATCTCTGCTTACATCAAATGCATTGATGTACTAATTTCCTATTTTCTATGATAAAAGTACTCCACTAAGTAGTCTATCTGAAATAGTAATTCCGCTATACCCTGTTGCTATGAAAACCAAGTTACAGCTTGAAGATAATTTAATTCTCAATGGGTTCTATGTGTCACTAAAGTCCAATTTAGTTAGATAAAATGGAGAGTATATCTGATCTAAGCTTTAAAAAGATACCTTAATTATCAAACATATTAGTAGATATTTAAGATTTTTAACTTGGAAGACCATTAACTTTAAGAATAAAGTTTTATTTACTAGTAGTTATTTTCTATTTTTTTTATTATATGCTTTTCCTTATTTATTTAGCTATTTAAATGTTTTTTATTTATTAAAGTTTATTAATTTACAGTTTAAAGCATTGTTTTTATTTCTTTGAATAGTCAGTAATTTTTATTGCATTGACTATTAAAGAATAAAAACTTTAAATTTTCATTACAGTTAACATTTTAGTTTAATAATTTAAGGTGCAAATGCCTATTTATATAATTTTTTATAATCTATCATCTTTTATATTTATTTATCTGACTTATTAATATATTTCAATAGTTTTAGAAATTCTTTTCAATTGGCTTACTGTTTTATTTATTTTTATGAGTTGTGCATGTACTATTACTTTCGAAATTAACGTACAATTTGCATCAAAGAAAATAAAAATTTTATTTTTTATTTCCACAAAATTGCGTTATTGCTTGATTACACCATATTTAAATATAAAAATTTTATTTTTACTAACTTTTATAATTAGTAAAAAATTTTTATAATTGAAATTGAGTAAAATTTTAATTTTTGTAAATAAATTATTATAAAATTTTTTTATTCAATAAAATGTATAAAATAAATGATACAAAATTTACATATTTTTAATTTTATATTTTATGTAAAAAAGGTCTTTACTTTTAATAATAATTAATTTTACTTTATAATTAACTGTAAATTTATATTCTTCCCCCTATTTCTTTAATTTAAATTTTAGCAATTAATTTTTAAAACTATGAAATTATTTTTATTCAAAAATATTATTTTTCATGATGCTTTTATTTTAATCAATTTAAAAAAATTATTAATCAATAAAATTTGATAACTAACTTAATAAATAAATAATTAGGAAATTAATTAGACAAGTGTAAAAATTTTAAACAAAGAAAAACGTGGATTTAAATTAGTAAAAATGTTAAGTTGCATTGCAACAAATGTTTGTTTTTTAAGAATGTGCACCACAATTTATTAAATTAATTAAATCTTTAGACTAGTTCATAACAAACAACAATTATTTTTATAAAGAAGGCAAAGATATCAAAAATAATCAAAATAAAAAATTAGCATTGCTCTAAATAAAAGAAATTTAAAAGATTTTTCAATAAAATATTGAATATTATCAATTATTTGATTAAAAGATAAACTTTAATTTAAGATAAAAAAATAGGTTTTTGCATATTAATACAGAAAAGTTAGGAAATTAAGCAAAATGATAGATATTTACGAAATAGAGTAAAAAGACGGTGTTAGATGTGTATGGAATAATATACCTCCTACTAAACTTGCAGCAACAAGGGCTGTTGTTCCAATTGGTATCCATTACACACCTTATAAGGAATTAGATCCTAGCAATAGAATGGAATATGAAGCTTTACGTTGCAGATGCCAAGCAATTTTGAATCCCTACTGCTAAGTTGATTTTAATCAAAAGTTCTGGATTTGCCCTTTTTGTACTTCCAGAAATCCATTCCCTTAAATTTATCATCAAATTACTCCTTAAAATCTTCCTGCAGAATTAATGGAAGACTATTCGACTATCGAATATGTATAAATATTTTTATTTAAAAATTGAATAATAACAGCTTCAAATTGTGAAATTAAACTTCAAGCAAAATAAATTTAAAACTAGAATAAAATATTTTTCTTAATTTTTGATAAAATATTTAATAAAAAATATGTTTAAATTCTATTTTAAAAGAAATTTCTATCTTTTCTTAACAGTTTTTTAAGTTATCATTTAAAAATAAAAATAAAGGTTTATTCAAAGGAAAAGCCCGTTCCAAATATCTTCTTATTAGTTGTTGATGTTAGTTTAGAATAGATTGAATTAGAAGCATTAAGAGATTCTATTTAGCAATCATTGAATATTATTCCTCCTGATTCATATGTCGGTTTAATTACATTCGGAAAGTTTGTTTTTGTTCATGAATTAGGCTTTTAGGAGTGTCCTAAATCATATGCATTTAAAGGAAGCAAAGACTATACTACTACATAAGTTTAAGAAATGCTTGGTCTTATTGCTCCTGGTACTTAGCCAAAGCCTGGAAAAAATATGGACGTTATTAAACGTTTCTTACTTCCATTGAACGAATGTGAATTTACTTTAAATAGTATTCTTGATGATCTTCAACCTGATCCTTGGAACGTTCCTTAAGGAGAAAGAGAATAGCGTGCTTCAGGCGTTGCTATCAATGCTGCTGTAATTATTTTATATTTTTCAATTATCAAATACACTTAAATACTAGCTTTTATTTCAATTAAATGTAAAAATAAGAAAAAAAATGTTTTTAATAAATTCAAAGAAATATATTAATCTTATTTTAATATTTAATAGATCAGCTTAATTGAAGCTTGCCCTATCCCTGGCTCTAGAGTTATGTTCTTCACTGGTGGTCCTTGCACTATTGGTCCAGGTTAAGTTTTTGGAATCAAGTAAGAGGAAACTCCTCGTTCTTACTTGGATATCGGCCAAGATAATAGTATTGCTTAATACGTTAAAAAAGCAACTAAATACTATCAAACTCTTGCTCTTAGAGCTATAAAAAGCTAGATAACAGTAGATATTTATGGTTTTTGCCCTGATCAATTTGGTTTGTACGAAATGAAATATATGGCAGAAAAGACTGGAGGTTACATTGTTTTTAATGAAGAATTCAATTCAGATCCTTTCAGAGAAACATTTAGAAAAATATTTGATAAGGATTAAAATGATGAATTAAGATTTGCATCAGCAGCTAGAATAGATATGTTTGTTTGCAAGGAAGTTAAGATCTAAGGCGCTTTTGGTTCATGCTCTTCACTAAAGAAGGGTGGCCCAATGGTTGCTGAAACTCCTATTGGTTAAGGTGGTACCACTCAATGGTAATTTTTTTTATGCAATTTAAAATAAGAAATTAATATTATTTTTTTTAGGTATATTGGTGGTATGGATAGAAACTCAACATTGACTTTCATGCTAGATTTATCTGCTCACAACAAAGAATAAAACTAAGCAAAGAGAGCTTTCTTCTAATTCTAAACAACTTACAAATCACCTTCTGGAGAGACAAAATTAAGAGTCACAACTTTCTTTAGAAAGTTTGCTGATCCTATAAGTAACTTTGAGTTAGTTCAAGGTTTTGATTAAGAAGCTGCTTGTGTCTTAATGGCTCGTTTAGGTATTTAAAAATCTGAATCTGAAGAGCCTATAGAAATTTTAAAATGGCTTGATAGAACCTTAATTAGGTTTGTAACTCGTTTTGCTGAATATAAGCCAAATATAACTGATTCATTTAAATTACATGATAATTTAGCATTGTATCCTTAATTTATGTATCATTTAAGAAGAAGTCACTTCACTTAAATTTTTGGTTTAAATCCTGATACAATCTCTTATTATCGTTGCACTTTTAATAGAGAAAATGTCTCTAACTGTTAAGTTATGATTCAACCTGCTATATTCTCTTATTCAATTTAAAATCCAAGTCCATCTCCTGTTAGTCTCGATGACACAGCTATGAGAAAAGACGTCATTTTATTGCTTGATAATTATTTCTAAGTTATTACTTGGTTAGGTCCTCAAATTAAATAATGGAAAGATAAGGAATATCATGTAAATAATTTAATAAAAAATTCAAAAAATATTTATAAATTTTATTTTTAAATTAGTTGGATCCCACTTATATTTCATTTAAGAACTTGTTAGATTCTCCAATGGAAGATGTTAAAGCTATTCTTGAAGATAGATTCCCTACTCCCATTTTTTATGAAACTTACGAAAATCATACAAAAGAAAGATATTTAAAATCAAGAATCAATCCTACAGGAAAAAATCAAGACCTTATAGATAGTGGTCATACATAAACTGATGATGCCTCATTAAACTAATTTATGGATCATTTAATAAAATTAGCTGTTTCCTAACCAAATAGTTGAGAGGCTTTCAATAAATAAATAAATAATTTATATTTTTCTCGTCAAATCTTTTTATTTGTATTAACTTCAAATAAAATTAAAAAATCCTAATTTACATGTATCTATCTTGCTTAGGTAGATGCTACAAAAATATAAAAAACTATTTTTAAATTAAAAGATTTATTTTAATATGTAAAAAAAGGTTAAGCTTTCTGATAATCCAATTTTTTAATAGATCTTTAAAAGAAAATTTATTTGTAATTATGTTAATTATGGATTTTTAACATCTGACCAAATTATGCTTTAAAATTATTTGATAAAAATTTTAATATTTAGCATTTGTATTATTATAGGAATATTAAAATTGACAAATAAAAATATTTCTAATTTACTAATAATGAATAACCAAACAATAGTAAAAGTGTTCATACAACAAAAAAAAAAACTAATCAAAAAGAAAAAGATGATTTATTAAATATAAGATGTTTTATAATAAGATAGAAGATGAAAATAGTTATTGAAATTTTTAGTAGGAAGCAATTAACAGAATAAAATTATCAAAAATAGTTAAGATAACGCAAACCTGCACATCTGAATAATAAAAAAAGAGAGAAGTAGTAAAATAAACAAAGGAATATAAGAATTTCATTAAATTTCCACAAAAGAGAAAAAAAAAGTTTTACTGATAAACGAGACATAATTAAAACAATCAATTCTCAAAATGTAGTAAATAAAAGATAAATACTCTTAGAAAATGTAATGATTTCGTTTAAAAGTAAGTTATTTAAATTTTTTTAATAGGTATTAAAAATCTTTAACAATATATTAAAGTATGCTAAATAGAAATATATTAATATATTTATAATAATAAAATGTAATGTCAAAATCAAAATTTTTCAATAAAGAACCAAAGAAATTTTTTTAAAAAGGGGTCTTAATTAATGCTAATTGGTAATTAGTAATAGGTATTTTTGTGGGTTGAGGTGTGTAAATATACCAATTATATAAAAATATAACAAAAATAATACATTAAAAAAATAAAATTATTACTTTAATTGAAACGTCTCTAAAATAATTAAGCCAGGCATAGTCACTATCTGTAATTATATAATAGTTTATCAGAAAATAAATATATTTTTAAGGTTTTAAAGTAAAAGAAATTATTTAATAACTAACAAAAGTTTATTTTTATAATAATTCTTTTAATAATTTTAGCGGTGGTGAAGAATATTAAAATCACATTTTCTAATTTATATAACAATCTAATCTAGGCTTTTAAAAAAACATATATTATAAACAAAATACAAAAAAAAATGATAAGAATTTCAATGAGGATAACAACTAGAATTGAACTAGATTTATTATATAATTATACTATAAAAAAATTGTAGATTAACTCAATTAAATTTATCTTTTTTATATATTAAACTATTATTTGATAAATTATCAGTGAATTTTCTTTATTTCGATTAGCGAAAATAGTTTTTTTATAAAAATACATTTCGCCTTTATGCAGGTATTATGATCCTATTTGTATAGAGAAAAAACAAATAAGACTAGACTATTCTTTGATTTAGAATATGAGTTAATTATAAATTATATATTTTACTGAATTTATTTGCAGTTATTATATATTAGCATACCAGCCTTAGTTTTTTATTTTTTCTATTCCAAAAATAATCCGTCATTTCTAGCCATATTATTTCACTGAATGATGTTTAATCAATCTTAATTTTAAAAAATAAAATTCAGTAAAAGAAAAAGTAATGACACTAACTAAATTTGCGAGAAATTTTATTTCATATTTAAAATTTTACTTATAAGTTAAATTCTATCGCTTTTATTTCTTTCATCTACAATAATTCTAGTATTTTAGGTATGAGTGCAGCATATATCAGAAAAATTTTTTGTATATTATTCCAATTTTTGGAATAAATTTATATAATTTTACTTCTAATTTGCTTTAAAAAATTAATTTAAAAAACACAAAAAATATACTATGATATATAATAATCTATAAGTCAGCGAATACCTGCCGTAAATGTTTAATCAAGCAAAATAAAAAGCTGCTGAATACATATGATGATGATTTGTAGATTTTTGTGTATCTAGTTAAGTTAATTCTGACAGAATAAGTGGGATATTTTCAAAAGTCTAATACGAAAAATTTAGTCAATTTATTCAAAGTTAAGCACAGCTTTGGGAAAATTTGATTCTTTTTATCTAAAACACAAAAGAAACACTAATGTTCCAATTAAATAAATAAGCTTAACATAAGCTTAATTTCATCTCAGTATTTGGTTAAAATGATGATAAAAGCTCATGTGAAAATAATTATTAATTAAATTGCTCCAAAACATTTAAAATTAATTAAAAAAAGATGTTCATCACAAAAATATTTAAAAGATTTAGTCAGAACTTGCAGCAAATAAGCTTGCAGTCTTCCCAAGAAATAATTCAAAAAAAAAATAATGAACAATTTACATACCCAAGTTAACAATCAAATATAAATCAAAAATAAAGTCATAATTTTAAGTAACAATCTCGCACAAACAAATTTATTAATTAAACAAATACTACAGATAAAATTAATATGAATTCTATACCTCTCACTCCATCTTTTGAGAACGTCAAAACTATATATGACTTTGCTAAGCTTGCTGGCGAGTTAAAATCTTTGAAAAGAACTGGCTGGACTCACTTCCCAGGAATTAAAGAAGTTGAAAGTGTTGCAGACCACTCATGGAGAATGAGCTTGTTTTGCATGCTTTTTGCAAAAGATAAAACTATTGACTTTGAAAGATGCATTAAATTTGCTATTATACATGATTTAGCTGAAGTGATAGTTGGTGACATTACTCCTCGTGATGGTATTTCTGAAGACCAAAAGCATAAAATGGAAGATGAAGGAATAAAACTTCTGTTATCCAAGATAGAAAACTAAGAAATACGTGATGAACTTTATTCAATATGGAAATAATATGAAGACAGAAAGTGTCCTGAATCAAAATTAGTTAAAGATATGGATAGATTTGAAATGATGTAGTAAGCATTTGAATATGAATAAAAGTACCCAGTGGATTTGTCTGAATTTTTTTCAGACTCTAGTAGAATAACTCATCCTGTAATAAAAAGTTGGTTGTAAGAACTTCTTGAAAAAAGAGAGGCCTTTTTAAAACAATAAAATCCTAACTAATAAAAAACACATTGTGAATAAGAGCAATAGCAACAATAATGAAAAATATTTTTTATATAAAATAAATAACTGACATAAACAATTTACTAAATCGATAGCTAAATGATTAATTATATAAATAATTTTCTAAAATAATGTATATATTTCATCATAAAACAAACAAATAACTTCTAAATAAATAAATATCTTTAATCTAAAATAAATTTATTTACTTATTATTTCTATTTTGTATTTTATCTTTAAGTTTTTATTCTTTTATTCAACAAAAAATCAGAAATTCTACTAAAAAAGATATTTTATATCTATTTATGAAAAACAAAAAGCCTAAATAGTAAATGAATATTGATAGTAAAGAGAAAGAATAAGGGGTGGTATGGTATAATTAGCTTGGTACTTGAGATGAGGCTCAAAATGATAAATATTTAAATAATCTAGTCAAGCCATATTAAAAAAAAAATTCCAACCCTGGTAAGAATTAATATTTAGATTTCATTAATACAATTTTTTTGAAATTTCTACCTTACATTCCTAAATAATTACAAAAATGCATCATGACTTACTATTTTTTAAATTTAATACGTAATTTGTTACCTTGCTATGAATTATAAACAACTAAAACTAAATGACTGTATAAATGATCTGATGCGAAATATTTAAGTGATAAATCAACCTTGAAATTTACATTTATTAGTTTTTTAAATGTAAAAGAATATAGAGAGATAAGATAGATTATTTAAAATTATGAAATTTTAATTGGATTTTCATCATTTATACCATCATTAAGTATTTTATTGTATTTTTTAATACTTTGTAAATTAAATTTACTTTTAACAATTTTATTTTTTAAAAATTATGGCTGATAATTTTATTTTTTTGAATAATTGATTTGTAAAATACTTGAATTGCTTAATAAATTAAATTGTTTTTATAAAATTAAGTAAATAAAATTTATCTTAGATATTTCATTAAGTATAATAAACTTACTCTTATAATTAAATGAATTATTAAAAGTAATTTAATTACTTCTAATTAATTTTTATTTTATTATTTATTATTCTCTTGAATTAATTTTTTTGAGTATTTTTATTTACTAATTTCAGAAGGAAATATAAAATTTTATTCGTATTTTTTGTATATTTCAGTTATATATTTTAAAATTTATGATGGTAGATTCAAAAGGATTTTATTCTTTTTCTTCTCTAGTTTTTATTTTTATTTAATATTTCATTATATATTTTTATTAATTTATTGAAAGCTATTTTAAAAACTATAAAATTTATAAAAATTTTACAAATTTTAATTAATTTATTTTTCTTAAAAATAGCTCTTTAAAATGATATCTATTTTAGCTCTTTCTTTTTCTAGTTTATAAAAAGCAATGTAACATTTTTTTCTTTTTTTCTTTAAAAATTATTTTTAATGTTCATCATGTTTTATACAAAAATTATATAATTGGATGTCTTTAAAGGTTATTTTTATTGAATCTTTATATTTTAGAAAATAATCTATTAATTATTTTTAAAAATTTGAAAATTGTTGATATTACTTAAAAATGGGTAATTGTTTAAAAAGAAAATAGTAAAATATTAAAGATCAGCTCAGTGAAGATGAAAACCAATAAAAGAAAAATCAATAAGAAGCACCTTAGCCAAAACCCCTTAAAAGCTGGGAAATACGTAGATTGTAGCAGTAGAATAAAGATGACTTTGTTTGTAGAAATAAATAAAATGAGACCATTATTAAATAACCAGGAAGTTTAAATGGATTATAATATAAAATAGAATCTTGCACTAATTCAGAAATATATGTGCTTGACCATTCAACTACAATTTTTGTAGATGACTGCACTAACTGCAAAATTTTTATAGGCCCATGTAAAGCTTCAGTTTTTGTTAGAGATTGTAAGAATTGCGAAATGGTGATAGCATGTTAACAATATAGATCACGCGATTGTGAAAATATTAAAACTCTCTTATACTGCTAATCTTAGCCAGTAATTGAAAGCTGTAAAGATATGCAATTTGGATGCTTTTACTTTGCTTATCCTCAGTTAAGTTAACAGTTTAAAGATTGTGGAATTAATCCATGGACTAATAACTGGTCTGATATATATGATTTTACAAAAAACCCAAACGGAGTTCTTAACTACTCTTATTTACCAGAAGATGAGATTGAAATTATTCCATATGCTTGTGAAAAGCTAAACTCTCTGTGTTCAAGAGAATATTGTGAAGAAAGATAGAACTTATGTGTGCCAATTACTAAAGGCTTAAGATTAAATGCTAATGAATTGAGTAACAGTTCTATTATAATGGTATATCCAGAAGCTACATCTAAAATGGTTGGTTCTCTAGCATCAATTTTCAATTAAAGAAACGACATTTAAATAATTAGGACTTTATAATGCAAACTTTTAAATGATTCAAGACAAGATTTGATATTTAGTCTTGAAGAAAAGAGCACTATTTTTAGTCAGCATGATTTTTCAGAGAGTGTTTTATTCATTTAACTCCAAGGTGAGAATTTAAAACAAGCATTAGATGACATTTTTGGCAAATATTCTAATTAATATTATTTATGGAACAAAGCTAATACATCAATTACAAAAATATCAAAAATTATTTTTGAGAATTGGGAAGATGAGCGCAAGCCTAATTGAATGTAGCAAGTTATTATATTAATTAATTAAAAATTGTAAAATGCTAATTTTAAACTAAAATATAACTTAGAATATGTTTATTTATTGCAATTATAATTATTTCATTTTTCTATGAATAAATATTTCAACAAAATCACTTTTTAAATAAATTACTCATATTTTTAAGTGAAAAAAAATCTTTCATTTTAATAGAATTAATTAATTATTAATTTAAAAATTCACTCTAATTTAAGTTAAAATATTTTATTTAAACTTTTTCACTAATGCCAATTTACTTTTATTTTCTACATCTTATAAATAAATAATATAAAATCTCTCAAAAACTATTTCACATATATTTTAAGTGAAAATATAATGATAAATTTTGATAGAATTAGAAATTAAAATTTTAATAGCACTCTAAAAATGCTGATCAGGATTGGTTTTTAATAGAAAAAAAAATAATAATATTAAGGATAATCTCAAAAATTATCTAACAAATAAATTTAGCAACAATTCGATCTATTTCTTACAGAAATATAGTCAACCTATCTATTTTAATTACTTTTTCAATTATTATTTTGATTGTATTATCAACTATTTAAAATATATATTTGGTCAAGTATAAACCTAATAAAGTGAATGGATTTCTTAAATTTTTTAATTAACAAGAAAAATCTATAGTTATTTTTAAATAAGTGATAATAGAGTAAACTAATTATTCAATATAACAAAAACAGCAGAAAAAGGAATTTTCAACAATTCTTAATTTAATTTTAAATAGACTCTACAAAGCTAGGTGTTCACTACCAAATAGCCACTATAAAATAATAGAAGAGAAGAGAACTCCTTAGACTCAATTACCCAAGACAACCAAAAAAAAATGAACGTAGGCAAAGATCATCAAGAAATAAGCCTAAGTAATTTGAATGATTATTAATAAAAGGAGGAAACTAAAGAGTAATTGGAAGAGAGACTTTTACAAAGAGAAGAAGAGCAGCAAATTTAAACAGTAAATATTTAAAAATAATCAGATAATTCTCCTTAAATTTGTTTGCGAATTGTTCCTTTTAACATATTCTGATTATTTTAAATAATATAAATTCATATAATAATATAGACTGAGTAATATAGCTAAGATTAAGAAAGATTCATTAATGTCGCTAAAAGATTTTTATTTGGTCCAAAGGTATAAACAGTATCGCGTATAATTTCATTGAATGGAACAGTAAATCCTCCAAATTACTTTAAAAATATTGTAAAAAATCAGAAATACTCAATTATATCATTTGTATTTGTTGTATTATTCAACGAATTTAAATACTTCTTTAACATGTTCTTCCTTCTGATTGCAATATCTCAATTTATCCCTCCACTTCAAGTTGGCTTATAGTTTACTTATATTGCACCTCTTGTATTAGTGCTTACCCTTACAATGCTTAAGGAAGCCTATGATGATTTTAAACGTTTCTAAAGAGATAGAGAAGCTAACTCTTAGATTTATTAGTATTTTAAATATACTGGATCATTATATAAGCTAAGTTTATTTTTTCAAAAATCTAAAATAGAGTTTTAAAAGTAGATTAACCAGAATTTCCAACAAAAAGCTGTGATTTAAAAGTCGGAGACATTATTTAAGTGTAAACTAACCAAAGAATACCTGCAGATTTGTTGTTATTATACACTTCGTAAAATATATTTTTTTAATTTAAACAATTAAGTTGCAAAATCTATTGTATAAAAAATGGAGTTAATCGCACTTTAACATTTTTTGATTTTTACTATATAAATAGAGATCCATCTGGTGATGTTTTCATTAAAACTGATTAGTTAGATGGTGAAACAGATTGGAAGCTAAGAAAACCTGTAAGGTTAGTGTAATCTTTTGCAAAAGAGCAAGGTCCTGAATAAATTATAAGGCTTAATGCATAATGCTAAGCTTAAGAACCTATTGAAAATATTTATAAATTTACAGGTGTTTTTGAGATTAATCATAATTAGCCTAACATCCAAAAAGAATCTCTCTCTTTAGAAAATACTATGTGGGCTAATACTGTATTGGCTTCTGGTAAAATATGGGGTATCTTTTATTTTCAGATAAAAAAATGGAATATTTATATTTCTTTACTTATAAAAATGTTTTTTAGCACTCGTACTATACACTGGTAAAGAAACTAGAATGGCTATGAATTCGAGAGATGCACGCTCTAAATTTGGATAATTAGATACTGAATTAAATTATCTTTCCAAATTACTTTTCGTTTTTATGGTTATTTCATCTATAGTTTTAGTTGTTTTGTAAGGAGTTAAATTGGAATGGTACACATTAATCTTAACCTTCAGGTATCTGCTTCTTCTGAGTAGTATTATACCTATATCTATGAGAGTCAATTTAGAATTTGCCAAACTCATTTATTGCTACAAAATAAATATTGATCAATAAATGCCTGGTACTGTTGCCAGATCAAGTTAAATCCCTGAAGAACTTGGTAGGATCTAATTTATATTAACAGACAAAACAGGTACACTAACATAAAATGACATGACCTTTAAGAAGCTTTCTTTGGAATCTGGCATATTCACATACGAAGAAACCTCTCAATTACAAGAAATAGTAAAAGTTCAATGTTCCCTATCGTAAAATTCTCTTCTATTTAATTTGCTTTCAAGTTAAATAAATATTTTATTTTATATAAAAATAGATATGGACCTATGGCTGATATAGAAAAAATAGTAAAGAAAAAGAATTTAAATGACTTAGAAATTAATTCAACTAAAGAGAGAGAAATAAAAAATATAAGAAGAGAAAAGGATGTAATAATAAGAGACTTAATAACTGCATTAGCTATTTGCCATAATGTTACTCCCATTGAGGGAGATGATGGATCCAAATCATTTTAAGCCTCCTCTCCTGATGAAGTAGCTTTAGTGAAAATAGCAGAAGATATGGGTATCACACTCGAAAGTCGCTCACAAGAATAATTAGTTTTAAAAAATGCAAATAATTAAATAGAAACATATAATATTTTAGCCAATTTCCCATTCTCAAGTCATAGCAAAAGAATGGGTATTTTAGTTAAACATGTAGAAACTGGCAGATATATTTTTTATCTAAAAGGAGCAGACACAGTCATATGTGAAAAAGTAATTAATAATTTAAAAACAGAATTACATATTTTTATCAACTTAAAATATTTTAGATACCAAAATACTAGAAAGGATTTTTAAAAGATGAGTGTGATAGCTTAGCTAGAGAAGGTTTACGTACATTAGTAATAACTTAGAAATATCTAACCGAAGAATAATTTAATTCTTGGAATGTAAAATACTAAGAAGCTCGTACTTCTTTGGAAAATAGAGATGAAAAAGAAGAATAAGTCATTCATCTTTTAGAAAAAGATATGGAATTTTTAGGTATTACTGGTGTTGAAGATAAGCTCTAAGAAGATGTGTGTAACACTCTTGAATCATTAAGAAATGCAGGTATCAAGATATGGATGTTAACAGGAGATAAGGTAAAATTTACTCATAAAAAAATGCAAATTTTATATTTTATTATTCATAGGTTGAAACTGCTACTTGCATAGCCATATCAGCAGGCATAATGAGCAACCCTTAAAGGTAATTCTTAATCACAGAATGTGAAAATAGTTTCAACCTTTAGCAGTAGTTGTAAAGATTTAATAATGAAAGCAATTATGTCTTAATTATAGATGGTATTTCTCTAAAATTAGCCTTAGAAAAGCATGAAAATCTGTTTTTTGAAGTTTCAACTAAAGCCCCAGCTGTTGTTTGTTGCAGGTAAATTGAATTATTTTATATTTTAAGATATAATATTATTTTCAATTATATTAAAGGTGCTCTCCTACTTAAAAAGCCTAAATCACAGAGTGTATAAAAAAGTACACTGGAAAAAAAACTGCAGGTGTAGGTGATGGAGGTAATGATGTTGGTATGATTTAAAGTGCTGATGTTGGAATTGGTATAGTTGGAAAAGAAGGAATGTAAGCAGCTTTAGCAGCTGATTTTTCAATAGAAAAGTTCAAGTATTTGAATCGTTTATTATTATGGCATGGAAGATTGAGCTATAAGAGAAGCAGTGTTTTATCTTAATTCGTTATTCATAGAGGTTTAATTATATCTGTTATTCAGATGATATTTATTGTTTGTTTCTACTTTGTACCTATTCCAGTTTACGATGGTCTTTTAATGCTTGGATATTCTACTATATTTACAATGTTCCCTGTATTTTCCTTAGTTTTTGATGAAGATATTGATGAGAAGACTTCTATGGATTATGTATTATAATTAAATAATTTACCAATTTTAGTTTACATAATATTTAAAAATTAATTTAAATAATAAAAAATAGCCTCCTCTTTACTAGACTCTGTAAAAGGGCAGAGAACTTAATACAAAAACATTTTTTGGCTGGATTTGGGTCAGTATTTACCAAGTAAAATAAGTTTAAAAAAATAATTTTTGATTAAATTTTTAATTTTATTAATATAATTAAGGGAACAATAATCATGGTTATATCTTTCATGTTATTCAAAGATGCTTTCATTAACATTTAAACAATTACTTACGCTGCTTTAATTATTTCTGAAATACTTAACATATTAACTTCAGTATAATTATTATAAAAAAAACTGTATTTATTTAACAATAAATTTAAAAATAGATTCATAAAATACACATTGTCATGATTATATCAATTGTTTGCTCAATGGGAATTTATATATTGACAATATATATTTTAAGAAATACAATTATGACTGCAGATTTAGACTTTGGATTTTTCTGGAGACTTTGCTGTGTAATAGCTGCTAGTTGGTTACCTCCTTTTATTTTTAAACTCATCATGAAAAAAATTGATCCCTCTGATTATGAAAAAGTTATGTTATATAAAAAGACAGATAGAATTAATTACAGAATTAGATGATTTTTAATTATTCAAAAATAAGTTTTTATTTATGATCTTTACACCTATGTAAAATAGAAAAATAATTTCAAAAATAAGAATATTGTTGTTCTATATTTATATTTAATTTTATTACATTATAAAATAAATTAAATATATATGAGAAAGCAAAGAAACTTAATAAATAAATAAATAATGTTTGATTTATTTCATATTTTATTTTTTAAATTTATTCAATATTGTTTTAAAAATTTCTTGAAAATAATATTTAATATCAATGAAATTTGATAAATTTTCTTTATTTGTTTCTAAAAATTTTTTTTAAATTAATCTTTCAAATAAAAGTAATTTCTTTCAGATAAAAAAATCTTGCATATTCAAAATTCTTTATATTTAAATATTTTTTATTGGATGAGTATTTAAATATAAATAAAAAAAATTCAAATATTAATTAACATAGACAATCAATAATAAAAATTTTTATTTATTTTTTAAATTTGAATCCTGTTAATAAACTTAAAATTTATTTTAAATAAAATTTTATTTAAAACATTTTTATTTATTTATTAAAAATTATATGTGTGATAAATTTAAATAAATTTTATTATATTCCTGTACTAATTAATTGAATAAAGGTTTTTGAGGATATCAAATTAATTGTAATATTAGTGGATATTTAACTACATTTGAAGTTTTTAGCACTTGTTTATTCAGTATTTGTTATTTGTTTGTTTTTTTATTTTAATTTTATTGTTTTAATTGTGTTTATATGTTTGTTTATTTGTCTAATTATTGATTTATTTGTATCTGAATTATTTTTTTTTTATTCTTTTATAATTAAATTTTTTATTTCTTTTTCAAATTTTTTTATATTCTTTTATTATTTATTAATTAATATCAAGAGCAGAGATGAGAATGTGAGGAAATCAGTGAGGAGTTCAAATCTTTAAAAATCTAAGCTTTTCTTTTTAAAAAATACTAATTATATATTTATATTTTTACTAAAATAAGAATTCGAAGATAATTTCTTCATTTTTTTTATTTTTTTTAATTTGTTTTGACATTCTCATTTTAGACTTTAGAAATTATTTCGATCAGCTCATTCTTATGGATTGCGATATAGTCAGATTATTTATGATAGGCGTATTAAAAATTTAGCGGTCCAGGCCCTTTAAAAAACTTTGAAGAATTTGCTGATCATTATAATTTCGTTCATTTCTTAAAATGAGTTTTTAATTGGTTTTCATAATAAATCCAAAGTAATCAAATTCATTGTTCTTATTATTTTATAAATAAATAATGATTTTCGATTCTCTAAGATTTATTTAATTCTTTTTAGAGAAGATTAGTTTTTCCTCTCTTTCTTTTTTTTCTTTTCTTTTTTACAAATTTATTTAATTTAATTAATTATAAAAGTATTTAATGTAATAATATTCCTTAAAGATATGAATAGATTCAGATTTTCAATGATAACTTTTGCTAATCAAAAAGTTAGCAAGAATATTTTTTAAATTAATTATTTTCTCAATTTCTATCAATTATTTAAATTACTAAAGTATACTGTACAAAACAATAAACACAAAAAATAATAAAAAAGATAATATTTAGAAAAAAATGGAAGTAGAAAATTAAATAGTTTTAAGCGATATAGCAGATGATTGTTTGTTTAGGATTTTATCTAATTTAAATTTTTAAGAATTGTTAATACTTAGAAAAGTTAATAAAAGGTTTTATAAATTTATAAATTAAAATGAGTTTTGGAAGATTTACTACTATTATAATAAAAATTGTTTTTAAGTAAATTACAAAAACTTATCATCTTTAGAAGTTCTAAATTATTATAATCTTCTGGATATCATGCTGAATAACTACACAAGAGAAATCAGACTTGAATCTTTATGTAGTTCAACTTAAGATAATTAATAAAACATATTTGAAACATTGAACGACGAATAATCTCTTTTTTGGAGTTCTACAGGAACAGCGGGCGTTGATGATAGGGATGAATTTCTGATATATAAAGTTGATGGCGGATAAGGATTTATCAGTTCTTTTTCTATTAAATTTTTTTATGCCCATTACTTATAAACTAAGTTATATCCAGCTAGACGTGTTAAATTTGAAGCAGGTTTTTCAAGCTAATAGTTAACATATTCTGAAGACTTTAATTGCAATTTAGAATATTAATAAGGAGTTGAGGATTATGATGTTACTTTCAGGTTGAAAAAGCCAGTTTTAGCTTAGGTTGTAAAAATCACATTATCTGGAAGAGTAGGGCTCTAAGAAACTGACAACCAATATTACATAGCAGTAGAGAGATTTAGAATTTTTGGTGTTCATATTTGTAACTTTGACTAAAAAGAAGATTTATGCGATTTAAAAGAGTACATTTAATAATAAATCAAAGAAAAAGAAAATAATAAAGATGAAAATTCAAAAGAAGAATTATTCTAGTAGCTTTAAAAAAAAATATGTAAATTAACAAAATACTTAGCTTAATTAGTATCAAAGAGTTAATAAATAGAATACAATAATCTTTACAATAAAAAGATTGCTTAAGAGTAAGAATCTAAGCTATTTTTAGAAACTTAAAATCTCAATTTGTTTAATTAGATCCCTGAATTAAGAGCAAATTTAGTTGCTTATGAATTTATTATGAAAGACCCATTATTGATGAAGAAATACTTAGAAACATGTGTAAGTGTTATTCATTAGCTCTCTGAATTAGAGTCTTTAGTGATAATTATCTAAAAAATAAATTTTAGTTTATTAGGAAAAGCTGTAGCTGTAATGCTTGAATTGTACAGAGAGTTCGATGCTATTGGAGATGAAACCAAAATAGAAAATTTTGCAAAGAAGTTTTTTTAATTTATTACTTTTACAGTTAAATTTAATTAACTTCCTTATGAGTAAATATTGTAGCAAGTAGAGTATTTTTCTAATTCAAGTTTTTATAATTACATTTTAATTTAAAAATTAACTGAATTTATCGATATTCCATAAGAAATCTATGAGCAGGTTATTGAAGAAACTAATTTTAATCGTAATAATAAAAAAAGCAAGAGTCTTTAATATATAAGCAAAAGGCAAATGCTGCAATATGTTTAGAATAAGTTGATTCCTATTTACTTCTTTATTTTATTAAAGATATTATTAAAGAGTAACTAAACAATAATAACAACAAAGAAAGGCGTTTTTAATTAAGTATTAGAAGAAAAAGAAATTATCTCATTACCTAAGAGCTAAAATGAGATGGTTACAGAATAAAGAGAAACAAATCCAAAGAAAATTATTCGTCTGATGCTAGAAAAAAACATTAATTCTGAAAATGAAGCCAAAAAGCTTGATGAATAAATGAAAAAAGAAGCATAGACAATATTTATGGATAGTAAATGCGTTGATTTAATTAATTAATAACCATCGTTACGTCATAATTATTACATTTTTGAAACTTTAATTAATAAACCTGATTAATTAAACTAGTACATTCATAGTAGATTTAATGATAAATAAAATGAGTTGAATGGTTTTGAATCTATTTGCTTTTTTATACCTTACATCAACTATAAATTGATTATTAAAATTTTAGATTTAGCTTTTGACCTAGCTAATTAAAGTTAATAGTAAAAAATTAGCGCTTAAGAATTAAAAAATGATAAAAAGAACATTTGCCATTTAATTTAATTATTCTTTTAAGATAACTTGAAACTAAAATCAATAGAAAACTAAGACAAATATAAATAATTTAAGTTTTCAAAATCAACTTCTGCCTATTACTTATTCATTAAACCTCTTCAAAACTATTTAAAAATATCAGATGAAGATGTGGAGAAAATAGCAGATTCTTTAAAATAAAACTTGTCCACTGGATTAAAAGTTGACTAAAAAACACTGTCATTTAATGAATATAAAACATTTGTTGAACAACATCTTCTTGGCCAATAAACAATACAAATATTTAAACATCTTATGGAAAATTATGAAATAATTCCTTCCTTCATATCAGATCTCTAAATATGAAAACTATAATTTCATATCAGTATTAATATTTAATAATACTAATATTTTTATCTGTCTAAATTTACTTGTGGTTAATATTTTTTGATTAAATTGTTCATAGATTTTAAATAAATTTATTTTATTCTTTTATAAAATGAGTTATTACATTAAAACGCTCAAAATTAATTAAAATTTATCTTTATCAGAATTTATAATTGACATAATTTTCTTCTATCATAAAATTATATTTTATAAATAAAAGTGTAAAAAAATTAATGTAATTAACAATAGTAGTCATAGATACTTCTTAAAGTTACTTTTTAGGTAAATCATTTAAAAAGAGTTCGTATTCTTTGAAAAAATAAAATTCAATTATTTTCCATAACAAAATAAGTTTTTCAAGATCAAAAAATGTAAAAACTAAATAATTTTTTTAAAAATAAAATTCGTTATTTATTAACAGACGTGATAATAATTTCTATAATTAAATGTAAACAATTATTATAATTTATATGAATTTATGGAAAGAATTGACTCATTAATCTTGTAATAAAATTTATAGAAGAATATTAATTAGTTTTTTTGCCTTAATTTTTTCTCCAATCAATTTGATTAATTGAATATTTATTATTAAAAATTGTAATAAACAAACAACCATTAATTAAAATTATAAGGAAAAAATAAATTAGTATTCTTTCATATTAATAAATTAAATTGGTTAATTTAGAAGGGCAAATATATCCTCACCTTTTAATGGTTACAAAATCTGAGTAGCAAAAAATTTAAGGTTTTCTTCTAACTAAGCTAATACAATCTAAAAATGTAATAAATTAGAATCAAGATTTTATCTTTATCTAAAAAGTGAAATATATAATTTAAACTTTCTACTCTAAAAGCCCATATTTACAACACTAAAACCTAAATTACATATCTTAAGATATTCATTTTAATTACTTAGATTTTTATTATGCACTTGTCGCTTTTCTTTGTAATTTTATTAGCAGTAATAATTTTTAATTATTTAAATGAATATATCATTAAATATATTAATAGCAGCAGAAATTAATATTTCAAAAGTGTAGGAAGTAAAGTTTTTAGTTGTTTTTGTCTAAAAGATTTAGTTTTATTTATTCTCTGACATGAAGTCACTTCTAACTAAAAAATTAATAGAAATTTTAATTGTAATGTATGTAATAATTTCATGAAAAGAAGCTTTTTAGAACAAATTTATTAATAATCTAAACTAAATGGTGAAAAATTCATTTAAAAACGTTAATCTAAAATCTAAGATAAAAGTATTAGAATTTAATTAATTATTCCTTTAAAATATATATAATTATGTAAAAATATATAAGCAATTTGTAATAAATGAAATCTATGTTTAAGTTTAACAAGCTAATAAGAAATGTATTATGACCACCTTTAATAAGTAAATTTAACATTTAAATGTTTCAGGTAAACAATATTTTTCTTTTATAATTTAGAAAAATTAATATATAAATTTTACTATGGTTGTAATTAATCGGTTTAGCTGAAGGAAAGTATTAAAATTAAATTACACTTCCACTCAAATTTTCTAATTAATTCTATTCGTAACAAAAACCTTAATTTAATTTATATGAAAAAAATACAAATCTAAATAATGATTTTTAAATTTTTAGTAATTTAAAGACTTGCGTTCAAGGTAGGATTTATCTATAAAATACAAAATTTGCTTCAGATATTTTATAAATTTAAATTATTTAAAACTATTTCTAAATAAAAAAACAAACTATATTCTCAAAAATCTTTCTCAAAAGTGAAACTTTTATTTTTTACTAAAACCAAAAAAACAAATTATTTCTGAATTAAAGTTATGATTGAAAGTCCCACTATTTAAAAAAATTTACCCAGGAATATGTCTTACAAATACAACTCTATATAGAGCCTTGAGGATTAAAATGAGGATTTTATTCCAGAAGATAACTAAGAGACATCTATAAAGATGGCATAATATAGTAAAATTAATATCGGCGCTTCTGTAAATAAAGCTTCAGAGGGAATGTCTCCTAAAAGATCTATTAAAAGACAATTTTCTCTGATTTCTTAATTACAATCAGATTCACCTATTTAAAAAAGCTTTAATAGAAAAAATATTAAGCACTAAACTACAAATTCATTTGTACAATCTAGGATTAAAAGACTTGGTAATTGCTAATAAAGCTCTTTTCTTAGTTAAATTGATTTAGAATTTAATAACTCTTCTAACGAAAAAATATCCATTTCAAATACATCTCCTACTTCTTCTTAATTTAGGAAGTAAAGATAATAGCCATCCAACAAACACGTAACTTTCTTCACAGAATTCTACTAAAATGCTATTATAGAATATGTGGATTGAACTACTAATCATTAACTTTTTAATTTCTAATATTTAAAAATTCTTACTAATTCTTTGAGTTGTGTAAAATAATCAAAGACCTTTATAATAAATAAACTAAAACTGTTAATTAGAAATAATTACTCTTATGTATATAAAATAATTAATCTTTACTTTCTTGTTTTTCTGTTTGTTAAAGTTCTATTTGTAACATCTTTTATAATTACAAACTAAGTTCTTCTAAACAAAATTATATTAGTATAGTCGAATTTATATTTTTACAAATTTGTCACAAAAAATAAATAAATAAATGAAAGAAAGAAAGAAAATAAGCAAATAGATCGAGGAAGAGAGCAGTATTTTGGATTACATACAAAAATCTGATTTTTAATTTATTAATTTTAAGGGAATATCAAAAGAGTATTGGTAATATGAGAATTAACTTTAATCTATTTATTACAGAATTAAACATTAAATAAAAAAAGTAAATTAAATCAAATTTACCTTTCCCCCCTCCTCACAAAGTGTAAATCAAAAATTAGATAAAATTGTTTGTGGATACAATGAAGATCAAATAGATTACATAAAATACAGAGTTTATGGATATTTAATGAAACTTTAAACAAAATTGAATTTTCCATCTTTTAAATTAGAGACATAGAAAAACTCTATTTATTTATTAAGACTATTCTAAATTTCAAAAGAAATCTTGACAAGATTATTGATTTAAAAATTATTTGAAACATGACATTTTTATGAATATTCCTTTGTAAATTAGTCGATAATAAGTAAAGTTAAATTTAATCGATATCAAAAGTGGTTTGCTAGGTCGAATTACAAATAAATTGTTTAATTGCTTAAAAATGAATGCATTATTTTATTTACCTACTTCAATAAAATACTCAAATATATTTAATAAAAGAAAAAATATTTCTGATTATCATTTTTATAAAAACTAAACAACAAATCTTTAAAATATGCTCTTTATTTATTTATTTATTTGATTGATTGTTTCTCTTTCTATCTATTCTCTTTTATGAATAAGACTCAAATAAAAGTAAAAAAAAATATTAAAAAAAGGTTCAGGCAAAACCTTATAATTAAGTATACAAAAAAAATAGCAAAGCACTTTTAAACTCTGAAAGATTCAATAATAAATTGATTCAAAAAACATAACATATATTTTAATTCAAATGAGAAAGCATTAAACATAAATTATATCACTTCCTATAAACCACAAAAGGACAAGATTTACTATATCAAATTTTGATAGAGAATTTGCTGAAGAATGCAAAGTTACGGTTAACTAGCCTAGAGTAAGTCCTTGTCATAAAAATTGTCTAACTTAAATAGCAGAACAAAGAATACTATATAATAACGATAAATAGCTTTAAAGCAATAAAGATTAAATGTCCAAAAATATATGTACTATTCAATACTAAAATAAAATGATGCAGGATTTACAAAAATCAATTAAATAGACTTTGTCATAAGATGAAAACACTTTACATTAAAAAAATAAACTTAAATTAAATATAATACATCATCCCCATCATAAAAAAACACAATCAAATAATATAAACCCTATGATAAGTAACAAATAACCCTATACTAAAACTTTTAATAAAAATGTATTTTCTGAATATTATTAATCATATTAAATAGAATACATTTGAAAAAATTCCTTCTTCGTAAAAAAATCTTTTTAATTAAAATTTTAAATATGTTTAACCTTACTAAAACGAAATAAATATTTAAATAATATATATATTTATTAATTATATATTTAAATTACTTAAAAAAGCTATATTGCGTCATTTAATAATAATTTTTGTTGCTGTGTATATGACGTTATTTATTTATTTACTCAATTATTTTGCCTATATAATAGTATTTTTAGTTTTCATCAAATAACAAAATATCTTTCCTAAAATATTTGTTCAAAATGATGTTGCTTGAAATTGTTTATAGCAAGCTATTTATCAAATATTATATGATAATATTTTTTGATTATCTAAATCATCAATTAATTTTCTTAATAAATATTCAATAATGGTTTAAATATAATATTTTCCTTACTTCAAAATAAATTAAAATTTTTTATTCTTAAATAGTTATGATTTTTATATGATTTATATTAAATAATTTTTATATTTTATAGTTTTATTTGATATTTAAATTTTAATCTGCATTAATTTTTTGAATAGTTAAAATGATGATTAAATATGAAAAATAACTATGTATGATAATAAAATAAACTGCATTAACTTAAAATAAAATAATTAAAAAAATATTTTACTAAATAAAAATTATAAAACTTATAATTAAATAAATCTATAATTAAGGTTTTTTAAATTATTATCAGTATTTTAATACATACTAAATTACTAAAGTTAATTGTATTAATTTTTAAAAACTATGTTAGTTTGTAAATTTTAATGATATAAGAGTAACATTGGCGCATATTTTTGTAAATTTCAAATAAAAGTAAAGTAAATTTTTTCTAACTATTTATAATTTTTTTATTAAAGCTTTCATTTTTTGAAGATCTCTAATAAATAGAAATTTAGTTAGTACTCAATTTTAAAATGATGAATTCTAATAATAAATATTTAAATAAATAAAGATCACATATCTATAAATATTATTTTTTTAAAAGGTTTTTTAGAAATAAATTTTATTATTTGAGAATAAAATGTATTAAATTAATTTAATATTTTTATTAATGATTTATTATAAAAATTAAAGTTATTTTAAATTCTATTTTATTTCATATATTACATATATTAAGAAAGAATTAGTGTGTCTTATTTATTTTCAAATGTTGCTGAATAATAATAAATTTTCGTTAAAAAGTTGAAATAATAAATCTAATGAAAAAGATTTTCTTATCAAATGAAAATTTCAAAATCAAAATTATAGATACAAGTAGTAATTAATAGTAGAGATATAAATAATTACAAAATATTGATATTAATTCATCAAAATTTAATATTTTTCATATGAGTGTTTATATATATTTATTATTATTGTTTAAATGATCAAAATAAGAAGAATAATTATATTTTTTTCTTTAATTTTTTCTAATATAGTTGGTTATATAAATAATATTTAGCTTTTTCATTAGTTTTGTCTAGTTTTCATTTTTCTTTTCCTCAATATTGTAAGAGTTTACCTGTTTGGAATTTTGTTCTAATTTATTTCAAACAGTCATTGATTGCAAAAACTATAGCTGTAGAAGGTAAAATTTTGCAGTAAGTTGCAGGTAACCCTCTGTATAGGCCAATTAAACCACTTTTGTTGTAAATTTTTTTTATTATACTAAGATAAGTTGGTTTAGTATTAGAATTCATTTTTGCTATTTGCAAATTTCTACGAATCAGGTCAGTGGGATAGGTTATAGTAACAGCTAGACATCCTGAAAGACCGCCAATAGCAAGGTTCCAATAAAGGGGCATTTATTTTTAATCTTTATTTAACTATTTACTTGCGTAATACTATAAGTTATTGAAGAAAGTTAGCTTTAAGCTAGCATAAGGAGCCATGCCAATCATTGTAGCAGAGAGTCCTTTAAAAAGTCCTCTGAAACCTTCATGAAGAATAATTTCTTTCCAAATTTATATACATCCTGGGTTAGATGCGTTTGGTGTTTTTGAGATGTTAACAGCTAGATGAGTCTTAGCTAAGTCTAAAGGATAAATGCAGGCAGAAGCTGTAACTCCAGCTAATGCTCCAGCTATTAGATCAAGAGCTACTCTGTTTAGCTGTATATAGCTTGACATATATTGATTGTATGATTTTTTGTATTTATCAAACATGAAGAATTCAATAGCTTAAAAAGGGAATATTCTTAAACAATTGACATAATTGCCTTTGAAGAGAGATCTTACACCTTCAATTTTATACATTTTTAGAATAGCTTAAATTGTATTACTTCCTTAATACTACTCAATAGAAGTTTGCTTAAGGATGATCACTCTTTCAATAGGAGCTACAGCTGTTCTTGAAGCTACTCCTGAGATACCTCCAGCTAAAAAGTTGTAAAGATCGTTCATTGATTAGATAAATAATAAATCAAAGTTTTTTTTTAAAATTAATTAATATTTTTTACTTCTATTTAAAGTAATTTCTAGCAACCAACAATCTAATATTTATAAAATATCATATGAATATTTCGCGCAAATATTTATTATTTGAACTACTCTAAAAATATTAGCAAAATAATAAATTTTATTGAGCATTTTTAATTTAAAAAAAAGTTAAAAAGGTGGCATTAATAAAATTTTTTTCATATAATAAAAATTAAATTGTTACAAAGAAATAAATATTGTAAATAGAATTTCTGTACTATATTTAAAGTTTTTTAAGTAAAATTAAATATAAATTTATTTTTTAAATTATTAACTCAAAAAAATTATTAGATTTCATTTTTAAAAATTCATAAAATTAAAAAAAAATGGATAATAATTATTAAAAATTTTAATTAATTATTCATTTTTATAAATTTCATCTTTATTCAACATTTATTTGCTAAATAAAATTATTTTTTATGATTTATTATAATTGAAAATATTTTTGAATGTTGCAGCAGAAATGTCAAAGGAAATTGAAAAAAATAAATAAATGAATATTTTTTCTTTTCAAAATATAAAATAAATCTTTCATTTTATTTTTTTAATTTTAATAAAAATTTGATATCTATTCTCTAATAAAATAATATTTTAGTATGCATGAGAATACAATTTGCTGATTAGTTTATAAATAACATAAAACAAAATTATTAAATTAAAAATATATTAGCTTAAGTATTTCATATCCTTTTTTAACATTTAATCCACACATTTATTTTATATTCAATTTTAAATATTATCATTTCCCAAAAAAAACTAGAAAACTGTTAATGGTAATCAAATTTAACGCCTTTTCAGTAAATTATTTGAATGAATCAGTTTAAATGTGCATCGATTAATTCATTAATTTGTAAGAAGATTTTTTTGAGCAGTGTATATTTATTGATATGAAAAAAAACAGGCTATAGATTATGATGGATAATAAATTTTAAATTTTTTATCAATATTTTAAGAATTCTTAATCACTGGCTAATAATTTTGAATTAATTTGAACAGTAAAAATTTACAATAATATACAAAATAATTACCTTTTTTATTTTAAATTACAGCAACATAAATTAGATTTATAAAAATATTTTAATTTTTAGAAGAAGAAAACCCATTATAGAGCTACAAAAAAATAGAATGATTTGAATTAAGTATTATTTAATAATTATGGTTTATTTTTTATCTATTTATAATTTAAAACATAAAATAGTGAAATTTTTTTCTTAATTCGATAAATTCCAAATCAGTAGTAAATAGCAAGATATGCTGACTTTGGAGTTTGTTGATGTTTTCTATTTCTCTCAAATGAATTTATTTATAACTTAATACCAAATAATTAGTGGTCGTAAAAAACTCAAATTATGCAAAATTAATAAAAAGATTATTTCTTAAAAAGTTTATTTATTAATTCAAATCCAATAGAAATATTAATTATCTATTTCCGAATTTAGCTTAAAGGATCTCTTTAATAAAATCATAAATCTTCTTTGAGAGCATATAAGATACTAAACACACTCAATTCTTTGATATGGATGAAGAGATTTTTTATGTAATTATTTAGCTAGTTAAATGTTTTGCCCAACATTTTTATTTATTTATATAGGATTAGTTAATTTTCAGATTATTAAGTACTCCGATTGATAAAAGGGCCCTATAAGATAATTATAAAATCCGCGATTTTCTGCAAAATCATCCTCTAAATTTAAAGTATAAATTTAGAAATGAGGCAATTATGCAAATATGCATGAATGCTGAGTTGTAAGTGAAATCAGCTAATCAAATTATTTACCAATAAAGTATGCAAATACATTTTTAATTAAAATATATTTGGATCTAATATATGATTATTTATTTAGATGATTTATCTGAGAAACTTTTTGTAATCCTCAAAGGAACAGTAGGGATCTACTTTCCTAAGGAATTTAAGCAGAGATATGAAGATTTGAAGAATGAATTGTCAAATGATATCTTCAAATATCCTGTTTCTGATTACAAAAAGCTATTGAAATTCATTACTTTTAAGGAGAAAGATAGTTGGTTTGGAGAAATAGGATTGATAAATCATAGCATAGCTAATTAAATAGCTATTGCTGAAAGCGAAGTATACTTGATGACCATTGATAGCAAGTATTTCCAGAGATATATTTATGATAAAGAATTGAATTTCATCAAAAGGAAAATGAAAATTTTTCAGTCAAATCTCTTTTCTGACTGCTCTGTCGTTTATTAAAGATTAATGCTTTATATGTCATCTAAGCAAAAATATGTTTAAAAGCAGTCAGTTATTACTGAAAATTAAAAAGATGAAAATGTCTACATCATCAGAAAAGGAGAATTTGGAGTAATTTTTGATAAATATGATCTGCTATAATTTATAACTGTTAAACAATTATTTATTTAAATAAGGTGTATAAGCAGATATAAGACGAAGATAGTATGTTTGAAAAAATGAATAACCCTCTCAAACAAGTAACTCATCCTGCTGAGTAGTTTATGAGAAAAAAATAAAAAGACAATAAGAAATACACCAAGAATACAAAGGTAAAATTGATTAATCCTTTTTATACTATTAGAAAATTAAACTTATAAAAAATGAACCTTTTAAATAATATTAAAAACTTTTTTAATTAGATTTTGAATTTCTGTTTTATGAAAAAAATTTATTTTCCTATAAAATTCATACTAATTTTATTCTTTCAATACTTAATTTTTTAATTAGTTGAAAGTTATTTAAGTTAATGATGTGGTGGGGGAACATGATATAATCATGAGGAGGCCAGCAAACTATAGCTGTATTTGTGAAGGCTATGAAGGAGGTTCAGTTCAAGTAATCCCTAGTTTAATTTTTCTTTATGTAGTAGACTAAGATTAAATGTTCCATAACAGCTTAAAGGAAAAACTTAAAGCTAAAATGGTAGATTTTAATGATAGAGTGCATAGAATTTCTTCTTAAATGCAGAAATTCGGTGATTTTTTTTTCTTTAAATCACGTTAAGTGGTACCAGAAAAAACATATGTTAAACAAACCTCTGTTTTTGAAATAGATAATCAAACTAAAAAGATAAAAAAGATTAATTTGTAGGAAATAGGCAAGTAGAATGATAACTAGGATGAAATATAATAAGTAAATGAAATAAAATAAATAGTAAATAAAATCCAAAAAGATAATGGAAAAGAAAGTGAAGACCATAATGATTTTACTTATTTTCCTTTTAACACAAATATTCATTAAAAAGTTCACTATTAAAACACTTTGCCCATTTCTAGTAAAGATTTTGAAATCGATATTCTGAAGCCAAAGGAAATAAAAGAAAAAAATAATATAAATAGTTCATTAAATCCACCTTCTCAAAGGCAAAGCCAGGTTAAGATACCAGAGCCAAACGATACTGCAATACAAAAAAATAAAATTAAGACTATTCCAAATTTTCGAGTTTCACTTTTAAAAAGCTAAAATTCTTTGTAAGAACTGATAACTAGTCATAGAAAAAACTAAGAGAGTGGTTCTTATTCTTAAAGAAGGTATTTCTCTTCACAAAGAGTAATCAATAACAACGATGATGAAGCTATTAACAATATAAGTAATTTTGAATTTCATAATGAATAAGTTATGCCATCTTAGCTAAGCTTAGATAACTAAAATAATATTTCTAGAACTTCTTTAGATGATTAGGCAGAAAAATCTTCAAAATCTCCTATTAGGATATTAAGCAGAAGGACTATCGTTCTTACAGATAAAGATTTAATAAATGAAGAAGAAGAATAGCATTAATCTTCTTCTTGCTCTTCTTTATCTATCTAACATAAATGCGATTCTTCTCGTATCTCATAAATAACAAAAAAGGCATAATCTATTTTGGTAGATAAAAATAAAGACTTTTTATCTCCTACACAAATATCTCCAGTTTAGACTTTCTATTAAGATAATCAAAAGACTAAATTTTAAAGAAAATAAAAGAAAGCATTAACAATTTAAGGTGGTTATAAATATGATAGTACACCTATCTAATAAATTCAAAATAACTAATAACATAGCTCAGGTAAAAAGAAGAGTATATATATAGATGAAGATAAGCCTCTCTAATATTTTGAAAATTTAGAAGTTTTACAATAAGATAAGGTGCAGCGATAAAGATAGGCTCAAAGTGTTCATTAATAAAAAGTTGCTGATAATAATGAGAGCGATTAGAATGATTTGAGATAGTCATAATATAAATAGTTTAGAGATAATTTCCATCTCTGTAAAGTACACTCACAATCAAAATTTAGCGATTCTCCACAAGATGAAGTAGGAAACGGTTTTAACATAACTCCTAAAAATATTACTAACAGTTCATTATTTAGCAATAGAAATCCAAAGCTATAATCTTAGAGTAACATCAGTATAAATTCAAAAATTACTGATAAATTTCTTTAAAGAGCGATAGAAGAATCTTAATTTATAAAAAATGAAGTCCTGAATTAAAAGGACTTCATTTAAGTTAAAGATTTAAAATCATAAAATAAAAATGAGTTAAAGTCATTAATAGAAATTAAAAATTTATAAAAAAAAATGACTTAAAAGTAAGATCCTACAAAATATGATGACTTAATAAAAACATCCTAAATGAGAGTTCTTGATTTGAACATTAAATTAAATGAATAGAAAAATAAAAGCTAACTTCAAGAGGAAAGGCAACTTTTAGAGATTTAAAAGAATAGTTTAGATGAGGATTTAAAGGAACAAATAATCAGAAAACATATTAGTAAAATTGGATTAGTTTCTCCTTAAAACTCCAAGATTCTTACTAAAGCTATGAATTCAGTAAGCCCATCTAATAGCTTTTCTAATAGTGAAAGTGTATACAGTGGATCAGCATCAACAGGAAGGAATATACTTAGATAAATGTAAATAAGATCTTTACAGAATAAACCTATTTCTAGTGATCAAATAGGGTCTCCCTTAAACAATTCTCTAATTAAAGCTAAAGAAAATGAGAAGTAAAAGAAAGTAAGCTTATTCCATATCAAAGCAGAGCCAATACCATAAGATGAGGTCTAAAATGAAGAAAATATGAATATAGAGTTGACAAAATCAGAAAACGTAGAAACTCCTATTAATGGAGTTGAAATAGAAAGAAGAAATACTGAAGATGGCAATCAATCAACTTCTAGAATGAGAGGGTCTTTTTTCAGTTATAATGATTACGCCTATTCTACCCCTTAAAGTAAGATTAACTCGAGGTTTAGCAGAAAACATCAATTTTAAGATCCCCTTAATATTGGATTAAAGAACTTTTCTACTTTCTTTAACAAATAAGAAATGTCTCAAAACCAAGAAGATGATGATTAAAATATCGATAAATATAAAATCTATGAAAGCTCAAAATAAAACAAAAAGAGCAAAATTCACTTTAAGAGTTCCGTAGATGAATATTTAGAATTGAAAGCAAAAGCATTATCTAATAATTTTGACAAAAAGAAGATAAAAAATAAGGATCTACCTTTTTTAGATAGTTATGCAAATCAACTCTAAATAAACCTTAAGCGTCTTTTTTATCTCAAATTAAAAGAAAACTATTGCAAAGAAACAGGATTTTAAAATGTTCAAGAAAGAGTAGCTGATCAAGTTTTAGACAAAAATTTCCAAATGTTTCTAAAAAAAAACAAAGATATAATTCCAGAAAAGAAGAATCTAAATTATTTATATAATTGGAGAAGTAGTGAACCAGTTAAAGGATCAGTAATTGAAAAAATACAACATCAATTACATTTAGATTAGAAAGATTAGCCAAATTATTTAGAAGGTAACATTCCAGTCTAAGGCTTTACCTCTAACAATCTCAAATTGCCAAATTTGAGTGAAAAAAAGAAAATTAAACAATAAAATTAAAGGAATTTACATAATACATAATCTTAAATTTAAGGATAAACCTCAATAGTGTTAGACAGACAAAATTAATCAATGGTACATCTTGATAATGTAAATAGTAGCATACCTAATATTACTAGCAGGCATAATATATCTAATTCTATTATAGAAGAAGGAAGAAATAAAATAATAAATCAAAGAGCTTAGTAATTCTATGAAAATTTACAAAATATTTAAGAAAAAAAGAAAAAAGAATTGCAGTAATTTAAAAAAATGTAATCTAAAGAGGGTAACTCTATTTTAAATTTCCAACAAAAGCCCTAAATTATAGGTAGTATTAGAAGCTAAGCAAATATAGAACTTGCTAAAAAAGCATCTTATAAAGAATTCAATCAAGCCTATGATGAAGATTTGCAAATGCTTGAAGAGCTGCAGGATTAAGCTAAAAACGATTTAATTCAATTAGATAAATTTTTTTAAACTAACAAGAAAGCAGAAGAAGCTTTAAAAAATTACAGCTTATTATAAAAAAACAATGCTTCTTCAACTATTTAAAGCAGTTAACACAATATTAACAAAGGGATATTAAACAAACAAGGAACTTTTGATTCTTCTAAGCTAGAAGAAGAATTTAAAATGTAATAAAATGAAAATCTAAACAAAATAATTAACAATTCTTAAGAAGAGGAAAAATAAGATTTGCAAAATAAGCATATTTTATCTCCTTTGAATAGTGTTTTAAAACAGAAAAGTAGTAGTAATATATTAGAAATTAAGAACAGATATGCATCTCCGCAATATATAAGTAATATTCCAAGAAATAATATTAAGTCACTCAAGTAAATACCTACAAAAACTGTAGAAGAAGAAATGAAAGAATTGACTCATTCTATAATTTTAAAATATGGTCTGTAATCTAAATTTAAAACAAAAAAGTTTAAATGATTAATTTTAAATTAGTTAATGATAAATAATGTAAGATATAAGCTAGTTTAATAAACTAAAATATTTAATTCAAAATATAAGAAGTAAAATAAAAATTTCACAACACCAAGCTTTAATGATTAAAATTAATAAATAATATTTGAAATAATAAAAAAGAATTTACTGAAATTATAAAATTCAAAAAATGTAGACTGTTTATTATTTTTATAAATTAATTTAATCAAAATTGTTTACAATTTATTATTTGAAAACTTTTTAAATTAATTCCTATTTTTGTAAAATATAATTTTATACATAAATAGTAAATTACCGAAAATTTCAATTTTGAAAATATATAAATAAATTAAAAAGGATTCTAACTTAATAAATAAATAAATTAAATTAAATTAAATTTAAATAAATAAATAATTAAATCATAGAAAAAATATAGACAAAAAAGAAGTAAATATATAAATTATCATTCTTATATATTCTATATATGCATAATTTATTTTATAATTTAAGAAAAATAATATTTTTTAAATTATTAATTAAAAAGTTTAATAAAAAAATATTATGGATTGTTAAAAAAATAATTTTCTTGTTGTATACAATAAGTAGATATATAAACAAGAATTTAAATGAATTCATAACAAATTAATAGTTTTTGGACATTATCAGTTATATGAATCATGCTGATGATACTAATTTAGTTCAAAACTACTTGCAGTATTTGAGAATATATTTTTGAGAGAGTAGTGACCTTTATTTTTACAATAAACGAATATTCTATATAAAGAGTATAGACCAATTATTCCAAGTAAAATAAAAATAAAAATAAGACTTATAGAATAAAAGTTTGATTCAGAAGATTCTTCATTATTTTCTTCTAAATTCTTATTTTCTTTTTCTTATTCATCTTTTTCAATTTCTTTTTTCATGTTCTAGCACTCTACACAATTTTTATACCAGCCGTTAGAAAGTTTTTCTTTTTTATAGAATATAGGAACATTTTATGATTTCTGTGACCCGTACTCTTTAATGTTTACTGTTGCAACTATTGTGTAGTAAAGTTCTGTAGGTTTATTTGTTAATTCACTTATTGTAACATTGAAAGTTGCTTAAGAATTAGCTTTTTCGGCTAATCCTAAACTTTTAACAGCTTTTCTTATCAACAAAAATCCGTTATTAGACTCAGCTTAAGTAAAATATTATTAATTTAAGTCTTTATAATTGGTTAAATTTGTATGGCAAACTGAATATTCTTATAGAGAATGCAGTGAACTTGCAAGATAAAGCTCATAAGTTACATAATTAACTTTAGCACGAATTTACAAGCAACCCTACTCACATCGGATATTTTAAGCTGAAAATCTCAGTCCTTTATTTGATTATTCACCTATTTCTTCAACTAAAATCGAGTCATTTTTTATGTAAAATGAATCAAATGGTAGCATAAAAGCTTAGTGATTATCAGAAGGGAAAGAAATAGCTCTTATTATGTACTCAGCTTTTTTTGTTTTAGGATCTAATGAACGAGGTTTTGCACCTATATATAGTATACTTGATTTGGCTATAAAATCATCCTCAGGGTTGTTGTTATAATCTTCTTCTTCTTGTTTTTAAGCATCGAAAGTTGAAAATGTGTAAAATTTATAGTTTCCGAAATTTTTCTAACGCATAACCAAGTCAGAGCTAAATTCTTTTACAGCAGCTAAGCTTTCAGATAAAGCCAAAGTTGTGTCTCCAGCACAGTCAAATATTTCAACTATAAAAGGTGTTCCCCACTCTCTGAAGTATTCGAATGTATTTACGAATTTTGATGATTGTGTCTAATAGTATTTCACATCATCTATTACATGCATAATTCCTTATGTATCTAAACTAACTACGTATTCTAAGATACTCTAAAAGTCATCATCTAAGTTACTCAAACTATTATCCTCAATCATCTTAGTAATATTAAGTTAGCATGTACCTTGATTTATTTCAAATTCAAAGTAAATTTAACTTTATGTACGCTTTTAATCAATTATGTTAAACTCTGCATTAGCCTTTAAAGCACTAAGTGTAACATTAGGCATGTTTATATCTGAATTAAATTATTCTCTAAAGTGGAATGACGGGAAAAATATGGACAGCTTAAAAACTGTTTTAACTAAACCAAGATTTTATATGCTGTAAGATACTGAATCACCTTGTCTAAGAGACCCAGAACGAGGGTGACCTGGCAAAAGATTAGGGTCAAACTTTTTGTAATAATCAATATCAATATTTTCAATAAAGTAAAAAGCATCATTTTTCTCATTTAAGTTTTCAATTAATAGCAGATCATTTGATGTTCTATTTTGACTTTTTTAAATAGGTATTTCTAATACATTATTCCATTCTTTACTAAATGTAATCTGATGAATAACTTCTTTTTTTTCAAGCCAACTGGAAGTATCTGCACCTTTCCTGTCTTGTGGATTAATTAGGGAAATTTAAATTTAACCTGAAAATATAGTTAGCTTTACAATACATTTTTCAGATTACAAATCAAATATTCTCATCTTCTTGGGTTAAATAACATCCTTAAAATAAGATCCGTTTAATAAAGCCTAAATGGTCTCCTCTGCTCTTAGCAAGAAGGTAATTTTCTATCTTATTTAGCTTTCTATTTTAGCAACGTAATGATAATTTTTTTTATCGTGAGAGAATTAAATTCTGTGAATATCTTTGCTCATTTACCCTACTACTTAGTTTCTCTTCACAATATCTTCAATCCTTTTAATAAATTTTATTAATAAATAAGTAAAAAATGTTAAATTTAATGTTATATAAAAATTACTCTCTTATTCCGTTAATTCTTTGATATAGATTATCAGCATAAAGAGTTATTTTGTATTCAGAATTAGGGTTGAGAATAAAAAATTCAAAGGAAGCTTTATTGTTTTCTTCATGTAAGCTAAACACTGTATAAGCTACCTCTTAAGATTGTAGGGATATTATCCTTTAAATACCATCTAAACTTAGATTGATTATTTAATTCTGGTTAGAAGTTAATCTAGCAAAAACATTATGGTAATTATAGCTGAGCATAACACCAAAATAGTACATACTTTTTTATTTTATTGAATTCATGTTAAATAAATAATTGATAAAAAATTTAAAATTTACCCTTAGCTAATATAAACTTAATTATCATCAGGTCTAATATCAATCATATTATTCATAATATCTAAATATTTGTTGGTTTGAAAAGTAGGAAGACCTTGAGTGCTATTTGAAACTAAGATATAGTTATATCCAAACTATTCTTGATTATTTTATTCATTATCATTAATAAGCAATTCAAATTTTAAATTTTTAATATCTGATCCAACGTAATATTTAAAGTAATTAATTTGATTAGCTTCGTTTGAAATTGGAAAATCTTTTCCTTCTACTAATTCTAAAACACTTTTATCATTAGTAACAAGTAAATTCATATAGTTTTCTTATTTATTTTCATTCACCTTTTTGTCTAAATTGTCAACTGTTATAAGCACTTTGCACGTATTCATTTAGCAACCTTCTTTATCTTTTGAATGAATTTGGATGATTGCAGATTATTGGCTAAATATATCCAAATTAGATTAATACTCTGATCTTTAACTAGTAGGGAAATTCTATTTTTTCAGTATTAAATCTTATGTATCTTTAATTATCACATAAATACGAGCATAAATTTGCAAATGTGAAGAGCTTGATGTTACTTCTATTTTAGTATGTTCTACACCAGGCCTTTTGTTAAAATTAAAAATATATGATGACTCTTAATTCAGTATTGTATAAATATGATATGGATTATTATATACTGTAAATGCTCATTAATTAAGGCATTCTCTAAATATATTTTTTGCTCAAAAAAAAGTGCCAAAAAAAATTTAAGAAAAAAATACCTTAATTAATGAGAATTTACAGTATTATTATAAAATAAAAAGTTTTATTTAAAAATTAATAATTACATTATATCATGGAAGAAATAGCTGAATTCATTAGGAAGAGGCAGAGCAGTTCTGAAGTTAATACCTTCAAATAGTTAGAAGATTGATCCATCATTAGATATAGTAATAGTAGCAAGAACATCTGTGTAAGCATAACCAGCTAGAGCAACATTGCATGACTATTAATCTTCTTTTATTTCTTAATTGAGAAAAGGACAATACCTATCCAATAAATCTTAATCAATAACAAATCCTTCAAAGGCTTTGAATTTAGCAGTGTTATGCTAATTATTAGGCTTGGTTATTCTATTATCAAGAGAAAGATAAAAATCTAGATTGTATTATTCCTTAGCATTAGTGATAACTGAAATATAATATTTAGTGTTTTTTTTTATTTAAAATGAAAAGTATTAAGTTTTCTTTTTATGGAATAAATGAACATGAGACAAATTCAATTCAAATTAAAATGCTACAAAGTCTGTGTGATAATATAAAATTAGACTATTTAACTCATTTTCATCTTTGTTTTGATGGAGAGATTAAATCATGCCAAATAAAAGCATTTCTCCTTCAAGAGTACCATCTTATATAGTTATTTAAGTGTCAACTTCCTAATTTTTAAATCTAGCATTTTCAGGAGTTTCTTGAATGATCTTTTAGCTTGAATCTAGATAAACTCTATAATATGCTCCTAATTTTTTGAAGATTAAAGGATTAATTATAAGCAAATTTCTTAGTAAAATATTTACCTTAAGTAGTTAATAGGTTTAATGATAACTTTGGAACTTTGTTGTTGCTATCAACAGGAACTTTTAAGTAGAAGTATTTCTTAGGCTATTTTTAGCTAAATACTATAACTTATTTAATACCATCAACAATAAGTATTCCAGGTTCCTAGTCAAAATTTTCATTTTTATCAAATGTGATGTGAGGAGTTATAGTAAAAATTGCGTCTGTCTCTCCAAAGACACTTAAGTAGAATGTTTTCTCTGATAAATTATAGTCTTTTTTTGTATAAGTAATTACTTTTTATTCATTACTTTACTTTTCGAAATCATGCATCCTAGGATATTAGCTTAATGTAGAAGCACGAGCCATAGCTGATCCTAAAAAAGGTGTTATAATAAAGTCTATTTATTCAATTGTTCCTACTGCTGGAGAAACAAATTTATAAAAGTTAATATCAAATTTTGCTATTTAGTCTTTAAAAGGGATATTATTTTGCAAGAGAACATGCTAGGCATCGTTACCTACTCTTAAAGCATATTTATTTTCACTATCTGTAGTTCCTATATAAAACATAAAAAATTAAAATAATTCTATTATTTAATAGTTGTTTGTACCTTTTAAAGCAATCACATATTTGCAAGAAGTTTTATCTTCACACGCGCTTTTATGAGTGAATGTAATAAATTCTCTCTTAGAATCACCAACTTTCACAGCAATAAAAATATTTTTGTTATCTTTATTTTCGCTTTTTTCATAATCTTTAATTTCTTTTTCAGTAACTTTGCAAATAACATTTTTCTAAGTTTCACATTTCTTAATGAAAATATCATTATCACCAGCAATATTGAATAACATAACTCTTACCTAAATTACATCAACAGACACTATTTTTAACAAGTAATTGGTCAGCTCATCTTTAGAATTTAAACCTACCACACTATCGTGGAATTCAATGGTTAGCTAATCTTTGTCAAATAAATAGGCTTTTAAGGAATATGTTAATTCAGTTTTTGCTATGACTTTTATATAATAGAAATCATCCTGCTTGGTGTATTTTAATCTATCCTAAGCTTTTAAAACTATTTGTTCACTACCCCAAGCTTCAAATGTCCAGTTCGGATCTGCCTTTTCTTAATATCTATCCTTGGTGAAAACTTGAATAGTAGCTCTCCCAAAGTAAGGGTGAATATTCAATATTAAATCAAAATTTTCATGATTTTTTTACTTCTATTTTATTTATATAAAACAATATATTAAAAAAATTCTGGTTAATTATGATAAAAAAATATATAAATTTTAAATATAATAAATATCAAATAAACAGTAATTACAGCTTTATTTAAATCGATTTTATAAGTAGCTACTTCTTCTTAAAAAAGATATCCCTTACTTATTTCTTAAAGCTCCAACGAAATACTTGCTTTTGTTGAAGTTGTTTAAAATAAGAATGACTGCTGACTAGAAGAATAAATTGTAAATTAGATTTCAGAATCTTTTGTAAATTTTTAATTTCTAATAGCTAACCCTAGTCCGTTTTCCCAAATAGAAATACCTATTTACAAATATAAATAAATATATGTGAATATTATAAGTCTTTAATTAATTTTTTACCATTAATCACTATAGAGCCTTATTTAGCGCTGAATTCTATTTTATCATTTATTAGACCTTGCTCAAGAGGGATGATTGAAGCAAATATATTACTTAGTTCTGAAGTTTCAATATTATCAAATTTAAGCGCTATCTACTTATACATATCTTACTTAAGCTAGATTGTATATTCTTTACCTGATTTATTAAAAAATTTTAGTAACTATTAATCTTTTAAATTGTGTAAATTATACCAAATTGATAGACAAGCTTTTCCTCATATTCTACTTCAATTACATAATGGCAGTTTTCACCACTTCTCTAAGTTACTTCTATGTAGACCTTTATTTGTTCTTAAGACTTCTTTTTTTCTATTAAATCTTCTCCTGGGATAATACAGATTTCTCTTCCAACATTTTAACAAGTGTATACTTTGCTTTCAGGTTATTCATTCACAAAATCCTATACGGCATATGCTAATCTAACTTCAGGATCATCAAAAGGAGTTTTTCCTTTTACAACAACAACTAGATCCTAATTTGAATGTATCTTTTCCAGCTCTAATTTATAATAAGCTGCGAGCTAGTTCTCAGATAAAATGTCATCTATTTACTTTCCTATTTTTATCTGCTCAGTCCTAATGTTATCAGGACTTTAATCATCTGAACGTGTGCTTGTAATAGCAATAAGAAGTAATAATAAAATTACACCTTATTTGTATCTCATTATATCTATAGCTATTTGTTTTTATAATTATTTAAGATAAATCAAATTTTATTTAGTAAATAATTTATGATTCTTAAATCATTCAAAACAATAATAAATAAATAAAGCGACTCAAAATTAACTATTAAATTTTTATTAAAATATCAAAAAGCATCTATTTTTCAACTTAGCTAAAAGTTAAGATATATAAATATTATTAGTGTGATGAATTATTTATTATTAATAATAAAAAACTAATACTAAATATTATTGATTATTATAATCTGATGATATAAAAATTAGTAATATTAATGAAATTTTTAAAATTTTCTTAAATTTTAAATAAATTCTAGTAGTTTTTCTATTCTAAGATGTTTTTTAATATTCAAATAACAATTTATATTTTTATTTCTTATCTATTTATTTATGCTTGAAGAAATATACTTTTATAAAAATTATTTTCAAATTGTAAAAAGCTACTGAATCGCATAGATGCTATTACTGTAAAATGAATCAATTATTGAGCGATTAAATTTGTAGGATATTTAAAGAGTTTATTAATATGATATATTTGATGCAAAATATAAGCAAACTAGTATAAAATATTAATTAGGGTATTTATGGAATTAGAAAGTATGATAAAATTTATAAATCCATAGCTTTAAGAACAAACTATAATTTTATTAAATGATAAAACAATAGTTTGAATGCATATCATTTATTATTATAAAAATGATTGGAATAAAATTTACATCTAATTTGCGATTATTGCGATTATTGATTTATTTATTAGCTTATAAAAATTAGTAATTTAATATCATCAGGATTGAAGGTTTTTTTTTGAATAAAGTAGCAAATCAAGTATAATGAATGATGATGAATAATAATAATGAAGTTTAATACAATTATGGTAATAATAAATTTATATTAGTAGCATATTTAAATTCTATTTTATAAATAACTGTTAAAGTGGGGAAACAAGTTAATAGGAGTTATAAATTACCATCATATGAATCTTAGTAGAAAACTGATAATAGTGATTTTGAATTAGAAAGTCCATTAAGAGAATAGCAAAATAGAAATGAGGCAAAAGAGAAACAAAAGTCAATTATTAAATTAATTTCTGCAACTTAACCATTAGATAATCATTAATAGTAGAAAGATATGATTACTTACTAGTCTTTAAATATGAATTCGCTAAACAAAGAAAATAATTTATAAAGCTAAGGATCATTTACTTCTAGGGGTTTAGATTAAAATGAATTTTTAGAAAATTAATCACCTACTTAAATATAGCAAAATACAAGTTTTTAAAACAATTAGTCACCTCAAATTCACTATAAGATCAGTCTAATGAAAAAGAAAGAGCTTGAGAGAATTTAAGAAAATGATGATGAGAAAGTAAATTCTTCTCTCTAAATTACATCAATTTAGTAGTCAAGAGATTTCCATTCAAGTAGAGGGAATCAAAATCTTTAAGATTTGGATGGGAAAATAAAGGACACCTTAAATGCAAATAGATTTAAAGATTTACAAAATTTACTTGAAGAGTCTAAAAATTAGTTAAAAAATGATTTATAGGTTATTTTAAATGGATTAGAAACAGATTAACTATTGATCCAAAGCAAAATAAACGATTTATAAGACGAATATAATGCCATATTACTAAGAAAAAGCTAAAATTAGCAAATTGATGAAGAAAGATTTCTATAAATAGAAAAGAATCTTCAAAAATAGATCAATTATCTTCAAGCATTAAGATATGGACTTTAGTAAAGCTAAAAAAATATGTAAACACCTTTTTAAAACCAGGAAGAGCCATCTAAATCAAAACAAGCTGCTGTAAACTCTGTAATTAAAAGTTAGCAAAATATTCTTGAAGATTAATAATAGGATTATCAAAAAAATTAAATGCTACAACCTTAAAAAGAAATCAGCTAAACTGTCTCAGTCAATCATAACAGAAACGATGACATGAAATAACTATACAAAACGGAAGCAATTTGTGCAAACAAGATAGATGAAGGGACTCAAACAGAGAATAAATAAAGTAGCTTGTCTCCTATTAATAATAATATATATAATGTAACAGGAAATCAAGCTAATAAAATATAAGCACAATATCAGTAACCTTTAGTTTTGTAATAATACAAATAACAAAAATTGCCTAAGCAAGAAAACCACACAAGGTAGTTAAATTTTATTGTTTTACAATCAATTTAAATATAACTTTTTTAATTTGTATTAAAAGCGATAGACTAATTCAAGAAGTTTATAAAAGAAATAATGGTTAGAATGAAGTGAAGAGATAAGAAGCAAGAAAATAACTTGAAATAGATGAATAAAAAGTAAATAATATAAAATAATCTGATATAGATTTTAATCGTAAAACTGCTTCAAGATAGAGCAGATAAAAAGTAGAAATAAGGTAAGCAATTTAGGAATAACCTTTTAATCACACAAACTCTAGGTCTAAATAAGCTTTGAGTAATAACAAAACAAATAATTAGGCAACGTTTATTTAAGAGGAATAAAACAAGTAAATGTTGCTCAAACGATTGAATAATAGAAAAGAATTTTAGGACACAATTAAAGAAATTTTTTAGCCATCTTCCAAAAACAGGTAAATTTTATTCATTGCAATAATTAATTTTTATTATTTAAAAAATAAAAACAACAAACTTTAATTAATTAAACCTAGAATTGCTTCTCCTTCACCAGAATATTAAAACAAAAGTATGATTAACTAAAGCAGCTATCCTCATGATATATATAGTATAGAAAAGGAGAAGGAAAGGTATAAGGCAAGCAAGACTTCCTAAAAATTGGATTTGAATGATATAAAAATACTTCCTAGAGATCCTATTATAAAGCAAACAAGTAATTAGCTTTTTAATTCACGGAGATAGTAAAATAAAACACCTGATTCTTATTAAAGTCATAATGGAAGACTGAAACGATTAGACTAGAGTTATAATTATTTGACTCCAAAATAGGATTTTAATTAGGGAAACAAAAGCAATTATAGTTATAGCACTATGCAAAATGGTAATAACTAAAATACTACACCAATTAAAAAATTTAATTAGTAGTATTCATAATCAAGCATAAACAGTAATAATGAAAAGTAGATAAGTATAACATCTTAAAATAATTTAAATTCTTCTAAAGATAGTATTAATATGTCTTAGATATTGAGCAAATATTCTTTATCGAGAAATAGATAAAAAAGAGCAATTTCATACTTAAATCCACTCGAAGAAACTCAAAATTCGTATCTAAATAACCAGTGCTCTTGGAAATCAAAAGTTGACTATATGGATTAGGTAAAATAAAAGTATAATTTGAAGAGCTCTCCAGAAAATTGGAAAAAAATAGCTAATGATGAAGATATAGAAAGCGAAGTAAAAATTGAATAATTAAAATAGTTTTCTAAAATGCTCAGCATTAAAGCTAAGAGGAAGTTATAACTAAGCAGGGTGAAGTCAAAAAACAGTAAAAATGAATTTTTTTTAAACGAAGATCTAATGGAAGCAGATGATCTAATTATAAATTCAATAAAAGCTAAATTAGCAATAATTGATACCGTAAATAGGCAGTATGATCAATAAATATCTGAATAAGGAGAGTCTCTAGAATAGTCTGTCTAAAATTTAGATATAATAATAAAAAAAGATAAAAATAAATGAAATAAAATTTGAAAATTTAATCTTAATTTAACTTGTAAATATTACTATATATTATTATAATGTTAAAATATATTAAAAACTTCTTTTGCAACTAGCTAATAATTAGCAAACTCAAATTATTTAAAGAAATAAGATTTAAAATAAAAAATAATCCAAATATTATTTTTAAATTAATTTGTTAATTTGAGATTTACCTAATATCAAATAAGTCCATAAAAAAAATAAATAGAAAATCCAAAATAGTTTTAATAAATAGTTTAAATGAATGTACTGAAATTGGCATATTATATAACTTTTACTCTCTTTTATTATTTTATTCTAATTTTAAATAAATAAAAAATAGAATTAGCTTGATTTATATTTTTTAACTTAAAGTTAGTTACATTAGACAAACCAAATTTATAGTTTTAAATTCCAAATTAATAAAAGTAATTGATATAAAATTTTTAAGATGGAATTCTATCTATAAATTAGAATAGGATTTATCTTCCTACAAGGAAATGTATTTATTTAGTTTAAGAGAAAATAATAAAAACAAAATTAGATGTTTTATTTTGATATTTAGAAAAATTAAAAAAGAAGCAAACCTTGAAAAATTAATTTAATAAAAGAATATAATCAAAATATTTGCATTTTTAATTTTGTTCATTGAAAATTTATGTTTCTTAAATTAATTAATTAAATATTAAAAATAGTGAGTTTAAATTGAAAGTTGTTGAAATATTTTCTAAAATTAATTAAATTAAGTTTTATAATATTAAACTGTTTATAAAAATATTCTATACTATTAATATGCTAATTAGCCAATACTTTGTTGGTATTTAGTTTAGTAATATTTATGATTTATTTAATATTTTATATGTAAATCTATCACCTATTTATGGTAATACTGCTTATATATTTATAAAATATGATAGATAGAATAAATGAATGAAAAAGAGTGAAGAAATAAATATCGAAGAAGACTTGATTGACACTTAGCATTTATTAATGTGAGATTAATAAAATTCCTTTTAAATTAATCAGGCCATAAAAGGTAAAAAGAAAGGCCGAGTATAATACAAAGAAATTAATTAGTAATATTATATTTGTGAATAACAAAAAAGACAAGGAAAATTGATGTAAATTTTTTATTAAAAATATAGCTCTAAAAAGAAGTCTTAGAAATAATAATAAATAAGAGAGGTAAAAATTAAGTTCGATTAGTTAGAGTTTGTAGTATTTTGATATTCCAAATAACAACAAACAAGTATATTAGGATTAATATAATCAAATTAAACTTTAGAGAATATTTTAGCCTTGAATAAACTGAAATTTTGCTTAAATTGTTGATTATCGCTTTCTTTTATTAAATTATAATTGAAATAATAAAAATAATTCATAACTCAATTACAAATTATAAAAATGGGAACAATATTTGAAGCTTGCTCAGCCTGTAGCAATAACTCAAACTAATCTAAAAACGTCGTTTTTTGTATATGGTACTGACTCATTATTTAAAAATAATTATTCTAATTCATAAAATTTTATATTCTCGCAAGTTGTAAAAAATTTAAGCTTTGTAAAATTAATTAATATTTTACAATATCATATTAAGGATAGCAAAAGTATATTTTTAATGATTAATGAATTAATAATTATTATTAAAAATAGGATCGCTATGTAGCTGCTTTTTTATTTCATCATGACTGGATTGTGCGTTAGGGAATTTTGGATTAAGAAAGTTAAAAAGTAGCGCTTTTGGACAAAAAAATCATTTGTTTTATATGCTATATTCGCTCTTTCCATCAGTAAAATACTTTTTAGAGTTTATTTTCAAATCAATAATTGAATAAATATACAGCTTCTTAAAGAAAAAAATTACTTAAATAAAATAAAATTATAATCGGTTTTAGTTAGTTTAATAATATAGATAAAAATCATATTTCTTTACTTTATTTAGTAAATTAATTTTTAATTACTTTACAAAAATAAAGTATCAAAGTAAAAGCTGTATAATAAATTAGTCAATTCGATAAGAATTTATATAATCATGATTTAAAATTATTTTGGTATTTCCTTACTTATTTATACTAAGGCAAATAATTTTAAATTACTTTAGAAAATTAAAATTTCAAGGTGAAAGCTGAAAAATAAATTTATTATTTAGTCAATTTTTGTTACAAAAAAAGAATATAAATTTGATTTTAAAATTATTTTTAAAAATTAGTTTAAATAACATATTTGGCGATTTATAGTTTCTCATTCATGAAAACATTTGATGTTTATAGCAGATAAATCCTTTTCTGCTCAATTTTCTTTTATTTTATTCATAAATATTATAAAATGACAGACTCTAAAAAAATCACAGAACGCAAACTGTACTTTTATTATTGCATATTCATATTTTAATTTATTTAAACTAATTTAAAAGGCTGTTAATTGTTTTTTTGGTTATTATGCTAACTCTAATTGGCTTGATGTTATTTAGTTATTTTTCTTAAGATGGAATGTAATACAATTAGTGTGAAGATTTAACAGGTTTGTGGATAAGAATAGCTGGAACTGTTATTGGCTTTCTCTTTGTGTCTATGGGGTTTTTATTTTATAAAAAATTTTCTATCTAAAAGAAAAATTTCATATCACTGTTTACTATTGAACAAGAATAAGGAATCAAAAATTTCCTGGATTAAGAAGATAAGCTTGAGGATTTATTGTAAGATTTCAAAATGAAAAATGATACTGATTTTAACATATATTTTTATATTTAAAATACTTTAGGAGTTTAATAGTTGTCTATTTTTCTACCTAATTTTTGCTTCTATGTGTCTTAATCTACTATATGCTTTAACTGTAGAATTCTCCTAATGAGAATAGCTGTACCATTCTCCCACCAGTAAAATATATTAGAAAATCAAACTAAATTTAAAATATTTTTTTTATTTAGAGCTACCTTAAATAAGCTGATGATGGTCGTGAAGCAGGAGAACAAAGTTTGAAGAGTTTTATTTAAATAGTTGTTACTTTTTTGCCTTTAATATATTTATTCAACTTATTTAAGTATAAAAGACCAAGAACAGAATATTCTAATGAAATGGTAATCAACCCTTTCTCAATATTTTAAATTATTAAATCAAATTTACAATCAAATATTTTAAAAAGAATTTATTAAAATAAAAATTTAAGAAAATTATTTAAATTAATTTGCTTAAAATTATTATAAGAAAAGCTTGATTTACTCTTTAAAATATTAATTTTCTTTTAATTTAATAAATATAAAAAAATAAAAAATTGATTGAAAACTAAAATGAATTTGATGATTTAAATTTTTATTTTTTCAAAATTTATTTATTTTATTAAAGATACTTTTTTATTTAAAATTTAAATTTAAAATATAGAAAAAATCTTTGATTTCAAATGAAGATTTATAAAATGGATTTGGTAGAAATATTCAATTTAATAACTTGATGAAAAGCCGTAAAAACAAATATAAAGATTCAAGTAATAATGACATTAGTGCTTCCTTATCTTTCATTAGTAATAATGAAATTTGAATAGTTTTCCTAAATTAAATTAATAAATAATAAATATGTTAAAGAATAAAAAACCAGATTTTGATAAAGAAAATAAATATATAACTACTATATAAAAACAAACAAACAAACAAACAAAAAACCAAAAATAATAAAGAAATAAAGATATAGTAAAATATCTTAATAACAAATCTTAAGTATTAACATTAAAGTATTAAATAATTTAATTCATACTTTATATTAGATCATTTAGTTTTCTCTTTTAGTTCTTATAATTCAACTAATTTTAACTAAAATACAGAAAGTTAAAAGCTAAAACAAATTCATAATTTAAATAAATATTAATTGTATTCTTCAATTATTAATATCAATTATCAATTATTAATGGTATATATCAATTATAAACAAATATCTTTAAATTCAAAATTATAATTATATATTTTTGCATAAATAATTAAATAATTTATTTTATTAGGTTCATTTTTAAAAATTCTTTATTGAAAATTTATTTAAATTGTATAAATTTAATGATTTTTTCTTCAAAGAAGACATAATGATTTATTTAGAAATTCTTCTTAAAAGATAGAATTTTTTTAAAATATTAACTAATTTTGCCAATTTGTTTATCAATTTTTTTTCTTATCGTATTTGATAAGGTAATAGTTAAAATTACTCAAATATAAAAAAAAACATAATGAAATATAAATATGATTCATGATTAATTAATTTTGTGAAAAGTTGAGAAATAAAATATTTAAGATATGCTGTTTATTGCATTACAAAACTAATATTTATACTGAAAATAAAAATAAAGTCTGAAATTTAGGAGAGGATTATTTATATATTATCATAATTTATAGTGCTATTGAATACAAAAGAAACCAATGAGTGTATAATAAGCACTTTTAGTTATCTATCAACTTATGAATTAGTGAGTTGATTTCATTTGAGATTAAATATCTTTTTTATTAATGTATTTAAGAGAGTAATTGTATTAATTCATTAACTTAATTTGAAAGAAAAGATTATTTTCTTAAAATAAAAATATTTCAATGTTAGAAGTTGTAAGTTCAATTAATTTCTTTTGAAGCTCTTTTTTCATTGTTCTATTATTATTCGTTTTTGTCATTTTGAAGAGATTTTGTACCATTAGAAGTGTTTTAAGGCTTGTAAAGGTCATAAGTATTTTAGAAGTCAATATCGTGATCTTCATAATCATCACCAGAGTTTTTATGATTATTTTCAAAATTAGCATTTATAGAGAATCTATCACCTTCTTGACTTTCTTTCTAATTTTGATAGATTTTAGGATGCTTTTTTTCTGTACTTAGTTCCTCAGTTAACTCACTTTAGAGTTCTTTGTGAATAGGTTGTACTAAGTTATACTTAAACAACAATATTGGTGCTAGATAAATAAGACAAAAGCCAGCAGCAAAAACACCAATAGATTAAAAAAAGAATTTCAAAAAAACCATTTCACCAGTTGGTAATAAAATAAAACCAACTATAAAGACTAAACTGGAAATAGTTATTACTAAAGAACGTAGAAAAACATTAGATTGATTCGAATAGCGACCTAGTAAGAATTCTGGGTGCTTAGAATACAGGAACCCAAGCATCAAAGAGAAGCAGATGCAGACTCCTGAGCAATCAATAAAGCATCTATTGTAAAAAGCCTTTAAGGGATCTAGCTCTTTTATATTACATTTATCTTCTATCTAAATTTCCCACTAATTTTCATTCGATTTATCCTTAACAGTATCTTGCAATATATATATGTTTATGCATAGAATTAGGCAAAGTAAAAATACAGATAGAATGTAAACACAAGCTTTTGGTTTCTTTGAGTTATCTATGTTGCACCTCACTAAATAAAGCAGCACTCTTTTGATAGTTATCTCAAAGTAGAGGCGATACAAAATAATTAAGGATATTCCAATAATCAAGCCGTAAAAGACTTAGTTCAAAGCATGCATTCCTAGGTAAAGACGACAAAATAAAATGAGGGCTACAAGAGTGATAATGCCAATAGTGGCAGCCACTCTTGCTAATTTGTTCTCTTTGTTTATTTTTCTTAAAATATAATTACGCAAGATGAATTCATAGAAAATAGGACCTAATAATGAATGACCTGAAGGATTTCCATATTCTTAATAGCAAACCCATTCCCATTAACTCACCTTATTTCCAACCCAATATGGTCTTGGGCTAGCAAAAAGAGTTTTCATAATTGAACAAATATAGCTCACAAAAGCAAAGTATAGTAAAAAGTTAAGAATTTCAAATTTTTTTCTAGAGAATGCGAATATCAAGATAAGTAAGCCAATGACTATAGTAGGATTGACAAAGTTAGAGATAATATTCATTAAAAACTTAAGAAATTCAACATCCATATTCTTCTAAATCGATTACTAAACATCTAATGAAGTATTGAAAATGGTATTTTGGAATAAAATATTGAGAATTGTGGAGAGAACTATCAGGAAAATACTTAATCCTAGCAAAATATTTGATTTTTTAGTGTAAACATTTCTATTTTTTTAATAAGGGTTAATCATATTTGAATCTCTGTGTTAAAGCAGCTATGCATTAACTCCATTTTCTTCTTAGTTTCTAAGCTAGTTTTCCATTATCTAATTAAATAACTGCAGCTACTGTAATCTTTTATTTTAATGTCTGTGATTTTATTGGTTTGGATTATTTCCTTTTCAACAATTTTTAAGCTGCTTAATAATTATTTCAAATGCTTTCAATTAATTAATATAATCTATCTTTGTGCACACTTAATTTTGATATAATTTACAAAAATTTTTATTTTGATATATAATTGATTATAATTTATTACTAAAATAATTGAAAATCCCAGATATTAAACAATTTTTAGTGAAGCAAAGCTGACAAACAGAAATATATCTATTTTACTCAAAATATTTCATTCACAAATTAATTTTTCTTAAACAATAGAAGGAATCTATTAATTTATTTTTCAATCTAATAATTATTTATTTGATAGCCCATCTCATTCTTTCTAGTACGTTAAAATCACATATTCTTGAGAATTCATTATTTTGATAGTAAATGTGCTTAATATATTTGCAAATCAATTTTCATAAGATTCACAAAATAAGTGGTTAGTTTTTTTTTTTAATAAATGAATGAAATTTCCATTAGTTATAATTTATAAAATAAGAATCAGAGAAGAGGAATTTTTACTAACAAATCAACCTAATCTAAGTACATCAGGTTGCTTAGTATCTGATCAGCAATTAGCATAATATATGTAACTATTATGAGAAAAAATAAATAATAAATAAAATAAATTTTAAAATTGCATTTTCATATTGTGGTAGATAAAAATTTGAATATTTGATAAGTCAAAATTATTAACACATTACTGTTTTTAATTAAAAAAATTTCTTTACTTATTTGATTCATAAGTCGATAAAATTAATGAAAGAAACTTTTTGATTTTAAACAAAAAAATATCCAAAATAAAAAGAATTCTTAAAAAAAGGATTCAACTTAAATTATTTAATATTTATTTTTATTAAGTTAAGAGAGGGCTTGTGGTTTAGTGGTAGAATGCCAGTTTCGGGTACTGGCGATCCGGGTTCGATTCCCGGCAAGCCCTTCTTTTTTGAAATAATATAATACATAATAATTTATAATTTTAATCAAAAACTATTTACTACAAAAACTATTTATTTATTGAAAGCCATACAGAATTTAAAATAAAACTTTAGCTTTATTAAATTCAAATAAATATTTTTAACATAAAACTTATGATTAATTAACTAAATATTTGTAATATAGACAAACCTTAATTTGTGACCACCTTAATATTATTAACACTCACTTATTGTTGAGATATTTAATAAAAAAAACTAACAAAGTACTATTAAAAAAAACCTTGGCAGTTTGAATAAATGATTTGATATTGATTGTCTCTTTATTCAGTTTTTACTCTACTCTTTTTCTCATTAGTTTATTGTTATTTTTTTTAAATTTTATTTTTTATCTCCATACATATACTTAAATCCATCTATTTTGTCTTATAGATATTCATATTCTCGTTTGAAATATAAAAGCTATAAAAATATTTATAATCTTTTAAAGCAACTTAAATAAAATTTTAAATTAGTACCAATTAAAAACTTATATTTTATTTAAAAGAAATATATTTATTTTCTAAATTTGATTGCTCATAAAAAAATTATAAAAACAATTTAACAAAACCACCATTATTCTAAATAAGATTTATTTTTTCCTTATTGATATTATTTATAATTACAACCTTGAGAACTATTTGAAAAAGCTTTTATAATAGTATTCTTCAATAATTATTAGTAAAATAATAACTATTAGAAGAATCTATAATATTAATGTTCTTCAATAAACATACATAAAATGATAATTAACTTTATTAAATTTTCAGATTACAATTAAAAACATTATATTAAAATATCTTTCTATAGTATTTAAGTTTTAAATTTTATTCTACGTTTTTTTCCCAATAATTTTTAATTTCATAAAAGATTTAAATATGCTTAAAACTCTCACTTTTTTATTTATTTCTTTAGTGAATTTAAGTATTTTTATAAAATTTAGAATAATATTAATAAGATAAATTTAATTCTTAGAAAATATCAAATGAGAATACTAAATAAAATTGATTTATTTACACAAGACTTTTCGAATAAATTTTGATAAGTTTTTATTTAAATTTTAATATGAAAATATATTTTCAATTTAGACTATTTAAATTTTAACAAAATGCTCAAATAAGTTAGAGTTAATTCTATTTGAAGAAGACTTATTATTAGCATTATATATTTTAAAAAATCAAAACATTTTCTAAAAATCCTAAGAAATAACTTTTATTTTTATTATTAATAATTAATTATTTACAATTAAAACATAAAAATATTAGAATAAAAAGGTTTGGTCATTTGGGGATAATATAGTAATATTTAATATGGCTTTTACTATCATTTAGAAGCTATATCAAAGCTTGAAGCTTCATGTCTTCTCTGTGGCATATTTCGTGAATTGTTATTGGTTTGTTAACATATTTTTCAAATTTCGAATATTAACTAAAACCAGGCACTTTGTTTGGTAATTAATATAGATATGTTTCACATTCACATATAATTCTATTTTACAAAAGATGAACTATTTCACCATCATGCTTTAAAAAGTTTGTATCTTTAAGTTACTACCATGTAATAGGAAACTAGAATTTTGCAATTATGTTTTCAATATCTTGATCCTAGCTTTTGAATTTATCTTTATATTTAGATCCAAGTTGAACAAGAGTTTGAAAATTATATTTAAATTTTGGGTTTAAAACATAAATGCATGAAGACTCAAGCTTATTAACAATAGTTACATTTTCTTGCCATTTAAATAAGTGATTCACATATAACTCTATTTCTTTCATTGAAAAATGTCCTTACTTTGCTAGCTATTCAAAACTTAATTAATTAAAACAGAATTAGAAATAAATTCTTTTTATTTATTGTTGAGATTTTTCATGAAAGATTAAATATTATTTTAAAATAAATTTAATCGTATTACCTTTTAGAAGGATTTTACATGTCAATAAATTCTTTGAATCTTTGGGAACAATCTTTGTCTTTATCTAGTGATTATTTACTGTTAAAATATATAAAATAAATCTACTTAGTCATTAATAAATATTCTACCAAACTTTTCTTGAGATTATTAAAGTTTAATAAGGTTTTATTTTAATATGAGGAATATTTTCTATTCTATATCCTTCAAGGTTCATTTAGAGCTGTTAAATTTTTGATAGAAAATGTATTTATTATTTGTATGCAAAGTAAATAATTTTACAATAGGAGATATATCTAATAGAGTTTTTTCTAAAGAATCATATAGTTTTTTGAAGCTTTTATATAAATCTAGCTATTCTATCAGTGTTTTTCTGTGTTCTTGTAGTTGAGCTATAGTCATTTATTTACTATGAACTAATTATTAAAAAACTTAAAAAGATAATTACCAGCTATGTCATCTTAAATTTAAACTTGATTTTTATTCCCATCATCTCTGTTTTTATAAATTGAAACATTTTTCTGTTCAGATTAGCTTTTGCAGATTTAAATGAAATCTTCATTGCTTTTATAAAGATTGTAAAGCATTTTCCCTAGAATGTTTTTTCTCTTTTCTTCTAGCTCTATCGCTCTTGCTAGAATAATAATTGTAGATTATTATAAAAGACCACATAATTTTATATTATATGTAATATTTACTAAAAAAGCATAGCACTTTCTTATAGAATTTTATATAATTAGGAGAGATATCATTGCATATAATGACAATAGTAAATCCTTCTACTTGTATACTTTCGGAAGACTCTTTTAAGTCATCACTTTAATATATAAAAGTATATGAATTATTTTTTTAAAACTAAAGCATTAAAAATTGATTCACTCATTAAAGTAAAATAAACAAAATTGAATACAGCTATTCCTGCTAGGGAATCAAGGCTGAGCTACTTATATATACTTAATTTTCTATGATGAGTTCGTTTGATATTGAGCAATTTTTAGGAGAAAAGAAATTTTTCAAAAAATCTTCTTTAAATCCCTAAAAATCCTGCTTATCAATCATACCAACTATTTTAATAAAAGATAAAAGCTAGTTTTAGCGAATGTCATTGGATTAATTTCAATAGATTTAGTACTAAATTAGGTAGAGTCTAAAAAATTTTAAATCATAGTTTGTATGCATGATTGTAAATTTTGAAGTGAAAACTCTTTTTCTGCAATTTTTAAATGATTTTAAACTTAAGTTGAGTCGGGATAAACAAACGAAATATTTTTGCCATTTTTAGGGCAATCAGTCACCAAGAATATGCACTTAATATTTTTTTTATTCATTTCTTTTCCAGACATATTTTCACTAAGATATACTTGTAAAATTTAGAAAATTTAAAAAAGGCAGAAATAGAAGAAAAGAATAATAAAAGAAAGTTAATTAAATTATTTAGCTTGATTAACTTACATAAATAAATATTAAATTTATTTTTTAGGTATGAGATATTTATTTGTAAATATTTTTGAATGTTAATAAAATTTTAAGCAAGTATTTATTTAATCTTAATCAAGACATTTATTTCATTTTCGTTTTATAAATGTCAGAATTAATATGATAGGATTTGTAATTTAAATCTAAATGTTATTTATGTAAATTAAAATATCTTTAAAAATATCGTATTATCTTTAGTTTAGCATCCGAATATTACATATTAAGATCCTTTTTGAGAGATTAGAGTGATTTAATTTGAATCAATTTAATTAAATTTTTATCTAAAACTTCATTCGAATCAAAAACCTAATCGAAAAAAATGAATTGAGTTTAACTATATTTTAGTCTCTGAAAATCTTATTTTAATTACTGTTTTAATATAAAGTAATAACATGGTTACAACTAAACTTATATACTTGTTAAGCTACTGCAATAGAGTTAAAAATGTGTTTTAAATCATAAGGATAGCTTTTAAATTTAAAATTGAGTAAGCATAAATAAAATGGAATTTTTTTATTATTCATAAATATTTGGAGAAATATTATCCACAATTATTAATGATTAAATGTTTTTCTACAAATTAAATGAAATTTATATTGTGTCAATTGATAAATCAATAGAAATAATTTACAGTTTTGTAATATACAGTATGTTAAGTTAATAAGTTATTGAAATATAAATATAATTTTATTAGTTAGTATTGATTAAAATTTTGTTAATTTTTTAAATTATTTTATTATTTGAAAAGTATTTTTTTTTTAGTAGATAAATAGACAGAAAATTAAAATTCTTTTTACGATTTTAATTTTCAAATCAAGCTAATCTCAAAATGTGTTTTTATTTTAAACTTTCGTATAACATGAAAGTCAAAGCGTTTGCAGGAAGAGATCTGCCGACTTCTACTTTGATGCCTGAGAAGAGGCCGGATAATCCTTATTTTTGATAAGTTTATTAAACCAAAGAGTAGAATGAAATATTTTCCATTCCAGTTTGAATTTTAGTCATCAAAACAGTATTTGGGTAGCTAACAATCAAAGAGATTAACTTTGACACTGAGCTTGCTATTAGAATATTTTAAGTTGTACTATCTTAATAAGATGAATTTAATGTATCTTTTAATGTTTCATAAAGTGGGAAGTACACAGCGAGGTGAATTAATCCTAGGAAACTTGTTCCGAGACCTCTATAATAACCTCTTAATCCGTCTTTATAATAAATTTCAGAAGCATTTTAAAATAAACCTTTGTTAGAAGTTTATATTCTTGTTTTAAGTAACCAAAGAGGGTTGGTAATTGTATTACATACTACGCCAGTAGCTACTGAAGCGCCTATATTAGATAAAATATTATTCTCGCAGTGACTTTTCATAAAGTTTTTAGCCTTTGAATATAATGAGAGGTAGAGTGAGACAGAGAGAGGAGTTGTTGTGGCTGACATTGCCAAACCTCTATAAAACCCTTTTACTCCCTCAGTTTTATATATATTTGAAAGAAGTTATGGAAGTGGTTGATTATTCAAGTTGAGTTTAGTCCTAGCTACATCGAATGGAGCGAAAATAACGACAGAAGCTAGAGAAGCGACAAGGGAAGCGTGGAAATCTTGCATTTTGAATAGGTGAATCTTGATATTTTTGTAGTGAATTTGTTTTATTAATTAAGAAGAGTTATTAATAGTACTAAAAAGATAATTTTATAATTATGCAAGCTGATAAATACAGTTGTTAATTATTTCTTTTTGCTCTATTTTTTTTATTTTTTTTAATTTAATTATAAACCAAGTCACTATTTGCATTCTAAAATATAAATATTATTCACTTTTAATAAATCTTCAATCAAATGATTTACTCATTATGAAAAATTAATTTTGATAAAATTCTTTTCTATTTTTTTTAGGCGCGCTGAATTGAATTCTGATATCTTTAATACAGTCCTAATACAATACCGCTCTTAGTATTAAAAAAAACAATTAAAATTCATACAGTACTTTGAAATAAAGCAATTAAAGACTATTTTACATAACCAAATTCTTCTCTTATTTTTCTGTATATATTCTATGATATAATCTTGGATATAAATGCATTTTTTTTTTTTGCATTCTTTTTCAACTAGTAACCAATTATTTTAATTTAAGCGAATTGCTGCTAGATAAATAAATTTTTTCATTATGTTAATAAACTGATGCTTTTTAAAAATATTGTATAATAATTGTTCATAATTATTTAAATAAAATACTCTCAATTGTTATATAAACAATTTTTTTTAAATTGAGAAATAATTTAAAATACAAAAAATTTATATCAAATTTTTATTTTTTATTATTTGTTCTAAATTTTTAGAAAATTATTAATTACACAACCATTAAAGATAGTTAAAAGAAAATGTCTATTCCAATTGATATCAATAGTAACTCTTTTTCTTTCGAAATTCTTTCCTAAATTTGTAAAACCTTATGTTATTTTTTTTGATATAACAAAATGCTAGCTCGTTAATACATATTTATAGGATTATCACCCACCTTTTATTTACCAATCTAATTTTAAACAATTAATTAACAGATTACCGTTCAAATAAGTCATTTATTATAGCTTTAAAAAATTTATGACGCAACCAAGTTCAGTCCATTTGTTCCTTTTGACTTTCTAAGAAGCAGAAGCTAGCCCTTTCCTTTTCTATTATTTTCTTCCTAAAACAATATGGAATTATCAAAAATCTTAGCTAGTTTTTTTAAAAAATTAAAATTAAATTCTTCATATTTAGATATTTCTTTCTTGAGTGGTCATTTTTTTAAATGAAAAAATTAAAAAAGAAAGAAACTAATTTGAGAAAAAAAGAATTTTTAAGTGACTCTAATTTTATTTTAGTTAAGTCATTTTTTATGAATTACATCAACATTTGTTTTTTACATCATAAACCAATAAATATCGTTCATAAATTTTGTTACATTTAGATTAAATATTATCTTTCATCAATTTTATTATTTAAATTTATAATTTTTTATATTTTTGGGATTGTTAGTTAGTGGTTTATTTAATAAAATTTGCTTTCTTTATGTAAATATTTAATTTTACTTACACTGATTTTAAAAATTTTTATTATCATTATAATTTTAATGAATATTTTATGAAAATGAATAAATTTGAAAATAATTTTTCAATTTAAAATTTTTTGAAAAGAAAGATGTAAACAATTTTTAATAATATTTTTAAATTATAATTCAAATAAATCATATTTTTTCAGTAAATTATTATAGAAAATAGTTTTTAAAGCAGTAATTAAATATAAATTTATTTCAAAGTAATATTAAATTACAAGAAAGATTAAATACTTACTTTTAATATTTAATAATTATTTTAATTTACTCATTTTAAAAAAACTAAAATACAATTTTTGTCCAAATTAAACTTTGAATTTTAACAGAAAATTTATTAAAAAATTCAATTTAAAAGAATAAATATTTAAAATTAATAACTAAAAATAAGAAAATACTCAGCTTAGCATTCTTATGTAATACGAAACAAAAAAAATCATAACTTTTAATAACTATTGACTCAATTTTAAATTTAGTTTTTAAAGCTATTGCAATTTTAACCAATAAAAAATGAAAATTTATACTAATTTAATTAAACTAAGGAATAAATAAAAACAAATTAAAAATGGTGCTTTTGTAAAAAAGATTTAGGTGAATTAATTTTATTTAGATGTGCTCTTATATTAAAAAGCTGCTTTAATAATTTGAATTTTTATATAAAAAAGTAAATTTCCTAACTAATAAAAATTGTATTTAAGAATTACTATAAGCAGGAATTTAATTTGATACTCTTATTGTATTATCAGGTTATTTTTTAGAAAATATTTAATCATATATTAATATTATTTAGTTAAAAACAAAAGAGATTTTTTTGATTATTTTTTTAATGAAAAATTCAATAGATTAATTTTAGCATACATAATTAAACTTATTTAATCTAATTTTTAATAAATGATTTTAATTTTCAAATAAAAATTATTAGCTCTCATTTTGTTTTTTGTTTTTTCCAAAACTCTCTTAATAAATGAATATGTTCATAATATAAAATTATTAAGTGCCTTGATAAAATTTAAATAATTGTTTATTTATTTTAACAGAGGGATAATTTATGGAAAGAAGGGAAAGGTTATATTTTGAATTATATTTTATGTTATTAGCAGGTATTTGATTATTTTATATCATAACAAAATTAATAAAATAAATAATTAAGTAATGGATTAATTTAGTTAGTATCACTGAAAGGTAGAATTTATCATTCATTTTAATGTTTAACTCAAAACTCATTTGATTGTAACTACATACAAAATTAAATACATTATTTTATCATTTCTTTTATGTTTATAAATTTTTATCTAAAGATTATTTAATATATAAAAAATCAGGGACTAAATCCATAACGGGATTAACCATTTCTTAAATTAAATTTGTAAACCAATCGTCTAGGAAATTCTACTTTATTATGCTTTAAAATAATTCTTGGAGCTATTCTTCGTTCAATTTTTTTTTATATTCATTGCCTTACAGTAAAAATTTACCTAAAATCTTTACAGTTTATTTTCCTTCTTTTTTTAAATCTCCTTCAAGTTCTGTTTCAAATAAGAAGGCAGGGAAAAAGCTAAGCAATTTTAGTAATCTTTTTGGAAGTTACTTTTTGGTTCCATCCTCTTTTTCAATTATTATATTTAATTCGTTTTTAGAGACTCTAATAGGAGTCATATCAGTTACGATGTCTTTTTGTTCTTCTTCCTCTTCGTTGTGATTTAAACTTTCTATTTTTAGCTTTGCAGGTCTCATTGCAGCTCTACCACCATTTTCATTCTTTTAATCTTATTATTAATTTTAATTGTTATTAGCTTGAGGGAATTCTTCTTCTTCCTTCACTTCTTACAAAATGACATTGCTTTTTTAAGGATTTGATTCATCATCCTGATCAAAGGAACCAAACTTTTATAATAAGCTACCATCTGCCATTGAGTTTCTTAATCCACCTCTTATTTTAAGAGGACTAGCAAAGAAACTTAAATCATCAGTTTAATTTTCTTCAAGAATGATAAACAGATCTACTAATTCTTAAGCAAGCTTATATAGAGATTGCTTTTGTGCTTCATCCTTTTGTTTGCAAATTGTATACATACTAATTTGATTTTGTATTTTCTACTAAATATCATCGAAATTAAAAGGGATGTTATCAATATCTTTAACACTTGTAATTTTATTTAAGTTATGGAATCCTTTTGCTAATTTTCCTCCAAATTTTAGTGGAGTTTCCATTTCTTTATCTTTGTTTGTAACATTAGTGCTTACAGAATTAGCAGTCTGATCTAAATTAGCTGCAGAAGAAACTTTATTAGCTTCTTTTTAGGCATCTGGGAAAAAAAATTTATGAAGAAGAGCGTCTGTTGCAGATGGTCTTTTTAAAGGATTGGGCTCGAGTAGCTTACCAAGTAAATCTATAGCATCTTTATTAAGCTAATTAATTATTTTAAATTTAAAATAATTGAAAGCTAATCAATTTATTAATATTTATTTGTTTAATTTTATTTTATGATACCTCATCGTATTTTGGTCCTCTCAAATCTATTTTGCACTCCTTATTGCTTTGTAATACTTATGAAAACTTTTTACCAGGGAAAACTGATCTTCCAGTTAATCTTTTTATTTATATTTGGATATTAAATTAGTTACATCTTTTTTTTATTTGAAATAACTTACAAAATGTGAAAAACAACTCCAATACTGAATAAATCGCATTTTTCTGTATATCTATGCTTTTCTGATTCGTTTGCCAAAATTTCAGGGGCAACATAACCAGGTGTACCTACGTGAACATAAATATAATTAGGATCATTTATGAATTAAGCCAATCCAAAATCAATAATTTTAAGATTCGAAAGAGATGAAGAATCGCTATTTGCAAACATTATATTTTAGGGCTTTAAATCTCTATGCATGATACCTAAGCTATGAACATATTCAATACCTTTTATAAGCTATTTTAAGATATGTCTAACTACCTAATATCCAAATTAAGGATTTTGGAATTTAGTGAGCTCTCCCTATAAACTTTTTTCTGAATCTAGTAATTCAGTCAATATGTAATATCCATTATTATCCTCATAAGTTGCAATCAATTTTATGCAATTAGGGTGATCTATCATTCTTAAAATTTTAAGTTCATTGAAAAGAGCAGCCTTTGTTATAAAGCAGTAATTTTTATTTAATATAAATAAATATAATATTTTAATAACTCAAAATTCATTCTTTATGAAATAAAAATATAATTTTGCCTTTAAAAAAGTTAGTTTTTAAGTTTTGTTTATTAATTTATTTATTTATGCTAAGATTTTTTATATTCTAACCTAATAAAGTATTTGTGAAATCAAATATAAAGTAGATTGGTTTAGAATAGAACTAGCAGAAGCATAGAATTATTTACAATCATTTTTTTAATAAGCAATTTTAACTAAAAAGAAATGAAGAATTATAACTTACTTAGGCATCCTCAATGGTTGCTAGCTTCATTTTATGAAGATATTTAACAGCATATAATTAATTATTATCTTTTCTTCTAACTTTATACACCTTTTTTATGAAGTTAAAGTTTAATTTTTAGAAGTAAATATTTGTTATTTTCAAATTTTGCATATAACAAATCCTTAATTCAAAAGTAAGTTTGTAAAATATACCTTTGCATATTTGCCTTTTCCAATTTTTTTCTAAATTTCAAATTCGTCCAAGAATTTGATTTAAAATAGCTATTTGCAGAAATAATCTCTCAAAGTAGTCATAACGACAACATCTCCAAAATATTCTATCTTTACATCTGTATCAGTAATTAATTTAAACCCTAAAATCTTTTTTTCAAAAGGTTCCTTTATCTTTTTTGCATCGTAAATCCAAGCTACTTGCCAGTCAGGCTTCAAGTTAATTATTTTATCAGGTTTTTTTTAATATGGTTCCTTTTTATATTAAATTAGTAAATTGCATTTAAGCATAAAACGAATTTGTTTATTCTTAACAAAAATACTTAAATACAAACACTTAAAACTCTCAAAAAATTAAATTTAAATGAGAAAATTATTTCTATATTCTTATAAATTGCAATTAAAATCAATTAAACATTTTACTTTAGCAACGACTATACTATTTTTTGTGCAATACACATAACGAGTTGATTATCCTAAAAACCCTTTTTTGGTGAGTCTAACCTCAAAAAGACATTAACTATAATCAAATACGCCATTCTTAGTAGTTATCTACTAAGAAGCTTCTTCCTTTTTTATATTTTTTTTACTCATTGTCTATCACAATACTTAAGCTTGGTAGAGTTCTATGCGAAGCTTTTTATTGTTTTGACTAATAGCTAGCTGTCTGTATTGATTGAATTTATACAATTTATTAATGAAGATAAGATAATTAAACTAAACACTTTTGATTAACTATCAATATTATTTTCTTTTTAATAATTATTTTGTTTTTTATTGAAAAAGGTCAATAAAGAAATATATTTAATTAATTTGATTTTACTTTGTAAAGATAGAATTCACTCATAATTTTTATTTACAGTCAATTAATACACAATCGTATTCATTATACAAATAGTTATTCTATTTAAGCATTAAAATACATCTTTTAGCTTAAATACAAAATTTCAAAAATTTATATTTTAAAATCCTATGTCTGCTATTTTATTTTGCTATTTAGCTAACAAATATTCGCTGAGTTAATAAATAAAATAAATAAATAAATAAATAAACATCTAACTAATTTATTATTTTTTAATTAGTAAATTGAGAAAGTTATTTTAAAAGGATAATTTTATTAAATTACATTCTAAACACCAATAAAATTAAAAAAATTAGTTCGCCTTTTTTATTAAACCATCAATTTGAATAACAATAAATGTAATATTAAAATAACATATGATTTATGTCAATATTAATTGATATATTATTTCTTTTGTAGCTCAGAACCATTTGTTTAATTTAATTGTATGATTTAATAGCCATGACAAATATATGAATTTACATTTTAATATAAGAAAATGTTAGTTTACATTTATGAATTATCTCTTAAAAGAGCTGTTTTGTTATTTTGCAAATGTTTATTATTAAATATAACAATTAATTTAAATTACTGTTGTAATAATTAATATAAATAAACTAATTCTTTATCTTAATCATTTTATAAAATTATATAGAAATTAATGGTCACTTAAATAATTAAAAGTAAAATTATTAGTATTTTTTTAGTACTGATACAATTATTTTTAGGACTTTTTTAATACTATAGAATAATAAACATGAGGTTATATTTTGTGCTTTTGGTTCATTAGTTAATTAGTTTTGATATTTTATTATATAGAGCAATAATTTCTTAGTAATTATTAAATTGTTTGCATTAATCACTTTGCAATAGTTCTTTAGATTATTTTATATAATTAAATGCTTCTTCTTTTAAATCTACATTTAAAGCAAACTAAGCTATGTTATATAAAACATATGATAGTTCCTCCTGCTCTATAAGCTGGGTATTTTAAGAAAAAATCTCTAAACAACTCTTTGCCATTTCAAAAGCTATTTTATGGTTATTTTACTGAGAAAGTGTTTATGCTATATTTTATTATATTTTTGCAACTTGAATACTTTTCTCTCCATATTGATCTTTCAGTATTTTAAGAGCAAAGTAACTAGATCTCAAACTTTCTTCATAATTTTTAATCTTATAATTCAGTGTACCGTTATTTTCCAGATATTAAGCTAGTATTAAATCATCAACATTATTTTCCTCTACCAATTTAATCAGCCTTTTATTTACTTCTAAAGATTATAAAATTTTCTTTTCATTAAGATAGAGTATTTAAAGATTTTCTAGAATTGATTTTAGCTCTTTGAAATTTTGTGTGCCATACTTCTGCTCAATCAAAGTAAGAGCTTCCTCTGCATATTTAATTGATTCAGAAAACTTGCCTTAGGATGAAAAAATACTGCACATTTAAGTTAGAAGTTTTATGTACTTAGTCTGCTCTGTTAATTTAAATTCTTTTTGATACTTTTCGTACGCTCTTTTCAGATATTCTAATGCCTAGTCTAAGTCATTTTTTTAGAAGTACATTTATGAAATACTCTATAAGATGCTACAATTTCTAATATCTATATTATTTTATTGCTTTGAATTATTTATTTCTTAAATATTCTTTGCTCCTGTTTAATCAAGCTACTCAAAACTTTATTATGAAAACATATTTGCTATTTTTTAGGGAGTGTTATTTACAATAATTTCATCATTTTTGTTGTTATTTATGTAGCTTGTTATTGATTTATAGCTTAAGTTAATAGCTTTATCCTTACTTTTTTAATTATAATCTAAGCTCTTCTAATAGTATTCTATTGCATTATCGAATTCTTTTAATGATGAATAAATTTATGCAATCTGATAACAAATTAAACCCTTGTCGATTAAACTCGAAACGTTACTGGTATTAACAAAAACCTTATCATTTTCTTTTTAGATATGATTTTCTTCTAAATTGAACCTTGATATTGTAGGAGATATAGCAGAAGATGCTTCTTTTTGATTTACCAATTAATGTTCTTTCTGAGATTTCTCTTCTTCCTGTTCTTAAAAGGTAAGAGCTAAGTTGTATTTTGTAATGGATTCTCTATATTTTCCTAGTTTACTAAGGTTTAAAGCTTACAGTTCATAAAGCTTTATAAACTATTTAGAGAAAGTTCTATGAAAGTCCATTTCTAAAACATTATAGTAGTTAAGAGTGCACTGATGGTTTCCATATAATTGTAAAAACTTCCCTATTTCAATAAGAATAGCTAGCTATTCTTCAGGATTCAGGTACTTAACTTCCCTTTAATCCAGCCTTATAAAGTTTAATGCTATAAATTCAATTACTTCAAAAAGTTTAGCTGATTCTTAACAAACAATTAGGTGTTTCTTGGAATAAATTGTATAAAAAATTCTCATAAATATTACAGATAAGATATTTTATTGCTTTTCTGATATTTTAAATTCCAAATCGCTTTCAGAATTAAAGTGTTTTAGCACTTGGAATCTTACATTTGGCTTATTAGTTGCGTATTTATTATTTTGGTTTTCATTATTTTGTTTTTGAGAAGTTAAATTTTGGTTAGAAATTTATTATTAATTTTGGTTGTTGTTATTATTGTTGTTGTTGCTGTTAAAATAATAAGAGCTATTATTGTTATTAATATTATTATTTGTCAAGCTCCAGCTATGTCTAAAATTTGTAGGGGTCGTGACAGAGTGGGTATTTTAAGCTAAAACTCTTATTTATTAATTATTTTAGTTTTAAAATTATCTATTTAAATAATCTTGAATAGCAAATAGAATTAACCATTCTTCAGGTAACTCTTTCTTTTAGTGAGTTTTAAATTGTTCTTTTTTCTTTTTTTAAATAACTTATTGAAATTCTTTTAAAGTAATAATCATTTGATCAACTAAAACTTCAAAATTCATGTCATCTTTTATTCTATGAAATTATACCTTTTATAAATTTATTTTCCATTAATAATAAACTAAATTAAGTATTTAAATTATAAAAGAAGAAATTTATATTTGTGGTTTAACTTGATAATTTAGATTTTATGATCAAACTAGACCTAATTATAATTAGTCCATTCATTTATTCATTCAATTTATCATATGAAAAAAAAAATCAAAATTAAATAAAGCTGAATAAGCCAAGTTAATTACTTATGAGTTCAAATTAAAACATTGAAAAAAAATGATAATAAATCTAAACCTAGTTAAGGGAAGTTTCGTTTAAATGTGATCTAATTAATCCAGAAATATTGTATTCGCTTTTTGAAACTTTATCCTAAAATATAGCACTGACAGTTTAAATTCCTTGGCTCATTTTCATATGATTTATTTATTAAAAATCTCGATTTACTCCTGCAGTTACTTCTTTGTCATACGGATAAGAGTTTATATTCAATTCAAGTTCATTCGTATTCTAATAATTAGAAATAAACAATTTCTTCAAATAAATAATTAATCATTTTATTAATATACAGAATCTTTATTAAGGATAGATGAAGTTCCTAAGTTAATTTCTAACTATTTTTACTTAAAAAAAACTTTTCATTTAAATTATATTGCATTTATTGATAATAAAAACTATACATCAACTTAACTACAGCATTTCCCTCCCATAATTTGGTAGGGTAGAGTTCACTAATTTTACTTGATCTGTCTCAATCTTTCTTTTTCATAAATTAATGAAAATGCTTAAATTTTATTTATGATAGTTTTCTTTCTACCTTTATTTAATTTCCTAACCTCAAATGTTAAATATAGCTTTTGTTTTTAATATGTTTTTTGATATTACTTAATCAGTAATAAATAATAGATTCACTATTAAATTATTAAATTAGCAATTTATTAAATCTAAAAATTAATTAATTAATAAAATTTAAATTGTACATAGATTTTTTTACTAAAATAAATCTTAATAATTATTAATTTCTATAATATAAAAATAATTTTTAAAACATTTGCTAAATAATTATAAGAAAATATTAAATCCTTTCTAAAATATTATTTATATATCAAAAATCGATAAATAAATGAAGAAATTCAAATGAATAATATGTGTTTTCAACTTTTAAATGGATTTTAAATTTATTTTATTAAAGGATATTTTTTGAGACTTAAAATTGAAACTAAAATATAAGTTAAACTTTAATTTGTTTATTTAATTTTAAAATATATTATAAATAAAGAATGAAAAAGGAAGAAGTTTGTTTTAAAAATTGTTTAATAATACTTTATGAAATGATTAAATATTTCTTAATCAAATATGTAATTTATAACAAAAATAATGTTTAAATATTATTTAAGCATCAAGAATGAATATACAAATGAAGAAATAAATATGTGATAAAATAAGTTCTTAATAAAGACAAAAAAAAGGCATTATATTAAATTATTGATCCGGTTTGTATTTGTTATTCTACATTAAAAGCATTTTAAAAATATCAACATGAATTATTAGAAGTTCAACATTATGATTGATCATAATTACTAAAAGCAACATAATGAGTAATATAGATTAGCCATAAAAAATATATAATGGCTAATATCTCTTTTTTCAATCTTAAAATTAATCATAATTATAAAAAAATAACAACTTTACAATTTATTTTATTCTTTAATTTATTTTTTATATTTTAAAATTTATTATGAATTTATAAAATTATAAATTCTTATAAATATTTTTAAAATACTTGAAAAATAATCTAATATTTCTTAACTATTTGAAATAATTTTTAACAAAAAAAATAATATTTTAATTTCAAAATAAATTTAATTTTTTTAAGTAAAATAAAAAAACTTTTGCTAATAAATTCATTTAATTTAATATTTAGTTTACTTGAATAAAATTTATTTTATATAAAAGTATTTACAAAAATTATAAAATTTTAAATGATAAGTAATTGAATAAAATAAAATAAATAATATGATTAAATGTAATTGATCGATCTATAAATAAATAAATCAATCAATCAGTAAAGCAGTTAAGTATAACTTTTAAAATATTTTTATAGCTTATCTAACACTATAAATCGTAGTAATTATTAACTAGATTCTTAAGCTAGCAATCTCAGTTATGAATTTTCTTTTATATTATCCGTGTTTAAATAAATATTAACTCCCTCTATAATTTTATCAGACATACTTTTATAAAAGGGGATTAAATCGATTTCTTGCTTTTAGTTTTCACAATTTAAATAAAATTCATTTAACTTACAAAAGTTGTTAAGAATTTTCCCTAAATTCATAAAAAAGTATTCATCTTAATTCTTACTTATTTAAAAATGACTTCCTTAAAAATAAAGACTTAAAGATTTAATTTTTACATTAAAAATATTTAAATTTTCTAAAAAGCTTTATTCAGCATCTACTGAACTAAAATTGTATGTGATAGATAAAGATTTTAAGTTTTGAATTTCGCTTATATTTTTTAAGAAATTAAACTTATTAATTTTTGTATCGGAAATATGCAGCGAAAAATCCTCTAATGAAATAGCTTTTTTTGTTAACTGGGCATATTTTTCTATGAATTCATCATCTATTTTTGAGCATCCTCCAATATTTAATGAGAGTTTTTATAATTTAGAAAGCTAACTTATTGTTAATCCTAGATATTGCGATATATCATTTGTAATTAAATCATTATTAGATATATCTATTGATAATGACTTTAGCATGTCAAGATCTACTATTTCGTATATAATTTATTTAATTGATAAATCTTATAACTTGACAGAGGATAGCTCTATGCTGAGTTCTTTCAAGAGTTTAAACTTTGAGATACATTAAGCAATAATCTAGTAGATTTTTTCAGACAATTAAATTTAATTTAAAATAATATTAAGAGTTAAAATAGAATTAGGATTAGTAGATAAAATTTCACTTAAGTGCTCTTCAAGCTTATTGTAATATTTAAGGCAGCTTATTTCTATTTCTAATACTGGGTTTTTTTCACTTTTAATTTTTTTTACTATTTCCTTTCTTCTAAATTTATCATTTAATTCACATTCAATAATAGATGGGCAAACAACAATATTATTTTGAATTTCACTCATTAATTTTAATAAAATTTTTACAAAGAATATTATGACAATTCTTTTATTTGCTTTTATTCCCCTTTTTGTTTTAATTAATTTTTCTGTGTTTTTTTTTGACAAAAAAAAAAAAATTAAAATAGTTATTAGATGAATTAAATAATTATAAGAAAGCGAGCGACTACTTCGAAATTGAATGAATTGTAGTATCTTCTAAATTTCTTAAATATAGACGCAATAGAGGGTGAAAGAAATATTATACCTACAATCAATCATCCATCATAGACTCTATATTTTTTTTGATTAAATGTGGGAACTAAATTAAAAGAATCTTTTGATATAAATTATATATTCTTTTATTTCCTCTACAATTTAATGCTGTTAATAAAAATGAAAGAATTCTCTTAACTCATTTACATTATGTCTACAAATTTTAGTAATTTTAAAAATTATGAGGAATATTTTAATGTCACAATCATTTCTGATAATATTTTAAATTTTTCTCTTTGATATTAGCTTATATTTAAAATTCAAATAAAAATCACGTTTATCATACAAATTTTTCTTGATAAGGTCGCTAATTAATTTTTTTTTCGGCGTCTATTCTAAAAACTTCTTCAGAAAAAAAAAGAGTTTTGTTTACATGCATTGTTATTAATATCCTTATATTAAATTATATGAATGTGAATGTTATATGTTAATCTATAGGATAAGCAGGTTTCTGAAAATTTACATACTAATTAAAGAATCAGTACGAACCAGGACACTTTACAATAGCCAAATTTAAAATAAAATATAGTAGCCACATATTTATTTTTTATTAAAATAGCTGCGCTTTAATTATTTTATTTTACCAAATCAGCAATTAAAAGTGTTTTTCATTCATTTTTAAAATATGTTTAATTGCTCCTTTTCTTGTTAGGTTTTATTAGTTTCCTGATTATGTAGCAAGACAATTTGATATAAAATTCTTTTCTTGTTCTGTTTCCTCTTTCACTTTTATAAATTCTTTTAATCTAGACAAATTTCTTTAAATTATCAAGTCTGGGTGATCAAAAATTTTATAATCAATTAACAGATTAAAAAAAATATTAATAAATAAACATCCAATTAAAATAACAATCAAATTTTCTAATAATTTAATAAAAATGACTAAGGACTACAGCGAACTCTCTTTTGAATTCCCCCCTTTTGAATTTGGTGGTGAAAAGACTGAAGTATTTAAGGCTCCCATGAAAAGAATACACAAAGAAAACAAGCAATAATCTCAATTAACCAAGCTTATTTCTGAACTTAATGAAATTACCTAATAAATAAGAATTGAATAATAACTTAGAAGAAAAAGCTTCATGTAAGCTAGAAGATTCGTCCTCTTTAAGTGAAGTCTTGCTCTATAATAAATATTTCTTACTCTATTTAAAATGATTTTAATTGATATATAAACTTCTTCTAAACAATCTTAACCTTCTAGTTAAATAAAATACTAATATCATATAATTAAAAAATGAATGTATATAACTTAATAAATTGCATAATACTTTATATAGTATAAAAATATATAATTTCTCAAACTTAAAACAAAATCTGTCATTTTTATCCTTAAAAATTTAAAGAAATTCCAAAAATCTAATTCTTCTAGCTAAAATAATACTAGACGCATATAATTAGCTAAAAAATATAAATATTTTTTTTAAAAAAATTCATCAATTCTTTAAATAATATATGAGCTATTTAATTTTTAAAACTTAAAATTGCTTCTCTCATTTTCTTTTTTACAGTCAAAACGAATTCCAAAAATTTCCTACTATAGCTTTCTGATATTAAAACCACTGTATCGCTTTATTCTATATATCAACTTACTTATGTAGTATGCATTAAACAAGTAAATAAATTTGATGGAAAAAATCTGGAAAAAATAAATAATTTGTCTAATTTATCTTTAGCTTTTATTCAAGGGATTGAAATAGGATGAATTTATTAAATATTTAGATACTAAATATAATCTGAAATAATTTAGAATTTGATACTTTTTGGCTAAATTTTTATTTGTCTATTTGAAATTATTAATTAATTCAAGGGATTTAATTCATGTTTGTTTATTTTGGCCTTAACTTATAGTTCAACAAACAACTTAATCTCTAATTTAATTAAATTAGAAAAGAAAAATGTTATCAAAAGTTGAAAATATAATTCGAGCTCGTTAAAATCTAATTCGACACATCATACTTCATTTATTTTTTTATTCGAAATTAAAGAAAATTTTATGCTGCGAAAATACGAAAATAAAATGAAACTTAAAATAATAATAAAATAAATAACTTATATCAAATGATAAATAATTAATTAGTTTTCGTTGGTATTTTTGAAATATTTAATATAAAAAGAAGATATAAGAAAATAAATTAATTTACTTAAAAAATATACTAAATAATTATAAAACTCCTTTTATCATAAAGTAATTGAAAATATAATTTTATATTCAATAATAAATTTAAACAAAAGAATTTATATTTCAATGTTTTAAATCCGACATGCATTTAAACCCAAGTAAAAATTGTTTACTTTAATTTTTTCCTGTTAAGAATTTCTAAACTAAAACAAATGTTTGAAAAAAAAAAAATTAAATGAGCTAGCAACTTCTATCTGTATTAATTTATAAATACATATTGAGTTTTTAAGACATACGTTTTTATTTCTATTTTTAATTCTTAAGTATTAATAAAAGATATTTTATACAATGAAAACAAAAAAGTTATTAAGTAAAACGGTTATAATTAATTCATAATAACTAAATGAAAATCAACTGTTAAAATATAAAAATGAAAATTAACAATAAAAGGATACATAAATACACAAATGTATACATGTACATTCATTTCATTTAAATCATTTTTTGAAAAGTACTTAAAAACATGTAAAAAAAGGATCATTATAGAAATAACAAAATTAATTGTGTAGTAAGTGAGTGAGTCAGTGACTTAGTAAGTTGAATCTTACTTACATTTAAAAAATTACACTTTTTCTCATTAAAAGTTCAGTAATCACTATTTTCCTATTTATTTCACTTAGGTCCTTAGTAAGGATTGCCTTTGTAGAAAGAATCACAGAATGAAGCGCTTGGGAATTGTTTTTTGGTTTGATTGTCATAGTATTAATTGATAGGCTTTTAACTAATCAAGCCATAGTTTCCATCATAACAGAAAGTTAACCATGTAAGTTGAGTGTTTGAAGATAATCTGCTATCGTAAATAGGGGGGTAATAAGTTGATACTTCGTATTCAGATTCTGGGACATAAACCTTTACAACTATGTCTTATTGGAGGAAAACGGAATTGTTTACACGGAGGGAAGGATCATTAGGAATTTCTTTACCTTAAACACGTGATTTCTCAACCAAAGTTTACTCAGAGGGAGTATTTGCCATCTTAGAAACAAAGAAAAGTGAGTTACGATTGTAAGTATTTTTAAAACTGATTGCTTAAGCGTATTAAGTCTTAACGTAGGAGTAATCAACACATTGACGGTTATAAGCAGAAACAAGACACTCTTTATCTTCATTAAATACTATGCTCATTCCGAGAGTAGCTCCAAGATGTTCAGATCCATTCTACAAGAAACGATTTTCCAAAACTACTACACCACTACCTTTGTAAGACATATCCCTGCGAACGATAGGAGCATTTAATATAAAGTTAGTATTTGTTCCGTCATATGCAAGAGTAAAAGGCTAGCAATAAGAGTGATAATTTTTATTTTTGTAAGTGACTTCAAGGGTATAATCTCCAAGTATCTAGTTGTAAACTGTTAAGCTGGCCCCTAAATTATCATTCGATTCTACTTCACCTACGAATAGTGGATTCTAATTTTCGAGTTCTTCACTACAATTTACATTGTTTTGGTACAACTTGATAACAGCTCCTTCTGAAACAGAAACTTATCTAGCACTTTGATTTGTCTTTTTAGCTGATTTTGTGTCTTTCTTGCCTGAAAGTAAAATATCAGTGAGATGAATTTCAACGTTTCTAAATTAAACTCCTTATATTTTAGTTGCACTGAAACGGCTGATGGGAGGAAGTTCCTATTCACCAGAAATAGATTGTTTTGTTTGGAACAAAGCAAAGCTATTGCTGACTGGTTGTTAGCTAGAGGTACTAAATAGAGAATTAAAAGGACAGTATTTATCATTTAAATTCTTTTATTTAGTATATTCGTCACACCAATCATCAACTAAATTTGTTGTCTTTTTCAAGGAATTTAAAGATTTTTCTTTATTTTACTTTTATGATGATTTGTTTTATTTAGATTTTTTGGATACCATGTTTGTTTCAGGAGTTTTTATAACACCATCAGCAGAGCATTGGTTAGCAGCTTATAATTCTTAAGGCTTATCATAGATATTAGTTAAATGAATATCACCTAATTGTTAAGAGATTTCACTATTAAGACCTCCTAACTAGATTATTTTAACTGTGTCTTGATAGGACTTATTGGAAATCAGTAATTTTGCAGAATATCTAACAGTACTGGGGAGTATAGGAATAGAGAAAGTAAACTACCCTGTAGCAGAGTCTGTAGTAGCTTGAGCAAGAAGAACTTCTTGGCCTACTTCGTTAAAGACATTCACAATAACATTTTAGTTACAAACAGCAGTATATTTAATCTAGGTAGTGTCTTTTGAGTCTATTGCTACTACACGTCCAACTATATTTTATTTAGCTTCACCAATATTTAAAGATTTTGTTATAAAGCTGAAACTGCCTTTACGATTTTAAACATCTCCTTAATAAAAATTGCAGATATCAGTTCTCTTTAATTCTTCATTATAAAAATTTTAGCATTATTATTGAGGATGAGATTCACCTGATTCCAAAGTACCTTAACTAGAATTTTATTTTTTAGATTCAATATATTTTTCATACTTTTCAACTAGAGCAACAGTTCCAGGAGAAGTTTATGCAAAGGCAGATTTAATCATCTTATTTAATTTGCTTGAATGACCATGTTGAATTGACTTCTTGAATCCCTATTGATTTTTATCATTATCACTAGAAGGAGCTATCTTAGGAACATCAACAACATAATTTTCAATAAGGAAGTGAGGTAAGTTTGATGGATTTGTACCACAGTAATACAACTAGTTATTCAAGAAGTTGTTTACGTCTTCAGGAAGACCAAGGATAGAGAAGAAAGGCATATTCTTTTTAGCTGAGTTATTAGAAATAAAGCTAAAAACTATATTTTTTACGTCATCTGTCTCTAAGAAGAAGAGTTTACCGCTGTTATCCTTTTCGTACTTGAAATTACCTCTTGAAGCAAGAATGCTGACACGGATACCCTTACCTTCGGAGCTTTCATCAACATTGAAATCAAAAGAACCTTTAAATAACTAATCATCAATTAAATTCTTGACTAATTGACATTCTTTATTTGAGTAATCCTTCATGCTTAAAACATTTTCGTTAATTAAGTCATTTAACCATGCATTTTTACCAACATTTAATTTAAAGCTGGGTTGTGTTGGTTCTGATGGCTCAGTAGGCTATGGTTCAGGATTAGGTTATGGTTCTGGTTAGGGTTGTGGTTCAGGCTAGGGTTAAGGAGGAGCTTCAGTGCTGACGTGATTAGAGCGGAGATCAGGAGGATTAGAAGTAGTGTGTCTTAATACTACACAAGTTCCAATAACTAGTGATAAAAGCAAGAGGAAGAAAAATCCATCAACTATGTTAAATTAGAAATCTTTCTTTCCTTCAATTGCAATTTTCTCCTTATGAGATAGATGGAAGCATATGTAAGTAATAAGTAAACCAATTAAGGTTAATGTAATGAAAATAAAGTAGAGTTAATAGGGATAGTAAGCATAATAATATCCAACACTTCTGCAACAGTTTCCATTTAAGCAAGAATTTTCAAGTGTGCTAACATAGAAAGGTTTACCATCCTTGACAGATTATTCCCAGTTAAATTTGAAATATTTACTGAGAGATTCTGAATCTTTACAAGATGTATCTAATTAGTTATCTTTCACAACATATTTGGTACATCCGAAATTAGCCAGTTCACTTTCAGGCAACTCATTAAGTTGATTAGCACAGTCTTTGGTGTAGTTTCTCTTGATTTCGAAAGAGCTTTTAGCGATTCCGTAATTCATACCTGTGAGCACAACTATAAGAACCAAGAAGAAAGTACCAAGTGTTACATGAGGTGTTCTCTTTTTCAAAGTTATAACTAGGTAAACAACAAAACTCAATGAAGCATATATTAGCAAAATGACATAAGCTGCCTCTAAAAGATTGCTAGAAATTAAACTCTTAAAGGTACTGAGTGCTAAATATCCTTGGATTTTTTTGACAGTGTATGCACCCCAAACACAAAAGAATCCCCATGCGAGCTATATTATCAAATAAGAAAAATTTAATTGTATAATTAGTAAATTTTTTATGTTATGAATTAAACATTTATTTATTTATCAGCAATTTAATTTTTACTGAACTTTTTTAAATTATGATTTTCTTTATATGCATAAATTATTGCTTTTATTGACTATTTAACTATCTAACAATCTAGTTGATTGATCAATATATAACCGATAAAATTCAAAAAGTATATATAGGATATCCTTTAATTTAATTTATTAATTCAAGTAAAATGGAATATTTTAATTGATAAATGACAAAAAATATTCAAAAAGGCATTTTACGTTATAGAGATTTCCAAAAATACGGAGAGTCTTGAATGTTGCAGAGCAATGATAAGAAGCATATGCACTTATTGAAAGAATTATAGCAATAATGAATGAAAGGATGCCATAAGTAATTAATAAAGCTTAGTAATTCTTGTTGAAAATAGCAAGCTAAGAAGATTCTTCTCCAAAATCAGCTATATACTAAGCTCTGTTAAAGCCGTAGAGTGCAAATGGAAGATATGTCATTAATAAGTTGACTACTGCAAATAATGAACCAAAACCAAACAAGCAATCACCTAAGGGATTGTAAAAAATAGTAATATCATCGCCTGTAAACCCACCATATGATGATGTTTTATTTCCTAAGATTGATTGAGAGCGGGACCAACAAAATCCAACTAAGCACAATACAAAATTGATAGCTGCATAAACTATCAACTAAACTTAATAACTTTGAATAACTTCGTCACCAAAGAAGAATGGCATGATGAATTGAGGTAAACTCAATACTATACCGAAGGCACATGCTATACCAGTTCTTTTAATATTCTTAAGTTTCTACTAATATGTCAATTCTGGATCTGATGCAAAAGTATCCTTAATCAAAGATGCTGGTTATGAGGACCTGTGCATATATGACTATTCTATTTTCATTTAGCTAAGTTAACCTTTTTGTGTCAAGATATTTGTTTGCTGATGGATCAGGTTAATCTTTTAAATTTTATTTTCTTAAATTTCTGACTTAATATTTATTGTACTGAGTGTTTCTTTTGATCTGTTAAACCTTCAAAACTAAAACTTTTCTTTTATTTATTAAATCTTATTTTTTATTTTATTTATTAATCTATCAAGCAAAAAAGATCTTTCTCGCTCCCCCGTTTCTTTCAAATAATTTAAATTTTCTTTATTGAAGATTTATAGTTTTTCATAATTAAAATTTCTTTCTTTCTTTTATTTATTTATCTATCTATCTATCTGTCTAATATATCCAATAATCTATCTATCTATCTACGGTTCATTGTCTTATCCATTTTCAAGCTTTATTATCACTAATTATTGAATAATAAATCACTTTAATATTTAAGATATAACTTTATTTATCTTATCATAAATTGTTTAACTATCATATTTATTGCAAAATAGTCTTAATCAGGCAAATGACTGAATTAATTATCTCTTGGAAATATAAAAAATGAATATGATTTTTTAAAGCAATTAATCAAAGCCAAAGAAATAGTAATTATAATAAATTACAATTAAGTATAAAAAAATACATAATAATTATAAATAATGTAGATATAGATTTATTTAACATGACTTTACCAATAAAATTTAAATTAATAATTTCATTAATGCTTATTAAAATTAAATATTAATTAATTAATAATTTTTTTTAGAATTTTTTTTTATCTTAAATTAAAAAGAAAGTTAAATTATTTAATCGTGCTTTTATGAAATATATTTTTTATAAATCTCACCTATTTTTATTTATTTTATCCTAAATATTATAGTTTTATTTGTTTATTAACTTAATTTATATTATTTTATTTTTATCATCAAAATATTTTTGAAATTGAAACTGATTTAATAAAAAAAATGTTTGTTTTAATGATATTTTTGTTTTTTACTTAATAAAACATAAAATAAATGCTTCATGTATGTTTGGTAATTAATATTTTATTTAGTTTAAATTTTAAAATATATCATATTTAGATATTAAAAAGTAAAAAGTTTTTTTAGATATTTCATAGTTGAACATTTTTTAAAGTCGATTATAATTTAAACTTTTTAAATAAACTAAAAAATGTTTTTGATACCCTAGAAATAGAAATTAGTTTAATAAAATATGTTTTGTTAAAAAGAAATAATATAATTTATATACTTTGATAGATAATGTTATAAATTATAAGAATTAGTATTTTAAAAGTATTGTAAAAATTTTTCATACATTAACTATAAATATATGCGTTAAAAAGTAAAAACATTTGTTTCAATTTATTTAGATGTATATTGAATATAATAAATTCACTCAAATCAAATACAAATACAATTATCAATTAAAGCCAGCTATATTTTATGATTGCTGATTCATTTATTTAATATAAATTAAATAATTAATTTATTTGAAAGATTGATTTACAAAATATCTTAAGTAATTTAAAATATGAATAGATAAAATAACCATTAATAAATATAGAATTCATTATAAAATGGGACTATGAAAGCTTATAAATTCCAATTTGATTTATTAATTGAACACATATCTATAGCTCTATCCTTTCCTTGTTAGATTTAAATTTTATGGAAGAGAGGTGAATTTTTACTTTCATTTGATAAAAATAATTCAATTATGATAATTTTAAAATCAGCTTTTGATTTGAATAAACTATTATTAGATATGTTAACAGATTTAATTTTAAATAGGAACTCATAAAATATATACAAAAAATAAGTCAGAGTTGAATTTAGAAACAAGATTTGCAGATTTTCATGAAACTTTGTCAATGATGACAACTATCTTTTAAACTGAAAGTAATGCGATTCTTCCAAAAAAAGTATGAAATGTATTAAAATCAAAATCAAAATCTTATTGAAGTACTTTTATTAATTTTTTTTTAATTAATGAAAGTCTTCTCTTACAGTAGTTATTTAAACGCCAATGGGAAATAAAGTTGGAGGGGTTGCTATTCTAAATCTTAATGAGTTTTTACCAAACGACAATACCAGTTTATTTAGTAAAATTTATCAAAAAACAAGAATGTTTGTAATTTAAAATTTCTTAAATAATAATAAATTAAGCTATGAAAAGCATCAAGCACACATAAAGCCAAATTCTATAGTTATAAAAATGTCCTGATTAAAATGCATACATTAGAGTATAAGTTACATCTTAATTTGTGTCTGAATGCCTTGATAATGAAACTATGAGTATAGGTAGTTGTGGTTCTAGATTACATTTGAATTAAGAAGGAGATGAATATTTAGTTGATTATACTACGCAGTAAATGAATGCTTTGGGGTAGTAAAATTCAAAAATTTCAGATGAAAGAAACAATTTTACATTTTCAATGAATAATGTCAAATCAGGTATATGTTCAATTTTGCTAAATTTTGTATTATATTAATGTATCATAAAATTAAAATTTAGAGCCATCCTTAAAAGATAAAACTAATGCCCTAACTCAGTATGATAATTTTAATAAAGTTCCAACAAAAGAATAAATAGAAGAAACTTTAAGACATAAAAAGAGGATGTAGTAGTTCAATTTACCAAGCTCTGCAAATGTAAATGGAAGTGCTAAAAGAGATAAAAGGGTAGCAGCTGGACTGAATACTTCTTCATCGTCAAATTTATATCAGAGTTAGAACTAATATTCATCAAATAATACTAACTAGTTTAACTCTGCAGCTGATGATAAAAATGATGAAGTGAGTAAGTTGAAATATGAAAATTAAAGATTAAAAGAGGAATTATTGAGGAGTAAATTTAGAAATGACACGGATTTGTAATCTACTATGATGAACATAGAATCTGAAAATGAGAGAATGAAAAATGCTGTTAAAATTGTAAATTTGGATTATTTAAATATTCACTAAACTTAAATTTTTTAACATGTAGCTTGAAGAAGAAAAACAGGATAAAATAGAAGAGATTAAAAGATTATAAAGTAAAATCGAGGAGTTTAATAATAAATTAAAATAGAATCTGTCCCTTCAAGAAGAATAAGAAGAGAAGCTCTTATAAAATAAAAAAGCAAATGATAAAATTGTGGAATAACTCGAAAATTTACAAAAAGAATTTACTAGAGAAATGGAAGAGAAATAAATTCTAATTAACAAAGTAAAAAACTTTAGGAAAAATAATTTGTCTAATATTTATTTATTTAATTAAGTTAAAAAAAGACAAATAATAGTTAATTGAAGAAAATGAAAGAATTAAAAATAGTTCTCTAGAAAGACTTGAATAAGTAGAATAAACTTCAAACAAAGTAAAAATAATTAAAAAAATAAATTTCATATTTATTGGAAATATGTTTTATATAATTAGTTGATTTAGTAGAACAATGATTTAGTTAAAAAAAAGTAATAATTAATGGAACTTTTAGAAGAAATGAATAGAGAAAAATCATTAGAAAAAGATAAATATGAGAGGCAAATAGAAATAAATAAGCAGTAGATTGAAAGTGCTCTGGATAGCAATAAAAAGCTTTAATCTAATTATGATATGTTATTTAATTCTTTAAATTAAGAAAAATTATAAAATTAATAGTAAATGTAATAAGTTCTCGATAAAAATAGATAGCTCATGCAAGAGGTATCTTTTTTATTAAAATTGAATTTATTTTTGTAATTTTTAATAATTAATTTTATTAGATTAAGGATTTATAAGAAAGAATTGAAGAATAAGAGAGCGAAAATATGTTAAAAGACTAAGAATTGGAACAACTTAGAGATGAGATTAAAGAAAAAGAAATAGAAATATCTTAGTAATTAAAAGGTATGCAAGAAATAAAACTAAAGATTTAAACAACATAATAAAAAAACGAATAAGAATTCCTCTTTGAAATAAGAAAGAAAGATGATTTGATTGAAAATTAAATAGCCTAGATTTAAGCTCTTCATACAAATTATGAAGAACTTGAAAAAAATTTTGAAACAAGGCAACAGCAGCTTGAAGAAAGAATCAAAACTATCAAAGAAAGCAATAATTTAATTGAGTAAAACTTATAAAAAAAAGAATTATAAGTTAAGCTTGAATCTGAAAGGTGTTCTTTAATTGAAAAGGAATTGGAAATGCATAAATAACTAAACATTTAATTAAGTGAGAGATATGCACTTTAAATTTAAGAAAAAGAAGCTTAAATTGAGTAATTTTAAGAATAATTGTAAATTTGTTAAAAGGAAAATAAGTAAGGCTAAGCTGCTTAACTAAATTAAACTTCGTATGAAACTGAAAATTTAAAAATACAATTAGAAGAATAAAAGCAACTATTCATGAAAAAAGAAGAATCATATAAAAAATAGTTATAAAAACTAGCTAGAATGAATGAAAAGCTTGAAGAAGAAAATATGTAAATGAATTTAAGGATGATGAAAGATTTAGATTAAATAGCCAGAAAATAAGAAGGATTTTCTAAAGAATATTCAAAAATTTTGTGTGAAAGAAAATAATTAAATGTCTCTGTAAGTAACTGATTTAGCTTTTTTATAATTAGAGCTTTAAAGAAATTCTTAGTTTTATGAAATTATTTTTGTAAAATTTAATACATAAAAACTAAAAATTATTTTACTTAAGAATTAGTTAAATAAAAAAAAAATCAAGATGTTGAATTTATAACAACTAATTTTATTATTTATAATAGATTTTGTAACCTTTTTGTAAATATATATATATTTTCAGATATTATTTTAAAATTAAATTTTAAATTAGATAATTACAATTAGAAAAATTAAAACTTTAAATAATTATTAAATCCACATAAATTAAAAAAGTTTTGTTGAATTAAGCATTTATGTTAAAATATTATATATAAAGGAAAAAACATATTAATTATTTTTTTTTTAATTTTTTATTAATTATATTTTATTTATATAGATGTTTTATTTACGTATTTATATTTTAATTTTACCAAGATAGCTTAGAAAATTCTTCTGATACAATATGCTTTTATTTTATAATAAATTAAAGACAATATATAGAATTATATAATAATAAAATGCTATATTTTTAAAATATTGAATTATTAATAAATTTAAAGGAAATTAGTATTATAATTTTATCCTTAATAAATATGCTTTAAAATTATATTAAATAATTTAAGATGTTATTAGATTATTTTTAATATTAATTTTAATACTTTTTAAATAAGAGCTTTTGTTTCTTTTTCTAAAATTTCTAAAATTAAATAATTTGTTTTCAATTGTTTTTGTAAAAGATATTTAATATTTTAAATAAATAATTTAGATTTACTAACATATTTTTAAGAAAATTATTTAAATACTTCATGATAATTTAAAATAGTTATAAAAGTTATTTATAATTAAAGGGGGTTAACATCTTTTTTAGACATAAATATTATAATTTATTAATGAAAGAGAAAACAATTAAAAGTTTTAAGGTATAATTTAGCTTTTTAAGGATTTTCAAATAAACTATTAAATTTAAAATACTTAAATTTGTTAAGAAAAAATATTATTTGCAATCAATTTCAGTAAATAAATTTAGATTATAGTAGAGTTTTTTTTGAGTATTAATAATAGTTAAATTTGAAATAAAGATGCAATTTATAGTTACGAATTATAAAATATAGATTGGCAATGGTAGTAATTTATTGTAGTGATTAATTTAAGTTTTTGATAAATATGGAAGCAAGAGTTTAATTAAAATTGATAATTATTTATAAATGAGGTTAGTTTGGCTACATTTTTAATTAAGGTGCTATTTATTCATTAAAATATGTTTTTTAAGCTCAATGATTTTATTTATACAACAGATTTAGTATTTTTAGGTTAGAGGCAATCATTAGAATTCTATATTCATTTTCATTTATCTGCTCTCGATTGCATTCATCAGTATTTGTTTCTCTTATCTATAATATTCATAAATATTATTTGCTATTACTTCTTATTTGAAATCATTATAGTTGTTATCTCTATCAAATTAACTAGAATTTTGATTATCGCATTGACTTTAATTTAAAGTTTTTACTTAATTTTCTTGTTAAGATTGATATTCTTCGATATCCATATTATTTTATCTTTGTTATCCTTATTTATATATATCCATAGGTTAGCTATTCTCTCTGATCTAATAAGGTTTGTTGTTTACTTCCTCTTTAACTTTTTTTCTTTTTTATTAAGACATCTTATTTTGTAAATAGATTTCTCCCAGGTATTAATTCATCTGGCGGTATTCTTTTTCTACTATTTATTTCTAATCACTAACAATTATTTTTAAATTATTTTCAGAGGGCTCTTCATAGGGCTTTAGCTTAGATCTTATGTTTAAATGATCAAAAAAATTTTAAGATGGCTAAATTTTATGAAATTAACAGTGTTATGTAAAATTCCTTTTTTTGGAATGCACATTTTAGTTTTCAACAAGTAACATCTCTATACCTTATTACAAACTATTAATATCTTTTTCTGTAGGCTATTCTTATGTAGGGGAGCTGACCTCCGAGGATGTTTTTCTATGAATTTTTGTAAAGGTAAATTTAATTATAGGTTATGCTTATTATGAGTTTATAAGAGCAGTGGATGCTTGTCTATTAGAAGTTGTTTGACTAAAATTTTTTTTATTTTTGTAAATTTTTTGCTATTTATTAGTTTAATATTTTATAGCCAAATATTTTAATTAGAATCCTTTCTTTTTGGTTTTTAAAGATAATAATTTAAAATAATAATTCTGTGACTAGATGAAATACAATCTGATAACTTTAAAAATATACTAAAAAAGTGCGTAAAATAAAAAAGCGTTCTAAAATAATTACTTTTTAAGTATATTATCAAACCTATATAAATAAAATATTTTTGATCAAATTTTGATACATGTTTAAGATATATATTGAATTTTATTTTTATAATATTACATTTTCTAAAGTTCTAGATTTTATATTGTCTATAACAATTTTATTAAGTAGAAAAAGTCGTTGTTTATCACATTTTAATATTTTAAATTAGTAAATCAATCTACTTTTAAATAGACTATCTAGATAGACTGATTTTTAGTATTTTATGAAATATTATAAAGCAGCTGTTAGAATATTTGATCATATTTTACAAATTTAATCAAAAAATACAGATTTTATAAGAAAAACTACTTTAAAAGATTGTTATATTAAATAGCTTAGCAATAAAGTAGATAATTTTTAAATATAAGATAAATCGTGTTTTTAGTTTATAAACAAAATATGGTAAGATTAATGAATTATTGAATTAATTTTATTGTGTGGAATAGATTGATTAAATGATTTAAAAATAAAAATATGCTAGTAGAATTTGTGATTAATATTATTCATTCATATTTTTTAATTTAATAAATTCAATATCAATTGATATTAATTTTTATTACTAAAAGTATAGAAAAATTTAATTTTTTTGAACTAAATAATACAAGTCAGCCAAGATCACCATAAAAGAGAGGAAACTATTTCCGTTCTTATGATAGAGAGGAAACCAAATTATAATGAAATTTTATCGCCAAGAGAAAGCGATTCTAAGCTTTAGGTAATTTACTTCTGTTGTTATGTGCTTAATTTTACCCTCGTTTATATTTAAATAATTTATATTATAATCTCAAAAATATTATAAATATGAAGTAGAAATGCTAGTCTTGTTAACGCCCTAGCAATGAAAAAATAAAAAAGGCCAATTTGAAAGAAAGAGCACCAAGCCATAACTCTATTGCAAATAAAGCTTTATCTAATTCCTATTCTTAACGCTATAAAAATAGTAAAAAAACTAATTAATAAAATATTTATTCATTTTTTCCAATAAAATAATAAAAAAAGCTAATTTATTTATTTATTAATTCTTTTTGTAATAGAATAGTCAGCTTAAAATAATTCTGTTAAAAAAAAAAATGATTAATAATAAGATTAGCATTCATAAAATTTAAAGCAGGCTTTACAAGCAGCAAATTTAACATATGCTCACTTGAAAAAAAGGGATAAAATGTTTCCTATTTAGAACTCTAGTTAAAATGAATAAAAATCTTCTTGTATAACTAAAACTGTTTAAAGTTAGAATTAAATAAAATAAAAAGATGGTAAAGCTTAAAGCCAAAAAATATCTTAAAATTAGATCAGCAATGAAAAAATAAAAGATACATAAAATTTGAAGTTAAATTCTTCTACTAAAGATAGTAGGAACCTTAGCTTACATGGATACACGACACCATAAAATAAAAATAATTAAATGCTAATTTATAATAAAACTCTATATAAAAATGATGAGTCATTTCCAACAAAAGATGAGATTAGCTAAAAAATTGCAGACTTAGTCTTAAAAAATATTAATTCAAAATAAAAATATGAATTGGTTTAATAATATTCTGCACATAATCCTGTTAAAGAAAAAAAAGCTAACTAATAAATTGAATTGGAAAAAGAAGTATAGATGCCGCTAGACTCTTCTTAAAAAAACCAGTTTAAAGATTTAGTAAAATAAATAAATAATTAACTTAATACCTTAATGTCAGATGAAAATATTAAAGTAAATTGCTACTATTAATTTTTTTAATATTTATTTACCTATTGAATAATTTAGATCCTAGAAAAATCAAAAAATTTTCACCTTAATATTCAAGATATTACTAAAACTGTTTCTTTTTATCATATAAACTCTTCTAAGCTTAATTCTGAGTAGAATATGCTTTCATAAAGAGCTTCGAGCTCATAAGAAAAAATATAGATTTAAAAATGTAATACCATTTAAAATAATAAAAATAATTAAGAGGAAGATTCAAGAATAATTTTTAATAAATTGTTCACATCAATTGATGAAATTGATACTGTAAAAAATGCCACAAGCTTTGATAATAGAAGGTATTTATATTAACTATTAATAAAGATATTATTAGATATTATATTTTTATTTAGGAGAAGTGGTAGTAGTGGTTCCCCAAAATTTAATGAGATGCGTAAAAAAAAAAAATAAATGAAAACATCAATCGAAAAAAATAAAAAATAGTCTGAACAACAGCAGTAAAAATCAATTTATTTTGACATTATCAAAATTTAATAAATTTATAATTTAATTGAAAAAAGGTTCAAATCTTAAATACATCAAATTCAGAAATTGCAAGATCTTATTGAACCAAATACTATATGCAAAGAAAAACAGTACATAAATTCTTGTTTGACTCAATAGGATTCTAAAAGCAGTTCCATGTATCAAACAGCCTCAACGAATAGAAATTAAAATACAGATATTGACTCATAGTTCTATAATAAAATAGATCTTGAAACATAAATAAGTGAGAATTCCCCAAATTATAAAAAAAGTAACTAACTTAAATAGAATAAAATTAATTTTTTTAATTTTATTAAAAAAAAATATTAAAAATAGTAAATAACCAATTTGTATAAGAAAACTAAAAGCTCTATAATGGTGTTGATAATTAAAAAAATGGTAAATTTTAAAGTCTAACATATGAAAAAACCTAAAATGTTTAAGATTGTAAATAAAGTTACTAATAAAATCAAAAAAATTTAGTTACTTTAAAATAAAAGTTAGATGAGTAGGAAAAGTTGAAAAAATCCTAAACTTTCTTTAAAAAATCAGCTGATACTAGTCTAAAAACACTAAATACTGAATATAATTAAAACTTTTTTATAGCAGAAATATTAAAAAAATCATAGAGTTATAGAAACTAGTCTATCACCCAATAAACATAAAAAAAGTAGCTTCATGACTAAGATTAAAAAAAGACAGAATAAATTATAAAATATTTGTAATCTCCCACTCCTTCTAAAAAAAATATTTATGAACAAATTCATAACACAATAATTAAGTAAAAAATATAAGAAGATAGAGTTAAGAGATAAAATGTTATAAAATGAAATTCAAAACTATATTTAAAGCGTTTAAAAATTAATATTAAACATATTTTTATCTTATTTATTATAACAATTTTAAAATAAAAAAATTAATTTAAGTTTAAATTTGGGTTGCTTAAATTAGTTTTTGAAAAGATAAATCAAATTTTTTGAAAATTCTAAAATTCTATAGATTTAAGAGTTTCATTTTATTTTGTTTATAAGTGTTTTTTTAGTAAAAATGACAAAAATTATGAAAGCAATTTTTAATAAATAAAATATCAATTATTTTTTTTATTTTTTAAAATAAATTCTATAATAAACATATTTTTTATTCAGTAAAAATTTTGTGTATTTTTTCTTTTGATAATCAAAATTTTATATTAATTTTTTATGATAATCATAAAAATATTAAATATCAAAATGATATCTCCTGATATTTGATATAAATAACATTATGGCTATTTAAATACTTTATTAATTTTTGAAGAATTTTTTTAATGAAAAGTTCTAAAATATCATTATCAAAATAATTTTTAACAAATTCAATTTATTTTTCTATTTAAATTTTGTAAAATAATTTAGAATTTTAAATCCTAACTAAATTGGTAATTATATTACTTTTTTAAAAATGTTAGTTAATTGATTTATTCATATTTATATTTAAAGAAAAACTTGTTTATTTAAAATTCTTTTATAATAACATTTTTTAAAAACTTTTATTAAATTTAATTTTGAAATGAGATTAAAAAATTTACAAGCTAATTTTCAATAATATTATATGCATTTTTAAAATATGATTAAATTTTATATTTTATAATTTTTTAACTAATAAATCTATCATATTATATCATTTTTATTTTTATTAATTTACTAATTAAATTAATAACAAAAAAAAAAACATACTGTTTTTAATTATTTTAAAAAGTAAAATTTTTCAAAACACAAATTTTAGTAAAAAGTTAATTTTAAAGCTTTTTTAGCTTTTAATAAAAGTCACTGAATTTATTAATTATCTACTTTAAAAGATCTAATAGAAAATTTATGGTTGATTGATGATGATAGTTTTAAAAATAATTTTCTTGAAATATTATCAATATATTTCATTTTTAAATACTTTTCAAAAAGACTTGATAAAATCAAAATAATATTAGACATTTAATTACCAATAAAAAAGATTTTCTTCAAATGTTGAATATAGGTATTGATTTCAAACATCTGATTGATTGATTAATCTAATTTCTTTTTTATTTTTAAAGGGCACACACACGTCTTTTTAACTAAATAAGATAAATTAAAGAAAATGAACCTGATTAAAAATCAATAAAATATCATATATTTCCATAAAAACTAAAGCCATTTTTATAAAAAAAAACAATATCTCACTAGATAAATGCATGAAAGTTAAAAAAGATATGTAAAAATACTTTTGATGAAATTAATTTTGATAAAAGAGATTACTCATATAAAGAATACATTTTTGCATTACTTTTTATTATTTATTATATTTAATATTCAATCGGTTTTAAGCAAAGGCATAATAATTGGATTCATTTAATGCATATATGCACATACCCACATAATCCACATACAAATGCATGATAATATCACTGAAAAAACTGCAATGCTAAATATTTTTAAATAAAAATAATTAATTTTTTATAAAAATTCATTTAGAATTTTTAATTTTGTAAAATAATAATTTTCAAAATATTCAAGTTTATGAATAATTTACCATGCATTTGAACCTTTTGCTGTAATATCAACGGTTCTTGCTCTTGCATAAAAACCAAAGAAGATGCTACCAACAACAGCGATAGCTATAAATATCATTGATCCTGCAAAAATAGCACTCATATCTAAACAATTACTTTCTATTCTAAATTAGCTTTACTTTTCAATATATATTGGTATAAATTATCTTTAATTAATTATGATGACTTAAAGCTTATTTTAGATTATTATAAGTGAGTGATATAATTAGATGATATGCTTTGATTCCCATCAAATCATAAAATTTAGATGAAGTAAAAATATAAATATTTTGAGGAGATTATCCGAATTGAATTCTAACTAGGATGTGATTAAGTAAGTATCAGGAATATACATAAATAAATAAATATTCTTATTGTAGATGAAAAATAATATTGCCTTTGATTTAAATAAAAACAAAATTCTATCTTAAATTTAGTTCCAATATACTATAAATAGCCATTTATTATCTTTAAAAATTATAATTTTGTTGAACTAATTCTGAAAAAAATTTATTTTCAATAAAATTCAAAGTAGTTTCTCTCATAAATATAAAATTAAATCAATCTTAAAACCATTTTTTTGATATTTATTTTATTGTTTTTAAATATTTTTTGATTAAATAATTTTCTGCTTAAACAAACTGCACATTTCAGATCTTTTATGTATCAAATGAAATCATTATATCTAACCAACCTATTTGATTTTTATTATTTAAAAAATTTTTAAAGATTATTTTTTTGTTTTTTTTTATTGAAATATTATAAATTTTGTTTTTGCAGTGACAAAATTCAAAATATTTTAATGAATAAACAACAATAATATAAATACCTAATTTAGATTTTATAAAAAATTAAATTATTTTTTAAGTGATTAAGATATGTTTGCAAAATTATTGGAATTCAATTAGTGTTTTAATAAACAGTAAAAAAAATTAAATGTTCAATCAATAGATTATTTATTAACTAATTTATTAATAATTTGAAGTTAATTAAATATAAAGTTCTATCTGAATTTATATTTGAAACTTAATTATTTTACATAATTAAAAGAAAAATATCATTAACAGTACTTTTAATTTATTACATACAACATTCAAGATTTCAAAAATAAGCTTCTATTCTTCAAATAATTCAACAAGCTAATAACATGAATAAAAAAGAAGAGAATAAGCCACCTAATAAAAAGCTAATCTTACATTTCGATGTCAATAAAACTATTATTTTATAGGATTAAGCAAAAGGTTATTCAAAGGAGGATCATGTAATTAATGCATTTTGATAAAAATAACAAAATTGATTCTAAAATTTCAAAAACTTATTTAAACTCTTAAAACTGAAAATAGTTGCATCTTATATTATCGAGATAAGCATGGGGTAAATTAGAATAAAAAGATGAGAAATCACCTATTATGTGGAAGCTTTGTAATTAATTTTAGTTTAATTTTGATGTTAATCGAAAATAACACATACATGATATATAATTGATGATGAATATTATAAATGTATTAAAGCGTATTTTTAAATAATTAAAAAATATGTTTAGATCACAATCATTTTACTAGCTAATAGCCTGAAAAAGATATGATAGATTATCAGTAAATATTTTTTGTATAAAACTAAATAGTTTAAATTATTTTTATAATCATTTTATAGCTCTTATGTTAAATCACTTTATCCTTTAAAAACCGAATAAGAAGAACCAGATAATGAAAGTAGATAGCGTTATAATAAGTAGATGAAGTAATTATTGAAAAATATATCTTGACACTTCAAAAATAATGTATATAAAACAAATAGGGCAAATAGATAAAACTTATTTAATAATTTTGTTAAGACAGGAGGAGTTGGCATTAAATTAAAGCCAGAATATGATAGAATTATGAAGGCGATTTCTATGCCAAAGTTAGTAGCAGAGTTTGTTAAGAATGAATAAGTAAAAGCCCACAAAATACACTTACTTTATTTATTTTTAACTTATTTTTCATTATTTTCTAGGCTAAAGCAGAGAAAGAAGAAGATACTGGAGCTCAAACATCTTAGAATATGTTTTAACATTTGGAAGAAGATAAAATTTATGATTTATTTTAGGATGGAAAATATTATATGTTACCATCCTTTTTCAAGACCATGATTAATTTAAAGAAGCAAAAGAGGGAATTTGCAATTGTTTTTAGAACTTTTGGAAGCGAATTATAAAATGTAATTAGAGAAATTAATTCTTTTTGTGCTGGTGAGCATCCTTCATTCAATGGGAGAAATAATATGCCTATAATTAAATTTGATGGCTCTAAAAATAATAAGAACTTTAGAATAAAAAAATTTCATTAAGGTCTTTTTTACAGAAATAAATCTGACAGAATAGAAGACTGCTAATTAGTTCTTGGAACCACGAAGCGTAATGAAAATCCATAAGTTAAATTGCAAGATTTTTATGCTGAAGAAATCAAAGCAGGAACTGTAAAAATAGTAAATGGTCCTCATGAAATACAGAGCATTATTTAAGAATTATTGAAAGAAGTAAAATAATAAATAAACTTTCTTTTGAAAAATGAATGAACCTTTTTTTAATTTTAATGTAAAGTCTTGTGGTTTAGGATTTTAAGATGATTTCCTATCTTGGGACCATTTTGATAGGAAAATATAATGTTCAAAGCCATTAATTATTGATTAGCAAGATTATTAAACATAGCATATCTTCTTTGATGATAATGTTTGGAAGTAATTTACTATTTTAAAATTTTGCGTTAGATATTAATTTTGTTTTCTCACCTAAATAAAAAAGCGATGATGATTGCATTGTAGATGTAAGAGATTGCATATCAGGTTAGCAAATACCATTAAAGAGATCTATGAATAAGTATATAAGTGAAAACTAATTACAAAATATTAACAGTTTTTTTGTTTAATAGATATATGGTTAAAGTAGATATCATTGATGTCATAAAAGACCCTGATTATTTTATAAAGTGTATTGATTTTTGTGAAAAAAGCAGGGCTGAAGAAATAGAAAGAATAGAAAAATAACTTCCTTTAGAAGACCCAGAATTTCCTTCATAAATATAGAAAAAATCAGATTTTTAATTATTAATGGAAGCTAACGGAGAAGATTATTTAAGATAAACAATCATGCCTTTATTGAACAATGTAATAAAATTAAAATCAAATCCAATCTTTACATATTTATTTTAATCAAATTAGGCACTTAAGTTATGCGATAGAGAAAGGCCATCCGACCCAATTTCATTTATTGCATTATATTGCTTAAAAAATAAAGATAAAGTTAAAATTCCAATTCCTCCACCTGAGTATTTTGATAAAGAAAAACCTGAAGAAGAGGAAGAAGAGGAAAATCCAAATGTAGAAGTTTAATAAGTCCCTATTGTTGAAGAGAAGAAAGTAGCAGGTCAAAAATGAATAATAAATAATTATAAACTAATTAATAATAGTATAATAAATTAATAAATAAATAATTTATTTTCATCAGTTAATCATATAATAATTTTAATAACAAACAATAGAATAAATTATAAAAAATTTAATTAAATTTTTATCATTTTATATATTTAAAACTCAGTTTTTTATGAAAAAGGTAGGATAATTTATTCAAATAATTAATTTACTGCACTAGCTAGCATATTTAATATTTTATGTTTAAGTTTTATTAATAAATCTAAATATCTCTTAAATGAATAAATAGTTCTTTTATTGTAATAACAAATATTTTATTTTTCAAACTAAATATTAGAAAATAATCAATAAATTAAATAAAAATGTGTATTCAACTATTAGTTTTGCATATATTTAAATATCAGTTTTTATAAAATAGAAATTACTTTTTTAAAGAATTAATTACTAGGATTGTTAAAATGTTCTTGAAATCGATCATATTTTATTTTAATAACTAATTTTTGAAAGTTATCGATAAAATAAATTATTTATTTATTAAGTTAAGTTAAAATATTTAGTTTTGTATATATTTAACATGCATTTTATTTAAAATAAAGACAGATTGATTATTGATTAATATTTTAGCATTATTTTGGCTTCATCAATATGTAAATAACTCTCTCATAATATTCTTAAAGGTTTAATTATTGTATAAGAGAATATGTTTCTATAATAAATATTTTATTTACTTAATCAAATATATTTATTTGTTTATCATGATTTAACTAATTTATTAAATATATATTTGTGCTTGCTCGTTTTTTAAGTTGAATATTTAAATTTAAATCTCAGAAATTATGTAGTGTAGAGTTATTGTTTTCGTATACATCAGGATTATTAGATGGCTAACGCATATATCTTTTGTTAGGTGGTAATAGGGTCACTACTGTAACAACTATTGCATAAGCCATATAAATAAACGTCATTGCAATAAACACATTAAAAGGTTTGATATTTCCTTTAGCTATACACTTACTGCTCCAAGGACAGTGGTGATCATAACCTCTTACACAAACATCACAACTATCACAATGCTCAGTTGATTTGTCTTTTAAAATATCACACTTTTTACATAACCTATTTTTATTATTAATAAAAAATATAGACAAACTATTTATGTTATTCAAAATTTTATTTTTTTTACATTTGTTCCATTTATTAGTAACTTAAATTTTCAATTTTTTTTACATTCTTTGTTTCTTCATCATTTTTATGTGCTATTCCAGGGTTTGCTAAAGCTGTATAAAGGTAACTTAATACATGAATAGAGCATATAATCAGAGTTAATATAAACCAAATTATATTATCTGTGTTGTTCCACATCATCCTGATCAGGAAGAAATCAACAACAACGAAAGAACTCCAAGCACAAAAAAATAGTGGCCCTAATTAATTTTAAATAATACTTAAATAACATATAATAGGAAATTTTCATTTTTTTTGTAGCTTTCTAATACCTACAGTGCTTAAAATTTTAAACAATTAAATTATCTCCTTTAGAATTTGATGATTATTTAAGGATTGAATTTTAAATCAACATATATTTATAAATAATTTACAATGAGGGCCAAGTGTATATTTTGGTTAACCAGTCAAAGGATTTAAATCAAATAGTATATTATATCCAAAATGCTAGGGTTTTTCTTCACCATATCCTTCATATTCAGAAGTTTAATATGAAGCGCGAGTTGGATCTTAACTTATATTTTCGTTTTAATTGAAATTTTCAAATTCTATTTAATCGTTTTTCAATTCTGCATAGTCTTTATTTTCATAAGACTTCTGATAATTTGTGTCCATTTCTGTTATGAAAATGCATATATTTGTATGAACTTGCTAATTCTGTGTTTTTTAAATGCTAAATTACTTTAATGTCTGTTTTATAATAGATTGGCTAAAAAGCTTACTAAATTAGTAAGTATTTGAGGAGTTAAACTAAGTAACTAACTATCTATCTAGCAATTTACTTTGCAAATTTTTATTTGATTGATAACTTAAATATCAAAAGAATTCAAAATTTTAATAAATTAATTGTATTAAATTAGAAATAATATTAATATTTCAATAATTTTTAATAAGTAATTAAAAACAAACAAACTATCTATTTATCGTATTTGTTTATAAAGACTTCTTTGCAATTTCTCTTGATTTCTATTCAAACAGAGCTAAATTAAAAAGTATTTATTAAGAAAATTAGGTATATACAAAAAAAAGTGAATGACTTAAAAAATATATCAAATTATTAAAAAACAAAAGATAAAAGAAAAAACAAAATTATAAGAATATAAAAATGGTACTTATTTCTTTATTCGATTAAATTCATTCCACTAAAATTTTTTTATTTTACACAACTAAAATATTTTCTTTTTGCATTAAATGAACAGGGAGCCAACAAGACTCTTAACATGAAAAAGAGGTTTGGTAGAAAGATCAAGCAAAACAGACCTCTCCCCAACTGGTACAGATATAAGTCCGACACTAACATTAGGTAAATATTTGCGAATAAATGCATTAAATTTTAGGAAAAAATGAGCAAAATCACCTTCTTCTTTAGCTAAACTAGCTAAAATGCATTGTTTTTGAAATTTATCTTATTAGTATTTTTCTTAAATAAACAGATACAACTCCAAGAGAAGAAACTGGAGAAGAACAAAACTAAAAATCTACTGATTAATTTATATTCAAACCATAATTATGGATAATTAAAGTAGGAATATTGGGATAAAACTTTAAATATAATTTAATTATCTTGTTTATTGTGCATAGAAAATTACAAGTTGTTTTATACTATTATAACTATTTAAATTATTAAAAACAATTCTATTTTATTTCCTCTCACAACTTCATCTATCTATCTATTTAATTATCTTAGTCGATGAAGTTCACCTTTTCTACCTTTATTTTACTATTGAAATCTCCCTCAATAAGCAAACTTATTTGCTTTCTTATCCAATTCTTCAAAATATTTTTTTGTATGCAAAAGGTCTTAATTTATCTAATTTTACAATATTTTTATTTTATATCTTTTTTAAAACGAGAATCTCCTATTTTAAATTCAATTTTTCTTTTCTACAAAAATTCATTCAAATATTTCAAAATATCCATTTTTTTGACTACAAAAATAGCTTTAAAGCATTCATTAAAAAGACACAAATAATATATATAGAAATGTTTGTTACCTTTAATTGGATTCAAATTTTTTAATTCTGAAAAGTAGATGTTTATTTTAAGTTTGTTTGGGTTCGATCCCTAAAAAAGGAAAATTTTTTTATAAAATTTACTTGATAAATTGTATGTAAACTGTATTAATTAATATAATTTTTTTGTTGGTTGAGATACAGACATAAAACACTCATTTATTCATATAGATATATGAATGTTAAAACAGCTACTATCAAAATATATGTTGTATAGTTAATTTTAATTATTAATTGAATTTTGATTGAAAATATAAATAGATATTAAGTCTTTCTGATTGACTTAATTTAATTAAAGTTACAACAAAATCATATAGTCAGCTCATCTTGCTTAATTTAGCTTAAAGAATTTAAAGGTTTTTCAAAACTTGCCATTGAGGGAATATAGATTATTAGTTTAGCAACATTTTAAAGAAGAATTTTGATATAGTAGAATGGAATTCGTGAGAGTTAAGAAATTTTTTCATAATGATTTCAATGTGAAAAAATCTAAATTTAAAGATGAAACTATAGTAAATTGTTAATTATAAATATAGCACTTTAATTTAAAATAAGTGAATGAATAAGAAATAATATTTTAGACATATTTTCAGTTGAAAATTCTATTTATTTATATAGTTGAGCTTGACTTGCTATTACTTTTCAAGAGAAGATCAGATTATTTCTGTAGGATTAACTAATGGAAAAATTTTAGAATTTCATAAAAAAGGATTTGATACCAAAGTAATAAGCAAACTTCTTTTATTAAATAATCAACAAAATTTTATCCAAGTTGAAAACAATATTTTTAAAAAAAGTTTGTGACAGAAAAAAAAGAGTATGAAATAGTAGAGTACGAATAGGTTTAAAATTGCCATAAGGGTGAAGTGAAATGCATAATTTCTTATAAACTGTTTAATAATAGATATATATTAACAGGTAGTGTTGACAGAACAGTAAAAATATGGTAATTCAATTCTTTAAGTCAATATATTTATAACCTCAAAAATAATAGGGATACAGATCCTAAAAAAAAGGCTATAGTGTAAACGTTAGTAGGACATTAAGGAACTATTATAGCTATTGAATATTCAAAGAAAAATGAAACTTTATTTACAGCCTCAAATGATAAAACTTTTAAAATTTGGAAGTAAGGATTTAAATAAAATTATTCTGATTCATTTAATTTTTTTTACAATTTATTTAGATAAGAAGAAGGCAGAGAGTTATTTTATCACCCTTGGTTTGTTTGCTATTAAGTAATATTTGATTTTTCTATGAAAAAAATGACAAACAATAGTACTTATATCTCTTGTATACACTGCAAAGATGGTGAAAATCTTCAATTATATGCTGGAGATACTGAAGGTTAAACTTAATTCTTTAAATGATTAGAGCGAAAACAATATTTTAAATAAACTTAGGATCTCTCCATATGATTAGACCAGAATCACTTAAGAAAAATAGTGTTTACATTCTTGAAAAATCAAATTATAATTATCACCGCTTGCATGTAATACAAGTAATATCTGTAGCTAAAGATAATCAACTCTTTAGTATTGGATATGACTAAAAAATTTACGGATTCGAAGAGCTAGCTGGTAAATAGTTTTTTAATTACAAGAATCCTCACAAATGCTTATTTACAAGTATTTGTTGGAATACAAGCCATTCTGTAAATTTTAAAAAGATTAATTTATAACTAAAACTATGTGGAATAATTTATTAAAAAGGAATTAATTGCTGCAGATGAATAGGGAAGAGTTTATTTTATCAATGTTCATACTGACAAAGCAATTTAAGAATTTGCTTTATACCAATAAAAGATACTGAAAATAGAAATAATCGAGCATTCTTAGTCTCTTATGATAGCGACATCTAATTTTATTGATATTCTCAGAATAAAAAGAGGATTAAAAGCAGGTAATGTATCTGAGGCTCATACTGGACCAATTATCGATCTTTATGCTCTTATACCTTTCAAATTAACATAAAAAAAATATAAAGAAAGCCCCAAGTAAAATTAAATTTTTTTGAGTATAATTATTTTAAATACCATTTTTTTAAAATAAAATAGACTAATTAGTGCCAGTTTAGACAATACGATAAGAGTTTGGGATCCTAAAGATATGCAATGCTAAAATCTTCTGGAGAACCCTGATAAACATGAAATAAGTTGCTTGAGTTATTTATCTTAAGCAAATTTATTCGTAACTGGTCATGAAAATGGAGATATAAAGCTTTGGAATATCGAATTAAATAATTACTTGACATTAGATTAGTAGCCTCCTCATAAGCATAAAGATTCAATTTAGTGCTTTACTTCTTATGTCTAAGTAGAGCAAAAAGGCTAGCAGGTGGAAAAAACTGAATATCTTTTCTCATCTGGCTACGATGGAAAGATTAATGTTTGGGAAATTTTTGAAAAAAAGAGTTTTGTTCAGAATTCAATTATGGGGTCAACAATATGTCCTCAGCTAAAATATTCAATACAAGTAGATCCATTTATAGAGCATAGAGTAAAAAAAAATATGTTAAAGCATTAGTTTAAAATTCTTAATTTAATACTTAGCCAGGAAAATTTGAGATTTTGTGTATGGCTTTTGACACAAAAGAAGAAAACATAATAGCTGGAGGTAATAGTGGTCATTTATATTATATAAGAATGTTTACTTATGAAACAAAGCATATAGAAACTGTAAATTGATATTTTAGTTTTAAAAATAAATATTAATTCATTAATTAAAAATATATTAACCAGTATGCTCATTCAGATAGCATAAATGTACTAGTTGTAGAAGAAAGAATTCTTTTTAGTGGTTCTGATGAAAAAGTTATTAAACTTTGGGATTTAGACTCAAAATAACATCTTAACACACTTGACCACTTCAATCATAATATCAAAGATATGCTTATAATTTAAGAAACAGGTCATTTAGTCAGTTGCTCTTTTGATGGAAAAATTTTTGTTTGGGACTATCCACATTCATCTTGTGTTGGGGTAAATATTTTATTTTTTAATTAATAATATTGCTTGATTTAATTATATCTTTTTCTAAGAAATTCGATAAAACTGAAAATCTCAGGTGCATAACTTATGTCTATGATGAAAAAGAAATGAATAACAGTGGAATTATAAAGAAGGAGCTCACATTATATGTAGGAACTGATGATAATAATATATACTCGTTCTAGCTAGATCATTTGCTAGACTCTAAAATTATTTCCGATTAAGATAATATCAGAGATCTGTTTAAAAAGCTTGAAAATAATCTAGAAAAAACAGATAAAGCACAAGAAAAAGACAAGAGAAATCAAACAGAGCAAGAGATTGTTGATAATATTGTTGAATAACAAAGAAAATTGTTAAAAGAATTATAAAAAGATGACTGATTTCAAAAAAAAAAATGTTTAAATTAAATTTTCCAAAAATTTAAAATAAAGCTAATAAAATTTCAAAAATAAAATAAAATTTTCTAAATTAATTCAATTAAATTTTATATAATTTATTATTTCTTTGTTCATTAATTAGTTCGTTTTAATTTTTAAAATTAAAATGAATTCAAATATAAATGTATTAATTATTTCTAATAAATAACTTTTATTCTTTTTTATTTAAAGCAATACCAAAATATTTTTTATAAATAACTTTTTAAACTCAATAATTTTTGAAATATTTAAATGAATTTATTAAAATTTAATACTGTGATGTATAAATTACATCAATGATAATTTTTTTTACCTTTTTTAGCTAAATTTATTATTTTTTGAGTTTGAAATTTTAATAAATTATTTCATTTTCTAATTTTGAAAACTAAAAAATAAACAATGAATTTAAATATTTATGAAATATTAAAGATATAAATTATAATTTATTATTATTTCTCAAACGAATAAATAAATAAGTAAATAAGTATTTCTCAAATAAATCAAGAAAGTTAATTATTTTTATAAATGCTCTTTAAATTTAAAATTTATATTATATTATTAATTTTTTAAAATTTGTATGTAAAATAAATATTTAATTTTAATTTATTTCTTAATTATGGCTCTTTTATATTTATAAATTGCTTTTTAGAATATTAAAATTTAATGAAATTATTTAATACTCATATTAATATGTTATAAATCAAGCAATTTTATATTATTTATCTTTCTTTTTTTTCATATTTGCTATGTTTTTTTTTATAATATTAATCAAACTTTTGTATACACTATTTATGATAAATTAACAGTTGGACTTTTAGCATTTTTTTATAATATTATTGAATTACCTTAGCAACAATTATCTTTTAAGGACTTGTTTTGCTCTTTTTAAATTGTTTTAAATACCAAATTTCGTTAAGAATATGCTGTTATTATTGATTTGTTGATCGGAGATTTGTAGTATGATTCTTGAAATTTATATAACTATTTTTAATATGGCTAAAGAGGTATTTCTTATGGTAAGACATTATTTTGTGTTTTGATTGGATCCCCATTTTAGTATTAATTTTTATTGAGGAGCTCAAATAAAAATATTTTTTAATTTTGTTTTGAAGTAGGTCTGCTTTATTATATCTATTATTCAATTACATCTTTTTTGAATAAATGAGGGCGAGATGATGAAGCAGTAGATTTGTTGCTAAATCCACCAGTTATCACTTAAGATTTAGCTCCATTAAATGGAGAAATACGAGTACTCTATTCGAATTATACTACTGTGTTATTTATTGGTGTCTTACTCTAATCTGTTTCTTATTTAATTTATTGATATATGCTATTAGAATTTGATTCATTAGCTTAAGAATTTAAAGCTTTAGAAGGAGTTGGTGTTTTTTGTTGTTGGGAATTTGGAGTTTTATCTTCACAATCTATATGCAATTATTTTTTGTACTTCGGTTTACAAATATTATTTTATTAATTTTTAGTGTTTTCTAGATGTGTGGTGTGTCTTGATGTATATGAACTAAAATCTAAATTTAATTTGGGTTATACTTTACTATATCTTGATGAACCAGAGCTATCAACAAAATTATAATCAATAATAAATGGTTTCTTTTTATTTTTATTTGAATTTGGTGAATTATTTCCTTTGTTATCACATTGTTTTTAATTCAAAGAGCTTGAAGTAACAAATCTATTTTTGGGACTTTTTATTTACAGATTGATATATTATTTAGAAGGAAATTTATTTAAAGAGATATTTATATTATCATTATTGCTCATTTAATCGCTTACTTCATTTATTTAAGATATTTGACACAAATCTTCCATTTTAGTTCTTAGTTTTTACTCACTTGTCTATATTTATTTATCTTATCTATTCTTTCCAGCATTTTATATCTCAAGAATTTATTATTCATTTAATTATCTTTCATTGTTTTGACTCTCATTTTTTGTATATACATTTTCTCTATGAATCAGATACTAGAAAATATCTTCATTTTTTCTCTGAGTTAAGCTTTTTTCATGATCAGATTTCTTGATTTAATTTGTTTGATTTTATTCTTATAATTAATAGTTTTCATATTAGCATGATTAATTACCAAAATATAAACCTTAATTGTTACTCTCAGAATGTTTAGGAGTTGGAAAAAATATGCTTAATCTTTACTTAGAATTTGTGCTCTTAGGTGTTGAAGGTGCTTATCGAGATGAACTTGTTAAAGTCATATAAATCGGTATGGAAGGAGGTGGTTGTATAGACATTCTTTTTATTATTTGATTCTTAAAAACTTGCTATCGATTGATATTTAAAGCCTTTTTGATGTTCTCAAAATATTATTTTTACGATAGTGAATCTATGGATAGTCTTTTGTTTACTAATTATTAAGCATCTTTAAAATCTTTTTCGAAACATTTTAGTGACTAAGACGAAGGTAAATTATCTTTACTTTTTTATTCTTAATCAATATTCTAATTAGATTAAATTTTACTATACTATTCACTCATTTAGTTTTCTATTTAGACCATTTATTAAAATCTATCCTTTAAGTCTGAAGTATGAAACAACTAGTTTAAATCAAGAGAATTTGCAGAATCAAGTTTATCCGATCTAATTGCTTCTAAACACTGCTTCTTTACTTTGAAAGTTATTTTTTTAGGACTTTAAGATATCTTTTTATGCCCATTTTTTTCTCTGCCAGTCAAAGTTGTCTAGGTTTTACTTAATTCCTTTATTTGTAATTTTATTTTATTTTTATCTTCTTAACCTTTTATCTTTTTCTACTCATTTTATACTTGTATCTGTTGTTTTAACATTTCAGCTTATTTATTTTTTTTTTTAAGTTGCTATTCATTCATATTAATAGTCAATCTATTCATCAGTTCTTCTTCATAAAAGTTTTTTGGAGATGTTGCCATATTCTTTAAAAGATTAGACTCACTTTCAAACTTTTAGGTCAGCTCTTCTTTTGAATTCTATTACTTGCTTTTCTATAGAGAATTGAATTCACTAATTCTTAATCCAGAAAAAAATCCTCCATCTTTTTTTGAATTGGATTGGGATTTATTAGTCATACTTTTAAGTATGGTAGAGAGTATAGCTTTTTAGCTTTTTTAATTGGATAAGTTACTAAAAGTGATATTTGCTTATTACTTACTACTATTCTGCTTTCCTTTTTCTTCTATGCTTTTGTTTAAAAGGTTTGCGAATTGCTTAATTGATTTTTGAGAAGAAATATTATTTTTTATAATTTTAGTTGGCATGCTCTTAATCTCCATTTGATTATTCTTGAACTCATCTTTATTATTTTCTTACAAATAATCAATCTCAAATCTAGGAGAAAGAGAGTTTTGCTCAGAAAGTTTTTCTTCACGACTTAATTCAGTTTTTACATGGAAATACTACTTTGGTGATTCATCATGATGACAATGACTAGAAAATCCTTTTATTTTTACCTGAGTTTCTGAATTAGTTGGAGTCTAAAGAGCACTTATATATTTTGAATTTATCTAATTGGAAGACTTTTAATTTACTTAGTCATTTTCTTGATTTACATCTATTCCTAGCTCTAGTAACCCTTTTATTTATCTAAGAGATCTATTTGTTTAGATACTATACTTCCTATATTCTAATTACTAAAATAGGTTTTTAGAGTTTTCTAAGTATTGATTCCTCCATTACTATTTTAAGCAATACTCCTTTGCCAATTCATTATTATTTTTATCTTTGATACTATTTAAATAAACTTATTTATCTAACAGATAAACTTCCGCCTTTATACTTGTACAAATAGCAGTTTCTTGTCTCTTTTACTCATGTTATGCAACTTCACTTAATCCAAAACTTTAACCAGAGCTTAGCAAAACAATCTTTAAAAAAATTAAAAATTTAAAGACTTATTTTTTGTAAATTAAAAAAATATTTACTTTTTATTTTTTTTGGATTTCTTTCTTTTTGGTCCTCTTAAATTGCAAGTTAAGCATATTAAAGCTTTCATAAAACTCTTCAATGCTCTACTTATAACATTCCATAGGTTATTCTGGCTCTTCGTAGTCAGCTTGAATATCTTAAACTATCTATTAAAAAAAATTTGTATTAACTTATGATTTAATAGCTTATTTTTACTTCAAATTCTCCTGATTTTATCAAGTATATATACTAAATTGGATCATTCTTGGTGTAAACAATTTAATTTTTGATATACTCACAAACTTTTATTGTTTATAGCAAATTGGAAAGATGAGCATTACTCCAAATCTAAAGAAAAGGAAATTTTCTTAAAAATTCAATTTTCTCTTGCAATTAGTTTGAAAAATACTTTTCTAAAATTAAAAAAACAATTTCTTTAAAAGGTAAATAATTTTAAAAGCATTTACCAACAATAAAATGATAGGCATCTGAATTTAATGAAGCTACATAAGTATTTTCACAACAAACAAGTGCTGAATTTCTATTTATTTTTTGAATAAAAATAAATTAATATTAATATGCGTTTATTTAAAAAAAGAGAATGCTTTGGAAAATATTAAGTTCATTATTTAAAAATTAAATGTTAAATTGTGAAAATAACAAATTTCTGCTAATTTTTTTGTTGTTAACGCTATCAATTTAGTCAAATTATTTTCACTGAAACTAAATAACGCAAAGTATTAAAGTAGTAAAATAACACTGAAATAAATAGAGTTAATGCATTACCTTGCAACTTTCTGATTGAGTACTTATCCTTCAATTTAGTGATCACTTGTTATAATATCAACTAAAGCCTTATTTGGGTAATTTTCTATAATAGATTGAATGTCCTTTTGCTATTCATCACTAATTGATTTGAATTTTTCCTAACCAATTTATTCCTCTTCATTTATTTAAGAAGTAGGCTTTAATAAGTAAGCACTACCAGAAAGTAAAATATAGTATTTATAGCAAGCGTCACCTTTGTTATCGAATAAAAAAATTAGTATATAAATTTAGTAAATTTATGAGTGTGAAATTTAGATATTTATTTGTTTATTATCTATTTAATAGCTAGACTAGCTTTAAAAATTTACCATAACGGAATATAGCCTTATGCTTTTTATGATATTCAAGTTTAAGCTCTCCAAAAAGCAAATTATACTACACTTATGGAAGTTAATTTTCTATATCTTTAAATATCTTAAAATTTTTGAAATACTCTTTTAATATCTGTATATCTTCTGAATTTCTATCTTCCTTTTAATAGCTCAATGTCTAAATTACCACCTATTTATAAATTTGATGTTTATTAATGTCTAATTTTATTAATTTTGCTCAAAAAAGCATCTTAAAACTTTCTTTTAAATCTTTTACTTTAAGCAATTTGTTTTTATCTTAATCTACTCCTTCCGTGCTTAATGTCATTCTTCAATAAATCTCTACGTGCTTACTAAAAATAATATCTCTTATAGGCTTATGGATGTTTGTTAGTATTATAGAGCTATTTCTGAAGACTTTTTATATAGATATTAAAAATCTATAAAAACACTACTTTTTTTTGTTATTAATTAATTACTATTTTCAATTTTTATGTAAGTTATTTTTGTTACTATTATACTATTTAACTTAAATAAGTTTATTTAAAGCTTTATTCTTTAACTTTTATATAAATTCAGATTTAACACTCTTTAATTTGAAAATTATTTTTAAATAATAATATTTTTTACTTGTCAATATTACACAATATTTGGTTCTAAAGGCTTCTCACAAATGCTCTAAATCAATATAAGGATTTAAGCTACCAGTAAAAATTGTAAGATTCCAAAAATCTAAATATTGATTTGTTTATTTATTAAATTTCTACCACACATACAACACAAGTTAGAATCAATATCTTATTTATTTAGAAATTATCAAAAATTAATTACTCTAAAAATGATTGGTTTTTATTCATCAAATGTCCTTTATTTCTGATAAAAAAACGCAAAATGACCCATTATTAATAGATATTTAAGAAGTAAATTTAATTTTTCAGATTGTAAAGAAAGCAATTAATATATTAATAAATACTACAAAAAAAATAAAATAGACTTATTTTAAGATATTTGCAAATTTGATAATATTTTTAAATAAACTCAAAAATAAATTTTAATTTTAATTGTAAATGAATCCTTTTATATACTAAAAAAATCAAATTACCTCTATAAAAAGCACTATCTCAATTTAATAAAATAAAGTATAAAGTATTAATCTTAAAATGCATCTAAGCTATTAATGAATTAGGTTAAGAAAATTTATTAGCTATAAATTCCATAAATTATATTCATCAAACAGTTTATATGTAGCATATATATATTCATGATTAACTTTTATATAATATTTTTTTAATTATTTTTGACATAAACCAAAAATTATAAGTGAATATTTTATAGTTAATTATTGATCAGGCTTTTTTAATGAGAAATAAATTATAATAATTTTTTTATTTAATATTCAAAAGTAAAGTAATAGTATCTTAGATTACCATATAAGTAGTAATTTTTAATAATTCACTTTCCAAGTTAGTTATTTTTCAGGTTTTTGAGTAAAATTTTGATAAAATTATCACTTGAAAGTATAGTAAACAAATTTGAAAATTGGGGTAAATTATTTATGTTTGATTAATTTCTAAGATTTTCTAATATTTTAACAATTAATTATCATTTAAATAAAAAATATTAATTAAATTAATTAGTAAATATATGAAAATTTGGAGCAAATCTTGTAGCCTTTAAATCAAAATTCAGAATTTGGAAACAAAAATTCAATGCATTTAATTTATTTTAAAATTAATAATAGCCCTAAACCTTTAAAAACTCACATTAAAATTTTAGCACTCAAAAGAAGCTAAAGAAATACCTACTAAAATGAAAAAGCCTTAATCGCAATTACCATTAATAACTGGTGAATAGCTTAAAACAATAAAACTGTCAGAAATCTTATAGCATAAAATAACCAACTCTGTTACAAATTTATATTTAAAGATATATTTTGCATATATAGCTAAATGCCTTTCTAAAATTTAGCAAATTAGCAATACTATTTTAAGAAAGTCATTTAATTTTTAATAATACTATTTTTGAATGAAAATATTTTAATAGTTTTTGATTAATAATATTAAATTTGTAAAGCATAAGTTAATCTAGCATCGAATATATTTTAACTAATTATTCTTGATTACTTTAAAATATCTCCATACAGAATTTTGTTTTTATTTAGGTATATTGTCCGCTTTCTTTTATTAATTTATTTATTTACTCCTTAAAAATGATTTTATTAGATATTAATTTGTAAAATTAGATAAATAAAAATCCAATTTTAGAGAAGATATTAAAGCACCACTTTTACATATTTAATTAAAATATAAATGGGGGATAGATTTAATAAAGTATAGTTTTTTAGAAATTCATAACCAGGATTGGTAAATAAAAAAAAATAATTGGTCTTCATCCAATCCGATTTTGGATTTTGGGATCGAGTAGGATAGCTAATCCAAGTTTTCGACTCTAAAACTCAACACTGGTAACTTAAAGTTAGTTAAAATATTTACAAATTATGATTTATTTAGTAAAAAAATAAATTTTTTATTTCATAAATTAAAACCCATATTTTACTAATTATATGGTTGGTAAATATGGAATATTTATAGAAAAATATGTATCTTAACTTGAAAATTAAATATTTTATGAAATATATATGTTCTTTTAAAATAAAAATAAAAAATTAATAGAATTAAAAAAAATATTTTCGTTTTGAATGACTTTTGTAATTTATTATCAATTTATTTTAACTTATTTATAGTGCATAACTTTTTTCGATAAAATGAAAATAAAGCAATAAAATATGGAAAAAAAGTTATTAAAAGGTAGATTTAAAAAAAATAATAAAAAAAAAAATATTTTAAGTTTAAGATTGTTTATTTATTTATAATTAATAAGTTAAATTTGTTACATTCAAATTTATATAAAACATATAAACTAAAAATAGTCAATAATATTAAAATTGAAAATTTTAAACCTATATGCTTTAATAAAAGAGTATTTTATTCAATATTTTTATTAATTCAATTAATGATTCCTTAATTGTTTGAGAAGTTGCTTTCACTTCTTTTACTTGCATCTTGATTATTATAGAAGTTGGGAGAAGAGTGCTCTTATTCATCTAATTATTGGTGGAATCCTCTTTGACCAAGCAAGTATTACTATCTTGCTATTTATCTCTCCTTTAAGTATTTCCAAACTAAGCAGAGAATGAACAAACCAAAATTAATCTTTATTTTAAATATTTTTATAATTTATATGCTTTTTTAACTTTAAATTTTTGTAAATTTTATTTGTGTCTTAACTCCTAATTTAGTTTAAACTTAATCTATTATAAAATAATAATTTACTCCGGCAGATATATAGAGAGACTTTTTAGAATCATCTACATTATCGATTTTCCATTCTTAATATTTGTATCCAGAATCAACTATCTAAGCCAAAATAATCTGTTTTATAAAAACAAAATAAAATTCAATCATCCTTTCAAAACAAAATTGATTTTTTATCATTAAAAATAAATCATTTATTCAATTAGCTTCTCAATCATAATCTATATACTAATCATTAAACTTTTAATAATCTTACGAATAAAACACCTCCTAAGAAGAATAAAATAGAGTAGAAATCGTAACCTATTTAAAATTAATAGTAATAATTAATATTCATTTTATTATTTTGATTAAATAGAAGTGATAATTAATTTTACAAGCCATTTTTGTTTGCTATTGAATATACTATTTTTTGGGAACAATATCAAAAATTTATTTAATTGTATTAACTAATTAATTATTAATAAACAAAAAAAAAGTAATTCTTCCTAATCAAATTAAATAATTAATCAATCAATCAATCAAAATATTCAATCAGATTTTGTGTCAAATCTTTTAATTGATTAGCATGAAATTTTTGTATTGGCTTTACATTAAGTAATAAATATAGCATAAATAAATTTATGTATGGGTATGCCTGCTTACCTTTCAGAATTATTTCTTTTATATTTTTATTTAAAACAAATCACAAGCCTAAAAATAAATTTTTTTTTCATTTTTAAGTAAATTATTTTCAAATTTAAAATATTTTTACTTACTTACTTAATTGTCTTAAATTTATTTAAAAATTTAAAACACTTAAAAAATAATATTAGAATATACTTTATATAAAAAATAAACACTTTAAATATTATTGATAAATCTTTGTGAAACATTTTATAATGAAAATAAACTAATAAATGCAATTAAAAATAAATTTCATGATAATATTTATTATTTTTTAAAAATTTTTATTATTTAAATAACTAATTCTATTATATATAGATAGCTGCTAGCTCATTAACTTACTCACTCGTCTATAGAAAGAAGCCCTAATTAAATATTAAATTTATTTTAAAATATACTATTGATGTAAGAATATTAAATTTACCTTCTCTTACATCCTTTAAAGTACCTGAGCATTTACAAATGTGGAAACAAATGTACATAATTCCAAATATAAACAATATCAAACCATAAATATATCCAATTAGATCACTTGTTTCATCTTCAATTTAATATACTGAGAGAGAAGAAAGGCTTTATTTAAGGTATTTTTAATTAATTTATATAAGGAAATTACTCTTAATTAAAATCAAAAATAATTGCTTACAACAAATAGAAGCAACCTTTTCCTAAGAAAGTTTGTATAAACTTGAAATATTCTGATCCAAAATCCTTTTTAACTTCACTGATAATAATCATAACTCCAAATAATCTATTTTTATAATAAATATTCATAAAATAATTCTTTTAAATTTATCATTTGTATTTGAAAAATATAATGTTTTCTTAATCTTCTATTTCAAAATTTTATTTTAAACAAAAAATGAAATAATAAGAAGATTCAAACATAATTTAGTAATTTAAAAATTTACATCATAAATAATGGCATGAATATGCAGAAAAATTTAGATCCTATGTTTGCTAAAAAACTTAAAGTGACAATTTTCCAGACTCCAATAAACCCTAAAAAGATGCTATTTGTAATTAAAAATTAATAATTAATCTAGGTTAAGATTCATTAAATAAGAATAAATATTTGATAAAATATTTTGCTTATTACCCCACTATTACATTAACAACTCTAATAACTTATGCGATTGTTTTTCCTTGAGCCATTTTCTTTATCTATCTATCCTATTGGTTAATTATATATTTAATTATTTTTACAATTTTATACTAAACTTATTTTACAATTTTTTTCTTTGTAAAAGAAGATACAATATTTATTAAAATTTTTCTTTGGCGAAATTTTGGTTTGGTTATAATACAAATATCAATCAACATTCAAAATATTTGTTTTTTTCAAAAACTTTACCACAGATTTAGCTTAGATTTTAAACCATAAAATACTATAAAAACATTACATATTCATTGATTTATTTACTAATTCTAAGTTAAAAAGTGCTTCTTACAATTATTAATTCAAATATAATAGTGAAATATTAAATTTTACTATATTTAGTAATTATAAGTATAACCTAAGTTAATGAACAAATATTCTATAATTAAATTATTTATTCAATCTAAAATAGTTTTTTAAATATAAAAATAGTTTTCCCTAAATTTAATATTTTAATTATATTTTCAAAAAAAGAATAAATAAACTTTATTACTGTTGATATAAAAATAAACCATCAATACTAATTTTTTTACAATACTTTCATTTTATTTTTACTTTTTTTTGTTTTAAAATACCTAATATTAGATTTTTTAATTAGAAAATTATTTATCCAGTCTAAATATCACCAAAAAAAAAATATATAATAAAGTATGAAACAAAGATATTTAATATAAATGTTTACAATTAAATGAAGGTATTTATTCTTTCTATTTTATTTGTGAGTTTAGTTTAAATATCAATAAATTCTAGTAATATCATTAAAACTTTTGAATAAATTAAACAACTTTTAAGATAGCTTTGAATTTTACATATTTTTCAGTGTTTTTATTAACAAAAATTAAAAAACTAGTTGTGTTGACTATTAAATAAAAGCTTTTAATAAAAAACTAATTTTATTTTGTGAATTTATTATTTTTATGATTTCAAAAACATTTGGACAGCTTAAAATTTTTGCAAATTATTATCCATGAAAATTAAAATTCATCTCTTTGATAGTCTGTATAATAAATATTATCCAAAAATAGCTATGCTTGATTATTTAGTTGGTAAAATTAGTGGTATTTTTAATATTTGCGTTAAAAAGTAATATAATCAAAGCAGGTAAGTTTATCAATAATTAATGTAAACTGAAATAATTAATTTAGCTTATATTATTTTTTATGTAAAGTTAACAAATTTTAGAGATGTTTATTTTAATATTTTAATTTATAAAATATTTATGTACAAATCATACATTTAGACATTACAGAAAGGGTAAGAATCAATATTAGATATATTAGATTAATAAGATAGATAGAAAGGAAAGTTGGTTTGTTAATTAATTAATTTTATGAAGGAAAATGGAAATTTTATTAGTATTTCCATTAATTATAAGATTTGAAAAGATAATTTAAGTGTTAAATAGTCACTAGTGAGATTGTTATTATTTTATATATTTTATTATATTTTAGATAAGGGAAAGTTTCTTTATTTATAGGTTGTAAGAAAGAAGATGAGCTTATTGATTCAATTATTTGATGATAATTATATTGGATTCAAAAAGATCCATCAAGAGAGATAGTAGGACTAGAATCTATATTTTTAATTAAAATTATTAATTTAATAAAGAATTGTATCTATAAATTTATTTATTTATTTACCTTTTGTTAAATTTGCAAAAATATCGCTGGAGTCGCTTTGATTATTTTCTCTTCCTAATTTTTTGGTTATGAGGTTTTTATATGGAGCTTTTAATAATTTTTTTTTAAGAGATTCCCAACTTGTTTTAATGAACCATGGGTGCTTCTTGATTTATTCAATTCCTTTAGCACCTAACCTCTTTGAAGGGTTTTTCATAAAGAGACCTTCTAAAAGACTTTTGAGTTATGGGGAAATGCAAGCAGGGTAAGTAACTTGAGAAAATTTTATTTTCTCGAATAATTCTTCTTGTGATTTAGCTTCAAATGGAGTATGACCTATTTTTTTAAAAGGGTTTGTTTAGATTTAATATTTTGGGAAAATAGCAAATCAAATAGATCAAAAAATTCAGTAAAATGGTAATTAATTATTATTTGGTGAAGAAAATTCATATTATATATCTATTTATGTCTTTCAAAAATTTTCAAATCAATAACTAAATTAAATTATCTTAGATATTAATCAACACATTTTAATATCGAATTGCTTTTATAAAAAAATATAAAAAATTTGTTAGCTCTGAATTAACGCAAAGATTATATCAGTTTTCTTGATAGAAGAAAGAATATTTTACTGATTATAAATATAATAGATATAAATTACCAGTTATCATTTCGAATATTAGAACTCCTAGAGCCCAATGATCTACTTGTTTGCCATATCCTGACTCAAAAAGCATTTCAGGAGAAACATACTCAGGAGTACCGCATATCTTATCGAGAGTGGGTGAGACTACTTCGACTTCTGAGAGGCCAAAATCTGTGAGTTTTACATATCCATTTTCATCAAGAAGTATGTTTTCTGGTTTGAGACTAAAATTTGAATAATGTGAAAAGTTAATAAATTAATGATAAATTATAATATTTTTTTAATTATTAAATTAATAATTTAGCTAAAAAAGAAAGAGTTTCTTATGAAAATAATTTGATAATTCACAAAAATTTACTCTCTGTAAACAATATCGTTCTAGTGAAGGTAGTCTAGTGCAATCAGAACTTAGCTTGCATAAAATCTTGCACTGTTAGTTATAAACAAAAAAACGTTATTAATTTAGTCATAGTTAGAAATATTTTGCAATTTTTATGAGGAGATAATTTATCAATATGAAATCCCCCACTTTTAATTTATTCAAAAGTGAAAAAAAAACATTTAATTTTCGATAATTTATTTGTTTTTGTATTCAAAATAAATTTTTGATTTTATTTTCTATTAAATTTGCTCCCCAAAAATCTTTCATGTTAATAAAGATCAAAATTTAATATAAAATATTTACGCATCTTCAGATAAATGTCCTCTATTTTGTATAATATCATAGAGTTCTCCACCTTAAACATATTCCATAATAAAGAAAGAGCAGCTTTTATCTTTCACAAATTCCTTAGACTATACAAAGAAAGGATGATTTTTACATTTCTCAAGAATTATTCTTTCATTTTGTATGGAGGAGATTTGATTTTTTCTCTCCTTGTTATTTTTAATAATTTTAATGGCGACTTATTCATCACCGTTCCCTCTTAAGTCTTGAGCTAGCACAACATCTCCATATGTTCCGTTGCCGATAAGCTCAAGAACTTTATAATTTTATTGTAATTGGGATGATTTTATGAGTTAAGATGCCTCCATTTATGTTTAATTCTTTGAATAATGGCTTTATTTAAAATGTATTGTTTTGTTTTTATTTTTATCAATTTTTTTGTTTTTGTTTTAATTATTTAATTTTTTTTTGAATAGATTTATCACATATAAATTTTTTACTGAAATATTATTTTTAAATGTCTGTAAATTACAAAGGGTCTTAGATCAATTCATTAATTATCGACATAAAAGTGAAAAATCTGACGAAATATAACTAAATTAATCAAAACATTTTTATATTGACTAAAATACTCATCAAAAATAGAAGAAATTTAATCTAAAAAAGGAACAATTAGGTATTTATTACCAATAATCATTCAAAATTAAAAGCAAAATGTTCTTAAGCTTTGAATGGCCATATTTTCTTTCTTCAATTACTAGCAATCACATTAAAAAGCTTAATAATATTAACAAATTTAATAGTGCGTATCAATTTCTAAAAATATTTTGAGTGTATATTTTAGTTTTTCTTATTTTAAATATAAAACAAACTCAGTAATTCTATTATTTAAAAAAATTAATTTTCTACTCTTAATGCTACACAAAACAAGAATAAACCATAACCTCACCGATTCTATTTTGATAATGCGTATTCGATTAATTTCATTAAAATATTCTTTAATTTGCTACTGAAAATCTAAAAATATTTACCATTCATATAATTAGTAGAAAATAATCAACAAAAATATTTCACTTCGTACAAAACAATCTTAGTATGCTAATTACGTTTGGTTACTCAAGGATTCTACCTACAATAAAAAAGGATAAATTTGTATAGTGCTTGAACCAACAAATTGAATTTTTTCTTATTTTCTTTTTCTAGCTCAATAATGTGGATATTATAAAATTAATAAATAATAGGTACGTACGCTGACTGCCTTTTTTTAGTTGCGAACTATTTAAAAATAAAAAAAATAAAAAAATGAAAGGTTTTTCAATTTGGTTATTTTAAATTAAATTGCCGATTTCATTTTTTTAATCTGAATAGTAAAAGAAAATCTTTAGGCAAATATTCATTCAAATTAATTGTATTTTTGAAATATTAGTCAGCCTATTTGTAATCGTCATAAAATTTTAAGAGTTTTACCTTATAAAATAAATTAAATGATTGTTTGTCATTTATTTTTAATATTTGATAAGAATGAAATAGTATCAAAACAAACACAAAGTAAGAAATTGCATTTGTTTCTATGTTATTTTTTCTTTATAAATTTGATGATTTATCAATTATTTTATTGGGTTAGCAATTATTTAAAATGTAATCTAGAAATTTTCCTATAAACTCCTTATCTAGCTGAATTAATAAAAAGAAATGAAAAAGAACAATATTGCTTTTTCTATTAATTTAATTAGAAATATTTTTGAATTTTAGAAATATTAAAGAAATCTATTTAACTACTTTACTCACTTTAACTTCACAATAATCAAAATAAAATTGAATAAAGTTTAGCTACAAATAGGTATCCTTAATTACATTTTTTTAAAATGTAATATTAAATTTATAGATCTAGCTAGCTCAATAGATTATTAAAGTTATTAAATTCAAGCGGTCTAATGTCGTATCAATAAATTTAATTTACTTCAAGCAAAAAAGAACCCTAATAATTTGATACCTTATCTATAATTCAGTATATATATATATTACAGTTATCCCCCTTCAATTTATAGAAAATTAATAGAGATATGAAAGTTCTACTCAAAATCGCTCTAAAAAATAGTTTAAGTGAATTTAAATTAATTCAACAAAAATATTTCTTTAAAAGCAAAATACAGCAATAGTAACTAAAATATTAATTTTTATTCATCTTTTATTTAATTATAAAGTCAGTATAATTTATTTTTTAAAAAACAATTCAAATATTCTTCTTCAATGTCTCAACAGATTAAATGCCCAGCTAAAGAGCCAATGCATCATGCAGGTGTGAATCAAGCAGGAATAAGAAAACATATATATTCATGCAAGTAAAAAATAAATAAATATTTACTCATTTTAAATACTTAAATTTTATTTTTATATAAAATAAAAATAGAGCTTTGAAAAGGAAGGATGCTGATACAATTGTTTACTAATGCTAATATTGTCAAATTCATTTTTACCTGTCAAAGTAAGATCTCGAACAACATGTAAAACTGTGCAGCCTTTCTTATCCAAAAAAAATTGAATGGAATGAAAGAATAAACACTATCATCATCCCAGCTGATCCTCACTTAAAAATTATAGATCCTAAAGAAGCATGTAAAAACTGGGAATACTATAGAGATAGAAATAAAAAAATGAAGGAAATGAAAAGACTAAGTGTGTAGCCATCATCAAATACTAGTCTTAATTCTTAAAACGATGATAGCAATAGATCTTAATCTCCATGCAAAATAAATTCACCTAGTAAAATAAAAAAATTAAAACCTTCTGAAAGCTAATAATGTTATCCTACTCAGGAACTCTCATAAGAAGAAATATTAAGACAAGAATAGCTGATGAAAGAAAACGATGAAAAAATTAGAGTTTAATATCTTGAAGAGCTTAAAAATAGAATCAAAGTTGATGATTACTAAGACAACCTATATACTAATTGACTAAATTTACAAGACACCATAATTTATTATTATTTTTCAATTTTAATGATATTTTATCAACTACATATTTAGTTTGCTAGTTAAATTTATTTTTTTACATATTAATCATTCTTCATTATTTTTATTTTTTTAATTTTTCTCTTCAATATTAACTCAAAATAATTTTTTATCTAATAAGTAAATTCAAGGAAATTTGCTATAAAATATGAATTGTTCATTTTTTATCTATTACCTCTTTAATCTAAAAATTATTAAGAACTAATTAATTTCTACAATTTTTGAAAGATTTAATTAGCTTAAAGAAAAAAAAAATAAATTTTTATAATACTTACTCAAAAATAGTCTAAATAAAATTAAAATGTATTTTCATGTAAAAATTTTTTTAATCAAAAATTTAGTATTAAGAAACAAGTAAAATATTTCATAAATTAGAGTTTTTTTCAAAATTATGTTATCATGTTAAAATTTATAGAAATTATGCTATATATTTTGATTAAATTAGGTTTGCATTATAAAAAGTTAATATTTTTCAGTTGTTATTAGTAAACTAAATTTTTAATTAAGTTTTTTTCAAAAAAATTTTTTCAATTTATTAAGGATATAAAATAATTAAGAATCAATCTTTATAAGTATTTTTTATTAAAAAATATTATTTTAATTTTTTTTCTGTTAAAATTTATTGACTAAAAAGTCTTAAATTTTTATTATCTTTATTTAAATTTTAGAATAATGTTTTATACTTAAAAAATAAATTGATATTAATATTAGAAACGTTAATAAGATAGCCATTAAATAAATTTTCATTTAAAAAGTATCTTTAGCTTTGTTGTTTTTTTAGTAGCTTATTTTAAAAATAAAATTTTTATTTTCTAAAATATTTAAAAAATAACTACCTTTTAACATGAATGCAAAATTATTTTATAGAAATTAAATTTAATTAATTAATATTTTATTTAACTAATACTAATCTCTATTAATTTAAATTATTTATTATCAAAATTTATAATTAATTATTTTTTTTTAATCCTAAAATTGAAGAAAAATTAATTTTAGTTAGCATTTTATTAAATTAAAGCTTAAGAATTGCATTTATATTTTTATATTTATAATTAAAATATAAAATTAAAAATAAATTTAGATATTTCATTTAAATTAAATTTCTCAAAAAGTAGAATTAATAATATAAATTTGATTAAAATTAATTTAGTATTATTGTTATTAAAATTTTTATAAGTATTTTATCAACTTTATAACTTTTGATACTTTTAGATTGCATCTCTTTGAAGGTCAATCTATTTATTACCTGGTCAGAATAATTTTGATTATTTGATTCAAGCTAAAAAAATCTTAATATTATTGAGATAATTCAAATTTATATATTGTTAAAAAATAAATGAATTGGAGAAACATAATAAAATATACTATTTTTGTTGCCTAAATAATAAATATTACTACAGGATTCTTGACAGAGGACATTTTTAAACATTTTAATTCATAATATATAGTAATTATTAGTTATGTAGTATATGAAATATCCCTTATTTGTACTATTGATTAAAAAAAAGCTAAAAAATCTACCTTTTATTCTCAACTAGTTTTCAATGTAATCTACATATTAATGATATTTGTGATGGTGATTCTCATGTATGAGAGCTAAGTATATAAAGAATTACTGATATTTATTCCTATTTCGATTGGCTTTCATATGACATTAGTAGATCTCTATTTCCATGATTATTGGCATATCCTAAAAAAAAAATAAAATGAAGAGAATTTACGCTAAATATAAATTAATGTATGAATATTATAATAATTTAAAGTTAATTTTTAAAAACTCTGTAAATGTATTTCTCGATTGTATTATTTTATTTGACCAACATAAAAATATAGATATTAATTTCATCAAAACTAATTTGTAAACCATATTTTGAATAATAATTTATTAATTAATTAATTATATATTTTTCTAATTTGCTTTGATAAAAATTAATCTGTATCCTGAAAATATTTTTGATAAATTTGTTTTATTTAAAATTTGATTCTATGATAAAAATAACAATAAAATTTTTTAAAGTTTTAAAACAATTTATTTTATTTAATATTTATTATTTATATTTTGAATTAAATAATATTAATAATAGTTAATATAACTAATTCATCTTATTTTACAAAAGGTTCTACTATTTTTATTAATATACTCTCATAGGATGGTGAATACTTGGGAATTGCAAGAAAACTTTTACAAATTCGGTTAATTTAAATTTCTTACAAATTTGAAAATAATTTAACTACTCTTAAGCAACCCTGATATATTTATGGGTAATAAATTTATGCTATTTTTTTTATTTAATGAAAGGGCTTTATGTAAGTGAATTTTAATGAATTAAATAAGATCAATTCAAATTAATGTTCAATAATATATCTTTTTTAATTTAGTTTATGAAATAAATTATTTTTTTAAACATTTTTAAGCTTTTTTAAAGAATTTTAACTGATTTAATTAAAGAGCTTAATGTTTGTTATCCTTTAATAAAATATATTTCATTCTTTGAAATCAAAAAATTAGGTTTTAATTATTCTAATTATTTCTAAAATCTCAATTTTTATTATCTACCAGCTTATTGAAAGGCTTTCATCACTTTTTAAGGTTTAGGATTTTTACCCTGCTACTTTTGATTATCTTTTATATGATTTACATTTTTAAAATAAATGAAAATATCTGATTTTTACTTTAGGATAATAAAAAAATTATTATTTATCTATATTCAAAATATTTTTTCAATTAATAACTTAATTAAATTTAGATGATAGTTTTTAACAGTTAAGATATTATAGTAATAAATTGGAAAATTTTTAATGGTATTAAATAAATTTTAAGATTTTTTCAAATATTATAGGATAGAATAATTTAATAAAAAATAATTGCCAAAATACATATAATAAAAGATAAAAAATACTAAATACACAACTTGGTAGTATTAATCGTATTTAGATTATTTACTATAGAAGAAATATTTACTTTATAATAACCAAAAGGAGTATGCCTGCTCATAATTTATTAAATCTGATATTTTTGATAGACTTAAAAAGAAAATTAAAAATAATAATTGTAATAAATTGAAAGAATCAATCAAAATTTTAATAAATTAAAAAAAAAAAATTAATTATCAAATCTAAAATATTTAGTAATAGTATTTATTATTTTCTTTATTGGTCATATATCATAGATTCTTCTGAAGGTAATATTATTTTGGCAAATAAACTACCAAATTAACATTAAATTAAAATATTTATTTTCACATAGTCAGAAAATAGTTTGAATAAGAACTCAATTTTTACAAAAATTTTAGCTATCAAATAATAATTAAGGAAGGATTTATACATCTATTTTTTAAATACTAATAAGATTTAAAATCTATTACTTAGTTTAGTAGTGATTATAGCTTCATTTTAATCTAAAAATACTTGGCATAATGATTCTTTATATCAAAACTATAGATGAAAAAATGATTTACATAGAGTGTGAATGTACTGATAATGTGTAAAGAGTAAAGGAACTTGTTCAGATTAAGCTTAATATGCCTATAGAAAGACAAAGAATTATTTTTGCAGGTAAGTAGCTCGAAGACCATAGAATATTAGCAGGATATGGAATACAAAAGGAATCTACTCTTTATGTAGTAGATAGATAGTTAAAAGGATGTTAGTAAAAATGAATATTTTAAACATATGAATATTTACTCAAGTAATTAATATTTCTATAAATCTTTAATAAAATGTGTAAAAAATAGTTAAATAATATAAAACAAATTCATTAATTAATCTTAGATTTTATTATTTAGTTTTCTCATTTATTGAATAAGTTAAAATCTAACCTTAAAAATATAAAACATTTTTTATTCAAAAATAAATTTAAATCAATAATTTATAAAATGTTTTTTATATTTTTATTATTTTAGCTAAATTTATATCTAAAAAAATAAAAAAATAACACTCCTATTTCCTTTAAAGTTCTACAAAGAATATTAAATTTTTAACTTAAATTAACTATGAATAATAAATAATACATAAAAAAATTAAAGAGTTTACCCATAAAGTTTGGTTAAATTTGAAATAAAGTTAAAGTAAAATATTTTATATGTATTTTTTTTAAATTTTGAAATTAAAAATAATTATTTAAATCTATTTTATTATTCTGTTTTTCTTGTTTTTAATTTTAAAATACAGATTATTGAAATAATAAAAAGAAAGCTTTTAATTTTATTAAATAGGAGATAAGTTTTTTGTTGATTGATTATTCATCACAAAATTATACAAATTTAATTTTATATAATTTATTTAAAAATATTTATTATAATAAAAATTATAATTTAAATTTTTTAGTTTTTAATTTTAAAATACACATTGTTGAAATAATGATAAAAAGCTTTTAATTTCATTAAATAGGAGATAAGCTTTTTGTTGATTGATTTTTCATCATAAAATTATACAAGTTATTTAAAAATGTTTTATTTATAAAAAATAATAATTTAAATTTCTTATTTTTTATTTTAAAATACTGATTATTGAAATAATGAGAAAAAGCTTTTAATTTCATTAAATAGGAGATAAGATTTATGTTGATTGATTATTCATCATAAAACTATATAAATTTAAATTTTATATAAATTATTTAAAAATGTTTTATTTCTGAAAAAAAATAAATTTAAAGAAAAAGTTTTATTCAAAAAGAATATTTTTAATATATGATGAAAGTGTTTGCTTTCCTAAAAATACTAGTTTGAGTGATTAAAATACTTGATTATAGCTATTTAATTACAATATAAATTTGAGAGAATTGAAATTTTTAAAAAGAAAATTTAGAATAACTTTTAAGTTAAATTTTTTTTTAATAAAGAAACAATCAATTTCTCCTTAGAGTTAAAGATATCAATCAAGTAGAAACATTTAAAAAGAAAAATAAATAGAGAATGCTAAGCAAAAAAGATATAGAGAATTTAATGGAACTACTTATGCTAGATCCAGATATCACTTTAGAAGGATTATTCTAAACGTTTATCAAAAAATATAACAGCGAATACCATAATTTATTTAGACCATGCTCACTCTGTCTGTGCTTACTAAAAGAAAATGTATTTTCAGAATTAAAATTTTAATTCTAATTGGGCTAATATTTAAATAACAAAGATAATTTAATGATAAATAAGTTACATTTAATAAGCGAAAAGAAATAGTTTAAACTAATAATAATGTTTAATATAAACAATAGCTGATTACAGAATAGTAAAGGTTAACGAGCATATTTCTCATTATGGAATCTTACAAAAACGATTAAAAAGCTAATCCATTTATTGCTAATTTGATAGATGTAATTTTACAATATAATGATCAATATGAAGCTAAGCTCTTTTAGAGATTATACAGCAGTAATCTAAAAGAGAAGGAATAAGTATTTTATTATTCATAATAAATAGAATATTTTAAATTGCTTTTTTAATGTAAAAATTATAAATAGTTTAGCAAATAACAATTAGGAATTCTCTTTTAAGAAAAAGATAGCCATAAATATGTAGCATCAACAGTTTATTAAGATAAAATCAAGGAAATCAAAGCAAAATATATAGATTCTTTACCTCGAGTAATAACCTATTACATTTTAATGAAATTGGAATTGATCATAATAGATAATCAATCATTAATTATTGATAAATAGCTCACTCCTTTTATATACTTTGAACTTTATTTTTTAATATAAAAAAGAATCTTTTGGCTTATAATTATGGAACGACAAATATATTATGTGATTTTAATCTTTCAGACGATTTATAAAACTTTCCTCCATAGTAAAAAGAATAAAAAATGTTATTAATTAATTTAAATTCTTAATCGATAATAGAGTATCTATACTACCAGAATAGTTAAATTTATGTGAATAAGATTGCATGCTTTTTATGCCAGATACACTTAGACCTATACCTTAAAGTGAAGATTTGGGGATAGATGAGGTAAATTATAAATAAATTATTTATTTTGAAACAAACTAATTGATTGAAAAAATATTTTATTTAACAGGAAGAGTGGCTAAATCCAAGTTTAGTAACAGAACATTTATGGGATTACAAGATTTGTGAGCCAAGTGATAAAAAAATATTACTTTAAGAGATTTTAATCAAAGCATATGAAACGAAGTTAAATGATTTAGAATATGATGTATATATATATAAATAATAAGCCAACTTTGTTTGATTAAAAATAATTTTATTTAAAAAGTTATTTAAGAAAGAACTTGAGTAAGATGATGTAAATATAAGAGATTTAGAATTAAATACTGAATTACTGCCCAAGCTAGTTGAAAATAATAATAAAATAGCAAGCTTATTATTGATAAAAATAGCTAAGGAAAAAGAGTTGACATAGTAAATACAACTGATTATATTTTCTTTTTGATATAATTGTAATTTAAAAATTTAAAAATAGATATTTAGAAAAGATTTCAACTCTTGATTTAACTTTATAATCTTTAGAAGTAGTAAATGATTTGATTAACAACGTTAATTTGCCAAAAGAGTTTATTTATTTATACGTTAGCAACATTATTTAATAGTGCGATGAGAATAAAAAAGTAAATATTTATTTATTAAGAAGACATTCAAGAAAATAAAATGACTAATTTTTATAAATGAAATAGGAAAAAAACTAGCATCAAAGATTAGTTAGGCTGGTTTGCGTATTTATAAGATAATTAATAAAATCCCAGAGCATAAATCCTAAAGAAAATTTTATAGAGGTATAGAAAATTAATTTATAATTTAAAATAATATTTGATAAAATTTAATATATAAAAAGCTGTAAGCATTCAGTATTGAGAACTCAAAAATACCTGAAGCAACCACTTTGTTTAAATTGTTAAAAGACCTTGATAATGAACCAAACAATAATAATCACAATAATAATTATCACTGATAGAATATTTGATTGGAATATAATCTAACTTAGCTAAAATTTAAATGAATGAAAAAAGTAGTTAGTTAATAAGCAAATTAATAGATATATAAATAAATAATGCAATTTAAAATATTTAAAACAATAAAAAACGATTTATTAACTAGTTAAATATAAAGAAGAAATATAATATAATTATAATGAGTAAATTTATGAGCTCTAAAAAATATTTTTAAATTAACCAAAACAGCAACTAACTATAAATTATTAATCTGATATAAATAAAAAAGGTATTTAATATAGTTTTTAATTAATTTATTTATATTAATAAACTATCAAAAATTTATTGCAATTATAAAAATTATTAATTACATTCACTTATTTAAATGAATAGATTAATTCATTCATTAGCTTGTTTCTTTGTTTGTTTGCTTACTTGCTTCCTTGCTAGCTTTAATTCATTCTATTTTTGCAACCAAATAATTAATTTTTAAATATCTCTTCTTTTTTTTTAAATTTTTTTTAGTTTAATTAGAATTTTTTTATAAGCTTGAATATTTTTTCATTTAATTAATAAAAATATCTATAGAGAGTTTATAGTATTATTTATAATCATTTTCTCGTAGCTATTTCACCCCAAAAATCATCTTCTTCTAGATTCTAATTACTATTTTTTAAAATAAATTTTTATTAAACTAAAATTAATTTTAGATTTTATTTTTTAAATAAATGCTCTAATCTTGTATTAAACTTTATTTTACTTGTTTTTGCTTTATTTATTGTTATCTTAAGTATTTTAATCAGAAAATAAATCTACTCCAGTATTCTATAATTGTGACTGAACCTATTCGTTTTTATTATCAAAAATATTTCATTATTATAATTAGCTAAAGTATTTACTTATGTTTGAGGCTTTTATTAATTAGATATTGCTTACTGAGGAGAAGAAAATTGAGGAGGGGTCAAAGTTTATTGAGAATTCTAAAATGTTTATTATTAATTCTAAAATGCTTACTGTTAATTTTAATATATTTATTATTAATTCTGAAAGGCTTATTGTTAAATTTAAAATGCTTATTATGGATTATAAGTTGTAAATTATTATTATTATTAATTAAACTATTATAGCTAGCTTTAGAATCCTTGTTAGATTTAGGATTAAACTGGTTAACTAGGGTTTTATCCTGTATTACTATTTGTTTGGTTTTAGTGCAACTAAGTAGGAGCAGTGTTGCTTTATGGCTAATCAAAATCGAAATCAAGTAAATCTATGTTATTGCTTTATTATTTAGTAATATTTTAGCTATTTGCTAATTGTTATTATTAAGCAGTATCATTTTAAATTATTTACTTTTGCTATTGAGTCGATTCTTATTTTACTTAATTATTTTATTTTAGGTTATTATTATCACAGCTATTTAATTTAGCATCTCCTAATTTTGTTGGAGGTGCGATATTTAAGCTTTTGAGCTTCTTTACATAGTTTGTTTTCTCTGCTATTTTAGAATATTCTTCTATGGCACTTTCTTATATAGCTCTATTCAATTATCTATTAAAATTTTTTAGTTTTATTCAAAAAAAAAATAGATTTACTCAATTTCTTATGATTTTTATTCAAAGTTTTTTATAACCAATCTAGTTTATTTGTAAAACTCTAATATTTACTTAAGAAAAATATTTTAAATAAATAATTATATTGCTAATATACATACCTTCTTCTGTTCTTTTAAATCATCTAGCTTGTTTTACGAATTTAAAAGCATAATTTTAGTTTTAAAAGATTTCAAGAACATCATAATATCTTGAGCAAAATCAGCTATTAAAATAAAACTTAGTTACATCAATTAAAAATAAATCTTAGCAATTTTGAATTAAGAAATTGGCATTTGATATTATCTATTAATTTGTTTACTTTAAAAATCTTCAGGCTACTAAGCACTTTCAATGATTGCACTAATAATTTATAAATTATCTACCAATTTATCTAGCTAAATAATTAAAAAAATATTTTGTAGGAATTCGAATAATAAGTTATGTTACATTTTGCTGATTTATTTCAAATTTTTATGCATAATCACTTTGAGCTGGCTTTGTAATTAACTCTTCTCTTTTCTTTTTAGGAACTATTCCTGATTTTTACACTTTAAAAAGAGTAAGGAAATATAATACTTTTATAATAGTGTCATTCTTAATTTACTTTATTATTCTTCAAGTAATCCAAAAATGGGAGATTTTATTCCTTTAAAATTAATCATATGCATTTCGTTTGGATCTCTTTCTGGAAATTTGATTCCCTCTTTTCTTAGGAGTTTGTAATTATTCATTATATTAGGATAATCTCCCTCATGCATCATAAAAGTATCATACCATAACTATATTAAATACAATACCTTGTTTTCTATCTATTATTTAAAAAAGTATAGTTCATATTTAAATTAGAGTATTTAAAAAGAGAGTAATTATTTACAACTTCCCAATTTTTATTGTTTTATTTTATTTATTTAAAGAAGCTCTTTTTTCCCCTTTTCTATTTAAAAAGCAATCTTTTATTAGTATAAATACTATTTGGAATTTACTCTATTTAAGAGTTTTAATATAGCATCTTAGAAATCTTTTGAATCGACATCAAGATGAAATTTCTAATTACAATTTTTAACAAGTGTCTCTAAAATCTTTAAAAAAACATATTAAATATAAAATCTGCAAAAAATTTAAATTATACTTAAACTCCTTTTAATATCATGCCACTTGGAGCATTTTTAAATAAATCCTCCAAAACATATAACGCTTCTTTTCTCCTACATTTCAATTTATTATAATTAATGATAATCGCTAATAGGTGTGTAAATGTACTCATTGAAGCTTTTATCTATTCTTTCTGCTAGATTTATAATAGTAGGCACATCTAATTCTGTATCTTCTTCTTCGTTAACTAAATCCATGATTATATCTTTAACTTTTTCATTTTACTAAACATTGTCATCCATTTTTTAAAAAGTAAATATTTAAATTTAAAAGAAATTTTGTCAATTTTTTTTTAGAATTAATTTATCAATCTCAAGATAGATAGATAAATAATAAATAGAAAGAAAAAAAGAATGATTAGATAGAAAAATTGAAATAATATTATATATAGTTTTTAAAATATAAAAAAATAATCAATTAATTAATTTATGTAATAGTAAATAAAATTGTTCAATAAGATTTAAATTCCCCAAATTTATTTTTAAATCTAATTTTTTATTAAATTAATTAGCATTTCAGTAACTTTTAATTTGCTTAATAATAACTTTTAAGATTGTCCAATAAATTTAAATTTTATAAGTATTTAAGTTTTTATTAATCATAAATATTTGCATCAAATAAATCTTCAAAATAAATTAATAATGCTTTTAGAATTGCGGACTATGGGAAAGAATTATGTATTGTTAAAAATTGATAGAATAGCATTCAATTGCTTTATAATTATGTTAAAAATAAACAAATCAGTTTAAAGACATGAGGTGATAATTTTTGTAATTAAAATCCACAAATTTTAATAAGTTATGATATTTTAAAATAAATCAATAGATAAAAATAATAAATTTACAAAAACACAGAATTGAAAGCTCTTTAATTTTTATATTTACAAAAGGAAGCAAATATAATAATTTTAATTTTTAAAGACATTTTTCAAAGCAGTTAATTGATATTCCATGTAATAAAAGTCAGCTAATTTAGAGCAAATTAAGAATTTGTTAAATAAATAAATAAATTAAACGCTTCATTTATAATTTTCAACATAGTCTCTCAAATAAAATGTGAACAACCATAAAAATGCTACTTAGATTGGAAATTTTACTGATTCTCATAATGATTTAGCTATGCTAACAACTCCTAAAAATAAGTTTATACAAATTAATGAAGAACCCTAGCTAGCAGAATTCTAAATAAAAGAGTTTGGAAGTGTTAAAAAATTTGATGTAAAATAAAATAGTGTAATGAATTCAAGCATCATGAATTAATATGTAAAAAAACCTTATTATCATCACTAAAAATCTAAATCCTCCCAAACAGCTCCTAGACATGTAAGCATACTAATGTCCCATGAAGATGCTTCGTGTTGTAGCAGAGGAACTACAGCTGCTGGGTTAAATTTTGCTTCAGCTGGAAAGGGATCTCCTTTAAAAAAGCATGGAAATGGAATCACAGCTATGAGCTAAATTTCTATATTTTCTCATGACATATCAAACAATGGCGACATTATGACATCTAATAATTAGACAATTAAACCTGAAACAAATTAGACTCACCATAGAAAAAATTAGTCTTGTCTTTCAAAGTATTAGACAATCAATGATCAAGTAGATGATAAAATTTCTCCTATTTAAAGTCCAGCTTCTCATAATCATCATAGAATACTTTCAGCATCAGTTTCATAACCTTCAGTCTCTTCAGCTTATTTAATCAAAAATGAGTCAATCATTTATAAGGAATTCAATTAAAATAACAGACCTGTTTCTTAAAATGCCCAAAAATCATAGCCTAGAGACTTGGCAATCAAATAAAGACCAATGACAGCAATACTAAAACAGTAGGGAGATACAATACAATAAGAAAAAACATTATAGTAGAAAGGTGCATTATTATAAAAGATGATTAATGGATTATAAAAAAGGAAAACAATAAATTCTGCCTCTACAGCTTGCAACTCCACAGTTTTTGAGCTTTTTGATTAAAAAAAAATACATTTAGCTAGGCAATAAAAATAAAAAGCTTTAGATTAATTTCTGAAGTAAAAAGATTAAATAAGAGCTAAAAGCAGCTACATAAATAAAAATCAATAAAACGAAGGATTGATTGAAAGTATCTCCTAAAGTGAAATTAACTCGAATGGTCTAATAAATGTAGCTTCAAGCCAAACTCTTATAGAAACAAATAAAAGTAACAAGCTTATACTTTAAGATATCATCAATGACATGGCTTCAGAATAAAAAGATTTTGTTAAGTACATGATCAATAATGAATAAAGATCTATTATTTTCAGCTAGTTATTTTAAAGAATGGAAAAAATTATTGAAATAAAAGACTTAAAGCTTTTTACACAGTATTTAATTTTCATCTCAAAGTGTTGTCTTGCTGTTCAAGATAACAGCAAAGCTGCTTTCTTTTTATACTAAGTCAAAATTATAACAGACATGAGTAAAAAAGTAGCTCCAATGAAAGCTTAGGCTTATCTTTTGATGGGTTAAGCAGCTATCAATATATAATTATATGCGGAAGCAGTTAAAATTTTTAAAAAGGCTTTATAATATTCTTGGTTCTTTAACTAAAGAGAAAGTGAAATAGCAGCCTATGAGCAATTAGGTGTTAGTTACTATTACTTACAAGATGCAAAACTATCTGAATTTTATCACAATAGATATGTTAAGGCTTAATTTGAATTATCTAATTCTTACATCAGGAATATGTCTTATGAGAATATAAATGAATAGCTAGCTAAAGTAAAAAATTAATTATTAATTTTAATATTAAATTCATATTATTTTATCTAAAATAGAGTGAATATAATTTGAATTAAATAACACCTATTCTGATGGTACATTTAAACCTTCCTGTTTAATATTCTCTTGACAAGGTTTAATAAGGTCTAAGAGAGTCATTTTTAAAGTAGGAATAAAAAAATAATAAAAGAAACTCTTAAATAAGCCAAAAGCTAGAAAACCTTGCCAAAGAAAGTCAACAATAAGTTGAAAACTTTGTAGCAAGTAGATAAAAGACTTTTAATCAAGCAAATGCAGCCAAAATTATAGAGTAACTTATAGAAGACAAGGAATTTATTTATGAAACTGATACTCCAATTTTCTTTGAAAACTTGGATAATATAAAAAGCGATTAAAAAAAGTAATTAAATAACAACTCATAAAACTCAGATGATTTACAAATAACTCCTAGTGATGCAATTCAAAGCAAAAAAAGTTGGGAAGCTCCTATTATGAGAAAAGTAATCTATGACATCTCAAAATTTGGTCCTATTAAAGACCCTGTTCCTAGCTAGAGAGTATTTGAAGATATAACAAAATATAAATTAAGTTTAGATAAAAAGATAGAAATTCTTTCAAAACAAAAAATAGATTTGAATAAAATTATGGAAAAAGTTAATTATTTAGTGTGGAACAATTAAAAATACAATGCCTAAATGCATTAAAGAGTCAGAATTTCTCATCTGACTCCAAATCGTTATGATCCACTTAAATATAATACAACCTACTATGTGATATCTCAAATAAATAAAAGTTATAATATGCTTTTATTCTAATTGAAAAAAGCAGAACAGAATATTAGATGAATTTTAAAATATAAAATAAGAAATAGAATCTTACCAAAAAAAACTTTACAATATATTTATTTATTTATTTTAACTAATAAAACCATTCAAACATATACTAAATAGGATCTGTTTTAAACAAAATTATGTGCATTGATTATACTCAACTATTTATTTAAATATAATTTTCTAGGATAAATTTATTTAATATAAACAGTTTTAATTTTACTCACTCTCTATTCTAAACAAATTCATTTTATATTATTGTAAATTGTATTAAATTTTCAAAAGTTTGCAAATTATTCAGCCATTATCTTCTTCAAATTTACAAAAAAGATATAAATTTAAAAAAATATTCTTTCCAGATAAAATTTCATTATTGGTTTTAGAATATTTGAAATTAAAATCTGATTTAATTTGAATAATGGTGAAATGAACAAATATTTATTTTAAAAATTATGTAGAACTGTATGTAACAAGTAGTTAATTTTAAATTAAAAATAGGATTGTTAATAAAATTAGAGTAGAGTATATAGTTTATTTATTTATTTAATTTTATGCCCAATCTAATATTTTTATCTAGCGTTTATGTTATAACTTTCATTTCTAAAATGATCACTTTCTATGTAAGGCTGCTAAACGAGCATCTTTGTTTAGTCTATTATCCATTTCTTCGTACTTTTATAAGGCCATAGATTCGAATCTAAGGGCACGTTATTCCAAAATATCTATCTTAAAGTTGATATCTCTGATTTCTTCTTCCTATTTGGGATCTATTTCTTGTCTTTTAGCAACTTGAGCTTCTTTTTGCTCTAAGACCTATCTTTGTTCCTCCAAACGTCTTTAGATGATTTCTGCTCTTGAGAGTAGTCTTTCTTTTAACTTTTACATAACTTCGTTTTTGATTTCCATTGCTACTTGAGCATTAATTTCTGAAACTCCTAATAGCTTTCTTTTTTCTAAGTAGGGATACAAATAATCGCTTGCAGCTGCATCTTTTGCTAAATCGTCGTCGTTTTTCTTTGAAGATTCTTTGAATCTATCTCTTGCCTTATCATACAAGGTCTTTTCTAATCTTATTTCTCCCTATTATGAATTAATTATATTTTATTTTATTTAGCAAAATAGTCTTAAAAAAACAAAAAAATATATACTTCTCTAATTGTCTTTTCATCATCGCGAGCTATCTTTTCTTGCTACTTAAGTTAATTAAGGCAATCTTTTTCTAAGTTGACCATCTTAGTGTTTTCTAGTTAAACAAGGGGATCATCTATTTTATTATCACCACCAGGTTCATTTAATTTAGCAAAACCATGCATACTATCACGAGGATATATTTTTACAATAGGTGTTATCTCACCATCATTCATATGATAGTAGACAATAACCTGTTTAATTAATTAATTAATTATTTATTTATTAAAAATGAATGAACTAATAAATATATAAAAGAGTTATATTTATTTGTTGAAAAAAATTACCTTATCTTTAATTAAATCAATAACCATTTTTTGAATCTATTCATTAGCAGGGTAATGAGGATTTTTTTCAAATTTCTATGTCATTTTTGTAATCTAAACATCACCTACATGATTGTCTTAAAATACTTTATCATTATTTTGGCTGCTTGGAGCTCTTTTATTGTCAAATCTGTTGCAATTTATATAAATTTAATTAAATATCTGTAAAGTTAATGAATAATCACCTTATTGAGCGATAAATAACCCTGTCATCACGATTTTGGTAAAACATCATAGTCTTTTCTCCTATTTGCTCAACTCTTTCTATTAAGCCATCATGGTTACGATTATGATAATATTTTATGATTCTTAAATGTCTATCAATCTAAATAACTTATCTCCATTATTGCAGAGCTTGAGGGATTGTTTTATTTTCATACTTTTAAGGCTCATACTCTTCTATTGTTTTAAATTCAAAGGGATATCTTCTGCGGATAGAAAGCTTATCACTTCTATGTTTATAAAAATATCTATATTCTTTCACTTTAAGTCTTTTATAGTCTTAAAATATTGTTATTTTTTAAACTAATCCATCAGGTTGTGAATAAGGGGCGTAGTTATCAACTTTTACTTTATTATAATATACAGTACCTTCACCCAAAGGAGTTCCCATTAAAAACTTTTCTTTATCTATGTATATTTTTGGGGGCCATGGTGGAGGCATATCTAGGAGCTAGGCAATATCTTAAAGTTATTCTTATTCAGGATCTCTTTAGGCTTGTTTATTAAGAGGATCATCTATATTTTCATTTCCTTCTTCATCATTTCCATTTCCTAAAAGTAAAATAAAAAAAATTTAATGTTTTATTTATCAATAATTAATTTAAATATATAAATTACCTTTGTTGAAGAGGAGAGTGTCAAGCATAACATATTCCCAATTCAATGAAGAATCCATTTCTTCAAAATTTAAATTTTTTACTTCACACTCTGGCTTCATATTAATCCAAAAATTAAGATTGTTAAAAACAGCATCAACACACTCATATGGACAAGTGCTAGGACTGTACATTCTACCTGTAGATGGTTCTATAAATATATTTTGTTAGACATCTCTTTTGCCACTTCTTAACAACACCCAACAGTGAACTCTTTAGCCTTAGTAAGGATCTATTTAAAGAGATTTTTTTGTTTGTTTGATAAAAAAAGTAAATAAATAAATAAAGTTCTTAATTTAATTTTCTATTTAAAAAATTTATGAAAAATCTAATAAAATTTAGTCATTTTTTAATTTTTTTTTTGAGAAAATTTCTTACCTTCTAATAATTCATCAGGTTCGTCATCATTTATAGTGAGAGCAATTCTTCTTTTTTCTTCTTCTGCTTCCCTTGCTTTTGTTTCTTGAGTTTGATCCCATTTTGAGTGGGCAATTGGTTTTTTAAGTAGAGCATTTTCATTTTATTCTAAAGTTTACTTTGGTTTTTTATCATTTTCTTCAATGTATTTTCCTTTTTCTAAAAATAAACATTCCATGAGGGATTCATTGCGTGTAGTAATTTCTCTTGGAGCTTTTCCATAGACACAATATGCATCATATCCTACACCAATCAATAAACTGCATAAGAGAATACTCATATCGAAGCAATCACCTTTTTGCCAAACAGCAACATTTGTAGGAGAAGGAATTACTAATGGAAATTCATTAGGAGGATCTAATTCTTCATATTAAACAAATTCAGAGAGATACTTTGAACATTATTAATAATCGTAAAGCTCTAAGAAACCTAATTTTGTGGGACGGATTGTTGTGCAAATAAATTTATAAACATCACATTCATTTTTTGGATATAAAAAAAGATCGCGCTTGTCTTCATAGTAAAGCTGGTATTAAAACTATCTCTTAAACTAAATAACATGCTCAAGCACTAATTCCTCTTTAGGTGAATTTTCTATATATTGACGAGGGATATTTTCTTATTCTTTAAACTCTTGACATCTTTTTAATTTTTCATTCTAAACCTATGTGATATTTTCTAAGACTTAAAATATATCTTCTCCACCTCCTCCAACTGGAGCTTGTTGCTATTATCCTTCTTGACCTTCAATTTAGTGATGGGAATATCCCCCTTCGTTATGATCCATTTTGTTCTATTCTAAATCTATTACAAGTTAATAAATCCTTTTTATAGTTAAAAGAGACTTCTTTTAATTTACAGATAAACTTAACTAAAAATTGAATTTATTTGTTTATTTATTTGTAACGCTTTAAGATCTATCTATATTAAAAATATAGATGAAGGAATAAATTATTTGAAACAATATATTAATCAGGCATTCATTTAAAATGAGAGATAATCTGTATAAAAATAAATATAAAATATTTAAAACATATTTGCAAAAATCAATTTATCTTTACTAAAACTACTACAACTTTGTTAATTAATTTTGTTTATTCTCAATAAAATTAAAATGATTGAACAATATAAACAACGATATATAAAACTGGTAGTTAATTTTATATAAAATATAATTATATAATAAATAAAAATTCAAATATTTCGTTAAAATAATAATGAAATTAAGTTTCCAAGTTCTAAATTAACTTATGTGTAAAAAATACATTTTTAAATTTATTTTTAAATGTTAAAATTTTATTTAATTAATTTATTTTCAGTATTAAAAATAATATTTAGAAATATTTAATTCTAACTAAAATGATTTGATATTTGATAAGTAATTTATTTTAGATGATTTATTTAGATTTATTGCTTCTTCTCTAACTCAAAAAATATTTATCAATTGGTAAATATATTTAATTAGTAATTACTTTTAAAGATTGCAAAAACATTGATTTTAATTTTCAAATACTTTCAAAAATTTAAATTTTCATCTTTTTTTAAATTTAAAAACTTAATTATAATGTGTTTAATTAGAAATATTGAATTATGTAAGAACATATTTTGATATCAGGCAAATTACATTTCAGAAAATGAGTTTATAAAAATATAATCTGGAATTGTAAGATGGATAATTCAGTAAATTTAGATGGGTGTATAGATCTTATTTGTAAAATTTAAATTGTGAATAAAAGAAATAATATTTATATAAACTTTAATTGTAATTAAGATATTAAAAAAATTTTTCTTAGTCTTTTAAAATCAAAGAAAATAAACACTAAGCGGATAATGTAAACCAATTTAAATAAAAAAAATTAGATATTGCAAAAAGAGACAATACTAATTAATACAAACAAATTATAAGTGTAAACGCTTTATTGATGTGCTTCGTTTGGCTTAAATTTACAAAATTAAGTCTTTTGATTTGCTTAAAGGGAGTTAAAATGTAAATATAAGAATATATTAATTCAAATTTGATTTAGTAAAGTAGAAAATTATTAATTTTGTGAAGTCACGAAATAGACGAAATCAATAATATAATATGTGTTAAAATTATTAATTTTTTTTGCTATGTTTTTTATTGATTATTTTTAGCTAAAAGAGGTATGATCTGTATAAGATTAAATATGTATGGAGATATTTTATATTTAGCCTTAAATTTAGCAAAATAAGAAGCAACAAAATCAATAAAGATACAAAATTAAAGAAAAAAAATTTTGAATTACCCTTTATATTAAGAATATTAATGATTTTCTGTAATTAAAATATCAGGTTCCACACCTTCAATTAAATTAAAAGCTCATTGAGTATCTTAGATTTTTCTGATATTGTTTGAAGAGAATTTTTTAAAGTCAACTTATTAATGAATAATATTCCTTTAATTTATTGTTTAGAAGCAGAAGTAAATCATTAGGCTCTTTTTTATTTGGATGGGGGCTTTATTTTATTTATTTAATTATATTTCAATTTTTTATTGAGCAAACAACATTTGTGAGATCCTTGAAAAATATATTTGCCTTGCATTTTTTCTCTGCTTTATTTTTTTTTCCCTTGTTTCCTTCCTTCGAGCGAGCTAGGTAAGGGTAGGAGGAAAAATTAGAAAAATAAGAAAGCTACTCATTAAAACGCGTAGGAGGATTTTTATTCGATCTTTAATCTAAACTTCTAGTTTTTTACTTTTTATCCAAAAAATCGTAAATCAAGGCATAACCAAAGTCTGTTTCACAAAACCCATAAATTAATTTTAGTTACAGCAGTAGTGATAAGCTTTTTAGTATTTATTTTAGGTTGGTATGGAATACTTTAAATTTTTAGTAAAAGAAATTTACTAAGAATTCTTTTTAAATTATTGAACAAAGATTATTTTCGATAATTACAAAATTATAAATTAGCAAACCTTTTTATAGCATAACAAGTATAATTTTGAAAACTAATCAATAACAACTTAGACAAGATCTTTTTGTAAATTACTTTACTTTTGTAAGCAAGTATTGATCTCTCTACTTTATAGTCTTAATATTTCTAAAATTAATGTAGCAAAACATCTTAAAAAATCTCACATAATGAATTTATTATTCTATTTATAATATTAGCATAGAGATAAGAAAGAGGCTTTAAAAATTTGATAGGCTATGAAAAATCAAATTAACATGACTCTGATGGATCAAAGATTACATTTTTTTTATATCAAAAATGTTTGTTGGTAAAAGAGAAGTTCTTTTGAATTGTCTTGTGTATCGATAGAAAGTAAGATTGCCAATTAATCAAATTAGCTTATTATATCAAAAACTCCTTTTTATAATTATGTACACTTAATTAAACAAAAAAGAAATTTTCTTTTTAACCTTATAGTTAATCTGATTGATACTAACTTCATAAAAAATTTGATAGAGCCATGAAAGAATCTGTATTTTTTCTAAAAATTTTTTTAAAGATGAACATTTATGTTTGATTTTAATAAAAGAAATATTCGAACATAGCGTTAATGAGCATATTTTTTATTTTTTTCATGCGAACGTTTTTGTGGATTTCGTTTTATCTATTCTAATAAATATTTGAACAATATATCCTTGATACTTTCATAAATGTAAATCAAATTCCCTTGCAAAATTTAAATAAAATTTCCCTTCCCCCCTCTCTCTAATTCAATCAAATCTAAAATAAAAATCGAAATACAAAGTGGTATTAAATTCCACATTTAACAAAACAACTAAGTCTATGAAGCTTTTCATAAAAGAAATGAAACTAAATATTTAATCACTAAAATTTTAATAATATTACAATTTTTATGAATTTACACCTATTATATGTTCATATTTCTAGCTAGTAAGTTAATTAAAATAATCCAAACAAGGAACAACATCCATTAATTTTTTCATTTTTAAAATTTGAAGTAAAAAATTGAAAACGACGTCATTCTTAAGCTATTTACACACATATGAGTAATAAAATATTTAGAAAATAAATATTTGGAGCTTGTGGTATAAAAAGGTATAAATATTTAATTGTCTCTAAACATACATTATAAAATCGAAGCAATTTATTTCTATTGAATTAAGTTGTAATTAATGGATAACAGAAGTCATTTTCCAAGATTACCTGATCCACATAATTTTTAGATTACAATTTATTTTGAAATAGTAAAAAAATAATTCAACCATTATGTAATTGTTTCTTAGTTATGATTATTGGATTAAAAATACATAATATATCATTTATTTTACATTTTAAAATGTTAAATTAATTTTTCTTAATGAAGTATTACATATGGAACCATGCAAATGGACACTTAAAATTTAATCAGTTAACTTACAATTATTTAACTAGTTGTGTGAGCTGTGAATTAATTTATAGACGTGTTCTTACTGCAAAGCAAGTTATTTTAACACTTGAAAAATAAATAGAAGTTAGAATACTGATTCTAAATTTTATATTTTTTGAAAAAGTAAGCTAATTTTTGATAAATTAGATATTCATTCATTCATTACTGGATGAAAGGAAAAACCACTTTTATAAAAAAATTTATTTTAATTCATTTGTAACAAATAAAATCAAGTACTTCATTTTATCACCTGAAATATTTATTATCAAATCGAAAATTTTGGTTGACAGAGTTACAGAAAAAAATTGTAAATAATTAGCATTAAATGAACAGTTCTATGTAGTATTAAATGCTAAACAAAAAAATAATGATCACAATTAAGTACATAATAAAAAATATAAACTCTAGAATTATTTGAATTGAAATTACATTTTAGTAAATTTAACTGATCTAATTAAAAATAAAATAATAATAACTAACTTCAGTGATATTTGTTTAATTTAGTTCAGTTAAAGTATAAAAGATACAATTTCGTAGTTATTTATTAAGATTAAGGATTAAGTAAGTTATAGAACAGTTAATTAATAAAAACTTTACAATTATTATTATTTTGTTTATGATATTATATTTTATTTAACATTTACATTTTTAATAATCAGTAAAAATTGATGTAAAATTTTTTTTTTAAATTTAAAATACTATTTAACCATAGAATGTAATTTAATGTTATTTTAGTTCAGTAATCATAAATTTGTTTTGTATTTTAGTAAGCTTATGTCATTTAAATTAAATACATTTGCAAAAAAAAAAAATTAAAAAATACCAACGGGCATATTAACATGAATCTTTTCAAGAAATAAATGACATTTCTTATCAAAAACTATTATGATAGATAAATCTTAAACATACAATTAGAATGAATTACAAAAATAAAAATAGCCAAATACAGTAAAAAAAAGATTATTAAATTAAGTAAAATATATGTGTAAAGTCAGAAATATTAGCAGTTTTATAAGCAAAAAATTAAGAATTTAGCTTTTATTCATGTAAGCAAAGACATATATAATTGTAATCAGTATATATAAATATGTCTATTTTTGTACCTAACGCATTTGTTTAATTATTAACTTTTGAAATAGAGTCAAGATTAATTTTAAATTATTTTAATACTGGGTATACTATAAAAGGGGGATTATGGTATGAGTAAATTAACTAGATCAGCAAAATTAGGTCTAGTGAAAAAAAGTGACTCAATTTAGAAATAAAGTAATGCTTTCTGATTATATTACTGTATGAATGTAATTATTACAAAATATATTGATATTTTCTTTCGTTTTCATCACAAATTTACTTGTTTAATGGTATCAAAAGCATTTTTTTTCTTTTTGTACAACTTATAAGCAAAATCAAAATATTTAATAATTTCTTAGATATTTATCACCAACGCTAGACCATATATTAAAATATTCTATTCTGAGAAAATAATTCACAATTTATTACTATCAGAATAAAAAATGATGCTTGATATACCAAAATGTCAAATTAATAAATTCATTTGGTTGATACTTATTAAAAACTTATCAAGTAATTAAACGGCTAAAAATTTGGATGGTGTTAATTAGAATTTGACACTGAAACTTCATAATGGCGAAAGGATTTTTTTTCCCTTGAAATTAATTTGAAGATAATTTTATAGAAAAAAAAAAAGCAAAAATAAATTTTACGCAATAAAAATATTTAAACTAGGAATTTTTTATGAAAAATTTTTTTTTTTCCTTTATAAAAAGTATTCAAAATTTAATTTAATTATTCAATTAGCTTAAATTTATGAATAAGGATATGTTTACTTTTAGCCTTCGTTTGCGCGAAAAATAGACAACTTTGTTCTTAAATTACTTGTTTAGGCTGCACACATTTTGTTATTATTTGATCAAATAAATTATTTTTAATATATACAAACTTTATTTATTTGTTCCCCCTCTTTTTGTTTTTTTTAACAAACTTAAATTGAATACAATTTAATAGATTAAAATATTTGATTTAGAGAGTATTATCAAAATTGCTTAGTCTGTAACCATTGCTAATATTTCCTATATCAGTTCATCTAATTAAATCAAATAAAGTAAAGAAACACGGTAGTCACTAATACCTCGGAATTAAACCATATACTTTAATCAAATAAAATTTTCACACCCTCATCTGTGTAACTAAAGGCTTTTGATTGTCAATTTATGGCTTTTCTAATAATGAGCCAAAAGATATTTAATAAGATAAAATTCGAAAGATACAACTTAAGCATTACACAACAGAACTTTTTATATATATTTTTTTTATAAATTTTAAATTTGTTTAGGTTCAATATGGAGGATAATATGTTAATATTAAAAAACTAATTTTTAACAATTTAAGTATTGTTTTATAATTCACCCATTCAATACAAGCACATTACTCTCTGAATGTATCTCTCACTTAGCTATTAAATGCTTTTTTTAACCAAAAAATTGATTTTTGTAAAAGAAACTCAATCAATTATCTTTGCTTTTTTAAATACAACCTTTAAATGTCAAAAAGCTAATTTTAAATTTAAATTCTACATGAGAAGAATCAAATCATATGGCTTTTTCAAACATATTTTTATAATAAAATGATTTTTTCACATTTCTATGAGGATTTATTTTGAAAGAAGTATTTGCTTTTAATAAGATTAATTAGTCTATAAATAAAATTATGGAAAATTTAAAAGAAAAATCACACTCAAGAAATTTTTATAAAAATGGAGATGAAATCGATTTTATGATATGAAAAATTAATTGGCTCAAATATTATCTTCCATAGTTTGTTACTGAGGATGAAAGAATTAGATATATAAGACTCATGAAATAAATAAGATAATATTTTTGTTTTAAAAAAGAAAAATATGTTGGATTAATAAATAAATGATTCCTCTATCTGTCAATTATGAGATTATATTTTGAATTTTCTTCTTTTAATTTTTCATTCCCTTGTCTTTCTTTTTTTACTTACTACTTTATTTTTCTTTCTCTTTTTGCGTCTGCTGCATTAGAATCTAAAAAAAAAAAAAGCAATATTTATCTTTTCAAAAAAAGAGTAAAGATAGATAGATTCCTGTATAAAAATCCCTTTTCCCTACCCGTTGAAACTTCTTACAATGTGTTCAGAATTTTACATAATTTATTTGATTGACTATTAGTATTTTTTTATTAATTAGATTTAATCAATCAAATAGAATCTTGGATAATAACCTTATCTTGATGAATAATAAAAGCGAAAATTAATATCATTGTAAAGTCTAATCGGGTGTTTCTCTATAAATATAAAACTTTTGTCATCAAATCAAATTTATAATAATAATAATAAACCAAAGATTAATAAATCAAAAAAAAAGAGAAAAAAACCTCTAATTCAAAATCGAATATTTTTATCAGCCTCGCGTTGATTCCATAAACATCTTTCATTCATTCTTTCTTATTGAATACTATACCTCTTACAACAAAAATGAAAATCTAAGACGACTCTTTCGAACAATCTCCCCAATCATACTCCAAGCCCATTTCCAAGACCCAAGTTGGTACTAAGAACAATCGTAAGTATAATAAAATCACTCATGATCTCCGCATGAAATTCCTTGATAAGATTTTCTTTGAAAATAAATCTATCAAGAAAGCTGCTTAAGAATTAAATATCAACTACTCTTCTGCTAAGACCATCTTGAATCTCCACAGAAAGAAGTAAAGATTCTAATTATAAGCTCCTGCTTCTGTTTCCGATATCTCTAGTGAAATCGATTCAACCAAGATCTGTGGATTCTCAACTCAAACCCTCTTCAAAAAGCAAAAGCTTGAGTTAGTCGTTACCTTGGGTGGTCGTTTAATGAACTCCAACAAGATTGATCCCTCCACTATTAACAATCCTTTCATTTTACAAAACAATGAAAAATTAGTTGTCTCTCAACCTGTTAGCCTTTATAAGACTGTTCCTATTACTCCTGAAGAACTCTTCTTGTAATAACAATAACAACACAACCAACAACAACAATAACAATTGTTACTTAAGTTACTCTAAGAATAATAACTTCAAGAGTAATAAAGACTCCAACAATAATAGCAATTATAATAATAGCTTGCTCTCAACCCTGAACTCTACTCCCTCTTCCTTGAAAAGCAAAAGCAATAAGACCAATAACAATAACTCATTATTGCTCAACTCCTCTAACAATAACAACAAAAGAACCAAGCTTTTGGTTTATTTTGAAATACATGAAAAAGAAAGAATAGGGAATAAATCATAAGGTAAGAAAGTGAGAGCAGCGTGAAACATAGCTGGAATGTTTTAACATTATGATAAGGAATAATTCATTGTATGGCTCTATAATAAAGATAAAAAAGCGTCTTATAACTCTAGCTCAGTAGTAATCTTCTTTTAGCTATTGAAGCTAGCTAGTTATTAGGTGCGCAGCAGACAAATTAAAGTTTTGATAAATCAGTGGTAATAAATTAAAAATGCTTATTTAGAAATAGAAAAGCCTTAAAAACTACTACAATAGCAGCTGTCATTAAACATACTAGCTTGCTAACGTTCACACATTCTTATTTTAAACAAACAAAAATCTCTATATCAATAAAGAATCTCAAAACCTCCTATATAAAAAATCTAATATATATATAAAGAATCTCAACCTACCTACCTACCTACCAACCTAACCTTTCATTATTATTTTTACCAATCAACCAACCAATCAACTATATAAAAAACCTGAATCTCTATACATAAAAAATCCCTTATATTAAAGAATCTAACCATAATTATTATTAAATATTATAAAATTCTATTTTTTTTATTCTATAAAATGCATATCACAGTATGTTCTTTTACTTGAGTGATAAAATCTTTAAAAATATTTCTAAATTAATTAATTAATTCATACAATTCATTCATTTATATATTTAATAGTTTGATAAACAATAAACTCATTATTTAATTATTTATCTAACTAACTAGTTAATTAATTAATTAATTAGTACCTCTATAACTAATTTACTCTATTCAAAATCATTTAATTATTTTTTCTAAAATACCGCTATTATAATTCATTCATTTTATATAACTAGCTAAATGTAATTTTGATACTCAATATTAACACCCTAAAGCTTTTCACTAAATTAAACCTATGAAACCTTAATCTTTAATACTTACACTAAGCCTAGAACAAATTTAGCTTATTTTTTTATTATTTGATGCTTGGTTATTTTTTATCACTTTATTAGCTCTTAGAGATGATATTGATTTTATTATTTTTATCGTAATCAGCTTATACAAGTAAATTTGCATGGGTTAATTTACAAATTTATATTAATTTTCCTTTAGATTTTTTTTTCTTTCTATTATCAATCTAAACCTTTCCGCTTTTGCTATAGATTGACGTTTTAAAATGGATTGAATAGATAATCAGAGGAGTTGTTCAAAAACAATATTACAGAAGAAACAGAATAACTTAATCAATGTATTTATAAATTTAACAAAATTCTCTTTGATCTTTTTCTAGTGCATAACATTAGATATATTTGCAAACTCTCTAATAATAGGTAGGCCTAAGTACTAGTTTATCTATACCTTAAAGCAACAAGAAATATTTTTAAGTAAATTTCATTTAGTAAAAGTGGTCAATACTCAAAGAATTTTTCCTTAAATTGTAATCCACTGGCTAAATAGTTTTTTGCATTCATAGATCTTTTATATAGGCTTTTATATTTTATCCTGCTTTAATAGAGATAGAAAAAGTCTATTGAATTATTAAGCATAAAAAAATAAACATTGATACCAAAATTTAATAAATGTTCAATTTTAATGTAGAGACTTTGAATTAGAATGAAATTTGTAAATTTTAATGTCTCTAATATATTTTTATTAAGCACAATAATATCTAGTATTAGAGTTTTTTGCTTAAAGTTGGCTGATTTCTTTGTGAGGAAATATAAAAATGAGAGTAAGTTGATTATTTGGCAGTAGCTTCAGTAAATAATGAGGGAAAGTTCATTCGAACTAAAAATATCTGATTCATAATGAAGCTGCAGAAAATTTGAATATTTGTGTGCTTTATCGCTATACAAAATAAAAAAAATGGGGGAGTAATTTGAGTTGAATTTGGCATCATTTTTGTTAAATTTGAGTAAAGATTAGATGATAATATAAAAAAATAGAAAAGGAAGTAAATACTTCAATGAAAAAATGTGCTTAGTAATAAGAAGGAAAGTAATTAAGAAGTTTGAATAATCAAATATTTGAAACATTAATATAAATTAATAATACTTTTTGTTCCCAAAATTTAATGTGAAAATGCAATTTAAATTTTATATCTTTTAACTAAATTTTCTTTGTGTTAAGTGTAATGATCAGAAAGACTTAGTATATATCAAATAATTATATTATATCACTGATTTTTAATTCATCAAATATTAAGCTAATTAAAAAAGAAGTCATTTCTTACCATTACACTTTTTATCATTCATTAATAATGTTTCATTGCAAAAGAGTAAAGATGAAAATGTAAAATACAATTTAATAAGAAATCGCTTGTCGCCCTATATTCTAAGTCCGTCCATTTTCTCTCCATTTTCCTAAATTCTAATAACTCTATAAAAAATATTAAAAATTTGACATTTTTTGTATATCATTTTAGTATTGAAATGGTTTTAAATATTTTTAAAAATGAAATACACAATTTAAATAATGGATATCTCCATTTTTTAGACCTTCTTAAAAGTAATCTGATTCCACAAAATACTAACAAATTAATTATTTTTGAATTAATTACACATTAAAATTATACAACTTTAAAATTGTTTTGCAAAATTCTAAAAATGAAATTTAAAAATCTATTCTTTTTTGCAGCAAAGATCAAATTTTGGGCATTAGATGTTAATTTTGTTTACAACTTGTCTTGATTTGAATAGGAAGCTTATTTATTTTTTATCTTCGCAAGAAAAAGCTTATTTAAATAGGCTAGTCTCAAAATTAAATCTTTCTATCTATCTATTTTAATCAAGATTAATTTTTAATTTACAAAAATAAACAAGAGGTAATCAATTAATAAGCCTCACCCCCTTAGATGGGGTAAGCTAATTAATTAATTAATTTAATTAAATATTAAGACATTATAAAAAAGAAATTTCAAAGAAGAAGAAACATAGTGAAGAAATAATTCAAATTCTTTTTGTAAAGAGGCTTTGAGAAAAATAATTAGAAGCTGCTCCTTGAATTTAATACAGTTTAAATACAAAATAATAAGAAAAAAAAACCAAAACGAATTGGCTTAATTTTAAGTTATTTAAGAATTAATTTTCTTAACTAAGCCAAATCGTGGCTTATAAAAATACGATATCTGTTATTTTACCAATAATTTTTCAATATTCTTTTTTCTTACTGTTTTTAAATGAAACCCAACAATTTAAAAACATCAAATAAATTTTCGACTTTCAGGATCAACTACTCAGCTAGCTTATTATTTTCAAGTATAGGATAGTGCTGATTTAAAGCAAATAGCTTTGTTCTATTAAGAAAGCAGCATCAAAATAGAAAAAAAATTGTAAATTTTAATCAAGTGAATAGTAATAATGAATCTTTAAAATAGAAAAACAAATATAAACTAAATCTTTCAATATTGTAAGGTAGTCAAAAAGAGTTAGACTTACTATTAAGAAACATAAATTAGTGGCAACTAAGTAAACTTAGAAACTCCACTTTTAATCTGCTTTTTAAAGATAAAATATAATTATTTAGACCCCAGATAAATTATATGATATTAATTTAAGTCTTACATTCATTATTTAATAAGTTATTGATTTAATTTAAACATAAGATGAGAAATTTGTATTCTTGTATGAATAAATAAATACAATGCTTAACTTATCATCAAAAAAAGAACGAATTTCTATTTAAATTAGGAAATGTTAATGGGAATAAAAAATTTATAAATAAAATCAATCATATTTAATTGAAATATTTTTAAAATGAGAGTAATTTTAATTAAATGTTCCTTCCCATTACAAAACCACATTAAATAGTTGACATCAAAATCTTAGTTAGATCATATGTTAGTTTTCTGAAGTAAATTAAATCACTATTAAAAAAAACTGATCGATCTTCAAACTTTTTTTGATATTTATTTTTGTGCTTTAATAATTAATTTTAAGAAAAACAAAAAATCTAATTATAGTATTCAATCAAACATCTGTTCGAGAAATTACTATGCATATATAATCTTACAAAATCTGACATTTACATTGAAGCCTATCATTTTTTTCATTTTTAATTAACTTATTTTGTAAATTGATAAGTTGGATATAATTTTATTTTTGACATTTTAAATAATTCATTTACTTATAAATTCATCCAGTATTTATTTATATATTGCAAATTACAATTTATTTTTTCATTCATTTCTATTTTAATCCATTCATTAATTCATTCTTATATTTATCAAAATGGACAGGCAAATTGATGAGAAATGGAATATTCATACTAATTGATTTTAATTTATATTATAGACATGTAATGAAAATATCTAACAACGAATTATTATACACCATTTTTTTATTTTTCCAACACAATGTGCTAAGAATTTGTCTCTTTCACTACTTTTTGATAAAGAAATGTAAATAAATATATTATCAAGTCCATATATAAACTAATACCAATAAGCTGTTTTTCTTAATACCTACTAATATCATAAATTAAAGGAAGATCTATGATTCCTAATTAAATTCTATCTTAAAGTCTTTTAAGAGAAGTTAATAAACCAGATAGTATGATTTTTTTGTTCATTTATATTCAAAAAGAATCAGATAAAGTGACATATTTCTTTCTGTTTGTTTTATATTTTTGATTCTTTCAGTTTATTCTTAATTTTTCATTGAAATCTTTTTCAAATTTCATTTTCATAGATGAAGGACCATTTAGTAAACCTACCATTCCTCAGCCCTCTTTTTAAGAGCGTGATATTATATCGAGGCTTAAAAATGAAGATAAATTGTTCGAAAGCATGAAATTCAAAAACGCTCCCACAAATATACAAAAAATGAATGATTTGATGGACTTAAAACGCAAAAAAGACATAAAACCAACTGCTGAAGATGAAGATTACCAAAAATTATTAAAATAATTAGAATATGCAACTGCTAAAAATGCACAATATAAGCAAGATATGAACATGATTGATGCCGCGTTGGAATAATTAGACCCTAAAAAGAAAATACTGATTGGTACTGATATTGACAAGAAATTTGCTTATGAATCCTTGAGAAGCAAGCGCATGCAAATCAGAGAAAAAGAATAAATATTTTTGGATTAGCTTCAGTAATTCCACGATTATTATTCTTTAAATGAAAGGAATAGAATTGAAAAAGGGATTGTAAATGAAGACTTTCTTAAGTCTAAAAAAGATAAAATCAGAGACCTTAAACTTATGCATGAATAGCTTGATTACGATAAAACTAATTTTTTAGATTAATTTGATAAAATTAGGTCTGGATATTCTTTAAAGGCTTAGCCATATTTCACTGCTGTTGGAGCTTCTACATTAGGTTTAGGTGGTAATCCTTCATATCTAGCAGTTGACTATGATTTAGGAAGAGTTAGGGATAAATTGTAAGATGAATCACGTAGAATAGAAAGGATGAAAGTAAATTATACATATTACACAGTCATTATTAAGTTAAATTTTAGAAAATATTTTAAATAAAGTAATTCATTAATACATGAATAAAAGAGTGTTTGCGTTTCATTCATTAATCTATTAAATGCCTCAAAACTTAATTTGGCTTAAATTTACAAACTTTATTAAATATAATTATTGCTCTTTTTAAAATAATACTTTTAAAATGATATTTATTTAAATTAATAGCAAGATAATATGTATTATTATACCAGGAATCATCTACCTGTAGATCCAGAGGAAGCATTTGGTAAAATAGAACAATTTATATTTAATTTTGAATTATATTACAATAAATTTTAATTTAATTTTCTAAATAATTCATTTCTCTAAATTTTCAATTTCAGGTATCTTGAATGCTTGAATATGAGAACTATTTGTTAATACATTCATCTATTTATTTGTAAGTAAAATTAAAAAATTGTAAATAGGATCAAACAAAATTAATTTCAATAAAGAAGTAAAATATTTGATGGACACAAATAAGTATGCCCCATCTACTGAAGAAAAGTACTAAAAATTAAAGCTAATTAGAGAAAATTTAGAAAAATTAGGAGGTATATTTTTTTTAAATAATATAGAACATGAAAATAAACTGCTTTAGCTTTTGAATCAATATTGAAATATTACATTATTTTATTTTTTAATTAAGCTGAAAAAGGATTGAATTTCTCAAAAGTCAAGTTATAGTTTATTGAAGAAACTCCTGAAAACATATAAGAGTATCAGTAAACGATTAGGGATATTGAAAACTTGAGGTCAGATTACATTTAATCAGGTGGTACTGATCCTGAATTTCTTTTAAACCTCCAAAATCTTGAGCAATTCTACAAACAAACTCGCTTTAATCCTATAAATAAAGATATTTTAAGATAATAGCAAGGGCTCCCTGTTTCTAATGTTGATCCACCTGGATTTTACTATGTAAAAATTTATTATAGTTAAATTTTAATTAATAATTAGATATAAAAGATAGACAAACAATTAATTTTATACAACTCAAAACTTTCTAAAGACTCATTTAAATTTTATGATAATAAATATTATTTGCTTCAAATTTTGGATTGTCTATTCTATTAATCCATTTTATTCACTTTTTATGATTAATTATTAATACTTTATATTGCTCTTTAATATTAATATCACTATTAGAATAGCACTGTAAATGGGGGAAATCAATTAAATTCTTCTTAGTTATATAATTAATCTGCAGTTATGCAGAATAGTAGCTTGGTATAAGGGAGACAATTTCCTGGAATGCAGCCTTAGGTAGCACTTAACTAGTCATTAGTAGATCCTTAAGAGTTTAACAAGGATGAGCAATCTATAACTAATCATCCTATTTATGAATATTTGCCTGAATCGTTCAAAAAATAAGTTGTAGAAATGGAATAAAAAAACAAAAACATGAAATATGATTTGAGCTCTGTACATATGCCTCCTATTATAGATATCCCTACTAGTCTAGTAGACCCTAGTGCTTTAAAAAAATCGTCAGTAGGTGGGGATACGGATTATGGTACGGAAGAATAAATGTTGAATTATGTAAGAGGACAAGAAGCAGAACTCTTGCTTAATATGAGCAGATTAAACCCAAATTAAGTTGAATACAGTGCAAAACACTCACAGTTTCTTTAAGTATAGCAAATAAAATCTTCTCTAGAAAGGAGTATTCTCGATAAAAAGGTACAAAGTGCTTTAAAAGGAGCAAACCAATCAATGAATCAATCTGTAAATAAATTTTTAAAAAAACCAAACACTTTTCCATACATACAAACATAATCAATCAAATTAATAATAAATTTTGAAAGAAATATTTCTTTTTTGGAAAGTAAATACTCTTAGAGCAATTTTTATATATAATAAATCTAAAAATCTATCATAATTTTTAAAGCAAAATAGAAGCTACATTGTAATTAATTTCAGTTATTTACGATATCTTTCAAGTTGTTTAGGAATAGAGTAATATATTAACTATTTTTCAAGAAGTTGCATCAAATTTACTTACTCAAAATGGGAAAATTTTTAACTTGAATCTATTTATAGTGATGGATTGATAAGGGCTTTAAATTTAAAAATTAAAGGTAGAATCATCTATCTTAAATTTTCAATATGATATCACTTCATAAAATTACAAAAATTGAAATTAACAAAATTTCTATAAAAATGTAAACAAATAGATGTAATTTAATGATTTAACTACTAATGTTTTATTTTATTACTGGCAGTTAATCTAAGAAAACTGACTAATCTTTCTATTACGAATAATTAAAAAACTATTCATGAAAAGATCGATTTGGGTTTTTTAAGTTTTAACATAAATTTACATTAAATTTTGATAGAGAGTTATAATTTTAATTAATTCTTTGAAACGAAAAGCAGGATTTATTTAAATTTTTTTAATTATTCTTGATGAGCTATCTAAATAACTGCTTATTTTTTATTTTAGTAAAAAAAGTTGAATGTTTTACTACAAAAGACTTAACTTTTATAACAACTGCTTTCTATATTATTATTTTAGTGATGAAGGTTGTTTGAAAAATTTTTATAAATATTTATTTTTGGTTTTATTTAAAACTAAATTAAGTCTCTTAGCTGAAAAATGGAATTCATTTTTAAATGAGCTTATTAAATTAGAAGTATTCTTTCTTAGATATCTTTAATATGGTTTAAACTTTTTGTGTAAAGTTGAATATTTAAAAAAATATTAATTATTTTTTAAATAATCTTTCTTTTTTCTTTGACCAAGTTATGCTCAAAAATTTAAGCGTCCTACCCACTTACAAAAAAAATTAATCTAAATATAAGATTATACACATTAATACATCTTTATAGACAACTTTTTAATTAAAATTAGTTATCATTCCCATGAAATTTACTCTAAATTTGTAAGTAAATAAAAAAAAACAAATGGCTGCTACATTTTTAATCATAATTCAAGCTTATTTTTTTACATATTTTCTTTGATTACTATTTAACTGTTTTCAAAATATTTTGACTAAAGTTATTTTGCTTTCAATTTTTATACCACTTTATTTAAAAGGTACTAGGAAATGTTTCTATAGTGAATGGGGGTACATCAGAATCAATGAATCTAGCTCATCTCTCCAGAGCTTCGACAATGTATAGCCCTAATGAAGGATTCATGCTCAGATTTGATTGGATTGGATCACTTCCCATAAATTATTCAAAAATTAAAGTTAATTTTGGTATTTTTAGAAAAGGTGATAATTTCTTCCCTTATAGAGATACTACTTTATTTTAGACAGAATAGGAAACTTACAGATCAAATAAATGTATTATGCTCTAAAAAGAAGTGATAAGAGATGTATAACCTTTTCCTGATACAGTTTTATATATAGAATTTTGGGGATTCTAGAATGCAGTAATTAATTTCCATATTGTTTTTTTTATTTATTTTTGAGCTAGCTACTATTAGCCATGAAAAAAAACTGTTTTATCAATAACATTGTTTAATTCAGGTTATAAAAGCTTAGTTATTTTTAAAAGTTTTTATTCCTTAAATAAATTGCGTTACAATAAAAACAATAGCATACCCCTTTTTGTAAAAATATTAATACTCACTATTAATAATTTAAATCAAAGAGTAAATTAGATTATTATTTAAATACGTAATATCTAACTATTTATTTATTTGTTTAATTTTTTTTTTGATTTTTGTTTACAACTTAAACAGAGAGCTAGTATTCTTTTACAAATAAATTTAATTTACAGACGTCTATTATATTTTTAATTCATAACTTATAAACAGCTTTTAATGTTTGGTTTTCTAATGATTATTTTTTTTTCTTTAACAGGGTGAGGGGATTCTGACTAAGCCAGAAGTTATTGGTTGGAGTATGCATGAAATATTTGATTATAATGGCAATATAAGCCCTGGAAAATTTAGACTACCTTTTTATTCTAAAGTCTTTTAACCTAATGAAATTTTTAATGAAGGTTTGCCATACATGTCAAATAGTGCTTTATTTATTAGAGTATGCCTTCCTATGGACCCTTACTTTGATGTTGATTCAACTATTTTGCTTTAAAATGAATATAGAGTGTAAGATCTTCATTAAAGGAAGAAAAAAATTCTGAAATTAGATGAAAATAGCTAGTATATTCCAGATGTTTCAAATAGATATCTCTATGGAGGATATCCTATGAATGATTCCAATATATAACAAGCTGCTCCATATAAAAATATATCCTATCCAGATGGAAATCAATCTTCTTGGTAAAATTAAGATTAATCCACAATGGCTCCTAATATTTCAAAACCTAGTATTGTGGTAAAAGACGAAAACTAAAAAGTATCTGACTTCTCTTAATTTGGTCCTTAAAATCCCAATAAATCTTAGCAAAACATCTTAATTCCAAATTAACAGAATAACTCATCTTAAATGTAAAATACTCAATTACAAACTACAAACTTTTCTAACATAACCAAAATTTTATTTTTTAATACCATCAAACATTAATAATTAGTATTAAAAAATCAAAAAGCCTATAAAACAATATACATTTAGTTCTAATTTTTTCTAATTTACATAAAAATTTAAAAATATCTAACACGTATTTACAAACTCTCAAAAAATTCAAAACATTTCAGTAAGAGTAAATTCGTTAGGTTTTTTAAATAAATAGCTAAATTCCTTTTAAATTAGCGATATTTTTAAGATTAGTTTTCTGTATCAAAAATTATTATAGTAAATTTCTCTAAAAAAATATTTAAATTTTGACAATAAAGTGACTAATTATCAATATTTAATTTTATCCTTTAAGTAAAAGTCTTTAATTTAAGATTTACAAAGATGCAAAAAAATCAAAGGAATAGATGTAACATCATTCTATTTTAATAATGCATACTATTTTTATACAGACATGTATTTTCAGAATAATTATAAAACAAAAAAATTATTTACTACATAAAAACCAGCAATCAACCAAGTTATAATTATCCAAAAATACAAAAAAAGTTATCTTGTTATTCCCATAAATTAAAAAATCAATTAATATCGCGCAATTTAAAAAAAAGAAATAAATAAATTTCATCATCTGAACAATTTTTTATAATCAAAGTTAGTTAGTTTACAATTTTAAATTTAATAATACGTCACTTTTATCCAAATAGCTATATATAAATGACTCTTTATAAATTACATTCTAATATATATTATAGAAATATTATATGCATAAAAGAGTTCGTTTATAGATATTTGAAATATATTTTTTTGTATCAAATCAAATAAATACTATAAAAAATGAAATATCTAAAAGAAATAAATATTTTTCGCCTATTATCTCAAATACAAGTTTTTAAATTATTTAAAGAGAGTAAAAATCAATAAAAATTTAAAAATCACAAAAGTACTGCTCGACCGACTATTTAATTTTTCTATTATCAAAAGTTAATTTACAATATTGAGTTCAATAATACGTCACTTTTATCTTAAAATTTAGCTATTCAAGCTTAGAAATTATTACTTTATCAAATTTAAATTAGAAAACTAACTACTAAAATGAGAAAATTACTCATCATTAATATTACTGAAGTTAGTATTTTTAAAACTATTCCTATTTATTATCAAATATCACAAATAAATACGAATAAAAAACTGAATACTTCATTAGAATAAGTTTTTTTATGTCAAGAGTATTCTTTTGAAATTTACAAATAGACAATTTGCAGTTAATTAATTAAAAGTTTTGGTTAAAGTAGCTATTACGTCACTTTAAGACTGAATATAGCCTAATAATTATCATTGTTTGGCAATATGATAATATAAAAGATATTTAAAAAATCTAGAAATCAGTAGAAAATATATATTGAGTGTAAACAATTTTTTATTTTCATATAAATATAGGCCTAAATCTTCTTTTCAAATTAAGAGCCCCTAAGGATCTAATGCACCAACAAAGAGAAATTTATCTATAGCCCCTTCAAATATTAGTGAAAGTAACAAATATCCTTCTAGTACTTCCATAGAAATACCTGGAACATCAAAATTGGATCCACCTAAATCTTTAAGAATAAGACTTCTCAAGCTTTAAAATGTGAAAACAGAAGTTTCATCAATATAAATTAGATCTGTTATATTCCAAAAAAATGAAGTAAATTGCATACACTATATTTTGCGATTAAATTAATTAAACACCTTTCGTTTTCTTTCTTTTTGTGATATTTTAAATATCTATTAAAAAGATATATCTTGCTTAGAGTTTACCTATTTTTCTCAAAATTATTATGCAATTAAGATATATATTTAAATATTAGTAATTAATGATAATACTTTATTTTTTATTAACAGATTTTACTAACCAAAAATAAAAATCCTTCTGCAGACAATGTTAAGTTAGATAAGCTTTAAGTAAATAAGAATTAAGAGCTCTAAATGAATGTGTAAATGGATCAAGATATTGATTGGAAAGATTTATTGTAAAAATATTCAAAGAGAGATTTAGAAAAAATTCTGTTCTACTGTGCCATATTTAAATCAGTTGTTGGAAAGGAAGACGAGCTATTAGGTTGGTTAGTCTGGCCAATATTTAAAATAGATAATGATTACAAAATGGTCAATGCTGGTATCTTTACAACAAATATATTTAAAAAACCAGCTTAAAAGCCACCTTTTGGAGAGAAAAAAGAAAAATCTGAGATCTAGATGCAGTTTGTAACCAAATTAATTAAAGAATTTCTAAAAGAGAAAAATCAAATAAAATTTACCTTTTTTTGTACATGAAATCCCACCCAATTATTAGCTTAGCAAATTTATAATACATTAATAAGCTAAATATTTTTTTAATTAATATTACTCTACCCCTTTAATTAAACTATTCTTTTACTTAATTGAATAAATTTATTTAAAAGGAAATAGAGGCTGTTGGTGCCTAAGGCGGCGATACAAAAAATTTACTAAGTCTTGCATCTTCTAAATAAATTAACTTAGGGGATGATGATGAAGACAAATAATCTCAATTTAATCCTCAATCTACAAAAGTTATTGAGTAACCTAAATATGATAACAAAAAAAAACTTGTTATAGACCTGCATAGCTTATCAAAATATCTATTAACTAAGAATGATTTATAATATAAAGTAACAATTAATTTTATCCTTTATTTTTAATTAATCTTAAGCTTTAAATTTGTAGATAGAAGTAGTTAAAGATTCCTAACCAATAGCTGATGAAAATGGACACAAATGCATAGAATAATAAGATATTAGGATTACAGATAAAGGCAAAGAGAAATGGAAGTTTGATTAAGAATAAAAATTTGAAATTGGATAGATCAACTTAATGAATAACTTCACTGACAACAGTCATTCCAAAGGATTTATAATTGTAAACATTATTTAAATTTTAAAATAATAAAAAAACTTTCATTTATAAATTATTTATGACATGATAAAATATTTCAAAATTTTAATGAAAAATTTATTGTTGATTGAATAGAATTTTTAAATCATTAAACTCAAATAAATAAATTTACTAATTTGCCTTGAATCTAAACATAAACATTTCTTAAATTTTAATATAATAAAACAGCTTAATTATTTATGATATGATAAAATATTTCAAAAAATCAATGAAAAATTTACTGTTGATTGAATAGAATTTTTAAATCATTAAACTCAAATAAATAAATTTACTAATTTGCCTTGAATCTAAACATAAACATTTCTTAAATTTTAAAATAATAAAACAACTTTCATTTATTAATTATTTATGACATGATAAAATATTTCAAAATTTTAATGAAAAATTTACTGTTGATTGAATAGAATTTTTAAATAATTAAACTCATTTTACGAATTTGCCTTGAATCTAAACATTTTACTTAACACTCATATTAAAAATAATAAAAAAAATAAGTAAATGTTATTTAAAATATTAAATAAAAGATATCTGTCCTTACTAAAGGAAAGGGTGATTTAATAGGTTTAGTTAAAGTGCCTCTATTTTAAAATAACTCTACTAATTTGAATGAAGGTAGAAATAAAACAGAGTTGGTAAAAATTGAAAAAAATGGTACTGAGAAGCCTTAGAAATACATTCTTGACTATTCTATAAATTATATCAATATTGATGAAGCCAATTAAAAAGTATATGATCCAAATAAAGGAATAAGAGTTAAACTTCATGAGTTATCTAACTATAGAGAGAAATATGATGTAACATATTAATTCCATGCTATGATAGGTATTATGTTTTTACAAAAACTCAGAATTGTTTTAATAATAATTAATTTAAATAAACAGGCAAAGAAAAGTTAAAAAACAATTTTGGTTAACCATGTGAAGTTTTTGGATAAGATTTTATAGCAAGAGATGAAAAAAAAAAAAATGTGATGCTTGATGAGAACTTTTTTGTTCACTTAGATTTAGGAAAAATTTAGGATTTTTATAGAAAAGAATTGGATGAGATATATATTTTGTTTGAAATTGTTATTGATAAATCTGTCTAAGGAACTAAAGACAATGAAGAAGACTTTGCTTGGTACGCACATCCTCTGTTTATTGATTCCAAACCAAATTTAGGACGCTTTAATGTTTAATTATACAAGCTGCCTAAAGAATTAGATAATTAACCTATCAATCCTTTAAAAATGAAAAAAATGTTAATAAAATTTGATTTCGAAATTATAGAGTAAACTGGAGATAATGAAAACCAGTCAGCTCCATAAAGTAATGTTTAGCCAGATAGAAAATCAAATAGAAATCCTACTGTTAATATTAATGAATTAAATAATCAAAGTAAAATTAATAATAATCCTGATAGCAACAAATTCAATATTTTTATTGGTTCAATAAATAAAATAAAATTCAAATAAAAAGTTTAATCAAAACTTGCAATTATATTTAAAGATGACATATTTAAGAACGACAACGGATAACCAACATCATTTACAGGTTAATAAAATAAATACTTGAACAATTTATTTTAATAATTTATAATTATAATAGGAGAATTCACATAACCTATGGGAGATAGTATCTAATTTGATGAAGAATATGACATAGATTTAGATTTATAAGTGTTAAAAGCTAAATACCCTAAATAGTTAGACTAATTTTATTTCTTTGTTAATTTTATTGATGAAAAATCTAAATCTGTTTTGTGGTTTTCAGGAAATATTTTTAAAGATGGTGATTTGAGAGCAGGTGATTTTACTGAAAATTTATATGAACCGCCTATAATAGCTAAATTAAGCTAAGGTACTAAAAATGCTAAAAAATCTACATCTCAAATAGAATACAGAGTAGCTAAAGGTTTTGGAGAGGATTCAGGATATGAAGAAAATTGATTATAATTTTAGCAAAAATATAATTAATCACTGTAAATGCTCATTAATTAAGGCATTCCCTAAGTATCTTTTTTGCCCAAAAAAAAGTGCCAAATAAAAAATTTAAGAAAAAAATGCCTTACTTAAAATATGCCTTAATTAATGAGCATTTACAGTATATCTATCTTCATTTAATCATCCATTTAATTCATTCATTTTAGAATAAAAATAATGGAATATTTTTATTTTTTAGTTGTATTATCTTAAAAATAGTTATTCTGTAAACATTAAATTAATTATTTTTTATTTGATTAAATTATTTTTTGTTTTAGTTACAAATGATAAATTACCATAATTTAATTCATTTCAAATTATCTAACTATCAATAAATGTCTTTTTAGAAATCAATTCATTTAAATTATTTAGTTATGAGAGTCGATAATATTTTATTTTAACTGCTTATTATTTTATTTAACTTTTTTTGTATTTGAATAACAATAATAATTGTTTAGTTTTAATAAAGAATATTTATTTTTGAGTTTCATTTACGAAAAAATAATATTAAATAAAGTTAATTTATTATCTTTTTTAGTTAAAGAATTGTAGAATATTTTTAATTGGATTAACTTTTTTATAATTAGAATTCAAATAATATTTGAAAATTAATTAAGTAATATATTTAGTTAGTATGCAACATAATAATGATTCAATATGAAATTTACAACAAACAAATAGTTATATATAGTATATATAATAAGTAGTAGCATTATTATAATTATAATAATCTAATAGATTTAGATAGTAAATAATTTTTATGTAGGTAGGCAGGTATTTAGTTTTCAACCTTTATTTATTTATTTCACATCTTTTAGTAAGGATTAATGAAATTCTAAATTTACAAATTATTTGGGGGAGGAAGTGGGCGCATTTGACGAGAGATGTTTGATAATTAGTTAATGTTGCTCCCAATTGAATTATTTTAGAGACTTGAGTCATTGTTCTTAAATAATTCATCTGTGTTAGTAGTGTAGCGTGAGAAAAAGTCTGATTAGTATTGGTAATCAGAATTCTAGTTTAAATCGTCAAAGTTCAAGAAATCTTTTTTTTTCAAGCTTGTCAAATTGGTCATATTATTTGGTTAAAATGAAGAGCTTGTGATTGAACTCTACTATTGCTAAGAAGATTGTTAGTTCCAAAATTGAGTAGAAAAATCAGCTGCATACTTCATTCTAATTTCCTGAGTAGAAGGTTTCTCATATAATCTGTTTGAAGTTATTTTAGGTAGTTAAGAGAGCTTGGGTTAATTTCCAATAATTTGCTTTGTTTCTTTTGGCTGCTTTTATTGGTTAACAATTTCTCTTTGATCTTGCTTCTTCTGTACCTGCTTATCTTCTCCAATTAAGTCAAAGTCATCAGATTCATTAAGATTGCTTTCTTGTTAGTTCTTTGTATCTTTTTAGTCAGATGATAAGTAGATTTTGTTCATTTTATTAGTGTAGGTGTCTAAATTGCTACTAGATAAATCCTCATCATCATCGAAATTTTCTTCCATCTCGCAGTTTTGCTACTCTTCATCATCTCTATTATCTAGCTCTAAGATACATTGTTTTTCTGTCTCACTCCTATTATCGATAGTAGAGATTTTCATGTAGTCATCTCCATCTATAATTTTGAATTCCTATGCTTGATAAGATTCCTTGATTTAATAGCCAATTAAAGTTTTTATGGTAAATTCCTTTGTTTGGCTAACTAGGGCTTCAATTTCTTTATAATTTTGCATAACTAAAAGAACAGTCTCTTCTTTGAGTATGTTGAATCTATATTAAGGATTGGAGGGATCTTCTATCTTGACATTCTTAAGTATTATTCTTATCTTTTAAAATAAATCATCCTCTGAACTATACTTCTCTGAAAGAATTTTTTAGCTTGCAGTTTCTACAGTATCCCAGAATTCGTTCTTCTCATTATTCAGCTTTGAGAAAAACTCATCGTTAGACTTCTTCAAGGTGTTTTAGAAATTTTGTAAGTGTGTAACTATACTTTCAATTTAGTCATAAAGTATAGTGTATTGTTCAGAGAGTTACTCCCAGTAAGGACTAATCTTTTTTTTTCTCCTTTCTTAAGAAATAAAATTGTTAGCAATTTCAGCTATTTCTTTTATCAGCTTTATTTCGTGGCCACTATGCTCTTCGTGGAGGCACTAAGCACATATAGGTTTCAAATTACTTGGACAATCTTTCTCTAGACATATAAAGATAAGATCGAAAGATTAATGCTTTTTGTCTTTTTTACATGGTAGACCTCCTTTTGATTTTTATTAGCTACAAATCTAAGATGATGTATTGAAGCTTACGTTATATCTATCTGCAACTGAAAAGGAAGAAGTCTAAGTCCTCTGAGGTATTTAATACTGAGGGTACTGTGGGATCGAACTTTTTAAAGTTTAAAAGCCAGACATTTATCTACAAATATAAATAAGCTATTTTTTAGTTTGTTTTGCTTTGAGTTCTTTGTTTGCTTGGGCCTACTTTTCTTTTTAATTAAATTAAAATCAAACGATTTTTGTTTCTGACAATATTTAATTTCTAAATTTTCTTTTAGGCCTAATCCTGATTGATTTGATTGATCGATTTAATAAATAGTATTTTTTAATTATTAATAGTAAAAATGCATACTTATAATCCATTAAAATAGATGTACTTTATCAAAAATTTTAATAACAATCAATCACGTTTCGCATTAAATTTTTTAATCAAAATTTTGTCTTGAAAGAATATGTATTAATAAATACTAGTTCTATTACTTTTCTATACTAATTTCTTCATTAATTTATTTATTTTGAAAATTTCATAATAGCCATTTGAATGACGATTCATTCAGAGAATAAGTCTGCTCTTTTTTGTTTTAGCTGAACCTTGTATTTATTTTTATATATTTCATACTATTGTTTTGAATTTTATCGTTAAAACTATTCAAAATAAATGAACAATTCTAATGAAGGAATTAATAAATTAATACATTATTTAATATTTTTTAAATTTTTTACCCATCTTAAATATTTTGTAAATTATAATTTCCTAATACCTCAAACCTAAATATAAATATGTAAATATTTTAATTGTGAATTCCAATAATTAAAATAGAGTAAATTTCTAAATAGTATATTTTTCATTTGTATAAATCATCTTAATGTATATAAACAAAAAGGATTGAATCAAAAATTTTATTTTTCAAAATCATATTTTAATGGTTTTAAATATAATCTTATGATTTGCTTACAATTAATCCTTTATAAAGAAAATATAATTAAAATAATAAATAGCTTAAATATTAATTTTTTAGAATAAACCTACACAAAATTAATATTAAAATTTACGACAAATATTTTAACTTAAGCTTTTTTTGAAGATTTAATTTGACCAAAATTATATAATTATCATTAATATGTTTATGATTAAAATATTAGATTAACTAATAAGATAAATTTTCTCTTTTGATTACTTTTTCTTTTACTCATATTTTGAAATATAAGAAATTTGAAATCATTAATAACTATTAATAATTGTTTTCAATTATTTTAATTATATAATATTTTAAAATATATTCTAATTATATGCATAAGATAATTAGAGAGATAAAATTTAAATATTATTCTCATAATTCAAAATAAAAAATAAAAAAAATAATTTATGAAAAAATTTCAAATGAAATAAAAAATTAGAAAATATTATTAATATAATCTAAAAATCATAATATTTTCTCATTTAATTAGAATAAAATTATTTAAATTTTTTATTTATAATAAAAAGAAAAAAAATCGATTGTTTGTTTATGATAACTTAAAGTGTGAATTTTTTTTTATTGAAAAATAAATTATTGAAGAGAATTTATATATTTGATTTTTTGTTTAGATTAAAAATATTTTTATATTAATTTTTTATTTCTTTAATTATTATTTAAAAAAAAAAATAATTAAATTAACTATAATCATTCTTAAAGATATTAAATACCTTGTCTTTTTGAGAAAACTTATTTTTTATATTTTTGACTATGTAATATTTGTTAAAGTTTAAAAATCTGTGCTTTATAATGTACACATATTAATTTATGTATTTATTTCATTAATTTAAATTAATAGTTTATTAAAAAGTAGACTAAAAACTTAAATTAATTATAATTTTTTATTAGAAAAGGTTACATTTTATGCTTTTAAATATTTAGTTGAACAATCTGTAATTTATTTATACAAAAAAAATTTAATTAAAGTCATATTTTTTCTTTACTATAACATTTTTAATATTATATATAGAACAAATAAATATTGTTCTAGAAATTGTATAGTAAAAATATTTATCAAAGTTTAAAATAATCTTAAAGATGCTTAAATAATTATGTTAAAATAATAATTTTTGAGTAAAATATTAATTTTAATAGATAAAAAAATAATTTCAAAAAGTATATATTTGGAATTTTCATAATAGAATTATGGAGAAATTATATAAAAATATGCAATGGTTTAAAAAAAAAGCAAAATTATATTTTTAAATATTATTGTATTGTTTGATTGCTATTAACATAAAAATTTGTACACTCAAAGAATTTTTTAGGAAGGAAGCTAGAGTAGAAAAAACGTTGAAAATAAGTTAAATTAGAGAGATTGATTGATTGATATATGAGATTGAGGAGAGAGAAAATTGAATAGAAAATAATAAACAGAGTTAATAAATATATTCTTGAAAAACTATAATTTCACAAAAATACTCTAAAAGAAATAATAAGTGGATATAGAAGAGCAAATTATTATTTCGCTGGCTGCACTTAAAAATTTATTACCATTTAAACTAAAACAGATGAGACAAATAGTAATAATATATACTTTTTAATAAAAGATTGATTTATAAATTGTTGATAATAAAAGCAAACATAAATAAATAAATAACAATAATAGTTATTTTATAAATAATAAAAATTACTATTTTCTTACAATACAACAAAAATGTTGTAGCAGCCCATTCTCAAAATGAGGGAAACATCAATTAATAATGAATCCTAAGAAATTGATAAATCTTAGACGTCTTTATAAGCGCAGCCTCATTCTGATAAAAAACTAGGTTCAGAGTCTAAGTTACCATCTAGTAAATAAATCATAAACATCGAGGATGATTCTGTAAATATAAATAAGAAATCAGCTTTTGGAAAAGGAAATCTTGGAAGTGAAAAAATTATAATAGATTTTAATAAAAAAGAAGTAAATCTTTAAAATAAGGAAGATTAAGAGGTAATAAACTTATGTTATTTTATATTTATTTAGAGTTATTCCTATTTGCTCTCATAAGATTAGGCTTAATGATATATTTTAATTTAATAGGCTCTCATCTAGATACTTAAAAAGGAGATAAGGAATAAAAAAGAATTGCAATTTATTGATAGAGCTGTGTGTTCATTGAAGTTTTTCGCAGAGAAAAAGCAGCAACTGAATGAGAAGTTGTATAGTAAACTCCTCGAAAAGCTTAAATACTAGTTCCTAGAAAAAGAAAAACCTCTTTTCTATCATGGTAAAGCTTATTAAATAATACTTTTACATAGATTTAATTGTAACATAAATATTTAAGATAAGATTGAGATAACCTTTATATATTTTAATTTCATATTAACTTACAATTAACTTATATTTACTATTATAAAAAATAGGTGAGAAAGGTGATTAGTACTATATTGTCTTGAAAGGTATATAATTTATTTTTATCAAATTATTAATTTGATTGAGTATCGAAATTGATTTTATAATTTTACTAACTTTTAATCTAATTAATTAGGATGCCTTGTATTATTGCTACCTCCAAAGCCCTTTGAAGAATGCGCTCCCATTGATGAATTATAATAGTAAAGACTGAGAGAAAGATATTATAGATTGAAAGATCCAGAGAGCTATCTTCATAAATAAGAAGAAGATTTTACTCCAAGGTCACCTAATTTATAGCCTTCAAATAAAAACAGAGTATAAACATTAAGTAAATATGTAAATACTGCATTTAAATTTTGTGTAAATCCTGGAAAACCTTAAACTCCTACTAATTCATCTCCTAAAAATGCTTCGATGTCATCTCCTCAATCAAGAAAGTAAAGTTATAGAGGTAAAGCACCTGAAAACGAATAAGAATAAAGTAACAATTAATTTGAGAGCATTTTCGACCTATATGCTTAAGCTTTTTTCCCAAACTTTAAAAATGCCTTCACATTTAATGCAGGAGCAGGTTTTGGAGAAATCGCACTCTTAAGAAAGACTGAAAGGTTAATTATATTATTTAAATATTTTTTTGCTAATTTTTATAAATAAATAAATAGATCTGGAACAGTTGTTTCAAAAGAAGATTGCCACCTTATGACCCTCGATAAAGAAAGTTTTGATGAAGTGCTTGGTAGGTGGGAGATATAAAAAACAGATGAACAGTTATCATTTTTAAAGTCTTTTGCCTTCTTTAAAGATGTTAATGAGAAATATTTACTAGGATTGTTACATTCTATGAAGTAAGTAACAATGATAAGAAATGAAACAATATATAAAGAAGAGGAAACTCCTGATAATGTCTATTTTATCAAAGAAGGTGAAATAGAGCTTTCAAAGCTTTGCTAAATACAAAAGAGCGAAACAATCTAATAGCAATTAGAGAAAGAAGAAATAGATTAATTAATTAGAGGTAATCACACATCTGATTAGTAGAACACATAAAATCCTTTAAAAAAAAATAATGTAACTTAAAGTGATGCTTAGCCACTTAAAAAGAAAAAGTCTGAATAGCAAGCATTAAATAACGAATAACCTAGAAAAGAAAGAAAATCTAACCTAAGTGGTACCAGAGTTAAATTCGCTGTTGTTTCACAACCATGCTATTTTGGAGATGAAGAAATCTTATAGGAAATTCCCTATAGAAATCACATGGCAAAAGTACTTTCAACACAAGCAGAGATTTGGATTTTAGACAGGAAAAGCTTTTACTCTCTTTTAAAATAATAGCGCACATTTAACAAATTTCAAGGCCAATCTAAATATTAAATCAACTTAAGAAACGAAAGATTGTAAAAGATATCCTCTACCATTAAAAAGGAGGAAGATAAATTTTTGGTGAGCAGCTACAAACCCAAAAAAAACTCAAAATACTAATTATAAGAACACTCATTAGTTGATTTGATAAAATCTAAAGAAGAAGAAAATTTTACCAAAACTTAAGAAGAAATAGACAGTCAAGTTCCTTTAACAGCCAATAATCAAATACATAATCACTTCGTTCATAAAGAAGAATTATAATTTATTTCTAATGAAGATCATCTAGAAAATGCTAACCAATTGGATTCTTAAAAGCTGTATCAATACTTTTCAAGAAACAACTATTTAGAATAGTTAGCTCAAGCAAATTCAAAAAAAATGAAAATTTTAAAAGAAATAAGCTCTAAAGGAATATCTGGCTCTAATGTTACTTAAACTGTAGCATTTTAATCTTCTTTAACAGAATTTGATGATGATTTTACTAGTTAAAATGCTCCTTAGCATAAAGTCTAAATTCCTTATTAGAAAAATCTTCTGTTTTAGCTCAGCGTAGGAAACGGAATAAGAAAAGGGGTTTTCCGTGATCCCTTCTAAACATATGATGATTAACCTCAAATGTCAACAAAGACCTTGAAAAACACTTCTTCAGCTACTAACTTGCTAATGAATGCTTCAGATTAAAAGAGAAAAACTCTACACAATCTATTTCCATCACCAAAACAAAATGCAATAATCAAACCAATATTAGAAAAATTTGAAAAAGAGTAATTTAAATTAGGACATCATAATACTCAACGCTCAGATATTAAGTTAGAAAACGCTGATTAGAAAAAATAAAATTTATTTTATGAAGACTATTTCATTAATCGCTAGAAACAGAATAACTCCACACGCTTATAATTTGCTTCTTAAGTAAATTCTATGTCATCTATTTCTCACATAAAAGAATTTTGTGAGGATACAAAAAGTTAGTTTGCTTAAACTTAAAATAACCATCAAACTAATATTTCAAGCGATTCGTTAAATAACTTAGGAGAGAAAAAGAATAAATATCACAACATCTAAGAATTAATTACAGAAAGTAAACAGTAATTGCAACAAATTAATGAAATTGAATAAAAAGTAAATTAAAAGAAAAAGCTTAAAAAAATGAGATCTGATATTCAATTCGAAAACGATTACCTTGTAAATAAACCAGAAAACAAACATAAGAGTAATTAAAACTCAACAAATATAGTTTCGATCTAGCTCCTTCATGAAACTGATGAAGAAAGCACTTCTATGTCCTTAATTTAATCAAAGTTGCACTTGAAGCCAAGCTTACATTCATTAGCTGCATTAACACCTAAAAATAATCTAAGTAAATTCTAAATATTGTTTAATTTATTTTTAATCATTTTAATTTTGCTAAAACAGAACCTCTTGCTGAAAAATAAACTAAATTTGAGTACAATGAAAGACCTATCTAAATACAAAGCTCATAATAAACAGGAAAAGTCTCAAGAAGTAGTTTTTAAGATTAATTTGGATAAAATTAGAAGAAAATGATTTCAACATTAAATTTAAATGCTTCTGAAAATGCCTTTGATTCTTTCAAGATTTTGATGGTAGAAGAGTAAGATTAAGATGAAAATAAAATTTAATACAGCCCAACTCATGCTGTTTTAACATCACCTTCACATTTAAACAAAAATTCTAGCTTAGGAAGTTTCCGTATTACTTAGTCAAACATTCACATGGATAAGCTAAGAAAATAAAATATCTAAAAGAATTTTGGAACTATTCCTTTCATAGCAAATTTTAACAAAATGAAAAACACTGTATCCAATAAATTATTCAAAGAAAATATTTCTTCTATCACACCATCTGCAAGAATTTAAGATAGTTTAGAGCAAAAACAAATAATTACTAATGCCTTCAGAACTAAAAATAACCAAAGTCATTTACTTAAAAAGGCTTACCAAGCTAAAAAATGAAAATGATTAAATCTTAATAAAAAAAATAAACAATTATTATACAAAATTAAAACTCACTCTAAATAATAATTCACTTATTAAATTAATATATTTAAAAAATACCATTTCTTAAACAATAATTATACCAAAAGCAATACGCTTTTACTATGAATTAAGGTTAAACTTAAATAGATAAAAAAATTAATTTAATCTAATAACCATTTATTAAAGATACAATTATATAAATACGATTTATATTATGAAAATTATTTAATGTATATATCCAGGTATTATCAATTTTCTTTTATCAATTCCATCTAATTATATTTAAGGAAATAAATAAATATATATAAATATAAATTAAATTTTTACAAAATATTGTTTTAAATTTTGAAAAATTCAAACATTCTAACAAAATCACAATAAAAATAGTAAAGATTTATTATAATTGAATTAAAATTGATATTTTTGTTAAGATTTATCATGAAAATGAACAAATATAAATAAAAATTATCTTCATTTCTCTTATATTAAATGGCTAACTAATTAAATAATTAACACTTTTAATATTTATTGTAAATAAATCTTGTAAACCTAGTTTGAAATCAAATTAATATCTTAATGTTTTATCTATCTATAATTAGTTTTTTTATCTTTTCATATGAATCTTTTAAAAGAGTTTTAAGTTCTATTTCTTTCAATAAATTTTCATATTCTTTTTGAAGAAGTAAACTATATTCGTTATTTATTAACTCTTTTTGATATTCATTTTCCTTCTCTTATAGTTTTTCTAGGTGCTTTTGTTTTTCATTTTTAAGCTTAATTTGGTAATCCTTTTGCATTTATTAAAGTTGCTCTATAAAATCGCTTCTTTTTTTTTCTGTATGATAGCTTTTCATGAGATTATTTTTCATTTCTAGGAACCTGATATTTTCTAATTTTTCGTGCTCACTAAAAAGATCAGCACTTAAAAATAGTCTTATTTAGCTTAGTAAATCCTTTTAGTACTTTTCGAGTTCATGAGTCTATTAAACAGATGCTCTCCTTCTTTCTTCTTTCTATTAAAGCACTTCTTCTTAAGTGATATCTATATTTGTCTCTTGCTTCAGTTTTTCAATTTACTCCTGCAACATATATATTTATTATTAGAGTTCTGAAATCTGAAGATAATTTTGCTCGTATTTTTTATTAGCTGACTCTAATTTGAATACCTTTTTTTAGAATTTATCATCAATAACTTTTAAGTTATTAGCAATACTTATTTCTTGCTTAGAAATTTAGTTCTCTTTGTTTAAAATTATTTTTTATAGTAGTGCTTTTTATTCATTAAATTGAGCCATTTCTTTATCATATTTTTCGACAGTTTTAGGATGAAACAGTTCTGGCTTTATAAAAATAAAAAAATTAAATTGTTTTATGTAATTTTTATTATAAATTTACAGTTTTTTAGCATATTTTTTCCTTGTTATTTTCAATATAATCCATTAAGTAATTGATTTGCTATTATTAAAGACTTTTTTTGGTTTTTAGCTCAGATATTTCTTGAGAATATTTTATAATCTCTTCTTTTAACTCATCCTTTTTTTCTCTTTTCTCTTTTTCAAACTAAATATGAGATTTCTCTCTTATTTTTAATTGGAATATGCTGTTAACATTATCAGCACTTTTATATGTATTTTTAACTTTATGGAAGCTGTTTCTTAAATGCAGTTCACTAATATTAGAAGGAAATTATTTCAGCCAAGGATCTTCTTTTATTTATTTTATGTTTGGTCTTTTTTCTGGTCTTCTGTTCAGTAATTTCAGGACTAAAGTTTTAGCGAGAGGAGGAAAATCGGGAGGAAAGTATATATCATTGCTCAATATATTTTATTGTATTTATTCTATTCTATTATTATGATCAAGATCTTTTTTATCATCAAATGGAGTTTCTCCTGTCAAAAATTCATAAATTAATACCCCAAGTGTCCACATATCTACTTTTTCTGATTACTAGCCTACTTATACGATTTCTGGAGGCATATAAATAGGTGTACCAGTCATTGTATTCATTACTTAGCTTTGCTCGAATGCTTTAGATGATCCAAAATCTATTAACTTAATAATATGATTATTAGCAATTAAAATATTTTCTGGTTTGATATCTCTATGTATAATAGGTGGTTTGAGACTATGAAGATAATCTATAGCATCTATAATCTATCTGAGTAAAAACACACATAATCTCTCATCAAACCTTCCTCCCTAGTTAGTTAAGAATTAAAGGAGGTTTCCATGTTCGCAAAATTCAGTAACTAAATATATATTAATAGCATCTTCAAAATGAGAAATCAGCTTTATTACATTTTTATGGTCAATTCTATACATATTCTTTAATTCATTTTCAATCATTTTTCTCTCTTTATTTTAAATGTTCCTTTTAGGTATAGTCTTAATGGCTACTTTAAGATTATCCTTTTTTCTAATACACTAATCATATAATTATGGATAAATTTTATTTCTTAAATTAAAAGCTAACCTTATCAACTTTGCCAAATCCTCCTTTATCTATGTACTCAATAACTTCATAGTTATCCATATTATCATCAGGTTCATTTTCCTATAAATATGGATTTCTAAAATACCATTTATCTGCACTTTTCATCATGGTTATGAAATTTCTACTGATAAAAAACTAATAAATACTTAAACTTAAATTGTAATAATAATAAATATATATTTATTGGACTATAATAATAATAAATAGATTCCTTAATGAATTTTAATAATATATAAATAATCATAGATCAAAACCTTAATTATTTAATTTATTTATTATATGCTGCAAAAAGCAATATATATAATATTTTAGATTTACAAAAAAAATACCTACATATAAGACTTAAAACTAAATAATTATTTAACAATTTGTAGATTTTAATAATTTTTTTTATTTTAAATTATTAAATTTTAAAAATAAATATTTCAAACAACTACATAATTTCCATGAGGAGTTTTCATTCCATAAAAATCATAAAAATTTATTAAAGGCAAGTTACTTGTGTTTTCTAGTTTATTAAAATTTAAAATTTACAAGTTAGTAGAGGTATTTTAAGAAAATTTAGAAAGCTATTTGCTTGTTTGAAGAGTATCTTAGTCTGTTTATGTAGATAAATTATTAATGTTAGTAGATATAGCTCTTTTTTTTCTCTATGAAGAAGTAACAACTTTAAGCTGAGCACTTTTATTTAATGAAGATTTTATTTTTTCTCTAAGCTCATCGTAATCTATATGCTTATTTTTCTTTTATTCTGAAATTGCTGAGGACTTTAAAATTAAAATTAATTTTATTAAAAATTTTTTTAAAAAATAATATACTTCTCTTAAGAGTTGATACTTTTTAGAAAATCTCTTAGCCTAAAATTCATTTAGGATCATGTAAAATACATTTTTAATTTCATTAAGCGAGGATTCATTAGATATAGGATATTTATTAAAGAGCCTATTTACTTCTTATTTTGTTAAATAATCTATTTTCAGCTTAATTTCCTGCTTTTGTTCAATGTATTATTCTTCTTATTCAATAAACTCTGATATTATTTTCTCTTTGCTGCCAATACTTGCATCTTAGTTCATTAAATCTGATGCTTGATTAAGCAGTTTATTTAATGTTTCTTTGCACTATAGCCTGTCACTTCTTTTTTTAACAGTTATATCTATATTAGACTATCTCACAAGTTTAATATTTCTTTTCATCTTTAAATAATTATTAGAATAAACCAACATATATATTATTTAAATAATTATACTTTTTCTAATAGGTTAAAAAATGATTTTTCCTACAACTTTGAGTTCACTGTGGGATCAACTTGGTATTCATTTTTCCATTATTACCATTTCTAATCTAACTTTTTATCTTCTTTTTAAAGTAAAAATACCTATTAAAAAATTAAATTATTATTAACAAAATTTTTTAATAAAAAAATCGAAACTTGTTTTAAAAACTCCTATGACTAAGGTTCCAAAGCTGTTGGAAAATATTCTTCTGTGATAGGTTAGCCGAGTTCATGCATTTCACTTTGCACCCAAAATATTCTAGATATTTGAAATTAATTAATTTGATAAAATAATAAAGTTGAAAATATACTTCTCATATCTCCAATTTTCTTAGTTTTTCATAAAAATTTGATAGAGTTTTTTTAGTTCAAAAAGGGTGTCTTTTTTTTCCTTCTGTTTGTGCTGCTATTCTTCTTTTAATCTTTCTATTGTTATATTTAGTTCCTACTATTTTTTTTCAAGTCCTTTTAATTCTAATTTGGACTACTCTATTATTTCTTCGATGGTTTCAAATTAAGAAGACTTCTTGTCTTTCTGATTATTTATTTATATTAATATAATTTAAAAAGTTTAGATAAATATAATTAAAAACCTGTTTTTTTGAAAACTTTTTATGCTTTAAAGGAGATGGAGGGCAGTCTTAATTGAACTAAGAAAAAGTAATCAAATTTGATTCCTGCTACATATTTTATTATTATTCTTCTTCATCTTCTTCTTCAATAACTTGATTGATTCTGCTTCTATCATGATCAGTATTTGAATACCTTACTCCTCTGCTACTTTTATTATTCTACCTCTTATTGAGAGATAGCTACTTTAAGTTCTCTTCTAATTTAGAAGATTGCTCTTATATAGTTTACTTGATTTATTTAATTTATTAAACAGTTTAAATCTATTATAAACCTAACTATTGTATCCTTTCTTTGGTTTATTAATATTACTTTTTAATTTGATGATATTCACTTTTTTTTATTTTAGATATTTCTTATAGAGCCTCATACTACTATTCTTTTTCTTACTCTTATTTTTTAAGAAAAGGATCTTTCTCTTCTTAGGTAGAATTTTTTTTCTTTTGATATTTTTCTAAGGGGTAATCAGGCTGGTATAAAGTTATTAATTTTTAAGAATTTAAACTTGATGGTCTTCTAGAATTTCCATTACGAAGTTTTATTTAATCTTTGTTTGTGTCACCGCTGGCAATTATAGATTATTTTATAGCTTAATAGTCTATGATACTCTTACAAATATCTCTTTTAAAATTTTAAAAACCTGAAAACTTATTAATCAACTCACCTGCCTTTGAATTAGTTATTTTTTGAAGCTAATTCATTGAATAGCTTGTATTTATCTTCTATGTTTAATCTTATGTAGGTTCTTAGTCATAAGTTAATAGTTTTTTTAATGTCACAGTTTGATTATATATTTAAGATCTACTATCATTATTTTTGAATGCCTAATGAGTTTGATTATCTACAAACTATTTAAAAAATCTTTAGCTACTTTAACTTAATTGGAAATTTGTTTTTTTAAAATCATCCTATGATGTTTCCTTCTGCATATTCTACATGACTGTTTTTTCTTCTTATTCAGAGTAGTCTTTCATTTTCTTTTATAAAATTTAGTTTAAAAGATTTTTATTTGTTATATAAGATTTAGCATAATCACTAGACTTATAAAACGTTTTATCTGCAAGAACCGAAGATGTTATCTCATTTTTTTTTTTAGCTACATTTAATAAAAAGAATATTCACTTTAAATACTCATTTTTAAAATAAATTATAACCTTTAATGCTTAATTAAATATTTTAATCCTTGTGTTTATGATTGTTTTAAGAATTCATAATATCATCAATCATGTCAACACGAATATCAGGCCTTTGCTTAAGTTCGTTTTAATTGAGGATATTTTCTATCTACTCTTCATAGTTATCTCCTAAAATATATTTAATTTATTTAAATTCTCTCTATTTGATTCTATTTTGAAAATTTATATATTTGATTGAAAGATAAATTACTCTAACCAAATTTTTTTAAGTTAATCCACTCTTAAAGATTTTAAACTTCTGTCATTTGTTTCTACATAGTTTTTATGTCTTATTGCTTGCTTACTTTTTCTGTCTGATCCTCTATATAATACTTACTGTGAGAGCTGGATAATCGAGATTAATTTAAATCATTATATTGATCTTTTTATTGTTAATTTGTATCTACATTAGATGCATTAATATATTATGAATATTCATCCTTAGTAACCAAAAGTTTGGGATAATTAAACTAAGTTGAGCTTATCGACCTAGTATTTCTTTTGAAAGTTACTGTTTTTTTGGCAGTTTAGAGCTGATTAGAATTAATAAAGCTCATAATTACAATACTAAAGTATTTATTTGAGTTATTATTTATAATTAAAATTAATTTTGTTTTACTAATTATTATAAAGATATTAAAAGCAATTAAAAAAACTTTCTAGCTCGTTTTCACCAATAATATTTACAAATTAAGTAAATTGAAATGAAATGAATTAAACACCAACCATTAAAATATTTACAAAATATAGATTAAAAAAATATTGATATTTACATTTCCTTCTACAAATTTATTTATGAAAGAAAACATAAATTAAAATAGACTTTAAAAAAAAAAATATTTTATATTGAAGTAACCGTCAATGCAGGCAGGTAAATTTTGATGATAATTAAAAAAAAAGATTAATCATTTTGGAAGCAGTTAGCTTTTTGAACTATTTTGAAATGTCTTTAAAGGAACCTCACTCATTTTACTATCAGTTTTTTTCATGACACCCATACTCAAAAAAGGAGGTTGAGCTGCTCTGCTTCTGGGACTCCTAATTACAGTAGCTTTATTATCGGTAAAATTAATTAGTTTATCAATACTTTATGAATGTATCATAGAATTATGAGGCTTTTAACCTTTTTAAAGTAATAGTACAGAGTTATTTTGTAATTATAGATTTTATTTATCAGATTTCTAAAAATTTTATTATTAACTATTTTAGAAAAAGCTATTTTTTATTGAATTTTATTTTTAGCAAGATTATATCGGAGAGCTAGCTAAATTATAAGACTAAATTTACCACTTTTATCCAATTTTTGAATCAATTTCCTAGCTTTGAAGTTTAATATTAAAATTTGAAATAGTTTTTAATTTCAAATGCTGACATTCATTTTTACTATCAATTGTTTACTTACTCGGTTATGCTGCACTAATGCTTTAACCTTATTTTTAGAGCTCAGTTAACGAAATTTATCTCTTATGGATCAAAGAATACTATTATTATTATTACTAATACTATTATATTGGTTGTTCTTTATACTAGTTAAGTCCTTACTGACATTATGTTAAATTATTAAACAACTAACTCTAATTTAAGCATTTACTGTTTTTTAGATGCTAATTTTATTATTCTTCTCTAGCTTTAAGATTTATATTACTCATTTTAAAATCAGTATAGCTTGAACTATTGAGAGTAGGGGAAGGTTTAGGTAATGATGCACTCTTTTTTAATTGAATTTTTTCATCTTATTATCCATAATTTGCTTTTGAGTATTATTATTAGCTACTTTCTGTCAAAATATTTAAATTTTTAGATATCTAATTTAGAGGTAGAACATTAAAATTTATTTGCCTATCAAATATATCTAAATTTTTGTTAGTATTTAGATTAATTATATTTGAAACTCCTGTGGAAACTCTTGATTACCTATTAAGGATATGGCTTTAATTAGTATTACTTAAATCTGCATGAGATTTTTTTTTCACAATTTGGTTATATGGTTATTTATTTTAAGGAATGAAAACATCGCTTTATTTTTAATTTATAGAATTACTGAATTATAGTTAGCCTGAATCCATATACTAGTTTTAAGATATTTATGAATATTTTATTTAGCTATTTAACTTTAATTAATCTTCACTTAAATTTTAGTTAAAATTTGGTTGCTAAATTTAAAAGTGAGAAATATTTTTGCTTTACGGGGAATAAGAAAGCTGAGGTGAACAATCATGAGAATTAATTGAAGGACTTCTTATTTGATATATATTAATGCATTTACCTTCTTTAAGTTCAGATCTTATTAAATTTTAATTTGTAATATCTTAAAATGCAGACTTTAATGATGATCTTTAAATATTTTATGATTCAACTAATGAAGAATCTATTTTTTGTTATTTATTTTCATGTATTGATAGTTATTAATTTTTTGATACTTCTTGTAGTTAGTCACCTTAATTATATTAACATAGATTTGAGCTATGATGAACTCCATTTTGTTAATTAGTTTTTGCTTCATTTAAAATGATACTTTTACTTGATATTTCAGTAATTTTAAAAGTTTTAGGGGATTTTATCTGAGTTTTTTTATTTTATTAAGGACTTGACACCTATGATTCAAATATATTCTAGTGACAATTGTTTATCTATTCATCTTGAACTATAAAATCTTAATTAAATTAGTTGATCTTATTATAATTTTAAGAAAGTCTTATATTTTAGTCTGGATATGAATAATTGTCTAAAGATTTAACTCTTGTTTCTCTGTTTGAAGGTGTTTGCAAATTTGAATTGCTTCTACTTTAAGAGAGATCAAATTCCCTTCTAGGAATTGCTAATAATGGTGTCTTAGAAATTTAAATTGATTATTACATGCTTTGGCTTGGTGATTATAATTTTTATTAGCATTATTATTAAGAAAGTAATGGAGGCTGAGAAAAACTGGTTTATTTTATTTAACGAAGGTCAATTTGTTAAAAGTGATTTTGTCTTTCTTTTAAAACAATTTTAAATTTCTAGTTTTCTTAAACATATTTTGAACCCTCTTTAAGCTTTTGGTTATTAGAAAGTGATGCCATGGCTAACTCTTTATTTTGTATAATTAGCTTGTCATTAATATCCATCAACCTTTTATTTTAATCTAAGAGATTATTCCGTTACTCATTCAATGAGTTAATATCCTTTGTTAACTTTTAGAGCTCCTAGTAAGCTAACTTGATAGTTTCTAATTATTTTTGATGTAATTGGGATAGATTTTATGTAGCTTAATATTAATCTTCAGTTTAAACATTTCTATCTACTAATAGTTAAAAACTCTTATTTTTATTTTATTGATTTTAACTGATCAATATTTAAGATTCGTCAATTTGCTTCGATGGAGTGTTAAAATAATTATTTGTTTGATTCTAACTATGTAAATTTAAATGAGACAAAAAACTACCATTTTATACATTCAAATAATTATTTTGGAAATGATTCTCTTATTCTAAAACTTGATTAACAATAACTGGTTTTTCATTTAATAATTACTTTTTATATTATTTTTTTTAATTGGGCAAAGATATATCTACTTGACTCTTAACTGAATTTTGGTTGCTTTTTTAAATTTCTATTTATTTATTCACATTTGTAAAAGTTGGAACCAATGATATGTTAGATTATATCTAATTGTCTGTTTAAATTTGCTAAAATTCAGATACACTTTACTTATCTGTAATCTCAGTAAAACTTTCGTATGTTTAATTCTATGTCTTACTCTTTGATTCGCTTTAAAATTTACTAACATCTTATGCTTTATCAGAATTATAAATATTATCAGTAACTGCCTTTTTACTAATTATTTTCTTGACACTATCCAAAATTTTTTGCATTTTGATGTTTTCATCTTCTTAACCTTATTCGTCTTATGAAATTGAATTTTTTCTTATGATAGAAGAGTACTTTTGTGATGCATAAAGGCTAGGAGATTTTTTAAAATCGTAAAAATTGCTTACATCTTCAAACAAAGTGAAATCTTATATTTAAGAACCATTAAACAGACCTTATTTTATCTGCTAAGAATAATTTGATAAAAATTTAAATAACTAAGTTCCAGTAGGCCTTATGTATTCATTTTCATCTGTCATAGCTATTAAAATTTTAATAATAAATCCATTATATTTCTATTAGCACCTTTTAACAAGCTCTTATAAAGTTAATTAGTCGATGCATCCCTTTTTAAGCTACTCTTACACTTCAAAAGAAAATAATTCATTGCAAATCATTATTCTTAGTATACTAATTCCTAAAGATAATATATCAGACTATTTTAATAAAAATAATGTTTACCAAATATTTAATAAGTTTTTTAAATACCAATAATTAAATAAGAGTTGTAAATTTATTTTTAAATAACTTAATCATAAATTCATAATATTTTTCATTAATTTTATAATCTTATTTGAAACCTATTTTAATTTTCAAAAGTATTTTTTTAATTTTGAGGTTATTTAAAACAAATATTTTTTTTAATTGTTAAAAGAATAGAATTACTGTAAAAGCTCTAATTCAAATAATTTTAATTAAGGAAAGTGTTTAATGAAAAAGAAAAATTCTCAAAAAAGCTTAATAAACACCATCATTTATTTTCAAAGATAAAATATTTAAAATCTACAAAATATATTTTTTTATTTTTTTGAAGATGTTTATAAAATCCATCCTTAAAAATAAATTTAAATTTAAAACTTTTAATTATTAAATATTATTGTAAAATGTTTTATAATATGATGCAAGAAAATAAGATAAATTAGGCTAAAAACCAACTTCAATTTAATTTTTTAATTATGAGTTTTTGAGATTTAGTATTTTGATTGAATTAAAGAAGTAAAACTTCAAACTTATATTTGTTTTAAATATAAATTAAAAAAATTAGCTTTTTTAGAATATTGAATTAAGAATATACTTTGAAGTGCTTTGTGATGTCGAAATTACATAGGGTATTTTTTTATAAATGATTAAAATTCTTATTCATTGGTGACTGTATGTTTGTTTTTACAAATGTAAAAGTCTTTTGTATGTCATCTAGTAAACTCATCTTATAAGGCAAAATTTTAACTTCACCATTAGTGTGAGCATAGTAAATGTTTTCAGGAATTAAATTTCCAATCCATCTATTTTAACCTTCTAAATGGGACATTAAAGAAGAAATATTGTAAAGGATTTGCCAAATTTCTGTCTCATGGAACCCAATATTATTAAAGCAGTACTTTCTTTTAGCTTCCTATAAAAGATTGTTAGGAAAATATTCATAATAAAATTTTATGTTCTAAAGTTTTTAAATAGAGCCAATTTCTAAAACTTAGCATTCATAAGCAATCATTTGCAAGATGCTTTAATGAAAGTTCATTTAGTTTTCAAAAATCTTTTTTATTGCTTTCATAAAATCATCTACATATTCATCAACTGCTTGATGCATATAATGACCTTATTGCTTTAATTTCTCTTCTACTTAATGAATTTCTACTTCCTTTAATGCTACTAGGCTATATTCTGAATTTTTTTTTAAAGTTTAATAAACTTTAAATTTGCCGAGCCTTTCAGAATTGTCTTCATACAAATACGTATAATTGCTACTAAATTGTTAAATAAAATCAGAGTTCCAGTTCTCAAAATACTTTGCCATTCTCTAATCTTCTACTTCTATTTTTGCTCTTTTATCTATAACTTAAAAGTCCTACTTACTTTAATCTTAATTAAATTAATATTAATTATTTATTTATATTTCTGTTAGGCGTGAAATAAATTAGTTTATACTTTTGTTGTCATCAGAAAACAAAAATAGTATCTGTAAAAATAAATAAAAAAGAGAGCATCAATAAATAATTTATAAATTTAATATCCTGATAATTTATTACAAATTAAAATTGCTTGTGATTCATTAATTAACGGATTTATTTTATTTATGATATTAATCTATAATCAATAATAGATTGACCAAAATTTTATACGTTCATTCTACTTCATTACTAAATTATATAAATTAAATTGATAAAATTACATAAATAAGATATAATTTTATATTTGTTCACTGTATTTAAATTATTTTTAAAATAAGTTTTATAATATTAAGTTAAATATTTTTTTTCCTTTTTGCTTAAATATTTTATGCTTATTATAAAATAAACTTGGAAAATTAGTAATTCCAATTGTATCTTTTTGGTCAATAAATTTATAATAATAATTTATTTTTTATTTAGATAATTAAATCAAAATATATAAGACATAATGCAGTAACAACAGTAGAGTAAAATAAAATTAGGGTATTGGGACGTTAGAGGAAGAGGTGAGCCTATTAGATTACTTCTAAATTACTTAAAGCTAGAATATGAAGATGAAATATACCCTTTGAGTGATAGGGAAAAATGGTTCAATTTCAAAAGAAACTCCTAAGAATTATTTATAAATCTGCCATATGTTTAGATTGAAAGTAAGGAGACATAAAGTTAATCAATTTATGTTGAGAGCGATAGTATTAGCATTTTTATTTGTTAAAATTTTGGAGGAGAGCAATTACTAGGCAAAGATTTAGTTTTACTTAGTAAAATGAGAGGAGTAACTGAAGATGTTAAGCTTTATTTAAGCAGATATGCTTATCACAATGATTTTGCTGAAGCAGATCAGCTCTTCCTCTAAAAAAGACTTTAACCAATTCTCTTAAGGTTAAACACTTATCTTTAAAATTATAAATATTTATTAGGAAGCAACATTTCTTATCTAGATTTTGTTCTTTATGAGTCATTGAAGACATTAGAAAAAATAAAAAAGGAGTATTTACAATCTCATACATATCTAGTATAATACATAAAAAATATTGAAAATATTCCTTAGATTAAAGCCTATCTTTCTTCTGAAAGATTTCACAAAGATTTTTTATTTTATGGAGATCCTTCTCCTATTTGATGAATATCAAAAAATTAACAATGATAAAATTATTTAGATAACAAGTAATTAACTTATTTATACATATTAATGAATGTATTTTGTCTATTTTTATAAATTTAATTCATTAAACATTTTATTTTATATAATTAATTTAAATAGAAAATATAATCTGGTGTATGTATGTATATATTCTTTATTATTTATAATGCTTTAAACTATTGATAAAGAATATATATGTATGTATATATTCATAATAGAATTGAAATAATTGAAAATTTGAAAAAACTATTTACAAAGAAAAATAAAATAATTATTAGAGATCTATCTATCTATTTAGCTATCTAGCTAACTAGTTAATTTAGTGATTTAGAATTGCTCTAATCACTCACCATTCTGAATATCTTATTCATTTATTTCATTTGATTACTCATTTTAGTTGTTGTTTTGATTTTCATAATCTCCAATAATCTCGTCTCCAAATTAATTAATATGTACTTCTTTACTACTTTTACTCCCATTATCGCTTTCTTATAACTCATCTAAATGGTCATCTTATATGAACACAGGATAATCCCCTTCATAATATTGGTGTTATTCATATTAGTTAGCTAACAAATTACTTTCAGATTCACTTCTTCTTTATATAAAATATCCTTAAATATCATGTACTTCTTTTCCTTGCTAAAATTAATAGTATGAACCATACGCACTCTCTAACAAATCTTTAGTTGTTTGGCTTACCATAATTTTACCTGGTTCACCATTAGACTCCATCTTATTTGATAACATAACATCTGTTCCATAAATATCATATCTAACAATATCACTTCCAGTGATACCACCAATAATTTATCCCTAAGTTAACAAACAAAATTTAGACGTTGTAAATGTTAAATATTAATATCTTACAGTATGAATGCCTATTCTCATGTTGAGTGTTTCAAAATTTACTTCTGATCTAACTTATTTAATTATTTCTAGCATGTTTAAACCCATTTAAACAACATTATTTGCCTCTTTAGCAGGATTTCTCTGTTTATTTTTATATAACAATAATTTTAATTGTTCCTAAAAAAATAAATTACTTCTTTTGCATTATCCACTCCTAAAACTACATAGCAATCACCTATTGTATAAACTTTGAAGCATTTCAATTCTTAACATTTCATATCAAACTTTAAAAACAAATTCGAAAGCATGTTTACTACCTTTATAGTTAATAAATATATTTATTTTTTTTCATATTTTAGTATATTATTAATTTTAAAATGTTTCTATAAGTCTCATATCTACAAATTATAGATTATTAGTTTTATTATTTATTTGAAAAAGGCAAAAAATAAAAAAAAATTATCAATTTTGAGAAAATTTCTTTTTAATTTAGTAAAAATAAATATTAAAATTAATTTTAAAAAACAGGAAAATAAGATTTTTATTTAAGTTTTTTTTTTTGAAAATAAAGCGAAATATTTTTTTCAAATAAGAAAAGATAAAAATCCTTCTCAATATTTGATATTATTTAAATTTCTTTGCTTTTTATAAATGTTAAAATTCTTTTTAGTTAGTTGGCTTGAATAAAAAGTATTTTAAAATTTACCTCCTCAGGATTTCTCATTGAGCAATATTTAGTGAAATCTGTGATGTCTGCAAATAAGAGAGTTGCTTCTTCAAAAACATCACATAGATCTGTTTACTAAGCAATAGATTTAACATTAAAATAATCTAAGAGATGCTTAGGTATTAGATTTCTGACTAAATTATCTTTCTACTATTTTTTGGCATCTAAAATTCTCATTGTGTTATAATTTTAGACTTGAAGAGAAAATATCTGTTTTTAAAACATAATGAGATTTATTCTAAAGTTAATATAATTTTACCAAATAATATTTATAGGCATGTAAAATCAAAGTGTAGATATAGAAGTAGTAAATTGTTAAATAACTTCTAAAATCTTAGGTCCCAGATAAAATTTAGCTAATAGTAAGAGTTATGATTGTTGCTACAGTAAGAAGAGATTTGAAAATAAGCTTTAAGTAATTTAAATTAGCGAATATGATGTAGTACATTATTTATTCAAGTATTTAAATTGAAAAGTAATAATTCTAGAAATAAACAATTTCATTTGTTGAAATTGTTAAAATTAAAATGAATAATATAAATGTTATAATTTCAGCTATTCTAAATTATTCCAGTCTGTCAGATTAAATTATTGATTGATTTTTTATAATGAAAAGGATAATCAAAATTAAGATTGCACTCCTGCATCCTATATATGCTCCAACGATTTTTTAGTTATAACTATCAGTTAAAAGAATCAAAATAAGACTTAATATTTTTAAAAAGCATATAATCAGTGCCAAGCCAAGATAATACTTTATGTTTTACTATTGACTTTCAACAAGATTAGCATAAAATTCATCCACTGCTTCTTAATCTTATGTCTTATAAAACACATCTCTAATGCTCAACACATAAAAATCTCTGAAGATAAAAAAAATAATTTAACATTTATATTTTTTAGAAAAATTAAATTTAAACAAAATTAATTACTATTATCCTTCTAAGAATCTATTTTCATCGTCTTTATCATTAAGAAGAAATTGCTAAGCTCTTTTAAGATCTATTTTAAAATTTTCTTAATTTTTCTGGAGACATTTTAAATATATGTCTTATCTACAATCAGTTGCTAACTAGCTTACAGCATTATACTATTAACTAACTCTCTATCCTTGTTTAGCTGGATGACCTACTACATATGACCTTAAATTTTGTAAACTTTCAGTGAGCATCTAAGAATTCAAATGTGTTTAAACTGCTTAAGATTTATTTTATTAAAAACCTGATAAGGTTAATTTAAGTTTACTTCCTCCATTTTAATTTGAATTTTAAATATTTTAATTATTAGGTTAGTTAGTTTATTGCTAGCTTGTTTGTGCAGCATAAAACGTACCTGAGTGAATAACACCTGATCTTTTATACTTTCCATTAGAATTAGAGGTTACCCCGATAGGAGATTGGATATTTAAAGTTCTTTTATAAATTTCGCGGGTAGGAGAGTTTTCATCTTCGTTCTCCTTTAACGGTATTACAGCTAATTTAATACTATCCTATCTATACATCCTTACTGCTTAAAATTCTCTATTAACTTAGTGATTTTCTTATACATTTTAATTTTAAGTTTGACTATGTGAAATAAATTTTGTTTAGTTCTACTTGTGGAAGCTACTCATATTTTTATTTCTGATACTTTATAAATTTTGCTGTTATGGACTGGTAGGGCTAATAATTAATTGATTATCTCCATGAACAATATTCTTTAAATAAAAATTATTAAGAATTTCAATTAAAAAAGTAAATTAATTAATTAATTACAGTATTGCTTTCCTAAATAATTTTAGAATTGTTGGACATTTTTTCATTTGTCTAAGATCTCTAGCTTCTTTGTTAAACATCTTAGTCATATTATGTTTTATTCTTTTATCTAATTGAGCTATTTAAATTTTATTCTGTTTTTAAATTGTTAATCTTTGACACTTTAACAGTCTATTGTTTTTCTAAAATCCTTTCTTTAGAATCTCCACTAGGAATGAGTTAGTTAATTTCATTATTAATATGAATATTATATTTTGTTGTAAAACTTCTTTTTTGTGATCTTTTTTTAAATTAAGGAGGTAAACTAGTGATAGGAGGTAGTACTTTAAGATTTAGGATTTCTTCTTTGATTTTATTTGGTTTAATTACCGTTTATCTTTCTAATTTTTTAAATTATTTGTAATGTATAACTAAATTTATTTTTATGTTTGTTATTAATAATATTTGGATGTTAATTTACTTTTATGGATAGCTGGATTGAATTTTTTAAGAGTATAGAGAGTGATATCTCCTTTGCCTTTGGCAAATACAGTTTTAGGATCAGAAAAAAAAAATTAATTTGTTTTTCCTTAAATTTTCTCAAAGGCTTGTTCACTGATAGTTACTTCACTAGGATTGCCTTTAGAGCAAACTCTACTTGTAGTATTTACAGTATCTCCAATGAGTGAAAACTATGGTTTATGATGTCCAATAACACCTGCAATTACTTAGCCATAATGTATGCCTAATGATTTTATTTAAAATTAAAGTTATTTATCTAATTTTTTTATAATTTCTAGATGAAAATCCATTTTTATTGTTTTTTACCTATTTTAAGTTCTAAGTTTTTACCATTTTAGCTCCATTTTAAATCTTTAACATAGTCAAGCATTTCTAATGCTAAATTTGCAGCTCTTTCAACAGGATCAATTTCTCTCTATCTTATATCGACCTAGTCTTCGAAGTCCTTTAAACCTGCTGATGCCATATAGCTTAATTTATTTTAATTAATTAAATAAATAAATATTTTGCTTTAGAATTATGAATTTTACGTTTTTCCAACTGTTTCTATTTTTTGTAGACCTTAGCGAGCACAAAACTAATCAAAATTCTTGAAAACTTTATCGAGAAAAGGAATAATTTTTTCATTTTTTTCTTTGATTATATCATCAAAGTGGCAAATGTCACAGAATATTATACTAGCTTCACCTTATTTTTCTTAGAATCTAAATGGCTTGTTTGGATCGTTTGATTTAATGCGATTAATTATGAATTTTGGTAATAGAATTTCCAGCACATCGTTAATTTTTTTATTTTGAATATTTAATTCATATTATTGTATAAAATTTTTCTTTTACCTTTTCTAAAATAAGTACTTTTGAGAAATTATGTATAAAAAAAATGAGAATACGATAAAAGGCTAAAAGACAATAAGTGAGTAGCTTTAATTTTCAAGCAAATAAATCGTTTTAAGGGTTATATAAATAATAATTAGTATCATATTTTGAATGAAAATATAGTGTATAGGGATTGTGGTAAAGTAGACATTTGAGTATAGTAGTAAAATAAAAAATGAAATGAATTTTTAGCTTTAGCAAATAAATACTATTTCGATATAAAGCAGCAATCTAACAATAGATATCCTTAAGAGGACACCTTTTAGTTGGTCGTACGTTTTTGTTTTTGAAGATAGGCAATAAAAGTAAGAATGCTGCACTAATTATATGAAATTCAAAAATACATAAATAGCTAAATAAACCCTTTCTTAAATCACATTTTGTGCATTTGCACTACCATTAACTATAGAATTTAGTATCAGACTATTATACTAAATCAAGAAATATACTTAATTGAAAAAATAAGTGTAGAAGCTATAGTTAGAGTATTTGATACAAAATGGATAGGCTTCTTCTTCAAACCTTTTTTATGCATCGTCATTAACAAAGCTTAGAGTGAAGCGATTGATTTTTGTATTGTTAACTATAGAATTTTCAGGATTTAGCAATTATTATATTGTTAAATCCATATCAACATTAGCAAACAATTTCTTTATAAATATCATTAAGTTGAAAGAAGAAGAATCTATTTTTTTTCCAGTTTTTAGCTTAATTTCTTAGGCTTACATTAATATCTTGTTGAATTAAGAAATAGTTAAATCTCTCAATAACTCTATTCCGATGAATAAATATTTTATTTCTATTGTCTATATTGCAATCATAAACAAAGTTTAAAAACACAATATTGAAGCCAACAAAACCCACAGTTCAGGGGATCCCCAAGCTTCATTAATAAGCACTTCTTCTTATGAATCAACATCTACAAAAATATAGATAATTGATATCCCAAACATGAATAGAAATGATACTAAAAATTATTTAAGTGTGTAGTCGTATGAATTAAGTGCTACTCTTATCTATCCTACCCAATTAAAGACTAAAAAGAGAGCCCTGATTGAGAATTGAGTTGGTAAAATTTACCCTGAAATCATTTAAAGACTGCCAAAAAAATATACACAGAATATAAACACTCCAACTTCAATCAAAGAAGTTATTAAGCAACTAGCTATAAATTTCTTTAAAAGTGCTGTGTATTAAAAGTAGGATTAGGCACTGCTGAATTACCAAAAACTGCTTATTAAACGAAAATCCTGTTCACTTTTTATTTAAAACTCTTTGTATGTTAAAGACTTATACTTTAGAAATTAGTCGCTTTTTAAAGGAGCTTAAGTTTGAGTGATAAAATTTAAACTCAAATTAGGTTCTTATTCTTATTGTGGATTTCTATGATAGAACTGACTTATCCATGGTATGCATCCTTTATCTACTAGAATATTAAATATTCCGAATACGTAAAAAGGCAAATGATAAAAAATGGTTTATCTAAAAGAAATCATCATATCATTTTATTACGTAGATCTTATTATAAGCCATAAAAATCCAACTATTAAGCACCTGTTTAAAGTATATAAAAGGATCTAATCATATGTTTCCAAGAGAATTCGAGATGTGTAAAATAGAAGTTCTTACAATCCCTTAAATGAAAAAACTCTTGCATCACAGTTTATTTTGTAAGTTTCTCTTGTCTCTATATTTATATCAGCATCACTGTTAATATTATCTTAGCCAATAGAAATAATTTTGCAATCCTCTTAACTCATCATTCTAATTAGAGAATAAAGTTCGTTTTTTTGCTCATAAGTAAGCTCACAGCCAATTAGTCCTTTACTGAAATGGTACACAAATGCAAAATGTTGCTTTAAGAAATCATCTTCCTTTAATAGATTTTAAACGACTATTAAAAATAAATTAATTAGAGTTAAAAAATTACCATAATGACTTTTAATGACTGCTAAGTAACAATAATCATAAAGTTTTTCAAATAATCTGTTCTTGACATGCTATAAATGCTTACTCTCCGGTTTTAAAGAGATTTTCTATTTATTAACGAAGAATTTAATGACTATCTTTTGGACTTTTAACTATTATTTTGGCCATCTTTGAGACTTATCTTTTATTTTTTTAAATTTTAATTATTAATGTTATTTTTTTGATATAATTGTTTACAGTAATTTCTTTTATTTATTCTTTAATATCATATTTTAAACTCTCAGGATCACTTTAAGTTAGAAAAGTTAATTTAGACATAGAAGTGAGCAGTCCCATATTAAATCCAAGAGGAAGTGCCTTGTTAATTTTATCTGACGAAAATAAATTTAGCTTAACTTTTCTTTACTCAATCATTTCAATTGTTTCTTTGACATCTGGAAGAATTTCTTCTTCTAAACCAATTAAACACAATAGATCTAATTCGCTTTCTAATTAATCAAACAAATTTTCTATAATCTGCTCATCTACAACTACATTGTTGTATAAATTATTGTAGCTTTAAATTATATCTTAAGTTTCAGACTCAGTAAATTCTCTTTTCCCATAAATAATTACTTAGTTGCCATGCAAAAGCATCTATTTATTATATCCAAAGTAAAATTTATTTTTTCTTAAAAATTAAAAAAATATTTACGTTTTTGTAGGTTTTATCAACCTATTCGATCTATGAAATAGTTAAATTAAAATTGCTAGGTATCGATTTAGTTATATCTAGCTCTTACCTTACATATAAAATAGAAACATCCTAGCTTGACAAAGTATTAGGATCTCTGACTAATATAGAAAACCTTTTCCTATTTTTTGTGGGCTCCATGATTGCAAGAATCTAATAATTAGTGTAAAAGTTTAAAAATTAAACTACATACTTAGTGTTGTTGTTATCTTCTGACTTACACTTCAAAGATACATCGAAGTTAGAAATAAATTAATTAATTGCTTCCTCCTCAGGGGTTTGATGAAAGTTTACAATCTGTTTGCTAGTTGAATCGTATCTTGAACGAGTCATTTGGCACAATGACATAGCTACAAGAACTTCATTATGAATATGATCATCAGGATGAAAAAGAGAATCTAAATAATCTTTCTCATCTTTCAAATCATAGGAAGAAATGTAGTGAATTTCGAAATTTCTTTTAACATGATTAGAATTTTAGTTTTAATTATTTTTTTTTCTTGATAAAATATCTTAAGTATTGTAAATTTATGGGATGAGAATAGGGCTTCGACCAGAACCTCTACCTCTATGAGGGTTTTTAAAAGGTGAAAAAAACCTTTCTTCTTTATTTATATTTTAGCTTGCAGTCATGCCTAAGCTATTGTTTCTGATATGATTTTGGCTAACAAAATTATTATTTGAAGTCTAGCTTCTAAAAAGATTTTTCATCGTTTTGGAAACATCTTCTTTTTCTCTGAAATGCGTTTTAGTAAGAGAATGATTTTACCAGTTAGCATTATCATCAATAATCTCATTTGTATGGTTATTTTCATCAGGAATATATAGCTCTTTTTTCACTCGATTTTCTTCGTTTGTGTTATTGGGATTATTATAGTTCGATAAAGTATTTTAACTGAAGGTTTTGTCTGCCTCATTTTACAAATTATTTATTTTCAAAAAATTAAACTTTTAATTACTATTTTAAAAGTTTTTTTCATTAATCAATTCATTACAACTATTTGTATTTTAATTTGGACTTTTATTTTCACTATTTTATGTTGCAGGTATTATTATATTTTGATTTTTTGGGGTGACTTGGTTAGCTTACGTATTTGTTATTTCATCTGTTTGAATAGCATCACCATTTTCAATTTTATTATTCGTTTCTGCATTCATCAAACTGGAAGCTTCTTTGTACACAATTTGCTAACCATTTAAATTCTTTTTTTAATCTTAAATTAAATGTAAACTGTTTTATTCTTGACCTGATCTTGTAGTAGAATATTAATCTGACAATATATCTTTTTATTCTATTCTAGCAAAGTATTTACCCAGAGATTTTGGTTTCTTAGATTTTACTACAGTTTAACTCATTCTAGTTTTTCTTACAATTGTTTTTTATTAATAATGAGTAGTTTTTTTCCCTCTCTCAGAATAACCTCTTTAAAAGTAAGGTTAATCATTATAAATAATTTCTGATTAATCTAAATCCACCTCCTAAGATCTCTCTATAATTTTATTTTGTGTAAAACTCAGTAAAAAACCATTCCCTTAGTTTGGTTAGCCAAACCTAGAAACTGCTAATGAATTACTCATTCTTGTTCCATCAAATAAATTATTGGAACCCTCAGATTAATTATACTCTCCTAGCTTTAACAGCTTCATGACTGAAGACTAATTAGTGATTGAAGTTAACTTTTTAGGTAACTCAATTTCTTCCTATGTATCTGAGTTTAAAGAAGCAATAGTCTTTTTATTAGCACCAATTAAAGGTTTATTTTTAAGTTGTCGTGTTGAGTTACATTTTTCTTTATAATATAAACTTTGTTTTAAATTTACTATTGTATTATCTTCAATTTCTAAGTCTTCTTCAGATTCACTTTATTCTTAAATATTTAATTTGAATTCTTTTTCAATTATATTCTTCATTCCTTTTTAAAAAAATTTAAAATATATTTAATTCCTTATTTAAATCAAGTAATTAATTTATTTGTTTAAAAAATCAAGTAATTAATTTATTTGTTTAAAAAATAAATTACTTTGAAAACTACCTTTGTTCTTAACCACATAATCTTTTATACTCTCATAATTTTTAAATTAATATAAAATATTATTGCCAAACCCTATTGTCCTAACATTTAGTTTTCCTGTACTTATAGAAGTGTTTTTATGGAGAAAAACATGAGACATCTAAGAAATCTAAGTAAGTTTCATGGGATCTGATTATATTTACAAATTTTGAGACTCAGGTTCAACAGTTTAATCTCTATTTTAAGCCTATCTTCTTTGCAAGAGAAGAAGAAAGTTAATGAAATCAATAACTAAAAAATAATATACTGGGAGCATATTTATCATATTAAAAAATTCTATCTAAAGATTTTAACTTCGGATTTTACTATTTGATACTTTTTTAGAGAATGGATCGTCTTCGACATAAAAAGAAGATGTAGATATTATAACATTTACAATAAAAAACGCGATCATAATAAGATATAAACCCATAAAGTATATTTGCTGCTTTGTCTCATCTAAACTCCAGTATTTTGCACTAATTAATGATGAATTTTCTTTTTTTAACTATTTTAAATAAAATTTAGTATTTAGACCAACATAAACAACCATTCCGTAAACCCAATCAGTGTATGTAAGCTTAGAGCCTCGAGGAATAAAATTATCATTTGTTATAGTTTCCCAATTCGGGTGTTTTTTAAGTTTTATAAAAGCTTCGAAATTATTTAAATCTGGCTAGTTTTTTCCATATTCAATTTTACCACAAAGCATTTTCCTAAATTCAAAGGGGTTATTATTTACACCAGAGTTTCTCTTGCCTTTTTATTAAAAAAAAAAAATAAAATGTTTATTTAAAGAAAAGAAAAATATTTTCCTCTATATCTTTGTTAATTGCCATTTGAATCAAATATTACAAATTTAATTAAAAATCGTGATGAATATTAAAACTATTTAATTTAAGTAAATTTGTATCTAATTAAATACTCTCTGTTAGGTGAAAAGGTGTTTTTGTTTTTATATTTGTATCTCCATTCATTTGTGATGTATCGATACATGCATAATCATCTTCGCTGTCAAGTAAAACTAAATCAGCAGGAGCTACTTCTCCAATTTTGAGAAAAACTATATCCCCAACCTTTTTCATAATAGTTCATTTAATACTTTTTTTCGTTTTTTCATATTAATTAAATAAAAATAATAGTAATATTTGCAATACCTCCAAATCTCCCCATTTAACTTCTCTTATTAAATGTTAGTCTAATTTATCACTTATTTCATCCTTTATTTTTTCACTAATATCCTCTCTTAGCTTTTTTAAAAGATTAGAGTAGTTTTTTATAAGTTTAGTGAAGCATTTGCATAAACGGTTGTTTTATATTTCATCTCTCTTTTATCTTTGTTTATCTATAAAATGCTCATTAAAAGTATAGAGAGCAATACTTAATAAAAGAGGTAGAAAAAATATTAACCAAATGTGAGGCCTATTTATTAGTTTTTTATCAAAAATAATTTTATTTATAATTCATGTAATAAATTTTCAAGTAATTTTTGAATGAAAGTTTATCAAATGATCTATCTGTACATAAACAACCATTTATCTAATAAATCTTCCCCTTCTTTGCTCATAAATGATAAAATATATATGCTTTTACTTTGTATAAAGATAAACATCAGGATCAGCAGTAATAACTCCAATTAAATAGCAAACAATCAAAATATGGACAGGTCTTTTTAACATATACTATAAAAGGCATCTAGGAAATAAGTTAAACTTCTATTTTTTATATGAGAATATTAATTTAATTTTTAATTAGAGCTTTTTTGCTTTATATTTATTTGTTTGTTTCATATTAAGTTTGAAAAACAATATTATGTTACGCTATACAACTCAGTTTTAATCTTGTTGTTTAATTAAATATGTCCACTTAATCCTACTGGTTCTCCAAACTTAAACTCAATCTATTTTATTATTTGATAATAATTTGAGATGTTATTACAATTTTACATCTAAAATTTGTTTCTAATTCTAATTTTTTTGCTAATAATCAACAAAAAACTATCCTAAAATATAACAATTGCTATTAGAAATATAAATTTAAGAACAAATAATTAAGATTCTTAATGAATATTTATAAAATACTGAATGCTTGATTTAATTTGAAGCCTGCTACTTATTTAATGCGCTTGCCTTGTTATTATTTTTCTTACCAAAGCTAATTTCCTTCATTTTTAATCCTTTCAGAAAACAAAAAATAGTCTATATAATTAATTATTTTAAATATTAGCTATTTAACTGAGATAGTGATTTCTTTATTTTTTAGTTAATAACAATTTTTATTATTAGGTCATTGTGTGTAATCTCTATATAAAAGAACTTAAAATATGTTTCAATCAGTCAATCAATATTTACGAAATTAATAACTAATTTTATCATTTATAAACGAATCTACTAAATAATAAATGAGTGTTTATTACATTTTGAGCTAAATGCTATCCCTACGAATTAAACATTTTTATCAAATTTAAAAATTTTACGTTTAAGTTTGTTAGTGATTATTTTATTTTAAGTATATACTTATCAACAAATTTTTTAAAATATCAAACATTTCTATTTAAGTTCAATAATTAAAGATGATAATTTGAAAATAATCTCTAAAATACACTTAGAATTTCTACCTTTAACTTAATTTTCCTAGTTAAAAACTTTTAAATTTTATCATAACGAATTAGTCGCTTATCATAAATCAGTGTTTTTTTTCAACTTATTATATCTAAATTCATATTTTTTTATGTTTATTTGAACAGATATTTAGAAAAAATATTAATTTTTTAACTAATTAAAAATTTTAAATTAAAAACATTTTAATAAATATTTATATTCTTGTTAAATTCATTAAAAATTAAAAAAAAACTAATTATTTGAGTATTTTTGATATATTAAGATATTAATTTATTCATCAATCATTAAATAAAATTCATTATTTATCAAAAAAAAAAACTAAATCCTATCCACAAAAACTTGAGTTAATAAAAATTAAATGAATTTTTCCACCACTCAATATTTATTAATCATAAGCAAAAATACTAATTTAAAAACTCTTTTTTACACTTTTTTAATTATAAAAGTAAAATATATCAAATCTTTTAGAATAAAATTTATTTAATTATTTTTTATAATTAATATATTTAAAGGTAAAACAATATTTTATCATTTGCAAATCTATGTATTTGGTTTATTTTTGAAGAAACTAAAGATACTGTATATTCTTTTTATAAATTTAATAAATTTTAAAAATAAAATTATATAATATCTTTCAGTCAAGTATATTTAAAAAAAGAAATTTTACAAATTAAGTACAATTTAAAAAAAAATTACGATGAATGAAACTATTAAAAAATTGGTTCTATTTACAAATTTTTATTATTTGATAAATATAAATTATTTATTTTGAATAATTCAATCAGGTTTTAGTATGTATAAAAGATATTTAATTAAGAAATTTTGTTATAAACTTCATAAATAAAAATGAATTTTATAAATAAATTAGGTTTATAATTATATTTTATTTATAGCACTTTAAATAGAGCGAAGAAAGCATAAGAAATAAAATTCAAATAAATTTTACTGGTTTAAAAATAGAAAAAATTATTTAAAAAATATTGAAAGAGTTTGGTACATCTAACGATTTTTAGATTAAAAAAATTATTTTATAGGTTTTTATTAAAAATTTCTAAAATGTTAATTTTATATTTTGGGGTAAAGTTTATGCAGCTTTCTATTAATGCTTGAAACTACTGAACAAAGAATAAGTATATTTAAGCTTTAGAAAATGAAAAGGAAGAGAAATTGAGAGTTTATTAATTAAATAATTATTTAGCAGTAAGATCTATATTTTATTACAGATTAAAATATGACTAATTAATTCAAATTAGACTTTTATATATTTTTTAATACCATATTCTTTTTAATTTATAAAGTAGAAGAGTTTCTAAAAACAATATTTTTTTGTTTGTTTATTAATTTTATTAACTAATTTTCAAAGAACCTATTATTGTTTATATTATTGATAAGATTAAGGGTTTTCTTCCATAAAGCGATACTTTTCGATCTTTTATAATCATATAATATAAAAAAAATTATATTTCTTCACCACAGCATAGAGTTGTCAATAGCCTGCAATGAATAGAGATAAATCTTATAGTTCAAAATCATTTTTTAGCATTAGGGAAAAAGGAAAATCATAAAATGCAATCTAATTAGGATATTCTTCAACGAACAGAAAAGTATTTCAATTTTATACTTCAAAGTTAAATTAAAAAAATCATTTAACTAATAAGCATTGAGAATTATTAGAATTAGCCCTATCTAAATATAAAGCTGCTAACAGCTTATTTTAGTTGTGGAAAAATTATCATTTTTAACTAAATTATTATCAAAATAGATTTAGCTTGATGGAGGAGAAGCAATATTAATATCAGGAGTAAAACCTGAATAATTGTCAAATTAAATTAATACTCGAAGATATAATGTAAATTCATAAATTAAGCTACAATGAACTGTGTTTAATCCACCAATTTATTTTATATAAACAAATAGGTTAAAAATTTTTTTCCTTTAACGCTCTTTTAATTTTTTTAACGCAAGTTCCTTTTAATACACATGATTATAATGATTATAAGTATTGGAGTAGATGACGGTAATAATTTTACAATAGATAGGTATATGATTGTATTTAAAAGAATCATAAATAAATTATCTAATTAGATTTAGCTTAAGCTGCTTTTATAAATAAATTAATAGGTTGTAGTTATTCGCAGTTTACATAGTACCAATTTTGATATCTTATACAACATACATTCTGCTATTGCTTAGAGTGGAGTAGAATAAAAGCACATTTGATAAAACAACTAATGAACGCTAAAGTTTAGTATTTAATAAGCATAGAAACAAATTATTTGAAGCTCACCAGAATGTTGTAGAGCAGTAAATAAATTTATCTGATTTGAAAAAATGGAAAGACATAGAAGTAATAATTATTTCAAAGTTTTAAGTTATTTTGATAGATTAATCTTTCAATAAAAGCAAATAAAATATATTTAAAATAGAATATAAATGTTAAGGATAATAAAAAAATAATTTTAATTTATCATTTAAAAAGATAAATGTTAAACATTTATTTTAGGTTGGTTTAAATCTTAAATCCTCATTAAAATTTTTAAAATTTGAAAATATGAATACTCTGTTTTAAGAAAATTTAGGATTTAAACTTTTATTCAACTATTTAATTTTTATTAACTTAAATAAAAGGTTGGAGATATCATCATTATTTATAAGGACGAACATTGCCCATGCGAAGTACTCTTGCTTGATTTTTAAGGAGAGCATTGCATTCTCGATATGCACCAAATAAATGGGAATACAATTTACAAAAAAATTAAACCATTAAAAGTGACAAGATGTATAGAAAAATATATGTTTGTAATAGTTAAATTTAATTAATTTTATTCTAATTTTAAAAAAAAGCTTAATAATAAACAAAAAACAAAGGAAGTTAAATAGATTTTAGGAAAATGTTTAAGGGTTAAATAGAATATAGCAAAAACGAACATAATGAAATTAAAGGATACATCAAACTAAAGTAAGATCCTTAAGTTGAGTAATTTTCAGAAGAAAACATTATTCCTAGGGCAGCTATTATTAAATAAGAATGGGTATTTGGAATTGCTCTATACACAGGATTGGAGTGTAGACTATTCAAACATTAAAATAACAGCTTCACTAAAGAAAATGATTCTTTCTTTCTTAATAAAATCCAATTCTTCTGTCTATTTAACTATTTACTTTTTGTTCCAATATTAGTTCAAAGGTTAATTTTATAATCGAGTAGTTCATGCTATAATAATTTAGATAACGATGCAAAATTTTATTTTACAAACTTTAATATGAAGTAGCTATTTATAACAGTTACAGATACATTACCACTGTTTCCTATAGTTGTTTATATAATAATTGACTTCATAACATTAATTGAGATTTGCCTTCAAAATTAGGAAATTGTTATTCAGGATAATAAAAAATTTTTGAGATTGAAATCACTAGCTGAAGTTAAAAACTCAAGAAAACCTATACAAAGTTTTGAAAATAGCGCTGCCTAATAAAATATATAACCAATTCATTCATAATAATAACTTAATAAGTTGTAGTTTTAATAGTCAAATCAATAAAGCTACACAGTTGTATAAAATTCAAGAGACAAAAGTGTTAGCATAGTTAATCATTTAAGTAACCACAAAAAGACTAATAAATGCTTCAATTATTTTAAGAGAAAATATTTCAAGATGCTTGAGTTTTTATAATAATTGAAAATCCAATTCTAAGTTATGTATAGCCAAAAATTTTTTTATCCTTAATTTAGAATAAGAGAAGCTATTCCTATTGCAGATTTATCAGTTACAACTCATGTTATTATTGGAAAAACGAATGTCATCAGCTATCCTTATTCTTCTGATGTGTGCAAAATACTATACGGAGATAACCAGTATAAGTTAATTCCTGAAAAGGTATCATAAAAATATGAGGATTTTATGAAGAAATACCAAGAATTACAATAGAAAATAAAAAATAATAAATCAAATAAACACAGTACTTTAAATTTCAAGAAAAAAAGAGCTTCTTAAAGAGAAAAGACTGAAATGGCTAAAACTCTTGATTACGATAAGCTAGGATTTTCAGACAACAAAGCAATGAGTGAAGATAAAATTAATTTATTCAACACCTTAGGCTAATCTGCAATTGATGATCTGTTTGATAGAGGGAATAAATTAAATGATAGCACTGGCAGGGTTAAACGAAAGAGAGAAAGCAGTGCTGAAAAAAATATATATCACTCAGACAGCAAGTAAGCATTTTAAAGATCTTATAGTATGAATAATTTACAAGAGAGCCCAGAATTTAGATCTAGTATTCGTTCTAATAATTAATTAAATCATATGGTTAGTGCTAATAATAATAACTTGAAAAAAGGTTTTGAGAGTATTATTCTAGAAGAGAGTAATCATTCAATCAAAACAAAGTAAGGAAATGGTGGAAACAGTAATAAAAATGGTAACTTTTATGACATGAATAACACCGTTTCTGACAAAATCCATTCTCTAGCTAGCAATTTAATAAAGGATTCTGACCCTCATTTTGAAGGAATTTTTTAAGTAGAAAATAAATAGGCAGGATAAGAAGGGCTATCTAATGGTTAAAAAAGAGGAAGTCAATTATAAAACCAACCTAATTCTCATATTAATAACTTAACCATCCTTGTTAATAAAATAGATGGAGTTGGCAGTTAAAATAAAATTTTACATTAGAATTCAAACACTGAAACAAACATAAAGGGAGAACTATCATCAACAAACAGATCAAAATCGATTTAAAAAGAGAAATCAAATATTTCTGATTATGAAGATATTGTAAACATAAGCAATAATTAGATAAATTCATTGACTAATTACTAAAAAAATAACCCAAAATAATTTACTTTTACTAAAGATGAAATTTAAATTAAAAATAGTAGAAGGTCAAGTAAAAATAATTAGCAAAAAACAAGCTTAGAATTAGACGACTTAGATATACCTTGTGAAAATGAATTGTAAGATAAAACAGAAGAATTAAATAAAGTAAAAGGCCAAAATGATAAAAGATTGAACTTTTCTCCTACTTTTTTTGAAAATAAAAATGATTTTAGGTAAAATGTAGTAAGCAATAAAATAATTTATGAGCCAGAAACTTTGCGTCATTTAATAGATGAGAATTTTGAAGATCCAGAAATAAAGTATCCTTACTTTTCAAAACCTCCATCTTAAAACTCTAGGGTTTTTGGTTTGGGTGGTGGTGATAATTCTTAAGATTCAGATCAAAATAATAACTAAGTCAATTTAGGATAAAACCTTAAAATTAATGAAATTAATAAAAATTTAAATACAAAACCTTCCAAAAATTAAGCTGCTGATATTAATGGATTAAATGAAGCTTATGAAATATCTGAAATCCCTTCTGAAAAAGTATCTTAAAGTGCAAAGATAGTCTATAAAAAATAAAAAGATACTAGAAATAATGAGTTTAGTCCTGATTCTATTGAAGGAAGTGGTTAAATAAATTCTGAAATGAGCGAGAAAGCAAAATTAAACATCCTTAACTCTCAAAATAGCTTGAATATCAATTTTTCAGCTTAAAAAAAGTTTATCAATTCAAATAGTTTTTAGCAGGACAAAGGCACTCCTTCACAAGATGAAAGGGAACTGTTTTTTACAAATTAATCAACTTCAAACAAAAAAGAAATTATGATTAATTCTAATCAGTCAAATAAGCAAAGATCATAAAGTTAGTAAGCGAATCCTCTTCCTTTCACAATAGAAGAAAAAGATGAAGAATATAATAAAACACTTCTTTAATAAACTCAGAACAAAGATTAATTTTCTAATAGTTCTAACCCTTCTGAAAAACTTACAAACCAAAGCAAGAAATTATCAATTGAGATAAATGCTTTAAAAGAAATTTCAAGGCGCTTTTCTCTTGAAGAAAGTCTTTTAAGTAGGTCATCCAAAAATCCATCTAATCGCTTTGGAAACTACAATAAATAATCCACTATTTTTAATTTACTTGCTTCTAATCATAATAATACAATATCTGGAAGCATTTAATTTTCTATGGGAAACTAAGGTAACATTTTTACAAGAAGAGATAGTCAATTCAAGCCTGGTGGTTTAAATTCAGAAGAAACTCCAAGGGATAAAAAAAAATCCCTTAAAATAGATATGTCTAAGATCGAAGATTAAAATTATGTAAAATTCTTAAACATAATCAATAAAGAAGAAAATAGTGGTACTCATCAATAGTAAAATATTTCTGGAGAATTAGAAGACTAAAGAGTGTTTTTAAATAATAATAATAATAATAACCACAATAATGGTAACTCATTAGAAAGTCCTTAATTAGGTAAATTTATGAATCTTCCATGGGAAAAATAAGATTCTGGTAAGAAACCAGGAAGTGCAAAAGATTTTAATGATTTAAATTCAATGGAATCACTGAGAGGTGGAAGCAGAAGTAGGCAATACCAACTTTCAATTCATTCAAGAGATTAAGAAAATTAAAAAATAGAGAGAAAACCTATGAAATAATTTACTTTTTAAACAAGATAAGTAGCTAGTTCATCAATTAGATAAGAAAAGCCATTTGATTCTATCAGTAATACAATAAATGAATCAAATTTATAAGATAATAGCTAAAATTAGAATCATTAGTAGATTTATGAGTCGTATAATAATAACAATAACAACAATAATAAGAAATAAGATCAGCAAGCTTAACTAAATTCAAGCGATAAATATAATTCTTCTATCGGAGGTCTTCATAAAAAATCATTTTAGATTGAGTTATACAGTAGCGAAAATCACTTCGATTTAATTGAGAATAAGAATGAAGGAGAAGAAGATGAAGATATTGAAGAAAATGGAAATAATGAACTTGAAATTGAAAGTGAAGAAGAAATAAGTCCTCAAGAAAAATTAAATACGAAAAGCGAATAAAAGAAAATAAATTAAAAATAAAAGAAATTTTTAAAGAATAACAGTGAGTTAAATTCCAAGAATGAATCATTAAATGAAATTAAAAGTGACATCAATCACTTGCATAATGAAAACAACAATAACAACGTTGATGCAGAAAATATTTCAATTGAAAAAAATAATTAAATCACTCCTTAAAGAAAAAAATCTTATAAAAATTTAAATAAATCTACTATGCCTAAGTTGCATATAAAGAGAGAAAGCCTAGAAATGGGTTAGCTCTCATCTAGATTAAATCTTTCACCTATTAAGACGTCTCATAATAAATTTTTTGGTAATAACAGAAACGGAAAACCAAAATTATTACCTCAAAAATCTCTTCAAATAGATTCTAACAAAGTATTTAATTTTTATTTTAAAAACCTAATATATTTATTTAAATTATTAATTATTTTTATAATAAAAGAGCTCTAGATCTGCTTCAGTTAATTTTGCAAAAATGCAGGCATTTTAAGTAAATTTTAAGTTGTTAATTATTTTATTTATTTTTATATCAACTTTAAGGAATAGAGCATACCTAAAGATACAGATAAATTTTTGGAACATTATATCAAAGAAAATTCAACTTATAGAAAATAAATTAGAACATCATTAAAATGTCTTGTTTTATGTCACCAAACAGTTACTAAGTTTGACATTGATAAAAATTAATTAATTCATACATTTTACAATGAAGATGAAGAGATGATACTAAGGTTTTGTAAAAATTTAGGATACACTTTTAAGTGTTAAAATCTAAGATTAAAAGAGGATAGAATATTTGCACAAGAATATATCATTTAGATATAGTCTCAAAAGAAAAAATATGAAGTAATTGCATTCCACAGAAGAAAATTTAGATTTAGTATATTAATAAAACGAAAAAATGGCGCGGACTTAATAATGAGAGAAGAGCTAAGAACTGTGCCGCTTTATTTAGACTACTAAAGAGACTTGATGGCAAAAATAATTCATAAAAATATGCAAAATGGATTTAGAAGTGTCTTAATATCTAAATACTCCTTAAGCAAAGACGAAACTGATCGCTTTGTCAGTTAGCTAGAAAATCTTCAAACTAATATTGTGAAAGAAAAAGAGGCTTTGGACAAACTATTTGGTGTGTTTGAGGAAAAAGAAAGTGGAATGCAGTTCGTCACACTCCTAGGAGTAAAAGAGAAGTTAAAGGTACAATTAATTAATTAGCTTATTTAAAAAATTAATAAAAAATTTTTTATTAGGAAAATACTGAATTATTTTTGGATTCTCTTTACAATAATAAAATAAAAACTTGGATGTTGACTGGAGAGCAGTATACTAGAGCTCTTTCCTCTGCATACTTAAGCAAAATTATAAAACCAGAAGACTTCAAAAATCAAAATAATTTAATAAATATTCACTTTGAGTCGAACGACTATGATGATATTAAATTTATAATTAGAAGAAATTTAGAGAAGGTTCAAACTTAATTATTGGGTAATAATATACATTTAGAATGAACATATTTAAATTTGTCTAAAATACAAATAGGTGAGGACCAAGAAAAGAATTCTGCCTTCCATAGTAAAGATAATCACACTAAATTCCAAAGAAAAAAGTCAAGAGTCATCACTGTAGACTCTAATTAGCTAGAATAACAGCTCTAGTTTTAAATAATTATTAAAGGTGATGTTTTAAAAACTATTTTAGACGATGAAATTTATTTAAAGAACCACTTCCTTTTCTTATGTCATTTCTGTAAGGGTTTTGTTGCCTATGAGATCGATTCTGACACAAAGCAGATGCTTCTTAATACACTTAAATCATAAGAAGCACCATAAAGATTCCTTGCTATTACGAATGATCGAGGACTTTCAAATACTGCTCACTTTTCTGTGGAAATTGAAAGTAAATTACATTATTATTTTTTCTACTTAAAGAGTTTATTTAAAAATACAAAGATCCAAAAACTTCTTGCCCATATGTTTCTGATCTGACTGTAGACAGCTTTTAGGATTTATATAAATTAATTTTTATGCATGGAAGGAGATAGGCTGATTTTATAAATATGATTTTAAATCTTTAAATTTATAGATAAATGCTTTTTTACTTAATTTACTTGATTACAGAAGATAAGTATTGTTTGGAAGGTGAAAACACAATGAATTAAGTTGAAATATCAGTCTACAATTACTTATTGAACTTTTTTTCACTTTTTCCTTTGTTTATTTATTATTTTAATCCCTCTAATCCCTAGAATAGTAGTAAATAAATACTTTTCATTGTGTTTATTTTTTGATTGTATTCATTTTTTTTAAACATTATGAAAAAGGAAACACCGATCCTGAAAATCTTAAGTACTACTCTATGTAATACTAAACATCTAAGGAATTTTGGTCGAAATCAGAGATTCCAACCTACATGAAACTTTTAGTTACTTCTTTTATATAAAGTCTATTTATATTCTTTGGTATGGATTAGATATTAGAAAGCATTCAGAGTAATGGTAAGCTAATAGGATTTGAAGAAACACGAATGATAATCTTTATTATGCTTATGTTAGTTGTCTAATTTTAAACTGTTTATTTTTCTGGAAGTATTACATGGCAAAATATTTCTTATCAATCTTCTATGTTTATCATCTGCACTTGCATTTATTTATCTTGGAAAAGCTAAGACAACATAGATTTTATCATTTTCGGAGAATTATTTGCTTTCCCAGCCTTTTTTATTTCCTTTTTGGTAATAAGCTTAATAACATGCTTTAGCTTTGAAATAATGAATTCCCTATTTAAAATTCTTCCACATTTCTTTGAAAAGAACTTAGAGATAATAGAAAAAGCTATTTAGTATTTTGATGATAAATATGCAGGATTCAAATTAAGCAAACTCTCTGACTCTAAAAGAGAAGGAGATAGAGCTTAAACAAATCACTTAACTTTGCTAGGAATTATCAAATAATATTTTAATGGACAAACAGAGGTTGATGAAATTGTTTAATCTAGTAAATTAAATAAAATTTAATTGTAATTTTAATTTATATTTCTAAATTATTACAATAAAAATAGTGATGAATACTGGAATAGATAATATTCATACTGGCATAAGTAAAATAACCTAGAAGTTTGAAAATCCAGAGTTCGAGTAAAAATATATTAAGCGAGCAATAATTAGTTAGATAAGTGTTAGCAAGTATATTAGCTTGATAATTTTCTTAACTTTCGATATTTTCTTGTTTGTATAAATCATGACTGAACCTGGTTACACAAATGGAGAAAAAGTAAAATAATTTATTATTTGTAATTTGATAAATATTAAAAATATTTTCTTTTAAAGGCAATATTGTTTGTATTTATCAGCATGACTTTAGTTTTAACTTTATCTAAATGGAAATATGAAAAATTCTTTATAATCCTAAATTATGCCTTAATTTTGATCAGGATAGGTTATTTAACAGCTGCAATTTAAATAATAAATGACTATGATAATTTTCTTATTATGCTTGTTTTTATGTACATTTGCTATTTTGTTTAGCTAGTGAGAATGGATATTATGATTGCTGTTTACATTTACTTTGCCGTTTATGATTCTATCAAGTAAGTTTTTTTAAAATTATAAATTATTTATAATTTTATATTTCAAATAGCTTTGTGATAGGTATTTAAAACAGATTTTCATTTATTAATGAGTATATTGCTTATTATATAATCAATGCGCTAACAATAATATCAGCTTTTACTTATATCTTGATGTCTTAGAAATATTAGGTATTTTAAAAGATTTAGATATATCTTATTTAATCTTTTTTTTTTTAAATCTAGTATGGTATGATGGACAGATACCAGTATTTATCTGCTAATAAGCTTTAATTGGAAATGCAAAAATTTAATGAAGTTCTCTCAATTTTACTACCGAAATTCATTAGAGATTAAATTCAGAGTGATAATTAGAATGTTGTTAAGATAGAAAATTAAGTAGCTATCATTTTTTGTGATATTTATAATTTCGATGATATAATAGCTAAAAAGAATGTAGAAGTCATTAAATTGTTAGATAATTTATACAGGGCATTTGATATTCTTTGCAATTTAAATGGATTGCAAAAAATAGAAACTGTTGGTAAGACCTATATGGCTTGTGGTGGCATAGTTCAAAGTAAATTGTAGTAGAGAGAAGGATAGTATAGTGAAGTAAATGAAGTTAAATGTGCCATTAATTTTGCCTTTGAAATCTTAGAATACTCAAGCACTCTCACTTTCGGTGAAGATGGAGAAAAAATATAGTTAAAGATTGGTATTCATTTTGGTAATGTAATTGCTGGAGTTATTGGCTATCACAAACCTTAATTTTCTCTTATTGGAGATACTGTAAATACTACTAGTAGAGTGTGTAGTACTTCTGAGCCAGGAACAGTAACCCTTTCAGAGCAAGCATATGAAAGAGTATCTTAGCAAAATATTTGTTGAATTTAATTGATTTTTAAATATAAATAAATTTAGGTAAAAGAAAGTGATTTAAAAGTTCAATAAATGGACAAGTTGGAAAAAGGTAATGAAAAATTCAGAATAAATGATGCTAAATAAAAAAGAGTTGAAGCTAAAGGAAAAGGTGAGCTAATAACTTATCAGGTTTAGAAATATAAAACTAAAAAATTAGCTTCTTCACCTGAGGCTATAATGCCTTCTTCGAGAGAAAAAATTTAAAAGCAAAATGTCCCATTAACTGCCTTAAAACTTGAAGAATCTCCTTCATCACAATAATTTCCAAATAGCACAGACTAAGATATAGTTTTGGATGAAAATAAAGACACGTTTGAAAAGAACGCTGGTGCTCTTTTATTGTTATCTCCCTAATAATAAATAAGACAAAGGTAAGCCTTAGCTCTATAATAGCATCTACTAAATTAAAAGGACCTTCCTGAAATAGCTGAATAAAAAGAGAGTGGGACTAATAATATTTCTCCAAAATTAAAAAGTAATTTGTTTTAGCTAATATAGAGTGGTAACTAAACAAACAGCTCAAATGCTTTAAGATAAGAGCTTTTAATTAATCTGAATTAATAGATTTTAGGGGAAAATTAGTAAAACGATGGTGGAGCATTAGCATATTCAAGACATAATTCAAGTTACCTTATTAATGGTTAAATTCATAGGTAATCAGCAGCAACACCAAGTATACTTAACACTCCAGAAAATTTAGTAAGAAGCAATGCATCAAAGCTAAGCATTTCTTAATAAAATGCAGCTATTTTAGGACATACAAACATAAGCTAAAATAATGCTAATATGAATATTCCAGTATTTACTTAAACAAACAGTATATTAAATTACTAAAACAACAGCAATATGCTCTCTCCTAATATTTTAGCTACAAGAGTTGATAAAAGTGATACCAATGTTTAAGATCTAACAAGTAACTTAGAAATGATAGAGCAAAAGGCTAAATTGACAATGGATAACAGAAGTCACAATTTTTCGATTAGCCACTTCTAGGAATTGAAAAGTGAAAAAATTAACAACTTAGATGCCTTAAAATTAAAATTAACATAACCTAATTTAAATTCGTTAAATGAAGAATAAAATTATTAAGCTCCACAAAGTAACCTAAACTAAAACGGAGGAAACACAAGTAAGAGCTACGAATAATAAACACCTTCTAAAAATGTGTAATCTGTTGCATAAAAGTTAAGACATGCAGAAAACAATTAACAAAAAAAGAATTTGTCAAAAAATATTGCAAGCATTCTTATAAATATTAACAATAATGAGGTAGAAGAGCCTAATCCTTCTATGGACTCTAAAAAGCAGTCAAAAATTTAGAGTAGTGCAGAGAGTAGAAAGAATACTTCCAATAATACACTACCAAAGCAAGACGATTTATTGTATCCATTTTCAAATAGTGGTAGTGTTAATTTAAATATACCTGCCTTTGTACCTAACTCAAGCAGAAATTCTAGCAGTGGTATTGTGCCTCCAGTAAATGCTAATAAAGTTGACAACGGGTTACGCAAAAAATCAATTTTTAACCCTAATAACTAATTTATTAATAATGCCAATGGAGAAATTTAGGTAGTTGGAAACCTTTCTAAACCTCCTTCGAAACAGAGAATTGAGAAGGTAAAATAAACACCAAAAGCATTTATGGGATATGATAAATCAAGACATACTATGTATGCCAACCCTAATATTAATAGTGTAATTAACACTGTAAGTACTCCATAATCAAAAACATCCTTGCATAAACTTCATTAAATAAAAAATTTGTAAGGATTTACAGATGTTGTTACAAATCAATTTCCATTTGATAGCAATGCTGCTGTGGCAGGTGGAGCTAGTACAAATAAAATATCAACAGGAAGTATAATTTAGAGAATAAGTAATGAAAAACAATTTAATTCTAAGAGTTACTCCGAATTCGATAATATAGATTAATCACCTAAGAGTAGCAATATCACGAAATTGGCTAACTTTAACCCAACGACAACAGTGAATTAAAATGGCTAACAAAATGTAAACTCTAATACAATCAACATAGGTAATATCCATACTCCTTTTCAAAGATCTCCAAACAAAAGAAATACTCGTACACCAGAGAATACACAATCACATATGGCTAACTAAAGTAGTCTTGAAAACATACAAAATTTTTTAAGTAAAGGTCAAGGATAAATTGATTAAAGCAATAGCATTATTCATAATGAACAAAATTTAGAAATCAGTCCTTAAACTTAACAAAAAAGAAAATCAGTTTTCTATAATAATAATATCATTAATACCATGGCAAATAACAATTACAATTGGAATGCACAAAACACGAATTCTTCCACTCTTAGTCCTCCTCTTGTAACAAAGAGTCATAGAATGATAAACTAAATTAACACACCTGTGAATAGAAACGGTACTATAAATAGCGCAAACTTAAAAAGAAACTCAAAAAACTATGGAATTATATAATAACCTGCTATTAGTTCTAGTATGCAAAATCTACCTGATCCAAGTGTGATACAAATAGTAAAAAATATAAAGGAAATGGAAAAAAAGTAAGGGTTTTCTTAAAATTAAGTAAGAAGAGGATCGTCAGCTTAAAATATAGGTTTACCAGTCAGTTTACCTGCAAGTGACAATAAAGTAAAGGCTGTATTTAGTAACTAAAATAGTAACCATGAAAAATAATCAGCTTAAAGCAAAACGAGTAGCTTACAAAAAGATTAAAAGGTTGCTACAAATTAAAATTTTCAATAATAGACTTTCGTTGCTACTAATTAGGATGAAAAAAGCAGTGAGGGCTTTTTCAAATTCATTCCACCTACTCCAAAAACATTTTAAAATCAAATGGAATCAAATATATAAAAGACAAATCCAGTTTTACAAATAAATTAAATTAACTTTTAATTCGAATCATCCCCTAATGGGTAATAAGAAATCAATTTAAATAATAACAATAACATAAATAATAATATTAACACTAACAACAATTATTTTAGAAAGGACTCCTCTTCCAAGAGCAAATAAGTAAATGATTTAAATAATATAAATATTTATGATATTTAGTATTAAAATACACAAAAATCGCCTGAAACTACTCCTAAGAATATAGGACGATAAACTCCATAAGGCATAATTAATAGATCTTCATCAAATACTAATAATTAGTCTTAAAGAAGCTCTAATACACCAAATGAATCGAATAAAAGAAAACTAAACTAAAACGATTTAGCAAGTTAAGGTTATCTTAATTAATATTTAAAAAATCCAAGTTAAAACGATAATTCTCTGAATGCGACTCTCTTAAAAAGAATGACTTTAGAAAAAAGGCTAACTGAGTTCGCTATTCGCTCTAAGAGTAATACAAAATCTAGTAAATATACTCTCGATAATAAAAGTAATTTTAAATTCTTATTTCTCTTTTTTTATATTAATTATTGTAAATTGATTTAAAATAAAGTGAATTAAAAAAATAGAATTTGTAATTAATATTTTTATGCAATTAGGTCCTCAGTTAGGTTATTTACCAGTTTAATAAGTAAATTCGTAAGTCCAGTTAGACCACGATATTGAATAAATCATGGAAGAAGAGGAATAGTAAATTTAAAGTTAATAATATTGTAGATTTCTAAAAAAATTTTATTTAATAGGTAAATTAGAGATGATCAAAGCATAATGAGCTCAGAAAAGAAATTAGTTTTTTTTGATTACTAAGAAATAAATGAGAAAGTTGTTTCTGAAGGAAAGTATAGCCTTGAGAACTAGGTAGACCCAAGTAATTTAAGATAAGTGTATGATGAGTAAGATCTTGAAGAACTATAAGAGAAATAGTTTAAAAAGAAAGATTAAAATGATTAATATAGATTGACATTTAAAGATGTATTACCATACAAAGCAAAAGATAATGAAAATGAAATAGAGCTTTCTAAAGACTTCTTTGCACAGTAAATCTAGAAAGCTTAAGACTCAAATTAAATCAATTTGTGGGTATGGTTATGCATCTATATTTTTAAGACCATCTCTTATTTGATAGTAAGAGATAAGCTGATTAGTATATTTATCTACGTAGTAGTTCTCAGAGCGATTTACATAGTAGGATTTGCCTTTTTTGTTTACAAAGTAAAAAATATTTACAACTTATGGAGATTAAAAGATATTAAATTTCTCATTTACGGACTTTATATCACACAATATATTTTCTTCTACATAGAGACTTCTTTTATGAGCTTAGAGGGATAAAATACATTTTCATCTAATCTTTAATCTGCTGAGCAATTTATAACTTTTGTCATTTTTACTGAATTTATTTTTCAATATTTTTGTGAAAAAATTATTATATGCTTCATTTACATTTTCTCAGAGGTCATGCTTTGCATTTTTAAATAAGGATACTTTCGTCTAATGACTCTTTTTTCTATGACATTATTTTCCTCCCTTTATCATCTGATTATGCATTACATTATCATACAATTTTAAATAAGCAATTTCAATGATATTAGAAATCTTGAATTCAAGAGGCTTCTTTATAAGCGTTTCCTTTACAATCTGCTCCCATCTCATATAATGGGTCAACTGCTTTCTCAATAGCAAGATTAATAAAGTGAACTAACTGATAGTCTTTAAAATACTACACTTTTATTTGCTGATATAGCAGGTTTTACAAAATACTGCTCAGGTAAAGAACCTGAGAAAGTTCTATAAATGCTCTAAAAATTATTTGTCTGTAAAATAAAATTTTTATTTTCTATTTAAAATAAATTTATTTAAAAATTTCATAAAATTACAAGAGTTTGATAAAGCTTGCATTGATAATGAAGTATATAAGGTTTATACTATTGGTGATTGCTATGTTGTAATGGGAACTCTGAATGCAAAGCAGAGAAAACCACCTATAGAGGCCAAGCATGTTATAGAAATGGCATTCTCGATGATCAAATCTATAGATGAAATGAAAAAAAGAGAATTCTCAGATATTGATATGAGAATTGGTATTCATACTGGTGATATCATAGGAGGAGTCATTGGTACAGATATAGTTAGATATGATATCTATGGACCGAATGTTTTGATAGCAAATAAAATGGAATCAAATGGTGAGAGAGGAAGAGTAATGATCAGCGAAACTACATATAAACTAGTCAAAGGAAGCTTCCCCAATTCTTTTAATTTTGAAGAAAGAGAAGAAGATGTAATCATAAAATCTTTAAATAACTTGTAAGTGAAGGCTTATTTTGTAAGCCAAAAGTCAGATGGTAATAATGATTTCATATAGGCTGATGATTAAGGATAAGATTAACCATATAATATGTATAATCCAGAAGATAGTGGATATACTGAATAAGATGAAAATGAACATGGGGAAGAATACTACACTCAACAAGATTAACAATATGAAGATGAGAATTATGATGATGAATAATATGATTAGTAATAATATGAATATGAAGGATAGGAAGGGAGCAGCACAAAGAACCATAATACTTAAAATAATCAAAATACAGAAAATAATTAGATATCTGAAAACAATTAAATTACTGAAAATAATTAAAACACCGAAAGCAACCAAAAGGATAATTAAAGTTGAAATTTATAAAGTTTTAAATTAATTTTATAAGACTCATATTTAAACCAATAAGTAAGTAAATAAATAAATGTATATAATATTTTGTTATTTTAAGCAATTTTATTTATTAAATTTATAAATAATATTTTTTCTATTTTATTTAAAATTATTTATTTGATTTATGTGTTGTTTATTTGCATGGTTCATGTAAATTTGGTATTTTTGATTTCATAAATATTTATTTAAATAAATATCTCCTTATTTTTTGCAAATGAACAATTTAGAAGATACTTTTTTTAACTAATAAAGTTTATAATCTTGTTTAATCCATAAAAATAATCAAATTCAGGGAGTTTTTATGGGATAAAAATGCCCTGATAATTTAAATAGACTTTAGTGCTTCAAGTGTGTTCTAAAATCTAAAGATTTGAATTGTATTTCAATTTAAAATATATTTGCAGAATAATAACAAGAAGTAGATTGTTCAACAGATCCTCTTAATTCAACCTAAGTTGATGATTAAAATACTGCTTCAGATGAAGATTAGAACGAGTTTGAAGAATATGAATCATTTTGGCCTCCAGTGAATCCTGAATTAAAAAACAAACTTAAGATGATTAAGTAAAAAGTGAACTTGAATATTATGGATAACGTCATTAAAACTTTTGATGAAATAAAAAAAAATATGAATGAAAATATAGAGTAAATTAAAAAAGAAACATTATTGATAGCTCAGAAAGTTATAGAAGATTTTAGCCATCTAAACTCATACTATGAGAGTCAAAAGTAACTAAAAGATTTAAGATAAATAATTTAGAAAAATAGTAATGATGCCAAGCTAGCAAATGAAGAGATTGAAAAATTTATACTCTAGAAGTATCAAAATGCTGAAAATGTGAATAATTAATTGAGTTAAAAAATTTTCAATATTTCTCAAAATCTTCCTCAAATTAGCCAAGAAATGTTTGATAGCTTCAACAATAGTCTTAACAAAATATTATTATAATTTAGAACGTAGCAATAAAAGTAAAAAAGTTTATTATTTTTGAAAAATTAACAAATTAATATATTGTTAGATAAAAAAGGAGCATTTTAAGTTCAAAAATAATTTTATTTTTAGTAAAATTTTTTAGTAAATTGACAATATAATTCAAATAAATAGATAGTGTGTTTCTAACTTAAAGTTTGAAAATAGTACATATGAAAAATCTAGTTTGATAAAAATAGAAGACAATTAGTTTGGATATTAATCAATAAGCGCTTTCTTTGAAGGTAGAGGCTAGGTTTATTCAAGTTGCACTTTTGATTATGATTAAAAATATTAACTAATATTTGAGTTTGACAGGCCACCTAAAGAGTGTATCATAATTGGACTTACAGAAGATGATAAAAAAGACTTCAATTGGTATGATAGAAACAACTTTTATGCTATTTAATTAGGCAAATCTTCAAATGATAGTTTTTGTGAAAAAATTTTAAAAGGCAAGAACATCAAATAAATGTTTACTTTCAATTCTAAACTGTTAATGTAGTTCCACATTGCCTAGAATTAGCTTTATTTTTCAGATTATCCTTCATGTGAGAATATAAATGCATTAGATCCTAAACAATATGAATTTGAACCTGATTAAAGATATAGAGTAATTATTTACTTTAGAAACCAAGAAGGTTTAAAAATAAGTCTTATAAGTGCTCATCAAATCCATGAGCTTTTACATGTTTGATTGATTGTTTTTAAAATAAAATATTTTAAATTTGTTATTTTTTCTAGTTACTCTATAAATGTGTAAAATTCAAATGATTAGAAAATATCTTTTATCAAAACGCATTTATTTTCTTATTTTTAGTAAATTCGTCAAGTAATTAAATATAAAATCTTAAAATAGTATGTATAATTAATTACCATTAATATTTGTGTTTTCTCACTCACGTATTTGATTCATTTGATCAAAAAATAATTAACTTGCTTGATTAATTGATTATAAAAGATATAAAAACAGAAAATCAAATCAAAATTTTTTTATTTGATAATAGTAAATAAGCAAGGATAGTTAGTTTACATAATAAAGATTATTCATTTTTTACAGAAAGAACTGCTGTTTTTTATATAAAAACAATATTTATGAGTTAAGCTGATTTATTAGATTGCTCTCTAGCAAATATATAAAGAGCAATTAACGTATGTTAGTTTGTAGTTGAGCATTGCCATGATGAAGAATTAATATAATTTACTCATTTCTACTATTGTACATTAAATTAAAATGTTCCCTCTTTAATAATCCTAACTGTAAAAATAAGATTATCAAATAATGATTGCATTTATAATTAATTATTGTTTATTAATATACACTAGATAGTTATTTCTTTGGTTGCCTTTCACCTTCTTTCATCAACAGCAGAATCATATTTATCTCCCGCTTTAGCCAAAATATCTGATTCTCTAAAATGTTCATAAACATTAGCTGGTGTAACTCTGCTTGCTCTAGGAAACGGTGCCCCAGATGTATTCACAGCTATAATAGCAGGTGGTGGTAATGACGATGAAGGTATAAATTTAGCGATTGGTAGCATATTTGGAGCTGGGCTCTTCGTTACTACTGTCACATTAGCAAAAGTGATTAAAAATTCTGATGAATTAAAAGTAAAAAAAAGAGTAATGAAATAGAAAATTAATTAGTTTTTTATTATTAAAATAGGCTGATAAGAATATATTTATTAGGGATGTTGGTTTTTACTGCTTTGCAGCATTTCTCATATTAATTTATTTGTTAATAGGAAAAGTAAATTTTCCAATGGCAGTAGCTTTCTTCTCTCTTTACTTTGTGTATATATTAAATTACACTTTTTTTTATATCATTCTTTTCTTTAAATAAAATAGATATTAATTAAAATTAATTTTAATGAAGACAAAAAATATATTTATAAAATTTTATTTAAATTTAGATTTATAATTGTTGTGATTTACTAAGAGTGGGATGCTAAAAGAAAGAGAAGTATTTCAAATAATTATTTTTATCATCAATATTTATCTATCTTTCAAAATAATTTAAATAGAAAATGGAATAAATGCTTAGCTAATTAGTGATGAAAATGAATTGTAAAATCGACATATGAGTTTTGTAAGTGGATAAGATACTGATGATTATATATCTGATGCAGAGAACAATGATTTTGATAAAAGCTATAAAGCTTCGTAACTTTTTATTTAGATACAAAATATTTAATTAATTACTTTTTTTGAAATACAGAGAGAATTTGAAAGACTTTTTGAAGACTGGATATCTCAAATACGAATCTCCAGAAGTAATTGATTCTATTTTTAGAATTATTAGATTTGCAAAGCATATCATCAACTTCTTTCTCTTCCTTTTTTTGTGAAATTTTTGTAATAAATACTATTTAAGGATTAAAGAGGTCTTTTAGATGATTATTTAGAAGAATTTGAAGTAAGATGATTATGCTTATTTTATTTAATTTTGTTAATATAATTTTATGTGAACTTATTTTATTTTAAAAATAGAATGCCAGTAGTTCTTTAGAAGCAGAAAGATAAAAAAAGCAGCATTATTCTTCAAATTTAGTTGATTTCAGCATAAAAAATACAATTTAAAAGTAATGATTAACTTATCATAACTATTTAAAAGCAAAATATTTTTTTTGTATTTTAGGACTAAGCAACATTCAATTTAGTTTAGAATAAGCCACAATTTCCTTAAAATGAAATCAAGAATAAAAAGTAGAATGTTGAACTTTGATTTGTAATGGCATTACATGAAGTGGTGGTAGAAATTTATATTTTTGTACGAATTTCCGATAAATATAGTTAGAGATTTAACAATCCCTCCTTCTGAAGAGGATTAGTGGAATAAATGGCAAGGAATGATACTATGCTACACAGCTCCTTTATTCTTACTTGCTTACACGGAAAGTAAGAATAAAATATCTCTTATTTTCACATTTTTAATAATATTTTATACTTAATTCAACTAGATCTTGAAGCAGAAGTATTTAACTTACACATCTTGTTTATTGTTTTACCAATTAGCACTATTTTGTGTCTGGCAGTCTGGAAATTTAGTCATGTTTCTAAGCCTCCCTCATTTTTATGGATTTTTTCTATTTTTGGATTTATTAACTCTATTGTATGGATTTCATTTTCAGCTTAGCTTTTGGTTGATTTCTTACAAGTAAATTAATTAATTTATATCTCTATTAATGTTAATATCTCTTTGAAAATATAATAGTTGCTATAATTAGTTACAAATGTTAACAAGGCATATTTAGGTTTGACATTTTTAGCATTTGGTAATTCTGCAGGAGGTATTTATTTATTTTCCTCTAAAAATAGACTAATTTTAATGCTGTTTTTATATAGATTTTTTTACTAATCCTTAATTGGCTAAAATGGGATATGGAATTATGGCTATGACTGGTTGTTTTGCTGGTTAACTTTTTAACACATTACTTGGTTTTGGAATTGCTTTGATATTAAAAACAAAAAAGTAAAACAATATTTGGAAAAGCATATATATTTTGATTGACATTTAAAAAAAACAAATAGTTAAGTAATCGAGTTTTCTTTGTTCACAGAGTAAACAATGTCTCAATAATTAGACAATATAATTGTAGCCACTGTTTTACTGTTTAGTTTTGCAAATTTAACTTTAATTCTTATTCTTGCTAAAAAATCGAAGTAAATATTCTTATTTTGAAAAAAATTTTTAAATAATATTTTTACAGCTATATTTTAGGAAAGGCTTTCTCAAATTATTTAAATATAATGTACGCAATTTTCTTTTTTACTGCTACATTTTTTATGATACTAAGTATTTTAGTTAGATGAATGCTGCAAAATAGATAAAATAAATAAATAATAAACTGTAAATTTTAAATTTTATATTTTGATATATTTTTAACTGTATTTTATATTAAATTTATCTTTCTTTAATTAATTACTTCATCATTTTTATTTCATTTTACTTCAGACATTTAAAATACGAATAAAATCAGCTTTATTCAAAAGTTTAAAATTACAAAGAGTATATTATAAGATTTATTAGTTATGAGGTCTTCTTATATTAGATTGTCTTGAATAAGGACATAAAGTTAGGCCGAAAATCAAAGATCAATTTTTTCCTCCCCTCCTTTTTCAAGAGTACCTGAAGTACTGACAAAAAATTGAAATTATTATCATAAATAAAGCTTTCAGGATTTTACTCTTGAAACATTACATATTTGTCTATATCTTAAAACGCTTTAGAATTTTGTAATTTAGAGTTATTGATGAAAATGTATACTTATATTTTAAAATAAAATTATGAAAGAGATTTTTTTAATTAAATATAAATAGTTTTTAAAGGTAGTATCATAAATAATATATATATATATATTTATATATGTAGTAAATATTAATTTAGGTCACTTTTGTTCTTATTCATTTTATTCATTGCTGTAAAGCTTATCAATTTATTCTAGAGTTAAATTTTTAGTTTCTTTCATTTCTTTGAGGAAATAAAGGAAACATAAGAAAGTTGCTCCTAAATAAATAAAAAATGTTCCTGCAAATCCTAAAACTAAATTTGTGAATGGAAATGTGATACCAATAACAAGAACCCACACCCATCTCATAGCAGAGCAATAGCTTACATGCTCTTTGTTAACTAGCTCAACCGTGTATGGCCATGTTACGCCACCTTGGCCTATACCAAAGGCAAACAAAAAGAAAATTATAGAAATAAAGGAAAGATAGAAGATGTTGATCATTGAAAAAATAGCTATGCCTAACTAAGCAATCATTAGTAAAAATGTACTAATTAACATTAATTTTTTTCTTCCAGTTTTTTCAATAAAAAATAAAGAAATATATGTAAAAAGGAATCCAGCTGCACCCTAAAGAATTAAATAAATATAAATATTGCTGGTCTAAGTTTAAAAGATGCTGCTAGAATAGAAAGTTAGAGAAATTTAGCCATTTATTCTTGAGGCAGTTTAAATAATTAAGCCTAACATGAGTCTTCTTTTAGAGCTTAAGTAATTTTTAGGTTTGCTGGAATTCTCAATATTTGTATTTTTATCTTAAAATTATTTTAAATCTTAGCTTTTACAAATACTTGGCTCAAATAAAACTTATTATTTTATCTAACTGAAATCTCTTTTTAATCTTTTGTTAGTAGGAGATTAATTATTACTGCCTATACATTCTAAACTTTGTGAATCTTATTCTCTCTTCATATCTTTTTCTATTTGTCCCTACTAGATTTTACCAGAATCTTTATCAATAATATATTGTTAAGTATCTTATTTAATCATTTCTAGCTCTATTTTAAATTTTTTATTAGTGGGAGAGACATTTGTGCTAGTAATGTTTTACAAGCTTTTTATTTATTTTAATTAAGAGGAATTATCAAACTGTTCATCATTGGTTGTTTTTTAATCAAAGCATTCTTAGGCCTAAGTAATGATCTCTGTGTACGTTTTTAAAGCTCTTCTAGGTGAATACACAGAGTTCATAAGCTTTTTGAGGTTTACCAATTAATTTTTTTGAGCCATTTATAATGGAGATATTTAAGTATAGACAAATAACAGGGCTATTAGTCTTATTAAACACATCAGAATAGGTAATCCTAAAATGATTCTCCAAGCTGCTTCCTTTTCAAATACATTAAGATTTTCTAAAGATTCCTCAACGAAAAGAGCTTTATCTACATTTTTTGGTGGCTTTTCATAAATAGGCTAAATTACTCCTAGAGAAATACTTATAAATGAACCTAATTAGGCAAATGTTTAAACAAAGGTACCAGTCTTTCCTCTCATTATTATAGGAGTGAATTCTTAAAGATACATAGGAACAAGAGAGGTATTTAGGCCACATGCAATACCGCTGAGAAATCTTCCTAAAAGAAAATGCCCGAGATTGTAGTCTATTATTTATTCTACAATTCCTAAAATACCAATTACATCAGTAATCATTAAGCAAAGTCTGTGGTCATCTTTAGTTGACTTTAGGAACTACGTAGTTATAAGAGAACCTACTAAACAGCCTAAAGACAAAGCTGAAGTAATTAATCCTGTATAAAGAGCTACTTGCTAATCAGTTATCCAGCCATTTAAATAGGAAATATGCTATTAAGTTGTGTTAAAACTACCATTATTATAGCCAAAGTATAAACACCCTAAACTTATAATTATAGATCTTACATAAACATTTTTAGTGTTAACTTCTTTTTGAGTGTACCCTGTAGATATTTTTCTCATTTCAGATTCAATATTTATTTTTTTATATGAATTATTAATTATCATTTTATTGGAAAAGTTAAGCTATTTATAGAAGGAAGGAATTTATTTATTTATTAAATTATGAATTTTAATTAATTTTTTAATTGTGTTTTCTATTAAAGATTCTGGTTAATTCTAATTAACTTAATTTACACTAAAATCAAAAAATTTTTAATTGATTTAGAGAAAATCAATTAATAAATTAATTTATATGGTTATTTAATCTTTCTGGTAGAATATCAAATTAACAAATTAAATTTATGCAAAAAGTATATAGATATTACTCGATTTAATTCTTCCAAAAAAAAAAAATGTTAACTAATAGGCATGATCGAAAATATTCATAATAAAGCAATTTTCAAATAATAAATACATAGGCTTATTAAGGAGTACAATACAAAACCTAATTATTTAAAGTATATTTTTTGATATCTATAATTTAATGAGCAGAATATAAAGTCTTTAATGAATTATTATTTTATAAAAAAAAGTGTTGTTTGTAAATTTACTTACCCTATTTTACATAATGGTTATCGAAATTTATCACTATTAGATTTTTGTTAATCTAGTGATAAGAAATATCAAATATGTGACTTAAAGGGAAAAAAAAATTATATTTGAAAATGATTAAAAGGATGATTAATTTAAGAAATAATAATTAAATTTCTTCAATAAGTTAAGATCAAATATTATATCTTTAAATTAATAACCAAATTTCTAAAACACGTAACAAATTTACTTTTTTTTATTTTTGTTAATCCGTAATTATTTAAATTAAAATGAGTTTACTAAGTTACGTATTTAAATTTAAATTGTTATGTTATAAATAAAAGCAAATCAGGGATATAATTATAATTAAATATTCTACCATTCAAATTTTCTTAAACTCTTTAAATAAAATTTAAGATAAATAATTAGATCTAATAGTTTTAACAGTAAAATAATAATAAGTTATAATTTTTTTATGATAAATAGATAAAAATTATGTAATTTTTTATTACAATTAAGCTATAAAATAGCATTTTTAAAAATTATAGATGTATATATGAACATAATTCTCAATAATGGGGAAAAGCTATATGAAAAATAATTAATTAACTGGCTTGTAAAAAAATGTAAACTGAGTAATTAAGATTAGTAATCTGAGTAATAAAAGCTTTTGTCTTCCGTTAATTATTTTAATAATATTTACTAAAGAGCCAAAAATTAATTAATTGATAGGAAGGTTTTTTGATTTAATACAATTTAATTAAAATAGGTGTTTTGAATAACAAACACTATTTTTACCATAGTGTGAAACATCTATTAATTAATTAAACAAGTTACATCCTAACCAAAAAATACAATAATAAATTTAAAGGTAAAAAAAGTAATCATTAAAAAGTTTATTTTTTATTAAAAATATCTCTTGAAATATGATGATAAAATTTTTTTTATTTTATTAATATTTGAATTTTGATTTATAATTGATTATGATAATGAACAGCTAAAACTGAGTAAAATTAACATAAACATTTTAACCATAAATTTAAAATTGACAGAAGTAAAATTGATTACGTCAGCAAAAATTCAAAAGTAAAACAAATAATACTTTTTTATATATAGATTTTTAAATAAATGTCTGTTTATAATTCATTCGATTATTATAAAGTAAAATTTTGCTTTTTAAGCTAGATTAAGTAAAATTAACATCAAACCCTAGATAGATACTTTCATTTCTAAATACAGAATACCTTATAATACTAACTCAAATTTTTACTTTGCGGTTAATAAAATGCTTAACATCAAAAATTTTATAACATTATTGTATCAGAAAGGAAATAATTCGAATATTTTTAATTGAAGAAGGTTTTATGAATTTTTTGTGTAAATCTTTTTATTTTTTGATAAATTCCAGAACAAAATTAAAATAAGTTAAGGCAGCATGAAAGAGGTTAAGGTATTTGATTATTAAAAAAAATTATATTTAGCATTCAAAAAATTTGTATAGAATTAATAATCATATATTGTAATAATATTTAAATATTCTCGACATGAGTCATAAGTTCAATGCTATTTTTTAAATTACACTATCAACATTTTTATTTATTTAATTTTTCATATTTAATCAAATTAATTTATTTAAAAAATAATTATGATTCCATTTATTGTGTATTATTTATTTTTTTAATATAAAAAAATTAAATTTTACTAAATCTCAACCAAACTTAAATATTAAAATACCTCTAAGTATTATTAAATATTTCATTTTATTTCACATTATGTTTCTATGAACCTAAATATTTTTTATAATTTTAGTACTCATAAAATTTATAGAACTTGAGAAATTTTGTTAATTAACAAATATACTTCATATATCATCATGTGTATTAATTACTAGAAGCTTAACATACTAGAATCGTCTTTAAAATGAAATTTTGATTGATTATCAATTCCCATAATTTAAATTACTCAACGCAGTTAACAAATTATTTTGTCCTATTTTTAAAATAATCTCTTTTGATAATTTTATTGAAATCAAGGAGAATTATTTTTTCTAATAAAATCTAAATAACCATAAATATTGAAAAGCAAAGTGCAGTACACAACTAAATAAAATGACTTTTTATTTTAGTTGTAGTTCAAACAGTATAATCTTTGAAAAAATATAAGTTACTAAAAAATATTTTGATATATATTAATATTTATGTAAAAAGTATAGACATTTCCTAAGAAATAACTAATCTATATAAGCAGACATTAATTATATTAAATTAAAATTTTTGAATACCAGTACCTTATAACCTTCCTCCTAGCTTTCAAGAAAATACAGACTTTTCGTTTTAAGTAACTAATGATTTTTTTAAAAATTTAAAATTTTATTAACGTTGAGAGGTGTTTAAAAAAAGACATTAAAGTAAAAAAATTACTATAATTTGACAAGAGTAAATAAGAAAATGCTGAGAATATTTTCAATTTATTTTCTTAATTTCTTTTTAAATTTAAAGATTAAGTTTCAGATTCTTCAAAATATGTTGAGAATCAGTTAAATTAAAGCTTTTATTATTAGTATAATCAATTAAATTTATATATCTCTTTGATTACTATAAAGTATTGTAAAATAATTAAAAAATTTATTTAGTTATGAAAGTTTTAATTATTTTTATTATGTATGCTTGAGGAAAAAGTATATAGACAAAATATGTGTTAAATTTTTAAGTGATATATTATGATTTCACGTCATTTATTTATTTATTTTTCTTTATAACTTTCGATCCAAGCTTCTAGCTATTGTATTTCTTATTCTAGATGTTTTTTAACTTATCTTTGTTGTTCTAGCTCAGCTTAGTCTATTAAAGTAATATTATTTGCCTTAACACAAGATATTTTTAAATCTAGTTCTTATATTTTGGCAGAATAAAATTAATCTTGTAAGTTCTTTTTCTATTAGTATTGCTACTCAATCTCTTCTTTTCTCTTTTCAAACTCCTATTTAGCAGCTTCATATGATTCTGCGGCTATATTGATTTACTCCTAAAAAATATTTAACTTAAAATACATTAAAAATAAATTTTACTTATAAAATTTTATATTCTTTTTGATCCAGCTCTCTTAATCTATCTCTTAATGTAGGATACTAGCTGATAGCTTATTAAATGACAGGATTTTTATTAAGAGTAGAGACTTTTTACAACAACTCTTTTAACTCTGATTCCTCATATTAGTGATCACCTCCTAACCCATTAAAAGAATCTCTAGAATTAAGAATAGAATCCTTTAGTTGCTCTAAATCTTAAAATTATTTATATTTTTAAATTTATTTGTTTAGCACAGATATTTTTTAGTTCATTTCTTCCATATTTCTTTCTTGTTCTTAAATTTGATCAAGTTTATCTCTAAGCTCTTATGCTTTTAATTATAATTCACCCCATTTTAAGGCAATAACTTGCCCAGCTTTTTGTTACATTTCCAAAATTTTATTCTTTTATTCTTTTTCTGCAGTGAGTTCATCAATTATTTCTTTATTTTGATATTTAATAAATTCAAGATTTTAACATTTTTCTATATCTGTAATAGTCATGAATGTCTTTAAGCTTAGAGGACAGTCTAAGTCATTTAATCTGTAATCTTTATTTCTAAGATAGTATGCCTTCAGCCTATCTACATCTTTTTAGGATTCTTATATAGATTATAATAAATCATCTTTCTCTCCTCTTAGAACTTTAAGCCTTTCTTCTAAAATGTTGTTAATTTCAGTAGGATTGTCTTTAAGGCTATTCAAAAGCAATTTGTTTTATTTAAAAATTTCTTTTGATATATTTGCTTGGCTCTTTTAATCCTGTTCTTACTAAGAATTATCTTTATTTTGTGAAATACTTTAATTTTATTTTAGATTTAAAAATAAGCTAGCATTTTTTATCAAGAATTCATCTTCTAAATTACTTCCTTTGAATTTTGATTCTCTTTCTAAAAGGTTTTCTTCTCCAAATATTTAAGAAAACACTTTCTAAATGACTTAGCTTGAGTTCTTTTTAAGATTGGTTTTTGATTCTTTCTTATTAATAGGAGTTATTGGTTATAAACTTTCTAAAGTATTGCTTTTTTATAATCCTTCGTCTTATTTTCCGCTAAAAGGTACTACATAACTTTCTTAAATACCTTGTAATGGAACTACATTACTTTGCTACATTTCTTGAAAAGGGATTGCATTACTATCTTGAATTCCTTACAGTGGAACTACATTGCTTTATTCTATACCTGATAAAGGAACTGCTATGCTGGAATCAATTTATTAATAATTAGAGTATTAAGTACTTTCCTAGATTTAGTTTTAAGTAGTAAATGTAGAACTTTAACCAACAGATTCACTATTTGATTCATTTATCACTTCTAACTACTAATGTTTCTATTATTTTAGCTTTTACTTTATTTAAGATTAAGTATCTACTTAATTTGGATTAAATTATTCGAACTTATCAAAATCAATTTGATGTTCCTAAGAGGAATCGCGATTTTGACTTTCTTGTAATGAATCTTTATTTTCTTCATTAATTTCTTCTTCTTCTTCTTTATGAGGTGATTCATCTTGCTATTAGTATTTATATTTATAAGGCTATTGATCATAACCTTCTTCATCTTCTTCATTATCTTCCTCTTTGAGTGCATGGAGTTTATTTTGGTAAACTTCTTATTCTTATTGAAGTAGCTGTTCATCATTTTTTAATAAATCAGCCATTACCGAAGTTAGCTAATCTAAAGCGCTTTTCATTTCCTCTTGTTTTCTTTGCTCTTCTTCTCTTTACAATCTTTCTTATTCTAGCATTACTTAAATTTATTCATCAAGTTTTTTCTATAAATCTTTTTAATAATCATTTTCTAAATACTCTTTTTGTTACTTGTAGGAAAGCCTATTAAACATAGGATCACTAACACCTAGTATTAAATTATTATTTTAAATCCCAATATTTTATTTTTGATTGGATTATTATGAGGGACTTTAATTCTAATCAGACTCGAATGGATTATCTAATAGATTCTCGTCGTGCATAATTAATTAATTAATTTCTTCTATTGTTTTGTAACTCTCTTGCTCTTTCTTAATTGTCTTTCTTATCTCATTTGTGTTATTTCCAGTATTATTTAGAGCAAAGCTCATCCTCGGAATGCTGCTTCTGATACCATCTATAACACTAGAACTTTGCTGAACATTCATATTCTTAACTAATTCATTTAGAGATATTCTATTTAAATTCTTCTTCTCAGTGTTGGCTATAGATATCCTAACACTTTAATTGCTCTCTTCTTTTATTTTCTGCAGAATAGTATCACCCTCATTTTTAACATGATCTTTAGGTTAATCTCTTGCTGATTCTTAAGGCATAAGGCGTTTGGAAGGAGATTCAAGCCTAAATTCTTCTAGAATATTGGCTTTCATTGCAGGATTAGAATTATTAAGCTTATTTTCTCCTTCTAATTCAGATAAAGCTTTCTAACACTTGAAAAATTAATGATTTAATACCTCAATAATTGTAGGTCTTTAATTTTATTCTTTATTCAACATTGCTGAAATAAGTTCTGTTGATTTTGGAAATTACAACTCTATGTTAGGATCAAATAAAAATATATTTTATCTCATATTTGCTTCAGCATTATTAATTACTGATTATTCAGCACTGATGTAGTTTTCAGGTATGCCGTAGGGATAATTACCATCGCTTAATATAAAGTAAATGAGCATACCATAACACCAAATATCTACTTTTTCAGAGTGTCCCATCATTAGTGTAATATCAGGACACACAAAAGGTGAGAATTTATTTTGAGGTGTCTATAATCTAGTGATTCTTTTTCTATTATTTTAAGGGAAATAATTACTCCATCCAAAATCAGATATTTTTACTTAGTTATTATTACTTATAAGAATATTATCAGGTTTAAGATCTCTGTGAATAATATTTTGCTCATGTAAATACTTAATTCCCTACCCAATTTGCGATATGATTGAAATCTTTAAATTTTTATCTAATGTTTAAACATAGGAAAGCTACTTTAAGTTCCATCCTTCGACATACTCCATAACAAGATAAACAGTAAAGCTATCTTCAAAATGGGTGTATAATTTGATAATATGTTCATTATTCTATTATTTATACATAATTTCTATTTCACTCTGAATTCTATTTGTCAACTTATTTTCTTTAATTATCGCCTTTTAAATTTCTTTCAAAGCATAATAGTTGTTAGGATTATTTGTATCAACTTTACCTTATGAAACTAAAAAATTTTCATCTACAACTTGATATATTCGAGAATATTATCCACTAGCAATGTATTTTTTAGTTTTTAAATAAGTTAAAGATAATCCCTCAATTTTTGGCTAAATAGTGAGCAGTCTCTCAGAAAAATATGTTGATTACGCTTATTGACTTGCAACATTCATAGTACCTTTATTATCAATTATTTTCTGGTCATTTGATTTAGTTCCAACTTTCTTTTTTAGAATCCTAGGAGTAGTAGGTTTATCTGTTTTAATGATGTTCTTTTAATTTGAATATGAAAATTAGCTTGCTTGGGGGGTTTAACTTCCTATATTTTATTTTGGGGTTTTATTAATTGGTGAATTTGTATGTCCACTTGAAGTTAGTTTTAATTAAGGGACGCCTTTAGGAGACTAAGTTGATGAAGTCAACTTCTAAGAAGATGTTAATTGTGTTTTCTTTTTTTCATCATATTATAGAGAAAGATTTTGAGAACTTTTGGGGGTTGTGCTACCTTTAGCTTATTTAGTATAATCCTAATTTTAATTAGAAGTTTATGAAATTTTAAGCGATTATGCTGAATTTGACGCCGTGAGGGACTTTGGCGTTTTATCTTTATTCATTAATATCTTTAAATTAAACCTATTTCAAAACTTTGTAATATCAATATCAAGTAATTAATCTATGTTATTTACTTAATAATTCACTTTACTATTAAAATTAATCCAAGTAATTGATAGAAATTATTACATCTAAATAAATATTATTAATTTATAAATAAATACATATTTTCTAATTTAATAATAAATGCCATTATATATAATAATAATACTATTTCTAAATTTTTTACTCTTTAAAAAATTTTATTAAAGATATCAAAATTCTATTTTAGAAAATGACTTGAGGATATTTTTTTTTAAATGAAAAGATTCTATATTTTTTCAAAATCTTTATGAGATAAAATTTAATAAAACAGCTAATGGTCTCTTATTGTATATATTAATTTAATTTTATAATTATTATTGATGATCGAAAATGAAAAATTACTTATAATTCCTAAAAAAATAATATTTTTAAGTCAGTTATCAATATTTTTAAGGTTTTAAAATGAATACAATTTATAATTATACAAAATAGTTAAAGAATAATTATTAATGGTAAACTAAATCTTTTAATTGGGATGCAGAATATAAATAGTGGGAAATCAAAAGTTATTTATTTTATTTATTGTGACATTGACTAATCCTTTACTTAAGGGACTGCTTTGAATCAATTAATACCAAAAAAATTCTAGATGGCACTAAAAAATTTATGATAAAAATAAAAATCAGGGCTTAAAATTTATAGTTAGTATAGTATGAAAAATAATAAGATAAGTAGTTGTTAAAAAAATAGCAAATGAATTTGTGAAGATAAGAAATCTATTGAAGTAACTAATAATAAGAAAACAAAATATAATAACAATCACATTAAATCAATCAAATACTTTAAAAGTTTACTGCCAATAAAATTTGATTGATTGATTAATGGGATAGGAATTAAGAGATTTTGAAATTTTAGATAAATTAGGTAAAATTGGATTTGAATTTGCATATTTTATACCAGCTCTCATTAGATATAAAGAAAAACTAATTACATTACTGTTAATTATTAGGAGAAGGAGCATACAGTTCTGTTTATAAAGTTAAGCGGTAGTCAGATGGTAAAATATATGCGCTAAAGAGAGTAATGCTAGGTACATTAACTGAATAAGAAAAACAAAATGCATTAAATGAAGTCAGGATTATTGCTTCTATCCGTCATCCAAATATAGTGAATTTCAAACAATGCTTTATAGACACACACTTAAATTGTTTATGGTAATAGCAAAAAATCCATTACAACAAGATAACAATTATCATTGAATTAGCAAATATAAATTAAATATTCACAAGAAAAATGATAATATAATTTTAAAAATGTTTACTCAAATCAGAATTTATTCAAATTTTAAAATAATTTTTTCCAATATTAGTATTAATAATATTTGGTATTAAATAGTATTATCATGGAGTATGTAGATAACGGGGATTTACTATCTCATATTAACAAGCACATTAAGAACGGTACTTACTTTTAAGAGGAAGAGATTTGGAATGTATTAATATAAGTAATTATAAATGTTAAATTCTAAATGAAAATTGATTGTATTATTTATTTTTTAAAGCAAAATATTTTTCTATTTTATATTGAATTTATGAACTTAAATAAATTCAGGTTGTAAAGGGATTACAGAGCCTCCATTAATTGAGCATTTATCATCGAGACTTGAAAGTTGATTATTTTTTTACTTTTAAACTACTAATAACCATTCAAATCAAATTAAAAGAAGACAATTATTTTTTAATTTAATTTTGTTGTAATATCTTTAAGAGTGCAAATGTGTTTATGAATAAAGACGGTTCTATTAAGTTAGGTGATTTTAATGTTTCTAAAATATGTAAATAAGGTCTTTTGTACACTTAGACGGGTACGCCTTATTATGCAAGGTAATATTAAATGAGTAAAAATAATTAAGAGTAAACTAATTTGATTGATTATAAATATAGTCCTGAAGTTTGGAGGGATTTACCATATGATAGCAAGGCAGATATATGGTCTGTTGGTTGCGTGATATATGAAATTTGTGCATTAAAACCCCCATTTAGAGCAGAAAATATGCCTTCTTTGTTTAAAAAAGTAGTGAAAGGTATGATTGTTTTTAGATTATTTGAAAAATTTAATTTTTTTCTTTCTAGGATAGTACCAAAAAATACCTTCTTTTTATTCTCAGTAGTTGAGCTAAATAATTAGATAAATGCTTTAAGTGTCTCCTCATTTACGTCCTAGCTGCAGTAAGTTTTTGATATTAATAAAATACCTAAAAATAATTTTATCATTATAAAAAAAGAAAAAATATTAGAAGATGAAGTAGTATAAAAACATATGAATGATAAACATCTTGAAGAACCAGATGAACAAGAAAGATCTATCCTTATAAATACAATAAAATTTCCTTAGGCTTTTAAAAATAAATATGCTAAAATAGAATTTCCAAAACCTAATTATCACCCTGTAAAAATAAGAAAAAGAATTTCAAGCAACACCCGCTTGATAACAACTTTTGATTAAAGTGAATCCATTCTCTAATGCACTAACAAGAGCATGATAGAAGAATCATCTCATAAAATGCTCACAGAAAATTCTACTCATTAACCACCTTCAAGCTAAAGACATCACTCTTAAAGATAAATATAAAACGAAGCTAGTATACTTTCAATGATAGGTATTGAAAATACTAATATTAATTCTCATAGATAACAAAAGATAAATAAAAAAAATAGCTATTGTTTATAACAATAAGATAAAATAGAATTATAAGAGGGAATTCAATAAAATAAAAAAGATTATATAAATATTAACTAGCATGTAAATTATATCTAATAAATTGATAAAATAAGCAACATAGAATTGAATGACTAGCTATTAGCCTCGTCTTAATCAAAAAAAAAAACAAATGCTTCTCAATAGAATATTAATGGTTTAAATCAACAAAATATTATTCAAGGAAATTAACATAATGAAGATTTATTTAGTGAATATTAGTCCAAAGCACTTATTATAGACAATTCTAAGAGTGTTTCTCTTGCAGATGGTGAAAGAAAGATATAAAAATAGAGTATTTCAACAAATGAGAGCCGAAGAAAATCTATTCATGCTAGATAATCAAGTAGTCTATCATCATAAGTTCAACCAAAAAATTATTCTTCAATAAATAAATAAAAATAGCTTTACAAAATATTAAAACAACCAATCAGCATAGTTAAATAAATTCAACAATAACAATCACCATCTATAAATAATTAAAATGCTTAAACGAATTAGAATATCATTAATTCATATAATAACAGTTTATTACTAAATTAATCTATAAACAATTAATAATATCCATAAAAAAATATTATCAAAAACCAAAGCATTTCATCTGTTTTAAGGGAAAGTTTGATTGCTCTAGAGAAAGATATAGCCAAAAGCACGAAAGGCTAAAGAGCCTCTATATAATAAAACGATAGTAAAGAAATTAGCCATGCTAAAGGAGAATAAATTTAAAGAGATAATGAAAAGTAAGTCTCAGTAAGTTATTCACGCTCTCACAAAAATTCTTATCACGTAGCACCTGATGGAGTTCAAAAAAATGAAGAGGATTTTATAAATGGATAGTTGGACTCTATAGCATAATAAAATAAAATACAAAGTTATAAAGATAGAAATATTATACCAGATAAAGAAAATTTAAATGATATCTAATATGTCTCCTAATTATAAACTACTTCTAAAACTACAAAAAACATGAAATAAAATTCTAAATTAAATTATGAAAAAAGTAAAAGTAGAGAAATTAATCAAAATAGATAAAGCACACATTTGTAAGTAATATAAAATGGCTAAGTGAATTAGCACAGAATACCCACGCTATATGAATTAGATAAATCTCCTGTAGCATATAATGAAGGAAGAAAAAAGAGTAAATCAATTTTCGAAAAAAACAGTACAACAGTTACAGTCCCTGACTAATACATGAATTTAGAATATAGTAAATTAATTAATTATTTTAACTTTATCTCTTTTTCATTTTTTTTGAATAATAAAAGAATATAAAAAAGAGAAAATGTTAGAAAGCTCCTCAAGACAATAAATAGATAATAATGAAAACACTGAAAATATATTGTAAAATATTAATTTATTTTCTATTTTTCATATAAAAAATTTAATATTTAAATTAGAATAAAAAAACAAATTAAATATTCTGGTGAAACTCCTGAAAAGTTAATAATTCTACCAATAATTAACCCTGTTAAAAATACTAAATAAGATAGAAGTATTTCGGTTTAGAGAAAATACAGTCCAATATATTCACAAAATAATAACAGGGAAAATATTTTAAATAGGAATGGGCACATATTTTAAGAAAACGATGTTAAAAAGAAGTTACTTTATAATGAAAATGAATAAAAAATATTAGATCCAAGTTAAATGCATTTAAATTAAAATAACTTATACATAAATAGTCACAAATAAAATTACTACCACAATAAGGTCTCTTATTAGCAAACTCCTTTAGCATAAGATAAATATAATATTTAATTAGATATGGAAACAATTGGTAATTATAAAAGAATCCATAGTAATTCAATCAAACCTGCACATAAAAATTCTCTATCTCCTTAGAATTACAGAAACAACCAGCAAAGATTAATTTGAAAGTTTCAAATAGCAATAAGTCACTCAGTATATTTTTGATAAATTTTTCCAATCTTAAAGTGTAAATAGAAGTAATAAAAGGTTATAAAACTTATATTTAACTAATTAATTAATAAATTTATTTAGAGTTACATACATTTTTGAATAATTTTTTGATTGTTTGAAAATTTCAAATTTATATCTTAACAAAAAAAATCTAAAATAAAAGTGTATCATAATTAATAAGCTTAAAATAATTTACTCATGATTGATATAATTCTATCTCCTAAATTTTTTTTTGATCAGCAATTGAGCAATAAAAATATCTTATTTTACTTTATTCTTTATACAAATTGTAACCACAAAAAACAAGAGTTAATAAAAATAATAATTTTTATATTTAATGTAAGCTATAACATTCTAAATTGAAGTAATAAATTTAAACATATTTAAGAATAATTAATTTTTTTGGTTAGTTAATATTTAAATTTTTTAAGCTGTATTAAAAAGGATTACAGTTTAATAAAATATTATTAGCATCATATATAGTTAATGAACGAATGGTAAACACAATAGCATAAATAGTTTTCTTAATAAAAAATAATCTTAACATAAATTGTTGAATTGAAAATAGTAAATTGCAAAAAAAAAATACATTTTTAATTATATTAAATTTTTTTGAATGTATGAGTCAGTTTTTTAGATTAAAAAATATTAAGTTAATTTTTCAAAAAAAAAAAATAAATATTTGTAAAATTTACTAAAAAAAGCATAAATGAATTAGAATAAACCTTACCAAAAAGTGGTAAAAAGAGCTAGCTAGGAATAATATTAAATGACGTTCAAGAATTTAAAAGATCTTGCTCCTACAGGAATCTTAGGTATAATTTATTTAAAGTAGAAATTAGATTTCATAAATATGAAAATTTTATCAAATTAGATTTCTAATTCTTTTAAAAGGCTGAAAAAGATGGACAAATTAGTGTTTAATATAATCAGATAAATCAATTATTCTAAAATATAGAAAATGCCAAAAAATTTTAGCAAAACCCTTAAGATTATTAACCTAATCAATATTAAGAAGATAGTAATTCTAAATTAAAACTTTCTGATTTGAAACATAGAATTAGTGTATTAAATCCAAGCTATCCTGTTAATGACTTAAATACTTTGTTTTAAGGGAGATAAGATATTACAGCTAAGGATATGTTCGAATTATTAAAAGATAATGAAATGCTGGAAGATTTTGACCCTGTTTAAGAAGCCTTAAACTAATTTATAAATCCTAATGGTGAAATAGATTTAGAAAAAGTGTCTGCTACAATGTCTCAATTAGGTTATGGGGAATTAGATAAAAAAGACAAAGAAATTTTAAAAGAGTGCTTAGATATAGATAAAGATAACAAAATTACTGATAAAGATTTTAAGGAAGTTGCTTCTTATATAAATAAAAAAAAGTATTTGAGTTGATTTTTTTAAATTTTTAAATTAAAGCATAAATTATCTCTGCATTTAGTATTAAATAAATTAATTTTATAAAACATTATTTTATTTATTTATTTATTAATTTTTAATTTTAAAAAATTAATTTTTTAATTCCAATATTGAAATCATCAAAAAAAATATTTTTTAAACAATAAAAATAAAGTAAATGAAATTTTAAGGGAAAAATTAGTTGTTTATGAATATAAAATACTTTAAAATTTGATTTGTTAATAATGATTAGTTAGATACATACATATAATAAGTTATTTTAATTTTATTCTTAGCATTTTTTAAAATTTATTAATATTATTTCCATTTTACATTGAAACGATTTATAGCTGATTATATTTTATTGAATCAAAACTTTTATTTTTTGCCGATATTTTAAATTAAATGTTTTTATAGAATTCAATTTTTTCTAAAATGACTCACAAACTGCTTGAATAGATAATAGGCTTTAAGGGTCTCATAAGCATATTTTTTCACTTTTAGGATTGAAAATTATTTTATTTACCATTTATAATAAGTGTATTATAGTTACTGCCAATAGCGTTCTTAATTTCGATACTTTGCTAAATTAAATTTATGCTTTGTTAAGCTTTTTATAATTACTCGTTTGCTAGTTACCTTTACATTTACATTTGTTACTAAATTTAAGTTAAATATTCAACAGGAGTTAGTTGAGAATGTTGATCTCCTAAATTTTATTAGTTAGATTTTATATTTTTGCTTTAATTTTCACCAGAAACGCTTATATTATTTTATTTCACTTCATTCTTTGTATTATATTTAGAATTACTTTAATACTCAATTTTTTTTTCTGTCTAGTCAATATTTCCATTTGTTTAATTGTTATCCGTATACTTTCCATTATTATTAACTTATCCAAATGTTTCATATGTAGTGAACATGCTCTGAGATTCTTTATTTTATTTTCCTAAGTCTAATGACTCTTAATGAAGCGATTTGCTATTTTATTAATTAGACTGTTATGATGAGCTAATAATTCCAGCTCCTTTTGCTAAATGGAAGTTAGTTTACTCTTTTTACTTAGAATTAGGAGCCTAATTCAATTAACCTGCCTAAATATAACTTTTGACTTTACTTTCAACATTAAATTTATTCTAATTTATTAAGAAATAATTAAAATTATTTATATTTTACAATCAATCATATTGAAAAATTAATTATATAAAAAAATAAATATTACCTTTTTTTATAACTGTTTTTATTGAGATAATTCTTGAATTAAAGGTTTTATTACTAGTTCCTTTTTTTCGCTTCTAATTAATTTTTCAATAAAATTATATTAAGAGATAATTGAATCAATTTAACTTACTGCTTTTTGAGGTCAATCTATCCCCAAAAAGGACTCATAATTTAATTATTTTAAAGCTGCATTTACTCTCTCCTCAAGTTAGAGGTATTTGTTGATGATATTCTTTCTATCTCATCTTTAATATTCCTTTTAGAATAATTAATTAATTTAAATAAGTAATCAAAATCTAAAAATTTATAGCTTGTTTACTTATATCTCTCGTTTTTTGCTGACTATGTGAGGGTTTAGGGAAGATTTACCTATTTTATTTTGTATTTATTTATTGATAACTAATTTTAAAATAAATATGTAATTTACATGAACATGACTGCTGCCCAATTAAACAAATAAAGGTGTGCTTAAATCCTTATAGAACTCACTTACTAGTACATTCTTTTTTTATTTTGAGTTATCTATTATATTACTATTGTCTGTGTCTGGGTTAGTTTTAGTGGATTATAAGTGGCTAACTTAAGTGTCAAGTTATGATATTTATTTTCCCTAACTTTCTGGAGACCAAAGATTTTGGTTTCTTTATGGAGAAGGCTTAATAGATTTTTTATAGTACATATCATTTATATTTGCCTTTAAATCTAACACCTCTAATTCTGAATTACACTGCTAAGTAACAACTTTTTATGGCTTAAAGGCAGGACTCTGTTGGCTAGTCTTTGGTTGAACTTTAACAACTTTTAGTTTTTTAGATTCTAATAGCTTCTAATTCTAGCCTTTTATTTCTGGAGAATTTAAATCTGAGTGTGCTTTACTTTTATTTATGGAAGAATAGCTTATATTTGAACGTAACTTTTCAGATTTAGCATCTTTAGGACTATTACATTAGGATTCTCCTACAGATTCTAAGTTTTCTAAACCTTTTCTGTTTCCTTTTGGCGATTAACTGTTTTAATTTGCAAACTACTTTAAGTTATTTTGTATATAAATTGATAAATTATATCCTTAATTTTAATTAATTGATTTTAGCTCTAACTTTTGTTTAAATTAATCTCTATAAGTACTATTTTAGAAAGCAGCTTGGCTTTCACTTTTTTTTAATATTTAAGAGACATTAGATTAGTTAATTAAAGTATTTAAAGGATAATTATTATTAAATCCCTACTATGGGCTATTCTATGTGGACTAAATAGCAAGTTTTTAACCTGAAATTTGATTAAGCGAATTTCTCCTTCCTTTTAATGAAGAGTTTTTAGAACCATCCTAGTTATTTTATCTAGATTATTTCTTATCAAATTGTATTACTTAAATCCTATCAGATTAATATTTAAAAGACTAAGAATCTCTCATTTAGGGGAATTCTTTGGCTTCATTTTTTAGAGTTTATTACTCTTTATTCAGATTGCTTTTTTAATTAACAATAATTTTTTAATAAATTCATTTTATTTTATATTTAAAATTAAATAAGTTTCTTACGTTGATTAAGAAATACGTACTTAAAGGTTATCATCCTAGTTTGAGTTTTATTGATTTCCATTACTTTAATTTTGCTATGGAGTCGCTTCTTCAGTCATAAAGCGGATATCTTTAGTCTTATTTGCAGATGAAAATTATGAAACTGTTAAAGGCAAAACTTGTGGAATTTTTGGCATCGAGTTTCTAAGATTAGAAGAGTTATCAAATTTAATGTTAAAATTTTGTTAATTTGCATTTTGAGGACTATTGAAACTAGTTAAACTTGAATTTCTTTTTTTAAATGGATATTAATTTTGGTTGCTGCTGTTTTAGTTATTTGTCATTTACAAATTTTACTGATTTTCAACAGATTAATTTTCTAATAGACTTGGAACATCTTACTAGCTATTACTTTTTCTATATAAATTAATGATATTAAGGCCTTTTGGTGAGCCATCTATATTTTCTTCTTCTTCTATTGCTCCTTAGCAGGTTATATTAATTTTATTGCTTTTATCGTTTTCATTTATTTAATCTTGCTCATATTTTGGCTTCTAAGAAGATTCATTAGAGCTAATATCCCCATTCTCTACCTTTTCTTTTTACTTAATTTATTAATTGATTTGTTTTTCTGGATTATTAACTTTATGGCTTTTTAAATCATACACTATTAGCTATTCTTTCTTCACTAAGCTAATAGAATTTGTCATTGTATTCCCCTTATCTTTCATTAAGTCAGAATTAGATTTGTTATTTTATTCTTACTTAATGGACAGCTAAGAGCTTCTAAGATTTTCTTTCCTCTCTGTCTAGCTACTACTTTAACGATTTTATACAGTTGTAACAACACTTTGAGTCATTTAATTCTAATTAGTATTTGGGCTAGTTAATTTATTCTAACTTGAGGTTAGTTCTAAGCTCTTTTTAGTTATTGGAATATTTTTATTAATTTTAGACTTCTGATTTTCTTATAGAGTCTTACTTTAGTTGTTTACATTCTTTTTTAGCTTAGAATTAGAATCAGAATTTTTTAAAGCAAATTATTCACTGCCTTTTGTTTGAATTTGACTTTTGAGATCGGTGTTTACAGGTGTTTTAGTACTGTTATCATAAGTGTTATTACTATCTTACTCTTCCATACCACTTTTAAAAGTTTCATCTTTTTGGCTTTAATTTTTTTTTGCAAAGTTTGAAGTTTAAATTGTTTAATTGGTAAATTTTTCAGTTTTTTCCTACTATCTCGAGGAGTTAGGTACTGTATTGATAAGCTTTTCTTCATTATTTTCAGATGAATCCAAAATTTCATCTTATTTTTCAGCTGTTGGAGAAGACGGAGCAGAAGGAAGACCAAGCTAGTTTAAAATTTTTTCGGATTTAAAGATGAAAGAACGATTCCTTGATTCCTAAGGAGATTGATCATTTGAATCTTCTGATTTTGATTCATAAATACAATATAAGTCAAAAGAAGTGCTCAATCTAGAGGCTTTCATACTCTTATTCAATCTAACGTTCTTTTTATCAGTGAACTACTTTCTTCTTTTTGTTTACTCTCTTAGACTCATGCGCTTTTTATGACCCTATTATATTTTTGTGTTCTTTTTAAGTGTAGGATATCTATTATTAAACTCCAAACTTTGAGAGATAAGAGGTATCTTCAAATTTTTACCTTCATTGTTTGCTTGCTAAAATATTTTTTTCTTCTTCAACTCAATTAATTACATTTTTTATGTAAGAATATCTTCACTAGCCTATGAATTTTATGAATTTGTATTATTACTTGATAAGCTCTTTTCTACTTCTTATAAATATTTTAATTTATAATGATCTATTAATGAAGATGGATTGCTTATTGTCTAAGAAGCTGTCTATATTGATGTACTAAAACTATCCTATTTACCTGAATACATTTCATTTTAAATATTACCCATCTTATGTTTACTGCTTCCACCTTAGCTATTTTAAAATGATTTTGAATATCTCAGACCTTCTTTTGGTGACTAAGACTTCATTAAATTATTAGAAACAAGCTTATTATCTATCTATACACTTTAAGTTAAGTCTTTTTTATTTTAAGGGTTCTTTTCCATAATTACTTGCTTTTAAATTTAAGTTGAACTCTAAGTATGAAGTTTTTTATCAACATTAATGCTATTTGATTAGATAGAATTTTATGTATTTGAGATAGATTCTCCTTAATATCTATCCAAACTAAAATTCTTTTATGAATATAAGTTAATTTAAAATGGTTCATCATCTTCAAATTCTTCTGTTTTAACTGTCTAAACTAATATATTAAATAATTTTAAAATTTAATACAAAAAATGGTATTTATTCTTTAAAAATATTTAAAAGACTAAGTAATAAAAAAATTTTTTGTAAACGCAAAATTCAGGGAATTTGATGTTAAAAGCTTTAATTCGGTGATACATTTGATTCAGTAACTTGTTAATTTATTTAGATTTATTTTTATAATTTATATAATTATTATGAATTAATTGCTCAATACATTACTTTTCTAGTTTTTTGTATTAATATTCTAATCAGTTTTATTCTATTATATTTTAGTAAATGTTATTATATTTTATTTGGTAATGTCGTTTGTTGTATAAGTAAAGATTCTGTATTAACTTGTTAAAATGCTTAACTTATTTGAAGATCTTGTTATTTCTTATCAAAGTTTCACTAAGTATAAAATTCGACTAATAAAAATTGTTACTTAATTAAATAGATTGTTGTTCATCTTAGCTTTTCCTTAACATATTCTCTAATCGCTACTTTTATTGATCTTATATTTTTATCTTTGAATCTTGCCTATTATTTTAGAGAACGTTTATTTTTAATAAAGTGATGGAATCTTAATTTACATTAATATAAATCTAAAAATATTTATTAATAGGATTTATGAAACTAAAATATAGAAGGAAAGAAAAATAAATTTAATTTTAAAGTACGGTAAACCTAGTTCTTGCTAAGATCTATCCTGAAGCTGGAAGTTTTTCATTTAAAAAGCTTCTGAAACTCCTTAATTGCTTGAAATATTAATCTTTATGAATAAAAAATTATTTAATATTTAGTTCTTAAGATTGTCTATAAGACATTAGATGTTGTTGGTAATTAAGTATTATCTATGCTTTTATTTAGTTGATTCACATATAAGTTAGAATTTGCTTTTACCTTTTTTGGTTATTATTGCAGAGGAATATTTCCTGAAGGTCCTATCGCTAAATTTTGTTTCATTCCCCTATATTTTCTTTATCTAAATGCACTGTTTAATTTAATAATAAGAAATTAAGAATAATATTTGAACTAGTTATCAAATAAATTTACTAATCAAATTAATTAGAGAGCAGTTTAGTATAAATACAATTAAACCCAATTAATTGAATTTAAGTTCTAAGCAAGAAACAAAGCATTTGCTTAATTTTTAAAGAACCATTGTTATATAATTATCTTTCTATTCAACTCAAACATTATTTTTTATTTATAAAGTTTAATTTTTTATAGTCTTTCCTTTCCTTTTTTTTTTTTTTTTCAATAATTGTAAATACTCGCAACCAAGCCAATAACTCAAAAAAGAAAAAATTTTCATTATATATTAAGAGGTAAGAGTGTTAATTTGATTGATATTTATTTATCTATCTAGCGAAAGACTAACTCGTTTTTAAACTGTAATATTTTTGATACTAATTTAACTATTTTATAATTTTGTATAAAAAAATCTTTTGGTGTTACTTTTAACCTTATTGAGTGGTTCTTCTTTATCTATAAATTTAATAACATTTTTTAATTTTAGATTACTTGTTTAAATAATTTTTGTTACTTGTTGAAATAAAATATTATTTTACAATGAAAATTTTAAGACAGAGGAATGTTTTTTCATAATACCTAAATATAATTTACAATAGAAAATAAGTACGTTTATTTAACAAAACTAACAAAAATCCATATTAATATTTATTTGTATTTGTAAAAGAATTTTCTACATTTTATATAGCGTTAAAAATTGATATTAAAGTATCTAAAGATACCATCAAATAAAATACAAATAAATCAATAAAAACAAAATTGTTAAACTATAAATAAAAAGCAAATAAGTATATATTGAGTAATGTGTATTAATTTCTATTTTTTTAAGATGGCTTAATTGTTCTAATTAAAATTTTTAACATTTTAGTTAGTTTGGTAGATTTTTATAAGTGCTGCATATTTTATTTAGTAATTAAAATTAATAAATTTAATAATAAAATTAATAATAAATTTTGTATTTTCAAAATCGATAGGAAAAAAAAAAGAAATCAATTTTGAATATGTTCAAATCAATTATGAAGGAATGACTGATTGAACAACAAACAAAGATAAACACATATGTCAATTTAATGTGAACTAATTGTATTCACACGACAAATATATTTATTAAATTATCAAAGTTGTTGATAAACTTCAATTAGAAGATGTTTTTATTTTATATTGATTTTTTAATTATTTGTAGATATTTTTTATCTAGTTTGCCCAAATTATTCTCTTAGTTATTTTCTTTAGTTAAATATTAATTTATCAAAAAGCAGTAAAACTACTGACTAATATTTGTCTAAATTAAAAAGAAATAAATCTTTAAGAGTATCATTATAGGCGTAAGTAATCTCTTAACCATTTTAGTTAAAGATCACATTTTAGCAGAGCTATATTTCTTTTTATAAATAGCATCCATATTTTTATGTCCTTGCATCATGTTTAGCTCAGCTTATTATTACATAATATTAAAAAAGGGTGAGTAGTACCCCATCTACATATTATTTTAATGATTCGATAAGTTTTGAATTATTTTATGAGCACTAAATTGTTAGAAAGGATTCATATTAGTAAACATCTATTCAAAGTAGTCTGTCATATTTGGCATTTACTAGTTCATGAAGTTTTAATGAGTATAATCCATGTCCTAATATTATTAGTGATACTTTAACTTGTAATGTTGTAAGTAGTCTTTTGTTTTGCTAACAATAAAACCCTCACCAATACCATAAATTACATTTATACTTTTTTTCATCTTCTATTATAACACATCATCTCTCAATTTAAAGAAAACACCTAGGGTCAGTAAACTATCACTGCCTGCTTAATGCTAAGGTCCAATTCTATCTACCTTATTATTAAAATAATATATTAATACAGAAATATTTATATCAATAACTAATAATCAGTTAAATTTCTTAACTGAACAATGAAACAAATATCAATATATCTAACTATAATACCTTCAATTCTTATGCAACTTTATTTAGTCCACTGTCTTTCATGTATTACAAATCTTTTATTAAGTACTTTACGTCATACACATTAGGGAAAAATGACTTCAAAAGGTTATAAAAGGAAGAGGAGCTATCTGGTATTGGTGATCCATAAAGCATTTACAATAAATATGCAAAATCAAAACCACCGTGAAATACAATCCATGTTAACTCTTCATTTAATATGATATCTATATTTTATTATGAATAAATGATATTCGATCAATAATCATTGCCATGCAGATTATATATTTACCTGATTCTGATACTAAATCAGAAAATTATTCTCTACTAATACCTCTCTTTTTGAGTTCTTTGAAGTCAATTCCAGCATTTTTAAGTAAATCTAGAGATTCTTATTTAATTTGGTCATTTCTGTTCATTAGTTTTTAACTTAAACCAAAATTAATTGTAAATATATTAATTACTCTTCATCAAAATTGAAATTAAATTGCCAAGTAAAAGGTCTATCTGCAGGTACTTCTCCATCTTCATTAGCCAAACTTATACCAATTTAAATAATTTTTGAGTTTTTAACACTTTCTCTGATTAATTTAAACTCAAAATCCTTTTTAAATATAAATAAAATCTTTTTAAATTACTTTCATTAAATTGATATTAAAATTTCTTAAAAAATTATTTAAATGTAATCAATTAATTATAATTTTTTTATTTATTACCTTTTCATGTGAAACTTTATAAGGAAGTTGCTAAATTCCTGGGAACTCTGTATCCTATTAAATTATTCATAGAATTAGATAAAGGAAATTTCACATGATTTCAAAAATATTTCGATATTGAATCAAATCTATAAAAGATCAAGCCAAAATTTGTTAATTGATCTATGAAAATAATTGTTGCTTCTCTCTTTTATTTTAATTGAAAATAATTAGTTGATTAAAACTTTTCAGAATTGTGAGTTATTAAATGATTAATTTAAAATTAATGATAATGAATTAATTAATTAATTCACTCATTCATTCATTTATTGCTTTTTATGCTCACTAATAATATTAATCAACTAATTGCATTCTTTTTTTATATATTCTTTTAGAATATAATGAATGAATTATCATAAAGTATTAATAAGAATTATAATATTCATTGATAGATTAATCAATCAATCAATTAATTGATCGATCGATCGATCTTCATTATTCTTTTATGAAAATAAAGATAAAGTAAAATTAATTGCAAGTTAGCTACTTTAAGAATGAAATCACAAAATTATTCAGTATTTTATATGGGGGCCATTTCATAAATATAAGCAATAAAAATTAGGATGAAGGGGACAACATCTATTTTGATAGAAATTGGAAGTAGGAATAATTGTGTAATAGTGATTAGCATTATGAGTGTGTGTGTTGTGCTACCCTTTTCACATATCAAAGAAACTCAGACTATAAACCAAGCCTATACTCTCCAACTTAATTTAATATAGTTGTTTTTGGTAAGGTATGACCACTCATATATATAGATGCCAACAATTTATACAATCAAAGTCTGCGCAAAGACAAATTTTTTTCTTCTCCTTTTTTTCTTCAGGATTAAGCTAAATTCAAAAATAATTTGTATAAAATATTTCAAATTGAAATTAATATGAATGGCGAGAAGGAGAAGAATATAGAAAAAAGGAAAACGCAGACTTAGATAAGAAATAAATACTCGCAAACACCAATTTTCTATCGCAAAGAATAGATGAAATACGCAATCTAAAATTAGATAATATCTTAATCTTTAATATATCGAAATAAAAAAAATAATAAGAATATCCATTTAGGATTCTCATGATCAAACATCTCTTTCCCAATTTACCAGTGCAATTATTTTGTACTCTTCAATAAGCTTGATTATTTCACACAATTCCTTTTCAAAATTATCCTACCAAACATCTATTATTTGAGTGGTTTTCACTTCTTTCAATTTCAATTTCTTTCTTGTTCCTTATTGGCTCATTAATATAGCTATACTCTACTGTTTACCTTTATTTTAAATATCAATTTAACTTCTTTAGCAAAAAAAAATACCTTAATTCCCAAATTGTAAAAGCAAATTATGTGGGAAAATATAAATCTTAAGCTATAATCACTAACTAAAGCTATACATCAAAACTCGCTATTATATAAAATGGTTCTTTCTTAGATATAGTGACTCTCTTGAGGTATATATAACACTTAGCCATGTTTTTTTCACAGTTGATATTCACTGAGTTGAGTTTGTTAATTTATTAGTTTTTTAGTTAGTTGGTTAGCTAGGATAGCCTTCCCGCAATTATTTTCATTCATAATTTAATAATAATATAAAATTTGTCAAATTTCAATAATTATAATCATTCCTTTTTATTCATATTTTTTTGTTTTTAAAAAGAATGATGGATGGGTTAATTACAAATTAATTTTTATAAAATATTATTTTTCTATGACTAAATTAAAAAAAATTTTTTCTTGAAATTAAAAAAAATTTGATATGTTTTTCTAATGTTTTATTCTTAGAAAAACTAATTACAAAAGAAAAAAATTTAAATATATTTTATATAAGTAAAATATGATCACATCTAATTTATTTATTATAAATATTAAAAATGGTAAATTTATTTGTTATTATTAATTTTATTAACTTCAAGAATAAATAGTATTTTAGTTTTTTATTTTATCAAAATTAAATTTAATTAAAATTTATAAACTTGCTCAATGTAAATCTTGCCTATTACATACAAAAAATGAATAAAAAAATAAAAAATTTCAAAATTAGTTTTTGTTATTTTAAACATTTTAGTTAAGTTCTTGCTTTTCATAGAAGGCAATTTAGCTCTACTTATTTTGATCAGTGCTTAAAGTAGAATCTAAATAATTTTTTAAAAATGGTTGAGTTATTGTTCTTGAATTTAATGACTATTTAGAGTCTGTCCTTTGGTTATTAGAGTTCCTTTTTCCATTAAATATGATATTGGACAATCCTACAACAGGTTATTCTACTGCTAAGTGCAATAACAAGCCAAATAAAAGCACTATCATAGTGACACCTAAAAAGTGATAAAATAATTCAGAGAAAGAAAAGTACATTGCATCATATGAATTCCAAAGATTAAATGCAATAATGATATAATGAATCAAGTATCCTGAAAAAGAAAAACGAGCCAGTAAAGCAAATAATTTGCATGAAAGTATTTATACTATAAGATCTTTAGAACCAAATATAGCAGGCATGCACACTAAACACACACCAATAGTGTAAAACAATCTCACAACTCCTTACCATGTATGCTAAATATTTGAAGACCAATAGTCAGATCCGTTTTATAAAAGAGGTAAAGGAGCCCAAATAAAAGTAAAAATAATTCCTAAACCAATCAAATAGATAAAAAATTTGAAATATGTATGTCCAATTGTATTGGAAATCTGAGAAAAAAAAGAAAATTTAGTTTAATTTTGTTTGTCGATTTGGTATTCCTTGTAAAAAATTCCAAATAAAAGACCAAATAAATATGGAGGACACCTAGCCCAAGGTTTGTAATAATAGTTGTCACCTATATTTAGAGCAAAGGTTTATGCATTAACGGGAATTAAAAGATTATATTTAAATGACAACCAAATACTAACAGCGCAAAATATAATAACACTTAATGCTATACACCACTTACCTATTCTTTTATTAGTTGCATAGATCATTATTAAAATCATAGAGAATAAGTACATCTATAAATCATTTGAAAGATACCAACCCCAACCAAAGCATTTCGATTTAGGTTTAATCAGATTATCAATGAATAATAGCTTTTACCACCATATATCATCACATTCTCCAGCATGAATAATATATCTCTACCATGTAGGAGACTAGCCGAAGTAAGGTACTAATTTCCAAAAAATCATTAAAGCTACGAAATATGTAGGTAAAATTCGCACAATACGGTTTACTAAAGCAAGAAAATAACAAGAAAATGCCTTAATAGGATCTTTTAAGTTAAAGTTATTTAAGAGCTTAGCATCAGCAGCTACATAAGATACGAAGAATCCACCAAGTAAAAAGAAGACATCAACAGAAAAAAGACAACTGGAGATAAACAAAAAAATTGGGTTGTCCTTTACAATTATTTGCAAGTCTTATGGATTTTGCATATAACTTAAGCGAGAAAAAAACTCATGTCCTAAAATAACCTATAAAAATGAAAATGTACGTATTCCATTAAAAATGTTGAGATCTTCATTATTAGATTTTAAAATAAATACTTTCTAAAGATGACCTATAAAGTTAAATTAGGATATAATTTGAGATGCGATAAACTATCTTTGCTAAGAAGATGAATTCTACTAGCATTCAGAAACAGTAGAACTAATTAAGCTAGTATTAGGTCTCCTTTTAATAACTTAATTATATGTATTTATGAAAATGCTAACTAAATTAAAGAAAGCAATTATGCACAAAACAGTAGCCATAACGATAAATGCAGCTGAAGAAGTAGTAGGGTAAATTGGCTTATTTCCACTGAATGTTATCTAAGTAAAGTTAATTCCTAAACTAAATTCATTACTGAATTCCTGCAGAATCTATTTATTTTCTTCTAATATTTAATGGTTACAAACGCTTTTCAAGCATAGACCTCTATAGAGTTCTCCATCTGATAATTAGTAAGTCATCTCAACAAAAGCCATGTTTTCTTAGTTTATACATCCTTCAACATCTCCTTAATCGTTCCAAGTCCTACTTGAAAATTATAATGTCTAAAAAATAGAACTCTCTGTTATATTTTTATCTATAATAATTTAATTAATTGCAGAAACTAAATAATCTTAGCATGGTTAAAAAGAGCCGTCGATCTAAGAAGTGTTAATGTGCTTCAATAAGATAAAATAAATCAAACATAGTAATAGCTTTATCATAATTATTAAATTGACTAATTAACCTTATGCTTTTTTCTACTATTTACTATTGTAGTTTAAAAATTAATAATTTAAAAAAAATAAATGCTTAATAGAAAACTTCTGATCTATCTCCTTTTTTTAATTTTTGAATCTCTATTACATATTATGTTATCGCAATATTGTAGCAATTATTTAAATAAAATAAAAAAAAACTACAAAAAATATGTTATTTACAAAAATATAAGTAGATTTACAAGGATATAAAATCAAAATTTTTTTTAAACAGAGCAATAGATTCGCATTTGCATTTTATCACTTAATTAAATGTATTTACAAAAAATTTGTTAAAATAAAATATTTTTTAAAAGCAAATTAAATTTCTTCGTTAATCTATTTAAAAATATATTAATGTTATTCGAAATTAATCTATATATTATAATTAAATTTTAAATGAGCATCTAACAACAAAGATTTTGTTTTCATAAAATAGGATAGTAATCAAGTTATAAATATTAAACATATCACATATTTAATGTGTCAATTTAATTAGATATTGAAATAATGAGTTAACATTTGATTTTTAAAGAATTATATTTTTAAACAAATTTAAAATTAAATTTTTAAGGTATGAAATCTTCTTTTTTTAGGAGTTGCAAAGCTGTACGATTTAGAAGCTTTAGGTACCATTTAGAAATAAAGAAGGAATTGATAAACAGTAAGAAATATATTCTGAAAATTAATTATATATTTCTTTTGAATTTATCTTATATTGATGATTATAATATCCTAAATATTGAATTTAATAATTAATGGATATCTTAAAAGCTAAATTATTTTCTATATAATATAAAATTTATAATTTTGCTTAGTTTATTTAATATTTTATTATTCAAAAATTTTTAAAATCAAAATAAATTTTAAAACAATCTTTGTTTTTTAATAATAATTAATTTATTTCCAATTTGTTTTTTCTATAATATCTCCTTTTTATCATAACTACTAATGTATAAAAATCCCTCTATTGTATGTATAAGCTGGTAAACTCATTCAAATATTCTACACAACCTAGCAACACCATCCTTATTTTTACTTATTTTTAATAGAACTATTATAAAATAAAATTTTATTAATAGAATCAAATAGTAATATAAATCAAAAGTCAAAGCAATTAAATTTAAAGGATATATTTTATTATTTAAAATTTATTTTTTAAAAACTCCCTAAAAAAATTATATTAAACCAAGTATTTGTATATAGATATCCTTGCAAATATTTAAAACATTGCCATAATAACTGATTATAAAACATTAAAATTTAAATAAAATTTGAAAAAGTAATAAAATTTGATTTCTTTTATAAATATGTTTTTTTGCTTTTTTTTAAATAAGTAATACAAATTTTGGTAGATGCTATAAATGACAATGCATAAAGAAATATAAACTTTTGTTCTATTTTATTTTATTATTTTTTCTTTAAAAATTCTAGAAATCTTTATAATTATAATTTAGAATATAAGTAAATTGATAGTGCTTTTATGATTTAATAATTTTTCTTTTAAATAATTAAATGAAGACATTTTTTTATCATTGTATTATATTAGAATTTCGAAATCATACTGTGATTTATTTATATTTTGAACTAAAATTAAAATTTTTGCACTAATTTTTAGTCATTTACTTTCACTTGCATTTCAAATGATTTTTCTCAAATAGAGAAAAAAATAGAAGGAAATCAAAATATTCATCCGTTATAGAATAAAATAAAACCCTTCTATTTTTGAGAAGAATCAATTTAGAAGTATTTTAAAAATTCAACTCAAAAATAAAATTTTTTCAATTCAAAGAAAAAAAATTGTAGTACACCTTACATTTATAAACTTGAAAAATATAACATAATCAATCATAGTGAAAATAGAATAAAAACATATAAAAATAAAAAGCTAAATTGTACATTATTTTTGCCATTTATTTATGCTTAAATAATAATATTTTTATTTGTGAGGGAGCTAAATGTAAGGAGAAAAAATCATAAATGATTCTTAACATATTTTTTTCAATAAAATATATTTCTTTTTTCTAAGTTGCATTTAAAAAAAATAAAATAGCATACAATCAGAGAATTTAGAATTTGTTATTTAATTAAAATTATATTCTAGAATACTAGAAGTTGGTTAAGAAAAAGATCTGATAAAGTCACTAAATTAAGAATTTTCACCTAAAAATAGCTTACAAATATATTTTAAAGAACTATATTTCAAATACTCATTTTTAAATCTATCAGAAATTTTTTAGAAAAAATATGATATTTATTAAAAAAAAATTAATTTCTAGTATCTTTAGAAAAGATAAATTATTAAAATATAGTTTCACTAGCTATAGGAATATTATGGAAGTACTTAAATAAGAAAAAACTTATTTGCTCGACAGCTACTTATTTTCTTTGAATACAAAGATCACCTAGGTAAAGCAAGACGAATCTGATCCTAATTTACTTAATATCTTATTTGAAAAAACTATTTTCCATCCTTAAGGAGGCGGTCAACCTTCAGATAATGGATTTATTGAAGTAAATGGTGAATAAATCCCTGTAAAAAAATTGATTTACATTAGAGAGCAAGAGCTTATTTTCCATTAAGTAGAAAAAAAAGACTGTATCAAAGAGAATTAGGAAGTGAGAATGCAAATTGATGAAAATTTCAGAAGATAAAACGTCTTGCTTCACTCTGGAGGTCACTTGATAGATGTTGCTGTAAACAGATTAGGTTATGAATGGGAAGCTGGTAAAGGTTATCATTTTATTGATGGTCCTTATGTTGAATACACTGTAAACAAATGGGAAGAAGGTAGCTAAGAAAAATTAAAGGACTAAATCAATTAAGAATTAGAAAAAATTTTGACAGAGGGTTCTCCTGAAAATCCATCTATATGTAAAATATACGAATATGATGAAGCCAAAAAAGAAATCAGTAATTTTCCTACTTATCTTCCTGAAGGAATAAATATTAGATGGGTAAAACTTAATAAATTAGACCCTGGATGTCCATGTGGTGGAACTCATGTAAAGAATGTGTCTGATTTTAAGAAAGTTGTTGTTAATAAAATCCAAAAGAAAGGAAAAAAACTAAAAGTATCTTATACAGTTTAGTGAAAGATACATTAATACAATTTACAATTAATTTAATTTGTATATGGAATTTACACTTATCTACAACTTGTATTTTTTATAGTATTAAGAAGATCTAAATTAAAATTTCTAAAAAGAAAATACAAAAAAATTAGTTCAAAACTTTGTTTAAAACTTTTTTATTTTAATAATTTATTTTATTTGAGAAAAATAATTAAAAGAGATAATACAATAAAAAACAATAATAAAAAAAACAAACTAATTTTATTTGTTGATTGTTTGGAGCAAAATTAAAAATAAGTACAAAGAGAATATAACATATATATAAGTATATAAATTTATAAATAAATAATTTCCATAATTTCAAATTTAAGAAGAAGGAGAATTATAAAAATAAATAGAAAATAAGACTGAAGAAATAAGAGCATTATTAGTTAGTAAGTGTATAGTAAATAAATTATGTTAAATTTTTATTCTTACTTTGTATTTTTTTTGGATTTAGTAATTAATTCGTTAGTTATAAGGTTTGATTGATTGATTGTGTTGAAATTAATTATGATTTTGTTAATTTACAAAAGGTAATTTTATCCTTAAATGTTCTTTGAATTTTTAATTGTTTGTACAATTCAATATTGATTTGTCGAGCTATTAGAGTACTCTTGCAATATGTATTATTGTAGGCTTTCAATGTTTTAAAATGCTTTGTATTACTTTAGAAAAAATTTTTATTTTATACTTTCTCTAACATCAGTAACATTAATCAAAGTTTTTAGGTAAGTGCATAGGTGTAACAACTCCTCATCATTTTTGTTATTATTACAGTAATCTAATATTGGTATACCATTTGATACTTGGTTAAGATAAGAAAGAGGACTGTTATCTACTAAAATAACATTTTCTAGTTTTCTATTTTAAAAGATTCTTAAATCTTTTAGATAGGACTTTTTTGATCCCTAATTTTATAGCGGGTTAGGTATTTAAAATTCAATACAACACTCTCTGTAGAATTTATGAGAAAATATTTTATTTTCTGGATCAAGCTTTTATAACACAGCATCAGCGTATATCTTTCTAGCAGCAGTAAGCAAAATTAGCTCAAAATCTTTAGAAAGCTCTTATAAAATTTATTAAGCATGAGGACGTATAGAAAATAAGCACTTTTAATTTTAATAATAAAATAATTATTAATTCATATTAAAAATATAAATAGATTTCTAAAACTTACTTAAATTTATTCTTATGGTGTACACTAAATAGTGCAAAGAGTTTCGTTACAACTTTCTACATTTCTGCTAAAGGGAGATGGGTTTTTATTTGTCATGTTTGATTATGTGAACTCTTAGTATTATTGAGGGTCTGTAAATATATCTATACAATGAATAAGAGTTTCATCCAAATCAAAAAATATGGTTTTTTTATTTGATGTGAGTGGTGGAAGGAAAACTGGTGATATCTGATGAAACTTATTCTCAAGTTTAGGGTTCACTTGAAGATTGTAATACATTTTCTAGAAATATTATTTGTATAGATTAGATAATTTATCTTTTTCTCCTTTTAAGCTTTTCATGAGAGAAGGTATAAAGTATTTTTCACAGCTTTATTGGTTTTATTTATTAATTTAAGACAACTTTACAACAGGGATTCTGTTTCCAGCTAAATAAAAAGTTCTCAATATTTGAGTTTTCTCTGGTTCATCTGGGACATCATCTGACTATTTCGTAGAAGAAGAACGACGTTTTCTTACATTTAATTCTTCATTCTAATGTTGATTCTCCATTTAAATTTATAATTTTTTTACTATTTCATTAGGCTAGTGTAAACTGATAGAGGCTGGCTTCAGATCTAGATATTTACAAAATATGATTACTTTAATTAACATTTAATTATCTTTTATGCATTTTTGTTTGCTAATTAATTTGGTAAAATATAATAATAAAAAACCATCCGCATAATTTAAACTGAGGTAATTAATCATAAATTGATGGTAAATTTTTTAATGTTTAATAATCTTCAAAACATTTTTGATCACAAAAAAATTATAACAAATAAAATAATTACTGTAGTGAAAAGATTAAACAGTATCATTTGTGGAGAGTTGAGCACTGCGATAGTCAACACTTATAGTAGCATTAGAAACTCTTCTGTCTTTCTAAGATTTTTAGTTATTCCAATCTCTATTTAATTATTAATTATTTAGAGAAGCCATAGAAGGAGGCTTTTAATGAGGAGAAAATTCTTCTATGTTTTCATCCTTAACTTCAGATTCAAAATCAATGTCTAGCTCAAAAGGATATATTTATTTTATCTCACAAGAATATTTTTTTTTTTTCTAATTTAATTCTTAATTCTTTTAAACCTCAAATATCTAGCTGCGTGATCTTTCATTTCCTTCGACTTTTCTATCAGTTTAGCATGTGGTTATAATGTCTTCGTCTTCTTCTTCTAATATATTTCTAGGTTCTTAAAGATCGAGAAGTCTCTATTTTAAATTTATTTAAATAATTGAAGATGTAATTTAAAGTTCAAAATTCATGTGTTTAAAAAAAATAAAATTAATATTTCTAAAGATTAAAAGCAAATTTTTTATTTTTAATGTGATGAAATTTTTATCTATTTTTAACATTTTATTGATGTATAAAAAGTTATGGTTTTAGTAGAAATAATTAATTGCATCTTAAATACATCAATCAAAGTAATAAAAGCTGAATAAAAAGAATAAAACATATTTTTTTTTTTTGCCGAATCGAATATTATATACATATGAATCTTAAAATATTTACCTTTGTAAGTCTTGTCCTTTTAATATCAAAATTTACAGATCCTAAAGACCTTTCTCTGATTTTTGATGAGTCTACCATAAAACTTTATTATAGAGTCGTTATTGTTATTGCTGATTCTTGTTCTAAGCTTACTTATTGATCACCTAAATTTACAGGAGGAAGATCTGTATTTTTAGGCTACTTAAGCAAAGGAGCAGGTTTTAAATAATAAAATTTATTTTGTTCATAATTATTTACAGTATTTAGGCGCTTACTACTTGCAACCCCGTCTAAATAAGGAGATACCTTAGATAAATCTAATTAAATGGATTCATCTTTAGAAATTTAAGCGTCTTTAAGTTAATTTTTAAAGAATTATTAATAATCATGACAGTTTTTATGTTCATTTTCAGATATTTCATCAGATTCTTTTCTCTTTGAATTTAGTAAGAATTGAGATTTTTATATAAATTACCCATTGGTATGTTTTTATTAGCTATTTCTCGATAAAGAAGATTAAGTAATTTATGAACCTGAAAGGATTTAACTCATTTAAGGATAAGAAAATGGTAGCTATTATGATTGAGTACTATTGCTTTGATGCTATGCAGAACTAGAAGCATTTGTTGATTATTAATAAAGAGTAGATTAAGTTGGTTACTATGTCAGCCTATTACTACTGTTTGAGGAAAGAATTATTGTTTGTTTTTTATCTATTAAACCCAATGTATTGCTTATTAAATTACTCTATCTTTTTTAACTAGAAGATCTAATATCTGCAGAGTTAATTCTATTACTTTATGAATTCCCAATATAACTTCTAGTTTGTTAAAAGTAAGGCTAGACACTCATCCTAAGAGCGTTGTTTTATTCAATATGATTCTATTTTTCGGTATAAGTGTTGTAATGTTTTTGGTTCTAGCGCTAGTTTTGATAGTGAAAGTTATCTTTTAAAGGCGACTATATAATTTATTAGATTTCTAAATTGTTAATAATTTTATCATTAAAATACATTTTTTTTATTAATATATAATAAATTTAAATGAAAAAAATATCAAGGATACAAAATAATCAGCAATTGTGATGAAATGTAAAAATAATAATCTGCCTTGATGAGCCTTAGCTCATCTTTCAGTGTATTAAATTTAAGGGGCACAATTGAAAAGTCAAATTAATAAATAAGATTTAGAGTATAAATACATTGTACTGTAGAAGAACTCTTGAAAGAACTCATCTTTATCTAATTTCTATAAAAATGGCAAAAGTAGTCTTATTTCAAATGTACGCAATTATAAGGAGGAGAAAATCTAGTAAGATGAGTACAAGATACTTAGTGTATCTTTGATATATAAATTACTTATGTTTGTAATGATTGTTTGTTTGTTTATTAATAATGATTGCTATTTGCTTAAAATCAATATTAAGAGTATTTATTAAATTTATTACTTTTTTGATTGAGTTTATATTATTTTTTGATTTTAATTTTTTTGTATTTTTGTGAATGCAATTATTTATCAAATTAGGCGAGAGTAATTTTTCTGAAATAATACTATATTTCTAAGTAATTAGCTTTTTGCTCTACCACTCCTTCCCTTCTTTTTTATTAATATTGCATTCATTTCTATTTAATTGTTGATAGTGTTATTAGTGTAGGAAATTGCTTTACTACTAAAAAATCATGAAAAACTGAATTGATTACTTTTACATACAAATTAATTTATTACAAGTACTGTATCTTGCTTTTTTTCATTTATAAATAATTTAAGCTAAATGATCTTTAATTGTATAATTATCTTATTAAGTTATTTGTTTATTTTTATGCATAAATTTGGTTATGTTCTATAATTAACTTAAAGTAACTTAAAATTCAAAGATTTACATATATTACTTCAAAATCATTGTCTAAAAACAAAATTTCATATTTTTAACTTCGGAATTCTATCAGTATCTACTTTCACTTTTTCAGTGCCTCTTCTTTTACATTTAGTAATATTTTCAATTTTTTAAGTAAAAAACATAATATTACATAATAAATTATGTAAACTAATATCATTATGAAAAGAATAGGAAAAAAATACAATAAAAATTTTTAGATTTTAAACTAAAGTTGAACTTAATCAAAAATTAGTTTTTCAAATTAATTTTCAGGATTTGTAAGTCAAAAAATAAGATTACAGTCTTTTTTTTGTTATTTATTTACAATAAATATTAATAATTTAAGTTAAGATTTTTATTTCAAATACCATATGTTTCTTAAATTAATATAAGAGCAGATACATCTAATTACTTTAACAATAATTTACTTTTAATTTGATGGATTTATATTTTTTTTTCTTGATAATACAAATTTAATTTATTCCTTCGTTAAAAAGTGGAGAATTCTGTGGCTCTTTTTTTAAGAATTTATGATAATAAAAATAAAGATCATCAATAATTTTTAAACTCTAAGCAGAACAGAAATGAAATATAAATAAATAAAATGTTCATTTGGCTTTACATTTTCTCTTTAATTTTTTTTTATTTTGCATAATTTTATTTATCCACTTTTTATAAGTTTTGTGTCAAGATTTTTCCTACTTCTTTGTTATCTTAGGTTATTTGCTGATTTATTTTTGATTTTACCAAAAAGAATTAATGTTATTACTGCAGAAAAAATATTCATTCATTTAAAATGAAAACAGTTATAAAATGAATTAAATAAAAGTTTTTAAAAAAACTAAGGTCTAATGATAAATCAGAACAAAACAATTCTTAAATATTAAATATAAAGTATTTCTTTGTGTAGTCTTAAATTAAATTTATTTTTGTATTAAAAAATTTTATATTTATATTTTAGTCCAGCGTTAGAAAAATGCGTTTAAGGCTATACATCACAAATTTGAGATACAAAAAATATTAAAATTTCTATCAAAAATAAGATTTCTTATTTTATTAAAATATAGTTAATTAAAGAAAAAAATACATTACAAATGTTATGTGGTTTCGATCCTATTTATTTTTTATATTTTATGTATTTGAATTCTTAAAATATGCTTATTTTCCTTCAAAGATAAATGAATAATAAATTTAAATTGCTCAGATCACCAAATTAATGTTACTTGCCACTAAAATTTTAATTATGATAATAATAATTGATGAATTATGTTATTCTTAATCTAATTCTTTTATATAATTCTCCTTTGATGATGATTTGATTTTTTCTTCTATTCTTATTTGAAAAAGCATAATTAAGAGATTTTAATAGTAACGACTGATTTTTATTAATCAGTAATTTTTTTCTTTTAATGATCTAAAAAAGAGCAACTTAAATATATTTAAAATAAAATAAATGATTCCAAATATTTATTTTTAAATATTTAGATGATAATTTTAATTTCAAGAATTAAAGGCATAAATAAAAAATATGAAATACAAATTTATACGCACATAATTTGGGACAAAAAAATTGTAATTTAATTAAAATTTATAAAAAGGATACACTTTTTTTTCAAATCTATTATTTACCAATTACTGAATTTCTTTATTGTGATAATTATAAAAATAGATAAAAATTAGGCTAATTAAAATATAATTTTGTCTTATATTTCTAAATTAAATAATGCTCTATATTGATTTATAAGATTATCAAAGTATAAATTAACCATAACTTTTATTTGAACTTAATAGCATTAGTTATATTTTTTTATTCATTAAAATAGTCTGGATTTAATTGCCAAAAACCAGCATTTTTTTAAAGAAAAGAATGCGAATATCATAAATCTTGAATTAAATTTAAGTAAGCTAAAAGTTTTTCATGAATATATTTATTGTAGTTTTGGTTTTTAATTTAAACAAAGGCCTTCCTTTCCTATTATATAAAAGTAAAATATTAATTAAAATTATATGCTTAAATTTAATATTTACGGTGAGATATTTATTATCTTCGTTCACAAATATATTTATGCCATCAAATACTTATTAGAATGATTTTAATTAATTAGAAGGAATAATCCAAACTCTTTTACGAGTTCTTATTTCCATAAAAATAAGGGCTTCCTTTAATAATATCAAGCTTTTTTGATTAAATTCGTCATCAAGTAAAATAAAAGCATTTAAGAAAGTAGCCTCTTTAAATCTTCCCCCCTTAAACCTTGTTATTTCCATAAACATTTCTGCATCTATTTCATTATACTCTTTGAAATATTATTCTACACCATAGAAAGGTCTGATTTACCTTATCCTCCTTTGATTTGGTTTATCATCGAAATAAGTTGCAGTATTTGTAATTCCTTCTGCAGTTTTTGAAGCTGCATCAAGTATACCAGATAATGGTTTAATTATAAGTCCAGAAACACCTTACCAAGTTCCTTTTAAAAATCCTTTAACTCCTCCATTTCTAGCTCCTTAAATTGGCTTAGCAAAAACACTATTAATTTAATAAATAATTCAATTAACATTTTTATTCATTTCTAATTTAAAGCTTACTCAATGACACCTCTACCAACTCCATTAACGATAGAAGTAACACCATATTCTATACCATCAAGAATGTGCTTAGGTTTTTTTATTCTCATCTTCTCTCTTTAACTCATAAATTCTTCATCCTTTGAACAAAAGAAAAATAAATAGTAAGTTGTATAGTTTACCAGTAGAAATGATTTATATTTAATTAATACGCTTGAATCTTTAGCAATAAAATATCTTTTTTCAAGCATGCATCAAAATTAAATTCAAATAAATAAATTAACAAATTAATTAATTACCATGCACAAGTGAGCAATACCAGTTGAAAATGATCCAGCAAATTTATTAACAGAATTAAATGTTCCTGCCATTACATTTTTAATTAAGCTTGCTGTTCCTAAAGCTAATCCCATTCCTCCTTCAAGAGGACCATGTACTAATCCTTCTATGGGTTTTTCTATAAAATCTTATACTCCTGTTGCAATATTGTTAAAAAAACCTATTGGATTTCCTATAATATTTAAAGACCCTAGTACATGAAATACTTCTCTAAGGGCTTGTTCTTTATATTTCTGTATTAATTTGTCTGTTATTCCATCAGCTGTGTCAAAACAGTTTTAAAGTTTTATTCCTTTTAGTGTAAGAGGAGCATCATCAATATTTGACAATGCAACTCCTAATGCAGTAGCTAAAACTGTAAGTAGAGCAAAGTTATTATTAGCTCTTGTTTTTGATTTAAAAGACAAATTGATATTTATTGGGGAAAGAATAATTTAATCAATATATGTAGGTAGAGATTGGTCTGGTAGTGTTTAAACTTCCCAAAACATAGGCTTTCTTACTACTTCCATATTTTGAATGTTTGATATCAAAGACTTTCTAGTAACTACAGATGTTGCATAGCTTCTTCTAACAATCTTGCTAATCCTAAAATCAGCTTCATTTTCTTCAGGAGTTTGAATTCCTTCAACAATTTAATCAACAAATTAAAGAATTAAATTTACAAATTCTTCTTCAATCTTTAAAGTAACAGGCTATTCATTAGAAAGAAAGAAAAAAAATTTAATTATAGAAAAATATTTAGATTGAATTCAAATAAAATTGATAATTTAATTCACTCAAAATAAATCATTATTTATTATATTAATTAATTAATTACCTCAATATCAAATATTATAGAGTTAAATAGATTCATATTGTAAGCACAAGTATTTTTCTCTATTAATAAGTTTAGGAAAGCTTTAGAGTTTTCTTCACTGTTATGACTTTAGTAATGGGAAGGAGTTAAAACTACTGGAAAATCTACAAGCATTTAAGAATTATTGTCTATGTTAAGGAATTTCAGCTTAAATTGGAAAATTATATTTTCTTTTTTCTGCAAAAGAATTAATTCTGTGTTTTACATATAAATATACATTAATTCCTATGGCTTTGCATTAAGTGAGTGGTTATTTATAATGCTCAAGCCTATTTTTTTAAAGTAGACTGAAATGTATCTTTCAATTTAAGGTGATGGTATATCAGCAGCTAGATTTTGATTATCGTCATCAACTGCATCGGTGAAAGAAGATATATTATTCGGTAATCTATCCTTTTTCTTAGATTCTTGAATAACTGCAATAGATTAATTTATAGTGTTAGCATAATTATCTTTAATTTCTTTTACGGTTTTTTTATAAAACTCAGCCTTTTCTTCTTGGCTAACAAGTTCGTTTTTAGAACTGTTTTCAAATATGATTACTTTAGTATATCCATCAACCATGATAGTATACTTTATGTACATATCATCATATTTTCGATCACCATAACTTCTTCCTTATATAACTATCTTTTTAGACATATTTATTTGATCTGGTTTTATTGTTACAGGCTGATCTTAATATTACTTTAAATTATTTACTCTTAAAATTATATCTAACTCTTTTTCATTTTTGTTGATATGAGGTTCATCCCAAGCGAAGAATGCCTTTTCATCTAATTCTATTAGAGCTGGTATCATGGGAATATCAATGTTAATATCTTCACATCTATTTGCTATTAAATAAGGTACTTAAGATTCTTCAACTTCTTAAATCACAACATAAATATTTGAATTATCCATTCTAATGTCAGTACGTACAAATTTTACAATGTGGTTTTATTTATCACGTATACACATTGAAACAACTCCAACACTTGTAATTTCTATACCACCACTCCAACAAACCTCATGATCTTAGAAATCATCAATACTTTTCTATCTATCCTTAATGACTCTATTATTTTTTTTTAAAAAGATTTAATTTTCTTTAAAAAAAATTTTTAATTTTAATTACTTTTTAGAAGGTAAACTAATTTCTTCCTATTCAAAATAACTCTTCTCAATATCTATATCATCTTCATGAATTCCAATTTGTAATAGCTATTTGTGACTTTCTAGCCAAAACAAAGGCTTCCTTTGGTTGATAATTAAAATCTAACCACTTTCATTAGAATTTGTTTAGAATTATTTAGCATAAATTGTAAAAGATGTATCATTTACTAAAATAATTCTAGGAGAAAGTGTAATAATTTTAGTAAATAATCCAATTTTAGGTTCTATTTCTTTTAAAGAAACCTATTGATAAATTAAAAATTAATATCATTTTAGCATTTTAATTATTAAAAAAATTACCTAAACACCAATAGGAATAAATACAGGATGGAGTTATTAATTTATTAAAGTCATTTTTGTTTTAACTTGTAGCTCAGTAGAACCAACTCCACTTATGGAAACTTCTTTATTTTATTTTTAAGGACATTTTTTATCATATATAACCATTAGGTTTCCAGTTTCTTCACCTAAAATAACTAGATTATCATCTAATCTTTCACCATAGAAAACTGGGAATTGACCTCCAACTAGCATAGGATTTGAGCTCCATTTATTTTCATTTTTTGTGTAGAATTCTAAGCTATGTTAAGTTTCATTAATAAGTAATGCCTTGCAATAAAAGTAATAATTTCTACAAGAATAAGCTTCTGTCGAAATACTTTAATGCACTGAAATATATGATGAGTTATCTATTTAACAAATTAAATAATCATTAGATATGCTATTTAAAAAAAAATATTTTTCCAAAAATTACATAAATCTGAGATTTTAATTTTGGTTAGTAGCTCTCCTTCGTAAATGAGCTCTTCATCACTCCAAAAGAAACCCTCTAACTGAACTTTTATGTATATTTTCTTTTAGAGTGGATAGTCGAATTCTTCAAAGAATTAATTTGGATAAATCTTTCTATCAATGGTTGTATATTTATTTTAGTTAATTATTTGAAGACGCAGAGGCTTAGGGAGACAATTTTTAAAACGATAAGGTGGTTCAAATGTCATGATGGTTTTATAACGGTTTACTTGATCAGGTTATATTTTGAGTAGTATGAAGTGCTGGCCTATTCTCACTTCAAAGTTTTAATTAATTTGATTTCCACATTCTTCAACAGAAATTTACTCTGAGAAAACTCTTTTTTTTATTATTTCCTCTATCTTTTCAATACTTTGCAGATCTTATCCATCATCATTTTCATCATTAATTTAAAGATTATCTTGATCTTAGTTTAAGTATAAGTCTTCTAAAGAAATAGACATAAAACTAAACAGGTAATCGATTGGTATACCTTATTATTCTCCTGGCTGTATTCTTAAAATTCTCTTATACTTTCTAAATTGTAATGCAATCAAAATTTCAATTGATGTGTTATTATAAAAAATGTAAGGTGAAGAGAGAATCAAAATTTTACGGTTCAAATTTATATCTAATTTTACTTCTGTATTTACTCTAAATTTTAAGTCTTTTATAGGGACTACTTGAGCTTATTACTATGATGATGATTAAGCTTAAGTTTATGAGGATATATTTGAGTTTGGTCTATTAGGCGTTATAGATTAGTTAGCCTATTAAAAACTAATGTTCTTTCCATTGTTTGTAGGTGTAAATGGATTATTAGATTTATTTTTATCACTCTCTTAGCTACTTGCAATTTTTAAAACTATTTCTTAGCACTTAACTTTGTCTAAATCAATATTTTTGATGGATGAAAGCTTAAAAATGTCAGTTTAAAGAAACACCTTGACTTTATTTGTACGATTTAATGTATTGGGATTTCCATGCAACAAATTTTAAGAGGCTGTCATTCCTCTATAATTTATCTTTAGAAAATGATCTAATTTTGATTCAACACGGAAAGTAGTTGATTTATTATCAGAAAGAATAGAAGAACCATTTGTTGTGGATGATTTAGTATCATATTTATAACTAAAATCACTTACTATCTCTATTTTATGACCAGTTTAATTTTTTATAGTATATGGAGATACATGAGAAACGTTTTCTAATATTTGAGGGCAGTTAGGATTTTGCTATTGAATAGTAAAACGCTTGTGCTCCCAATTATGAATTTTTTGAGAAAGTTGTTAGCTTTTTTTAATTAGTTGTTGATACCTTTATGAGGGATCTTCTAATTCTTGAGTCTAAACATTTTAAAATATCTTTTTTTGTTCGTTAACAGGCTTCATTTTTTAAGAAGAGGAGTAATCTGGCTGCAAAAATGCTTGCTGTTGCTTTTTTGCATTAGAAACTTGGTAGTCGTGAGCGTGAGGTGTTTCATATGGTAATTTCTCAATACTCTTTTTTTTGTCCTCTTCGGGTTTATCATCTACAGGTACATTTTTTGTTTATTAAAGAATTTCTTGCTAAAAAGAGTTAAACGTTTTAGATAGAATAAAAATAAGTTAAGATGACAAATTTATTTATAAACATTTAAAGTGCTCAGTTATAGGTTCTAAAGTAATTAGCTCTTTCGTTGTTCCTAATTCATTTTTCAGATAATTAATCTCGAGCCCAACTCTTTCTATTATAGGTTCCCATTCACTCACTTTAGGATTAAAGTAATTAATACCAAGCTAAATCTAAGCATTAACTTTATCTACAATAACATTAGAAGAATGATTCATCACAAAATCAAAAAACATAAAATCTAAAACTGGTGTAAAAGCATTACCAACATCATTAATGATGACAATTTGGAAACCTTCCAACAGCACATTTGTTTTACTTTCTTACAAATTTGATTTAAAAACTTCATTCATGATAATAGATTTTTTGCTCTGGTTTTTGTACTCTAATTTTTGATTTGTATTTTACAAAATCTTAGACATTGATTCCATCCTTTAAAGCTATTAATGAGATTCTATTAATTCAATATTTGGGATAGTTTTATTCCTACTCATACTAATATTTCCTTACTATTAGCTCATGTTTACTTTATCCTTACTTTAGTCCAACTATTATACACTTTAAATATTGCTAAGATTATTCTAACTTCCTTGTTATTATAATTATAGATTAGCCTGAGTTGTTGTATTTTAATCATTTTTATTAAACATCATTGATGCCACATCACTCAATTTACCATAAATCTACTGAGACCTGTCAAGTTACTATGGCTCTTGTTTGATTTATTAAAATTTAGACTAGCTTGGATTTTTAAGCATTATCCTTGTTTAAGAGCGACTTAAATTTAATAGCTAGCTGTTTCTGCGGCCTATTTAAGGTGAAATACCTATTAGCTACGAATTATTAGCACTATTGTTTTATATTTACTGTATCTGATTACTTATATTAGTATTTTACTAGTTATCTTTGCTCTGCTAATTTTACTATTTTAGTTTAATTTTTTCTAACTTTTCTATTTCGATTTGTTGAGATTTTTCATTATAAATTTATATTTGAGTCATTGCATAGTTTATGGCATCTTGCATCAGTTTAATATCTTAAAAAGATATTCTTAAAGAAGATTATTAAATTTATAAATCAATTAGTGTTTTTTCTATCGATTAAGTTAGATCATCACTTACAGATAAAAACTTCTTTTTGCTTAAAAAAATTTTAAGTGGAAGTAAAATTTCACGCTTTTTTACTGTTCTAAAATCCTTATGAGTAATTTCATCGTAATCACAAATAAATATCTCTAATCCTTCTACTTTTACATCCATTTCATCTATAACATTGGTTTAACTTAACTCTTCTCTTGTGATTTTACCTAAATTTATCATGTTTCTTAATTCTTACAAAGGTTTAGGCTGTTTGGAATTCATCAAAACAGTAAACTAGCCTCTTAGTGTGAGAATATTACCACTTTCCATGCATGGAGTACAAATAAGGATATTATTTACATTTAAAGCTATTTTTGATTGTGTCCCTTCCATAATATTATTATTGCAATTATCTCTATAATTATCTTAGTATTCTTCTTTTTGTTGTTGGCTAGGTGATTGAACTGCATTTATCTGTGGAATAGGAACTATTGGTGGAGGAATGTTTTCTGTTTCTTCGTCTAGCTTGGAGAATCCTGCAATTTAAAGTAGAATTCCCATTTATGCTACAATTGTAATATTATGTAAGTTGATGTACATTTCTTTTTCACCAGTCTTCTCCCAAGAATCGTAACTAAATTCTAATGCATTTTACTTTTAATTAACAGTAAAAAATTCTTGACTTTATTCTTTCTTATCTGCGAGACGAAGATCAGCAAGATGGTTTTCAATACTCGGAAATAGAAATTCTGGCTATTTACTTAAATCCTTTTCCACATCTCTAGGAGTTTTAAAGTTTGGAATTGAAAAAATTTTCTCATTTGATTTAATATCGCCACTTTCTTTGTGTTTTTTTTGTGTATTATCTTTATTTTTTAGTTGATTGAGATGCTTTTTGCTCTGATGCTTATGATCATCATGCTTTTTTTTGAAATATTTGTGTTTAATATGGATGTTTTTTTAATGTACTGACTCTTCTTTGTCTTCTCCTTCATCATCAATAATTTAGTCGTCGCTGGAAGCATCAAATTTTTTAATTTATTTAATTAAGTGTTCTAAATCTTAAATTTATTGCTCATCATGCAAATTAAACTTTACCAAACTTCCTATCAAAGGATATTCAAAATAAATATTGCTATCAATATCTTTTTCAAAGTAGCTTCCGTCTATCTCTTTGCAAATTATTTTTACATTAGATTTACCGTCAATACTATCATAAATTACTCTAGCGTTATCGAAGGTTACCATTGCAAATGGAATATTTTCGTTGCTCACAGCAAATAGAGAAATATTTTGAAAATCTAAACTGAAGTAAATACCATCAGAATTTTCAATTATGTCATCAAATTTACTATTGTCTCTTTAGTATTGTTAATACTCACTTGACAAACTCTTTTAAATTTAAAATATTAATATAAATTAAAATATTTTTAATTGCAATATACATTTGTTTCAATTTGTAATGAGTCTAATCTCTAGATTCCTCTAAACTTGAATGTTGACTTTCTTTCTTTCTTACTAGACTATTAAATCTAATAGACTCTTTATTAAGGCAGCCCATAATATTTTCTCTCCATTTATTTTTATTTTTCTGCAAAGGTGACCCAAAAGTCATGAATAAAGAATTAGTCTAACCCATCGTCATAAGAAATATTATGAAAGATGGCTGTCATAATAATATTATAATCGAAATTGCTAAATTTAAGCAATATAGGAGTGATGTAACTTTCTATTGTCATCGTATTGTCGTAGCTCTCCTAAGGAAAACACTATTCTAATTCTTTAAAGAAACTGAGCATAGATACTTTTATGTTAAAATCAAACGGTTTGCACACTTCAATCATTTAGTCTTCTTTTATTATAACAATTTTCATATCTTCAATATAAATATAATATTAGTCTTCGTATACTTTTGGCCTCTCACCAACTATTTTTAAAATGCATTAATTAATATCTTTGTTGATAACTTAAAAAATAAAAACCTTTGAAGTAGTTCGGAGATGAGTTAGCATATTTATTTGTTATTATTCTTTTTGGACATTCGAATCTTTTATTTTCTATTTATGTGGTACCTAAATATATTCTGATGAAATTTATAGCATCTTTGTGCTGCTTAATATCTATAACAGGAGATTTAATCTCTACCTTAATATTCATATTTGTAGGATTTATTATTTATGTCTTAATAAATTATTTTTATAGTTAATCTATTCTATTTTTTTGTTGCTCTATGTTTTTTTGGATTTGATTTTTTTAATCAATCAGCTTAGAAACAGCAATATTAGAGTCTTCTTTAAAACCTTCTGGAGCAGTGACTACACCAATTATTTATACTAACAAGTAATCTATGAGGCGCATGACGGGCTACATCATAAAATCTATATGGATTGAGTTAATAAAAGCATCTACAAATATTGTTTCACGAGTAGAATGATTAAACTTTTTAGAAGTAGTTTCTAAGATAGTTACATTAAAATTCAATAAATTAGCTTTTTTATCATAAATTTATGGTTTTTCTTCTTTAACATGGGTCAGCAACTCCTCAGTCTCATACCATAAACCCACTATCTCTTGTTTTCTTTGAAATTTATAGTCTTCCTCTTTATATATAGTGTTAGGATAATTTGTAAGATCAAATATTTGTAAATTTTGAAGAGAACCACTAAGCACCATTTCATCAGCCTTTTACATAAATTCAATCTAAGTGCACTGAAGATTTAATTAATTTTAGTTTAATTTAGTTTTTCTATGTATTAAGTTAAGAGCTATTTATCTGACATGCACTTTCGCTTTTACTAGAATAACTTCACTATTCTGAATCAGATTGCTTTCTTCTGTAGATCCATCTTAATTTTCAGGTTCTAGCTTATCATTCGTTTTATCATTACCAGGTAATATATTTTATAAATCTTTACCTTTTTCTTTAAGAAGGTACTCCTCTCTTCTTTAAGATTCCAACTTTTAGAGTTCAAGCTGCTTAATTATTTATGTTTCTGTGTCTATTTAGAAGAAATCCATAATAGCCATAAAAGTATCAGGCTTAAAGTTTATAAACAAACATCCAAATTCACAATCTAAAAATAAATCCATTTTGTCTTACTTGTGTTAAGGATGCTGCTTGTCTAACTACAAAATCTTTATATTTATTAATTTATCGTTTTTTTCATTTCTACTAGTAATCAAATATGATAATGATGGATCTTAATACTGATAAACATAATCATTCAGATAAATGCCTTCCAAAGTGATATCAGCTTCAAATGAAGCAATTTTTTTCTCTGCTTTCAAATTAAATTTTTATATACTCAAATCTACAATCATTTTTTATTGCATACTTTCAAGACTTACTTGAATGGAATTTATTTTAAAGTTCAAATGTAAATCAACTGCATTGAAATCTGTATTTTCTAAATTCATATCCTCCAAATTATTATTGTTGCTTTCCTGCTCGTTCATTTATATTTCATACAATTTTTTTTCTTCTTCATTTTCGTCATATATTTTTTGAATTTCTTTAATCCATTTTTCAGTATTTTCAGCTTTTTCACATCCCAAGTAAATGTCCTCATACCTAGTTTTAATCACAAAAGCGTTTTTAAAACCACATTAATCCTCGGCAACATTTGAAATAGTAGCATTTTTGATAGCTATATGAAATAGCGGTTTAAACGTATTTTAAACCTCAAAAAAATAAATGTGGTCTCTAGTTAAGACAGCATAATATTTCTCCCACTATTAAAATAAATAAATTCAATATGTAAGAATTTAATTTAAATAATTAAAACATAAATTATAAACAAATGATTACCTTTTTGATATGTTTACCTCTCTTGAATAGGAAACCACCTTTTACAGCTTTTTTTATTAGTTCTTTCTTTTCAGTAATGATTTCTTCTGCTGCGTTATTTTTATCATAATTCTCTTAATTCATCTAAAGAGTTTGTCTTTTGGAACTTTGAGCTGTAGAAATATCTAATACATCTTAAAGCGATAATAATTTTTGATAAACTGTTTAATTTAAATTTATATTTAAATCAGTAATATCTCCTTCTACTGAAATTCTAGGAATATCTATTTTCATCAGTATTTTTTGTTAGTACTTTGCAATATTAATTTTAATATTGATGCTAAAATCTTAAACTAGCACAAACATTTCACCGTTATTTTACATTTATTGCTGCTAAATCATAAATGATTCTCTTTACTAACCTGCAATCGAAGGGTGTGTAGGAGCAAGAGAAAAAGTTCTGATTTACAAAAACTATTCCATCGTTTAAATAGTAGTAAAATATCTACAATTTATATTCTGAAGGGAAATCAAATAAATTTCATTAAGTTCTTTTTTTCTTGCATATTCAATTTTATCTTAAATAAGTGCATTTGATTGCAATAGCTTTTATCCCTCCTCATGGTCAGTTTTAATACTCAGATTACCTAATTGCAATACTAAAAAGTCAACAGCATCTATGTTATCATCAGAAGAAAAGGGTATAACAATAATTGGAGAAGCCAAAAAAATATCTAATTTTAATATATCTTTGCTTTTATCTATATTTTTAATGCTGTCTTCAACCTATTACTGAGTTTTCTCATGAAATTCTTCTATTTTTTTCATCGCTTAGTCTCTTAATTCTTAATCTTGTACTTTAACTTGGAAAAATTCTGTGAGAAACTATATTAACAATCTGTTATACTAGAGCTTTGCTTGGGCTAAATTGAATTTGATAAATCTTTCTTCTTTATCTTCTAGTTATTTAGCATCCATTCTGAAAAATATTATATTATTTTCCTGCTAATAAGAAGATTTGCCTAAAACATTTGTGATTTTCTTTTGTTGTTTTAAAATTTACTCCTCAACAATATCTAAGCTCATGTCTTTTAAGCTTGCTGTAATGCTATGGCCTTTCATTTTAACATTAACAGAACCTGTAAAATAAATGTAATTTTATAACAGTTATTCCTTTGCAAATTTTTAAATTAATTACCTAGTAAGTCATTAAAGCTAAAGCTAGTACCTTTATATTCAGCTGGTTAAAATTATTTTTTCAAATAAACACTACCTCCTTCAAATTTAAATTTTACTTTAAGCCAGATATAATCATCTGGAGCATTATTTTATTGTGCTTGCTTTTAAATTTAACTATCTTCCTACTTTATTATGGATTCAAAAAAATTTTCAATGTTTTCTTTATCCTTTTGAGTAACAATTGAATTTTTTTTTGATGATGAGCGAAATATCCTTGAAATAATACCCTTTTTTTTAGATGTTATTTCATTTATTTTTTGAGATTTCAGTTCTTCTCCTGCTATTATCTTTGTTTAATCTAATAGAATCTTAAGTTAAAGCTTCTCAACTGCTTCTGATAGCTATTTTCTTTAATCTGCTGTCAATCCATCCAAATTTCTATCTAACTTATAGTAATATATCGGATACACTTGCTTGAATTTTTCTATCAACTCATTTTATTTTTATTAGTCTTTAGTGCATGATTTTTCCTTAAGCTTTGCAATATGCTTGTTATATGAATTCATATATTCTAACATGGAAATGGCATGCTGCAATTAATCTTAGTCCAGGATAATATTTAATCGACTAATGTCTGCTACAACTACTATATTAGGTATCCTAAAATCACCTAACATATTAAAAATAAAATTTATTGAAAACAGCACATTTGATAATTAATAATTGGAGTTTTTCTTTCATAAAATACTATTAAATATTTAATATTTCTAATTAATTTTATAATGATTACCTTTAGGATTTTGTACAAGACGGACCTATAAATTGATTGTAAACAAATAATTTATTATATTGTTCATTTTTTGTCCACTTTTCATTATCGAATAATTTAAATGAAGCTGTATTTCTTCAAAACTTTTGTTTGCTAAAAATTTTGTTTCGTTTGGATTAACATAGACTCCCAAGTTTTTCAAGTCTAATTTTTTTGTCATAGCTAAATTTGCATTTGCTGGTTTTGTACGATCTATATAAACAGGCTCATCGTGATCATTTACAGTGAGCATGCCTATTGATTGAAGGCATACACCAAATGACGCTTTAAAACCAATTTAATTTTCTATTCTAATATGAATATTTGATATCTTCAACTATAAATTATCTAAAATTTTTATAAGTAATCTATCTATATATGTTTAAGTGCTGTCTACGGGAGCATTTCCTTTTGCTTTTTCTTTTGTTTCTAATTATTTTGTTTAAACTTGAATCATTTTTTCAATAATATCCTATGCATACTAATCTACATTATCTAATTTGTTTTTAATACTAGAGTATTCTTGCATCCAATCAACCTCTCTTTGTACATCAAAGAGTATGTATAATCCATCTAATTCTATCTCAACTGGAGACCCGCTTAAATTTGTAATTGGAATCTTTAAAACTAACTTTTTTATGTGAGAATATTTTATGTCAAATGGCAATTCTAGTAGCTCAGGCACACTATCCTTTAGTTTGACATTCTCAATAACTATATTACCTGAAAAAATACCAACTTCTAAATTTTTAGTGTCCAAGCCTTCGATATAGTGTCCTATTTTCTAGTTAAGGAGTCTAACTAAAATATTTTCAAATACCATATCTTTCTTGTATCAAGCACACTGTTATTATTAATCTCTTTAAATTGCTCTAACTAACAATATCTTTTATGCTTATTTGTTGTTCTACTTAAAACTATAGAAGTCTTTGTTAAGCTAATATCTGGTTAAGAAATAATACAATAATGCTTAACTAAAATATATTGATTAATAATAAATTAAATCTATATTAATTTAATTATTTATATATTAATATTTATCTAAGTGATTGTTTACTTTTAGAGATCAGTAAGATGAATTTTTTATTTTTAAATTTCAATTAAGTTCATCATCATCATTTCTATTAACTTCACTTTTTCAAAATACTAAACTTCATTTTAAGATAATTATGAAAGCTATAATATTATAGTTTTTATCTTATCAATCACAAACAAAAATTAAATATTTTCAATTATTCAAGATGACTCTTTTTTAAAAGATGTAAGCATAAAATATAAAAAGTCAATTAATTATTTTATTAAAATTAATTAAGATATTTTATTTAAATTTTAATTAAATCGAATTAATTAGACTTGTGAATTATTTATTCTATTTCATAAAGTTAAAATATTTCAAAATTTAGTTCATATTAATTTGTTAAGTAACACTTGCAAAGAAGCTATGACATAGAATATTAGATTAAAAATTATGCTACAAAATTTTTGATGATTTATAAGATATTTTTTATAAAATTTATATAATAAATAAGTATCAAAAGGTAAATAAAATTCTTCTATTCTATTAGTAAAAATAAAGATCAAGTTTTAAAGATATAGGAAAGAGAGATAATGGCATAATAGAATTAAAATTAAGCTATTCAAGAATTAGAAAGCAAGCATTACAATCCTAAAGAAATTTCTTCATTGATGACTTTGAAAACTATTTTAGTAGGATTAGATAAAGAAATCATTAGTGGATAAATAACTTATGAATTGTAGAAATTTAAATGCGAATTAAGAGAAAAAATTAGAGCTGTCATTAAATTTTACATTGAAAAAATAATGAGTGGGAAAATGACTTTTTAAGAATATGCATAAAATTTGTAAAAAACAATGAAATATTTTATAGGACTAAAGCAGCTGTAAGAAAAGAGTGGCTAAAAAGAAACAAAATATGATAAATAGCTATCTAATAGAGTTTAAGCAATCAAGAAGGAATTTGAGTTATTGGCAAATGAAAAGGAATTAGCACTAAAAAAAATAGCTATTTTGAGTGGAAAAAACTTAGATCAATCAATTTACGATATTATTGATTTGGATAAAAAACCCTTCAATGAAAAGTTCTTATTATTTGCTACGAGATACAAATAATATCACAATATGGTGACATACATTTCTGCAAATGTAAAAAATTATTTTAGTAGCATATGGTCTTTATTTTACTTTACTTATTAAATAGATGAAAGAATCTAGATTGTAAGAGTTATCCACTAAATTAATGCCTCTTTTATAGAGAGCTAATGCGATCTTGTCTTAACTTTAAAACGGTTAAGAAGTAAGTATAAATTAGATTATCACAGCTGAAATGCCTCCTTTAACTAGAGAAATTGTCTTAGGAATGGATGAAAATACTTTTAATTAGAGTACATAAATATTTTATTGGACAAAAAATTATTCTTAAATTTTATTTTATATAAATAGAACTAAAAACTCTCTTTCTCTTGGTTTAAGAAGTTTTAGATAAAGAAAAGAAGTTTAAAGAATTTTCAAGGAATGCAAAAAAAACTAAAGAACACAACTGGCCAGTATACTCGTCTTTCAAGATTAAATAATACTAAGCTCTATTCAATTATTTGAATACCTTAGATTAAACAGTTACTCCCCTCCCTATAATTGAAGTAAAAGAAGAAAAAAGAAATTTAGTTCTTGAAGATACCGAAGTAGAATTTTAGGATATGATTATCAAATTTAAAAAACTAACAGGAGTACCTAAAGGGAAGTATTCTTTAAGCTATTCGTTTGAGCTTAACAAATAAATTATTAGCGATAATGTCGATTGGTGTAATGAAAATTTAGAATGGAATTACATGAAAAAGTATTCTCGTGGACCTGACATTAAACAACTTGATAACTAAATTCATACAAGAACTATAAATGTTAATATTTTCAAAAAAGGCACTCTTTTTGGATAGGATGAGTACGGAAGAATATCAATTCCTCTTTTAGATCTAGCTACAAAGTCATCCATAAATAAACCTATTTAGGTTTAACATAAAAAGGATACCTTTGACTTACATGTAAATTAAATAAATTATTGTATGTAAAATTATTATTCTATATTTAAAAACTAGTTTGAAGTTAGAATAAGGATTTGTACTTAAATGTTTACTCCCATCAACATCCGCTCATTAATTATCATTAAGCAATTCCAGCCATTCGAAGTAAACAATGACCTTTAGATTTTCTTAGATTCGAAAATTCCTGAATAATATAGAATAGTTGCTAATCAGCCATAAAAAAGTTAAAAATAAGAATAACAGTAAGATTAGTTTGGTGAAGATATAGTCCCAAAACTCCAAGTAATTTTTAATTCCTTTAAGAAAATTAAAAATTAAGTTAACAAAAAAAAAAAATTTTTAATAAAGTATTTAACAAGAGATGATACTTCTAAATCATATGCTGTCTTTAGTAATTTGTAAGACAGTATGATACCAGAAGGATTAACTAAACAGGAAGTTATATTCCCAGAAGACTTTAAAACAACATTTTGCTCTTCCTACATAAATCAAATGGAAGATATCCTCAAAGAGTTATCTAAGTACTATGTAAGTTTAGGAAAATTTTAAGACAGAAAATTTGCTAATACTCAAATTGAAGAAGCTATGGGAAAGAAGTTTGTAAATAATTTTTCATATTAATTTTGAAATTTAATTCAAACTCAAATCATTTAAATAGGAACTAGAAATACTTCCAAGTAAAGTTGAATCAGGAAAAGTTACTTTAAATTAAATTTATACCTATTATTGTGATGCAATCGTCAAAGATAGACTTCGTATTGAATTATATATTAAGTTAGGCTTATATGATTGGGCATCGTTTTGTTTAGCTAGAAGACAATTACTTATTTAAGATATGATAGATAATGAATGGGATATTGAAGATGTAAAGGAAATCAATGTCAAATCAATCATTTAGAAAATAAAAAATACTTAAAATAAAGGAGAAGAGCTTAAAAAAATAATGGCTTATATTAAACCTTAAATTACTGTAAATACGTTTATCAATTTTAATAAACAATTTTTATTTTTTATGTAAATAAATAAATAATAGTTTTTGAAAAGAGGAGGGGAATTCCGTGAAGCAGCTATCTTAAAATAACTAACTGAAGATATGCTTCCTTAAGGTTTGACTATGAAATAAGCCCTCAATCCTGAGGATCTTGATTATAATTATTGTATGAGTTATTTAGAAAAAATGACTGACTAGTAAGCAAAAGCACAAGCTTTCTTTGCTAAGAGTGGACTCAAAGAAGAAAAGGCAAAAGCAAAAGCTTTACAAGAAAATGCATTTAAATGTCTATACGTAATATAAATTGATAACTTTAATCTAAATTTTAATTTATTTAATGTGAAAAAGGGTTTACAAAATAAGATGTAAACAGGATAGATAGATGCTGAAGAAATCTAGGATTTCTATTCTGATGGTATCGTATTAGATAGACTAAGAATTCAGTTATATATGAAACTAAAGCTTTATGAATGGGTTGGATTCTGTTTAGAAAAGCGTCAAATTTATATTTAAGATATGAAAGAAAATGAATTTTAGATCAAGGATGTTGAAAATATAGATTTATCACAATATATTTGATATAGATATTCAAAGTTTTTTTGACTAAAACTTTATGTATTTTTAATTAAAGATTTAATTTGACAAAACATATTATATAGTATGTCTTAGTGTATAGGTTTTATTTATTTCAGAAAAATATCCTATTTTTATTTTTTAAATTTCATCTTATATATTCATAAAATACATGAAAAAGTAGGAGGGAATATTTTATTCCAAACAAAAATTTTATATAATTGATGAAATTATTTATGAATAAGTAAAAGAAAATCATATTAAGGGATTTTAAATAATAATACTTTGTATAACTATTAAATTTAATGATTAATCTTATATAGCTTAATTGAATATATTTTTGTAAGAATAATATAAAAAATTTAATTTAATTAAATAATTTTGAAACAAAATTATTTATTTTTTTCTCCTTATCAGAAATTAGAATGTAAAGAAAAACCTTTTTTCTCTCTGAAAGTTGACTCTGATAAATTAATTGGTTTAAGTAATTGATTTATGTTTTGGTAAGTTGGTTTACCATTGTTTGAATTTAGAATATTTTATGGATTTTTTGATGAAGGATCGTATTTTGGTTAAATAGTTAATACATTTTAGAGACTTTAATGAGAAACCTAACGAGCAGGCAAATTTGTTATAATTGTAGAATAGTTTTTTAATGGAGCAAGATGATACCTTTCAGATGAATTGTTGTGGATACTTAAATTTTTTACGTTTAGTTATTAGAAAAATTTGTTTTTATTATCTTGATCTGTTTTTCCAGTGTTCATGATTAAGTGCAGACTATTGACATTTCGAATTCTTTATGTTGAACAAAATCGATTTTAATTTGATAAAGATTTATTTATTGGTATTTACTAGTATTTTTAAAGTAAACTTAATCCTTGGTGTATATTACTGTTTAATTTACACTCTGTGTTAGAATTTTAGATTGTAAGAGATATATTTCTAGAGTTTTCTTAAGATTAAGGAAACACATTTTTTGGATCTACAGTAAAATGATGATTAATTTCTTGTATTTTATTCTTGGAATACTTTATTGGGCTTTCATTGATCGTATATCCATTGACTCCTTCAATTAGCTGAGAGTTCTACTAAGATTAACTTTAATTATTTTCATATAATAAGATTATTTTATCTCTAAATGGACTGCTTGATACTATTTATGAATACTTTTTGTGTAGCTGTTGTCTAATTAAACTCTTTTTAAGTAAATTTTGATTGAATGTCAGATTTTTATTATGTTTTGGCTTTTATTCTTCAACTTATAAAGTTATTTTAGATTACTTATTTGGTGAAAATTGGCAACTATTAGGCTGCTAATTAATGGCTTACTAAGGTTAAGGCTTAAGAATCAAAGGTGTCTATTCTTATTTATCTTTTTAAGACCCACTAGAAGATCTAGTATTCTTTTATTGAATATTTTCTATATTTGAAACAGTGCTAATAAGGCTTGTTCTATTATTTAAAAATTATGGAAATAAATTATTTGATAGCCTTGAGTTATTTGCTATATCTTCTGCAATAGAAGAATGTCTTCTATTTCCAAGGCTATTTATTAGACTTATATTTTTGTTAGGTTATGCTCTAGTGGCTTCTTAAAGCTTAGCTGTTATACTTTTTAAATGCTTTTTTTCAGTTTAGCTTATGGCAAGCTATTAAAGTGTTTATTTTTATCTGCTAATAATTTCATCTAAATTATCATATTACTACTCTAATTGCTTTTAGATGAACTTCTCATTGGAATTATTTTGCTTATTAGTTTATAATTTTACAGTTTCCTAAAATTCACTAACATTATTGAAGTTATCTGCACACCCACTGACAGGAGAAAGAAGAATTTATTTTGAATTATTTTCTTTTATATTTAAAGTGTTTAACTCTAAAGAGGGTTCCGGGCTTTTTTGTTTTAGTTAAAGCTTTAATCGAGGAGATTCGCAAGTGAATTTAAAAATGGATTCATTTGCTTCTATTTCTTTGTCAATTTAATTAACACTTATAAGTGGAGATGAATTTTAATTTTGCTTCAAATTCTAAAAGCTAATTTATTGCATTTGTGAGTCATCTTCTTCAAAGAAATTTAGTTTCTAAAAAGATTTTATTTTCATAGGAGAATTAATTTCATTCCTTGAAATATTTTCATAAGATGCTTTTGATTCATTAAGATCTGAATAAGGATTCATTCTATTTTTCATAATCCTTGAAATACTTGCATTTAAACTTACTGAAACATTTGGTGAGTTGTTAGCAGAACCTTTTTTTAAATTTCTAGGGGAATAGCTCTAAGGATTTTTAGTCATATTGTTGACCGCTGAAATAGAAAGATTTCCATTTATAGACTTTGTATTTGATTTCTTTAAAACCCTTTAAATCCTTTCAGATTCTTCAAATGTCGGCAAACCACTTGCAGCAAGCTAAACTATTTTTGGAATACCTTTGTTATTTACAATATCTTCTTTTATTTTTATCATATCTTATACTTATTTTATATCAATACTTGAGGGGTGTTGCGACTGATATTCGTTTTCTCTTTTTCTTTGAAGAAGCCTTCCAGAATCTTATTTTTTTAATTTTCTTTCTATTTACTATTTCATCTATTCTTCATACTCTTTAGGTGTATCATAAGAGCTAATTTTTAATAAGTTTGGATTTAACTTGACTTGAAACTCTTCTATAATTTAGTTATTCGAGCCTATTTTAATAGTATTTTTCTTAGAGAGATTATCCATTTCTGTGGTGAAACTTTTAACAGACCCTTGATTTTAGGAATCTTATATTCTCATTTTCCTCAACTTAACAGGTGATGAAAATGGAGATGCTTAAATTTACCTTTAATCTATTTATTAATAATTATCTTTTTTATTTCTATTTCTGTAGTTTTGGTTATTATTTAAATTATTTTAGTTGTTGTAAATAGGTTTAAGCTAAAATCCTAGGTCATTTGTTGAATTAAATGAATTTTTAGAACTATTCATATTAATTTTTTGATTTCCTTCTTAGAGATTTGCTTAAAACTCATCATTAAAAGATTAATATTTTTTTTTTGATAATTAAAATTTAGTTTAATTTATTGTGGAGTTGAATAGCTCATCGTTTTCAAGAATTACTTCAACCTAAGACTAAACTTATTAAGCGTTTCCAAACTATACTGAATTATACGTTTTCCTTCTAATTTCAGGAGTTTACTCAGTAAATGCAACTTCATTATTATTGCTGTTGCTATTATTATTTTAAGTGATACTAACAGCAACTAAAGATGAGTTTCTCTTAAATTGAAAGGTTTTACTAGGCTAATCTAATTTATCTTTATTTTAACTTAGTTTCTTTTTTATTAAAGGAGAGCTCAGCTCATCAATTTAACTAAAAGAATGCTAAGAAGGAGATAACCCATAATCAAATACGTTAGAGCTTTATCTTTCTAATATCCCTTATGCATTTTCTTTAAAATTTGTTTTAGGATCTCTTTGTTTAGAGGGTGACAAACTAGCTTAGTCTGTATGCTATTTTTCTTCTATTTATAGCATTTTTTATAACCTCTCTTCATAGTAGAGAGATTTTTTCCCTCCAAGTCTATTAAGATGATTGAAGAATTCCCCATACTCATCTCTTTTTCTTAATACCTTTAAATCAAGCCAGTAAATGGAAGCTCTTTCTGTTGTTGATTTGCATGCAAATTTGTGAAGACATATTACTTCTTCTTTTTACTAAGGTGGGACATCTTCTTCATTATTTGAATTTTATTTTTAAATATTTTCTTTGACAGCATCTACAATATTTGTTAAGCTTTCATATCCAAACAACTCACCCATAGATAAAATTGATATTTTTTTCTCTACATATTTATTTTTAATATTTTTAACCCTTTTAACTAAATCTAAATATCCATCTTTTACAATATATAATCTATTAATTGCATCAGATTCTCTATAAACATATTCCCCTGCACTCAATATATCTCCATCATCTTCAAACATATAAGCTAAATTTATCAATATGCGATCACTTACTAGCCCTTCAAACTATTTTCTCAAAACCTAAGTAGTCATTTCTATTTTCCTTTCAAAAAAATCGAATATATTTGTAAAATCTTTATTCTATATTTTTAGCAGTTCAACTTGGTCACTTTTAGCTACAGCTGAAAATGACTTATACTTTTTACTCAAATCTCCAAAGCATTACTTTTATTTAAGAATTTAAATTCGGCTATATTTCAAACGACCATAACCTTCTCTTTCAAAATATTATCCTATCTTATCATTCTACATTTTTAAAAGCTAATAATCTTCATCTTCATCATTTTCACATATATTATCGCTTGGACTACTATCAAAATTGTTTTGAGTACTTTATTTTTTTAGATTTTAAAAGTTGCTTATTTACTGTTAGAACTAGATATTATTTTTTTCTAAGTATTTCTAAGACTGCGGAGATTATGTAGATTAAGTTCCTAAATATTACATCTATATTGGAGGAGTCTAGCTACGATTTAAATTTTATTGACTTTTTTTAGCATAAGTTGATATTTCTCCTGATAAAATAAAATAATATATGTCATTTTTATCTTAATTATGAAATATAAATTCGCCTTTCTTAAATTTTTAATATGTCGTTTTATCTAAAAATTAAAATATTTTTTCATTATAATTATTTTCATTTTGTATTATTTTAAAATTTGGAAACTGCTTTAAATATTAGCTAACAATTGAGAGTTACTCCTTATTCCTTACTTTTTTATTAAGCTAAAGAATATCAATTGGGTCCTTAAGGCTTCTCTCATAAGAAATTTTGCGCAGCTATCCCTAATTTTCTAATGATTGCTTTCTAACTTATTCAAGTTACTCTGTAGAGACTTTTTGAATGTATCGCTTCTAGTTTTTAAATAATTCAATATTTTTATAATCATTAAAAAATATTTATTTTTACACTCATTTAAAAATAAAAGGATACAATCTGCTAAAACTTTGAACAAGGAATAAAGTTCTCTAACTAATTTTGTTGGAAACCAGTAATTACTATTCAAGTATTTTATATGCCAGTTAATCCTACAATTTAAATAAAACTGACTATATATCTCGCTAAGCAGCTTTGGAAAAAAATACTAGATCTAATATGATCTTTAAAATTATAAATATACTTTTAGTATAGCTTTATTGTAAATTTAATAAATTGATAAATAAATTAAAGCCATACAAATACAATATATTCATAAATTATTAATTGATACGTTTGTATTTGATCTTATATGTTTAAATATATCCATAAATATTTTATTGAGTTAAATGTATATTTGGTAATCTATAAGAAAGGTTTACAACAAAAATATAAATTTACAGAAATAAATATTTGATAAATACTAATTCTTCTTTATTAAATGGTTTTCCTTTATTAATAAGATTATTTTACATTTCAATATTAAATAAAAAAGTTCTTAAAGCTTTATAGTATCTTAATTTAAATATAATAAATTAAACTAATTTTTCATTTTTATATAAATAGTAGATATAAAGGGCACAAATATCTTACTTAATTTAAAAAAAACTAAATTACATTTTTTTAAAATTTATAAAATCAGAGTTTTTAATGTATGAGACACTATAAATTTGGTGATGTAATAATGATATATATTATAGATAAGCTAATATTGGATAATTTTTGGAATGATTCATACTGTATTATTGATTTAAGTAAAAATATGATAATAACATTTTTAAAAAATAGACATTTAACTTTCAATTTAATGAACTAGAAGAATTTTACTGTGACTATAAAATAATAATAATTGCAAGACTTAGAATTAGAGGTAATTCTTTTATTATAAAATATGTTATTAGGAATGGATGCATAAAAATAAAGTTAAAAATAGAAATAAAATTAAAATGTTTATTGGTAAAAATTTCTTACTTTATTGTTTAAAATAAATATTTTTTTAATATCAACATAATTCATTAAATTTTATCATGAAAAATAGATACTAAAAATATGAGTTTATATTAAATTTTTTGGGTCTAATAAAAATTATTTATAAAAGTACTTATAAATGTTATTTACCAACCTTACAATTATCTCAATTTTGAAAATTGCAGCTATTTTTAGGATATAAAAAAATTTATAAATAAAATGATGTCTTTACAAAAGTGGGTAAAATTTGCATGAATTATCTAAGAAGTTGGTTGAAAATAGCATCATAATTTAAATAAATTCAAGCAAATATAATCTAACGTAATATATATTCTAATCATTTATGGAGAAAACTAGCTCTTAAAATTATTAAATAATAGTTACTGGTTAGATATTAGAGTTGCTTATCAGCTAAGCTTTTATTATTATTGATTGGTTCCCCAATTTTTTTTTTATGGATAATAAAGACGTCTAATTAATCTTTAACATCTACTAAAAAAATTCTATGACAGGATTTTTTTTATTTAATTTTTGGGAAAACAACTTTTCTTAAGAAATCATACATGTAACTAATTATTAAGACTTTATAAATAAACACAAATGTTATTTTTAAGATTGAGATTAGATTTTTTTCAAAATATTAGTAGAAAATACAGTTCAAGAATAAAATAAAATATGTATATAACAAATGTAGAGATTTAAGTTTATATTTCGTTATTATCTGATTTATATTTTTAAAAATACTTTAGTTTTTTCCTTTATAGTTTTAATGCTCCTTAGTTTTCAAACTGTAATGATAAGCATTTATTTATTCTTTAAGTTAAGCTATGTTAGTTCTAGGAACTATTGATAATAATGGTTAGTTATAAGGGTAATTGAATAAAAATATTGTTATGGTTTTCAGGTTAATTTTGTGTATAAATAAATTATTTATTTTGATTCAATACTCAGCAGTGATGATTGTGCTTAATACCATCATGCTAACTGAAATTATGAGAACCCACCATACAAACTTATTTTCAAGGGCCTTATTTATATGTGTTAATTAGAAGGGTTTATCAGTGAAGAAGTAATCATCAGCAACTACAGTCTTTTCAACCTTCTTTTTCTTAAAAAGTTCGTAGATAATACGTGCAATAACGAAATGGAAGACAGTGCTGAGAAGAGCAACAGTAGCGAAAATATGAGATTCTTTGCTCTTCCAATCAATTATTGCATAAACAGGTTCAAAACAAAGAGTAACAGTCAGATTTATAGTTAAGTAAAAAATAATGAAAGATATAAGATAGATCAAGTGTCTCTTATAGAATTTAATACGATTAAATATGTTATCTATAATTAAAAGAACAAACATTCCACCATGTTCAAGAGATGTTAAGGTAAGATAATAGGCATCCTTTTCTCTTTTAATAGTTTAGTATATAGCACCCCAGTACATAGCAGTAATAATAAATTCAGCTGAGTAAACTATTTCAAAAATTACGTGAGTAATTTTCCAATATTTTTCAGCAAATTTGTGGTCCTTCATAATTCTTAGGGATAAAGCAAAATATACGACTGTCAAATTTACACCCCATTCGGTAAGATATTAGAAATTAGTAATAATAGCGTGACGAGAATCAAGTTGAGACATAGTCCATGTTAAAAGAGCAATTGCAAAGCAGCACTATCTGACAAGATAGAAAGTTTAGTCTTCTAAAATATATGATTAAGAAATAGATTTTTCGTTGGATGTGTTGTGCCATAACCATCTATGGATTGATTATTGCATTTTTCTGAATTTAGAAGTTTACATAGTATCAGCAGAACTCATTTATTTTTATATGTTTTAAATTATATGCTTTTATCTTAATTATTGTTTTTTATTTTTAATAATGTTATTATTACTCTTAATTTAAATTTTTTTTTTTTGTATTGAATTTTTTTGTTATAATTAATTTATATATTCATAGCTCGCTTCTTTTTCACCTTTCAATTAAATAAGATGAGTACTGGAATAGAAAAAAGTTCTATTCAAAAAAAAAAATAAGCAAGCAAGTCAAGAAATTAGATTGGAAGAAATACTATTCAAAAAAATTAGTAAAGACTTTTCACAATAATTTTCATTATTAAAATTTAACTTTTTGATTTTAATAAATAAGAATCAAAAGGCTATTTTTGGTATTAAAATTTTTTGTCTTAATATGTATTAATACTATTAAAGGTGACCAATTGTGCTAAATTGAGTATTAAAAATACTTTTTAGGTGTGTAAGATATAAAATTTAAATTTCTAAATTATTATTATTAATAAGAAAAAAAGCTGTCTCATTATAAGTAAATTCTTATTAATTATCAAAAATTAATAGAATCAAAGCATTGCTAGTGTAAAAGTAGATTGCTTTTTGTAAAATAAATTCAGTTATCGCACTTGGTTATAAATCCTCCCACTAAATTATAACAAACTTTATTAATGAATTAAGGTATTTATCATTTATTATTACTAAAGTTGAGCTCTACATGCAAAATTTAAATCCTATAACAGCTTTTTTAATAATTTCTTTCTAAAAAAAATTTAAATATTAAATATTATAATGAATTATATAATATTATTTAATAATTCTTATTTTCTAAATACATTTAATTCAAATTATAGTCAACCTGCATTTTTATGTTTAGTTTCAAGATAAAAATTTCACATTTTTCAAGAATCTAATTTAATTCAAGATACTCAAAATTTATTCAGGGGCTGATTTAATATATTTAATTATTTAGGTGGGTTTAAATATTAAATAAACTGAGCAAGTTGAGTTTTATAGAAAAATTTTGCTCCGTTGTTTAAGAAAGAGAATATTATTTGAAGGTATTTATGTGCATGATTATTATGACTTAATAAGAATCGTCACACTTAATGAAATGGTATTACGGACTATTTAAAAGTGCACTAAATTAATTTAGATTAAATTGATATTTAGCTATATATGATGAATGTAGATTGGATTATCTAGAACCAATAATTTTGTATTAAATCAAATTTATAATTGTCAAAAATGTTAAAGAGATACTTAAATTAATCAAAGAAATATATATATATACATATATAATAAACAAACAAACAATCAATTAAAAGCTTACACTTTTTAATAAATTAAATTAATATATAATATTTTATATTGTATTATAAATATATTCTTTAAACTAATTAAATGAATTAAAATTATTTTTTCCATTTATTTGTTCATTCATTTTACTTATAAATTGCTATAATTCTTTCTGCTTCTCTACTGCCAGTATCTAAAGCGCCATTAATTGTAGCAAAGTATGTTGGATTTGATGCTTCACCTGCAAAAAAGATTTGTTAACCTATAGGTTAAGCTAAAATTTCTCTATAGGAGCCCAAGTTAAGTGCTGGGTAAGTATAATTACCTTCTATGTATTTGGTGGTCGTGTAATCAGTCCAAATGTAATCTTCGAATAATTCCTCAACATTTTTTTCTACTTTAAACACTTCTTATAATTTTACAAATAATTCCTTCATCATTTCTTTACGTTTGACTTCATCATTCATATCAACGGCTACTTACCCTGAAATTAAAGCACACAAGACAAAATCTTTTTCGCTACGATGATAAGAACAATTCCATACCATACCGATTTTACATCTTAAAAATAAAGAGCCTAGCTTTTCAGGCCAGAATCTTTCTTTAAATCTCATGTGTAGTTTTCCTCCTTTGCCCATTTACAAAAGTTCAATAGCTTTCTGCTTTTCTTCAGGTAGAGGAGGATTGAAAGTGATAGATCCATTTTTAAGTTAAGAAATAGGTACCGTAATTATGACATGATCAGCTTTGTATTCATTTCCGTTGGCATCAACTAAAAGAACACCACTTTTGACATTATCTTAATTTTCTATTATAACTCTCTAAACTGGAGTGTTATATTTAATCAAAGGTAAAACTGAAGAGTAGGACTTTTCTAATACATCGAAGTGAGACATATTTCTAATTACAAAGTTTATATCATGGTCGCTTTCCCAACCTGTTTCATGGGTAGCAAATCCTTTAATAGACATTTCTTCAAGAGTAGAGCCATATTCAGTACCCCAAATAAATTCATAAAATTTCAAGAATCTTTAGTCTTCTCCCTTTCCCTTAATATACTCTAAGATTGACATTCCATCTTAAAGAAGCTATTTTTCATTTTCTTCCAAAATATTCTCATAAAATTCTTCTCTTTAGTACTTTTAGAAGTAATCTTCTCTTTCTATCAAAATTCCATTTCCTTTGGAAATATCATCTTCCTTATCAGGAAGATCTTCAATATAATGCTCAACTTCATTGTCAGGCTCACATACACCTCCAACTTACTTAGCTAACTCGAAGTATTTTGTTGTCAAGTGAATTTCTTCAGCACCAGTTTCGATTGAAAAGTCAGCAAATTTATCATTTTTAGCTATTCTTCCTCCATGTACTGAGCGTGCTTCTAAAACTTAAACAGAAAATCCTTTTTTTTGAAGTTCAAAAGCAGCAGTAAGACCAGCAACACCTGATCCAACAATAATTACTTTCTTTTCTGATAAACTCATTTTATTTAGTTGTTTTTTTTTGGAATTTTAAATTGTATTTTAAAGATTTAGTTATTATACTTTAAGCTTTATCTTAATTAACAAATTTCTTATATCAATTGTTACTTATTACTTTCTATTCAAAAGTTAATTACATTTCTTACAAATATCAAATTCTGATAGATTTGATTCATAGTTTATGTGGTATTTTATGCTATTATTCAAATCGCTTACATTTACAAACTCTTAGAAATATATAGTTTAACTTATATCTTAACATGTATTACAGATAAAATAAAATAATTATCGCTAAATCAGTGTTATTTGGTATTTATATCTTTTAAAAAGAATTTTTTATGCCATAGTAAAAAAAATTAAATAAGTTTTATAATGATAAAAAGGTAGTCATACTGATAACTGTAAGCTGTGCTTTTCAAAAAGACAAGTATCATAATTTTATAAGTATTTAATTTACAACTAAAAATAAAAGAGCTTTTGAATTGAAATATTCTTTTCGTAGGAGGCGAAAAGTGAAAGTTTAGATTAATTTTTACCTATTTATGACTTATAAAATAAATATCTCTTGAAATAGCTACGCTATTTTCAAAAAACTTCTTTATATTTAGGTATTACTGAAAATTCTTTATCCATCTATTACAACAAAGACTAGTTTATTATGGGCAACTTAACTTTTTTAGAAAAGTAAGATAAATAATATTAATTGCGAATTTAAAATTAATTTTTCTTCTAAAATATAAGTTAATTAATTAAATTAGTGAACATACATTAATTAATGTAAAACTAATAATTAGATTTATTTTATTTTACTAACAGAGTATGAAAAAATGAATTTTTAACTTTTAATGATAAATCAATTTTATTTAAAATCTAAATAAAATTAAATTGCCTGATTAAAATAAAAAAAATACAAATACAATTGAAACAAAAATTTAATTATCAGATTTTTCTTTATATTAAAATTTTAAATGTTATAAGATCCTTAATTGAATCATATGATAATAAAAATATTATTTTAGATAATAGTTTTTAAAATTAGTTTTAAATTAAAATTTTATCTTTTAAATTGATATGAAAAAATATCTCAATTAAAAAAAAATGAATGCACTAAAATCTATTTTATATGGTAAACTAACAATTTATTTCTATAAATTTTGTTAAATTATTCTATTTAAATAGTAAAATTTTGAAAAATTGTTTGTGTATATGCATTCAATTGTAGTGAATTGGCTCGTTATTTCCTAAAGACTATTTAGTTATTTTTGAAATTTGATTTCAAGCACTATATTTTATATATCATGCATTTAAAAATAATTGAATTTGATTAAACAAGCAAATAGGTTTAGTACTTAATAGGATATTAAATCAAAATTAATTGAAATGAAAGCACATTTAAAATAATAGCAATCAAGCGCTCTTTAATTTAATCAATTTCCTATGAGCAAAGAAGGAAGAGAGTATTAATATTTATTTTTAAAATAATATTATTAACTAAATTCAATTTTATTCTAAATAAATGTAGTTATACTAGGGAAATAATGTAAAAAGAAGAAATCAGCAAATAAAATTATATAATTTTAAACCCAAATTCTAATTAATAGAAAATGTTTTAGAATAATTACTAAGATTAAATAGCTAGCATGAGATCAAATAAAAATATAAATAATGGTTTAAATTCTGAGACATATATGAGTCCGTCAAGATGCCAATAGTTACAAACATAATTTGATAAATAAAAAATATACTATTAATCACCTAAACAAGATCAAATGCAGTTATAATAGTATTAGTGTAATAAATTATTTTTAAATATAGTTGAATTAGATTACTAAATTTTAAATTAATAGATAAAAAAAGTATTAACGATGGAAAGTTTGTTTAATAGACTTCAGATGCTTATAGGATGATACCAACTGGCGAGTATACTTCAAACAGGCAAATGCTAGATGATAATAATTTAAATCATAAAAAAAACTAAAACTTTGATACACAATTAGGATAAAATAATTTGAAACAATAGGAGTTTCAATAAAAATTTTAAGTAACTAATAGTATTTAATAAAAGTTTAAAGCTTTTGAAGTTTCAGATAACACTAATGAAAAGAGTGGAAGGTAAGACATAAAAGAAACAAGATAAATTTAAAACAGATTTGAAAATCTTAATTCCTTGTAAGATAAATTTAAAATTTAATTATCATAAAAAACTGCAGCTAATTCTTAACAGCCTCCTTAAGAATCATTTAAGATGTCTCCAAGAAATAATTTAAAAGACTTCAATTAGAAATAGGTTATAAAAGATTTAGATAAAAAACAAGAATTCTTTAATAGTTAATATTAATAACATTTCAATACAAAAGCATATGCTGTTAACTAAAATAACATTTTAAAGGATTCAAAATAGATTAATTTACATAATTAGGATTAAACAAAGCCAATAGCTATGCATCCAATCCAACTAAAAAATAATTTCCAACCTTAGACTTTCCAAAAGCAATAAATTGAAAGTGTATAAAATATTTAATAACCTTAATCAATAGGATAGTAATAATATGCATAAAGTTAATAAAATTTAGATCAAATCGATTAAAACAAATAGCTTTTAATCAATAACCCTAATTAACATTTAAATGATTTTAAAATGAATCATTTGATCTTTAAAAATAATAACTTCTCTTCTCAAGATCATAATAAATAAGCCAAATGCTCAAATAACAATAGTCACTATAATGTTTAATGTACCACACCAAAATAGTTAAATAACAAAAATTAAATTCAAACTATTGATAGTTTAAATAACATTGACTTTAAAATATCTAACAATTAGTAAATCGATTAGTAATTAGAGAGGTATGAATAAGCAATTAATAAGCCACAGTTAATAAACAAAATAGATATAGGTAAACCTATTCATAAAGCAACAAAATCTATTTTTAATCAAAGTTCTCTACCAAATAATATTTATAACAATTAAAATGAAAGAAGGAGTTTTCACTGCAATTCAAACAACGAATAAAATTAAGATTTCCAATAGCAAAACAATAAAAATAATTAATAAAAACATTCTTTTAATCCTTCAAATAATTTGAATCCATAAAATAAATTTGAATCCCAACAATAAATTTCTAAAGAACAAAATATATAATAAACATAAAATTCTTCTAATATAAGATAGTAAGATTAAAAAGCTATTCCATATTAGATTATACAAAAAAACTCTTAAATATATAAAAATTAATAAAATGATCAATAAGAAAACTCAAATGAAATCTAATCAAAATAAAATATTTTTTAACAAAAATTGATGTATTCTCCTTCATAAAATTCTAAAATATCTCTTACAAATACTGAAAGTTAACAGCAAGTCACTATGTATCCTGAAAATAAATAATAAAGAAATGGCTCTTTTAACTAGTAAGGTTAAAATATAGCTAATTCACACTAATAATCTCTTTAATAGATCTAAGATAACTCTAAATCTACAAATAAATTAAGACAAGCTTCTGCAGAAAAACCATAAATTCATTTAAGTAGCTTAAATAAAATTGCTCCAAAGAATATAGGAGATTAGCAAGGAGGAGGTCCAAACAGTCATAAATACGATATTAATTTGAATTAGGTAGGAAACTCATAAAATAAAACTACTTTTTAAAATTTAAAGTTTCCTTAACCATCTCATTTTGATAGAGACTCCTTTAAGTCAAAAAGAGGATCTGTTTATTCTCAAACAGGAAGATCAGATGCTGGCTCAGTCAACAATGAAATAATAAAAACTTAATCTAATAATCACAACAACTCAAATAACAATTTCGATTCATTAAACTATGAAAAAATTAGCATGCAAAATGATAAATCAAATTTCTTTGATTAGATTAAGGAATTATCTGATAACTTTTTTACAAAAACACAGTAATTTATTTAAAGTAATTTGAAAAAGATCAACTAAAGGTAAATAAATATTTTTTTTGTTTTGTATTAAATACATTTTTAAAAATAGACTTGGTTGCTCATGTGATTTGAATTTAAAGCAAGATGCGACTTGTTCAAAGGCTTATCAGTGGCTTTTTAAACAATATAAAAAAGAAGAGCTTGAAGAATTAAAAAAAACATACAACAACTTGAAAAATCACCATCTCCCTGAAATGGAGCCTTGTATGCAATAAATTGAAAAAGATTTGTAGAGAACCTTCCCATAATTGGAAATGTTTTAGAATGAAAAACATATAAATTCCCTTAGAAATCTGCTATAAACAGTAGCAAAATATGACCCTATTATTGGTAAATAAATAAAAGTAAACTTAGATTTATACAATAATTTATTGTTTTTTTTTAGGCTATGTCTAAGGTATGAATATGATAGGAGCAAGCTTGTTGTACCATGCTGAAGAGTATATTTCCTTTTGGATTATGCAAATAATATTTGAAAAGTTAGAAATGAGAGATATCTACATGCCAAGTAATTCAATAATTTAACTTAAAATTTTATAAAAAATACCAAAATTTATTTTACAAAAACTAAATTACAGAGCTTCCAGGACTCTCAAAGCACATTTAACTCATAGATTTTATCACTCTAACAAGAATATCAGACCTTTATTCTCATTTCGTAAAAATTATTATTTTTTTTATTTAAATAATTTATGTTTTTATTGTTGAATTTAATCAAAAAAAGCATTAATTTTATTTTGATTTTTGATAGTTTTATTTTTCATTATTTTTAACATTAAATTTTATTTTAATTATAAAAACCTTGCTTTTTTTTATTTTAAATTTTATTTTATTGATTAAAGCATAAACAAACACGATCAAATTATTTTTATTTTAAATTAAACATTTTTTTTACTAAATATTTTAATTTAAACTTTTTTAGAATTTTGAAGAGAAATTATTATTAATATAATTTTTTGTATTTAATTAATATTTATTAATGAAAATTTTTATAAAAAATAGTGTGAACAAAAAATAACATTTGACATGTTTACCACTCCTTGGATTTTTTCTTTATTTGGTGTTGTTTTGACTCCTTAAAAATTAGTAAAATTTTTATCTAAAATAAATTTTTTATTAATTAAAAATATTTTTAACTGAAGACTATTTTAATAACTGAACTTTTGGAAGAAGGGTGGCTTATGTTCTATAAACTTGTGATAGCTTTCCTTTGTTATAATAAAGAACTCCTATTTCAGTAAGATATGGGAGAAATGCTTGTAACATTAACTTAAGATAATTATAAATTTGATTAATAAGATTAGTGGGAATAGCTAATTAAATACGCTAAAAATGTAAATATCGACAGCAATTTTATTAATTCAATGCTGGATTCATACGATCCTGAAAAAAAATAATTTATAATGAAAAATCGTTGATTCTTATAATATTTTGTTTATATTTATATTCATTAAGTAGATAAATTAAAATAAAATAATAAGCGAGTGTACTTACAAAATTTTCTAAATATTTATCCCAGTAATAATTCTACATAATAGATAAGTTTCATTTAAAAACAGATAATTATTTTTTTCTTTTTATGGAAATAAAATCAATAGTAAATTTGAAGTGCCTTCTTAAAGCAATCAATATAAATTTCCCCCTTAAAATAAAACAAATTCTACTGATTTGATTTTTCTCTTAATAATTTAAATTTTTTGCTAAGCAAAACTTTTATGCTCATTTACATATAAATAAAAATCAAATTCAAGTGCAAACGGGAATTAAATCTGTTATTTTTCAATCTATGTAATGCTATTAAATGTAAAATATAAAGTAGAAACATATAGTTCTCTGCTTAATAGTCGTACTGTTAAATTTTCAGAAATTGAATTTTGGGAAATTATGCATACGAATTAATAGAGTGAGTAGAAAAAGAAAAATAATAGCTTGATTTTAAATAATAAATAAATAAAATAAATAAATTTAAGTCTTTTCTAAATAAACCAACAAAATAATTTAGGTAATAAGGATAACAGCAAATAAACAAGTTCATTCAATATTTAATATAAATAAAATTGCTATTCGGAATATACAAATAAAATGGATAGAAAGTAATACGAAAATTATGTGAATGAAAAGCTTCACCCTTTGTTGGAGAAGATGCTTATCGATATTTTATAGTAAAGGCCAAATGATCCAGTAATCAAATACTTTTTTCACATTTTTTTCATTTTTAGATTTTGATGTATTAGAACTAAAACTCAAAATAAAAATGAATTATTTTCACTCACTTCCCTTATAAATATAAGCTAATTATTCTTTTTCTAATATAAAAAAAGATCCCCTTTTTGATTAGCTGGCTCTAAAAAAAGTAAAGTGAAGGTGGAATCGCTGCTGCTCATGTAAATTACACTTTTTTATACCCTTTCTAATAATAAATTCAATAACTACTAATTTGCATTATTTAGCATAATTTATTAAAAATAAATAAATGATTATTTATCATAAAACAAAAGGCTGGAGCAAAACACAGTTAGCATTAAGATGACGAAGAAAAAGCTAGCAGTGATGAAGATGATAATGAAGATGACTATGTTGAAGATTTACCAACTGCCAAGGAAAAAGACGAATCAAAGGGAAAGAAACCAACTGGTCGTGCTTCAGTTTCTGCTGAAGCTTTTGGTTAATTTAACTAGAAGAAAGCTTTCAAGCCTAAAGTTGTTCCTAAAAAGCCAGAAATAGTATAAAGAATTACAAAACGTTTAAGTGAAGCATTTATGTTCTCAGCTCTAGACGAAAATGAGAGAAAAATAGTTATCGACGCCATGGAAGAGAAAAAATTTGGGTAATCATAATCATTTAAAAAAATATTTTTGATATTTTCAATTCGATTAAATGATTAACTTATTTTTAATTTATTTGATGATATCATCACAAAAAGTATTATAGAAAATTCTACTTGTAAGTTACATTAATCAATCCTATCTATGAATAGCAATCAATTATTTCCATTTCATGAACTTAAGCTATTCTAAGTTATTTGATTCATTTAAAATCAAAAATAAATTGGAATAAACCAAGTAGAAAATATAACAATAAGATTGCTGATTTTTTTAACAAACTTAATTTTTTTAAAAGAACCTAAAATTTATTTAAAGAAAATAAAACGATAGGAAATAAATTTAAAGTTAATGTCTTAAACTTTAGCCTATAATTAAATTTTATTGCATTTTTAATACAACCAAAATTTTTAAAGATGTATTCTTGAGTTTAAATGTACTTCATTTAATACCTCTACCATATATTTGCATTAATTAATTAAATCCTTCATTATTGTTTTTAATTAGAGTAAACAAACAAATAAATAAATAATTTGTTTATTTTTGATAAGATTCTATACCGTTTTTTAGAAGATTTTATAAATAATATATTTTATTTATTTATTAATTAATTAAAGCAAAGACGAATACGTCATAAAATAAGGAGATGATGGTGATGTTTTGTATGTAGTTGACGAAGGTGAACTTAAATGCGAAAAAGTCTTCAAAAAAGGTGATCCTCCTACATTCTTGAAGGTATATAAGCCTGGTGAGTCATTTGGTGAGCTCTCCTTACTTTATAATACTCCTCGTGCTGCTACTATTATAGCTTAAACTAATTCGGTTTTATATTCTCTTGATAGAGACACATTTAATAATATAGTCAAGGATGCTGCAGCTAAAAAAAGAGAAAAATATGAGGAATTCTTAAAAAAAATAGAAATTCTAAAAGAAATGGATCCATATGAGAGAAACAAAATAGCTGATGCTCTTAAAACTATCACCTTTAAAAAAGACTCCCTTGTTGTTAAAGAAGTAAATTAAAATATTTTTATTTTAAGAAGTGTATTGTAAAAATCTAATAATTTTAAAAGGGAGAAAGTGGTGATGATTTCTACATGATAGAAGAAGGAACTTTATAAGCATTAAAAACATTAAAGCCTGGTAAAATAAATAGAAAAATTTTAATTTAGTAATGGTGATTAAATATTTTAAAGGAGGCCAACCTGAAGTTGTAAAGGAATATCAAAACGGTGATTACTTTGGTGAACTAGCTCTGATTAAAAATGTTCCAAGACAAGCTACTATTAAGTGCACAGTAAGAAATATAATAATTTTTATTAATCATAGTTCTTAAATACAATTTATAAATAAAATTAATAGAGCAATGTTAAGCTTGCTACTTTAGATAGATTAGCCTTCAAGCGTTTACTCGGTCCAATTGATGTAAATAGAAATTAGAATTTAAAATAAATATTTAAAAAATTATTAATTAATTAATAAATTAGTAAATTTTGGCAAGAAACGCAGAAGCCTATAATAAGTTTGCCTAGAAGTGATTAGAATTTTAATTTAAGTAAAATAAAAGAAAAAACTGATAATAAGTAAATAAGTAAATAAATAAATAAATCTATAAAATAATGGTTACCCTAACTAAATTCTTTCACATTATTATCAAATAATTTATTTTTTAGAGTAAAAACAATAAATAAATAAATCAATCATTATAATATATATGTATGTATTCATTTGTCATATAAATCTCCTGAATTAATTAATCAGGCCATTAATAAATGTTATAGTATTAACTTGTCAATTAAGATCTATTAAGGTGTTTGTTGAGTATTTCCATATAAAATATTTTTTTTACTTTATAAATAAAATAATAATTATTTTTTTTTCTTTCATATAAATTTAAATTTTTCTGAATTTGGCTGAGTTAAAAATACAATAATATGGTTGCTTAATACCACAATAAACTAATTAAGGTCTCATATTTATAGAGATATTGATTTGTAATTTTTTTTTTTTAAATGTAATTTTTAACTAATATTTTGCCTATCAAAATTATTTTTAAAAATTAAATAAAAAATAAGTAAATCATTTTATAGATCTAATAAAAAATAATATTAATTAAGAAAAGTATATTTATTCCAAGCATTTCAAATGTAAGAAAGATTTTATAAATTTAAATTAAACTTCAATCGTCTATCTAAAATTATTTTATTAAAAAATTAAAATTGATTTTTATCATTAAATTTTAAATAGCTAGCATTTTTATTTGTTAGGAACAATCAATATTTTTGTTTTCATCTCACATGAGCTATAAATTAATTAGATCAAATTAGATAAATATGTTGTTTGCTTCCATTTCTAAATATTAATTGTATTGATTTAAATATTGATAATAAATAAAACGATAGCTATTTATTTATTTATCTACTAAAAATTAATTAATTGATGATATTTATTTTTTTTAATATTTAAGAGTTAAATATGTAACTTTGCTTTTTATTGTACTTATTTTTAGAAATTAAACAATTTTATTTCTCTGAAAAGAATGGCTAGTAATATACATAAACATTTTAGCTTTCTATCTATTTTCATGCCATAGATGCTTTTTTAATTAAAAATAAATAATTGCTCATTCAGATCACTACTAATTTAATTAAGAAAAGAAACAGAATACTTAAAAATTAAGATTCGTTTGTATCAACATTGATTGATTATTTATTTTTAATAAGTTAAAATATTATTTTCATAAAAAGAAATAAAATAAATAAATAAAATAAAAATTTAGATTTTAAGTTAGCAATAAAAAATCTATTATAAAATAAAAATATAAATGGCTCAATCTTGTATTTATTAGATTTGAGTTTATTCGTTTTTTGAATGCCAAATGAATATGAGAGACGAATATTAAAAGAAGACGTTTTTAATAACGATTGATAAATAGGGAATCATAGGAAACTGGGTTTTTTTTTGGTTTTTTAATATAAAGTAAAAGAAAGATAAGAAAAAGAAAATAATCAAAAACAAAAAGTATAAGATTTTACTTTTCTATTGATATTACAAGAGAAATTTGAAACAAAAATAAGGCAAAACACAAAAATAAAAGGAAACGTAAATTTATAGTCATTTATCTATATTTTGATAATAAAAAAACAATAATCACAAAAGTAAAGAATGCGCTTAACTGTTATTGTCACCCTATCATTATTGTTTGGGTGTATAATGGCTGCTGAAGCTGAAGCAGAATTAGAGGCTACTTATGAAATTGATAATGCCTTAGAAGCATTAACTGAATTGAGGGATGATACTGCATTATCTTTGTACAATTTACAAAAGGGATGGGCAGTAGTAAAGGATGGATTGTAAGATTCAGAAAATTAATTATAAAACTCAATCAATTAAAAGGATGCAGAGTGCGCTAATCTTGATTAAGCTAGAAATCAAACTTAATCTGACCTTGATGAAATTAATGCCTACATCCCATGGTTAGAATAGAAAATAGCAAATATTACAGATAGTTTAAACTCTTTACTTTAAAGAAGATGTGATCTTAATAAAGCATTCCTTGATCATATCTAAAGAGAAAAGATCGCTTTGAGTTTACTTGAATTTATTAAATCTGCTATTCAAAATAAGGATTCATTTGATTTTGTCCAAATGAGAAAGCTTAACAAAAATTTCTAATAATTCTTAATTGCATACAGTGCACACGACTTCAGTTCCATCTTACTTCTATAAAAAGATATTGTAGATTCAAAGGATTATGAAGTTGATGTCGATTTCTCAACTAAAGATAGAACTGGTATTATTTTTACTTGAATTTTAAAAGGATTTTAAATAAGTAATCAGACAGACTTAAAATGATCAATATACATTAAAAATGTTTGAAAATAAGTTTAAATAATTTAGGATTTCTTTCCATTTAAATAGATTCAAAAAAAATCGAGAAATCAATATAGATAAATAAATGGCTTAGTTAATTAATTAATTGAGATGCTGAATAACGTCAATTTATTATTTTAATTAATTTAAAAGAATTTAAAATTATTAGCCTAAAAAAAATATTTTAAAAAAATGAACAATTTATTTTTAAATTGCATACGAAATTCTATCAATAAATACAAATTAATTTTAATATAATATTTTTTTTTTAAAAATTAAATAGAGGAAGAAATTGGTACTGGTCACATTGATAATAATAAGGGAGATCTTGATTTGGAAGACTTCACTGAAGGAAAGAGAAAGAATTGGTAACTTTACAAATAAGAACTTCTTGATATCCTTAACGAATTATAAGCTAAGATCCAAGCCAATATTAAGAGTTCTATTGATGATGAAATCGCTGCATCTGTAACCCTTGCTAACTACAAGAATAACGCCTTGAAGGAAATTTAAGCCTACGAAAAGGAACTTGCTAAGGCTAAAAAGTAATAAGTCTAATTATAGGCATAACTTGACGATGAATAGAATGCTCTCACTTAATGCAGATCTCAGGATGATAGCTTAAAGAACTAACTTTAATCTCTTCAAAATGAAATATAGCAAAGATAAGCAGAATTCGATAAGAAGAAGGATGATCTCTAAGGACAAGTTGATTTATTCAACGAAATTATTACTGAATATCAAGATGGTATATTCTCTCAAGGTGATGACTTTAAGGGCCGTACAGATGATTATTTAGATAACTAGACCTTCGATGATGATGCCACTTATACAGGTAGAGAAGTACCTAAAATTGATTTTATGAATAACCAAGATGCTAATGGAAGTGCTAGTTCTGGTGGATTCTGATCTATGAGCTCTAATACTCCTTTTTCATTCTAATTATGATCATACCATTATTTACTGAATAAATTAGCTATTTACAAACAAAACTACCACAGTTAAATTCAAAAGATAGAAGTTAAAGAAAGATAGAGATATTCCAAATATGACACAGAATTAAGAATTAATAAACAATTTTTTTGTATTATTCTGTTATACTTAGAAAAATATATCTATCTTTTTAATGAATTACTTGAGATAAGTCTTTCTACTTATCTGTCTATCTGTCTATCTTTATTTTCGTCTGATATCTTAAATGGAAAATCATATACTTTTTTAAATAAAATTTATTCATTTGCATATTATAAAATTCTTTTTCTATATGGTAGTGATGTTGATATTAATGGTTGTTATTATACTAGTAATTAATTATTGCCCCAATTAATTTGTTAGTTTGGTATTTACTTTTAACATTTTATTGAAAATTTAATAAAAAAAATATTTCAATAATATTTAATAATAAAAATTGGTTGATTTTTAAACAATTTTAATAGGCATTATTAAATTTAAACATATTCTAAAATGATAATTTATTGATTCAGCAATATTAACTTTTCCAGTTTTTCGTTTTTAAAACAAAACAAACAAATGAAAATGCATTTAAATATTCCTTTAAAATTTTATTTAATTAATTAATTTTAAAATTTAGTTTATTAAGTAATCAAAATTATGTTTTACTAAAGGATATAAATATTCATAAATTATAAGAAATTATTTGATCATTCTACATTCTTATCATTTCAACTAAAAAGTGTGGATTCATAGCAAGTAGATCTTTTTCATAAAGCTTTAAAACTTTAGACATATTCTGAACCATAAAAGATAGAATTTTACTTCTCAGAAATATTGCATTGAATTGCTCAGCAAACTATTAATAAATTTATTAATTTAACTTTCATTTTTATCTACATACAATTTTAAACTTACCTGCATATTCTTTAAGCAATTTTCTAAAGTTATTCCTTCATTGAAAATAGCATTTTCTATTAAGTAATTAAATGTAGGACTTTTAATCATAAAATAATTTGTAATATCTAGAAGATTTATCAGATTTTCTGTAGTGAGCTTGAATTTTGTAAAAGCTTCCATTCCGTTATATAAGTAAAAAATAAAGAATTCTAATAGTTAAGTGTTAGAGTGAATCAAAAATGGTTGAATGACCATTTCATTTTATTAAGATAGAAGACTATGTACATTAAAATAGCTTTCAAAATATCCACATCTTGCTGACTAATAAATGAATTTTTTAATTTAAAATAAATTAAAAACTGTTTCTTTAAAATAAAAATAGTTATTTGATTTAGCTTACAAGAATTGCAGTGTGAACCTTATATTATTTATTTTCATATACAAAGCAAAAGTTTGAAGTATCAGTATCTAGCTTCAATTAATTGAAATCTGAATAATAAAGCATAGTATTTAGGTGAAAAACGGAGTCAAAAGATTATTAAAAGCTATTTAAACTTTTAAAAATTTCTCCATTAATGTCACTCTCTCTTCTATTTTAGCTTCTACTAGTAGGTGTTGACTGAGAGGGTTAATTCTATTTGATATCTAATTTAACGTAAAATAAATTTAAATTCAAACAACTTAAAATCTAATTACTTCTTCTCAAATCCATCCAATTGAGTAAACTTTTAAAAAATGGATTTTAAGATTCATTACACTTATTTTGTAAACTCCTTAAAATACCATCTAATATATTGAGTTCGTCCTAATAATTTGAATAATATTTGCTCAGATACTTTTAAGATTTTAAATTAAATACTTAGTTGGCAGAAGTAACTAAGCAATGCAAAATGATTATCCTAAAAAAATATTTCATTTCAGAGCTTATACTAAACTCAATTAAAACTGTAATTATTTCTGGATTAATTTGAGCAAAGTTAACTTCTCCACTATAAATAAAATGTAAAATATGTGTCAATAATTTAGAGCAGCCATCAAAAATTAAATTTGATTATTTTAGATGTTCATAAAATCTATTAGAGCGATGCCTAATTATATAAGAATGAGCAGATATTGTCTTGCTATCTTTTTTACAAGTTATAACCCAATCTCCTTAATTTTCTTAAGTATAGAAGAGTTGCAACTTTAAATTGATAAAAATTTAATCATCATTTTTAAAAGAATTAATTAAAATTTTACCATCTCTAATTTTAAAGTGCAGTGCTTTTTAGTTGGTGTAGGACAGGAAATATTCCAAATATATAAATCATTTACTTTTTTCTACCCAACTCTTCCTCCAAATATAATTATTGAGTGATGAAATTTACAACCACTAAAGAATTCCCTTGGCTTAGGGTGCTTCCTATTAAAAGAATAATTAATTAAGTTTATTAGCAAATTATAAATAAACTGAATAAATAATTAATTAGTTTATAAAAGATACCCTCTTATAAATATTTTCCTCCACATTCTTTTATCTATTGAGTAACTTAATGGATCTGTATTTACTACATCATCAACACCCTATTTTTTTCATTAGTTTTATATAAAAACATAAAAAGCAAGCATATGTTTACCCCATACAACAGTATTTCTTCATTATCTAAGATACAAATATGACCCATTCGACCCTTAAAAATTAAATCTTTTCTGATTTATACATTTAAATTAATTAATAACTAATTTGAAATTGTAAAAATCAATTAACTTATTGTTTGAATTTTAGTTTGCCAAATTAACTTAAGTCCACGAATTTTGTGAAAATTCATATTTAAAAATTGAGCTGAATCTCTCATTTGTTGTGCCTCCTCCAATTAAATATAATCCATTGTTATGAATGATTATTTCTTATCTATATCTAGGAGAAGGTATAGTACCTCCTGGAGTTATTTTTCTCCAGTTTTTATCAAGAAGAGAGAGCATCCATAAATCATTTAGGTACTCTGAAACTAATTTATTTCCTTATTTAACTATCCTTGCTCCTCCAAAAAGAATTAGAAAACTAATAGATAAATAATTAAGCTCAAAACAAATTTTTGATTTCAAACTCATATATACTTATTATGTAAAGTCATAGAGTGTCCATATCTTTCGCATGGACTATATTTTCCTGTTTCAATAATCCTCCATGTTTTTTAATTGACATCAAACTCATACAGATCACTGTATTTAATTGTTTTTAATTAAAATCAAAAAATAAAATAAAATTACTTTGCTGAGTGCTCATTAACTTCCATTCCTGTTCCTCCAAATAAATATATCTTACCCATTTCAGAGTATGCACATAACTATGCAGAAGCTCTACCTAAAAAATAAAAAAATTATATCTATCATATATAAATCAAAAACAAAATATTTACCAGAAGGTATCTCACTTATTGAATTCTAATACTCGATTTTTTCCCATGTCTTTATTAAATATTTAATAATAACTTTTTGTATCCATATTTGTTGAAATTAAATTTACTTTAGATAATATGTTATATTTATACATGTCATTTAGAGCTTTTTCATCTGAATACCCACCGAAAATGTACATGCATTCGTTTTTAAAAGAGCAGGCACTATGGCCTGTCCTTGGACAAGGGATATCTCCTTCTGCTTATAATTTTATCCATGTGTTTTCGTGTAAAAACTCTTCAATCATTTTCTAAAAATATAATTAATTCTAAGGATTTACAATTTTGATGAGATTTTTGATAAAATTAAATCAAAAAATAGTGTTTTTTTTAATTCTTTTTTTTCAAACAGAAATATTTTAAATATTTAAGAAATGCTAATTATAATCTTTTTTTGAAGTAGAAATATTCTTTGTTTCTTTTAAATTTAGAAAACTTAAATATTGGGGTTGGGGTTGGGGTTGGGGTTGGGGT